GGTAGCCGCTCTCCGCCCTGCATCGGCGCCGCTGCCGCGGGTCCCGGGAGGGTGAGGGAGCCATCCAGGAACCAGGGCCCCGAGGCTCATACAGTAGCCAGACCACGTTGGTGGGTGTGCCTGGGTACGTTTCCCGCAGTTAGCGGTGACGGTCACCTACCTCCCCCGAGGCGCCTCCTCCGGCAGCAGCCCGTCACAGGGCGGCAGCGGGGACACGGGGTCACTGAGGTAACGCTTCCAGGCGACTTCGGCTGATGATGTAGTCACATTACGTCACCTTATGACATCCCTGAAGGTGCCGTACCCGGTTGCTCATATGGCGTCACCCGTCCCCTGCGGTCACGGCGGTGGTGGCGGTGGGAGGCTGGCCGACTGAGTACAGGGGGTGGAGGCTTGTACCTGCCAAAGTTGCGTCAGATGCCGTCACGTACACTGTGCATCACCCGGCGACTCCCGGAACTGCCGTTCCCTGCCTCAGCCTCACGGCCACTGGGGGCTCGGTTGCCGGGCTGTCACGGCGGCGGTGGTGAGGAGGCTTCAAAGTGAGGTGGAGTGGAATGTGGAACCAGGCACTACCACGGCAGCAGTTGAGTCTAACATATCCTCTGACGGCGTCTGCCGAAACTGTGATACTACTTCATCTGTAGATTGTAGCCCTCCCATCACCCCTCCCGCAGGCAGCAGCCGCAGTGCCCCGAGGTGGCGGGGGTGGCATGGCAGAAATCGCGGCTACGGTGGTAACTGACAACGTTACTACACCCATGTGACGGTATTGTGACACTGGCTGTGACCGTGTGCTTTGTAACTCTGTATCTCTGGTAGCCGCTCTCCTCCCTGCATCGGTGCCGCTGCCGCGGGTCCCGGGAGGGTGAGGGAGCCATCCAGGAACCAGGGCCCCGAGGCTCATACAGTAGCCAGACCACGTTGGTGGGTGTGCCTGGGTACGTTTCCTGCGGTTAGCGGTGTTGGTAGTCTAGGTCCCCCGAGGCGCCTCCTCCGGCAGCAGCCCGTCACAGGGCGGCAGCGGGGACACGGGGTCACTGAGGTAACGCTTCCAGGCGACTTCGGCTGACAATATGGTCACTTTACGTCACCTAATGACTTCCGTGAAGGCGCCGTACCCGGTTGCTCAAATGGCGTCACCCGTCCCCTGCGGTCACGGCGGTGGTGGCGGTGGGAGGCTGGCCGACTGAGTACAGGGGGTGGAGGCTTGTACCTGCCAAAGTTGCGTCAGATGCCGTCACGTACACTGTAGATGACCCGCCGACTCCCGGAACTGCCGTTCCCTGCCTCAGCCGCAAGGCCACTAAGGGCTCGGTTGCCGGGCTGTCACGGCGGCGGTGGAGGGGCTCGGAGTGAGGTGGAGTGGAATGTGGAACCAAGCCTCTACTCAGCAGCAGTTGCGTCTGGCACATGCTCTGATGCCATCTGCCAATACTGTGATGCCACATCTTCCGCAGATCGTCACCCTCCCATCACCCCTCCCACAGGCAGCAGCCACGGCGCCCCGAGGTGGCGGGGGTGGCATGGCAGAAATCGCGGCTACGGTGGTAACTGACAACGTTACTACACCCATGTGACGGTATTGTGACACTGGCTGTGACCGTGTGCTTTGTAACTCTGTATCTCTGGTAGCCGCTCTCCTCCCTCCATCGGTGCCGCTGCCGCGGGTCCCGGGAGGGTGAGGGAGCCATCCAGGAACCAGGGCCCCGAGGCTCATACAGTAGCCAGACCACGTTGGTGGGTGTGCCTGGGTACGTTTCCCGCAGTTAGCGGTGACGGTCACCTACCTCCCCCGAGGCGCCTCCTCCGGCAGCAGCCCGTCACAGGGCGGCAGCGGGGACACGGGGTCACTGAGGTAACGCTTCCAGGCGACTTCGGCTGATGATGTAGTCACATTACGTCACCTTATGACATCCCTGAAGGTGCCGTACCCGGTTGCTCATATGGCGTCACCCGTCCCCTGCGGTCACGGCGGTGGTGGCGGTGGGAGGCTGGCCGACTGAGTACAGGGGGTGGAGGCTTGTACCTGCCAAAGTTGCGTCAGATGCCGTCACGTACACTGTAGATGACCCGCCGACTCCCGGAACTGCCGTTCCCTGCCTCAGCCGCAAGGCCACTAAGGGCTCGGTTGCCGGGCTGTCACGGCGGCGGTGGAGGGGCTCGGAGTGAGGTGGAGTGGAATGTGGAACCAAGCCTCTACTCAGCAGCAGTTGCGTCTGGCACATGCTCTGATGCCATCTGCCAATACTGTGATGCCACATCTTCCGCAGATCGTCACCCTCCCATCACCCCTCCCACAGGCAGCAGCCACGGCGCCCCGAGGTGGCGGGGGTGGCATGGCAGAAATCGCGGCTACCGTGGAAAGCACTGACGTTACCACACCCATGTGACGGTGTTGTGACACTGGCTTTGACCGTGTGCTTCGTAACTCCGTATCCCTGGTAGCCGCTCTCCGCCCTGCATCGGTGCCGCTACCGCGGGTCCCGGGAGGGGTCAAGGGGGGTCAGGGTACCAGGGCCCCGAGGCTCGTACAGTAGCCAGACCGTGTTGGTCGGTGTGCCTGGGTACATTTCTCGCGGTTAGCGGTGTTGGTCACCTAGCTCTTCCGAGACGCGTCCTCCGGCGGCGGGCGGCACACGGCAACAGCGGGGACACGGGGTCACTGAGGTTACGCTTCCAGGCGACTTCGGCTGACAATATGGTCACTTTACGTCACCTAATGACTTCCGTGAAGGCGCCGTACCCGGTTGCTCAAATGGCGTCACCCGTCCCCTGCCGTCACGGCGGTGGTGGCGCCGGGAGGCTGGCCGACTGACTACGGGAGGTGGGGGCTTGTACCTGCCAAAGTTGCGTCAGATGCCGTCACGTACACTGTAGATGACCCGCCGACTCCCGGAACTGCCGTTCCCTGCCTCAGCCGCAAGGCCACTAAGGGCTCGGTTGCCGGGCTGTCACGGCGGCGGTGGAGGGGCTCGGAGTGAGGTGGAGTGGAATGTGGAACCAAGCCTCTACTCAGCAGCAGTTGCGTCTGGCACATGCTCTGATGCCATCTGCCAATACTGTGATGCCACATCTTCCGCAGATCGTCACCCTCCCATCACCCCTCCCACAGGCAGCAGCCACGGCGCCCCGAGGTGGCGGGGGTGGCATGGCAGAAATCGCGGCTACGGTGGTAACTGACAACGTTACTACACCCATGTGACGGTATTGTGACACTGGCTTTGACCGTGTGCTTCGTAACTCCGTATCCCTGGTAGCCGCTCTCCGCCCTGCATCGGTGCCGCTACCGCGGGTCCCGGGAGGGTGGGATGGCCGTCCGGGTACCAGGGCCCCGAGGCTCATACAGTAGCCAGACTGCGTTAGTGGGTGTGCCTGGCGTGCAGCAGATGGCGTATACGAGAGTAAATGGCGCATGGCGTGTTGAGACTTATTAATTATTGCCGTGGTTACGTTTTTATAGAAGTGGCATTGTCTGAATGCCGCGTGTCACATTTTGGATGCCCTCCTCTCAACTGATAAAAGCATTCTGCCGTCGACCTATCGCCATCCCAATTCAAATGACTACTTATCTCTATCAATCACTACGAATAACCCCATCTAGGAGATGCATTCCGCATGTCTTGATGTGAGAAGGGAACCAATATTCCGATATTACGTCCCACATCTCAACCCTAATGAGATCGGACTCATTGACCGGATTGTTCTCGAACGTCGTTCACTCATTTCCAGGTTTGCGTCGAAGCCCAATATTAATCCACTTTCTGGCGCTTAAGGTCTTAATACGAGTCACGTATATGTTTGGTTCCGCAAGATCCCTTCAATCCTTCTAGTACGGTTGGCTAGCGTGACCGCTGATCCAGCACTTTGCATATGCCAATACGACTCACACTAGCTTTGCAAAGCATCGTACTATGTGCTTTGTGCGCATATAAGGGATAAATGAAACCACCCGCGCCTTCATTTTGACCGGCGGTCCAGAGTGGCCATGTGCCAACACGGTGATGGGTAATCAAAATTAGTGGAGTCACTGAAGCACCGTGAAATGTATCACATGTTTTCCACTCTTGCGTTATAAGTACATTGCTGGTCTTTTAACTTGTTTGCACTCGTGTCAGAGAACATATCGTACCGCCCTCATTCCGGCAGCACGATACACGCAGCAAAGTGTCACTGTGCCCAATTGCATTTCATGTTTCGGCACGGCATATTAGCGTCAACACCAGCAATTAAAAAGGTGTGGTAACACTAAGAAAAACCAATTATTGGCCACCAAAATGACTACTTCGTAACCTAAGACACTGCCGCTGAAACAGAAAAACAAAGACACCAGCAGCATCAATGGAACGAAAATGAATTCGCACAATTCACCATCATATCATCACATCTGAGATGCTCATTACTCTGAGCATTACTTTTCTATGCTCATGATGCAGAATATGGCCCCCTTGACGGTGACGCAACGACACTCCAACGTTGGCGTCTGGCGCAGCTTCTCCCCTGGTCCTACGAGTGAACTATCGAAACTCAGTATGATAAGTGGTTGGATCGAGATGATACCAACGACTTGCTGAGTTCTGCTATGTTCTTTACTTCACCATCGACAGACATTTGGCTGAGGCAATTGGGTGGGTCCAGGACGTACGGTGCTGGGCAGTAGAACGCAGCTTCCTTGGCAGCCTGAAGATCAATCTTGCAGCCAAACTGCGACTTCCCATCACCGTCGTAGAGTGGAGGTGTCTCAGGTTTGAACAGCTCATCTGACGAGTACGTAACGCCGCAGCCTTGCATGTAGAGGTCCGTCCTCTCGACGTTAACATGAACAGCAAGGAGCATGCAACCAACATCATCAGAGTGAGGAGGCAGCCTGGAAAACGCGAAAAGTGGCCCAAGTCACATCTAGCCGCACGGCACACTACAAAAAGCTAAAGCAAAGATAAAATCGAGAGCAAGAATATCCTGAATCACTATGTATCGCCATATTTTAAAACACTCTCTTATTAAATACCCTTACATCTACCAAAGGTTAAAATCTTCCACCATTTTACATTGACTTTATCTAAGCCAACTTTAAATGTATTATTCATAGTAGCCTTGTCTTGATCTTTTCCCACTGCAAATCGCGACTTTAATTTTTTTAGTGCAAATCTATACGGTGGTACTCTGTATTCACCAATACTTGTGACGTATGCTGCTCCTGTTTGAACCGTATTTGGTTTTTTATTACTAGACTTAGTAGTCCCGCCTCGTCTGAAATCTGTTTCCATATAATGGCTACCGGCATTAGACCTTATAATGATATCATCATGACTTCCATCCGATTGATAAGGAATGGTTGCCAATCGTTTCATTTGGTACCTTTCCATCTCCGTCAGTTCGTGTTCAATGTGACTTTCGTAACTCAATGAATCGTGCATATTTTCCGGAGCACCACTGAAAAGATCCTCATTTATTATTGCCGCCATTTCATCGCCGTGGCTATTGAAATATCCAAAGACAAATTCTTTCTTCATTAGTGCTACTTCAATTCCAATTTCGGGTGATCGTTCTTCTTTATGATATGTTCCATTTTCTCGATAGTCTGTCGAGTCGACATCACACCCACATAGGCGCTTGATTAGAATCAAACCTTCATGGTCTGGACAGCTCTTATCGACGACGAAAGGCTTTACGTTATCCACCGTGGTGTCTAGAGATTTATCAACACTCACGTTTGTAGCATCGGCGCCGGCACATTGCAGAATACCACCTGATATAGACTTTAACATAGTATATTTATTATCAACATTAGAATGATCGTCACCAATAACCGGATCAATGATAGAAATAATGGGGGGGCCCGCAATCATCTCTTTATTTTCATAGCAGTGAGAATCGTGATTATTTGAAATATTTTTTTCCATTTCAACCCTGTATATAGAATTTTCATAATCTTCATTGTTAAGAATCTCAGCGTCTATCTTTTGTCCCGTATATTTAGACGATATCCGTTTTCTCATGAATGAGGAAACAGGACGGTTGATAAGATCAGCGTCTCCGCACACGGCACTATCTCTTATACCAACCAGTAAGTACTGCATGGTGCCGCACGAGTATATCACAGACGGATCAAATTGTGCAGCACGTGTGGATGCGATAATGTCACGAGCGTGAGATGCGAAACGTTGCAACAATGCGACCCCTATCACATTACAACGCTGCAAAGTGAGCAAACATTTAGCTGGCACCCAAGGAAGTGGATTTACACAGCCTTACTAGCCGTGAACAACTTAATACATAGTATTTTATATACGGTCACGCTGCAATATCAGCACTATGCCCTGGCGACACGACATTCCACACAGCAAGAGAACAAATAGTTTAATCAAACAAACAACATCCAACAAGTGTTGAGATGTACGCGTCGCAATTGAGCGAATGAGTGAAACACCCTGAGCTAGTGGTCACCGAACGGTATGACGCAAATTCGAACTCCGTCAATGTGCTTGAAATGAGATAAAACACTTATTCTCACTTAACAATTAATGCTACACATGCTAACTATATTGTTTCACACTTGCTGTTGTTGACGACCTGAGATCTTGATCCTTAAGAAATTTCATCGATAGAATGGCGCGTATACTATCAATGACTGTATAACGTATACAGTAGATAAAGAGTGTACTTGATAATAATTCTGGTTCTACATAACGGATCATTAGATCGTTCATTTCTGTTTATTGCAGTTGCTTTTACAATCGCGTATATACACACATACTTACACAACATATTCATGTCTAACACATATGGCACTCACACCTCGTTCCGCAGTATTAAATCCGTGACAATAACGTGCACACGTTAAACACTAATGAAACGCATAACCTCATACAATGGCGCGCGCCACCTAAGCCTGTGTACCCATAATATTGCCCTGAATGGAGACGCCCAATGACTTCAACAGATGCAAAACCTTTTATATGTGTAGAAAACAAAAAAAATTTAGAGCTACCTGGTTTTAGGTGATTTAGAACGACATTGCAATAGCCCTTAATTGCCGCATACCGGAAACGCATTGCAAAAGCTTCAATGTATTACCACGCACATTATTCTTTAGACGAACATGTTACATACAAAGTGTTTTAGAAAGTATATGATGGCGCCCATGCGCCCCGTGGAAAAATCGTTTTCCTGCTTTGCCGTAGATATGACGAATATTGAGACTAAAGCTACTGCTGAGGGTGAGCCTATGGTCGTGTACTCACAGCGTCACTCGACATGTCGAATTCATATAGCTTCATGCGTATGTGATCATTTTAAACAATTTGACAGGTTCAGCGAAGGGGTCGCGTTTTGCGTCATCGCTTGAGTTTTCGCATTCTCGCTCTAGATCCAAAACTACACATTTTGCCGCTGATGGCTACTCTACGGGCGACTTACGTGAAAACATAGAGCCATTTCTTGTAACTTGGGGATTCAGAACGGATCTCTACAGGAAGTTGATTCCCCACCTTACCTCTATGTATGCCACATCCACGTTCTTTGCGAACCGGTGGGTAAGTCTTCGACGGGTGATGTACTTAGATGTAGGACTGTTGTGTGATACGTAATGTAATAGCAATTAACATTCTGGGTGTCAGGGTGAGGGCAGTCAGCGAAAAGATGATTCATTAACGGGTTCTAATACAAAATTGCGCTTTAAACACAACTACTCGTCTTCTACAATGTCTACAGGAGGTAAAACAACACTGCGAATTAGGACCGTTAGTAACTCGTTGCTATGTAGAGGTATTCGTTTAGAACTGAATTGAACTTGTTAAGCAGAAACAGGTTGGAAGTCGTCTAAATGTCGACAAAAAAGTACTACCATACGTGAGCAAAGCCTGACGGTTGGAAATACAACTGACACGACCAGTGGTAGGTTGCATTTGTGAAGGTTCAATAATCGTGTCAGCGGGTTTGAGGCGTGGATCTAATAGCATTTCGCAACTTCATGGCATAAAACATTCGTGGAAATTGATAAAAAGCTTGTTGACGTCACACCATGTAAATTGCGCCATAAAAGAGTATGCATCACACGGAGATTTGAAAGGCGTACTGTTGTTTTTATCCGAGCTCAGATCACTTGGTTTCGCCATCACAACAGAGCATTACAACAACGTCTTAGTCGGCTTTCAAAATGTTTATACGGCAGAGACTGCGCGATACGTATGTTTGTGTTTAATAGCCGGAGGTCTGTCACCTGATTTGACAACGTATACCCTTCTTATGAAGGCCCATATAGTTACGGGGGATATTTCTAGCGCGTTTACTCTTTACCGAAAAATGGAGAGAGCCGGAATAAGAGCTGATTTGACCGTTTATACAGTACTTATAGAAAGCCTAGTTGGCAAAGGCCTTGTTGACAATGCATGGAGACTCTACGGTTATATTCGAACATGGCGACTTATACAACCAGATGCCCGTCTGTTCACCACCATGATTAAGGCCTCTGTGAAATCAAACGACGTATATAGAGCGGCCTCATTATACGATGAAATGGTGCAAATGAATATTACTCCGACAAGTCATACATACGAGGTCTTAATACATTGTTTCTCACGAGATAAGTACTATGCGCAAAAATGTTTCGAGTTTTACGATAGGATTAGGTGTAATGATTCCCCAATTACGTACGACACATTTACAAACCTTCTGCGGGTATGTTTCAGATGATTAAAAGGGACAATATGCGGTTTGTAGGCTTGTAAAAATATCGGTAATACAAGAAAGGTAAGGGACGTTTTGAGGGACGCTCATGATCAAGGAATTAGCATGGATGAGAATATAATAGCTGATGCAGTCAGGGTGATGCTAACCAACTCGTATGAAACTAACTCTTCGTTTTTCAATAAAACAGAGGTCGTCCGAAAGGCGTGCTGCTTGGTCCAGTCTCTCCTGACTATTAGGAGGTTGGTGACAACAAAAGTCATGAACACTATCATGGAAGTGTATGAAAACGCAGGGTATTATGACTATGCGCTGGAAGTGTTTCATTTCTTTCCTAGATTAAGTGTAAAGCCTGATCACCACTCGCACACAATACTTATGAGGTAAGGTCCATTCGTTCCTTGCCAAACTATTCAGGATATTCGGTGAGAAACTAAAGGATCCATGTAGGTTTTTTGCAGTCTGGCAAAACATACGGGAAGACATCAAACCCAACAGGGAAATTTTGAATGTGGCCCTTGATATGGCGATGAGATCGAATTCATCTAAAAGGACTTTAGCAATTTTAGAGCATATGTATGACGCCCAATCGTACCCTTCGCCTGAGTTGACGGCTATATTGCACGCCAAGGGAAGAAGAATCCCTCAGATTCACATTATGATAAATAGGCTGTTCTCTCTGCAAAAATCACTGCTGTACGACACGAGACGCAAAGATCACAAAATGATGCAAACATTTCTGGAAGAGAACACATTGTCCTACGCAACCTGATAGGCACGCGCCAATACGCCTGTGTGCGGCAGTGTTACGCATACGCACAAATCGTAACAGCAATATTCATAACATATTAAGCGGCATAATTAATCGCCATGTCAGCAGTGTTACATCTCACAGCCTCTGAAAGGTAGCCCATATGTACATTAGTCCGTTTAATCGCCAGCACACTAATGTTTTTGATGGGGATATTCTGAGGCAGCGTGACCTTTTTTGCTATACTCACGAAGGGTATACCCTTCGCGCAGCATGCAGCAGGTATATGCCATATCATGTTATTACATACGTTTCCTTTAAACAGAATGATGGCTTCAACATCGACGTTATCTTCCACAGCACGTGTAGCAGGATTGACACCCCAGTGCGCGTCGGCTTTCACAAATGCCCACCCCATGCTTAGGCGCCTACATAAATTAATCACACATCGGGTGAACTAACTCAATCAACAGCTCTAATAGGCGACTCTGATAACGCTCGTCCGCTATGCGCCTTCGTGAAGATGACGCTCGGTCAGCATGTAAACGAACCAATCTATTGGATATTGTACCGCCAGCGACAGTTTTATATGCCCCCTGGTATCCTTTGGCAAGGATACAGCCTTAACAATGGCGTCCCTGGTTTCTCTCATTGTCTAAGATTATGTACCTGACGACTTGGCAGAACGTCAGCAGAGTGTGTGCCTGCGCTATGTTGTGAAAAGAACCAACGCCTACCATTATCACGATACTTGTTTGCGATGTCTAAGAAGTCTTGAGTGCATGCCATTTCAGCTCTGTAATATTGGTACCTGGAAACAGTTTCTTTTCACGGCCTGGTTACCAACTTGCAACGGGGATTATCTTCTCCAAGCTCTTTGCAACAACGGCAGAATAACGCGTAACGTAATCGGCAATAATTCCACTGAGTGTGCTGAAGGTTCCGAGGGTCCTAGAGTAACCAATGGAATTCCTTCAAGAGGAAACTACCCCTACGTGCGGATTATCAACGACAAAGTGGTCATATGACTCAAGAAACTGCAAATCTTTCGGATTTACAATATCTAATCTCCTCGGTAACATTTTAGCGACTATACTCCGCGACTTAAAGATAGAAGCCCGTGCTTAGCTGCACATAGCGCGCCAATCCTATGGGGGTTAGTGGCGTATAACATAAACATAAGTCTAGAGTGGTTCAGTACGCATAAGGGCAGACTGTGTAGAATATTATTTCGTATCTAGTTCAATATATGATCCCTTGAAATGGCGGTTTCACTATTATGCGGTGGTCGTACTACCTCATGTCATAAATTGAAAAAGCAATTTTGAAACGGAATGACATGAAGTAGAACATTGTGCACACTAAACATGTGAAAACCCGCGGTAACGTATTTGTTATGGGTGTTCAACTGGAAATATTATTGTCATCTCTTGTGTTATGGCCTCGTTCCGATGCTTAAAATAAAGATAGGCGGCAAACTTAAAATTTGCGTTTAGATAAAACCCACACATGTCCCGTACAAAATTATTTTCGCATCACCCGCTTTCTATCCACAACTTTGTGTTCACTCTCCTGCTGCGCACGCGTCTGGAAAGGAGGCATCCAGCGCATTTTGCACAGCAAATGCAGACGAAGATGTTTACCGTAAAATAAAAATAGCTTTTCGGCTATTTTCCCCTACGCAACATTTAAAGTGTGTCTGGGTGGCCGTCGGCCTTTGCTGTGGCCGCGATGGCGGCAACTTGAGCGGAGTCTAGCATATAAAATGATATCAAATTTTTTTTGTTATCCATAACCTATGAACAGATTTCGTGTCCATGGCGTAGTGGCGGCATTTATACTTGTAATTTATTCTGTGGGATTTGACACTCTTGTTCTCAGCTTTAGACAAAGCCTTACGGCGGAAGAAATCCCATTTCAAGGCTGCGTCAATCAGACAAGCCTGGATATATTCTCCAAGCGCATATATAGAATCCCTCTGTATGCTAGGGGGAAGGTTACACTCCGGAGACCTTCAGGTAGTAGAACTGATTTAGCTCCGTCGTATGTCGAACAAAACTGTAAGCGAATTCCCACCAAGCAAGCACAATGCGAGCCACAAAATCACAAAAAAGATCATATACACCCTTATGCTGATCCCCTCTTGGCAGAATTCGGCATTGATCTTGGGAGTATGGGACAGGACATATTTAACTGGCTATGGCCAAAACCCAACAAGTCGCGCTTGAAGAGAGTGAGTGTATGACTAATGACAACAATAGGCGTACAGGATCGTGTCAAATTAGAGTGCATCGAGAAAGGGGGACGTTTGTCCCAAAATAACACAATAGACCTATCGGGAAAATTGAAGCCTCGTATGCGCCCCTACACGCATGACTATAACTCTTGTATACAGCGATATGTTCTATATAATTACGGTGAGATAAGCTTGCTCCGTGACTCTATTTGTAGCTCAGGAAAAATTGGTTGATACATACAAAAGAGTAGCCTTCCACATGAGACTATCCCCCAGGGTATTGGCTCGGGAAGTGGCGGCAGCAATTGGAAAATTTGGAATGAATATCCTAAAGCCTAACGGTAAGTGACAAGTTAGCCTTCTTTCTTTTCTACATTATACTATTATACCCAACTAATGGGATTTCGCAGAGGATGAACAAGATAAACACGAAGGGCCTGACATTTTGTGTCTTCGAAGAGTCAAAACACAAGCGTTTTGTATCCTCGGCCGTAAGCTTTTGAAATATCATCTGATCCTCTTGTTGAGATATATACGGTTAGGCATCCCTCCGGAGATACGTGAACGCTATATTAGAGATATTTTGACACGTAAAAACATCGCTGCTGCTTCTGATCTGACATGTAGAGACATATTATCGCAAAATACAGCTTTAAATATGGGGAAAAACCTTCATATACAGCAGGATACGGTGCTGAGCCTAACCTATCCGGAGCGCGCGGATTTCAGTACGCAAGGGCACCCTTATTCTTCGGACTCGTTCTTTCAGGAAGCCAACAATGGATGGTCCCCTTCTAATCTTGTGAATGAGATCGTATATAAACGTCTCAACGAGAAATCTAAATGCAAGCTTGTGTACATGACTGCAGTGATTCATCCTCAGTATTGCTTGCAGATTATTAAGAACGTTGTTTGGCGTGCAGGATACGAGTGTGAGCGCGACCTTTTATTGAGATATTGTCTGGGATCTACATTTTGTTCGCGAGGTGCCCAGGCCTTCGTTTCAAAATTGAAGGAAGAGAGGATAAGCGACACTTACCTCATGAAGGCCGCTCAACTCATAACGCAGGACAAAGCGGTTAGATCTACCCACGAGTCAGTGGGCATTTTGCGTGGTGTGCCCATAGTGTCCGGTTTGATTAAAAGGCATATAGATTCAGGAAGGAAGGTGATGCCCATTCGGACTGCCAGAGTTATATTCAAGCGAATACGTAGCCACGCAGCGTTGCAACCTCAAGACATGATTCTTTGGGACGTCCTCCGTGAAACTATAGCCAGAAGGATACCTAATGCGGCGCCATATATGCTTAAACAGGTTAGGATGGAAATTTTTGCTAACGACACATTCACGAATCCCACGTTATATTATTGTCTTAAAAATCGAGGTGTTGACACGAGCAAAATGGGCGAATTGCTGAATGCAAAAGCAAGCACCATATATGATACGGACTATGCCACCAGACGTAGCATTGCAAATAAGATACGCATTCAGCTTAGGCATGCATGGCTAGATCTATCCGATTCGGATAGAAAGGAGATGGAACGCCAGGGTTTAAACATCATTGATGCCATGGTGGCAACAGCTGGTTACATAAGCCTGAATAACTTGCTTGTGCTCGTTACAATGCTTTCAAAGGAATCGCTTGACCAACGCGCAATATGCTGCCAGCCTGGGCACGATTTCGGACCTTTAGGAAGATTGACGATTAGAGATTTCAAGTACAGAAAATTGGACAATCTAATTCCATAGACTAATCTCTGATGGCTTTTCAACATTAAACTCAGAGTTTAATGTCATAAGACCTAGGCTCTTTTACAGCCTTTTAAACATGCAAACGCATGCCTACATCGCGAGCAAACTTATCGAGGCCATTTCGCGCCATGACGATATACATGTTCTTATGTCCATAAAAATGCTGTGGCGTTGTATTGATTGCCTCTCTCTCTCTCTCTCTCTCTCTCTCTCTATATATATATATATATATATATATATATACTTCTTATGTTGCCTCAAACCAGGGGTGTGCTAAGACGCGTTCAAAGCTGAATCTTTCTTTTGGATCCTTGTGCAACATGCCCTTTAACAGATCCTTTAGATCAGGCGATATGGAGCGATAGTTATGGAACATCAGCGGGTTTTCAAGCATGTTAATAAGCATTTCTATGCAGCTGTTACCTTCATGCGGTAGGGCACCATAAGTCATGGCGTAAAGAACCACACCTAATGAAAATACTTCTCGTTTGCCTCCTGATATGGGACCTGCAACATAATTTAGCGATTCTGGGCTGGAGAAAGCTGTTGTACCCTCGCCGTCATACAAGAGCGGTTCGCCGTTTGCGGCACCCACATCACCAATGCTTGACACTCCAAAATCCGTTATGACCACGAAAGTATCGCGTCGTTCGACTACCGATCGCTGAATTAATGGTTGTCGAGCGACTTTGAAGCGTTGACTTCGCCAGAATTCGGTAGCGCTGACAAACCATTCGGGCTTTTTGTACGGTATAGACGAATCAGTTTCGAAGAGAAAAAAGTCCAGCAATGTGGATGAATTATCCATACACGATTCTGCAGTTTTCTTGGCAAAGTGGACGGCGGATTTGCCTATCCGCATGGTTTTGGTCTCGTCCTTGCCCTCCTGTATAATGTCGCAGACTATTTCGCATCCATTCTCCCATACCCACTCTAAATCTGATGCAACTGAGTTGTCATAAGGGAAGTGTTTCTCTACGACATGAGACAGTTCAACATCATAGTATGATGTTGCCTCTTCCGACGCCAGAAAACGTCCGACGTATTCGGCTAATACTTCATTGCAACAAGGGTTATATGGTTCGGGCTCAGCGATGAAACTACTTTCATCGTTTTTATGCACATCGATCATAGAAGAGACACCAACAGGCTCGTACATGAATGGATTATCCTTAATGAGAAGAATGTTTTCAGGTTTCAGATCCTTGTGCAAGACGCCCACCGAGTGGAGATACATTACTGTTCCAATGATATCCTTCATTATGAGCCGGGCCGAATCTTCTTTGTATAAACGTATCACGCATGATTCTCCCTGGTCATCTGCAACGTGGTTGATTGAACCCATCGCGGCGTACACGCTAAGCTTTGAGTCAAAATGTAGCAGTTGGCATGGATAATAGTCCATGACAAGATAAAAAATGTCGTACTTGACGCTAATTATCACCTCACGCACTGTGGATATACCCGGGTGTCCGGTAACGGACGTATGATACAGAACCTCATCAACGACCTTATCGAAAAGTGAAACGACTTCCATTTCAGCAGCACAGAAGCGAAGAGCATTTTGTCGCCTACAAGTTTCGATCGAATACGCCTTTATACAACAGAAACTGTTTGTTGTAACGTCGAAACAGAGCCATATATTTGCGGCGCTCGTTTGAGCTATTTTTGATTGAAAGAAATACTGATTCACCGCTCTTCCTACTACTACGGACCCAGGTGAAGATTTCCCATCACGACTCGCAAAGTAAGCTCCCCGTATTTCTCGACAACTGTGAGCAGAAACACCGGTGCTGCGATTTATTTTGATGGGTATCCACGTAACGCATTTTGTGACGACCCTAATGTCGCTGTCGGCCAGCCGAGAGACAAGATCTATGATGAATTCATTCATTCCCCTCTATCCATCTCGTTTTCACATATTCTGTTGGAGCCAGACTAAATAATTTGTGCCCTTCGTTTGATGTTCGTGCCAAAAACGCTCTTTCCGTGGATCACGCTCCATCCATTAGTCCAACGTTATACATAACGAGGATAACCACCAATTACTGCATATAATAACCGATTCCGAAACAGAGTGTTTTGTAGACGCAATACGGACATTAATTTACAATAAATCCGGGCGCTGAAACGTAATCGTTTTATATGTGACGTGAGCATCGATTATTCCAGAATATGTTTTGTAAGATTTGACGATTACTGACTCTTGGTAACACGTCGTTGGCATCGCAAAACTTTAGACGTGCAGCTCAATACCCGAGTTAGTGCAACCGCAACTGTTATAAAAACTACGCAAATATTTTCTAGCAACAAATCACGTTAAAGTGTTGCCATTTATGTGAACCAAAGCTATAATTTCAAAGTCCCTTTAAGGAACAATCTGTAATCACGTGACAAAAGTACCCAGAGCCGCAAGTAAATTTTCCTTGTGAAAGACTCTGGTCACACACAACAGAATAACACATAAATTATATCTGCAAGCAACGAATTGTACAACCGCACTTAGAGATATGCGGAAAACCTTGCCTCGAATACGTGTGTTCGTCGGTATGTGATGCGACACCCAAAGACGTGCGTATCCTTCCCAACTTACATACTGGTTTCTTCCGTTTGCATTACACACCTTTCGCATTTTTTCTGTTTCACAAATGGTGGTTTTTAAAGATGTTCACCATCTCCGAAGGGTCTGCAAAAATTTAACAAACAACAATACGGACAAGCGCCTGCAGGATTTCTTTTTCCAAAGAACATATCGCCAGTGGTACAACGATTCAACACAATATGTGTATTATCTATTGAGTGCCGTAACGATTGGCGTTAGCATAGTGGTGGGTTTCCACGAATTGGATGGTAACCCGGACGTAACGTAAGCTTACTTATATCTGTAAACCAACAGATGCAAAACACGCATGATATGCCCGCTGTGCATTATATGAAACCGAGTTTATTCTTTACGTAACATTTTTTGTATATTTTCTCCGTACATATCTAAATTCAAAAGTCCGACTCAGCAATATAAATAGAGTTGCTAAGTAGTTTGGTTGTTTTATTTCCTCTAGTTGGTGTATGTTGCAATTCCATGACCAAGGACAATGTTTTATACGTTTTTCATTTTAAGACCCTAAGAATGTTTCAGGGGAAGGTCTCGACATGCACGGTTGCAACTTCCGGATAGACTTATGTTACATGCCCACGCCATCCCGTACTACAACCATTCATTAAGGTACTGTTTTAAAAATCCCGATCATCGACATTCATCAATAGGAATTTTGCGATGCGCTTTACGGCTTCACTTGTGGATAATGAGCATGACTACAGTAAAGAGACGACACATGGTAAGACCATCGTTGTGTTATGATATCGCTGTTAACATATATATATTGAATGCAGCCTATCGTCCAAACCGTGCTAAGCATTACGGGAGGTACCCTTTGGTATTCAGCGCACCCAGGTATTTCGTGGACTGCCCAGAATATGACGGCACCTTGCACAAGAATGTGGAAACCAGATACAAGGTTGGTAGGCATAAACACATATAACATGCGTTGTATTTAGGCAATTGGATACTACAATTATAATAGCATGTAGCTTGGGTTTGATAACGTGAACCGAATGTAATGTCCAAAGCAAAGGTATTTCAACATAAGTGTTATTTTCTTGAGGGTTTATTCGCCTTGTGTAGGTGATAAACGTGCCATTACAAAAAGCCCAGCAAATCCTTTTCGAAGCGCACAAAATGCGCATGCGGCAGCGCTAGTACTGATGCTGGTAGGATCGAGGCGTGTTGTTGTCTTGCGGAGCCGTATATCTCTGTGGGACGTATGACACCTGACTCCGCGAAGCTGGGTTTGTAGGATGTTCGCCACGCAAGCTTCCTTCTGCGTAGGTAACCGTGCCCGGTATAATGGGGCGCGATTTCGCACCATGCACAACTTGCGTGAGGCCTTTGACGACGTGCCCATTTTGCATCACGTGCCCGCTTGAAGGCATATTCTTGGAGTAATGGACCACCGTGTTGTGGGACGGAATTCCGTGGCATGGTATCAACTGCGGAGCCGGCGCACTCACCACCTGTCCTTGGGCTGCTTGGTTTAGGATATAACGGTTTGGTCCCCTTTGATATACAGCGTTGTGCGTTTGTGCCATTGCCACATGACCTTGCAAGTATGCATCCCTCGGCTTGGTGACACTGGGAAATATCGGATAACTCCGTCCATCGTTCACGTTCTGTATGGTGTTGAATTGTATCACGCTGTCTGTCTTTGGTTCCAATTTTGGATACAATTCTTCAGGTTTAAATACGTCCAACATAAAATTGTAAATACTATTCTTGAAAATGGCAGCCGCTACATCTTGCCTTTGCAATGTGCATCTTCTAGTAGTAAGGGTGCAATCCCAAGATTGCAATGTTAGATCCTTGATAAGCATCTCGCACGCCTTCGCCAATAAAATAGGGACATCGGACCCAATCGTACCTGGATGTTCTGTTTCTTTGATGATCTTTTTAACGCGTGCGACAGGGAGTTGATTTCCCCTGTTAATCGAGCATATATCACCGGCTAGGGAGGAGCCATCCAACGGAAAGTGCTCGTTTTGCCCTACTTGCCACTCGATATACTCACCCCTTTGCTCATAATCTACATAATAGGACATTGTTGCGAAGATTCGAAGTTAAAATCCGCACAGTTACGTTGAAGAAGGTGGCGCATATCCACAATCGATCAGATACCCTGGGAACATTGTAATAGAGACGTTATGACAAATGAAGACCATGTTAAAAACAAACGTGGCAAAACCCCAATGGTATCATCGAATGAGAACGCGAAGTCACACCGCCTGATCATTCCAGAGTAAACGCCATGCCTACACATCCACCCAATTTGCGAAGGCTCCCGACTTTAATAAATTATGGTCCACTGAAAAGTATTTGTATCTGTGAAAGAACGTGCATACGAGTCTATGCAATTCAAATAGCACATTAGGTAACGTGCTGAATGCGCGCATATACTTCTCAGTTAATCACCTGCATCACCATTTTATGTAATGACAGGAGTTAACACCCTGCACGAGCACTATTCATCGCAACCAATATTGCCATACGACCTAACTCCTCGGGTACGGCGTAATTAACAACAAATATGTCGTCTTCGGGTCTCAGGCAACGGTTTGATCACCAATTGGTTCGTGGCGTATTAATCCGATTATGGGATTATTTGCAAGGCCAATCACAAATTGCGTGTTTCATGGTGTAAACTATAAACGGAAACGCATTATGTTTCCCGTACAGCATTGTTGTGAGAAGAAGCGTCGCTAGGGAGCTATGTTACACACCACATTTGTAATGTAACCCAAATTAGAAGATGTCTAACTTCTTACGCTCCATAGCCATCCAGTTGTATTAATTGCCACTTCACAATTACATATGTTTGTTTCATTCACTGAGTAGAGATACTGTATGTCTCGTTATGCCTGTAATTCGGATTCGCGAAGTACATGGAACAGTTGGCCATGGCGTTGCGTAATATGGGCGCATTCGTAACTAACCAAATCTTGATTGATGAAACGCGCTTACGTGGATACGATTTAATACACAAGTTTCATATAGTTATCGCCAATTACGCAAAGAAATTCGGGTCCATCCTATATAACTGATTTATTTAGTCTAATATGTGACATTATAAATAACAAAATGGACATCATACGAAAACAGCCTCAGAGCCCTTACTCTGCACAGGCTTCGCGCTGTCTATACCTACTTAAACATCAAGCTAGGAGTGCAACGTCATCTACTGGTTAGTCATAGATTGTAATTTCGCCTAAATGCATTGAAAGACGCAGCAAATGGACCAGTTGAGAGCATCTTTTCTGTATATGGTAGTGAGACACGGAATACAGCAATCGATTGTGGAGCCGACCTAGGAACGTTAGAATGGTGTTTAAGAGTTTGTGAGAGTATAAGCGATGAGGTCAATACACCGCCTCTGAGACTCTTGGGTATAATACTATCTTTGTTGCAAAGCGCCAACAATGACATAATTGCAGCTACTCTTGCCGAGAGATTAGGATTCTTGCACCTCGATTTTATATCCAGAGTGATACATTTTCGTAAGAATTTACTTCAGCAGTGGACATTGCAGCTTCAATTGGTGGCCCAAAGTATCATTCGCAACAAAATGAGCGTGCATGTGCGTGCGCAACTTCAATCTCTACTAGTGAAAGCCACTGGCAAGGGGCTGCAGCATAACCTCGGCAACATTTGTGATCTGCTAGGTAGCATACCGCCGGAGGAATTATTGGCGATTTCCCCTACGGATCTAGATGCCAATGAACACGTACATACCGCGCCATTTATTCATAAAAAAGCGGCATTGGATGTTGACCGCGAAGATAATGAGACATTTGAGAGAATAGTGTTGCCTCCCGTGCAAAATCCAATTGTCGCCGTTAGTTTCTACTGTAGTCTTAACATACAAATTAGAATGATGAGGACCTTATCGCAGTGGCTGCCCTGCCTCCGTGGGCACAAGGAGCATTCACAGGCATATCAAAATTTAACACAATTCAATCCATGGTTTATCATACTGCATTCAACACATCTCATAATATGTTGCTCTCTGCTCCTACCGGTATGTCCATAGCATTACACATCCAATATATTCTAGGTTGTGGGAAAACGAATGTAGCTCTGCTCTGTACACTACAAAACTTTGCACCCTTTTTCACGACCGGTCATAAGAAGGGGAAGGTCGTATACATAGCTCCAATGAAAGCACTTGCTGCAGAGATCACAGCCAAATTTTCGTTGGCTCTGGAACCATTGGGTATAGTTGTACGTGAGGTTACGGGCGACACAGAAACTTCGTTGGGATGTCTCGTCTCTACCGACGTAATTGTAACCACCCCAGAGAAATTTGATGTGATGACAAGAAATTCGAATTCGACGGGAACTCAATCGGATAATTCATTTCTTACGACAGTTAGCTGTGTCATAATTGACGAAGTTCATTTGTTAAACGATACACGTGGCTGCGTTTTGGAAATAGTTGTGGCGCGAATATTCAGGTATTACTCGCGTACACGATTTAAATCTGATATAGGCTCATTGAATCCACCCAAGTGACAAGAAGAATCGTTGCAATTTCTGCTACATTGCCTAATTGGCAAGATGTGGCTGAATTTCTACGGGTGCAGCCTGAAAATGCATATTATTTTGGAAGGGAATACAGACACGTTCCACTGGAGCAAATATTTTATGGGTGGGTAATACACAGTTAGAAACACAACCATTTAGGGTTAAAGATCGTGATCCATCAAGTGCTATGCTCAATATATGTTTCGAACATATGATGCAGGTGGTGGAAAAGGGGAAACAATGCCTAGTTTTTGTTCACTCTAGAAAGGAAACAGTGACTACTGCTGCGAGGCTAATAGAGAGAATACAGGCTTCTTCGAAGGCTCAAACTCTGTTTCAACCTAGAAAGGATCTGTATAGGCATTTCAATTTACCGTTAAAAAAGTGCAAATATGAGAATATACGGAATTTAGCTGAATATTGTATATCTGTTCATCATGCTGGTATGGTGAGGAGGGATCGTGATCTTGTGGAGACAATGTTCAAGGATGGCCTAGTAAAGGTGTTGGTTTGTACTTCCACTCTTGCTTGGGGTGTTAACCTTCCAGCAAATTGCGTAATTATAAAAGGCACATTTATAGGCGGCATAGGTGTAGATCGTCACCTTAATTACTTAGAATTAACCCAAATAATGGGTAGAGCTGGAAGGCCGCAATTCGATACATCCGGCACGGGCGTCCTTATTACAGAGCACAAGAACATAATCAATTACGTAAAGATGCAGACTGAACAGTTACCAATAGAATCGCGATTACACCGTCACTTGGAAAATGCGTTGAACGCAGAGATTGTATTGGGGACGGTACTCAGCGATTCCGACGCAGTTATGTGGTTGCGATATACGTTCCTGTACGTAAGGATGCGTAAGAATGCGTTAGTATATGGGCTAAAGAGCAACAAAGAGGAAGAGGTCCTACTACACATGCACAAAATGGTGCGCGAAGCTGCCGCAAATCTGGACAAATCGAAATTGATTCGTTATCACGCAAGCAGTGGTGAATTTGCATCTACCGACCTAGGGAGAATTGCATCCAAGTATTACGTAGATTTCGAAACCATATACAATTTTGCCATATCCTTGAATCCAAAACTTCATGCATCATCGGTATCTTATGAGGACAGCTTCGTAAACAATGTGGAGATATCTTATACGCCGAAACAAACATTTATAAATGACGAATACATATTGGAACGTTTATGTGAATGTAAAGAGTTTGAAACCCTAATATACCGTAACGATGAGTTGGAAGAATTAACGGATCTTATGGCTGCTAGTGTATATAAACCAAGAAGGGGTCTGAACCATATCACCACAAAAATTAGCCTTCTTATTGACGCACATATAAGTCGACGAACATTAAGGACGTCGAGCCTAATGAGTGACATGAATTACGTTATACAGAATACTGGGAGACTGCTTCTCGCTTATTTTGATGTGTCTACGTCCGAGATTGTATCTGGGCCACCTGTAGGAGATGTTATATATAGGTGGTTTCTCATGTTTGAAAGGCAAATATGGGATTTAAAGTGCAAGCAGAGCAGTCTCATCTATCATTTTTGTGACCCTTATCACGCATCATATGACAAGACGAAGATACAATCTAGCAGGTTGCCTACGTTGTCTAAGCTAACAGCTTCAAGACTGGCTAAGTACGATTTGGAAACCCTGCTTAATTTGACTCATGCTGAGTTAGCTGACTCAGTTAAGTCCAAACATGAGGCATCAGCGGTTCAATCGTATATTCGATTTGTTCCATACCCCCAAGTGAACTTTACTTGCCAACCTATTACTCCGCGAATAGCTAAAGTAAAAGTGACCGTCGCGCTAAAAAATTGTTGGAGTGCACGTTGGAATGGTTCAAGTGAGTCGTTTCACATATGGATATGCTCTGACACTCGCATCATCAATAAGACTAGCATAACGCTTACTGCAAACAACTATAAGGATAGCGTTGAGATGTTCGTCCCATTTAAAGGAGAGGATATTTATATGACAATAAAGACATTCTCATGCCGTTGGCTTGGAATCATAGTCGAGCATCCTTTTGTAACACGTAGACTTCAGGTAGCTGATGATGGATACACGAAACTATTGGATCTCTTACCGTTGCCAACCTCTGCGTTAACAAACTACAGCTTCTTGTATCAGTATAAGTATTTCAATCCTCTGCAGACGCAAATCTTCCCCCATTGCTACTTCAGCGATGACAACTTGCTGGTTGGGGCACCAACTGGTTCGGGTAAAACGGTGATTGCCGAACTCTCAATGTTTCGTTTATGGCAAACCCAGCCTCGGCAAAAGGTTGTTTACATAGCTCCGCTTAAGGCGTTAGCATACGAGAGACTAAAGGACTGGACTATAAAATTTGGGAAGTTTAAACGTGTAGTAGAGGTTACTGGCGACTCACACGCAACTGCTAGTGAGATTGCGAACAGCCAAATCATAATAACTACTCCCGAGAAATGGGATGGCATCTCTCGCCATTGGAAAAACCGTAAATATGTTCGTACCATAGGTCTTTTGGTTATAGATGAAGTCCACTTGCTCGGAGAGAGCAGAGGCGCGGTGTTGGAAGCTATAGTAACCAGGTTATCATTCATTTCAAAATTTAGCGCAACCACCACCCGACTAGTCTGTCTTTCGACTGCTCTAGCAAATACAAACCAAATAGCGGATTGGTTGGGAGTTAAGACGACAAAGGTGTTCAATTTTTCGCCGGCCGTGAGACCTGTCGCGTGCAAACTTTATATTAATGGGTTTCCCATAAAAGCGTATTGCCCCAGGATGAATTCGATGAATAAGCCCGCGTTTTCTACGATTACTAGGCATGACTTGGAGGCGCCAGTGTTGGTTTTTGTATCATCAAGGAGGCAAACTAGGACCACGGCTCAGGACTTTTTAGGTCTTATTCAAATGAAATCAGTTAAATGGAGCAATGAGAACACTATATACGAACCGTTTTTTGACGAACATTTGAATACGTTCGTAGAGCACGGCATAGGCATTCATCACGCTGGTTTGCAGGACAGCGACCGCACGCGAATTGAAGACATGTTCGTCAGGGGACAGATAAAGGTCCTGATCGCTACGTCAACCTTGGCATGGGGTGTAAACCTCCCAGCTCAAATCGTTATCATCAAGGGTACCGAATATTATGACGGCAAAACAAAAAAATACGCGGATTACTCGGTAACCGATATAATGCAAGTAAGTGCATAGACAAAACATACAACTGTTCCAGATGGTAGGACGTGCTGGGAGGAAATTACACGACAAAGAAGCGTACGCCTATATATATACAGAATCTCGTAAGGTAGACTTTTACAAAGCTTTCATGTTTTCCCCGTTTCCCGCTGAGTCCTCTTTCCATGAGCGTATCGTCGACAGTCTCAATTCGGAAATCGCATCAGGGACAGTGGCCAGTAACGAACACGCATTGGAATTTCTCAGGAGTACATTTTTTTACAGGCGTTTGCAAAAGAATCCAATGTACTATTTGAATACGGAGTTTCTGTCAAGTTGTAACGAGGAATCCAGTACTGAGGATATGGCCCAACGCATCGTTTGTATATGTCTAAAGCGTCTATTAGATATCGGTTGCATATCAACAAACTACAACCAAAGCCAAGCTTTGGTAAAGGATAATGTGCTAATCCCTTCGGTAATGGGCATTCTTTCATCTCAGTACTACATTTGTACTCAAACGGTGGCAACATTTACCGCTTGTCTACAACGAAATGCCGGACGCATCGGCATATTCACAATGCTACGCGCTTTGGCGAATGCGAAAGAATTCGATGAAGTGCCATTGAGGCACAACGAAGACTTATACAACATGACTCTGTCCTCGACTGCCGTTATGCCCATTCGCAACTCGGATGCATCTAATCCGCACGCAAAGGCATTCCTCCTCCTACAGATGCGACTATTTGGTCTGAAAGCACCAATATTCGACTACAACAATGACTTGAAGTCGGTCCTGGACCAGCTACCTCGTATATGTCAGGTACTTGAGTTGTTCACAAATCTGACACTTTGAAGGCTTTGATAGACTCTATTGCCTGTTGGCGCGACTTGCGGACAATGCAGTATGCCCTTCTTATTTACAAGCACCTTCTCACCGAAGCCAACTTGCTGGAGCAGCCTTTATCCTTCGATGGTGCCGCCGACATTATGGTAAAAATGGTGGATGTAACATCAGGGAGAACACTTCATGGAACTGTTATATGCGAATCAGGTGTGTGATCGTCATTAATTTTAATTTAATGCAGATAACTGGTATAAATACGATATAAGCAATGTACACGAGCTGAACGTCAATATATACGTACGCAATCTTCCATCAAATGACGACATACACTATTTAACGTTTGGAGATGAGCGTTCCAACGTACTCTTCGGTTTCAAAAAGTTCACATCTGCTGGCACCCATCAGTTCAGGTATGCAGCCTTCTTAAGGCTTCACAAAGCGCAGACTCAAACTCGGTTGTATGCGAGGCCATCTCATTACCAAAGTGATCCTCACCTCATGCGGGTCCCTACGCTTCGATCAGCAACACACCCTGATACTTTCAACTAGCTAATATGGCAACTCTCCTCCATCTACCCGATTTTATTACCACAGATTTTATCGTGTATGTCGAATACCAGGGTCCTGATCTTGTGATATCGATATGCCCAGATAAACTGAGTCATTAGCAAGCAGACGGACAAAGTATATATGTTGAAGACAAGATCGGATAAAACATTCATAATCCTGTATATCGGATTAATTACAGAACTCAGACACGCCGCAACCCACGAATAAATTTGATCCACAACAGCATATCTCCACCTCGCGTTGGCACTCTTAGTGAAATGCGGCATCCAAAGCATACGAGTGGTGTATGATGACACTGTATTTAGACACTGACACCCAAATCTTCGGCAACAGTCCACTAACTTTGTACGCTTCAGAACTCCCATGAAAAGACTAATACGTGTCAATGGCAGAACCCAACTGCAGCTCCCTTTTGCTAGCTGTGGGGAAACTTGATCTACAGGACAGATGTTATCCTGTACAACATTATAAACGGACCCACCCTCCTTCAACAGTAAAGTGCACGTAGAAAACATGTCCGAAATATCGCTTTCAATACATCCCTGATCAACGATGGACCCTTTTGATAACCTCTTGGAATATGTAATATGAAAACTTTTCATACTGCATGATCGAAGCAAAGATTCGAGTTCTTTTTGAAAGTGTTTTCCCCATCTGCCTACATGGTGGAGTGGGTACACTACGCCCTGCAACTTCTTCGTTAAATGATGCAGCTGTTCTATGTGAGTGTCCAGCACATTTTCAACGTGCTGCGTCCTCTCGTCAAGTTCGTTTGAAAGGGTTTCTAATGCTTTAACACGTTCCGAAATTTGCAACAACACGTGTTTGTGCCCCGGAGACTTTTTAAAGGTATTTGATCTGCCCTCATTCACACCACTTTGTGCATTCTGCATGCCATTCCAAACAAAAGCATCGTTGTTTTCAAATAAGCGAAGGATGTCATCTGCTGATGTTTCAACGCGGTTTGTAATAGCCGGAATGATTTTCGAACGCACAGTGCTACCGTATGCGGAGTAGGCAATTAACGTCAGTAAACGTAAATCCTTTGTCACCCTCATGACACTGCTGCTTGTGTAGAACACGTATGATTTAAAGATCGAATCATTTAGATAATACACACTATATGCATTTTCAACCGCATGAGTGCGCAGAGTCAACTTGCAAATCCCATTTGATAGTGTAGCCGATGAAATGGATTCGTCGGGGAGGATGAAATGCATTCCACTCACGAAACTATTTCTGTTGAAAACATGTGAAACACGCTTCGAATATATTGGCACAATTCGCTTTGATGTCTGATTAAGATAAAATACATACAGCCGTTTCAAGGGTATATCACGCCCCTGTGAAGCCACGAAACCTACAATTTGCTCTGTAGAAGTCAAAGTGGCAAACGAAGTGTATGAGAAGTTCAAATAGCAGTAATACATGCCTAGAAACGCATGCCTACGGACGCACAAAAGTATTGGTAAGTTTAGCCTCGAGTTGAATACCATAGGTAACTTCTGCTTGATTACACCCTTCTTAATGGCCATATAGACAACAGCCTCAAACCACGTATGATTCAAAGGTAAGCATACCTTGTACATAATGTTCCAGTAGAAGGAGCACCACATCGCCCGATAACTAAGAAATTGCAGACCGCCATTTAATAATGTCATTGGATTGCACAGACAACATCGGTTCGTTCGCAAAAACCTGGTCATACGCCGATAAAGATGTCTATTTCTGTCACAACCACAATTCCTCATTGCTAGCCGCATCATAAAAGTATACAAAGATTCCCGAATGGTTCTAATAGTGATTCCCCTGGACTTGGGTATGGGAACCGATCTAGTATGCGTTCTCTTGTTGTGGAACGTACTTTTATTCTTTATTAATTCTGGATTCTGCATAGGGATTTGAGCCCCATTCACATCAATATACGGTACATGGTGCCTTATTTCTACTGGGGCATTGAACTCATCGGAGGATTGCCCCCTTTTGTCCGGAGGGCCACTACCGTTCGTGATTTCACTCTCCAAAACGTCCACCGCCGTGCTCCCATAAACTTTCATGCTAGTCAGTGAACAGTAATAGTTGTATTCAAACCGATGGTAATCAAGCAACTCTACTTTCATGTACTTAGCCCAGCAGCCGGCATGATCTCCCTTGTCACAGAGAGGTGAGATATCAAATACTTCGCTTTGCCCCCTTTCTGTTTCAATGTCGGCCAAAACATGCCATTTATCGCTTGGATAGGCAAGCGATGTAGAAATGCGGATAACTCTATAGGTCGATGCATAATATTCATACGAAATGAAGGCCACATGTTTTACTGATATACTTTCTGGAAACGACAGTATGAACCAATCAGTGTTCTGACAAGGGGCCAAAAGATAAGAATTCCGGTCGCTATTTTGAATACTTTTAAGATGTGTTAGTGGCTTCGATTGTGCAATAATCTTAGCGCCAGCGTCTTCGGATAAGAAGTCAACTTTCAGCTTAAAAAACTGAATATCAAACGGTTTACCCTTGAGCTTCTTGGTGAATGTGTATTTCAGAGACGGGTCAAGATCCCTAAAAACCGTAATCCCATCTTTGGGCTTGTGAGAGATACGCCACAGACAACAGTAGAGTGTGAGAAAAATTAGAATGCCTTGCACGATATACTTTCTTTTGTGCCTCACTGAAAAAAGCATGGACATGGTTATGACTTACACTAAAGAGAAAACGTACTCGTGGCGTGTTTACACATAAAGCTCCACACAGATTCGGTGCGACATTCAGAACACATTGCATACAAATATAATGAGTGTGGAAATCGCGGAGTCCCATCGAAGTTTTGGGACAATAAATTTCAATATAAGCCCGCTATACACATCTCCTTCGTAGCTACGGTTTGTAGCTGGTGACCGCCGTCGCCATGATATCTCTTACGGGAATCCTTTTTCGTTGCAACAGCAGGCGAATACAAATAAGGTTAAGTAGTTGTGTTCACAGTGGCTATGTGTACGTGACGCATATATCCCCTTACAAGTTCCGGCATCGCGTCGTTCTCCACAAACACGACCCTCGCGTCAACAAGCACGTGTTAGTGCACAAGACATAGATCTTAATATTGATCAGATTATTTTACCAGACCGTCGCTGCCAGGTCCGGACACAACACGTCACCTCCGTCAAAACATTCAGCGAGGTACGCACGGTTACTGGGGAAGGCAAAGAACATGAAAACGCTAATTGGAGCAGTTCAGAGAGCATATGAACACGGTCGTTTCAACGCATTTGACAGTTATTATGGCACCACGGGGACTTCCCGAAGTATCGCTTAACGGCAAGGAAGCTGAGTGCGAGGGCTCACACACTGCGTACACACCTGCTCACTGCCGTGAGGCATCTGAAAAGACAAACATAATATCCACATGCGTCACGACTCTTTTCATGTGTTATTAGTGTCGCCATTTGTTAGTAATTACGGTGTAATCCAGATTCTATCAGTGGAGTGTGTAATTCCTCGAAAGGTGTGCCACCAACGAAAGGCGATGCGATTCTTACCCCCCTTTCTGTGCTCGGCATACACAAAAAACGACACAGACACTGCCGTCCGCCTTTATTTGATGTGTCGCTGTTGAAGTTGATTTGACTATTGAATGTTTCCACCCTTAGAGGGGCATATGTAGCGCTACGTCCGACTTTGTTAGCATCTATAGCGCACATTGTAGACGTAAACATTAACATCTGATTATCCCAAATATCTTTGGCCAACTTGCTACCATAATCCGAGGTTACGGCTCGGATTTGATCGTGAGCCTCTTCAAGTAACCCAAAGATAGTTTTGTGAAGATTGACGTAACAGAGGTAGACCCATGTTGTGAAATTTAACACCATCAGTGTGAATATGCACCAAAACCCTTCATACTGAATAGCAGCATACCAATAAAAGTTGGCCACGATATCTGGATGGGCCAAAGGCACCCTGTGATGCGTCCGCAGTCGCCTGTCATATACGAATACTGACGTACCTATGGAAATGAGAAGGTTGATAATAATGGGGAGATACACCCTAGTAAACAAGATTCTGTACCTCATGAGCGATGTCTTCCGCCATATATTATCGGTCTCATTGTTGTCGAAGTTCGAAGCTGCCTCGTCAAATGCTTCGACCAATCTTCGCTCGGTTTGTGTGCATACATGTGTCTTGTTACGACATATGCGCTTAGCGTAATCCGAAAAATGTTCCACTGCACGTTGTTTGCTGTCGTACAGGAAATCATGCTTGGCCATTTCGACAGACACTTCACAAAGCCTCCAAAGATACGTTCGAATTCGCGCCTGTGTCAGATAAAACCCAATAATTTGAATTAGGAGGTACAAAAACACGCCTATAAGGAAAAAGTTTTCGAATTCGCTCAAATGGTTTACGATAGATCGCGCATCCGTCATAATATGTGTTCCTCGCAGTCTTACATCATCAGAATCTACGTTTCGATCATGGGTAGGAATGAATCCCCCATAGAGCCTGAATTGGCAACAAACGTGAAATAATGCTGGTGCTAGCAACGCAAGCAGCATACAAGACATCCAGATCACCGTGTAGAATGTTGATATGCATCGGTCATATCTCATCACTTTCACAGTACCAGAATCCCTTGAAACCTGGGAATTTCGATTCATTATTCGGGGATTGTAACCGCTGAAACCAAATTCCAAAGATTTCTTATGCGTGAAACCAAGATCGAAGCTGCCATTTGTGGGAAGCTTGATATCCATAGCGTTTCCTGCAGCGTCCAGTTGCACATTTGGATCTACATGACCTTTTATATGATCTGCATCATCCAATCCAGAATAAAGGCTCGGTAGACGCGGAGATATACTTGCACCTCCCACAGCGCAAAGTTGACCGATAACCGGTTTCACATCTGCACGATTGATATTTATCATCGTACCATCTGTTGAATCTCGGCAAGAAATAGCGCAAATGGAATCCATAGCGCGACACGAATCATCAGAATGCGTATTACGGCAAACATGTGAAGTATTGATCTCGCTCATTCCCTTGTCGCCATCGTCCGACAACGATTTCCTAGTGATATCCATTGCAATTAATACACAGTAAAAACATGCCACAGCTCGTATATCGGAGCAGAGTTTACGATCTCGTATAACCGTTGTGCAGAACCTGTTCCGCTACAATTGGAGACAAAAGTGAATCCATTTCGTTTTCGCATAGGAAAAGCCTCTTCATCGAAATTCGATCTTAAAACTTGTCATTACGTAATTCCCTCGCGACGCTATGGTCTGTAGATGAAATGATGTGGCACACGTAAGGTTTTTAATGCACCCGTACTCTCGAATCATATGATTGAACGGGCCGACGGCAAGCTTTCAAAATGACCACATAAAAGACTAGAATACGCACATCTACAATGTGTGCGCTCTAAGTTTCATTGCGCAGCAATGAACGGCCAACTGAACTTTTGTCTAATATGAAGTATATATAAGCAGGTATGCCACAAATTCATAGACGCAACAGGATTTGTTATATTATAATTAAACTGTTAGGTGTCGAAAAATGACTCAAGACACTGGCGAAACAACGGGGGACTACAGAGCACATGCCCCCATCCTTCGCATTACATATATTTGCATCAATTTAAAGGACAGGGTAATATGAACAGATTGATGACTTCATTATATACGGAGCTGCATTTGTAACCGTACCTACCATTAATGCATGATGCATAGTTATTAATGTTCAATGTTACAAAATCATTGTAGTTGCTCTGAAGGCGCGAATTTGGTTAGGCAAAAAAGATTGCACCAACGCAGTAGTGAGCGAACATCAATGCTAAGATAAACGTAGAGTACTTAAGTACTGATTTAGGCATAAAAACGAAGCATTAAGCATAATTGAGCATTTCTCTAGGTTTGAACGGGAAGTATATATGCGTTAAGCAAGATGTGCTTTACTTTCTGTGGGCATTAGCATCTCAGGTATCGTTTCCATGATTTGCGGGTTCAAAATCGTTTCTCAGGATTGTATTATGTTGGCCACACGAAATTTCTTTTAAAAAACCATTGCAAGAACTCGTGGCAGGTGTATACAGAACCTTTTATGAGCAGGGATGCATCTAAGAGCCGTATTTACGATTCTACATCCGTGACAAACCTTTTAGGCGAACAGTTTTGATGTCTGAGCAATCCACCTGTCGTATGCACCACTCTGATGTCTGCTGAAGTTGGTAACGATGATGCGGAAGAAGCCTACGTGATACATTTGAACATACTTATAAATTCTGTCAGCTTACACCAGTTGGCGGTCTTATCGCAGTATGTGGTTTGGCAGAAAAAGTCAGACGTATCTTTGCTACTTATTGTGAAATGAGTTGACTCCGTCCATTCTTCTCAATACTATTAACCTTTCACAAGTGCAAAATACAGTGATCTATGATAAGTACTCTACTACTGGGAAACGTTCATATTTTTGATTGTGTGAGCATGTCTGATATCCCAATAATGTGCCGATCAATTATGAACCAGGACAGCATCAAACAAATAAAATTGCTCCTTTGGTGTGCTATGCTCAATTACCGTGCTGGAGCGCTAGCACCTAATGAGGATATACACACGTTAGTTGGGATTTACATGCGAATTAAGTGTAAAAGTTGCATACCTAAATTACATTCATTTTTGATGTTACACTATAATAAAATTGATGTTGACACCATTTGTGCCATTGAGGATATATTGTGTAAATTTGATGCACTGCAATGTAGGGCATGCCTTGTTTTATATAAAATCCCTTACGTACAGAATGGTTGATCTACCTCTAATAGACCGGCGAACAAGCATGACGCTCTACAATATGGTTGGGTAGCCTCCGATGTCACGCATGCTTGTTTAGTTCTAATTCTGGGCATCATGGAATATCCTACGAAAGGTACTAGTGAAGATTATTTAGGGTGCTTCAAAAATGATCAGTCACAACTTGGCCCTGCGCCCATTACTTAAACATAGAACTGCAAAACGGTTGAACAAGCGTCTAATGTAATACTGCAAGCTATGATGGGTTGCCACGAATGCTGGCAAAGTAGCCAGGTGACGGTACTTAGGAGGGTCCGATAAGAGTGCATTTTAGATTGCTGGATGCAACTCAGAATTAGGCGATTGTATTTCGGAATTCGCAGCTCAATTTTTTATTTTGGTTAAACGAATATTTACCATCTCCCCACAGATGGGTCCAGATTACAATCTCCACACTCAATTATGATTGAGCAACTACTTAGCAAAAGTTGTTTAGTGTTCATTAGAATTTAATTGCACAACAGCTGAATATTTTAGGACCGGAGTGCGAGTGGTTGAAGCGCCTTTTATCGTACATATTTATATTGGATGAGACGCCCTACTACCAACTAACCAGTCACCCATAATTTCCTGCCATTTGTGCCGGGGGCTGGTCAAACGACACGCAGATCTTTAATTCTACAGGGGCCAAACTCCATATCACAAACGATGGGTTGGGTGACCTCTCGCATACGCTGCTTACAGCAATGCACGACTCTTACGACATACTTATGTACAGATTATCGGTTGATTCCATGTGGAAAAGGGTATGGTTACGATGAGGTTACGAATGCAGGCATCACTGTAGGCAATAGTGAAGCCAAACGACCATCTATGCAGTTTCAACAGAATTATTGAACCACATCAGTTGTGAGCTTTCGTAAATAGTTATCTTTCTCTTCCTTATCATATCTACTCAGCGAAGCACTGATAAGACGTTTCGCATCATCCCCCTTTCGCATACTGTTTAATAACTTTAAGCAATCAACGTGCTCGTTTATTTGGCCTATCAGCATTTTACCTGCACGCCTCACATCGATGTTCCCCGCCTTAATCGCATTTATAACCATGTCGAAAATATCAGGAAGCATTTTGTGTTTACCTACGTTAGGTCCCATACTATTCAGCAGAATAAGCATGCAGTTCAGAATGGTTAGTGACGCCGACTTGTTCCTATTCGGTGTGACACTAAATACACAAGAAACGTACGTTTTGTATAGCTTCAGAAGTATGGCGCACGCCTTCGCATCAGAGCTTGAAACGCAAATCTTGGCCAACGCCGAATTAGCCACTGTGCATATAAATTCAGGTGATCCAGAGGACGCTTTGCGCACACAAACATCTAACACATCCGGAAGCGGCTGGTTCAGCATCAATCCCTGCGCCTTATAAAGGTCACCCAGGCATGTTATACCGCTGTGCGACAGATTAGACCTGGAGCTATTGGCATATGTTGCCATTCTGCGGACGGCTGGGACAAGGGACGATGAGTCACAAGCAGAGACAACTTCAGGATATTTGGCAACCATAGCGGATAGTTCACTCTGAATTTTCATTATTTCTTTCCATTTGGACTCATCCAAAGTGAGTATTTTCTCCAGCAATTTCAGGGCTGTTTCAGGCGTTGGTTTAATATCCGCTTTTGTCCGATTTTGTGAGTATAAATTAGCAGCTTTGCGTTTTATCGGGATCCTTGCAGAGCCTCGCTTCAGAGGTGGGGGCCGGGCTTTTGGTTCACTCAAATTAACTTTAGGCTCCTTCCCTGGGAACGAATCTGCAGATGTTGTAGTCGCCACTTGATTTACGTCAGATCCTTTTCTTGATCCGTGCACTCCCCCAGAAATGCTATCTGTTGGCCGCATGACCACTGAGGCGCGGTAGTTGGTGTTGCGGTGCGCAGATGGTGCGACCGCATAAATAGGCTCATCATCCAATACTTCAGTGGTATAGCTCAATTTCGGAGGTGTGTACTCACCTTTATAATCAATTTCCACATGCTCCTCCCCATAAAGATTCCACTTCTTATATTCTGAAGTTTGGTCTTCCGCATGTTCATCGTTTGATTCATACCCTTTATTGAGAGGCACCTTTATCGCATTTTCGGACAATACTGTATTTTTGTATTTGATCGCCTCGTCTGACGCCGAATTCTTCATAGACAAAATTGTCTTAGAAACATCATTCTCGTTTACATTTCCCAGAGTTGGTTCTATTTCCGTAAAAACACTCGGGGCCGCACCGTCCGCAACATAGATGGGAGCCTTTATATTTTCAACCTGGATAACATCTGAATACGAAGCAGTAGAGGCAACTTCTGGCGTATTGAGTATGCGGCGGGTTGCGTTTGCGCTAGGTTTGGATTGTTCGGTAGAGTCACGTATTTTTATAGAAGTGTTGCCACCAGCTTCAGAATTTCCCGACATATCATGGCTACTTGCGGATTTATCCTGCAAGGGTACGTTTTCACGTTCTCTTGCATAAAGCACTCCGGATTCATTGGTATCTACCCGTCCATTGATAGACTTATTCGTTCTGGTCACAGGTATGCTATCCACATCAGAAACCATTACACGCGTAGGTTGTTTGTTTCCAGGATGTTTTTCAACCTCAACCGCACAACTTCCGTCATCAACTACAGTTTTAGCTGTTGGAGAAAAATTGCTAACGCCATTTTGTTTTGCCTCGTTATCTTCCGCAGCGTGTTCCGCACCGATTCCTTTGCTTCTGCGCAGCGTTAAAACAAGGACCATAACACAAAGAGGAAGGAAATGGTTCAACGTCTACAACAGACCTACTGCAATTACACTACATACAGAATGGTATCGGCAACATACAAAGAGTGGAATTCAGGTCTATGATTTAAAGATGTTGAGTATGCGGACGCAACTTTATGAAATTTAACTCTAAAAATGTCTCAAGCAATGCATTGAGTTAGCAACCGGGATATATCTACAACAAATTGCAGCAAAATAACATAAACTAAGATCTCGAGGCCACCAACGTGTCAACGACGTGTTCAGACAGGCTCCAATAAGACTCACGCTTCTATGTCGTTACGCATATCTACAAGCGGGCTTTCGTCCTTCGACGCCTTGGACACTCTAAAGCATAGACACCACTTCATTGTAGCAATCCGGTTTTATAAAAGTATGTGAGATGTGCAGACGTCCCCGCGCGTCTCCGTGTCGCGTCCCTAGTGATCCACATGCTCGAATTCGGGCAGCTCATTAATAACAACATCAAGCTCTTCCTCTGTGTATTCGCGATATTGACGATCATCAATTTTGATGCGCGCCATTTCTATGTTTTTCTTGGTCATCTTATCCTTCATGACTTGACGCAGTACTTCTAGTACCAGCAATTCAGCATCTATTAGGTTTGACAAACACATTCTCAAACACACCTCTAAAGGTCATGTCATCACTATAGCGTTCCTGCAAAATCGTTTCAGCACCCTCCTGTGCGGAGCCTATGGCCGCAGCTCTATACTTTATGCTAGTGCCAGACGGATCGACACACCAAATGGCAGGGCCATCAGCATCAATTCCACCAACAAGCAATGCTACTCCAAACGGTCTACTCATAGTCTTTTTCTTTTTAGAGTCAAAAATGTCTGCAAAATGTTATAAACCATTATCGGTAACTCACCCGAGAATTCCAAAGCTAAGTCTGCTATGGCCTCAACACAAGACCGTACAGCCATTGGCTCATTGTATACAAACGTATGATTCGCACACTCAGATCGAGCGTGGTCAACGAGAGTACGAGCATCCGCAATAAGTCCGCTCATGGTACAGCCGATATGACTATCAATTTCCATTATCTTTTCCAGCGAGACCGATTCCATCAAAGAAGAATTCATGCGATGCTCAGACGCAAATATGATTCCTTCACGTGTTGCGACGGCTAGGGCCGTGCTACCCAGTTTTATGGCCCCTAGGGCGTATTCCACCTGGAATATACGGCCTTCCGGGGAGAAGGTGTTTACACCCCTGTCATATTCGTTCCTAAAAACATTTCATACACATAATTATTGCACAAACCTTGCTGTAAACATCTCCGCAGCTTTGCTAATACTTATTGCCTCTTGCGGCATCTACCCTAGAAACCACTGGGGCTTCGCCGTCAGTGCCTTTCATTTCCCTACTAAAATACACCTTTAGCTGATTCATAACATTAATCGAACCAGAAATGTGCATCTATGTTGCACAATGTGTGAGACATCTCGTCGTTTATGTGACACGATCTCGCCGGTAACCATCACAATGGTGTTTGCTCGATAGAACTCGGCAAAGCGTTGCCTACAGTTGTACACATCGGCTGTGTGCGTAAATCGTAATGAGTTCCTTTTAGTTACTAGAATTAAGTTGTACGCGCTGATCGTATATCGGCTTCAATGCTTTTCACGTGTGACAGCGTACCAACGCCATTTACCGATTTGTCCAATTAGGATGCTAAAAAAATTAACAATACAATATATTTTTATGGTGGTTTCGGCATGGATGAAAAATTGCCATCGCCTATACGTCCGATTCCAATTGAAACATGCATTGATTCGCGTTAGTTAGGCGACGAAGTGTGAATTAGTTTGTCACAAATTATGGCATCCAGCATGGTAACTCTTCTTCCACGTTACACCACCGTCCTGTGAGGGCATCCCACCGCACATGTCTTACCTCATATATAAATTGCTGTTGCTACAACTCAAGACATTGTTTGGCCTACTTGCGTCACCTGAAGATGGACACTCATCCAACTAATGCCGAGCTCCAGAAGATGGGCGAATGGGAGCGTAAGGCTATATGGAGGAATATGCCCAAAATGGAACTCCACTTACACGGAGATATTGCGTGCCCTGTCAACAAACTCATTGAGGCAAGTATGATAGAACATTTTACTAGATTGTGCAGATATATTCCGATTATGCGTCGGGAGACGCCGCATTCACAGAGCAGGATATCCTCCAAAACATCGTGTGCAACTACAAAATCAAGGACTTGGTCGAATTCATCGACAAGACACGCATGATATGCAAGGTTTTTACTGATTTCTCACCATATATACATCCCAGATATTTTCAAACAACCAGAAGATCCTTGAAAGATGTACAACGGAAGCAATACTAGCCAAGCACCGTGAGGGCGTTGTGTAAGTTGCGGCAGGAACGAAAAGCAATGTTACATAGGGGCCTGGAGTTCAGGTTTTCCCCTGCATACATAGCGGAAGGATGCGGGTACAGCTTTGACGAAGTGCTCGACAGCGTTTTCGATGGCATAGAGCAGGCGAAGCAGCGAATTACCACCCCTTTCGAGGTCCGTAAGCTGACATTTCGTCTTTATGTTGTTATAGGTTGGAGCAATTTATATTGGCGAAGTTGGTATCCACGACAAATTTCCTTTTGAAGAATCCGTCGATTACTTCTTGCAACATCGTGAAAAATTTATTGGGTTCGACAACGCTGGTTACCCTGCGCCATTTTCTCCACACGTGGCACAATTTAAACGCCTTGTTGATGCGGGTATAAACTTAACCCTCCATGCGGGTGAGACTCCTCCAGATTGCAACGATCGCTTGGCTACTGCGCTTGACCTCGGCGCCAAGCGTATAGGCCACGGCATTGAGTGCGTGAAATCTCCAGCGATGATGAAGCGGCTAATCGACCAGGATGTGATATTGGAGGTGTGCCCCAAGTCGAATTGGATTACCAACCCCGCCATCAATATGGACGACCACCCAATAAGAAGAATTTACGACGCAGGCGTCAAAATATGTATCAATACCGACGATCCTATGATGATGACCAACAGCCTGCATGGTTAGTTGCCAGTATGAACGCGTGTGACAGTTATGCAGAGGAATACGATCTGCTCTTTACCCATTTAGGTTTCGGTTATGAAGATTTTGTGAAGATGAATACGTGGGCGCTGGAGAAGTCCTTCCTCAGTAGGGAAGCCAAGCTAAAACTCAAGGATACTTACTTCCCCGGCGCCAAGATATAGCAAAGCGTAATGCATGAGGCGATTTAGGCTCTACCACCGTTAATTAAACTGATTTAGCGTGATTTACAGTTGAACGGTATTTCTTTATTTTGCTAAGCTTAATTGCAATCTCAGCAGAGTCCATCCATTCGCTGTTGGTTAACACTCCTCCGGCAGCCGGTGACTTCCTCAAATTTCTATTTCGCATTAAAACGGACATGGGATACGTACTGTAGGTATGATGCTTTACTGTCATTGCTTGTCAAATCTACCCACTTAAACCACGGGATGCGGCGAATATTCCACCCCAGATTTTCAAGAATTCTGAGCGTGCGTTTTGCCCAATAGGTGTTTTCAAACCTGTGTTGTAGCTTAACTTGATTGGTGTAGTGTGTTGTGCCAGTGTAGAAGCAGCATGGCCCATCCACAAACCAACAGTTTTTGCGTTCTTCCACCTCGCCGATGTCGATCCAGTAGCATCCCCAATAAAATGAATTGCGATGAGCGATCCCCAATCTTCCCAATGCATGTGATACGTCCCAGTGGAATGCGGAAGGTTTGTGCAATGGCAGATGGACCTTCCTTGTGCTGCAGAGTGTAAGGTGTGCTATATTATCATACCTTAGGCGTGTATAGAAGTCCCGGATAGTTGTATCAAGTTTTGACCACACATCTGGCATCAGCACTCGCATAGCCACGGCGGTAGTAATACCCTGACGCATGTATTGGGGCCGGGCACATATAAAGGTTCTGAGATGTGTCAATGACATCGTTAATAAGACGATACTTTGAAAATCTTTCCATGATATATTTCTGCGTCCTCTCGTCGTACATGTATATCATTGCAACGGCGTTAATGACATTTCTAAAATCTTGAGCATATACGGTCTGTAGTCGCTCCACCATATTCTCCGAAATGGCCCTTTTGAAGGCAGGATTGCAGACGTCCTTCACATTGGTTACCAGAACGATAAACCACACTCACCAACTGGCCTAATCCATTACATATTTTAATAAGGTCCACCACTCGCAATTCAGATATTCTCTCAACAACCAACGATGACAGCTAAATACTGATATTTTGTACAAGGAATAGATTACCCTCGTTAAGAACCCCGTTTCCCTAATTTGTAGCCGATTAAGTGCCCACACTATAGACATAAGACTGCTGCTGCCTAATTTGTTTAGGATTGGTTCAGTTCTCTTCATTAGTTCGTCATAGAAATGTTTGTTGAGAAATCGGCTCTTTCCGAACCTGAAATGTATTGAGCAACATTATTGGCTCATACCCGTAATACACATATCCCAAGTGTTGCGATGTTAGATGCGGCGAAAGGTCCACGACCCTCTTGGCGAATGAATGCCTGCGGAAAGTAAAATATTGCTCACAATAACCCACCACAATCCGATATCATGTTTCCTAATAACAGCTGCCTTCTGCACTGCGGCAGACAATAACCAACCGTCCATTAGTTCCGTTGGTGCGTGCAGTGATACCTTTATCGGCATCCAAAACTTACGAGTCCTACAATTTAAATACAGGATATAATTGTGAAATAGACAAGCCACCTTTGTTGCGTCCAAGATCGGAAACGTTTATGTACCCTTTTACCATGTTGCCGAACCCTTGCTTCACGTCTAATTGATCGAGTGATGGTATGCTCGCGGGCCCTTAGGATAGCCATTTAACCATTTACCTTCCAACTTCAGTGGGTGTTACACACATGATAATTTATACGCTGCCCTTATCGCTCAATACTGAGGAATGTTGTAAAAACAGTGCGCCGTCCTCAAAGATAATATTGGCCTCAACATCGTCGTCAGATTTTGACACATTAAACCCACTTGATGCCTTTCATCACGTAACATGGATTTACATTTTATACGCTCTGAATTGTGTTAAAGTATGAGGTCGTTATATTTATGACGGAAGGCTCGTGGGACGTGATAAACATCGGGTACAATTCATAAGAATCAAGCCAATCACTATAAAAATGTACAAAACAAGGTCTTAATTTACTAATACTAATACACATTTTAGTGGCCGCGCACATCTGGATAGCGCAGATTTAACTTCCGCAATGACCGATAGGTCGAAGAACGTCAAGCTATTCGGTCCGTCAAGTATGTAAAAGATAAAAATTACTTCAGTTGGTAATTTACCGTACGAGGTGACGGAATCAGAATTGCGAAATCTGCTTCAAGGGTGTGGGAACATACGTTTCCTAATGTAGGTCCGCCGATCTTCACCGGTTTCATGAGATGTTTTAGCATACGAAAAGACAAGCAAACAAACAAGAGCAAAGGATACGCACACGTTGAATATCGTCACGAATGGGAAGCTGTCGAGGCCTTTAAACGTCTTTTAGGGAAGGAGCTGCGGGGTAGGATCCTCAAGGTTGACTTCTGCGAGGACGTTATTCGGAGCCGCTACCCTGACCTGGTCACAGCTGCAACCTCTGCCTTTCAGAATGGTGTAGCCCTTGCCGTATCGCAATCTCCGCCAGTTTTCCCTGACCTTTCTTTTGAAACTTCTACACATGTTAATCAGACACCACTTCTCTATCCGGCTGCTCAACACGCATCCTTCAACAACTCCTCAGTTGACGTTACCGTTCCCAAGGATGAATTTGAACAGAAAAGGGGGAGATGTGACGAAGAAATGCTGATAGATGACCAAGGTCGCATTTGCAATGGAGAGTTGCTGCGCCTTGTCAAGGAAATGAATATGTTTGATATAGCAAAATATGTTGATGAAATCGACCGAATGATGTCAAAATCGCTTATGAATACTCGTTATATCCTCCAAACGAACCCTAGAATGGAGTCGGCTCTCATTCACGCGAAGATGTTACTCGGATGCACCTCTCTAAATCCAACAAGATCAATGAAAAATAGACAGGAATTCGACATAGCACTTGATTACTTTCATTTGAGCTAAGGGTCACATAAATGCGGTTTTGACGAAGAATGGTGTGTTTCATTCGTCTGTTGAGGCGCACTATCGATGTGAGGCATAGCACAAAACGCCGGCTTTGTCATTACACCTACGCTCCCAGTTTTAATCACAATCACGATGACATCAGATTACATCTTGCAAACTTGGAAGCTTACAATTTGGCAAAGGATCGAAAGGCTCAGGTGCTTTGCGTGGCTGCGCTTTGTGACCTCAATGTAGGTATACTTGATGATAGGTTATGTTCCGCCATTGATAATGTTAAATACACGGTTAAAACTAGACCCGTAACATCTGATACATTAATGCAAGTTGTGAGGTGCCTTTATAAGTTTGGTGACATACCGGGCCTTGTGGAGGTCTTGCGTCAATTAACTGCCTATGTAGTATTTATGAACTCTACCGATGTAGTTCGCCTAATTCGCATCTGTGTCGTACACTGTAATGGACATCAAGTGCTACCGTGTTTGATAAAGGCTGTTTCGCAATATGTGAAGTCGGCTTTTCACGCGTTAACGTTGGATGATAAATTGAGTTTTCTATTATCTTGCCGTGATTTTTGCGAGCATCGTGAGATGGTTAGTTTTGCATTGACTTTGTATGTGGAAGATGTCGCTAATCTTGATTCCGGTGATTGGGGGACACTTAAAACAGTATTAACTTCCTTAAGACTTTACAGCAAATTTACGACGCTTGAAAGCGTTGGAGTTATGTCGAAATTAGCAGAGAGGTCACTGGAAAAAGTAATAGAATGCGTTAGCCGACCAGATCTTAGCCCTTCACTGGAACATGGTGATCTCATCGCAAGGGCGTGCTACATGCTAGCTGTAGTATGCAAGAATGACGAATCAGGGGGCAATATAAATGCACTCTTTCAGTCGTTGTGGAGTATTTGCGGAGATGAATATTGGAATATATTTACAATAAGAAGTGTTATGTACATAATACGTTCAATGTTTTTGTTCCGTCTGGGCAATTCGACTATTAAAAGGGGATTCGTGTCGCTTGTCATTGGCAAGGGTACAAGGATATCATTGGCTGACGCCGTTTCATGTTTGAATTGTCTTGATGACCGTGATTTCGTAGAGACGTCCTCTCAGGTATTGAGCCTTATTGATGGTTTCGACCCCAGCAGTTATCCTACGCTTCTTAAATGTTATGCGAGATATGGTGCCAGAGTTTCTACCCATGTATTGGGCCACCTGAGGAGTATGTTTTGTGCCATCAGCAGCCGTATGTCGCCATTGGAGTTTGCCAGATGTTTCAATTATTTGGCCGCAATGGGAGCGGTTGATGGTCCAACCTTGCAAATGGCGGTTACTTATATTTACGAACATTCTATGCATCTTAGACCTAGGGAAGTGAGTCTACTCTTTTATGCTTTCACTAAATCCGGGTTTATTCCCCCTGACAATGTGGTTCAAGTTCTGTACCATATATTGCAAACAAACACTTCCCAACTTGGGTTGGACGATATGATAAGGTGTTATTATTTTATTTCTAAGCACCAGCGTCATTGGTTTGGGATTCCTGAATATTTGTTTGAGGCAATAGAAAAAAAACTAGATGAAGAGCTGCCGATATATCAGTTATGCGCCTTGGCCATTGCGACCACAAGTTACAAAAATAGACGTTTCCAAACACGTCTTTATAACTCCATCTTTGAGTGCTGTAAAAACATGACCATACAGCAATTATGCTTTATTTGCAAAACATTGGCCACAAGTGCATACCGGAATCATGACATGTATGCCAAGTTGTGCCATACGATACGGAGCCACGGTTCGTTAAACAGCCAGGTAACGTTTGATTATCACGCATTTACGTGGTTTTAGGACATAGACAACATCCTAGTGGCGATAAGACGCGGGCATTTGCCGGAATCATTCAATCGATGGATACTGGATGCGTGTTCGCTGACTCCTGCTCAGCGTTTTGTGGTATTTGGAGGCGAAGTTGATGTGGACGAGCTCAACGATTCGGAAGTGCTGCTTTGCATTATGTCTGTTCGTGGCAAATCTCCCAATAGATTCCACAATCATGTCATAAAAAGATTGTGCGCGCGAATATGTAAGATGTCGTCGACCGTAGCCCCTTTCGTCGTTCAAGCTTTAAGGGATACACTACAGGATTATGGGTACCTAAAACCAAAACTAGACAGATTATTGACGGGTCGAATCAAAAATACGTGTCCTAAACACATGGAAAGACATAATAATGATGTGTATCGGCAAGGGGTACCATCTTTGGCCAAAAGCGAGTCTGTGGGCTTCAGGCCAATTGTGTTCCAGCCCCCCCACTTGAATCTGCATGGGTTATGAATGGTTGTGCACAATAGTTCAACACGTTCGATGACTTTCGCTTGAGCAGAACTGATCTCATTTATATTCCATGTTATATGTTTAGTTTTGGTTTGGGTCTGCTTTCAGGCTTTTGAGATTATGCACCGACCGCTTTAGGGGCAGGCCATAAAGCCAATGTGGAGAAAGGCGAACACCGCCGCCGGCATCCTGCAAAACAATGACGCCGAACAGCTATTCAATAACTGGACGGCGATTTTTCATGTTACGGCCGGGAAGAACAGGGGAACGGAGTCGTTGGTACGGTGGGAACACTCTCAGCAAAATGCAGAGTAAATAACAGAAGGCAAAAAGACGTATGTGATACTCGTTCGATGTGTCAAGCTAATATAAAGTGAGGGGGCTTTCTTCACATAACGGGCCTGAGAAATCCGTCAAAACGCTACAGAAGTGGAAGCCGGATGGCAGCGACGGAGTCTACATCGTGTGACTAGCTTCACTCCCCAAAGATCTCTACCGCGCGTTGACGAGACGCGCCTAAATGGCCATTTGCCAAGCTATGGCTTCGCATCCCACACGGCCCAGTTATTGCCCAAGGTCTGCTGGCTGCTCACTAAACAAAATATTTGAATATCTAGTGTGCACAACCCTACCAATGATGTACTCACGGGTCACGGATGCACGCTATGTGCAATGCGTATGTAAGCCGTGAAAGGCTACTACGACATCGGCCACGATAGTCTGTTGAAGGTGGTCCACAAGTTGCACTTCTGTGGACGATCATCCCCATTCATCAGAAGATACAACAGTAGCAGCATCTTGCAGAAACCGCTGATATCTAACAGGGAGATGACGGATTAAAAGATGTGTTGGCCATCAACAGATACGCCATGAGCGTGGTCAGCTTCCGCATCGGTTTCATCCCCGTGGACATCAGATATCTGGGACAAGATTGACCCGGCGGCATCCTTTCAGTAAATTAGATTCCTGGGTATAATACGACAATCACAGTGGTATCCGTATAATGGGTTATCCTTTGGATAGGACTGAGATAGGCAAGAAGCGGATATAAGAACAATTTGCCGAGGACATCAGAGCTCTCAATCAGAACAAGGAACTCAAGGTGGCGCCCCACGCAATGACGCTCAGAGGTATTGTGGCGAAAGAGGATAAGGAACACGGGCGGAATATGGGCGCTCGGGATCGCACGGCATCCCGAGGTTAACGCGTGGTTTTTAAAATACTTGAGTTTATGGTGGGGGAAGGTGAAGCCAAGAGATGACGATGGCTGTCAAAGGCGCTCCTACCCCGACGGGATGGATGCCATCATGTAATAGGCCAAACACGATCGGCAATATGACGGTGTGTAGCCCGCAGTCAAGATCGGCAGTGTGAGGGGAGTGATGTCCTAGTAAACACTAAAAGCGGCCGGTACCATACTTAGCACACAATACAAGTTGAAAACAGAGATTAATCGATCGTTGACAAAATTTTATAGTTTCGAGATTATATTTGAATCATCGACCGTGCCAGACAGAGTTTAAATGCCACTTGTGATTCTAAATATACGACAGTTGACGTCTCCAGAATCTTTTGAAACGCCTTTAGTCATCATTAGGCCCTGTTATCAACTCAAGGCCCGACTTTGTCTGTATAAACTGAACGACATATGGGAATCGATTCCTTATGCATAACACAGACGTTAGACAGGATGGAGTGTAGATTAGGAGTTTACATTTCTTGTTTCTACGTTATCGCATTCGTGATAGCTTCTGGTAAAAAAATATAAGGCTGCCTTTTGCAAATATTTTACAGAATATTCGGAGGTTTCGTCTGCACTTCGTAAATGGGATGGAAAAGAAACCACAAACAATGCGGTTCTAGAAATAGTTACTTTACGCTATGAATATTGTGACCCGTGGTCCGAATGGAGCGTATGCGACAGTAACAATCAACATCTCAGGCTTAGATGGTGTGTATTTAAGAGAAGAAACGCACCTGTCACGGATGCGAACAACCCAACAGGTATATCCAGAGAAACATTGGAACGGCTTAGATTTATAGAAGACAAACCCCGACAGCATTTATCACCAGATGAAGTGGCAGAGCTGTTTTGGCAGCAGGTCAATTGCACTGACGCATCGTTGGCATATGATGGTGTTTCTGGTCAAAAACAATCGGATACAGACCAAGTGCTCCCATTTAATCGTATAAACGTCGGACAACGAACAGACGTAGTGAACGACCAATATACACACATGGATTCTGAAGTGAGTAACATGGTTGGTTACCCAATATTAGGGTCTGAACATAAAATGTTACAAGAAAAGACCGCATTTGACCAGCTGAAGCCACATTGCCAAATGGAACTCAACAAAATGAGCCGTGATATATATACCCGGAGAGAACTTGCTAAGATAGAACGGGAGCAAGCGATTTTGCGTCGTGACGTCTCACGACAGCGTTATGACAATGTATGCGCAGGTGTGCTTTCGGCTTTGGACCCTCACATTCTATCTCAAATTGAGGAAGATAAAAGGTATGCAAAGGTTGAATATGACAGAGCAGAGGACGCTTTGAAACAACAAATATCGAATGCAAGGGTTGCGGACGACAGAGCTCGGGCAAAGATCTCAGCCAACAACACAACTGGCAACGTGAAAATTGACCAATTGCGGCATGACATTTATAAACAAAGACAATATGCCAGGGAAGTACAAGTACGGATGGAATCCCCTCGTGACGTCGCACGACAGCGTTATGACAATGTATGCGCAGGTGTGCTTTCGGCGTTGGACCCTCATATTCTATCTCAAATTGAGGAAGATAAAAGGCGTGCAAAGGTTGAATATGACAGAGCAGAGGAGGCGTTGAAACAACAAATATCGAATGCAAGGTTTGCGGACGATAGAGCAATAGCTGTTTTCAAAGCTGAGTCGGGACGTTGGGCAAAGGAGATAGGGTTGGAGGCCAATGGTGTTAAGGACACATCACAGAGAGACAGAAGCGCTGAAGAGCAACTTGATAACAATGTTCAGAACGTCAAAGAACGAATACAAAGTGCTGATCTAACTCCTCCCGACAAACGTGAAGTGCTGGAAGAGGGTAGGTACCATACATCCAATAGTGACCATAAACCTCACAATAACTTTAAGGAAGCGACATCAATTAGTAAGAAACAAGATCAAGACATATATGGCAACTTACATGCAGAATCACGCTCGGCAGAATCCAATGAGTCACTGGTGAATGATGGATCCACCATAAGTCATAAGAACAAGTCCAATGATCACTTGGCAAAGCCAAACCTGACGGGCCCCACATCTGGTAATCAGTCAAATAGAGTTGATGTATCTACGACGAATAACGGTGTCCATGAAAAGACCGACGAATATGAACCCTTATCAGACGCTACAGATCACACATCGAAGACCGTGTTGAATCCGGGTCTGTGGAAGATGCATGCTCGGGGAACTGAAAAGAGACGAATCGCACCAACATCTAGGTACAATGCGGTTTCTTCGAAAAGTGATATTCAGGGTGAATCAAAGCATGGCGTCAATGCCGAAGCCCAGGTAATCAACAGCGGCGTCAACGAGGCTACCCATTTCGACGTTACAAAACATCTATGGATTGCAGTAGATGAAATGGATACAAATAGATATGTTAAGGATTTGGAGCATGCCATTGCAATCACTAATGGTAAGAGAATAGGAACAATCCAACCGCTGCATGAAAAGCGACACCATCGGCCACTAACTGGGACTGCACAAACCGGATTGGAGACACTTATAAAAGAAAGCAAAAACATACAAGTGCCACAACCTTCGGTGGAAGTAGGAGGTGATAATTCCTACAAAAGCCTTAATCATGCAAGCTCACAAGACGGAAAGGGCCTTAAAGAGTGGACGTGGACGTCCATGCCTTTAGAGTTAGACGAGTTAAAGGGCTCAACGAACCCGAATCATAACGGGACACATAGAGTCGCAGTCAAAGTAATGCGAAGAACCTCAGGAACCGCGGACGAAGGTATAAACATACCAACGAAGTCATCACCAGCAACATCAGAAGAACCAACCCCCAAAAAGCGTAATCCGCAAACAATAAAGACGGCCGGAGCTGGATTCGCTGCATTACTAATACTCACAGCCGGCTCCGCTGCGTACTACAAGAAGAAACGGTGGGTATTCGTTATGCTATAAATCGCAGACTATGCAGGGCATCATCGTCATCCTTAACGGAAGAGGTCGGTTTTGACATTTACGAGGGCGGGAATGCAACCAATGTGGAGACAGCAGTACATATAGGCGACGACAGTTGGGCTGAAACGATGAATAACTCGAGTCGGGATTCGATTCATTCTAGCCTTGCACGCGAGTAACATCGCCAGCCTTTTATGATGTGTAACATAAGTGTGCTCAATACAATGCTGGTGCGTCGACTTGGTGCGTATTTTGTAATCGCCCCTCTTTTACACATGTCATCACATTCTGCCTTTTCATTATAACCTTTAACAATTTAACATTAAAAGCATTCTGCATCAACATCACGACGAAATAAACCGAGGACCATTTATGCTATTCCATGCCGCTCGACATCGCAGGTTTGCAACAATGTGCACCTTCGGTGCCGTCATAGCGCTGCACTGTGATGTCGCCTTTAGAATCCACAGAAAATTGAAGGTCGTAATCACCGGTTTAATTTGAACACCTTAAAAACGTTAAAAAAGCAAATTGGTGATTCACATTTTGAGGCTAAGGATATGCAACGCTTCGAATTTGGTGAATCACAGCGTCGTCGTATTAAGTCTCACTGATACGCTTTTTTTGCGAACAGCGCCTGGATATTGGATACATGAATGATTTTTCATTATACTGCGCGGTGTGTACTTGATGTTTGCCGATTACTGCCTTCCGTCGAAAACGACATCGATGCAGTTATAGGCCGAGGATTATTATTTGTTGAACATTTTGATGTTTACGCATGAAAAATTCATCACGAAAAATAGCCGAGATATATCTATAGAAGGATCCTGTTGTATACGTCAAAAATAAATTTTCATTATAAAGATGATGAGGGCCTTTGGTCTTCGTGTTCTCCGTAATGCCCGAGGTTTCTCCGTGCTGGCGCTGATTCAACTTCTGCTTGGTAGGTTTATGATACTCTGAAAGTTATATTTTAATGTGTAATGATTTTGATGCCTACACACTAAACTGTGGTATGATGAGATGTTACATACCGTGCTTTTTAATGTGTAAGAATCTGACACATAAAGTTTGATATATTTTCAGCTAACACCGCAAGTGGATATCATGCTGGATCTTCTGCCCAACGTAACCTATATAAAAATGATTCTTGGTCGATGCAGCATGCTACTCCGTCCTTCTTGGCGTTAGGCTCGAGGGCTTCTTCGAGGAGTCACACACCTGTTTTCCTTGAAGACACTGATACCCCCTTTAGCACGCTATCTCTACAGCCATCGTCGGTAAACGTGCAAAGTATTTTATCAAGGTATAACCGGCAGGCTTTGGAGGAACTAAAGGCGCAACCCACCGATCAGTGTTCTGAGTGGGAACCGTTAACAAACTGTTCGACGAAGCAAGCATTACACTGCATGAAGCCATTCGATACAAGCATTACGATGCTATGTTTTAATGACACGTGCGGTACATGGTCGCCGTGGACAATATGCAACAACAAATTGCAGTATCGGTTCCGTCCAGAATGTGCTGGTGACAGCATTCAGTACAGGGAATGTGGTGCTAAGAATTTCACTATTGCAAAACAGGAAGAGGCCGCGCGTCTAGCTCGTGAGAAAGCGGAGCGTGAGGAGCGTGAAAGGAAAGAGGCTGAGCGTCTTGCCCGTGAGAAAGCGGAGCGTGAAGAGCGTGAAAGGAAAGAGGCTGAGCGTCTTGCCCGTGAGAAAGCGGAGCGTGAGGAGCGTGAAAGGAAAGAGGCTGAACGTCTAGCACGTGAGAAAGCGGAGCGTGAGGCTGCTGAGGCTCGCCGTTTGGCAAGGGAGAAGGCTGAACGTGAAGAGCGTGAAAGGAAAGAGGCTGAGCGTCTTGCCCGTGAGAAAGCGGAGCGTGAGGAGCGTGAAAGGAAAGAGGCTGAACGTCTAGCACGTGAGAAAGCGGAGCGTGAGGCTGCTGAGGCTCGCCGTTTGGCAAGGGAGAAAGCGGAGCGTGAAGAGCGTGAAAGGAAAGAAGCTGAACGTCTAGCACGTGAGAAAGCGGAGCGTGAGGCTGCTGAGGCTCGCCGTTTGGCAAGGGAGAAGGCTGAACGTGAAGAGCGTGAAAGGAAAGAGGCTGAGCGTCTTGCCCGTGAGAAAGCGGAGCGTGAGGAGCGTGAAAGGAAAGAGGCTGAACGTCTTGCCCGTGAGAAAGCGGAGCGTGAGGAGCGTGAAAGGAAAGAGGCTGAACGTCTAGCACGTGAGAAAGCGGAGCGTGAGGAGCGTGAAAGGAAAGAGGCTGAACGTCTAGCACGTGAGAAAGCGGAGCGTGAGGCTGCTGAGGCTCGCCGTTTGGCAAGGGAGAAGGCTGAACGTGAAGAGCGTGAAAGGAAAGAGGCTGAGCGTCTTGCCCGTGAGAAAGCGGAGCGTGAGGAGCGTGAAAGGAAAGAGGCTGAACGTCTAGCACGTGAGAAAAGCGTGAGGCTGAGGCTCGCCGTTTCAAGGGAGAAAGCGGAGCGTGAAGAGCGTGAAAGGAAAGAAGCTGAACGTCTAGCACGTGAGAAAGCGGAGCGTGAGGCTGCTGAGGCTCGCCGTTTGGCAAGGGAGAAAGCGGAGCGTGAGGAGCGTGAAAGGAAAGAGGCTGAACGTCTAGCACGTGAGAAAGCGGAGCGTGAGGCTGCTGAGGCTCGCCGTTGGCAAGGAGAAAGCGTGAGGAGCGTGGGAAAGAGGCTGAACGTCTAGCACGTGAGAAAGCGGAGCGTGAGGCTGCTGAGGCTCGCCGTTTGGCAAGGGAGAAAGCGGAGCGTGAAGAGCGTGAAAGGAAAGAAGCTGAACGTCTAGCACGTGAGAAAGCGGAGCGTGAGGCTGCTGAGGCTCGCCGTTTGGCAAGGGAGAAAGCGGAGCGTGAGGAGCGTGAAAGGAAAGAGGCTGAACGTCTAGCACGTGAGAAAGCGGAGCGTGAGGCTGCTGAGGCTCGCCGTTTGGCAAGGGAGAAGGCTGAACGTGAAGAGCGTGAAAGGAAAGAGGCTGAGCGTCTTGCCCGTGAGAAAGCGGAGCGTGAGGAGCGTGAAAGGAAAGAGGCTGAACGTCTAGCACGTGAGAAAGCGGAGCGTGAAGAGCGTGAAAGGAAAGAGGCTGAACGTCTAGCCCAGGAGCAGGCTGAACGTGAGGCCCGCGAAAAGGAGGAAGCTGAACGTCTAGCCAAGGAGCAGGCTGAACGTGAGGCCCGCGAAAAGGAGGAAGCTGAACGTCTAGCCCAGGAGCAGGCTGAACGTGAAGCTCGTGAAAAGGAGGAAGCTGAACGTCTAGCCCAGGAGCAGGCTGAACGTGAAGCTCGTGAAAAGGAGGAAGCTGAACGTCTTGCCCAGGAGCAGGCTGAACGTGAGGCCCGCGAAAAGGAGGAAGCTGAACGTCTAGCCCAGGAGCAGGCTGAACGTGAAGCTCGTGAAAAGGAGGAAGCTGAGCGTCTTGCCCGTGAGAACGCGGAGCGTGAGGCAGCGGAGGCTCGTCGTCTTGCCCAGGAGCAGGCTGAACGTGAGGCCCGCGAAAAGGAGGAAGCTGAACGTCTTGCCCAGGAGCAGGCTGAACGTGAGGCCCGCGAAAAGGAGGAAGCTGAACGTCTAGCCCAGGAGCAGGCTGAACGTGAAGCTCGTGAAAAGGAGGAAGCTGAGCGTCTTGCCCGTGAGAACGCGGAGCGTGAGGCAGCGGAGGCTCGTCGTCTTGCCCAGGAGCAGGCTGAACGTGAGGCCCGCGAAAAGGAGGAAGCTGAACGTCTTGCCCAGGAGCAGGCTGAACGTGAGGCCCGCGAAAAGGAGGAAGCTGAACGTCTAGCCCAGGAGCAGGCTGAACGTGAAGCTCGTGAAAAGGAGGAAGCTGAGCGTCTTGCCCGTGAGAACGCGGAGCGTGAGGCAGCGGAGGCTCGTCGTCTTGCCCAGGAGCAGGCTGAACGTGAGGCCCGCGAAAAGGAGGAAGCTGAACGTCTTGCCCAGGAGCAGGCTGAACGTGAGGCCCGCGAAAAGGAGGAAGCTGAACGTCTAGCCCAGGAGCAGGCTGAACGTGAAGCTCGTGAAAAGGAGGAAGCTGAGCGTCTTGCCCGTGAGAACGCGGAGCGTGAAGCTCGTGAAAAGGAGGAAGCTGAGCGTCTTGCCCGTGAGAACGCGGAGCGTGAGGCGCTTGTAAAGGAAGAGCCAAGGAGCCTCTCTCCCGAGGAAGGAAGTGCCACGCCCTACACTATGGTTAGAGACTTGCGCGACGAAGGCTCTCTTGAGAATGAAGAACAGGGTGAATATGAGGAAAAGCATTCTGAATATGAAGAGAAACAGGATGAGAATACTTCGAAGTATTCTACTAGATCTATGGTTAAACATGCATCCGTCGGTTTAGCCGCTGTTGTTTCCGCCGTTGTGGGTTCTTATGTTTACAGCAAGGGGCCATCCGCTGCGTCCGGTTTGGTCAGTGGTGTTGCTGAGCAGGGTTTCGACGACGGAGCGTACGGAGCCCGCAAGGAAGATGATATCGAAACGAAAATACAGCTGGAAGAGAATTTCTGGGCGGAAGGTGATGACTCTTAGGGTCATTATTGTTCAGCAACTATACGAAACGTTTCTTAATAAATCGCAAACGAGCCATAGTGCTCGTGCGCAAGAATACTCAACTCACGTCACATTCAAATGTAGTATACGCAGAGCTAATACGCTATTTTTGGACTTAGATGTCCTTAGTTTCCCCGCATTACCGTCGTGTTGTGTACTCTGTAACATGAAGGCCATGACCACCATCGGTAATTATGTTGATAGTCATTTTTGGAAATAAATTGCCGCTAAAAGGGGCCTTGCGGTTTTGTACACAGCTGTCGCTACTTGCCTCTCATTTTTGTTCACATCCGAGTCTCAGTTACACGATGGTTCGTTCATCACAACATTTTGTAAATCCGACAATGAGTATTAATATCCACGGGCCGCTTAATTTACCGCGTATAAAGGTGGCAATGGGTATAGTTAAATGATATGATGAATATGCACATCAGCAATGGTTATTGCAATGTCTTGCGCGCCGAAAATGTCCCAGTCTCAATTGTGTTCTGATTGGTCTCACTGGGCGGACCTTTCCAGCGTGATAAACGATTTTGCAATCGCCTACGATGATCTGCCATCAGTGCCGGATGGTGTAGTTGAACTTCATGACTGTAGGCTTCTGAATCTTGATCCGATGTCAGGTAAATGCTCTCAACGCAGTGATATTAAACGCAGAAAAACTACCAACAAGAACCACTACCCGTGTATCTGTGGCATTGGCCGGAGGCATGGTTTGCTCCGTCGGTCTTGCCGCGTCGGTGATCGCCACGTACTTTTACACTCGAACATCGTAGGAATTACCCGAATGACGGTTTATTTGGAATCTGAGCACAGCTGCGTGGAACCGTCCGGTTTTGGGAGAGCTTTCCCAGTAAAATAGTAGTTGGTGTGGAATAAATAGCCGAAGGTAAATACAGCCTATTATTTGTTACAGTTAGTAGCTTGAAGCCAACTCACCTGGAAAACAAATACTAAGAAGACGAATGTCTTGCGTAGTGGTGATGAAAACCCTGTCGCCGCGTGGTTCGTCGTATAATAGTTTTCAATGTAGGATCCGAACGACCGTCTGGTAAAGGCACCTCCAACCACCGCATTGGACCTGCGTAACACAGAAGGTTGTTGAACTACGGAGGAGCACATTCTAATAGCAGCATGTTGATTATGTCTGCCCCTTGCCAGGACCGCAAGTGGGACCGAAAGTCTCAGAGGCATATTTACTTTGATTTTAAATAATACCCACTGCGAGATATAACCTTCGTATAAAAAAGCAATGTAATAAATATATGACACACAATATTGGGCGTAGTAAACAGTGGTTACTGACGCCGCGGAATGTATATAGTGCGCCTACGGCGACACTTGGCTTACACCGGGCGCTTCGCGCAACAATGTCCAACAACTGGCATTCTGGATGACTCGTAACGCGGAAACGATTTGATCGTTATTAGATTGACTAGAAAAGTGACGTGTAACGATGCTCGTTGACGAACACATTGCCGCTGTGCATCCATGGGAGGAGTACATGTTACGTATATGTGACAGTGTCTACAGGAACATTATCATCTTTTAGATCATAAGGTAGAAATAAATCTTTACAACACCTCGGGTGTGTGCGATACCGTATGGTTTACAAGCTGCTGCAGAGGAATACCGCAACATCAGGATGCTGTGTTTTGCCTGGCTGCAAAATATCGACGTGTGCCACATGCTATACAACCACAAAATAAATACGACATGTTTGCGATGTCGCATATGCTTTCATAATAACATAACAATTAGCCATAACAGCATGGTAATAACCGTTGCACAAACCGATAAGAGCGGGTATGGTTACATACTGGTAAGCGACACGCTTGGTGACGGTTTTTTTACTACTGCAGCCGGCAGTGATACACCTACGTCGGCCTTTACTGTCCGGTTTGTGGTGTGGAGGTTGTGACGCGCGGCCTGCGGTGTCATGGGTGCGATATAGAGCCACGCTTTTAGCAAATCCGGATTATTATGACCTTATAAATCCATTGTTATGCTGTTATCTATATTATCGCATCGATTCTCACCTACAAGTTGAATATCGCAACCTCATTATCGCAATGTCCAATGCTTCATATCGGGGCCGCGGTGGCAAACGGGCAGGGAATCGTACTCAGGATGGTAATCTTTACTCGGAAGTCGCAAAGGGCGACCATAAGAGCCCTCCGGCTTCTGGCGGAGTGTTGGTTGTAGGTTCTGCGTCGAACGGAACGGTGCCGTCTCAGTCGGCCAATAATGGTCGAAAGCAACAACAAGTGCATCATAACTCGGAGAATGAAGGTGCGAAGCATTCGACTAAGAAGCACCGAGTTTTGAGCGAGCACGAGTTGGCTAACTTCCGCACTTCTTTTTGTACAAATCATCACCAGAACAAATGTCCCAACAGCGACTCTTGCGAGAAAAGTCACTGTCTCACGTGGCAGCGGCGAAATCCTTATGAAATATCGTACTCGCCGCAGTTGTGCCCTGAGATCCAGTTCGTTAAAAAATCGCGCAAAATGGTTTTGTACCGGAGGTGCACTCGTGGGAAGAACTGCAACTTTGCTCACTCCAAAGAAGAGGAGCTGTACCATCCTCTAGTGTACAAGACAAAGCAATGTTCTGCGTATCCCAAATGCTCGCGATATTTTTGCCCGTTTGTCCATGCGTCATCGGAGATGCGAGACGTGAGTGAACTGAAAACGGCAGGTTTGGTTATGCCGAATGGTTCCTCTGATACTGAGGATAAGAATGTACAAGTCAGTTCTCCTTCTCAGGAGGCTGAACCCGAGGTGACAAAAGATCATGAAGAAGGATCGGAGGCCCCTAAAGTGGGTGATGATGTTGCTGCAGGGTTGTGGTATGAGCCTCCCAGTCTGTCGGCAATATGTGGATATGATGATGTTACATTTAAAAACCTATATGGATACGGGTGCGCTGGATTTGCGCAAGTGCCCACAGACGATTATGCAGCAGATTTTGATATCCAGAATTGTGTTGCATGGCAGACGCTCTCACCAGGCAATCAGTTTGACGCCCCATTAATGGAGCAATTCGTTGATCCAACTAGGTAAGTTTGTATTTACAGCCGCGCGACACATAAGCAGGTACGCTGGTGGTGATTTTGATACCTTGGGTGGGGTAACTCAGTTCGGCGAAGGTTTGGGGGCACAGTTCGTACATTTTGTGGGCGGTGAACTAGAAGATCAGTTTGGAGCGCTGTCACTACGTAAAGTTCCCGAGGACCCGCTGGAGAGCTACCCACTGAATGATGTGTTGGTGAAGTTTATGAACGACATAGGCGATAAGTAAGATCGCTAAAATCTGGCGGTATGCATAGTAAATATAATCGTACTTATGCCGGCTGCTGGGACCGCGAGAGGATTGAAGCAGCGATCAGTAGCAGGCAGGCGGAGTTGGATGGTGACGCTCCGAAGACGGCCTCACGCGTCCAGTATTTAAAAAGAAAAATAGCAAAATTAAAGCGTGCTCTGGAGGACGGTACTCCAATAGGAGGAAATATTCTCCCTCAGAAGCGCCCCAAATCAGGGAATCCGTCGCCTATCGAGCGACCGTCTACATTGTCGACGGCAAACAAAAGCGTGAATCGAACAAGGGGGCAGAAGAGAACCAAAAAGATTTGCTTTAAGTGTTAGTGACGCGACAGTAGTTCCATATATTGTAGGCCGCAAGCGTGGACACACACTGCTGGATTGCGATGAGGGTTCCGCCGGCATTTGTTTTCGATGTGGTTCTACGGATCACATTCTTTGTGATTGTGTGAAACCTGACGAGGTATGTGAGCTGTTGCTATTGTACAGATATTACAGGGTACGCTCCGGTTTGCTTCCTGCTTCGTGTGTAAGGATACGGGGCACATTGCTTCGCAGTGCCCCCAAAACAGCAAAGGCATATATCCCAATGGAGGCGCGTGCTTTTTTTGTGGTTCTGTGAGTCATCGGAAGGCCGAATGCGCTGAAAGGAAGAAGAAGGCAGCGGCGTGATGTTGCCCTCTAGTTTTCCTGACAACCGAATATGCCTTTATTCACACTTTCCTAGCATGTCACAGGAGTATCAATGCTGTTAGATGTATAAGTGTGTCTTGTGTCATGTTCCTGCTATCCACTTGTGGACAACTCCAGTCTTGTGTCGCGGCCGTACACACACCTAAGTGAAGTGTGTCAGTGTACTGCGGCATAGGACGGCAGAATCTTCCATATACATACACGAAGATGTACGAAAAATGAGTGGACTGAAGAGTCCAATCGGCCGTTTATTACCAATATGCGTATGTTTTGTTCGCCAGAATTCGTCATTTCATCCGTAGTTCATTTGTCTAGTCTTCTTCGTTGTTTACACGATTTACGTGGAGGTGGGTAAAGGCGGCTGAGTAAATGAACATCGCTAGTTCGTATGTGTACCCTTTTTCCAACTGGACGTGGACGCGCAATACCGCCTTTTCAATAAGCAAAAAGAGGGATATCGGCAACTGCTAAACTGTAAGTTCGTTAAAGATACACACATAGGTTGCAGTTCACGTACTAGTATTCTTACTTGTGTGGTCTTTCATTATGACCACGGTCACTGACCCCGGCTACATACCTGGTGTGTAATTTCTTACGCAGTCGATTTTACACTCGTCAGACACATGGAAACTAGATGAGACTTCTATATACAGCTGCAAGGAACGCAAAGAAAATGGTACTCCTTCGTCACAACATAGTTGACCTGCTGCAGGCGAATTTAGGTACTGTCAGTACGAGGGTTGCTACAAACCGGACCGAGCGCACTACTGCCGTCAACTCAGGCGAAATGTGCTGAAAATGGATCACTATTGTCCCTGGGTAGGCGTATAACGACTGTTTATTATCGTTCGAAGGTTGCTAATTGCATAGGATTCTACAACTACAAATTCTTTTTTTTGACACTGTTGTATTCCAATACAACGTGCTGCTACATACTGAGGAACGTCTACAACGAGTTCATTACGTTGTACTTCGATCCGAACGCGTCGTTCAATCAGCTGTTTTACCTCTCGCTGATTACGATTCTGATGCTCGTAATAATTGCGTACGTTACTCTCCCTTTGCGTATCGCTTCATGCCCCATGCAGGGTATTGCTACCGTTCATGTGCTTTCATATCTGGTAATGCAGCAGTTTCGCAATTACACAAAATGGCAGGCTCATATTGAATAACAAGACTACAATAGAATTCTGCGAATTTAAGGCCTCGGGCACGTACAACTATAACCTCGGAACGCTGGAAAACTGCAAAAGCATTTTTGTAGGCAAAACGGTCACTTTCTTCCAACCTTTTCAGGGGTCCAACGTATTATACTGGTTTCTACCCTGCGGTTACCCAGCTGGTGACGGGCTACATTTCCCGGGTAAATGGTTTGTTGTCTTTCATTTATTAGCGTGCAGACGGAATCAAATATTGTATCCTGATCGCAATCTAACAATCATGAGCGATGCTAGTACAGTTGCTGCGTCGGAGGACGATAAAAAATGCATTCCAATTGACCTGACTAAAGAAGATCAAAACACCATTGAGTCACAATATGTACATGACCTTTACGAAGAGATTGCGCCACATTTTTCCCACACCAGGTACTGTGGTTCTTACATCCTCAGCGGCATTATTTGCCCAGGTATAATCCATGGCCTGGAGTGCTGAAGTACATAACCGCGGCGAAGTCGTACTCAACGGTGTTGGACGTCGGCTGCGGCAATGGAAAATATCTTCAGTTCCGCAGCGATGTGCTATTCATCGGTGTAGATCGGTGTAATGGCTTACTGAAGCTTGCGTATGATTCTAAATGCGCAAACGTCATTCGTTGTGATTGCTTAAATTTGCCCTTCCCTGCGGAAGTGGCTGATCTCACGCTATCGATTGCAGTCATCCACCACCTACCATCGGCGGATCAGCGGCGCGCTGCAGTCACAGAGATGCTGCGGTGCACAAAGCCTGGGGGGAGACTAGTGGTTTACGTGTGGTAGGTGTTCCTCTTTTCAACGGTTATTGACGCCAGGGCGCGTGAGCAACAGAAACTTACCATCGGTTATCGCAATTTCGAGTGTAGTGATATTTTGGTGCCCTGGCATTTACAAAAAAAGTACCTCAAGGGCAGTCCCGTAGATGGGGAATCTGCAAAACCTTCGGGCAGAGCGACAGTTTATCGGTTTTATCACGTATTCACGCGTGAAGAAGTTGAGGAGCTGGGAGCGTCGTTCAATAACGTGGCCAATGTGGAGTCGATCGAATTTGAAGCCAACAACTGGATATTAACGTTAATGAAAATTTGATTGGGCCCTGTGCGTTCGGCCACGCTTAACCCTAGAGTGCGCTTAGGTAGTGTAAACTTTTTAGCATGGTCCTTGTAAATGCACACGGGAAGGCAGACGCCTAGAAATGATTATTTGTACGACTCATACTGCGTTCTTTGTCTTCTATACATTTGATCCTTGTTGACAGGGCTATCACTTGTCCGTGGCTACCAGGGTTATGCTGACGTGCGACAACATAGACAATAACCCAGGATCGAACCCGGTTAAGCATAGTTCAACAAGAGATTCCAGGAGCGAAATACCGACGGAAAGAATAACGTCACATGTACGATATCTAAACAAGCTTCAACATATTATGTGGATTAATACATGGCAGCCAATGTAAGCGTGCAATCTGCTTCACGGCCTTATTTCCACTTAACGATTCAATCGGACATCAAATAAACACGCGATATTTGAGGTTTATACGTAGTTGGTTGTATTACGAGAGTGTGCTACTTTCTGCCCCGTGTCTTGCCCCGGCCGCTGCCTTTTTTCCCTTTATTCCCTTTCACTCCTTTGGCTGCTTTGCCTCCCGAACTTCGCCTAACTTTCGGATTTCGAAGCATTTGCTTTTTCGAAGGCTTGTTGACGGTCTTCTCGTTGCGTTGCCGAAGCCGTTTTTGCGACTTCGTCGAGGCACCAGCAGACTTACTTTTGCGTTCATCCTTAGAGTGATTGTCGATCAGACGATCAATTTGCTTCTCAATTGCCCCATTATTTTTGCCATTCCTGATGAGATTATCTACATCTTTGACGAACTTGTTCTTCATCTGCCGTTGCTTCACCTGTTTATCAAAAACCTTCTTCACCTTCATGCTCTGCCTTCGTTTCTTCTCCTGGATCACGTTCGAACGATTAGCGAGTTTTTTCACTACTCGTGCCATCTGAACATCGGTTTTTACCATGTCAGCATAAAAATCAGATGGACGATTAAAACCGATTCCCATTTTGGCGAGGCGTTGCAATCCGCGCCTTGCACAGTCAGAAGCGATAAGTTTAAAATGTTCCTCTAGCTTCAATATTTCATTTCGGTTTAATTCATCGCTGCATTTTTGCTCAGAGGTGATGTCCAGCGTTTCTACCCAAGGTAAGGCTTTTCCATCCCTTCCCTCGGAGATCTCCTCAATCTTGTCCAAAACGTCTGCACAGCGTTGCAATAATGATACGAAACACTACCTGTTTCCTTATATGTGTGGGAGGCTTCATTAGATGTATCGTCTCCCGAGGAGTCCTCGCCGGCATCGACCAAGTCGTTGCTGTCTAAGGGTTTGTGTCGGAAGCAAAGATTCTGACAAACCTATGAAGCGCTCTCCTGGTTTCAAGACGTATCCTAACGCCTTTATTTGCAACGGCATTTTGCGATATTAAATCAAGGTGTGACGCGGAGGAATCGTGGGCAAACAGGGTGTTGGTGGCTCGAAGCATCATTTTCCATTAGCAATGAAGAAAGGTACGGGAAAAAAAAGCAGGAAGTCAGGGAAGGACGAATTACGGGTGGAGCCCGAAGCAAAAAAGCAGGTGCTTTTCATGCTTTCCTCCAGCCATTCTGCTGAAACCAAGCAGCTTTTGAAAGATCTCTTCCAGTTGTGCAAGCCCAGCGGAATTTTCAGGGAGAACTACCACAACGATGTAGATTGTGAAGATAATGTGAAGATACAAATAAACCAGTATAACCATCGCATCGCAGCAATGATTAGCAACCGGATGGAATGTGGACTCTACGTGGTTGCCAGCTCTAATAAAAAGAGGCCTATGGGCGTAGGCCTGGGTAGGATTTACGATGGTAAGCTGTTGGATTGCTGTCAGCTGCGAGTTACGAAGTATGTGCCCTTCGATTTCTTCAGAGGTCCGAATGGTGGGTGGTAATGTATGATCGATCGTTCTTGGTTGCTGTCACGTGGAATCCGTGCTGACAGCGCCGGGTTCTTTAACGTATTTGTACATAGGATCAAACTTATTTATGACGATTGCCGTTGTGCTGGTCTGTGGTTAGCTATACTCGATTGCGTTACGATCCCCAGTTGTTTTAATGTCCAGGGTATACACTTTACATACGGTTCACGTGTCGATTACCGCGTTGCTTACACTGTACCATTGGCGTATTATGATATGTTGACATGTGAGCAACTATGTATCATATTATGTAGACCTTGAAATCTCGCACTACTCCTACCCACTCGTCTTGGCACAGGGCGCCCATTTCGGTGAGGAGAATGGCCCAATGCGCACAGCACGTGATATATTGCTGGACGTATTCAGACCTCCTGCAACCGGTAGGGTGTCTCTGGAAAGCATACAGCAGGTTATCGTACTTACCAGTGTGGACGCAGGAGCAACCAGCACGGCAGACGTGCCCAAGCAGATTCTATTTCGGCGCTATCAAATATTATTCCACAAGTCAGATGATGATCCAAAGATTCCGAGAGTAGACATGAAGGAGATAGGTCCGCGAATAGACTTCGAATTGGTGGATTGCATGGAAGCTGACCCTGAAATATTCAAACACGCCACAGCCATCGCGCGAAAGCCTAAGAAGTTTGTCTCTGGCGTGGACACTGAGACGTCGGCCACCGTCAAACGACGGAAGAATGTAACTACCACACCGCTTGGCCACACCGAGGGGCGCGTCTACCTCGATAGGCAATCATTAGATAAACTCTACACGCCACACACTAAAACACTGAAATCTAAAAGGCGTGGATAATTTGAAACATGGTTAACGTAGTATACTGGGAAAAGCAGGATCCGCAATCAAAGCTATGTGCCTTGCATTGTCTGAACTCCTTTCTCCAGGTGGTTACACATCGCACATAACTCATCAGCTGCAGGGGCCAAAGGTCACAAATGACGAATTATTAAACATTTCCAGTATGCTGGGTAGGACTGAAAGCGCTCTGCTGAAATCTTGGGGTTGTTGATGGTTTCCGGAATACCATACGTCGTAGGCAACCGTTCTAGCAATGTGGAAGCTTCAGGCTACCATTATGACTCAGATGGGGGAGATTTCGATGTAACGGTGAGTGAATCATCTGCTATTTCGACAGCTGTCAGGTCCTGATAGAGGCATTACGGATGCGCAACTTCATCTGCAACTACTACACGGTTAATGACATGAAGCTCAGCATGTTTCAAAAGTGGGTAATGTGCCTTCTGACATAATTTCAGTACAGGAGCGAGAAGTGCGGATTCATTTGCAACGTACACAATCATTGGTTTTGCATAAGGATGCTATTAGCTGATCAATGGTATTCTGCACTAATGCCGCTGCCACATTTCCCAGGTTTATACTGGACAGTTTACAACCTGGACCACGTGAAGTAGAATATGGAGAACTATACTCCTATATAAGTCAACTCCTGAATACGAAGGCTGGCGCAGTAATCTTGGTTTACTCGGCATCACCGAGCATCAAGCTCCCGGTAGCGGAACCCAATAAATTTCCACACCTACAAGCTCACCAATTTTTCTTAACGCCAGAAAAAATAAAAGGTATGTTGTACGTGTCATGCATCATCACGAATCTGCAGAAATGAATGATAAAGAAAATGACAACGATGTAATTGGCTTCTACGTTATAAACTAACTTTGGCGCAGGAAGATAATCGAAGCTTTCTTTACCGAGCCGGAGAAACGAAACAGAAACCGATGGCTTGGCCAACGACGGGGGGTATACGTCTGGACCAATCGGCTCCAACAAATGTCAAAGTTGTTCCGGTGAAGGTAGGTCACAATTCTACATGCAGCATAAGTGCCCATATTCATATGCGCCATATTGAATACATACGTCAAGGTTGTTCATATGGCGTGCCACTACGGAACATGTGTCTACCGTATCGACTAGATACACGTTGTGCATACCATCTGGGTTCCTACACACCCCCGCAACAGAAACCTGTTTGTGCAATTTTAGTTGGATGTCGTGCGCTTACGCGGACTGGAATATTTTAGTATGCTGACAAAGTGATTTTTGCATCTTTGCGTATATCGGTCTGCAGGACGACGAGGATTACAAGGAAGCCGATTCCCTAACTGTTGCAGTCAAGATAAATGGTACCACCCGAATCACGCGTCGCTTCGACCCCAAATGCGGTGTCAACGAAGTGTTCAAGTGGGTGGAAAAGCATCTAGAAAATTCTGAAGCTGCTTTCTACACATTGCTGCAAACCGTACCAAATAGGCGGTTCGTGAAGTACGCCAACGGGAGCATCGAGATCATAAAGCAAAACGACCCTCCCATGGATATAGGTAACGCATCTTTAGCCGAAGCTGGCTTCGAATCGCATGAGATGTTCATGTTCCGCTGTGATTAGACATGTTGGAAGGGGTTCAAGTGCCGGAGACGCACTTGCAAAACTCTGCGAAATCGGCTGATTCGTTCGGCATTCGTGTTACAAGGCGTACTCTAGCGTCGCTTCCCGAGCCAATACCTGCCTTATTGGCCAATTGCAGTAGGTCCTCAACGGTTATGCGCTCTCTGCCGCCTGTAAGTTTGGTGAAAGTCCCTCGTAGTATGTGTTCCAGTGGTTGCAACTTGATGGTGCTGTTCACAGCGTCGATGAATGTCGAGAAGTCGAGTTCCTGTAGATCGGCGATGGTCTCTTGACCGGCAACGTTCGAGTACTCCGCTGCAGCGCCAAGGCTTATGAGATGTTTCATGACGCAACGTAACTCATCAGATGAAAGATGAGTGCCCAACATCTCCGAAAAGATGCCGTCGAGTTCCTGAAGACCAAGGCGCCCTCTCTTCTGACCATCCAGCACCTTGAAAATGGCCAGCAGCTGCTGCGTCTTCAGTGGCCGCAATGTTGACACCATAGTGTGTCTAAGATAACTGAACAACAAATAATCGTTTTAGGCGCATGTGTGTCGTTATTATATGCCTTGTTAGCATCGCATCGTAATACGTGTGCGCGTCATTCTCCTGTTTTCTCATCGTTCAGAGGCTTCCTCTACGAAAGCGCGGTGCAAAATGTGCAATTTATATAACTCAGTGATGATGAGTCTCGCCTCACGTGCACCAGGGACGGAATCGGCTTGCCGTTGCAAAAACAGTATCACGTCGCGGTAGAATATCACGTTGTTTTTTGCTTCCCTGAGTTTCGCAAGCACAGTAGAAAGATCGAATCTAATATTGTCGCCATATTCGCCTCCTTCACGTTTCGCTTGGTGAGGTGAATGGACGTAATGTTCGGTTGAGCTTGAGGCATCGTGCATTGTCCTTTCACCCACACCCAACGGAGATTCCTCTTTGCCGGTACTACTCCCACGCGACGCCGTATGTGCTTCTGCATCATATGGATCGGTGTTAGTAGCCTTCGGCTGCGTTGAAGACTGTGGCGTTTGCGACGATTTGTCTGAGCTAGGCAGATACGGACCTCGGTAGGGGGCAGGATAATCATACACTGGCTGGGACTTATCACTGCCGCTGTCTATGCCGTCAGCACTTATAGAATACCCACTGCCTGTAGAATCATCCGGTCGTGTAGAATAGTCACTGCGTAGCTTTTTAGGCTCGTCATATAGGTCATCACTGTCGTTACCCTGGTGTCGCTTTCTTTTTTGGCTTTGGTTTACATTCGATTCTTCGCTGTTTGAGCTACCAATCCTTGGAGGCACATTGCGATATCTTGCGTTTCTGAATCCGTGCACATCAGGTTTATCCGTTCCTTGCGTATAGGCATCAGGTGTTATATTTTCGTACAAGTTTTGCGGCAAAGTCGTCATCGGCGGGTGTACAGGTGTTGCATATAGAGGTTCGTCATTGTAAGAAACTGCATGTGGTATGTGAGCAGGGAGAGACGGATACAAATGCTTATATCCAGTATTCCCAACAGGTCTGGTGCCGTCATGACCTAAATGTGCCAGTTCACGAGCACGGCTATAAAGCTCGTTGCATAGGGTAGACATTGTATACAATGATTGTTTGTTGCTGTGGACAAAATTCTGCTCTTCTTTGATATTGTTGGCAATTTTGTTTAACTTTTTATGTTCTTCCGTCAACTTCGTGCACATCAAAACGGGACTTTTATAATGCTTCTCCCATGCACTTACAACTCGCGATATTCCGTTTTCTAAAGTGCGAGTGCCCACCTTGTCAACGCCATCTAGTAGACGAATTGCACGCCTGTGGATTGCTTTGGATCGTCCATACAGATCTGACACCTGACGGTATATGTTTTCAATTTCATGGTATGTCTTCTCATCTAAGGTACTGTTTTTCAACAGCGCGTTGATAGCTTCGCGTTTGTTAGCAATATTAGTGTGGTAGCTGATTAAGGTCTCTCCTTTCCCCTTTGTGACTATGACGTCTTGCACCGCTACCATTCGCAGTGGAAGTATCTCCTTATACAGAATATCCAGACATAGCAAATAAGCGAACATGTAAACAGAAGAAGCGCGCATGTGGTTTAGACTTGTGCGAAATGCATCCGTAGCCGAGAACATCTGGTCGTGGAGTTTTACCAGCATCTTATAGGCCTCACCGATGCCAATCAAAGAAGATACAGCGCCATTTATCACTACACCTGGAAGTGAATAGTACCTCTCAAAATCCAGTTTTATCGTTCCAAAGCTCTCTTGCACACGTTGATAAATGGCGCCGGCTTCACGCATAATATTTGTCCTCGCCTCCCCCGATGCTGCTACACCTGCCTTAACACGAGTCACATGCAACAGGTACCTGCGCACAAATGACAGATGCTTGAGTTTCTTTTTATCTTCGATCATAAGTGTGAGCATTCGTGTGTAACGTTCCACCGTTATGTCCAACTCTTCACGTTTGCCAGCGAACATGTGGTTGTATTTTTCCATACGGTTGTACACTCGGGTGACATAAAGCATTGCTCTATCCGCATGTTCCAGCAGATTTGGTGTAATAACCTTGTTGTCGGTATGCCGAAGGTCCCCATTGACGCTGTACATCTTTGTTACCTCATCGATGCCGGAAAGCTGTTGGGGTACCCGGTCACTCTTGGACATGGTACCCAGCGCATTCAGTGGTTCGAATATCTCTGTTTCCTCTTCATATTCTACAAAGCTGTCTGTGTCGGTTGTGTCCCCATGTTGCGGAGGCAGGGCAAAAACAACCGCTGGCGGGGTCAGAAGGGAAGCCGATAGCGACACTAGCACCAGTGCCGATATGCACCTCAGAGCCACCATCACTAACTACCCCTAAAAGTCCAAACAAGCAAAATATTCACAAGAGACGAACACAATACGAGTTAGTGTAGGATAATCAACGCATCAGATATACTGGTCCCACTTATTAATTTTACGCATATATCTCAACAGAAGTTCATGGAATGAACGCCGTAAGATCTAAATGGAAACGCAAATGAAGTTTAAATCTCGTCTTTCGAATACGAAATTTCGTGCCGAGGAGAACTCGGTTTACGGGATAAAAATGCACCACAGTTGATGACATTCCTACATTTCCCCCCAAAGCAACCAGTGTTCATAGACCTAAATCAACATGATTAGCAAGACGAACCAAACTGAGAGGTGTGTTAACGTTAGCACCAGTTAGCGCATGAAAACTGACACGCGAGAAACTTTGGATCAGCAGTATTTCTTCGATACCTCCCCAAATTTTCTCATATCTCGCCGAAAAACAAAACATCGTAGTAACAACGGCAGATACGTACAGCGCGTCAACATATGCGGCACCTTATAGCCGCTAGTACGTCACCGACGCCGCCACACAACATACAAGCAGGAACTCAACCTCTATGATTATTAATTAACACGTTAAGACGAAACTGCGGCAGCCACAGTGTTTGTGACAGTCTTCTTAAGGGGGCCGTAGTACTTCTGCTTTTCTTCGGAGGTCTGGAAACGACCGTGGCCCCACTTGCTCGACGTGTCGATGAAACGGAGGTTGATCTCGGCAAGGGCCTCCCTCGACACTTGTGGGGCGAGCGTCTTGCGCAGCACAATCGGCCTCTTTTTGGTACCAACAATGCATCCCTTCAACATCAAGAAGTCTTCCTTCACAGGTCCGTAGTGAGGGAAACCACCCATAGGAGTAATTTGCTTCTCCGTAAGGTCAGCGTCGGTAGACGCGTTCCTTGGGTTTGTGCCAGAACCTATCCTGTAAATCTTCTTGTTGCGTTCGGTGCGGTGGAAATAACCCTTCTGACCGCTGCGAGGAACCTGGAACTGTACCCTTGCCGGGTGCCATGAACCAATGCACGCAACCTTCCTCAACCCTCTGTGAGTTTTACGCGGCAGGCGCGTAACTCCAAAACGACTAATAACACCCTTCATTCCGTGACCCTTGGTAACACCCAATACATCGATCATTTCGTTGCCCGAAAAGACCGCGCTAACGGGAAGGGGCTGCTCGAACATCCCGGTGACGTAGTCAACCTACATTACGATGAAAATCTGTTGAATACAAAAACGCAGCCAAATAAATTCCATACAATATATCACGGTCACGAAACATAAAACCACTGCAACATTAAGACGTTGACCATTCATCATCATAAAACACCGCCCTCGCCATCACTTGGACACAACTACAAATTCGTAATGCAATAATGGATATTCGTTTTGGAGAGTTGACACTTTCATGGTTTTTCCCGCCAACAACTGACCCTGAGGGCGTGCCAAAAGCACCGCTGGCTGGATTAGGAATATGAAAGCCACCGGGAATTTCGCAACTCAACCGGATTTTTATAGGACGCTGCCAAACCTAATATACGCAACTAGTAATGCGTTGGTAAAAGGCACGAACGCGGATGGTTTCCGACGATCGACGTCCAAACAATTCATACAACGGCTTCACGCAACACAGTGCGATAATGAAGGCAAAAATTCGCAGTGGCATCACTACGACGATAAAATGTAACCGCAAGGAACCGTTCAACCGACAGATGACCTCACCACAGCACAACCTGTTAGCGGCAAAATCGGCGGTCAATATATAACAAAGAAGCACTACTATGACAAAACAGCGTTCCTACCTTCTCCTGGATGCTACCACCGTTGATCTGGATCTCGATGATGTGAGCCTTCTTCACTGAGAGCGGCGTCTTGGAAGGCTGGGTGTGGCAGATAGCCCTCACGACAGTGCAGTAGTTCACAATACGGCTGACATTCCTGCTCATCTTTGTTTCCGCATATTTTTTGGCGTATTTGGTAAAAGCTTTCTTCTTCGACTTGTACCAATTCTTGTAGAATCTGCGCCTGCACTCGTCTGAGAGGTGGCCGGCCCACACAGTGCTGAGAACGCGAAGGCCACGAGGAGTTTCGATGTAACCCACAAGACCGACAACAATCATCGGAGGTGTCTCAACAATCGTGACAGCCTCCACGGTGTCCTTCTTGTGAAGCTTGGACCCGGGCTTGTCGGGCTCGTAGGTCACGTGGGTCATACCGGCCTTGTAGCCCATAAAGGCCGTGAAGTGAGGGGGCTTGCTTGGATCATCCTTAGGAAAAGACCTAATTTTGCCGCGATGCGACTTGCAACGCTTCTTGGGGAAAAACCCGAGCGAACCGCTACGCGGCTTCTCAAATTTACGGTGCGACATTGCCTCAGCACCTACAACGCCAATCGCTATGCCACTGCGAACCCCTCGCAATATGAGGAATTTTACTGGTATACGAATAAACGTATAGTTTGTGTCCGTTCCAATTCGAAACACTACGACTATGGGGGACGCTCGGAGCCTGGCAAAAATGGGGACGAAGTGATGTGCGGAATCGCGCGATCAGATTCGTCGAGGTTATGCCATAGCGGTTGGCCGTCGGAACGTATATTGCTCTTAGCCGTAGGTGTGCGCAATGAGCTCTTATTTAACCGTGTGTCCTGCGGAGCTTCATGAACAACGCTCTGTCAGCATATTACCCCCAATCAAAGGAGTTGGATGTCTAAATTTTAGCGAAAAGTGTACGCACGTATTTCCTGTCAAATCTGTAAAATTTTATCTGTGATGTGTGACGCGTTCCGGATAACCCGTGCGAAGGAAGGATTTGAGGAATCTCGCATAGTCATTATCGTCGGATTCTCAAGTACATTTATACGTCGTACACAATTGTTTACTGATATGGCGAATCTGTACATTTGCCATCTTGCGTGACTTCTCACAGGTTCGAATGACGGTGTCGCGCACACACCCTAGCATACATATTCCACCTTAGAGGTATACTGCCCTCCAGTCGGCGCCTTCCGCGGCTGTATTGTATATACACCACGTTTCGTCGTTATCATGACGAATGATCGGTAAATAGCTTCCAGCCTAGGTTCGTTGCTTCTGAATTAGTGGATTGGATTGCGGAAATGGCGGGGGGCAAGCATGATTCGTTTACCGACGCCGAACGGGTATGTTACAAACCACTCAATCATCCAATAACGATGCAAAGGCCGCTTTTGAATGGTCCCGTAGCAGGAATCGAAGCAGACATGATAGACGGCGGTCAAGATCGCGATCGCGGAAACGTTCATACTCAAGAACCCGAAGTGACAGTAGCAGTGATTCGGATCACCCGAAGGACCCATTCAATCCGCTGAAGCTGGCGTATGATCGCAGGGGGAGGTATCACAGGTCAACGTCGCCATCCGGGCGCGGACTCCGCCGTTCGACGTCGCGATGCACGGAGTCCCCGGACAGATGGCAACATGATCTACACGATAGCGAGGAAAATCGCGCCGTTGAAGATGCGCGATACCAGCGCCAGAGGAGAGAACAGGATTCTACCACCTATAAAATAGACACCAGGCGTGGTTCATGGCGATCGAAGGCAGGTGGAGTTTACATTCCACCAGATGAGCCAGATGGTGTCGATGGTGACCTATATTCCGATTATAAACCCACAAGCACCCGCTCGACCACACGTAGGTCGTCATCCTACGAACGTCCGGACCCAGTGTACACACTGGACTGAAAGTGGCCTGCAGAGCACAAATGAGTGAAGAATATCGTCATCAATTGTGCAAGGAGTGTAATACGAGAACGAATACGGCGTTCCGTTGTGGAATCCGGTGCATGAGGTATCATTCACCGAAGGCGTCGCACAACTGTTGTCCGGAAAATGTAGCGGAGAAATGGAGAACATCATACTGTGTAATAGTTTATCGCAACTTGTCCACCGAATCAACCGAATGTTCGGTGCGGGTAGATGGAGGCAAGCTGACGTGGCTTGTGAACACCGCGGCTCTACGCCCATATATGCTTTCACCGGCGGTAAATCGGTGATACCAAACAGCCTGATGTTCTTGGCTTGCTCGGCATTAATCACGTATCTCTCACGGGATATCATTGCTGTGCTGGGTGCATGTGAGCGTTGTCTTTGTAGGCTACTACTACCGTCTAACTAGTTTTATTTTTTACACGTCGAATTTATCTCAAAACGCTAGTACATTTTACGAGCGTCGAAGAAGTGAACGTGTGTACAGGATTCGCGCGTACTCGCGCTGCACATAGTAACATACGTATGCCGAGCGCAACGTACGTCCTTTGGACGCCACCTGCCTGGCGGACAGTAGCATAACTTTCGGTGAGCAACCCACATATCGTTTTCGCCAAGCATCACTATACACGTGTTGTTGCCTCGACTATTTTCGACGAGAGTAGTGGAAGACACGGGATCTTCTAAGCCGTTATGACAAAAACGGCAAAACGTTCCAAGCCGAAGCATTACCCGAATTAAAGACAACAGCATACGAGGATTTTGATACTTTACACTGCCAAGAGCTGTGTAAACGTAGCGACGGTACAACATCTACATCTGGTCATACACACCGGGTTTCACGGTAGGCTCACGAAGGACTGGGATATCCTACATATGTGATTAGTAGTCTTAGTGTATGACTTAGACAGCTGTCTCAACCTTTATGAACAATACGCTGCACATTTGCGTCTGCGTGTGCTACAAGTTTTAATGGAGAAGGCTGCCCCGTGACTACTGTTACTTTCCCGCAAGTAAAAATGGAAGGGGTAAATGCCGCCAACCAGCAGATTCTGCTGCTCACCGTGGCGGAAGTAGACAAACGCATAAAGGAGGCGCTGTACTCGAATGAAGTGGGTTGCCCTGAGACCGTGCTGTATGAGCTGTCTCAAGCAACCTACCATGCCGCGTTTAAGGAACGGATTTCTAAGGCAACATGGAGTTGTCTCAAGTCGAGCACTCCACGCGCCAGACGCATTCAAAAGGCACTAACGCTGCTTACATACCTTGCACTAAACGGTGCCCAAGCCTGCACAAACGACATCATCACTCGTCTCGACGATATCACCGCACTGCACGACCGAAAGTTCCCACCGCATATGAGAGATTTAGAGATCATCATTAAGGACAAGGCAATAAATCTCGTGAGCCTAGTATGCGACAAGCAGCTGCTGGAAAAGAAACGTAAGGAAGCGGTTGCAATTCGTTCGCGCTTTGTAGGAGTTGCTTCGCACAAAGGTCATGTGGAGACGCAAATGATGTACAAACCGGTTTATGCGGTTGACGCCAAAGCGGGACTAATTGGTCGGGCAGCTACTGAAGCGTCAAAGAAATGGAATGAGGTGTTCCACTCCAACAGAGAGAAAGGCAAATCTGGAAGAATACGTGAAATGTTCAACCTGATGAAGAAGAATGGCAAAACGGGTAAAGCATCTGGCAGCAAACCACAGCAGATGCGTACGTTGGGCACACGTACAGACACGGCATACTACCGCCCGGACATGCACCACAATTATACGCCGGGATTATACAAAGGCAGCATTGCGGAGCCACGTCACCACCGAGATGGAGACCGCAGTGGAGAATCTGACAGCTCAGACTATGAGGGGAGCTCTAGCGAAGAGGGTTCCGATTCATCTACAGACTCCACGTACAGCGCCGCACACTCAAGGACGCGATACAGAAGAGACGAATCTGGTGTATCCAGGCTGTCTACTGATAGCGTTAGCGATAGCGACGGGGACTACGAGGAGAGCAGCGAAAACCCGGTGCATGGTAGCAAGACGCGTTACCAACCTGCCCGTGCTGGTAACAAAGTGGAGCATTACAGGCACAGCGGTAGAGAAGGAGATCTGAAAGCGCCGTGGAAATACCCATTGGAACGCCAAAACAATATTGCGGATAACATGGAGCGGCTCTCACTCAGCGACTCCCACAAAAAGTATCAACCGAAGGGTAAAGCAGAGAATCTGCAAGCGCAGGATAGATATGAAGATTCATACGCAAATGTGCGACGCGACAGTTATCGCGCAAATCCCTTCGCACGGCTATCGCACTACTGAGGAGACACAGTCGGCTGAATCTCACCTTCCTCAACTTCCACATCGGAGGAGCGAGTCACTTTCTCGAATACACCGTCGTCCGTGCATGTATACTGCAACAGGCGGTTCACGTAACCCGTGGAATTGCGCAGGCGGAGCGGGAATTGGCGGTTCAGGCCCGATGCCTCATTCCACATTTTCATGCGTGTTACGCGGCGCAACTTCTTTGAACTACACAGTAATATTTAAAGACACACTAACTCACCGAGCGGCTGTAGGCGGCACTGGCTTTATGTATGGCAGGTCTAAGATGGGTAAACGCGTCACAGTTGAAAAGTTTGACGCAGTTAGCGCCACGTGATTGGTGCCGTCCGCACGCTTAAAGGGCATTACCGACCTCTGAACGTAACGCAGCTTTAACCACTCCCCAGGTTGTACGCGATTGTGCGATTCGAGCAGGTTGGAAACCAAAATGTCGTTCAAGCCCATCACCACTGCCATCGACGATGCGTCGCTCACCAAAAGATTCACCCCGGGTTCTGGAGAAACATCGAGCACGCAGACGATAAAGTCACTTCCGCATGGGCCTGCGTCGGCTATTGTGCGCGCGAATTCGGGATTGGTCGTGAGCGCCTTGGCGTCCAACGTGTCCCGAACCCAAGTGCGCAATTTAGTGACCATCTCCAAATCTACATCATCCACTCTAGTCCGAGTACCTCCATATATGACAAGAGCCTCCGACGCGAGCTTTTCCAGAGCATCGGGGCGATGCCTTTTGCTCTTGCATTTGTCTTCAACGGGCTCACTGGCAGCACTTACATCTGGTTCCTGTGGATCTTGAGTCACTCTACAAGCGTCGTTCGGCCAAATTCGTATGGCTGAAAAATTCTTCGCGTTCATAATGATATTTACATGCTTTTTGCCAGATTTGTCTGTAACAAACTCCGCGTTTACCCGCCTCAGACGAATTACATCGCCATAATTCACGTGGAAGTGCTTGGAATCGTTCGATAGCAGTATTTGAACTGAAAAATCAACGGCCTTGTTCCCGGCCGTGCCATACACAGATGGGTCGATGGCACGGTAGTTCAAGAAGTCAGTCTGTGTTCGAGTGCTTCGTAAATTGGAGCGAATCATCTCAACAGCCACGACGTACATGCTGATAGAACTTTGAGCATGCTTTAGAGAGGCAAGAGGTACGTATATATGGGACTCCGTGGTGGCTGCACTAACGTCCGTTGTTGATGTGGCAGCTGCTACGGGGGGCCCTGCCTCCTCCACATTGTCGTCACCTGCAAAACCCGATATCACAGTACCAGATTGCGATCTTGAAACACGTGAAGGTTGTATGACAGTTTCAGCTACCACTGGCTCCGTCTGCGATGATCCGTCTGACCGAAAAACGCTCGCCCCGCGTGCGCTTGATCGGCAATATAACTCACGAGGCGGCAACGACTCCGTTGCAAATTCTGGCAGGCTAATCGAACGCGGCCCTAACTCAGGACTCATTAGGGGACTTGGGTGAGCTTGGGTGCCACGGGGAGATTGCCTAGACAACGCGTGTATCTGGGCTCCAGCCACAGCATCGATCTGGTTACGCATCAGCTCCAGCATTTGCGATACGTTCGCTGCAAAACCATTAATAGTATACAGTTGTGAATGCAAATGACAGTACATGGTCAGCGGTGGGTTAAATAGCACTTCCAGCGGCATCGTATAAAACAAATACACAAGGTCCCTCTCGGCGCAATCATATCAGATGAAAATAAAAACATTTGAAACAACGGCACATTCAGACCACTTGGCTCGCATATGTATGGCGCGTTACACACGACATAACGGTGCGTTTGGGACACTGTTATGCAAGTAAACAGTCGCTACTATCTCATGTCCAAAAGGTGAACATACAGTTTGTCGAAGGGTTGGGATCGCTTGCTGTTTGAGGGACATGGCTGCTTGCAGAATGTTGGTCAACTAGAAGCGGAATGACAAATACATGTGGAAAACCTGCCTGGTGAGCGCGCTACCGCCAGAATAGTTGATAGACCCTCCATCAACGGGTCGTTCGAAGACTCTATGGCGCCACGCTGCTCGTACAGAGCTCTGCGTATGTTGGTAATGCGATGCTGCCAACCTTCGCCGCTGCATTGTGAAGAGGAGTGGAGCGTATCCAGGATCTGGTCAAGGGTGTCAAGGATTCCCCGTCCCATCAGGAGCACAACAACGCTTCAAATATAGAATGCATAAAATTGACACATCATAATTATAATGAAATCTCGACAATTAGTAGTCGTCCTCGAGGATGCCACCATTATAAACACACAGGTACGTCCCATACACTGGCGCGCACACCGAATCCAAACGGTTGAGCCCTAAAATAGCCTGGTCAACCCATAGTCATCCCTTGCGTAGAAGGAATCCAGGGTTGATATACTGCACCAATGTTTGTTGGTGCTCCAAGACAGTCCACTCAACAAGGTAACAACAACGGTGACGGCGAATCATGAACATCAGAGCGGGCTCCTCAAGGTCCTTATTAGAACGGAAGACAACACACTGGTCGATGTTTCACCACACTTACGCGTTCCTAGGACTTCGAAACAGTTCGACAGCTTGCTCGTCCACCTTATGTTTAAGCGACAGGTCAAGTCACAGGAGAGGGACAATGTGCTCATGCGTGTAGGTTACTCTGCAACCTAAACAAGAGTGTCATTAGGTGATAAAGAACAACATAGAGGTTGCTCTGCCTCCGGGATCGCGGAGGTTCGGGATGTCAGTGGGAGGCAGGCCTGTGAGTCTCAAGGAGTTCTGCCACCAGTTCAAGCAAGTAGACTACCCTGTCGTCTTCCACGTTGGAGCTGTATCGCATTCACAGCCCAAAGGCACGGTCACCCACGTGGAAGAAGTGTTGTCCATATCCAACCATGGGCTGACAGCTGCGCATGTATGCGCTAAATTATGCAGTGAATTCGAACTGTTGATGCAGGTAACCTAATATACGTATCTGCATTGATATGGGTACATCACGCCTTTCTACGTTCGCAGCGTCAAACGCGTCGCGCGAGTGATAAATGTTGGAGGCCAGGCAGGAGAACGCAACTCGGTCCCATTACGGGTCCGAAGAATGGGAATAACGAAGACATCTCATAGGCGGCGGACGAGCAACTACATGATCGTCCAAACACGAGTCTATGAATCGCAAAGCGAGCCACCGCAGAATTTGTCAAACATTAAACAAAATACTATGCGTTAAAACGTGGGACGTTTGCTATTACTCTTGCGATTTGTTGTATTGGTGCTCTATCAGGTTCTATTGGAGAATGGGGCCATAATTGACGATAACAAGGAATTGGAAACGCCAGTTACACGCTGGGTCATCCGCTCAAGGCCGCTAAGTATCCGTGAAAACACGGATCCAAGCCCTTTACTAAGCGCATTAGTAGAAGCATGGCGCTTCGCAGCGGGACCTTTGCGATCCACTTCAGTCACGACAGTATCATCGCGCTGACGTTTGTTGCCCCCTGAGCGCTTCTGACCCTCCGCTGGTTGCCTCGGGGAAGCCGGCACCTTCTCCGAAGCTGCAGGCTTGTCACTCTGTGGCTTCTTGTTTTCGGATTTAACACGTCCTTTAACTGGCCCTGTAGGAGGTATCTTCACCGCCGGCACAGACGTAGCAGCAGCTACGGTCTTGGCATCAATGGCTGGTTCCGCGGCTACAGGTTGCCTCTTCTCCTGTACGACATCCTTTTTCTTGGCCACCACCCTGTGCTTTATACCCTGAATCGCCATTAATTACGTCTCCAAAGACGTGTCACATGCGATGTATGATTAGAAGCGTGTGTAACCAAAATGGACTACAACGAATTAAAGCAGAAAAACTCCACCAAAAGGGTATGTAAGCTGGGAATCACAGTTTGTTACGCTAGCATTGCGAAATGTAGCGCGTGGTGTGAAAACAAATGGCATAATTCAAAGGAGGAACAGAATGTGCAGCCGTCGGAGACTCACCTTAATCTGACCAACGTTATTCGTCATTTCTAAAGAGCGTGAACCCAAAGGCACAAATATACAGTAGTTCTATAAATTCGAATGCCGGCCGAAATAGTTATTTAATCCAGAGCTCTTCGGCACCGAAGTAGGATGCACTCTTGTGCTCGCAAAGACTGGGAGCGGGTCACGCGTGAGGCGCAACCATGGCCGGCTCGTAAATCACTTCCTGTAAATTGTGATAAACTGGCACATAGTTCTTACCTCTACTCTGCCGCCGCGGAAACGGAGCGCGGCGGGATAGCGATCACAGCTATATTCAGGTGTGCCGTCGCTGCTACACATCCACGCTACCACTGCCTTCGGCTCAGATTCTGCGGAACCCTTTACGAAGGAAATGAATTCTTGAATCACATGCTCGGTATCAAAGAGCACCAGGAAAAACGGTGCGTCAGCATCCATTGTCTCCAGCATGAGTTGAAGCTCCTCTACCGTGACACGTGGGACATCAGAATCACGGCTCGAAACGGCCTCTGAACACGGGGAATTACTGCCCATGTAGATACGTTGACGCGCTTGAACGAATGCGAAGTCGTACAAGTAACAATTTTCTGCGTTTTTGAATGCGATATAGGCGTCGAACGGGGTGGTGTAGCCGAAGCGCTGCATTTCGCGGAACACGACGTCCACCTCGAAAGAGTCGGCTGACCTTTCATTTGCGCTAGTTTTGCGCAGAGGCTGCTGCTTAGCCGCCACAATTTTCTCCACGACCGACAGAGCAAACTGCTTAGTGACTCCTTCGCAACGCTCGACTCCAGGGCACTGTGGATAACCGCCTTCCAGCACGGTGTTGTACATCAGCTCGACCCCATAGATGTACATTTGTACCTGGTCATCCTGCACGTGTGTTAGCATTGGCTTTCATTTCGCACTTCAGCGGTGTGGAACCAGTCCAATCATGAACAGCAGCAACGCCGAGGGTAGAAACGTTAACAAAAGGGCGAAATAGCAGATTAATCAGCGTTGAAATCACATGTCCGGAACTTACGCTGCGAAAACGATCGATGGCCTTGTCTAGCGTAGCAGCGTCCAGACCAAATTCAGACAGCACAGAATCCTGAGCCCGACGCAGCTTCAGTTGGACCCATTCCTGGTCAAGGAGCGAGCGTACCGACTCCTTCGATAGGGGCGTTTCTCCATTGTGAGGAGCAGCTACGCTGTTAATGGCGCTGCGCGCTGTCAACACATTACGGGCACACCCACCTAGCCAGGTCGTTGAAAACCACGAACAAAACGCGCGAATTCTTTTGTAAAATAGGAAGGAGCTGATAGATGTTTTCAAAGGAGCTGTTGGAGCTCAACAGCCAAGATACAAAGCGGTTTTGCCGCCAACTATTAGGAGACAGCAAGCAGGCAGTCACAACCACCACCGCCAATGACACCAACTCCAACCTTATGTCCCTTCCATTGGCGCCCATTATAGTTGCATAAACAACGGACGGGGGTCTGATGTGTCGACAAATATGCCGGTCCCCATAGACATCAGCAGATGCCGCGCAGCCATAGTAGCGACACACTTCACTTCAATCAACATGGCGGATGAACAAGAAGTCTTGAAAATCCGCCACCGAATTGAGGAGTTCATTCCAAGTATTTTAGATAAATCTCCAACCGAAGAAGAGGTGAGGATACACATCGTTTATTTGCGCCAAAATAACGCAGATACAAGGAGTCGTAGAATATCTACAAAAGTTGGAAGATATAAAAATCGACAGAACGCTGCTGCAGAACACTCGTATAGGTGCAGCACTCACTAAACTTGCCAAAAGCCCTTCAAAGGATATAGATGTTTTGAAAGACAAAGCTGTCAAACTCACAAGCAAATGGAAGGACACACTACGTCAGCAAACGTCAAGCAAAGAAAATGAATCCGACGCTCCTCTAAAGCGACAGAAGACTGAAGCGGCTGACGGAAATGCAGAGAGTGCGCCAAAGTATCAATATCTACTGCATAACCAAGACATTCGTGACAAGGCACTTGTGTACATTTTCAATGCATTCTTGGCGGTGCCCGGCAGCGGTTACGACAACAAGAAAGTCAGCAAACTTGCGTACGATGTGGAGTGCGGCCTCTTTGACAAATATCTTGTCAATCAAAGCAACCAAAAGGAGTACACACTTAAGCTCAAATCCATCGCCTTTAATCTTCGTGATCCCAAAAACGCAACGTTCAGGAACAAAATATACAATGGAGATATAGACGCAAGTAAAGTGGCTACAATGGAGTCCGCGGAGATGGCTAGCGATGAAAAGAAGATGGAGAGAATTAACATCCTGCAGGAATCATTAGAGGCGTGCCAGTCTGACTGGGCTGTGAAAAATATTCTGATGTCAAAAGACGGGAAGAAAAAGGGCCAGTTTAAGTGTTTCAAGTGCAATTCGTCAGAAACGGTTTACCATCAGATGCAAACACGTTCGAGCGACGAACCCATGACCACGTTCGTAACGTGTCTACAGTGCAGTAACCGGTGGAAATTTTGAGGCTACCGGTGACGGTGCCACGCGCTCCATAAGCATATGAGTGTATGCATATATCGCAGAAGGTCTACGGTGACCTGCAACGTGAACGCGCTCTATGTGCGTATAGACTCCATTTCCGAATCTCCAGGCGGATGTGTGCTCGCACATAACGTTGGTGCGACGGAAGTGGCCATTGCAATAAGACTATCAATTTCCAACACATCTGTAAGCCGAAGAACCTGAGTGTTATGGCGGATGCTTGTTCTGGCTTCCTGAGTGATGTCGGCGGTTAGCCTTCTATAGCAGTGCCGGCTTCTCGCCAAAGCAAATTCTACAAAGCAGATTACAATAGGTCTGTGTGTAACATTTAACCATCTTGTAACTGCCTCTAATCATTTGTATCATTGAAAAATGTCGCGCTTGTAATTGTTACGATGACCGGCGTGTCAATTCCTGGATATTTTCCAGCGAAGCCGTGCTCGGCCGCACGGAAACCTTGAATTCCCTACTACGTGTAACGCCAATGGATTGGCGGAGCATTGGAACCTCCTTTGTACCATCTCTTGAGGAAAAGCCTTCCTACACATCGGCGCAGCCACTACCGTTACTGACAGAAAAAGGCAACGACAAGCCTCCTAAGTATTCCAGATGGCAGTACGTGGTGGGTGTTGCGTCGGAGGACCAAAGCGTATTGCTCCAGAAACTGGAGGAGTCCAAGGAAGGCAGCGTGAGAGGAGACAGCCGCCATACGCAGCCGCTAGCAATTCTTGATACTACCACACGAAAGACTCGGTATTACGATAGCCCCTCATGTATGAGCGATGGAAATGGAATCATAAAGGAAAGGACAAAGTCTTACAAGGAGCTCACGTTGGATCCGACAGTGACGCCCTTACTGGACGCATGGCTCAGATATATAAGGGCTAAGGCTGGCGAACTTGTGCTGAAATTGCAAAACAACAAGGCAGGTGTTCCAGAGTCTATGTTGACCAGACTAACCATAACACAGGAGCTTGAGGTTGCTGCCCAAAACTGCGAACTCCTTCACAAACTGAGTGGAATCGTGAAAGTGACAGGAAATTTAGAGTGGTGCGGCGTGAAGGATAGCGCTGCCGTCGCATACATGTTTATAGCCATTTTATTTTACAAAAAGATGCTAGTTCCAACGTTCGACGAAGTACTGGATGCGATTAAATGGATAAAGACGTGGTCCAACGACTACCTAAGAGTTGATCAACTCAGGCATGAACTAACAACCCATATGCACCGGTTGGTCTCAACTGAACCTGTGTACTGGGAGTATATGTCCGGCACAGTTATTCAAGCCCCTATGGAACACAGCAGATTCCTCAAGGTTGCATCGGTATTCTTCAATCATCTCACCCGAATGGCGGATATGGATATTGCCCCAAGAGACAACATTGAAAAATCGATGGTTGTGCTGCTAACCGAATGTTTCATACCAAGGCTTCTAGCGTCAGGGTATCATGATGTGGCTGTCAACGTGATCAGACATTGGTTGGCTTACAACATGTTAGGCAACAACTCTTGCGACGTCTTCGCTAACATCTCCAAACATGACCTCCTGCACAGCTTGAGCATAGTCCAGCGCCAGAGTAATGTGGATAAAATTGCCTTAATGGATCTGTGCGAAGCTGTGGATGCGTTTTTGAAGGAAAGCAATCAAAGCCAGCGGGTAGAATTAGGATACCTGAAACCGCTTGACTACTGCCAAGTGGGGCCTGTGGATGTTGTACAGTTGCCTATAAAGGTGTTTAAATTATCTAAGCAGAACTCCAACGAGCTCTTATTTAGAATACTGGAGTTGTTCGGAAGCGAATCGGTGGACAGACTCCCAAGCGACAGCAGGTGGTACAACTTCGTGAAGAGTACAGTAGTTAACACCTTCTGTGCTAGGATGTTCCGTGCACTCGTGTTGCTACACGCAGTTGTTGTGACACCCGAAGTGAAAATACTCTCGTGTCTACTGATGCGCGCTTGCCAACGAAAAGAAATATCAAAGAAAATACTGCAGCTAAATATCAAGGACCCTGACCTGTGGGCAACGTATGCGGCCACCACCACCGACGTTGCAGAATCGCAAATTGTATACAAGGAGGCAGTGGGAGTGTTTCCGAGCCACGTCCCCCTTCTGGTGGAGTGGTTGATGTTCTGCTTGGAACATGATAGCGAACGTGTAAATGAGGCCTTGATTTCCCTGAGGAAGGAATTGGATGGTATACGTGGGACCCAAGCAAGTACTTCGGCAGATAACCATGCTCATTGTGATGTGTTGGATGCGATCACTCCCTCCAGAGCTTGCGGTGCTGCTCTAGTATGGTTATTGGTCAATAGACACCGCCTTCACGAACAGCGTTACATAACAGACTGGAGAGCAATGGTTTACGGTTTAAGAGAGTATGAGGTGTGGGTTGTGCTAAGAGCTCTGTGCTTGTGTGCTCCGCCCAAACTAGCGCAACAGCTCGCCGAACCCATAGTGAGGACGTATCGCAACAACGAAACCATCACCGCCCTCTACGTAGAACACTGTATCGCAAGAGTAGACAAGCCGGCAATACGTCGACTAGTTTCTGACTATTTAATGAGGCCGTTTGTTTCCATGGCCACGAGGCACATCGCGCATTTCACGAATTGCTCACGGGGCAAAAATTTTGATGGGGGCATCAGGCTGATGCTGCTGTCCAGGGTAGATTTAAGTGGAAACGTGCTACGGTCAATTGTTGAGGAGCCAATGCCATTCAAGTTGCCTAGCGTCCGGATTCTTCTGCACGCTCTGAAGAATACTGCAAGGACTTGCGACACGGTACAACTCGTTGCCAAACATTGTTCCTTCTCGAAGGCTCTATGGTTAATCCTCGCTGAACATCTCCCGGCATCTAGCAACATTATTGAGGAAGATATGAGAGCAAATGGCATTAAGCTATAGGTCACACTCTGGTCGCACTGCAACGGTAGACGCCAAGTGAAATGGCAGACACAAAACGTGTGCAATACAAACGTTAACAAGTGCACGACGTAACAACCCATGTACATTATTTTAAATATGATCAAACGCAGGTGCTTATCACTGGTACAGTACTAAATACAAAACCTACATCACCATGGCTCCGTCCTCAGACACCGATAGGAGGGCCCATTCGTCGTCATCGCACGGCATAGTCACCAGGTCCAGTACCACTTTCTTGTGCGGACGGTTGTGCTTGATAACCTTGCCGTTCTTCAACGTGTAGAGCTCCCCACGAACGTTGCTCACAGCCACCACGAACACGGACGGCACCCACACCATGCGGGTCAGCTTCGCCGACAGCGACACGACGTTCAGCTTGGTCATACGCTCGCAATCCCACGTAATAACTCGGCCATCATGACCGCAACTCACCGCCATCGTGGAGGACGCGCCGCTGCAAAACTTAACCGACTCCACGGTGTCGGTGTGATCCTCCAAAAATGAGGCAGATATGCTTTTCTTAGAAAGCCCCACGAAGTACAGGGACCCATCGAACAGCCCTGCCACAGCCAGCTGTACAGTATCGTGACAGTCGACGCACGTCACCGAATCACTGCCAAGCGGCACGTCACTCACGCTACCCACGGAGCCATTCGAATAACGCACAATGTTGAGGTGCCCGTCGTCACCTCCCAGGACAGCCAAAGCGTTGTCGCCGTACATGCAGAACTTGCCGCAGGAGTTTGTGTCAGTTGTAGTGACGCAAGCCGTCGTCTGCAATTGCGGATTCCAAATGTATACGGTATGCCCTGATCCACCAAACATTACGGCGCTAGAGTCACCCAACCATGAAACCCATTCGATGCCATCAGCGGGCCCGTTGACCGTGCAGAGGTGATCATACTTCGAATTACTGATGCTGTAAACCAAGAAGCTGCCGTCCATGCAACCGAGCGACAAATAGGCGCCATCGGGAGAGTATGCGCAGCAACTCACGGTCTCCTCAAAAGGTCCCAGCAAGGTTTGCTGGGCGTCGCTTCCTCCTGAACGCATTCGAAAGCATGACGGGCAAAACCAACCGTCTTGCGATGATAGGTCGACTATCGTACACGTGTCGTCGCACGAGCCGACGGCAACATGAGCTACTTCCGGAAAAGCAGGATGTACAGACAGAGAAATCAACTCCGCGTTGAATTCCTTTCTCCAACACTCGTATTTGGTGTCTAATGGCTGATCGGTGTCAGAATCATCGTCGTCTAGGACGAAGTCCGGTTTGAGGTGAAAGACATCGTCTTCCACCGCATCCTTCTCGGCAATATCGTCCAGATTTTCCTCCCACATCCTTAAAATGGCAATGTGTAAAAGGCAGTTAATACTGTTGTGATGGTCCGCGGCAGGCAACCCGTCAGTGGGCTGACCGCGGCCGGGGAAGCACGGAAAACAGAAACCATACGGGGCTGCTGTTGCACATTTTAACACATAGCGTCGTAGAAATGGTTTTAGACGGTCTATCTGAGCTGCAAAGTCTCAGCGCATCGTCGAAGGTTGCACAAATCCTTAAAAATCACCTAGATGTCGACAATTCGGTACGTAGAAGCGAGTGAGTCTCATATGATACCAGGACCTTGTGGAATTCATTATACACCTAGCGAAGAAGGCAAAAAATGCTGCTGACTTCAACCGACTACTCGATGAAAATGAAGCTGAGATGCCCGTGGCGCTCGGAGAGCAACTCTTCAACGTTGTGAGAACTCTGGACCCTCCAAAGAAGAACAAAGGTAAGACAAAGCAGCAATTAGCGGTCCACATAACGAATGCAGAAACGTGGGACGATATAATAGCCGCGGATGATGACGAACGACTAAACTTCCCTGCACTCTCCATGAGGAACAGTGATATCAAAAATGACAACAGACACAAAATTGAAGTCAAGAAGGAGGTATGTTCCCATCAACAGCTATGTGACAATGTTAAATAGGGAGAACTATCAGACTGGGCTAAAGAACTTTTGAAGAAGGAGGCAGGTCAAGTGGACGAGGTCGACAGGGGCAGAGACACCCGAAGAAATCGGGATGTACCACATGAAAGGAAAAGGAGTAGCCGTGGAAGAGAGGCAAATACACGTGAAAGGGATGCGAGGGATGCGTATAGTGATTACAAGGAAAGCTACAGAAGGGATCACCACCGTTCACGAGGCGATGACAGAGACCGGCGGCGTCGCAGCTATGAGAGGAGTAGCAGTAGCAGCGAGGAGCGTCCTCCCACATCGGACATTAAAGGACAAATATTCCTTGGTAGGGTAACCAGAATTATGGAATATGGTGCCTTCGTATCGTTTCGTACCAAAACTAGGAGGCATGCAGGTCTCCTACACGTATCGGAAATACTCCCGGGGAAACGCAGGCTGCTGGATGTCAGAGAAGTTTTAGAAGAAGATATGGATGTTTATGTTAAGGTCCTTGCGGTAAACGGTGACAAGGTTAATCTGTCAATGAAAACAGTGGACCAAAAAACAGGAAAAGAGGATGCCAGCCGAACCGCATCTTCAATAAGTGAGGACACCCAAGTCAGGCGTGCACCAACTAGTATGATGGGAGAATCGACCAATGCCTCGTTAAACAATTATGCGCATGACGTTGAGGGCAGAAAACGGCGTATGGTCACTGATCTTGAGAGGTGGGAACAGCAGCAGTTAATTAACAGCGGTGTTCTAACGAAAGGGGAGCGCATGGGCATGAATTTAAATCCAGATCGCGATGTGGTAGAGGAGGAGATAGAAATCGAAATTAATGAAGCGTGTCCCACCTTCCTCAAGGGTCAAACGAGACGTTCAGGTACTGTTAATGACATAAATTTTAATGACACCCGCAGGCATCGAGTTATCGCCAATTAAAATCGTATCAAACCCAGAGGGCTCACTTGCCAGGGCTATAACTACAAGCTCGACAATCGCAAAGGAACGAAGAGATGCCGAAAGAGCGCAAGAGGATCATCACGTAATGGCAACCCGTCACGATGACACAAGTGGCGGGGAAAGTTTTAACTTGCGCCAGGGAGGTAGTACCACCGCACAGTTCATGATGGAATTGCAAAAGGCCAATCGCATGCATAAAAGGGAACACGGTCCGGGTGATAGAGGGCAGCAGAAACATACTACTGTGGGGTCGATTAAGGAACAGCGAGAGTCGTTGCCAATTTACAGTTTCAGGGAAGATCTACTGCAGGCTGTTAGTGAAAATGATGTACTCATCGTAGTGGGTGAAACCGGAAGCGGAAAGAGTACACAGATACCCCAATACCTCGCGGAAAGTGGGTACAATTGTGGGGAAAATGGCAGCGTCAGAGTCATAGGGTGCACTCAGCCGAGAAGGGTGGCCGCAATCTCAGTGGCAAAGCGCGTAGCTGAGGAAGTTGGTTGCAGGCTGGGTCAAGAAGTCGGATACTGCATACGATTTGAAGATTGCACAACAAAAGACACCATGATCAAGTTCATGACTGACGGTATGCTGCTGAGAGAGGTGCTGCAGGACCCTATGCTTGAGCGGTACTCCTGCATCATGCTCGACGAGGCACATGAGCGCACCATAGCTACAGATGTACTGTTCGCACTGCTCAAGGTAGGTTTGCTTGCGCGTAATCCACACGTGACATTTTCTATTCGCCTCAATCGACGGCTGATAAGCAGTGTGTAAGAAATCACAGCACCCTGCATAGGTACCGTCGTATATTAACAATTGCCAATAGTGTCTAATGCTGTGCATAAAGGTATAATTGGCTACACTGTAACTTAGGAATGCTGCGCAAAGCGAACTAATTTCAAGCTCATCGTCACCTCTGCTACACTGGAAGCAGAAAAGTTTTCTGCATACTTCAACGACTCCAGCATTTTTTCAATACCCGGTAGAATGTTCCCAGTGGAGATACTGCATACCAAGGAGCAGGAGAGTGACTATATAGAGGCGTCCTTGATTACAGTGCTCAACATCCACTTAAACGAACCTGCTGGTGACATATTGCTTTTCCTCACTGGGCAAGAAGAGATCGACTTAGCGTGTAGAACACTGCATGAACGTATGAAGAGGCTTCAGTCAGTATCGCCACCGCCTCTGATAATTTTGCCTGTATATGCGGCGTTGCCAGGAGAAATGCAAAGCGCAATCTTTGAACCAACACCACCTGGCTGCAGGAAGTGTGTTATAGCGACTAATATCGCAGAAGCATCATTAACCATAGACGGTGAGTTTGCGCGTGCGCTTACGATGCACTTATCGACTTGCAGGCATATTCTACGTCATCGACCCTGGCTTCGCCAAAGTAAAGAGGTATAACCCGAGAACGGGCATGGAATCTCTAGTGGTCGTGCCCATATCGCAAGCAAGCGCAAAGCAGAGAGCGGGAAGAGCAGGCAGAACTGGCCCCGGGAAGTGCTACAGGCTGTATACGGAGGATTCATACAGGTCAGAAATGCTTCCCATGGCTGTTCCAGAAATACAACGAACAAATCTTGCCAATGTCGTTATCTTGCTCAAGGCAATGGGAATCAACGATTTCCTGAATTTCGACTTCATGGACAAACCCCCTGTCGAAACGTTAATCGATGCGTTGGACAATCTCTACCACCTAGGTGCCCTCGACGACGAAGGCCTGCTGACCAGGCTTGGGCGGAAAATGGCAGAATTCCCCATGGACCCTAACATGGCAAAAATGCTCCTTACCTCAATAGAACTGGGGTGTTCCGATGAAATAATCACCATTGTTTCAATGCTGTCCATACAGAACATTTTTTACAGACCTCAGGACAAACAAGCGCAGGCGGACAGGGCGAAATCGCGATTCACGCAGGCAGAAGGGGATCATCTTACATTATTAGAAGTGTACAACCGGTGGAGGCAGAATAAATTCTCTTCCCTTTGGTGTCACGAAAATTTCATTCAGGTTGGTGTCATATTGCCTATCATATACGAATTCAGTCGCGTGCGTTGCTAAGGGCACAGGAAGTACGAAAACAACTCATATCAATAATGGACAGGTACAATTTCAGGGTAAAGTCGTGTGGCAACGATACAGAGAAGGTTGCGAAGTCTGTCTGCGCCGGGTTCTTCCACCACTCAGCCCGCAGGGATCCACAGGAGGGGTATCGCACCATACTGGATCAGCAGAACGTGTTTATACACCCCTCTTCAGCTCTGTACAACAGGTCACCGGAATACGTTGTGTACCACGAGCTGGTTATGACTACAAAGGAGTACATGCGAGACCTCACCACAGTCAAGGCGCAATGGCTCCTCGAACTGGCGCCATCCATGTTCAAGAAGTGCGAAGGAGTGAGCAAGGCCAAGATGGGTCAAAAAATCGAACCGCTTCATAAGAAATTCGAAGAAAAGGACGCGTGGAGGCTCTCCAAACGCAGAGGGTAAAACTCCACCGACAGTGCCACGTTGGCAGCGTTAACACCGATAGAATTGTATATTACGATATTTTGTTGTTCTGGGCTATGTGTTACCTTCTCACATCGTCGTGTATCGACTCAGGTAGCTCACCGACTACTGAAATGGCGTAACACCCAGGAATAACATCGCCTGAGGAGCAATGATCAACGGGGCACGCGAAGGTGGCACCTCAGGGGCGCCATGTACTTACCTAAATTGTTGAAACGCGCAGCCCACGATTTTTGAGGGTCCATAATGGATATGAGTCCACTAAAGTTTGAACTTGTGCAATCCAAAGTGCGCCTCCGATCTCCATCCATCTGAAGGAAGGCACAGTTGCCACAGCCACGCTCAAAAAACTGCACAGCGTTTGACTGGTGCATAAAACGGTCACGCCGCAGACGGAATTGACATACCTGATCCTCGCTCATTATCAGACGGCATGAAATGCAGGCGCGTAGCTTGAACATAGTACTTTCGCCTTCTTGGCGCTGACGGTGGGTCCGCCTACATGGAAGTTAATAACTCAACCCAGATACTGCAGAGCACAGATATACCGGCTCATCGCTAAGTGCAGATGGCACAACCCACATACCGTGGTACGAAATCGAATTTTCCGCCGTTCAAGTCCTCATACTCCTCCTCTTCGTCCTCCTTGTCCAAATGATCGGACTCGAACATATCTAGCGCCAAGATAAAGCTTCGCATTTTACACCTACCCTTGCGTGCCATGGCTACCCGGTAGGACGCCGTAAATTGGTCACTGACGCAACCTGAAGCGTGGCTAATGTGAGCATCCACACAACGCCGCGGCGAAGGGCCATGAGTAACAACGACCAATGGAATAGCACCTATATTTTACCCATGCCTATGTGGCCGTAAATACGGGCGCTAATTGTTGTGCCAAGACGCTGATGTGTGACTAAGAGGTTTCCGGCAAGAAGGCATCGACAACGCAAGCGAACGCAATCCTTCCGTGATCTCCTATACGCATTCCAAAGACCCTTTTAGGTCATAATCGGTTCAATTGTACATAGTTGTCCGCTGTAGTCGCACGATTTGTTGACAATGGCCAGAGAAAGCTTCGGTGGAAGACGCGGCGTATCGCTGGGCCTTAATGAGAAGGTCTTCCGCGCTAACAGGAGCATAGTGGTGCCCAGCTCAAACCTTCCTGAGGCTAAAGGTGGATTTACTATGCCTGTGGAGCACGAAATCATGTTGAAATCGCACGTTCCTCACATGCAAGACAACTGGCAACCAACCTGGTCGACGTTCGACCACATAGAAGCCGCAATTGAACGATCCATTCATTGCAGCACACAACCGTACGTTAGCATACTGGATGATGCTTTGGGAGAGGTGGCAAAACTTGAAAAACAAAGAGCCGCTAAGGAATTGAAAAAGCAAATGGAAGCTAAAGCTTTGCAAGAAGAGCTAGATAGAAAGCTTGCGGCACAAAAGTTGGCAGAGATGAATAAAACCCAATCAGGAGTAACTTCGAAGTTGCAAGTGGGTGGTTCGAAATCCCAATCGCATCCAGAAACGGAATCAGCGAGTAGTCACACTGCTGCGCTGAACGTATCTTTTCAGGCAACCAATGGAGGTTTTCGTACGGCCGCTGCAGACAATAAGAGCGCAGTTAAGGCAGGATCAACTGCTTCAAATTTCGAAACGGACAGATACACAATTATGGTTGCTCAAGCGGACTATCTCCCCCGCAATGCATACACCCAGCAAATCGACAGCTACGAAGCAGAGTACGAGCAAAGGAAAGTTGAGTACGACGATTTTGTGCAGAACGCCGATCCTGCCACAAAACAAGTCCGATTAGATATCGCAAAGACCATCAACAGAACTGTGAACACGCTGGCGAGCACGCAAAAACAAGTGGATCATTCGTACACCACTCTTGTCAACATAGGGAATCAGTATGCGAATGAATCTCGAGTAGCCACATTCGTGATATTTAGGGTTATTGAAGCGGTGCTTGACTGCTGTGAACCTGGATGTCAAATGTACCTAAACCCAAAGGCTGCATGGCCGTCAGCGCATCTTATCAGAGGGTTAATGGCAATGAAGCCGGAATGCAGGGCCATATATTATGCGATGATAAAAAAACGTTGCCCATATGTCATACCGAGACTCTACCAAGACAGCAATGCCAGCAACCTGGAGGCGCTCCATCAATATTCTAAAGACAACAGCGGCACCTATTTCAAAAGACAAATGGCGCTGTTAAGGCTTCACATGGCCGTTCTGGTGGTGACAAAGGACCTAGAGGGACTATGGGCATGGTTTGCAGGTTTCATTAATGCGTCTTTCAAACCTGTCTTCAAGCTCCCCTTGTCGGGTGTGCTAATCACTGCAATGAGTGCCGCGGGGCACTTCTGCCTTGAATCGTACAAAGAGCAGTTCAAAAAGGTATGTTAAATTATATAACCAGCGCAAGCGCATAAATATGTCAGCAAGCTGGCAATGTTACTTCGTTGACTAACTTTGTCACAGATGCTTACACTGTGTGGTGAAATGGTCAAGAAAGGTCACTTCAAGGTACAAAATTGCGATGCTGCGGACATGTACCATGAACAGCTATCGCACTTTTTCGAGGAATACAGGTTGGTTAAAAGGCATGACCATCAAAATTGTTCAGGAAAAAAAGGACTCTGGAGAAGCCTGAAGGGTTTGATATGAAACGCCAGGAGCAAGATCTGCGACGGGACATCTGAGCTCTTAACAGCCAAATCTGAGAACCAGGGATGGTCGCTCAAGGCCCCGAAATAATCCACACATCCAATGAAGTTCACAAATAGGACGGTAGAATGCGAAAGTTAAGCGAGTGTATTAACCTAGGCGTTCATGTCCATCTCATCGCAAGCTTATGCCACTTCTCGGACAAAGTGGCGGCCCACGCCGAGGCAGAAGTCTCAACCAGCGAATCAACGTGCCGACGCAGGTCATAGTCCCGATGTTGTGTCAGCATGAACTTAGATTCCATCTCGACCATGGCACTAAGATTCACGTTTTTCAAATTGCTATCAACCAATATGTATAACAGCATGATAATCAGCTTCGCATGGCGGCGCAATATCGTGAACACCAGATAGAAGCGCTCCTTGAACCGATGGTAGAAGTAAGAATTGCGTCCTCCCAGAAATTCTAACAACTCGGTCGATAATTTGAAGGGAGGAGCGGTAAACGGTTTGGGGTCTGATCCCAACACATACCCGTAGTCTACATGTACCACGTGTCCGCTACGGCTAACTATCAGGTTGTCGTTGTGACGATCCCCAATGCCCAAAAGGTATGTCAGCGCGCTATAGGAGGCCAAACTGCCGACAAAGTTCAGCCGTTTGGTCAATGCGTCCACCACTGACGGACTGTCGCCTAAAACATATGATTGAACGCTGCCGTGGTCAGACATAACAGCAGAAAGTGATTTTGTTTCCATCAAAAACTCCACAAAGCCATCCCTGGGGCTAGTCGGGGTTACCGCATAGCTTTGGATATACGACTCAACGCCATGGCGCCGCAGGAGAACATCCGCAACCTTGGCGACCTGTTGACACAACTGATCCAAACGAAGGTCATCACTGTTTTTGAACATTACGTATCTCATATGCATCTCGCTATGCCCTGGTGACGAAGTAGTTTTCTCTGTATGCCCTGCCGAGGACCTAGCGCTATCCAGTCCTTGCCTAGCAGCTGCAGAATCACACACGTAAAATGCCAACAGAATTGGGTCGTGGCTGGTTTTGACGACACTGCAACGACCTGTGTCAATGGCTCGTATCAAAAATGATGGGCTGCTGAATAAAGGTATGGGCACATTGAACCTGACGTTCGCGCCTGGCTCCATGCAAGTCCCCAAACCATGAAAAAACTCACGCACCTCTTCGCTTTGCAGCGCTCCCGCCAGTGTGGTGTTTTTCTCAGTGTAATCATGCGATTGCAAGCGTTGCATGAGGTAGTGTAGGCGTTGTCGCAACAAACGCTGAGACTTTATAGCGCCAAAAACATCTTTACTTTCACCAGCTTCCTGAATCACGCTGAGAAAATGGGACATCTCATGCGATGGGTGCGTTATTTGCTTCTCCCAGCTCTCCAACGCCCAATACATGTTGATGGCTGTCTCATAGTCCGTACGAGATGCTTCTATCAAGTGGCTAATCACATTGCGCGAACCCGGGGCAGCGACTAGCTGAGGTAAGAACCGAACCAAGGTTTTCGTAGTATACTTCCTAATCAACAGATCGCACGCATACTCCTGCACCTCTGCAGGCACGTGAGGGGGGGAGAAATCGCGTGAAACAAGCTCCAGGAGCGTGTCTAAACCAGGTTTTTGCCACGTGTGCATAGCACTTATCGCAGCATAACTCTCTGACGGCGAACTCCAATCAACGAAACGAAGGAAAGTACTTAACGCTCCTCCTGACATAGCCATAAGTTGCTGATAACGCCACACCAACTCGTTTACCTTCCGGTAACCGATGGAACCACACGGCCTAGTCACATCAAAAGTGTCCAATGTTCCTGGGGCACTACTTACACTGTATAGGGGTGTTGATATCAAACATTTCAGGAACGATATATCGGATGGTTCCGGAAAGAAGGAAAGCCCGGCACCGGGAGCAAACATGCTACTATTAATACTCAAAGCCTCCGCCATCATGGGACAAACCATATGCCGATCCCTGTAAAAACCTGGGGCGTTGAGGAATCCCAGCACGGTAGGCATTCCACATACGGGGGTGTTGTCAACGTTGGGCATCCCACGAAGCATGCTTCGTATGGTATTTTCCTCACAACCCTGTCCAAGGTAGACACTTCCTATGCGACGACGCCAAACACAATTCCTGTGCCTCTTTTCAGCGTTTTCAAATATACGATCCAATGTCGACATGTTGGGTCCATCTGTAGAAAGCGTGCAGTCATCCACATAACGATCGGGCGGCCAACACGACACATGCGACAAGTGCCTATGCGTGTCCCCTGGGTATTGCATAGTAGAGTACGTGCTACACCGGTTGGCAGATACGAAATCGTCCAGGTGAATTACGCCCACTGTCAATATGGCTCTAGGAAGCACTTCTGCGCAGCGTTCTAGGCCCGTGCACCCGGAAAAGGCAAGAACCTGTAAGTAAAAATACATCAGATAACGATATGGTCCCATACGAGATGTTTTTAGTATAGGGCCGTGGCGGAAAATGAAGGAAATGATACGTTTTAATTCCTCGCATATCCTAGTGAGGTGGGATGCGCATATAAGACGTTGTGCGGGGCTGCAACAGCAGGAATGGATGTTACATGCTTCATTTGACTCCAGTAGTGGAGGTTCGTGAACATAAAACATGTCCATGTAACCGTTTACGGAGCTATTTCTGGGTGTTATGTCCAACTGCGACTTCGCTAATAACCGACCCTCCAGAAAAATCTCGCTTCGCAAGGTGAGATTCACGCAGTCTTTAAATCGCCTATTATGAGATTGGAATCGCAAAAAGGTGTCTATGTGGACGATAATTGGGACTTTTATGCGGCCATGTTGTCGTGCATGCCAATTGCAGAGCCGTTGTCGATATCGACGAGCTGGGCGTTTAACTGCTGGGCTTCCGGAATCCGAAACATCACATTTGGCCCCCAATTTAAAGCTAGACATCAAGCTTGTCAGCTCAGTGTACCAATATGCTTCGGCCGAAGGTCCCTCCACAATGGTGGGGGCTGCGACTAGGCATTTTATATGCCTCCGCAGCCAAAATCCACATTGCTCTCCTGTAGAATGCCGTAGTGAGCAGCGGAAAACGCTGCGGCTGCCACATATTGGTGATGTTGAATCCCTCCTGTACGTATGACGGTGCTTCACGCGATGGTACCTTGGCGCATATGTACCGGAAAATATGTAGTGATATCCTATAATCTGGTTGCGATTGAGACGCACAGTCACCGTGTCCGAAATGGGTTCCCCATTTTCGTAAAGCGAACACCGCAGCTGTATCTCGGTCTGGCGTGGGTCAACGGAACACCACCAGCTACTGTCTGAGGGCTCCGCCTGATCCGCGCTCTCAGAGGGTAGCGGTGCCGAGTTGCCGACTGAAGCCTGATGCAACCCATCCCCACCATCAGCCCATAAAAACGCCAAGGAACCTAGAGAAACAACGAACTCATGGGAGCCAAAGTTGCGGAAATGCAGCCTGGGGTCTGGAGGAATCAAATCCTGCATGAAACCAGCCAGATGGCATCTAGACACGTGACTTTCGTATTTCATCACATCGCTGCAATATGAATACAAATGCGCTCTCCCAAAATACGAGTCACTAGCTCCTGGGCAGACACAGTCTTCCAACCTTTATAAAGTAGGCGTCGTTCCGACAGCCGTTAAATTGATCGATTATTGGTACTACATTTTAAAATGCGATGTGCAATTCCGATTTCAACACGAGCTCTCCGGTAATACGGCACCTTCCCCGGTCGAAGGAGCGCCACCGACTATGTGTGTATCACGTCTGCTATGCCATGGTTGTTATATGAAGGCTACATTCTTCTAAAGGGGCTGCAACGGTGTTATGTGGCCATAACATACCCTAGCATATTGATGTGTGGAGCCCTGTAGCCTCCCGCGCCCATAAATCTCACTTCGGCAAATGGAGAGTGGCTATGTCATCTGCTCCGCCAACGTAGCTCTGAATCGCATCATCGCACATTTGTACTTATGTCTTACATAATAGGACTGGCGCGTACGCCTTTCTCGCCTGTTTTGGGCGCACTGGCGGAGGAATCCAGCGTCGCGTTAGGTAGGTCGACAACTGTTACCTCGTGATGTATTCGTAGGAGTTACTGCGCTCAATGGAGCTCTGAGCGGTGGTCTTACGTCCCGTAATCGAATAGATCGCGTTGTGCTGAGTCAAGTTTTCTCGGCAGGCGCAGGGCCGTCACCAGCAAGACAAATTGCAATCAATGCGGGTATGCATTTACTCTTGTCATTGGCATGTTGGGTAGCGATCCGCTAACTCCATCCAGTTTATATGAGGTCATCATGATATTATAGGGTTGCCCAGCTCCACTCGATGTTTCCAAACAAGCCAGCTATGCACAAGCGGGCTGAAAGCAATCAGTGTTGCAAAAGACGCACTGGATCTCCGAAAATCGCAACTAACGGCCGTAGTGGGGGCTGAAAGTACTTCACAGGCGCCTTTCCTTCTCACGTTGGTTGTATGTTGAAGTAGGGTGGTATAAACATGCAGAAAAGCTAGAGCAGGTGGGTACGGGGTCGGAGACGATGTACTGGTGGACTCCGTCACATCTGACGGATTCTCCAAAATGGGCATCGAAGTGGACAGATTCACGAAAAACGCGCATATATCTAAATTGGACATGGTGCAGTACGCCGCCGAATCCTTTAGACGTGCAGCAGCATGCTACAGCGATGGGATAATGCAAAACGAGATCACACCTGTCGTTGTGAAAAACAGTAGGAGTTGTATGTGTATGTTTGCAAATGAGTGCAGAGCGAACGGCAGCGCGTGAGGGCGAAGCATGGATATCGCATACGCATACGAGATTGGTGGAAGATACTCTACCAAAACATTTTGCACCCAAGCATGCATCCCCCTCCACCATCAAAACAAAGAGTACTATGGCCGATGGAGCTTGTTCTTTGCTGCTTTGTGACGACGGGTTCCTTCGGGAAAGCGGAGCTACCCCCTTCGCACGCATACTGGATTGCTGCGAGCTGAGCACGGACGAAGACAGGTTCCCAGACGCTTTAATTGATGTTATCAGGGAATGTAATCGCCGATTGAACTCACGAATTGATATCTACGACATCATTGATCAGTACGCCTTCCTGCCCATATATGTTGCCAAGGCGCTGAATATCGACCACTCTCGCATCAATGTTCATGGAAGCACCATGGCCATCGGACATCCCATGGGTAGGTGTTATGATCCCTATTTTTGTGTGGTTTGTCAATGGAAATGTGTAATAGGGTAAATTGCCGTCAAAAGTAAATGGCACAATGGCGTGCCTATCGTACGTAATTTGTATTCAACTACTAGTGACAACGTCAAACGCTGTCCATAGAGACATGTCTACCGTATGAGGCAATTCTATGGTTCTATCAACTATGAACGGAGGATATTTTGGGGTTACATCTGCGGCATGCACATTCATGTCAACCATTTTCAGCACTCATTTTGCATTGTGCACTTTATTACTTCTATGTACATGTTGTGTTCTGGGAATGGTAACGTGACTGTAGGTGCATCAGGAGTCCGTCAGCTGATATCACTCGTGACCGCACTGCGTTCACAAGGCTTGCGCTACGGATGTGCTGCTGGAGCGAATGCGGTGGGCGACGCTATAGCCGTGCTGCTGGAAGTGCCTTAATTAACTCCGTACATATTTATGCACATTACTGCTTCATCCAAAATGGAGCGAGATAAGAAACCGCGGCGTAGCTCGTCGTCCAAATCCACTTTGTAGACGCTAACTTCGGGTTCGCTTTCTATAAACCTCATTAACTCAGCCTCAGCATCTACGTAGGGTACGTTTTGCGCGGAAGATACATCTACAACCAGGAATTTGAAAGCAGCGCAGTCGCGGTTAGTCCGGAAAAACCCTACGGCAGCACGGAACCCAGTTCGGTATTTAGCGTAGGAAGTAACATATACGATTACATGTACTCCGGAGATAAGTGTCGTATCCGTAGCTGCGTCCAGGAAATTCACGCTCTCCGGAGGTGTAAAAAAGTCCAGAATCGCGCCACGGTACCAGTTGCGACGGCGTATCTCGGCGAACATGCATTCCAGAGGCACACGTGCGACGTACGGGTCATCCTTCTGTACCGCACACTGACGCGGTGTTTCCCCCTCGCCAGGAGGCGACGCGCCGTCGACCTCTACGAGGAGCGTTCTGAGGTCGTACACACGTGAAAGTAACTCGGCAAATGAAGCACAGGCGCCAGGCTCATCTCCAACGGTTAGGATCCTGTGAGCACGCCGTACACCCTGTCTTACGTCCAATATTCCGAAAACCAAGTCAAACATCGCGTGGCATACCGTAGACTGCGACGGAGTCTATACAGACCTATAGCGGCTTGCCATAAGTAGAAAACACGTTATCAACTTCGTGGGAACAAGAGCATTCCAGCGTGTAGGGTACTCAACAAAATGGTGCCGCCTAACGGCCAACGAGTCAGAGCTACCAATGGGCAAGCAGCCCCCGTGTGTAGGCTCATACACATCAACCAGCACGTTAGTTTATAGTTATTAAATGGCATAGGAGGTCCCTCGGATAGGTTAGCGTGTGGGACTTCACGGAAGACAACTTCGTGGCTTGCAGTGCTGGCTACGCCGCAGGCGGTCGCTATGCGGAAGCAAGGTGTAGCCGATACGCAGGACTTCTTCACGTTAAGGGATATATGCTTTGATTGTTGGCGCGCATTAGTGTTCCACAACGAGGCGTTCCAGAATTTAGAGGATATTCTGGAACACCCTAAACTGCACCAACGCTTTGAGCAACTATGCACATTTGACCGTAGTGATGGCGCGACGTGTGGCTTCTGCAGTGCGTCTACACTGCCTGCAGCAGTTACGGTCAAGGATGACGTTCTGTTCGAGGCTAATGAGGATCTCCGGACGATAAACTTCGACGGATGGAATCTTGAGGACCTCTTCTCGAACGCGGCTGTAGCCGCCGAGGCATATGACACACAGAATAAACTAGTGTCGAGAGGGTGCACTGTTTCAAGGGGATTCAACCTCTGCGTGCTGGCTGTCCACTTCGCACGTACGTTCGGACGTGATAAGAGGTACCCTACAACATTCGCGAAAAATTACATCAAACTTAACCTCACGGAAAATGCAGTGGCACATTTCAATAGCGTGTGGCGTAGCAGGGTTGCTATAGCATCTAACTTCGTGGGAGAAACTTCTGCCATTACCTCAGATGCGGATGATCTTACGTTACTTATACGCGCCTACTTCGACAATGCGGGCAATGCAGTGAAAAACAACCTTGAGATATACGAAAAACGGCTGAAGGATGTGATCATAGGTATACTCGAAAACGAATTCGATACGTTCGTATCGGACTATCAAGCCCTTTTCCGCTATATCGACCGTATATACCACGAAGACAGGCTCCTCTTCGAGCAACTTCTGCGTATGCAGATACACGTCTCATTCGACGTACAGGACCGGCTCAAAATCACGCAATTCGACATATCTCGAGATGTGGTAACTTTTGCCGGTAAGTGCAGTCTTTTCGTTTGCATCACCTACATTGAGCGGTATTGAAACTGGGTCACTTGGTGCTATACATGTGACAGGGCATTTTGTCACCAACACGGAGTTGTGTGGTTGCATATTTCATGAATCACTGTGCTTGGTGCTGCATCTGCGCTTTATAACAGGCTGTGGGTGTGCTCAGTGGATGGTGAAATGACCGCCTGATACAGCTACCATTCAACATTTTTACATCATCTAACAGGTTTCTACAACAAGTTCGCCAGAGGTCTTAGCCAGACTGTGTGGACCCTCGATAAAAACGTAAAGGTGAGCGTGATCTAGTGTGGCAATAGACGCCCGCAGAGCGACCTTTCGGTGGAAGAATGCCTATGTTTACCATTGCTCACGCTGTGCAATGCTGACACGTATAAGTTCATGGCATCTGGCAGAGAAGACTGTGACGTAAGGACAACGGGGACCGGCAGAAAGTTTTGTGTGGAAGTATACAACTGCAAAAGAGATCTGTTCCTGGTGTACGAACTCATTCACAAACTCGGACGAAAGACTGCGATGGCTCAGAGCCAGAACTGTGAGGGACCCTGCCAGACGATCGCGTGCCTGGGTGAACTCGATAAAGTTACGCAGGATTTGCAAGTCAATGTCACAGATGAACCGAAGGACCACTACTTTTTAGTTGCGGGAAAGCAAGCGCATGACCAACACCCAACGCATAGTATTACCATTTCAGGCGTGCCCAAGATGTCTCTGACCGAAGCATTCGACGGTGGATCAGGTGACGATGTGACAGTACCGAGTGCTGCGGGCTTCTACGGGATACGGGTGGTGTTTAATAGCAAAACAGAAAGACAAATTGTACAACGTGACGCCGAGAACAAAAACAAAACATATTCGTGCGTGGTGATCTGTGAAGAACCCATAACGCTGGAAGACTTAAAGGCATTGCCACAAGGACCAATCACCATCTCCCAATGCAATCCCATACGCACCAGCCATCGCAAAAGCCAGTGTAAAAGGGAACGGCAAATACACCACATCAGCGCCGAACCGATACATCCAAGGATGTTTCTGCTGCACCTCACTACGCAAGCTGGTGAGAGTAACTTAATAAATCGTCTAAATAACGCAGGTACATATATCAAAGAATTCGTAAGCGGCGACTACGGCCGAACTACACCGTCAATAAAGGCGATGCTTGGTGGCAAAGCCATGTACGTCGCCCAATTGGACGTAGTGGATTTCTCGTGATGTACGCCTTACACACCAACTACGGCTTACACATTGGATGGCTGGTAACACATTGACACGGACAATTACACACCGTGTCTATATGTCTGAAAATCAATGTCGTTTGGAAGATCGGAGGGATGTCTGGGTGATCTGCGGAACAGATTATTCAGAATACCGTTGTTTGTATGGGGAATGCCTCGCGGATACGTACTGGCTAAAGATGCGCTGCTGTACGCGTACAATTTGTCGTGGACACGGTAACTATTGATTTGTAGTTTCTAAGGAACGCTTTTCCCCGATACCGTGAAATTTTGGAACCGCTGTGTTGAAGATTCGACGCAGCCTGAGACACGACGGTGTGTCGATCCCTATCGTAGTTCACTGACTGCGGAAATAATTGTAACACCCGCCTATTGCAACTATGGCTGCCAATGTGGATAGCCGGGTCGATGCGGCCAACTATTACGACCCAGAGAAAAGTGAGTACTATGGACAACCATGTAAACGTCCGCAGATTCCGACGGCGATGATTACTGCTTCTCGGAGACCACTCCCACCTACGTGCGTCACGAATTCGTGAAGAAGGTTTTTGGAATTGTTACCCTTCAGCTTGCTGTAAGTCTACTTGCGCATTGTAACGTTGATCATCCGGTTCTGCTGCTGATTAGTTAACTTCTGCTATAACGATGTCTCGTTGTGGATTTTGTTGGCTGGCCGAACGTAATGGGTATTTTCTTTCGTTTGGTCATTTACCGTACGCACATTGTGTATTGGCGCTTGCCGCCTTTACCTTAAACGTTTTTGATGCGCATGTTTCACTGCAAACTCCATAATACAGATGTACCATATGAACTGCAGGCTACATTCGGGTTTCTGTTCACTACGCTCTATGTCGAACCCATGAAGGAGTTCTTCGAGGAGCGACCTTATATCGGGATTGTGGCAATTGTCATCTTTATCGTCCTCTCCGTTTTAATTTCGTGCAAACGCACCCTGGCTCACAGAAAAGCTGTTGGGGCGGGACTCCTGGTTGTTTTGACTTCATGTATGATGCTTTCTCTGACATGCATGGCGGTAAAATATGGGATCTTCGAGGTCACAGTAGCAGCGGGGATCACGGCCGCATTGACGCTGGGCATCGCTATATTCGCTATGCAAACGAAGTACGACTTTACAGGTATGCGTGAACATTCAGCCTTCATGTGTCTGCAGGTTGGCTTACGTACCTCTTCTGCATCTCCCTCGCCTTGATCGTTGGTGGTATCATCATGGCCCTTTTCCCTAACCGGATTATGCGCATAGTGTATTCATCAATTGGAGCTCTGCTTATGTGCATTTATTTGGTTGTCGACATACAAATGGCCGTTGGTGGTAAGAAGTACGAGTGGACAATTGACGACTACGTCATCGCCGCCCTCTGCATCTACGTTGACATCGTATCTCTCTTCATGCACCTACTCAGCCTTGTGGGTAGTGCTAGCAGCTGATGACTTGCTGGAGTTGTCAAATAGTTCTATCATCTCTCCCGCTATCTGTTTCCTGTGGCATGAAAATGCAATGCCGCATAAACGATCCCCTTTTATACCTTACCGAATGTACCACCCAATGTAAGTAATTAACATGGTGAATAACCTAATATGGATTTTTTTGCAACGTTAAACGTAACCGCTTCGTATTTTTGTCGACCGAATAGCCCGTCACGAAAGTGCCGGTCGCAAGTGAATGCAGCGGTTGCCTCGCCCGCCTGCAATCTACCGCCGGCGTATTATGCTGTAAACAGCAGGCGGTGATGGTTTGTGCTAGACGAGAGGGATATTTAACAACGGATAACACCCGGAATACACGTGTGGACGTTGGTGGTTGTGGTTATCTGATACAGGCATAAATACACCTGAACTATTATCGCAGCAGGCGATGGCATTGTCGCCGTTATAAGGACCATAAGCGGTCTAAACTATTTGGAAAATAAAGTTATTAAGTCCATGATACGGACACTCCACTGTTGCTGCACCTGAGCTACGTCCAAGTTTCTTTCAAAAACTGAATTGGAGAGTTCTAGTTATCGATTAAACGTAAGCTGGATGGTGTATCACTTGTAAGATGTCACGACCCAGTCCTTTTTCCGGCCCATCAGATTGCACCATAGAGTTAGATCGACACAGCCAGTGTATAGCTCACGTGATTGCATGTCTCATGCAAGGGTCAACAAAACATCGTGAATCTCACATTAATAACACATGCAACGAAACCTGTACAAAACGTGAACGGTGCTACATGTGAAAATACGTAGGCGCAAGCACCCAGGCTTAAGAATCGGCTTAACACGAGGCTGAACCACACCGTAATCCATCTGGGACAGAGCATATACGCGACGAATACGGCCGAATAACGGCCAATCATTAAGCACCTTCACGCTTCAACCGCGTGAAAAGTCACACCCTACGGATTAAGAGTAGTGTTACAGTGTACAGAGTTGGTAGCCATTCCAACTCGGCATCTATTTTTAATCTCTTCTCATGAGAAAATAGCCGAAGTTTCTCCGCTGTTCAGATGTGGAGTAGAAGCGTACAATCCTATGGTGTAAAAAGGTATACAACGAAGTGACTTGTCCTAACACTGTCATACGCATGCTTGTCTAACGGCTAACATCAGCACTCTTTTTGCCGTTACCGCTGTACACTAGCAACAGAACGGTTGCAATAATCATGAGCACCGTTAGCACAATTAGAATCTGCATGAATCTTTCACGAAGGATACCCTTTGCGATCTGTTTCAATGTTGCATTTGCGCTCACAACATTTTCTTCAACAGCGTTTATAGTCCTCCCAACGCGATGGAGGCTCTCCGTTTGCCTTTCAAGATCCTGCGTGACTTCTGCACCAATCTTTTCTGAGGTGATGGTAAGTGTCCTCATTCTGTTGATCGAGCTCTGCAAAAGGATTTTATCTACGCTCCAGTATTTCCTACCTGCGTCTTGTCCTGAATATCGTCACCCCATGCGATAAGTTTTTGGGCGTGAGTCAGATGTCCGGATTCCTTGAGTTTCTCAAATTGATTGAGCTCATTTTGCTCTACAACGGTTCTGAGTTCTGCGAGCTTATCCTTCAGCTCCTTTAGTTTCTGTTGTTTTTCACGCAACCTCATTAGGTGGGATTGTTTTGTTTGCGCCTTGAGAATATCGATTTCTTGTTGGTAATTGATTTCGGCAACCTTCGCCCTTTCGATGAGCAGCAGCGCCTCGCTGAAGCGGTCACTTTGCTGCTGCTCGTCTAGCAGCTCAAAGTTGTGAAGGGATGCTTTCAGCTGCAGCAGCAGCCTGTCAAGCTCGTCCTCACATTGGTATATTGCCATTATTTGCGCCAGTTGCGATCATTGTTTGTGCGAACAACACACACCTTGTCTACAGTCGAGTGTGCCAGTTCCTTTCCCCTATTACAATCTTCTACGGCATAAAATCACGACTTAATTTGAAGCAAACACTGCGTCGCGCTATATGGTGTCCGCAGACATGTATAAAATTCCCGCGCCTACTCACGAGACATGTGTAAGCATCAGCAGAAATCTTTATTACACCGTGAGATTTTGGGTACACATTACAACGTTTTCTTTTGTATTTAGGTATTCAGTGGTAACTGTTAGCCCGCGTAGTAAACGTTCAACGTATGGTCTCAAGTACAGCCGTGATTCAAAGTAGATCCACGCGCCATAAAACGTTATGCCGATAGATTACTCTAAGTGGGACCGACTGGAGTTATCGGACTCCGAGGAGGAGAACAAACCTCGTGTAATAAAGTTGGACCGTACTCAGCGGGTTGAGCTTGGTCGAGACGGCTACAACATTGTGTCTGGCACCGTGAATACGGGTGCTCCTTGCGAAGTCGCTACCCAATACAAATTTTGGAAGGATCATCTTAAGAACGGCAATGTGGTTGTAAGATCTCACGCATTCTCGCAGGACCGTTACGATATTTGTCTTCTTATCGCCGTGCGTGAAGAGGCACGGCCGGGGTTAGAGGTCGAGGTGACGGAATCCCATATCCGTATTATTGCTAAAGGTGTGGAAATTTTTAGCAAGGAGTTCTTCGCAAAGGTTAAAAGCGACGATGACTATGTAAACTGGCAAATTGTGCGCAAGTACGTGGATTGGAACGCTCTGGAGTCGTACTGCCACAACGCCAGCCTTGGAGCGTCGGGTGCCGACATGGTATTCACCGAGTTCTATGAGCAGATGTTCGTGGAGGTTGATCTTAAAAAGCAAAACACTATAGACGAGTGCTTTTTATGGTGGGCCAAAGCCTTCAAGGTATGTGTTTACAGTTCTTGGAGCGATCACGCTCCGGCCATAATAAGATTTATAACTTAATGCGTCAGTTACTACGCAAGCTATAGTAAGCAGCCATTCGCAGCAACGGTATTGTGTTTTTGCGTCACAATTTTGCTTTTGTCTTTATTGTATGCCTAAATGCAAATACATATCACCGCAGGACGACGTGCCGTCTATACGATTCGAGAGTCAGGGGGGCACCGCATTTAAGGAATCATGGAACCAGGCCCATGAAGCCTTCAAACAGCGTGTGAAGAGTTTTCAGAAGGTGCAACTATGACTTCAGCAGGCTATGGAGTGCGTTCCACGTGCCGTCATCTGGGGCGCAAAAGACGATCCTTTCCAGTCTTTTGACCGCTTTTGCTCTTTGAGTTATTAGTTCTAGACAGTAGTCATCGGAATGTTTTATCACATCTAAGGGCGCCAATAACGATCTTTTCCCTTGTCGTGCCAGTTCGTCCCCAATTTCCGCTAGGTGGCCGTAAGATACCCAGGTCAGCCCCGTGAAGGAGTTCTCGACATTTAGAATCCTGAATCCGGATTTGGATGAGTCACTGACATGTTTCAAAAGAAAGTTTTTATCCCCATCGATGCATTTATGTCCATAAATCTGGGCAAGAAAGAGTTGCCGTTTAAGCGTACTCTCGTCGTGCATGTATGTACAGTCCGCTTTAATGCGTCTCCAGTCTGAACATATGTTGGTCTACTGCATTTGGATGCGGTATATCAGCAAAGTACGCGACTGCGCGTGGCCTCTGATTACGACGTTGAGCGACCACTTTATCAGGTGGAACTATTCTCTTTGATGCGTCAACTTTTGCCATCCACCGTAAAAATACAACATAGGAATTGGTTCTACAGGCAAATAACAGACACTAACCTCCTATGTGCAGTGATATATGTTTGTGCATATCATACTGAGCAGGGAGCTTCGTAGCGTCAACAATGCTCACGTGCGCCTTTCGCTTCAGACGACCTACATTGCCGATATGGCTTATGATATTCTTGAATGTCATATTGCAAGCAAGCTTTGTTGTGGTCTAGTTCATTTTACTGGGATTTCGTGCGTTTAACCGCTATACTACCTTCTCGTGTCTGGTAGATAGTCCTGTGAGAAATAACTCCTCGTTGGTTTAGCTCACATGGAATACGCTGATAGAAATATGACTTTATGGTCACATTTTTGCCGTCATTATGGTCTACTTGATTCGCCCAGCTTTACAAGTGTGCCTATCCACTGAGAGCTATGCCTCCAGTGTTTTAAGAGTTCCTAGATAACAAGCCCTTAAAAACAAACTGTTCAAGTATCTTTTAAGGAAATATCACTCCGGTACTCCCATTGCCTTTGGTCTGGCAGGAAGTCGTCAGCATTACATAAGGTTGGTGCTGCTCCGGAAGCCAGATTTGGCATCAAACGAAAGGTCTAAGGCAAAATTGTTGTACACCTTGCGACCAGTTGCGTGTGTATTTTTGTATTTTTGTCAGCATCATTTCGTGGATGAAGTCTTGGCGACCCCGGCGTGATGGTCGGTACACATTCGCTGATTGTGGGCCATTGGGGTTTTATTGAAGCGTATTGTACACATGTATGACAATGTCGATCATTGTGATAAAATTCATCCGTTTCATTTTCCTCGCTTCGCTTCACATTTCGTCCAAAACATATTAGTCTAGCACCCAACTCCTCGACGTAACACTTGACTGAGACGACCTCATCTTAGTGACTGGTCTAAAAAATACACGGGATATGTATTTAAAACATGCTTTACTAATCGTGTTGAATCATGTGTCGTTAAAATCAGACACCATGCTGACCACCGTTGGGGCCTATGTTCTGCCGGCTTAATTACAAAATCATCAGATCTTGTTTTCTATCGTATCGATGAATTAGAGAGGGTATACTCGTTATGAAAGACAAAAAGTATAGTGTTTTTGTATATACGTCAACAATCATCTACAGCTTGAATTTCCGAGGTGCAAGATTATTACGTCCTGTTTCTAATTTGTTGCCGTGGGCGCGTATCAATTTATGGCCCTCCCTTTGATGAAACTGCCACATTACCATTCTTACTTGGCAGCAGGATCGCTTACCGGACTAGAGTAAGCCATAAGAGATTTGTTGACATGGTAAGCTTGAAATCATTACTGAAGTAATGATGGGATTTATTGACTGCCGGTGCCGTATTCCAGTCGAGGAAATAGGTGAGGATGGGGACGGGAAGCCAGTTAATGCCGCCACGTTTCATTCTATAATACTTACACGAACAGTCACCGTTTTCCAGTTAGTACAACCGCTATTACGATCCTCCTAAACTCGTCACTGTTGAATCGACACGGCATGTTCGCCACGCCTCACCTGACAACCCTGCACAGCTTTGGACAACTTACGCAGATGGTGGTAGCTGTTGCCGGATACACCCTCCTAGATACCGCAGCGGAGAGAGAACAATATAGTTCCCTTGGTCGTTGATATATAACGTGCGGAGTGTTAAACGCGTTTTGGTAGCCTGTGTTGAGGCACAAGACAGTGTAAGCATGTCTACACCACACACTCCCGCATCCATTACCTAAGAAATGTTGCATTCACAACGTAGTTGACTTCGTCACGTTACTGATCACTGTGAACAGTAACCTCCATGGGTCGAACTTGGCATCTGCTGCCAGCGGCGTGAGGCTTTAATTACAGAGCATGCGTAACCGACACAACGAATGCCACTGCTTTCTTAGAGGTAGCATAGACGCCCCATGAATTCGCGGAGTGATCGGTCTGGCCGCCGATTGTCCGAGAGCCCAGTGTCTAACGCTGTTTTCAGTGGACGAAATATGGTTGCAACTTGAGCTCCGCCATCCGCATGCTGTTTCACGCTGGATAGCAATGATCTGTGCGAACATATAAGCTAATCCTTAGTTGACCAGGTGCCCACAAGAAATCCCAGCGTTCCATCCGTGCGCCTAAGATGGCATCACCTCTCGGACATAACCGACAATCCACTACGCAATCTGGTTTGTCACATTTATCTAGCGTTGCGGTGGCTGAGTTGTAGTAGTCACCGGTGTCTTGCTATAGTAGCAGAGAACGGAGATCGAGTCGGTCACCCAAACCAGCAGCGGGGGAGGGGTATTGGTCATACGCCTGGTGAGAGGGCGGCTGTAGAATGTGAAATTATGTGCATATCTGCGATATTCTGTTAATCTACAGCCTTGTCTACATGTACGGCCTAGTTAAATTGCATCTATGGTCAACATTGTAGTGAGCATTGAAGTCGTCACCCCGGACTACCCCAGTAGCCACTTCGTCGGGCACCCCGCAAACTTAGTTACCCACCTATTTGTCACCCCGAAAGCCTATAAGCGGGCGTGAGCGGTGTCAGTATGGGTCGGTTATGGACATTTTTCTTGGATCAAACGAGGTTGAGCGTGATGTGATTCTAATTATGCTCGTACACTAACTACTCGGTAAATGTCATAGCCGTGGATATCCCCGATGTGTCAGAGTTACAATCTGCGAATGTATGTTTAGCAAACTACACACAGATCGTGGTATGGGTGTATATCTCTGTTTGAAGGGTAGTTGACGGTGTCGAGGCACGTTGGTAATTAGTTGACGTCACGGCGTTTGAACCAGTCTTGTGCAAGATGGGAGCATCAACGGGCGCAAATCGGGAATGGTACCTGTCAAGACGTCCTCCTAGGGGCAAGGGTGTGGAGGAGTCGCCTAAGAAGTGGAAAAGGTTTTTGAGAAAACTTTGCGAGGGTTTGTTATTCTATTTGATCGCTTTGGAGATAGTAAGGTCCATGGATTCGAAGACTGTACTGCGAATGTCACCGTTCAGGAACGGCCTTAGAGACCGTGTCGGCTCTCGCACCGAGTTTTTTCATCGTTGGTATGATCCACCATATCATTTCTGGTATCGTGGATTGTATCCTTCCTCTGCTTGGTAGATGAGCAGATGAAGGCAAAAATGGCATTCCAGACGATCCCCATTCTACAGATGAGCTTCCACCTCAAGCCTCATATGACTCCGGGGATGAATGATCGTCTTACTGGTCCGCCTGCCTCTTATCTTTGTTTTGGTTTTATTTAGTGCGCTATGTGGCTACGTGGCTTAGGGCCGATTTTCGTGTTTACCAGGCAAGCGCTTCACGTTGCTGGTGTCAGTTGCGGATTCAATATCGCACTGTTGCCGGACGGTACAGGTACCATCCATTGTGGCATCCATCCTGTTTGGGCGAGAGGGTCATTCACAGAGTCATAATCTTCTCTGGGTTTCATGTCCCTCAACACATACCGCCACCTGGAAACGTGTCTGACATCTCAGTGCCCTCTCTATGATCTCTTTCACCGAGTCCTCCCACTTCTGCCGCTCGTATCTCCGTATCCACCTGGGGTTTCGATTGGTTATTCCCATTTCCACAATGGTGATGAAATAGTTTCCCCGATTACGTTCAATTGATTGTGCTTCATCGATGAGAGTAGATTCATGTTCAGGTAAAGATCGATGGATCGAGGCCCAGATGTGGTGTTATAGTAAGAATGGATGTTTGACAAATATTAACATGTGAAGTCGGCTCTCACATCCGGTCACATACATGAAAGAAAATTCCTCGGTGTTGCTGTCTATATGTGGCCATGGGGTTGTCGCTAGCATTCATTTTCCCAACAAATCATAAATCATAAATTATAAATTCTTCCTTAACCTCATATATACATAAAGTGTATATTTTGGTGTAATTATGTATTTATGTTTGTCTTTGTTGATCGTATGACGCAAAATCCAAAACTATGGCCCATTTTGGCATCTTGAAGTGCCTGTTGGCATTTTGTACGACGGTCCTTTATTCCAGTATATATATCGACGCATTTATCTGTGATTTCAACGACCCACGTGAGGTACTAAGCAGCCATGCCCTTGTCACGTGTCAAATGCGCAGTGAAAATATTGGTTTTGCAATGGTAATATGCCCACGCCGAGTAAACGGTACCGAGTACGTCTGGCATCCTCGCCCAACTCCGGATGGGAGCGGTCAAGTTAACACGTACGTCGGTGAAAATGGCAATTTGCGTTCAGCTGCTATTTCGGAAATAGTGGTTAGCGAAGCAACACGTTCATTTTTTTGGGCAGAGTCGGACGGATTGCAAACAAATATCCATATTGACCTAAGGGATGACGATATATATGCTATTACTGAAAACCGTTTGATATTCATCTGCGGTCCTCGAGGTCTTATTTTAAGCGATGCCTTACAGCATGAGATTCACCATTTTGGTGTTACTCAACCATATAAGCTTCCTTGGAGTCCAGCAACGGCATTGACTCAAGTAATATCAAAAGTAGGGAATGGGTTGGGTGTTTTTATCATTAATAGGGGATTTGATCATCTACCTCTCCAGGGTTGTGGCAGTCGCCCTTCACCACTCTTTGCTGTGGATAATGAGGTGCTTGTGGACCCTGTGACTGGTATTCGTTCATGTGTGGCGGATTCAATGTCTCAGTCCCGTATAGGATTTGTTTGCGAAGGTAAAGTAGAACCCGAATATTGCATGAGATCTCTCTTGTATAACGATGACGTTGTAACGGCCCCTGGGCCATTTTCATACTGGAGTTTTTATAACAATGAACCTTGGGTCGTGGCGAGGTATTTTAACGATTTAGCAGTACGTCCCTTCAATGGCGAATGCCGCTGCGTAAATTCCGAAACGGGTCAGATGAAGGCCAGAATAGAGATTCGTACCAAAACGGACTATGTGTGCGACATTTCCAGGACGATCAACCGCAACCATTTGAACAACATACGTGGCCCTTGGTGTTCGTATGTCCTCCATCCGGGAAGCACCTTAACCATAAGATTTCCAACACAGGATATGAATGAGAACTCCGACGGTCATCTCTCGCAACTGCTGCCAATTGATCAATTCGAAACTGAATTCCTGCCGAATGACTTGAAAACTCTGAGGCAACTGGCAAACGTCTATAGCTTTGATGTTTACGACGAAATCCTCTACCATGAAGCCCTTGCTGGCGATGCCCTTGAGATTGATGTTTCACAAATGTCCCGTGGAGTGGTAAAGCTGAAGTATCATTTGGACAAACCTCTCACATCAATAGGAGGTCACAATTCGTTCTTGTATCACTGGACATTGAAATCTAAGAATGCACACGTTCCGCATATGATACGCGCAATAGTCAATGTCTCTTTCGCGTTTACCCATCACTATCACATAGTGGGGTGTGACCGAGAGACTCCCGCTCTGTTTGACCGATATGTTAGCAGAAATTATTGTTCAACCAAACTAATGGGAAATGGTATAGGGGATATTTACGAATGTACGTACAATAAAACCTCGAATATTTTGAGGGCCGGTATATACTGCAGACGAGAGGAGGAACTTTTGCCGAATAATTGTGAGTCAACGGGATATGATCTCTACGCCAATCAGACTTTGCCCTTTACCAAACCTATTCGAAGGGTGACGCCGTATCCCATCCTAAGTTTCCAGGTCTTCACCATTGACTTCCGCGAAACTAGCACTGTCAGTTATGCCTGCATATGCGTGAATCAACGTGGATACGAAACATCCAGGCTTATTTTAGAGTCCAATCAAGAAGTGAATTATACATACAAAGTACGCCGCGGACATGAGTCACACGCGTTGCTTCCTGACATGACGATGCCTTGGACTGAAGTAGGATTATCAAGTGAAGGACTCACATCACCCAGATCTGTTATCCTATATAACGTATCACTAAAGTCCATTGTGCTAGGAGTCGGTACAACGTTATTCATGGTTTGTGATCCCTATCAGCACAACGTGGCACATAATGAAAGGATAGCAACTACATGGCTGCCAAAGCGACCTGAAGAATATTATTATACCGTTAACCATACGCCAAATGGATCTGAGCTGGTTCGTTTGACCTACAAAGAGTCATTTGCTATTACTCCAGGTGGACTGAAAGTCAGATACCAAGACATTTACAGGAGACATGGGTGTGCTAAATTGACTATAGAATTGCGTAGAAGCGCCATTCTGGTGTCTAAGGACCCACTGCACAAAAAATACGTGCCTATGACATTTGTCTGTGGCAAAGTGACCGAACCATCGGATTTGTCCTTTGTCACTGATGGTGTATCAACTTCGGCAGCGTCTCCACCACCTAAAGTTCAGGGAGTAAAATCCTCGGCACGATACACGTGGCACATGGTCCAAGTGAACGTCGAGACCACCGACCCGTACATGCCGGGATGCGGCGTTACGTACGCGTCGGATGAGTTGTTCAAGCCTGAGACACCCCAACTCTACGACGCTGACGGGCAGCCTCAGTTCGGTTGCCGGATCGATCTCCAAGATGCCAAGGAAGCTGCGTTTTACTGCCCAGCCCCTTACGTCCTGGACCCACCCAACTGCTTCAGCCAAGTATTAGTGGACGGTAGCATCACTAACTTGGTCGATGTCAGCAAATCTTTGAGGGCATCACGGTCCAACCACTTCGTCATTCTCAGATTTGAGAGTTCAAAATTAAAACTTGCGGAAACGCTGCGCCAGACGCCGCCACTGGAGTGTCGTTGCGTCACCGTCAAGGGTATCATCCTCTCCACTATACAAATAGAGAATTACTACGCCAAGTAATGAGTGGCACAGATGTGATAATTAACTGGTCAATGAGACAATTGCTTTCATTGTTTATGATAAGTGGTGTATCCGCCATGTTAGCATGGCTTTCGGGCAGGTCGTCAGAATTACGGTGGTAAATCTCAGCATCTTTATCCAGTGCTATAATAGTTGTGTACAGCTTATGTAGGTGGCAATGACCCAAATTAATAGTGTGGCGTGGAATTCCGTCTGAAGACACTTTCGGTGGGTACCTCGTACTAGTGGAATGGAGCATGTGTGATGTTGTCCTTTGTGTCTACGCTCATAAGTTAATCATTCGGTAATGCCCTTAGCACTTAACCATGGATGATGCTTGGCGTTTAGTAGGGAACTTCGATCACTCCAGTAATCTTTATATGCAACTCTACCGTGTAGGTGCCTGGTGCCGTTAGCCGATCGATGGTGAGGCATAGGGGATGGCTTCACATCATCATTAATTGCTCCGACCGCGTTACGTCACATGTTACGTAGTGTTGGATTCAGTCATGTAGTCAGTATCGAAATTCACTTTAGGGGCATCGCCGGGCCAAGCGACATAATCCGCAGCCTGATGGGATTGGTGCGAACAAAACAACCGGCTGGTTAACTAGGATGTTGAATATCATGAAAGAATATAAGGTGTTGGAAATGCAGTTTATGCCAAAAGTGAACAAATCAGGTCTAGCACCGCGCAGATCAGCGAGGGGTCCGACCTCATCGGGATTGAGCTGTGACGCATTGTGGCAAAATGCGTCGTTCCTTTCCAAAATCGTGCCGACATAGGGGATTATTCTATCGCATGGGTTAGTTTGTTCTTTGAGAGAGTTAGGTGGTCAGCTGAAGTTGGAAGTGTCATGTGTATCATGACGCAATGCTACTGCGAGGTGAGTGACAAGGGTACGGCAAGCGAGGTTACCGCCATAGTAATATTGTCAACAGATGTAAAGCTGCAGAGCACTAGCACCGCACTTCAATTAATGCAGAGGTTAATAACCTGCACCTCGATAAGTCAGCGGGCTATGGGGTAAGGTTTGCAATATCTAATGGTCATGCTGGGGCGTTTAGCTACTGTGAGACTCGTGCCTATAGTGTTAGTGGCGGAGTGTTGTGTGGTGATTGCCTGCATGGTAGCATAACTCTGAGGGGGAGACGGCATGGCGGCGTCACGATGCACGGTCACGAGAGCTGCCATACCTTACACCCGGAACACTCGTGGAGTATGCCGACCTACCGTGGTGCGCCAGCCATTCACGCCAGTCGGGCTCCGGGTTTGTCGGGTTCCTGGGCTCGTCGCCTTCCCCTCAGGTGAGTGCACTATTTATGATCCACGTATTCTCGATGTAGTTTACGGAGCCGCGCGGGCGTGTTTGAGACTGCGATCCTTAGCTTTATTACAATAACATGTTGCACTTAGTTGTCACCAAGCGTCTCACTTCGTAGTCTGATCACTCAGCCCACTTAGCGGTTTGGCCACGATGTATATCTAAGCGGCGTCACCTTGGACGTGTTATTGCTTTAGTCTTTCCTAGTTCACCATTTAAACGCTTTTATATCTGTGTACCACTAGCCTTGTGCCTATTTGTTATTGTCCGTGTGCTGCGTGCCTCTGTAAGCAAGATGGCGAGGCATAACGTTCAGCTTGACACGCTTAAGAACTGTCTCCAGTTCTTGCTGGGGTTGAATACAGACAAGAAGATGCAAAACCAGGTGTCCAACGAATTGCATGGGCGTCTTAGTGGCAAATACAATACTGTTGATCAACCACAAATTGAACAGGCATTGTCCCAATTCCTCATCGCTGTGTCCAATTTCCATAATAAATTATGCAACAAGGCACCTGCTGTATATAATGGCAATCAAGATCCTACCGCCGTACTAGATGCTCTTTTAGAATGCATCCCCAAGTTCTTAGCCGTGATGTACTTTCTACGGTACCAGGTGGACGACGGCTTCAAAGCGCTGGGCGGAGGGGGGTGGAAGGACAAACCAGTTGGTGGAAGTGCAATTTTTGGCGGTGAACTGCAGGCATATTTCACTGCACCATCCAGCTCTAAAACGTATGGTGTTGTTCCTGGAGGATTCGGTAGACTAGAGTTGAAGTCTTATTACCGGAGGGGTTCTTTTATGACCGGTTACCTTGCAACTATTTGTGAAAAGCATGCCGATAGGAATATACAAAATTATTTCCTCGACGTTTTTGCCACCTCAGTGTTGCGCGAAAATTCCGGCACCCAGGACTCAAATACAGCCAACGCCCTGGCGTTGGTGAGAACGTTTTGCGAGATTGTAGAAAAGGAGACACAGGCCGGCGGCGGTGAGCTAAAACAGAAATTGGATGATAGTTTAAATGGTGATACTGTTAAAAAAATGTATTTGTTGGAATAATTTAAAAACACATTGCGACAAACTCGGCAACCAATTTCGGAAGATTTTTACCAAGAACCATTCTTCATTCACTGGCTTCGGTAGGGAGGTGAAAAACCTTAAGAAAGAAGAATTTGCAAAGTACACGGCACAGTGGTTGAGAGATAATCTGGGCAACGTGAAGAATAATTTGGTGAAAATTGATACGACGAATAAGGCCCTCGGAAAGAAATCAACTGCTGAGCTTACAGACTATTTTACCAACAATCTCTTCCCATATGGTTTCACATTTGACAAATATAACTTCGCAAGACATAAAAACCCGTATGATGTTTTGCAAGAGAGTTGGGCTAATGTAATTAATGAGTTTAATAAAGCAAATAACGGCTTGGCCAAACTTAAAGAAATCTTGGAAGGTCAGAAGTGTCCAGGAGATGAGGGCAAGAAATTGGAGGGAGCACAGAACCAGGGACCCCAAAACGGGCCTGCGGATCCCGCAAGTCAGAATAATGGTCGAAGTGAAGCAAAGCATCCACCTTCACCAGTTGCAAAGTCTGGTGATCCAGGAGTTCAAGGCTCGCAAGGGTTTCCTGGTCCAGGGGGTCCGGGGCCTTCTCAATCCCCGGACGCATCAAGTAAGCAAGTTGTTCATCCTCAACAACCTTCCCAACCCCCGCCAGTTCTTCCCCCTCCACCGCCTCCTCCCCCTCTTCCTGGAGGCCCTAGCTCCGCTGCTCCGCCAGGTCCCCCGCTTCAGGGTTCATCGTCCGTTGACACTCCAGCTCAACATCCTGCTGCTTCTCCAACTGCTGTGCGAACTCAGTCTCCGGATGTTGCAGGCTCAGGCTCTGGGCCAGCTGGTGTCCAGGGGGTTGGTCAACATGGTAGTGGAGGGGCTGGGCAAGATGGTGGTCAAGTTGTTACTCAAGATGTAAGCCGCGTCACTACTGCGTCCGGTGCCCCGGCGTCTGGTTCAAGTGGGAGTGGGGAGACTAACAAGAATTGCTCCAATGGCAAGCCACCCGTGGAGTTGTGGCCTTATGGGTTTAAATACTGCCCCCGAGATAGTAAGACGTGGGATTCTATAGCACAAAAGAAAATGCACGACGAGTGGGATAAAAAAACTCAAGAAGCTAACCAACGAGTAGCAGAAAGGAGACGTCAGAGGGAAGATAGGCTCAGACAACAAAAGGAGGCGGAGGAACGCAAAAAGCAGAGGGACCTTGCAGCCCAGCATCCTATTATCCCTGCGGTTCAATACAGTCCGCCGCCTCCCACGTATGGAATTCATCAGAGCAGGCCGCCAGCTTTGTCTCCAATTCGCGATTATGATGTGCCCATAATTGACGGATTTAAATCCACGCCCCCGGATCCGCGGGACACGTGGCTGGACGGCGCAGACATGTATGATTTTGGAGGACAAGAAGTGTCCGAGGAAGATGACCCGGTGTTCGCCGAGATGGGAGGGGAACCGATCGCGGGAGGCTTTGATATTAAGCTGCAACAGGAAGAAGACTCGAAATATAAATATGCTGACCAACAACTGCAAGCGATGTACGAACAACGACATGTAGCGTTGCAAGAGCAATTCGAAGCCGATAAAGAACAACGAAGGCAAGCCGAAGCACAGCTACACAACATAGTTCCTCCAGATGCTTTCGAAGAAGTAATGGATAATGTTGCCGGCGAAGAAGTGATCGATTTAGACAATATAAAAATGTCAAATGATGCCTATCCAGTGGTTGTGGGTGTCGAAGGCGAAAAGTTGCCAGCCGATTATGATGCAATACATGAGCAACAAAAAATCGCGAATATTCACGATGCCTACACAAGGATATACGAACATCGGAAATCTGAAGATGAAAAAATTGAGGCGATGCTGCACCATGCTCAGCAAGTGGGAGTCATGAATTCATTAAACGATGATGCTTTCGGTGAACTCGTGGATATTCCACATAACCCAAAGTCATATGTTCCCGAATCATGGATCAAACATTACGTTGATCGCATTCCCAAACCAATACCACCGGTCATCGAAACATTTCCCCATGAGTCAAGACCTACTGAAGCAACCCAAGAGGTGCCTGACATGCCGGCCGGAGTCTCAGATACAAAGTCTTTCACGGACCTCCAAATTCACGTCCCCAAGCGCACAGTTACGGACCCCTCATATGACTTCGACATAGATCACGACCCTCCGCCTCTGCCAGGCGTTCAGCCACTTGACCTAGTAGGACCATCCACCGCCGCCATTGCTCTCAATTTAACACCGTTTGAAGTTGCGCCGTACTTTGTCCCCAAAGACTTCGACAAAAGTAAAATCAAACGCTCAAATGTAGATATGTGTATACCAGATTGGTCTACTCAGAAACCTACGCATGACTCTACCGACATCCCCGAGACAGAGCTGTTCCCCTCCGAGGCGCCGCGTACAGTCAAGGAGATGCTCACTTGGATCGCAGGACTGCAACACAAAAAGCACCAAGAGACTATGAAACAGTGTATTGAGAAAGCTTTCAAGCGCGGCGAGGATATCTCTGCCATCCTCCCACTCTCAGTCAACGGTGCTGACATCCGCCCTCAACATGTCATCGACACCATCCAGCTTGCCGCCACGTTCGCAGCTTCAGTGCTCAATTCCATCGCGCCTAAGTGGAGGATGGCGGTGCCATCTGCAAGGTCGACGCCCAGGGAGCCCGATTGGTGCGCCCTCCCCTGCCAGCTACGGGACTACGTCTACGCCTGCTGCCACCAGTTGGCGTTTCTCAAGTCACAGTGTTCTCGAAGGGAATCTGATGGTGGTTGGCAGGATTGTTATTATGGCAGTAATGTATCTTCTCCCAAGTCCCCCCTCCAGGCCTTCCTGACTGACGCCTCGGACTCCAAGTTCCAGACTTACCCCTTCGACCCGTGTGACATCTGCCGCAAGAGCCGCATCAACATGGGATTTACAAAGGATGATTTGCCTGACGATGAACAAGATGGCAAGCATATTTCCACCATCCTCTCTCCCACCTGCGGCGGCGACGATCCCTTGCTGACATTGGCCTCCTACCTCAACTGCCTCACCAGGCGGACGCCGCGCACCACCGGGGAGCTCGTCTCGTTCTTTCACAATTGCGGGAATGAGCTTCATGATGCGTTTTCAGATAAATTGTTACCACTGGGCTCCGCCCTCTCCAGTCCACATTACGACTGCCCCGACTGGGACCGTCTTGAGGCCGAAGATCTCCGAGCCATCGAGGACGCCCGGGGCTCCGCCACTCCCAACTCCAACCACGACAAGAACCATCCCAAGACGCTGTCCACGATGCTTGGTTGCGACATCACCAATGCGCAGTGCCCACAACACTTGTCGCCCATCACCTACCGGGCCTACGCCCTGTACTCTTCCAGCTTCGTACACCACTACCTTAGCTGGGCGGTGTACCTACCCGACAGACTACACGAGTCACTGGAAAAGCTGAGCGTAGATTTAAGGGGGCATGATAATACCAAGTGCACATCACTCTACGCTTGTCACGACGCCCTGCCCCTCCTCTACTCTCACGGGTTCACTCCGCCGGACGGGACACTGCAGTCCTCACTCACGTGTTCGAAGGCCATCGCCAATCTGAAGGAAGTGGTCAACGGAAGGCCTATCGCAAGCCTCATGACGGCCATGGACAATTTCCTCTACAGAGTCCGGGAGCCCTTCATCTACACTGTGTTCACACTCTGGTCTGTCGCAATGATCTTCCTCGCCCACACGATGCTCTACCGTATGGACATACTGCGCATCCGCTCGCATCTCCTCACCACCAGGGCGTCTCATCTCATCGACGTCAAGGCCTTACTCACTAAAGGCCGCAAGATGCTCTCACTCTACAAAGGCGTCGACTACTTCGACGACGAATCTGCCGGCCTACTACACAGATGAGAGTAATAATCGCAGCATGACGACACACAATACATTACTAGTGTCGTCATGCATTCTGTGATTTCCTATGTCAGCCGTACTCACCTAACCAAATGGCTGACCCACCAGTGCTTCTGCCACGGCAGGCCAACAACTAGGCGCCGTTACTAGAACCATAATAATGATTATAGCGTCTATGTTATTATGTTCCTCTTGCCTCTTTCAGTCCCAAACGTTTGATCATGTGATAAGGCACGTCGACCGCTGATCCCTCCTACCGTAATCTCCCGGTCGCATCCCTCAAATATATCTACAAATAGCTTTCTAATCGTAACTAATGTGTCTACTAATTTGCCTGTTCATAGCGTATTCCACTACCATTCATGCCTTGTTGACCACGCGTTAAGCCACGCTCCTCATTCCGTTGGTCATCCATCCTTCACCTACGGCCCTTTAATAGCATATCAGAAATGGTGCTAGTGGCCACTCACTTGATTCTTCCTTCGTCATCGAAACACGCGAAAAACCCATTAGTAAAACACATAGAATATTTCAATATTTGCTCTGCCCACCCTATAGCGTCAATCCCAGACGGATGGAAATCAAGCATTCTGTGAGGTGGACGCCGTTCGGAAGATTTTAGCGGAGCAGAAAAAGGCAAATGGTGATCCCTTAAAAATTGAATTACACGACAAGCTTTGGCCATAGAGAGCGTTATTGGCACATAGATTGAGACAGGCCTGAAAGGCGTAATGCCTCAGCGCCACATCATACGAGGACTAAAGGTGGACTGGGAGTTAAAGGCTGAGGTGTGGTCCAAGAACAATTGGTTTACAGGTAGATTAAGGAAAATTGTGACATGTTGGAAATCTAGACGTGGGGAGGAAGATTAAACGCGTAGCACAAGGAGGCTGCTGAGTCTGAGGTCACTAAGGCGTTGGAGGCTGTTGCCAAAATGGACGAAAGTCTTAAGAAGGATTTGAAGAAAGTTAGGGATGATATCAAAAGTGAGATAGGGAATGTGATTCAGAAGTTGGGAGTTTTGAAGTTGGATGAAAATGTGAAGAGTGATTTGGGGATTTTGAGGGGGATGATTGAGGAGCTTAAAAGTAAAGTGGAAGTTAATAGTAACAGCCTTGTTCAAGGCGAGTTGGATAAGCTTGCACAAGAGAAGAAAACTCTTGAAAATGTTACTGGTAGTCCAAATGGTTCAATTCATAAGGCGATGAGTGAGCTGGAAAGTAATTTTAAAACTGCGATCCAAAGTCCGCTTAACGAGAAAGTAGATGTTGACTCGGCGATTGGGACGCTTGGCGAGAAGTTTACTGGGCTTAACGGTGAGGATAAAAAGACATTTGAAAAGATTTTCGGGCATATTAAAGATAAGGTTGGGGAGATTAAGGGGAACGGAGGAACTCAAAAAGGTCTAGATGGGATTGTTGCGAAAGTGAAGGATCTTGCTCGGCGGTTCGTTAAGGGACATGGAGATAATGGTTTTGAGCATCGAGTAGGCGGATGGCTGGAAGGTATAATAGGGAATGGGAAAAGGCCAAGGCAAGACGGGTATAAGAAAGGGCTGGACGCTGTGAACTCTTGGCTTGGGCAGAATGGTGGTGCGGCAGTGAGAGAACAAGTTAAGAAAAAAATTATGGAACAGCTCACATCCCAAATTGGTGCAGCTCAGGGGAAGATTGATGAACTAATTAAAAATAAAATTGACCAAAACAAAATCACACAAAATCTGGACGGCATCAAGCAGGCTTGCGAAACATTTGTCAGCGGTCTTGATGAGCAGATTAAGCAGGGGGCAATTGACGGATTTGCCTCTGCGATAGCCGGGAGGATCGAGGGTAAACCTAAATCCACCAACCCTAATCTCAAGTCTGCCATCGAATTCGCCCTCGTTGCGCTCTGCGCTTCTGTGAGGCAGGTTGGTAACGAACTCCAGTCATTAGGCATCGACAAGTTTGGCAAGCTTTTGGACGCTATAATGCCGACTGTAGATATGCTTAATGAGAACCTTAAAGCTGCAAATCAGCAACAACTCACATCCTCCGGCCAGAAGGAAAGCCCCGCCCATGCCGTGGACAGTAGGTTCTAGGAATTGAATAGTAAGGTTGAGAAGCTGAACGACGATTTGGACAGCGACACAAGTGGGCTCAAAGTAGCACTTAAATATCCTCCTAACTCCGTTAGTATTGCCACATTTCCAGCGGCTAAGGTCGCTTTGGGTTCTGGGCAACCGTATTGATTCACCGCATTTTACAGCTTCGCCATTTGTCACGTGTCTGTATTGTGCAATAGGTTATATTATGTTATCACTGATACTTTCGATTGTGGGCTACGCAGAGAGGTGCTGTGGCGCGTGTATCGGAAGCATTACAATGCTTACTCTTCTTCCTCAGCGGCTAGAACGGTGTTGGGGTTTACCACGTTAGTAGATTGATTCTTCCAGGATGACGCAGTCATCGCTCATCGGCCCACTTAAAGTGAGGCCATTCCAACCCATTCTTGGTCGTTGGTCCAAAATTTATTGCTGCGGATGTTGCGTGTAGTCCTCCGGGTATCCCAGGACGCTTCTTTATTCTTCTTGCCAGCACCGATGGGCTTATGCGTCGGTGGCTTCGTGTCGTCAAAAGCCGGACGGACTTCGGAAGGCATAAACCTCGGTTTCTCCTTAGGCGCCGACGGTGTTGGATTGCCGTTAGCTGCATTATCACCGACTTCCCCATCGCTGACTAACATGCCCGTTGGTGGCTGTGTCGTCTAAAGCCGGTTCGACGTGGATATAATGAATTCTCCCTTTCTCTTTAGGAGGCGACGGCGACGGATTACCTTTAACTTCGTCACCATCGGTAGTTATCTTATCCGATGGTGGCTGTGTGTCGTCGAAAGCGGGAATAACGGGGAAATGTTTAATTCTCCCTTTCTCTTTTGGAGACAACGGAGTTGGATACATGTTTGCTTCGTCACCATTGGTGGCAAACTCTTCGGTTGGCGGCTTTGTGTCGTCGAAAGCACGAGGGACGTCGATCCACCTAATCTCCCCCTTCTCTTTTGGAAGTGAGGGGGCGGGCTGCGCCGATGTCGCCGCAGAAACATCGATTCCGCTGAGGATCAGAATAACCACGGATAGGAACCACTTCATTTTGCAGTTAAATATTAAACTCTATAATCAAATCGGCACCATGCGTACATATCCTCCTCGGCGATGGATCTCCTGGAAGGTATGTTGGGCATCAGCCTTCTACCGGTGACAACCAACACACACGTGAAAGGCTCATGACTGTAACGATGCCACATGTTAAATAAGGATATGCGCGGCGTATATGGTCCGTTTCATGATTCGTCGCGTCCATTCTCAGCGAAACGGATGTCACTGTTGCCATTACGGTTCCTGATGTGCTGGAAGGCGCTGCGAATCATGCGCTTGCCTTGAAGCGCGGCACATTGCGTCGCTTATGATATGCTGTGTGATATTTTGTTGGCTTATTTTTAGCTTTACAGCTTCTCAATACGTACATTGTTACGCATGAGTCGTACCACCGCTACACAGCTTAGACTGGTTGATCTCCACAAACACTTTCTCACCACCATAACGACGCCGTGGTCCACCTTGTTGACACTTTTACAGTTACTAGCGATACGGTTACTCGGAGGATGGACTCACTGCAGGGGGTCTGGCGATTTGTCGCATTGGATGCCGTAGCTGCTGTTTTTGGTTCTCCATTTTCTAATCCAACCAACACACGAGGATCAGGGCAATTCCCTACGTCATGACGTCGGAGGGAATAGTAACAGTAGAACACACCAAGTATAGGCGAGACCTGGGCATATAGGATCGCTTAGAGACCCATATTCAACGGATGGTGATCCAAGCAACACAAAAGGTTTTGTGGAACATGAAACCCAGAGAAGATTATGGCTCTGTGAATGACCTTCTCGCCCAAACAGGATGGATGCCACCTGTATCGTTCGGAGAAAAGACAGCGTAACCCCAGGCCAACAATAATGGCGCGCGGTATAGGCCTCCGGAAAACGCGAAGACGGGGACGTGATAAACATAGGCATATAGCACACTAAACAAAGAAAACCACGTATTACAACTGATTAAATATACATTTTACTTTGGTTCTCAGTGTTGTACTTTCGCGTTGTCTTAGAGTGCTCCGGGAGAATAAAAGGCACCTCGAGCAGCTGTCTGCTGCCCGCTTGATAGTTGGTTGAGTTTCAAATGCCTTTGAGTCACCTTTATGACTTGACCGTTCATATTGACATACTTAACTTCCACGGGGTTCGATGGATCTGTCAGTGAACGCTCGGAATTGTGGTTTCCATGTAGCCTGTAATGAGAAGAGTGCGACCTTTCCATGGGAGCCGTAAAGCAACGGTTATCTATTGCACCATTATTAGATGCTGATGTCGAATATCCGCACAACAGCTTTGAGAAGATTCCGGGGGGTATATCCTCACTTAAATGGGACGTATGAATCGGATTCGACATTGATGTAAAATGGTCAAACGTAACCGTTTTGCTTCCAGGCAAACCTACCGGATGCCCCGTTGATAAGGGGTGCGAGTGTGGGACACGAGTTGTACTCTCTTTTCCATGATCTCTTGAACTACCTACCAGACCTATTTCTCTGGATGGGGTAATATTTATATCCCTCCTGTTTTTAACGCTTTCGGCACCGATATTTGAACCTTCCATAGTTTGTTTGACAGGGAAATCCACGCACTGCTGCATCTGTTCAATTATTGTTGCAGCCTTTTCGTTCAGATGTTGCAACGTGCTGGTTGATTTAGCAACGGCACTCATCTGCGCTTCGCATTGCTGTACAACTTGTGCAAACTTTCCAATAATACGTTCACACTCGTTTGAAGCTTCCGAACATGTGGTGATCCTATAAGTTGCGTGATGCGGTAGGGGGTCGTTGCTGACGCATCCCCCAATATATGGTGTCGCATTTTCACTTTTAAATGCGGATGCGGCATCTAGAACAGCAGCTTGCAGTTTTGATTCCATTGCCGCTTGAATGTCTTTCGCAATGGCGTCCACCTTATTGGCAACATCTTGCATCACGGCTGTTTCTACCGGTTTACTTATGGCATCCCGCATTGCCAGATCGTCGTCATTTTGCGGTTCTTTAATCCCACGCAATTTAAGGTCGATTGCGTTTGAGACGTGCTTTATGACATCACCGTTTAATGTCTGCACGCGATCCTCAATGATCCGGTAGAAATCTTGTGAGAGTTTATCTTCCACATTTATGCTTAAGACTCCGAGTTTCTCGTCACACTCCTGAGCGGCAGTTTCCACCGCTTTGGTCTCGACTTCAGCACAGAAACTTTTAACTTGCTGCATTATACCATCTAGCTCATGTTTCCTCAATACGTCGTTCCACTTGGAGTCAAAGTTGCCGCACAACTCATCTTTGACATTTTGACATCCTTTTTGTATCATTGAATCGATATCGGAATACAACGTATCCATTCTTTGCGCAAATTCCTTTGTTTCCTGATTTGCCTGCACAATTTTTGACTTCATTTCACCTATGTCGGTCCTCATGGTCTCAATTTGCTCGTTAATTTCCTCAACCTTTCCATCGGATTGTCTCTCAATAAGCGTCTCTACGTTTCCTAATATATCGTTAGACATTTGTTGCAATTTTGTATCATACGATATAAGACGAGACGCAACATCTTTAATTTTGTTTTCGACGTTTGACTCGACGCTGGCCATATGAGAATTCATCGCGTCTTGGGCTTCTCTGAGGGCATCATTTAGCTTTTCCTCGATGCCTTCTTGTATGGATAGTTGAATAGATTCCCTGGCCTCTTTAATTGCCCCCTTTATACGAGCATTCAACGTATCCTCATTCACCTTCTGTATAAGGAGTGTGGATATTTTTTGTTCCACTTTCGATGATTCGTTGCTGATGAGCACGGACACTTGTTCTAGAACATCGCTGGCAGCCTTCTGCACCATTTGCTCATGTTCGGCGCGCATGGCCCTAATTTCTTCTTCGTATGTCTCCCTGAAATGGCACATCTTTGCATCGATTAACTTGTCTACTATATCTTCGATTTTCTGAGCATCGATACAAGGCGTTACTGGCTGCGCATTTGTACATTCGTAGGTACTGCCTTCAGCAGTTGAGGCAGAGAGATTCGCATCAGATTCGGCCGACGGTGCCCGGTCGTTGCGTTCAGTTACCATCGCATTAACTTTGTTATGCTGAATAGGTTTCAGAGCGCTATCACCTTGGGCTTTCCTCAGGTGTTCCTCCAGTTTATTTACTTGCTGTTTAACGGCGCCAGATTGCTCTGATAGGATCCCCATTTCCCAAAGATTGTTCGAAGGGGTGCTATCTAGGCTCCAATCTTTTGTGTAGCCACTGTTTACTCTGGCCATTGTTTGGCTAATCCAACCAGCTGAGCCGGTGTTGATTCCTCCCTTGCATGCAATAGATGCCAACTCATCACATGAGCGATCCATTATGCACTCCGGTTTACCATTGCAGCTGTCTGCTTTCACAAACGCTTCGATTCCTCCATCTTCCCTGTGCACGGCTACCATGTTGACCACGATATCGGAGCTTTCTGCCTGCTCCGCAGGGTCGGATTCACTTGGAGCCTGCGACATCCTCGGGGTACTTATATTATCAGTCATCCTGTACATGCGCTTCACGTCACATCAACCTTCCTTCAGTTACAATTACGATTCGCCATCGTTGTCGATCCCTCAACTGAGGTCGTATGGTTATACAAAATACGGTTAGAAGCCGCCTTCCGATACAACAAATTGTACAGTGAGAAGTTAATAGAATGCTCCCGGATTTACGGTATCTATCCCGCCCCGTTCGATAAGGTAATTTTCTTGGCCGTTGTTACGTATCGAGGCACAGCGACGTAGGCGCGCTTTTTTGTTATCCCGAACAAAATTTAGTTCAGCGAGCTAAAAAATTCAAGTACATGAAAAATGCCAACTTTCCGAATGGCAAGTGCGTGCCCTGGCGCATCGCGCGATATCCCTGTCGCGGTGTTATGCAGAAAAGGGCAAGGATTATAGCGGCAACAAAGCATAATACTTGTGCTAGAATACATTGAACAGCGTTATCTCTGGTACAGCACGTCTGTATCGTCGTGTGTACTCTGCAACTTGATGAGTTCGCCTCCAATCGCCTAAATCTGGACACGGGTATCAGTCGTCAGCTGCGCCCATAACCTCGCAACTATTACACATACGCTATAACCAGTTATCTAGATAGTTGAGGACGCTCAGAATCTGCTCAGTTCTCTACACAGAATTACAGACCCTTGCGGAGTACGCCTGTCTTCCTCTAGAATTTGTATCGTTTAAAGCGGTTTGAATGTGGCTGGAGCATAACACCTCATTTAACTTCCATTTTGCGGCAAGAAGTACAAGTATATTCACTATTATGGCGAATTCAACAGGGGTTGCTCCGCCGATTGAACCTTCAGCAGCAATACTAGAGGAAGCTGCACCGGATTGCTAGATGTTGCATTTTATGGAGGAATCTGTCTACAGCTGGCACATTTTGCCGTATGGAAGAGCGTCTCAGAATCTCATGTTATTTTGTTTCATCATCGTTTGAGTTGCCCTCGTGAAGTCTCAGAATTTCCTTTTGCAGATGACAAGATGTTAATTGGCCATTTCGTTTCGCATCTTGGACTCCTACGTCGTTCGCCATTCCTCTGCTCCCGTCGTTTGTTCTCCGCGTCGCCAAGTGACGTGTTCAGTTTCGGTTACTCTGGTCGTACGGTAACCTTAGAATTCCGTGGTGTCCCGTCACTTAGCAAGAAGCGATTAGGGGCAACCGATTACACGTCCAACAAGCGGCTTGTCGAAGCCGCCGTGTCTGCAGTGCCATCATGCGATCTGGTCGCCGTGGGTGTCGGTTCTCCTGAGTTGGATGTTATCAGGCGTTACCTTGAATTCCAAGAGTCCAAACAGTCCAAAAATGCAAGTCGCCGTAAATTCAAAAGCGCGCGTCACCTCTTGAATGGTTATCAGCAGTACATAAATGTGGTCACTGGCGCGGGTGACGCTGGTATTAAGGTCGTGGCAATCGGCCGAAGCAAACGCTCGGAGGCTATTAGTTTCGGCGAGGCTGCTACCAGTAACAAGCTTGAGTTATTGCGTCTGCTATCTCTATATCTGCGCAAGGGAGATGTGTTGAAGGGTTTGTTGCTGATGGTGTTTTCTGATTTTGTTTACAGTACCCGAAATCCGGGAGGACTTCAGGTTAGCCACTCCCGCCATATACCAAGCGGTCGTAACTGAGGGCGCGGTTTACTGCTTTTACCGACTGCACGAGAGCATTTACAGTTAGTAAAATATATTATATGTCCATGTTCCCGCAGACATCGACGCTATCACGTTGAGCCGAAGAAGGAATGTGAAGGTCCTAGTGGTAGTGGACGACTGGCTGGTGCGTGAGCTGGCGCATATGGTGCGCACAAAGTTGCCGCCGATCATTGCGGCAAACAAACCACCTACAAGGGAAGTGCTGGACAGCATTGACAATCGCAGCAGCACGGGTTGGAGGCGCTTCCTTGTCCGCTTTGTTGTGTTCCCTCTGGTCGTTGTTGCCGGTACAGTGGGGTATAAACTATGCACGCTGCTCAGCGCCCCATTCTTGGACTTCGTTGCCCGTATAGGCGGCAGAAGTGCTTTGGGCATTAGTGCAAGCCCTGCAAAGCGGGTCGGCAGCTCCCAGGTGCAATCCGATGACACCTCAAGAGACTGAGCGGCGGCAGCTCGGCGGACTGCTGTAATAGTGCATATTGTATTTTATTATTTGGTATACAGTGTTCAGCCGTCACTATGCTCCATGCTGCTATCGGTGACGCTACCGTCGTCCTTGTGTTCATCGCGATCAGAGTAATGGCTCAATGACCTGGACGATTTGTCCGGCGTCTCGCTCCTGCTACGGCCAGAGTGCTTAGACCTCCTTGTGCGACCAGACCTCGGCTCCGATCGTCTTGCTTCGTGAGAAGGCCGCGATGAGCTGACGGATGAGGAGCTGTTTCTGCGGTGCTTTCTTGAGCTGTACCGCTTTGAATGACGTCTGCTGTATTCGCTTGAGTGGCTGCGTCGGCGTTCGACTTGGTCACTTCTCGAGTGCGATCTGCTAGATCTTGATCGGCTGCGATCCTTATCGATTGCTTTGTGCCGCGTTGAGACAACGTCCCTATCCCCCTTACTCCTGCCATAATCCCTTTTGCGATATTGCGGCGTATGGCTGCGCGATACCGAGCTGCCGTGTGAGGCTCCGCTGTGCGACCTTCTGGGGTACCGCCTGCTAGAAGCACTACGGCTCATGCTGCGGTACGATTTATGCCCTGAACTCCTTCGTTTCCTGTGAGCACGGCTCGGGCTCCTACGGCGACGTGAACGTTCCCTGTACCGCATTCTCGACCGTTCCGTCCTCCTCTCGTCCCTGTCCGTGTCGCGTTCGCTCGACACGCTGTAGTATGATCTCGACCGTGAGTTGGAAATACTGCGTGAGCGCCTGGATCTCCGTCGGCGTGTTGCGGGAGAGTCACGGGACACATCGCTGTCGGTGGAGTAAGACCTTCTCGAACGTTTGTACTTTTTGCCGTGTCTACGTTCGCTACGCGGCGTGACGGATCGCGACGCACTGCGTGATGCGCTCCTTTCCACGTCCCTGACGTGCGTACTGTGAGATGGGCTCTTCGGTCGGTCGATGGAACGCGACCTACTCCGATTGGGCGTTGAGCCGACGCTACGTGCAATTTCATCCCGTTCGCTTCGTACTGCTCCTTGGTCTGCCGACTCGACATCCCTAGTTTTAGCTTCATCAGCACTGTGCTTTATGTTAAGCGCTTCCATCATCTTCTGATTGCGCCGCGCCTTTTCCTCGGCTAGCTGATTGCTGTCGTTCCTGAATCGCAATGTAGAAGGACAACATTGCAAACGTACTCTCTGCGATCATAGGTCATCTCATCCTGCTCTAGCAGTTTCATTAGCCGTTGTCTCTCGTTTGCTATCAACTTATCCAATTCTTCCGTGGTCATCTGACCTTCCTTCTGTACGCGCAACTCCAGCAGTTTGACTTCTAGCGCCCGAAGTTTTTCATGTAATGCGATTTCCGGGTTCGTGCGCAGCTTTGGGCGCGTGATGACCCCGTGCTGGTCATGTCCTTTCGCGATTCTGATCGGCCGCAGAGTCGCGAGGCTTTTTTGGACGTATCCGTTCGTTCCACTGCCTCTCGGCGTGGTAAGCCCTACTCCGTTAAACATGTTTCAGTGTTTTATTGGTGATGCCAAATATTCGGTTGTCTTAGAAGTGAGTGTATTACGGATGGGGTGTCGCGTCGGCTTCGCATGGAAGACAGCGGCACTGCTGCGGATTCCTCAGCTTTTAGCACGCAGACATGTCGCACCTTTTACTGTGAGCATATTGCGACAAATTTACGGCAGCGTTGCGGATGGGTCTTGTGACCCCCGAAGCCACCACGCAAAGGCCCATTGTCCACGCCGATATTTCGACAGTGGCTTGGATTGAATTGGCGTCGCAGCGCGATTGATTACTTAAACGCAATACAGGGAACGTTCGCGCTTTTAACTTTAATGGGATCCGCGTGCTTGCGCCGCCTATGTCCTACTGTGTCATACACACATTCGCGTCAACACACACAGCATTACGGTGTCTCATACATCGACCACTCCCACTGCCAGTTTGAAGCAGTATGCAACGCCAGGCCAGTTCTTGTGTTCTGACCCTCGGCGCGCTCTTGTTGTGCTGCTCGCCACGCTGCTGTTATGAAAGGTGTGGGGATTGGCTTCGCTCTTTCCCGGCACATCAAACTTTCCCAACAATTTTCGTTAGTTGCTGTGCTCTTTTTTCGATTTAGCATAAGGCCTCATTTTTGTGCGTTTTGTGAGAGAAAGCAACAACGATCAAGATGGTGAACTTCACGGTGGAGCAGATGCGCGAGATCATGGGTAACCCCAAGAACATCCGCAACATGTCCGTGATTGCGCACGTCGACCACGGCAAGAGTACTCTGACCGACTCTCTTGTCTCCAAGGCCGGTATCATTGCCGCGAAGAACGCCGGTGATGCGCGTTTCACCGACACCCGTGCGGACGAGCAAGAGCGTTGCATCACCATTAAGTCCACCGGTATTTCCATGTACTTCGAGCACGATTTGGATGATGGTAAGGGCATGCAGCCTTTCCTTATTAACCTGATTGACTCACCCGGACACGTTGACTTTTCATCGGAGGTTACTGCCGCGCTTCGTGTCACTGATGGTGCTCTGGTTGTCGTTGACACTATTGAGGGTGTGTGTGTTCAGACTGAGACTGTGTTGCGTCAGGCCTTGGGTGAACGTATCAGGCCCGTGCTGCACGTCAACAAGGTTGACAGGGCGTTGCTGGAACTTCAGATGGGACCGGAGGAGATTTACATGACCTTCCTTCGTTGCATTGAGAACGTGAACGTTATTATTGCTACTTACAATGACGAATTGATGGGTAACGTTCAGGTGTACCCTGAGAAAGGTACTGTGTCTTTCGGATCTGGTCTTCACGGATGGGCCTTCACCATTGAGACCTTTGCCCGTATCTACAACACTAAGTTCGGTATTTCCAAAGAGAAGATGATGCACTACCTCTGGGGTGACCACTTCTTCTCCAAAAGCGGCAAGGTATGGCTCTCCGAGGCTACCCCCGAAGCACCTGACCGTGCCTTCTGCAACTTCATTATGAAGCCCATCTGCAGTCTGTTCACCAACATTATGAACGACAACAAGGACAAGTACGTGCCTCAGCTGAAGTCTATTGGTGTTGAATTGAAGGGAGAGGACCGTGACCTTACTGGCAAGGCCCTGCTCAAGAGGGTGATGCAGATCTGGCTGCCCGCTGGTGACGTTCTTTTGCAGATGATTGTTAGCCACCTGCCTTCTCCTTTCGAGGCCCAGAAATACCGTGTTGAGAACCTTTACACTGGTCCCATGGACGACGAGGCTGCCAATGGTATTCGCAACTGTGACCCCGATGCTCCTCTTATGATGTACATCTCTAAAATGGTACCGACCTCGGACAAGGGACGTTTCTACGCTTTCGGTAGGGTGTTCTCTGGTACCGTTGCTACTGGCCAAAAGGTTAGGATCCAGGGCCCCAAGTATGTGCCTGGCGAGAAGACTGACCTTCTTATCAAGAACGTCCAGCGTACTGTGCTTATGATGGGTCGTTACACCGAGCAGATCCAGGATGTGCCATGTGGTAACACTTGCTGTTTGGTTGGTGTCGATCAGTACATTTTGAAGAGTGGTACCATCACCACCTGCGACGCGGCCCACAACATTGCTGACATGAAATACTCTGTGTCTCCTGTCGTGCGTGTGGCTGTCAAGCCTAAGGACTCCAAGGATTTGCCTAAGTTGGTGGAAGGTCTTAAGAAACTGTCTAAGTCCGATCCCCTGGTCGTGTGCAGCACCGAGGAGAGTGGTGAGCACATCATTGCCGGTTGTGGTGAACTTCACGTTGAGATCTGTTTGAAGGATTTGAAGGACGAGTACGCCCAGATTGACTTCATTGTTTCGGATCCCGTCGTGTCCTACAGGGAGACTGTCGCCGCCGAGTCTAGCATCACTTGCCTGTCCAAATCGCCGAACAAGCACAACAGGTTGTTCATGAAGGCCGAGCCCTTCGCCGAGGGTCTTGCTGAGGCTATTGAGGAGAACGAGGTCACCTCCAGGGATGATGCCAGGGAGAGGGCCAACCTTCTTGCCGACAAGTTCGAATGGGACAAGAATGCTGCTTTGAAGATCTGGTGCTTTGGTCCTGAGACCACTGGTCCCAACTTGATGGTGGACATGACCACTGGTGTGCAATACCTTAACGAAATTAAGGACCACTGCAACTCTGCGTTCCAGTGGGCTACTAAGGAGGGTGCTCTCTGTGACGAGAACATGCGTGGTATTCGTTTCAACCTTTTGGATGTTACTATGCACGCTGATGCTATCCACAGAGGTGCTGGTCAAATTATGCCTACCTGCCGTCGTTGCCTGTACGCCTGTGAATTGACTGCCCAGCCGAAGCTTCAGGAGCCAGTGTTCCTTGTGGATATTAACTGCCCCCAGGACGCCGTGGGTGGTGTCTACAGTACGCTGAACCAGCGTCGTGGTCACGTCTTCCACGAGGAGAACAGGGCTGGCACGCCCCTCATCGAGATCAAGGCCTACTTGCCCGTCGCCGAGAGTTTCGGTTTCACCACTGCTCTTCGCGCCAGCACTTCCGGTCAGGCCTTCCCGCAGTGTGTGTTTGACCACTGGCAGTTGATGAACGGTGACGCGCTTGAGAAGGGTTCCAAGTTGAATGAGATTATTCTGGCCATTAGGCAGAGGAAGGGTTTGAAGGCTGAGATTCCAGGTCTCGACCAGTTCTACGACAAGTTGTGAGCGTTTACGCAGCACACCTTTGAAATATCTGACTTCGATTCACCTTAATGTTACCAAAGCTCGTTATTCGTGTTTCATGTCAGCGGCTTGGCGAGGCTTTTTTCTTCGCGCCGCCGTGCCTCCTAGGGTTCCATATATGCGTTGCGGCGTTTTCTGGACATACGCATACATGATTGTGGCTAGCAATGTTGCCTTCTATGCGTGTTTATGCTATGCGTGGCTTAGTGTGTTAACGTGTCTGGTGTGTCGCCTGCCTGCTGGAGGGGTCGATGCCGACGCAGCTCTCTTCCGCCAATCTTCCAGCCTGTAAAATGCACGAGCCTGAAAGTGGCGATACATCTGAAGAGGTTATAGAGTTGACTGAGGGCTGGTCGGTCTGCAACGACGACATCTACCGCATAGCCAATCAGCTACTATCGCTAGCTTTCGCCGTCAAATACTTCGGTTTGTATGCGACTAATCGCCTATATAATTCTCAGGCGACGCCTCCAGCCGTTCTCGACTTTTGGGCGTTTGCGAATCGTTTTACGCCGAGCTGGGAGCGCTTGGTGAACAGGTGGAGCTGCGTCCCAACTTCAACTACGACCGTGTATACGAGTGGCTTCGTCGTACGTTGGAATCCCGTTCGGACGTTCCTGAGAGCGAGGATGTGTTGGTAGATGAGGACAAATCGACGCTGTATGCGATTTGTCCGATATCACGTCGTGGCATCTCCCAACCAGTGTCTCAGAAGTGAGCTTTTCATCTCTGTTCCCGACATTGCGCAGGTTCGCCTACGGAGATGACTCATGCGATCACGTGTTTGACCACACCAGTATAACGGAGCTGATACGCGCGTCGAGATGCCCGTCTGTCAATTGCCCTGTAGCAGGTAGGTGCATTAGCTTGTTACTTGTTGTGTACTTGTTACCACTATTGCATATAAGGGTGCATGGGACCATATTTTTGAGTTGTAGCACTTGTTCTAAACAGGATGGAGTGACAGTAATGGCGTGACGTGATAAGATTTTCTGACCCCATTCGCCAAGTGCCTGGAGTGCAGCCTAACGTCACGCTTGGGTTCGGTTCCTTACATGAACCCTTCTCATCGATATAGATACATCGTTTGCAGCGTGCACTAAGAAGGTATACGAATCGCGTTTGCACCGAGACTGGGAGAGCGTACACTGGAAGCGCCACCAGGAATACCTAAAGACCTTGGAGAACGCTAAAGGCCCAACCGGCGGCGGCGCACTTTATTTATGACACAATGGCATCATCAGCGTTGAATTATGCAGCCCAACTCCGTCGTAACGACAATAAGGGCCCATGCGGCGGTGCCCAACTGTTTGATACCCCTGCTGAGGTATCCCGGAAGTTCAAAAAGCTATCCGCCCTCCTCAGCGATTCCAAATATACTTTATTGCACACAGGCGCGGGGATTTCGACAGCAGCAGGTATACCCGACTTTCGTGGACCTTCCGGTGTATGGACTGTCATGAGCCAGGAGAACGGCGGGGATGGCAAACGCCGCAAGATGACGGATGGGGACTGCACGGCCAAGAGCACCGGAGACGTACCGGTGGAATATGGACACAATAAACTGGAGCCGGTTGAATTTTCGCAGGCTATGCCCTCCCAGGCTCACCTGGCTATCCTGGCACTTTTGCGTGCAGGGCACGTTCAAGCCGTGATAACGCAGAACATCGATGGCCTGCACGCAATTAGTGGCATGCGTTTTTCCGAATGTTCCGAGCTACATGGAAACGTGTTCGTCGAACGATGTGTTTCGTGTGGCCGCCGTTTCCTGCGCTCGTACGTGGCTCCAACTATCAGCTTCAAGCCGACTGGCAACCATTGCGGTAGGTGTATATCGCTAATAACGTTTCTAACGCCGCAACAGGCATATGCCACTTCCCACCTTGTGGAGTGCTAACCGACGTGGTCCTGGATTGGTTCGACCGTTACGAGGATCACTTCGAGAAGCGCGCTATAGCTTACGCTGAGGAAGCCGATGTGCACCTCGCATTAGGCTCGTCGCTGCACGTGGAACCTGCATGCCACTACGCGTCTTCCGAACACTACCGCAAGGAAGACGCCTCGCTGGTTATCGTGAATTACCAGAAAACGCGTTTGCATGGTGAAGCAGATATTGTCCTGCACTGCGACGTAAACAAGATTTGCATGAGGCTGTTGAAGAGTCTGAAATTGACGTTACCCAATTTTCTGCGGCGTTTCTATATGGTGGCTTTGCATTACAGGTCTGGCAGCTACAACAAGTTGCTTTTGCGTTTCCCGTGTATTGTCAGCATTTTGGTCAGCGACGAGTATGCTTCGCTCAGCGGCGTGTCGCACCGTTGCGTCAATAGGCTTCAGGGATTGCACGAATTCACGTTTAACGGCGATTTCGAGGCTAGCATAAAATTGTGGTTTGATGCCGAAATGGTTTTGAGGGTCCGTTATTCGCCTGATTGCTCATTTTCCGGTCTGGTGTGGCAACTTTGCCTTGCAGCAACGGACGGCGTTTTAGCACACCGCAAGAACACCCCGATTATTCACGAGTTCGGTGATGCAGGTGGGGATGGTTGCACAAAGGTTTCTAGGTTGACATTGTCCTACAATGCCGCCATGATCGCAAAATCTGATGCATGCCGTGTCATCGCCAAACTGTGTCATGAGGATGAAACAATTCCCGGCTTCAAACAGCGAGCCATGCCGGAATCAATCTCGAGACTGCTAACGTGTTTCTTCTGGCTCTCCAATTCCGATGATGGACCATTCGCAATATTAGCTGACATTAAAGAGGACGGCGATTGGTTAGAGGAGTTTGAACCGATTGATCACTTTGATCTGCTGCCCGAGGTAATGCGTGTGTGCGTTCGCCTTGCTCTCCTGCGCCAGCTGGGAACCGTATGCAAAAACCAGTTTTGCATAGACATAAAAGCGCTGAACGCTGCACGGAGTGAGTCTCACCCACTGGATGTGTATTTTGCGGCTAGCAAAATACGACTGCTTTGTTCGTCGGATCACGAGTTCGGAGAACTACTAGATGTAATGCCGGGAGAAATGCGCATGTGTCTACCTAGGCGTATTAGGCCCATTGCTTCGTGTCGGGCGTCATCATTCAATCCTCTAAACGAACTCTTCCTTACAGTGCTGAAGCACAGCACGGAAGCTATAATGAAGCGCCAGTCGACGACCGCGGCAGACGTAAAGTTCGTCAAGACAACAAAAGCCGAATTCCCCGTATGGGTTAGCTGCTATATCAGCTGTTTGTTCGAGTCTCGCTGATGCAACACACAACAGTAAAACACATTATTGTCTACTAATTGCTGATGATACGTTTGCAGATTGGCAGCATTGCGCAAATACCCGCACACACAGTAGACACAATGATGGAATCGCTATCATGCCGATTCGAGGGATTATTATGAAATACTAGTGCTTAATGAAAACGTTTGTTATACAGATAAAATTTCTCGGAATGTAGATAAATGAAAGGCACGAACTACATTTTTATGTAACGCGCCAATATACACATGGCAAATTTACGTGCAACGCAGACACCTGTCACATAACACTAAGTGCACATAGTTGCTTTAAAAGTAAAATAACAAATCTAAACATGTAGACACACACATTTTCGGAGCTCATTGCACCATTGTGGCATCCTCTTATACACCACCTGTCAAATTACTGATAGCAGCCATGTATTCTCACAGTTAGACATTTATATATTCTCATACAGCCCCTGTTTAAGATGCAGCATATTGGCGTTTCCATAGTGGTCTTGTGCTGTTTTATAGCACAGGGTGCTTGGGCAACTCAAGGGGCTCAGGATGGTGACGCTGCTGCTGCCGCCGCTGAGCAGACAGTTTCACTGGTTCCGCGAACCCTAAGGCAGGAATGTCACTTTTTGAAGGAATTGTTGAATGTAGATCCATTTAACAGGGATGCTAGCCGTGGGAACACAGAGTTGCTTGCGGATGCGAAGCAAAAAACAAATGTTGTTGCAATAAGAGGCGAACTTACGTTGTTGAAGGCTATGATTGATTTTGAGATGGGCGTTTTCACCGAAAAGGCTAGCGAAGAAGCTTCTGTGCCGAAATACAAAGGTCTCAACCGTTATCTATTTGTAAAGGGCCTCATTAATTCCATGGCAAAGAAGTTTGAGTCATTGAAACGGTTTTTAGAACCTCCTGTCGTTGATACGCCCGAACATCTTAAAGCGAATTTGATTAAATTAAATTTCGCTAAAGAAAATGAAATTAAAGGAGAATTGACTCTTGAGTATCTGAATAAAATCTTACAAGTCTTTTACGAACATGACGGCCCAATTGTGCGCTTATATAAACTGTTCCGTGCATACGAGTCTGAAAGAACGAAGGAGGATCCACTCTCTTCTAAATCAAACCCTCTTAGTACATTTTTTGACGACGCAGGAAATGAAGGCGATGCGTTGAGCGAGCTAGACAAAGCTAATGCCGCAATGGAGATAATTGTTCCTCGTCTTATCAGCGTGCCGTCTCCCTCACCTGCTGACAGTAATGACCGCTCTACCAATGAGGAAAGGGTAGTAACAGATCCTGTTTCGGGACCAAATGGTGAAATCGGCCATCTCAGCGACGCTGGTAGAACTACCGTTGGACCTGTTCAGCAGGAGGAAAGGCAGAGTGAAGCACCTGCACCAATAGTTCAAGTACGCGAGTCGCCGTTAACACCTGGGGAGGCAGTATCCTCAACTGGTATTGAAGAACGCAGGGAGCAACCTGCTTCACGAACACAGGAAGGACGTGATAGCAGGACTTCAGCTCCGTCTACATCGGAGACTCCCTCATTGAGGACTGCTACTGGTGAAAAGTCGCCGCAGAAGGCTTCTTCCGCTTTTGACCCGTTTATAACGGTGCTTCTCCTCGCAAGCACAATCTTCGCATTTTAGACACGGCTGAGTAAAGTCTCAGTTGATATAATGTTATACAATACACATTATGGATTACATGTGCTCAATGCTGGTATTTATGTTAGAATTGTCTCATTAATGTATTTCAGCAATCATGTTGCTAAATCTTAGTAGGGTCATATTTTTAATGGTTGTTATGCAATAGACAATGAAATAGGTGCTGTGACGTCCATTCGAGACCTCACAGATTACTACTGCAAAATATAATGACTTTTGGCAAATAACCTTTAAAGGAGCGGCGATAAATAGAAGTCACGGATATCACCAGTGTGTAACGCACATATAAGCAAGCACACACGGCCGACGTACGCGCAGTATAGGCAACTGCCATAAAACATGTGGCAGACATGAATAATTAATGCGTGGAAAGACATGTTCGAGCATGAAGGTGCGCGGATATCCATTTTCTGCTGCACCTCTGTGGCGCCCTATTACACACCACCCGTCAAATTATTGACCTCCAACAAGTGTTAGTATTGTCACACACACATTTATATTTGTGTACAGTATCTTTGTTCAAGATGTTGCTTACAAAGGTTTCTTTGGTGGCTTTGTGCGCCTTCATCGCACATGCTGTTCGTGCTGTTGAGGATGGTCTTAGCGATGACTCTGTAGCACAAGAAGTTGCATCGGCTCCGCGAACCCTGAAGGAGGAAATGTCCATTCTGAGCAAGTTGCTTGATAAAGATGCTTTTAACACAGTTGAAGTTGAAAAGAAACCGGATTCGTATGATGGCAAAGATCTGAAACCAAGAGTTATTAGAATCAGGGCAGAACTTGCATCGTTAAAGAGCATTATTGATTCCAAGAAGGCCATCCTCGCTATCGAGCCTGTCGCAGATGATTCATTGCCGAAATACAAAGGTCTCAACCGTTATCTATTTGTTAAGGGCCTCATGAAATCAATTGCAGAGAAATTTGAATCGCTAAAAACATTTTTGCAGGATACCGTTAATACGGATTCTTCTCACCTCAAGACAGAATTGGTTAAATTAAAAATTTTAAAGGAAGGTGACGTAGTTGGTGAGCTGACAGTTGATGGATTGTTTGCCTTTTTAAACGCATTTAATGCTATAAATGGGCCTATCAAGAACCTACGTAAACTTTTCCGTGATTATGAGGATCACGAGACAGAGGATGGCACACGTACTCTGAAATCACATCCCTTTACTCCATTCTTTAAAGATGACCTCGAGGCAGGCGAGTCGTTGACTGATATAGACGAAGCTAATGCGGAAACACAGTACATTCACACCCCTCGTGTTATTAGGCCATCCTCTCCATCGCGCGGAACTGAAAATGTGGGAGTTTCCGGTAGTCGTGCCGACGGGCATGCTGGGCAGACTGAGACGACTCTTGGTGAACCGTCGACAACATTGAATCAAGAAAGCCAGTCGCAGCGAGGACGCAATGATGTTGCAACTACTAATTCTGTCGAAGGACCTGGCAGGCAAACATCGGGGCAAGAGAGCGTAGATAGCGCAAATACAGCACCTTCATCTACAGCGGATAATCCCTCCTTGAGAGCTACTACTGGTGAAAAGTCGCCGCAGAAGGCTTCTTCCGCTTTTGACCCGTTTGTAACGGTGCTTCTTCTCGCAAGCGCAATATTCGCATTGTAAAATTAGCCGACAAGCAATGTAGCACGCACTGTGGGCAACGTACCACTGCTGCTATAATATATGTGAACAATTCGAATTAATATTTTCAGCAATCATGTTAATGAACTTTAATATAGTTGTGTTTTACATAGTTGTCACGATGCAGACATAATGTATTGGGCCATTATGAAATAGAATGGGCTACCTTACGACAGAATATTTCTATATGAGTGATATTTTTGCGCATATGGCACATTGCCGCATGTAGAGAAATAGAAGACACGAATTATGTCATTAGGCACTGCACACATATGCAGCTAAGGCAGATGTACCCCTAGCAGTGGGAAATTTTGCGCAATAGACGACAAATACAATTAATTAATGGGTATAAAAATAAAATCTAACATAACTACACGGAGATATGCGATGTTTGATGAACCTTTCAGGCATTCTTATACACCCCACGCGTGTGTTTTGTGACAGACCCCATCCATTTCTCAGAACACACACATTGGTCTCTTGGTGTGGTTTCTACGTTTAAGATGAAGCTTATCAACGTTTATGTTGCGGCCTTGTGCTGCTTCGTCGCAGAAGCTGTTAAGGCTACAACAAGTCCCTCTGAAGCTGAAGCTCCCTCCGCCGGTCTGTCATCTTCGGCTGTTCAGCAGATCAACGTTAAAAAGCGTACGCTACGTGAGGAGTTCATTCTTTTTGCAGAGCTCATGGCTGAGTGGGAAAAGTCAAAGAGAGATATTCATATGGATGATATGGGATTGGCGGAGCAAAGTAAGTTACGCAATCTCGAGGCTGCTATGGCGGAAACCATGAATCAGCTTTATGGCCTTGGTGTTAGCGTAGGTATTGATATGGGCATCGACGGCATCTTTGCTTTACAAAACGAAAATGATCCTAAGGTGCCTGAGTACAGGGGATTAAATCGCTATAAGTTTGTATCTGGTATAATATACTCGATGGCTAAGAAGATTAAGGCACTTAGTGACTACGTGGATGGCTTGGAAGGGGAAGAAACACCAAAAGATCTGAAGGCCACTTTGATGAAACTGGGCTTTGGGGAAGCTGATGAAATTAGCGACTCTTTGTTAAATCTTGATAGGGTTAAGAGGTTGATTTCCGAGTATTTGGGTGATGATGCTCCTCTAAGCAATTTGCTGAAGCTTTTACCTAAGCTTGAAGAAAAAATGAAGGCTTTTGACAAGGCCGAGAAGAATCCATTCCGTCTGCATTACACTAAATTTAAGGCTGCTGCTGCTGATGAGGCAATAGTGGCTGAATTGGCGGAAGCGGATAAAATCGCTGCAGACCAGGCGGAAAAGAATGCTTTTAGCCTGGTATGGGAGAAGGCTGTCGATGAAAAAACTCTAACCGATGAGGAAGTCAATAAGGCTGAAGCAGATGTTCGTAAGGTTATAGACGAGGCTGCCAAGGAGGCTGCCCGTAAGGCTAATCCTGGCTATCGTGCGCAAGAACCACTCCCGCATTCGCCCCATGCTGTCATTCCAGGCGCCGATGGTATACGCCCAACTGTCGTTGTACCATTACCTCCCAGTCAAATTAGTCTGCCCGAATCCAGTGGCACTGAGTTGCCGCAGCAACCTCAGCAGTTGGGTGGTGGTGATGGTCGCACAGGTGTTGAGGAGGGTAGTGCGGCTACTACTGCCGGACCTGAGCAGGGAGTTCCGGAAGCGACTTCTTTGAGGCAGCCGGATGAGGCTTCAACTGAGAAGAAGCCATCATCTGCATTTGACTCGTTTGTAACGGCAATCCTCTTCGTCAGCATCACTTTCGCACTTTAAGTGACGGCATTATACATTATTTAACGTCATAATCTGATGTAAATATTGGGGTTTATATGTCAATGTTATAATTAAACTTTTAGTAGATAATTTTTGATTTTTATCTTCCAAGTCGGCTTTAAAACGTAGTATCCGACGTATGCTCTTAATCGTGTGCCTGGTTGGGTGCTGTTTTTTGTGTCGCGCCAGCCTTTGCTTGTCGAGTTTGTGTTGTGATTTGACATTATTTTTGATGTCGCGGTATACATTTTTATGTATAGTTTTTTACGTATTTCTACCTGAATTATTGTTGATCGCCATAAAAATATGCCTTGGGTTAGCATCGTTACGGCTCTCAACCTAAAAATATTTCTCCATTTTGTGCGATGCTCTTTGCTGTGTTAGTTGATGGAAATTTAGGGTATATAGGCGTTGCTGCTTGCTGTTGCGGAATATAGTCAACGGTTATAAAAAAAAATTAAAATTATTCGCCGTCCTTCTTTTTCAAAATATATGTAGTGGTCTTTTAGACACTATTTGGCGTCAACTGAAATCTGGCGTTTGAACAGATCAGCGTTCGTTTTTTGTGCCTCTTTACGATTATTCTCGTCCCTGTGCTGTTGCTTCATTGTTGATTGCACGACACTCTTTGTTTATAGCATAGCTCTGAATGAAATAAGTGTATTATTTTATTGCGTGTACATTTTCTTACTTTAGACATAGCTGCATTTATGTGTGTATACGGTAGCCATTTAATTCTACATATACCAGTTTATCATAGCAAGCGTACGCTGGAGATCGCACCCTGAACTGTCTCATTTCGCAGTAAATAAGGAATTCCATGTCTGCTTAGTTTAGTAAGCAGTATATTGCACTTATTTGCGATTGTTACTTTCATTGACACGACGTTTTAGCGATCGTTAAATAAATTAGAACCCAGACAGCGCAAACACACGAAAAATGTGAATTGCATACTTCCGAGACCGTGTCATGAGAAGAAAAATAGCTATATTCACTGTCTCCTGCTCAGTGGGTGATAACGTACACTGTTGAAATCAATAACATTGGGACATTCACTTTGCAGCACTCATGCGACTCCACCGCATTTAGTTCTCTAGTGTGACACTGACGACATCGACGATGACTCAGAGCTACTTGTCTAACGAAGACAATGTTGGAATCTCAATTTACAAGCACCAACTATTTTGAGCTATATATAGTGAAAGGCACCTGTACTTTGGTGCCGGCAAAGGTAAAGACGAGTTAAAAGACATTGCGTTCCAATGTTATTGATCAACGTTTTCTAGAAAATTTCGCCCAAATTCCGCTGTACTGTGATCTCCTGTGGTTACAATAATCCATGAGGACATCAACCCTGTACGAATATATGTTGATGCAACTAGACTTATTACGATTACGCAACAACGCTGTTACGGCAACCTACCATTCATGTCTCCTGGGATTGGCAAATACGGACCACACTGCTACGGAGAAAAGGAGATAGCCACCTGCAACCGTAGCTGCGCCTGTCGCAATATTATGTTGTCCGCTTAGTGTGCAGAAAAACTAACTTTTGAGATTGTCCTTCGAAAAAGTACGTTTGTGCACGTTTTCATGCGTCATATTGCTGTAATGGATAAGCAATTAAAATGTAGAACTACATTTGGATTGCGACGAGCTCAGTGACCGCATAGCGCTTTAGGGCCAGACAAGGTTGTATCCGGCAGGCATAGGTAGGCCCTCGAAGGCTCAGGAAAGACACACGTCACCAATAAAAATATATTCAGTTAATGAAAACAACAACTCGTACATATTATGTCATAATACTCCGGTGTTGTGTAAGCAACTCCTTAAGCGCTGCTACCTAATGTGTAGTGGTTCACATAAATGACTTTCCAATTGTATATTATTTACGACAATGTTGCTGCATTATCTGGCGAAATGGAGTGCTGTCGTGAGTTACAGCTTTAGGAGTTACATTGGACGTGTATTTATGCTTGCTTAGTTTGGAAGCCGCGTCATTCATTTAAAGATTCTTCTCGGATTTCCTTTTCGCAGGTTTTGCACGTTTATCCTCCTCATCGAAGTCAAACGTGTCATTGTCATCTCCCGTTTCTATGTCATCTATTTCTTTCACAGGCTTTTTATTCATCTGTGACAACGAGTCCTTCACTTGTTTAATGATTTCATCGCACTTTTCTTTGCTGTTGTTTTTGCATACGAAGCTCTCGATTTTGAAGTCAGCGGGTATCGCAAGTTTCGCCCTTCTGAAGAGGTTGAGCCACATGTTGTAAGCGATCGGTGAGAGTGCTACCCTGATGTTGAGCGGCAGCGCCAACATGGCCTTTTCGTTAATCTTAGCCAATGGAGGCAGTGCTTGTCTGACGCCGACCTTCAAGAATTCCTTGATGCACCTCAGGAGCAACTCTTTGACAGTGCTGGCCGCTGCTTTCTTGGTAGTGTGCCACGCTTTGATCGCCATCTGCTTGAGCTCGTCAAGGAATTTGGAACCCTTTTTCTGTCCAGGCTGGGTTTCGTTCACAGTTTCCATGAGAGATATGATGGTGTTGATGTGTTCCGGATCTTCGTAATTTAATCCCTGCGTCTCCAAAAAGCTCAGCATTCTCTGTGCCACAGCGTCGATGACATCATCGTGGAGGTTGCTCATTTCGGCCAAGACGACTCCTGCCATTCTGTCAACACGCTCGATGTCACCTGAAAATGTTTGACTCTCCGTGTGGCGATATATTGTTATAAGCACACATATTGTACATCATGTATCACTTCACATGCCTTTCGAAGAGAATATTGTAATTAAGCACATCCGGGGAAGACACCGATTTTCTGTACAATACGGACATCACATAATGCGTTCCATATAGCAGTACTCTACTCATCTAAACTACGAGTGTACAGTTGGCAATAGTTCAGGCTACAACGTTTGCACAGCCCGAGGCAGCTGTACGTAAGGCATTAATATCATGACAAGATTTCACAGCAAAAAGACGCACAGAAACAACACATCGACATTGAACCTACTTTCGCTGACCAAAAACGATGGAGCCATGGTCGATGAGTGAGATACATTGATGCGTGCCATGGCAGGGAAGATGGAATGTGCGACGAGCACAATGCCCGCAAGATGAGCTGTGTAAGACTTCATTTTGAACAATCGTGTGTTAATGGCTTATATAATATAGTAGTTAAGCTATTGGACTAGCAACGCAGAGTGAAGACGACGGATGCTCTGTCGTTAATCGCCTTCGGTGATAACGACATCGGCACCCGAATGCATCCGTAGAAGGGTGCACATTACAACGACATCGATCGTAAACGAGGACTCCAACCATTGCTATGGATATATATTGCCTCAGAAGCATAATTTATATGTATGTGTTACGTTAATACAGAAGATTCTTTGTGATGTGCGCCTGCAGGGGTGCCTTGCAGGGCAGCGTGCCATAAATGTGTAGCGGTCACACATTGCTGTTATAGGCACAGTCGTGTTATCATATGAGATTTACATACACTTTCAACGTTACTGAGCAGTGTGTGAGAGGAAGTCGTACTATTGCGCTACCTAAGTTGTGTATTTGCTTCGTTACACATTGCACCATTTTACCGTTTGGCTATTTCTCAATGAATAGCTGCTAATATAGAGGAAAACATTAATTAGCTCCATTATTAGAACGCACTGGGCATTGATATCGTAATTAGTTCAAGGCAGTTCGGTTTTGTGCCGGTAACTCCTCGCAGACTTCTCACAGCCGTTTGGCTTACTGTTCAAATGTTTGTATTTGATGGACCGTTCCCTTTGTTTATGGATGTTGTTGTCTGGTATATTCTCCGGAGAATGACTGTTCACTTGTTGGCTTTTCATTTCTACCATTTTTTGGACGTATTTAAGCCATAAGTGTTGTGTGGGTGTCATAGCGTTTCCATTTGTGTCAGACATCTTCTCAGTTCACTATAACGTATGAAGGACGTTGTTTAACTGCCATTACACAACTGAGCACATGCATATTAGGTTGTACTACGATTTAAGATGTGTGGTTTGCACTAGCAGATTTTATTCATCGTCTTCGTAGCGTGATATATCGGCTCCAACTATAACGCCGAAGGGTCGCCTGTTCTCGTTTAACCATTTGGTTGTATAAGGGGTTCTGCTGATGAAGCATTTGTTACCCGTTCTTCAGTATGAATGTCCGAAATGTCGAGAGGGTGTCTATTGCAGGCTTAGAATGAATCTAGGTCCCCGCTGTCGTCCTCTGCAGAGTCATTTTCGCCATCGTCTTCTTCTTCGTCGTCATCATCGTCGTTTCTTGATTTTCTCCGCTTGCCGCCTCTCAGTTGGGGCGCTTCCTCATCTTCTTGTTTGCTTTTTATGCGTTTGATAACGTCATCACACTGCTCCTTCGTCATCGCTTTGCATATGAATCGTTCGACGTTGTATCCCTCCGGCATTCTTATCTTGAACTTTTTGAAGAGTTCGGTCCACAAATTATATGCCATTGGTGCATATGTGATCCTCAAATCGATAGGTATCTTTTGCATTGCGTTTTCGTATGCTTTTTCGAACACAGGTAGCCCCTTTTTAAGCAATGTCATGAAGATGATTTTCACAGCGTCACCAACGGCACCTTTTGCATGTTTCTTCGCGAAATCCTTGCCAGCCTCGAACAATGTGCGGCCGCCTTTCTTGAGCATAGTTAAAAATCCGTTGCCACTTTTTTGTGGCGCGATTTCTCCACCAGTGATGGTTTCAAGGAATGACGCCAGCGTCATAAGATCATTCTTATTTGCCATGTCGAATCCGTCACTTTCCAAAAGGTCAATGAAGCTGGTAGCGATTTCATGTATTTCTTCATCATGCTTCCTAGTGGAGTTCGGAGAATAGTTGTAACCTTGTTGTCCATCTGCAAAATTTGTTAATTAAAATAGTTAAACACATCACAAAGCCATATGCTCCGCTTAAAACATATACAGAACGCTGGTAAAGAATGATACTGTTTTTCATGCAAGTCATGCCACTGTGCCCCTTCCGACAGTGGCGGACCCAACGGACGGCAGACTGTAAGTAACTCTTACCATTAACAAGGTTGTAGTGTGGGTGGATATGATGTAACCGTGTTGCCTGATACGTACGGTTTGCATCAACAAGGCGTGCCAGTACGGCCGTTGTGGCCAGTGCAACAGTGGCGGTGAAGTTCATTTTAAAAATAAGCTTGGATGTGCGAAATGAATTATTGTAACTGTATCATAAAGACGGCATCAGGTGAATGGCAGTCTTGTGGTGTAATGTGGCAGTTAACATGATTTGTCACAGCTCTTGTTCAGACACAGTGGCACGTGTGCATTTCCCGTGATGCTAAGGAGAATGCCACTCTTTTATACTCCTTTGGGCACAAAAAGTGACGCCAGAGGAGCTGAAAAGCTGTGTTGTATATTTCTAATAATGCAACCAATGCCTTGTTAAGACTGAACTACAAAAACACAGATTATGCATTCCGCTTCCGACACACTACAAGTAACATTTGGCGCATCTTTGAACTCGTAAGCGTACAAGAAACATTCGGCACGTTGTACGGTTCAACTTACACCGATCACGTTGATAGTGGTAACTTTGGTTCCCATTTCCCCCAAGGCGTGCCACACGTTAACGCCGTTCATGTATTCCGCTCCAAGCTTTTGTTAAGAAACGCAATATACTTTTTGAGCAATATTCGTGTTGTCTTCCTTGGTGTAAGCTTACACATATATGGTCGTATGCCTGCTATGCAAGCATTCCTCCACTTTCGGTGGATTCTGCGAGCGCTTTTCCTGTACTGGACGGTAAATAATGTACGTCAATGGCACAACTAACTAAAGTTAAGTCTTACGCAGGCCGATGTGTATTGTGCCAAGGTTAGCGACCTGACTCCGCGAGTTGGTCACAACAAAGTAAGTCTTAAGCATTCAGTCTTATTCTACGAACACAAAATCCATATCTACCCATGGTTAAAGTTCACCGCTTCAACCTAGCGTATGCCAGTGCCGACATAAGTGTTACTTCATGGCTGTGCATTTAACCGAGCTCTCCATGCTGTCTGTATATTATCTGTAGCACTCTAACATAGCGAACGATGACTAGTGTTAGCCCATAAGTGCACACACACGTACTGAGAGGTTCTTGACACGTACGTAGGTGATACTTCCACGTTTTCATCACCTGGAGAAGCCTAGTAACTCGCTGCGAGATTTGAAGCAATCTGTTGGGCACCTGCTAACCCGGTGCGCTGAAACTCCAGTTTCGTCATCTGTGGGCATCGCGTCGCTCTTGATATCTAGCCCAGTTTGGATCGGCTTGGTGCGTGCTGAATCTTTGATGAACTACGGCCCACGGCTATCTTTTTCAAACTGCTGTATCCCGTTGACAAGTGCATTTCTGATACCCGAGCTTAATGGGAGCGGGGTCCTAAATCTGCTCTCATTTTACTTATTGCTTCGGCAATCGGAGGATGCGCATGGCAGTGCCCACCTTCTTCGGCGCATAATATATAACCTACTTACTACTACTGCAGTCTCCGGTGTGTTTGGAACGCCACCCGATTTCCACAAGTTTTCACGAGCCTTCACTGTGGCAAATGCTTTGGAGAACCCAAACTATCCTGTGCAATTTCAAGGTATAATATCAATGAAGCAGTGGCATCTGCCTCTGGCATTGTTGCTCGCCGACTATTTGATGACTCTACGCATGGACCAGGCAATTGAGGGGTCGAAAGCTACAATCGCAGGAGCTGCTACGTATCTACTCTGTAACAAGCTGTAAGCCGCTATTTCACAGCGGTTTCCACGTTGTTAACGACAGCAGCATCGTTGATTGCTAATATTTTGTGCCAACCTGCATACCCAATACCAGCAGGTTAAACTCATAGTGGTCGTTTAATATTAAATGCAGAGTCATATTTAACATAATACGCGAAATATATACTTTTGAATGATACTGTGCGATAGTTTGACGGTCAAAGCTGCTTATGAGATGTCGAAGGCAGAACCGAAAGAGAGATGTGTTCCAATTCATTTATGATAAAATTATTCTTCGACATGCTTCTTTGTGGTATCAATCCAAGTCCAAAACCCGTGGAATAGTAGACTAAAGGGATTATTTTTGCATCTGTTGTTGCCATCGGTTGCTCGGTGGTTTCTTGGTTCACCACGCGGTGAAGAATGCTTGCGGCCTTGGGTCCTCCGAAGTGTCGATCAAGGGTCCTATAAAATGTGGCATCTGTGCAAAACGATTCGCTTGAGGATTCGTCCAATGGCGCGTCTATGTGATCTCGACGTAGGAGGAAATGGAGTTGGTACTTGTGCATCAAGGTCTTGTTTAGGATTCGATTCATGATCTCTTGTCCCACGTAGCACCCTTTGTTTTTCGCGATGAACCCCATTTTGTGCAAAGCCAAATCCTGTGGGAGTATTTTGAGAGAGCTCAGATCTTTCACCAGCGTGAGACCAAATCCATTAAGGGCGAGATGGAGTCTATGTGGCATCGTCAGGTCTGGTGCCTCACTTATCGGTTCGTTGAACGCGTATTTTCTGTTCAACAAATGTAAGTCAGCAGTGTATTGAGTTACATGCAGCGACGCGTCGGTTGGCTGCGTGGCCTCAGGTTCGGTTGGAGAGACCCTCCTGACAATTTTCCTGGGAGTATATCCATATACGATGCTTTCTTGTTCAAGGCGATATTCAACCTTCGCTGCCAACTTTCTCCTTCTTACAAGTTTAGTGAAAGCCTCCAGGTTGCCTGTCCCAATCTCGACCATATACCCATTCTCCCTCCTATGGACCAGGCCATCCGCCTGTATCCTTCCATCAGACCCAAGAAAGACACAGCCTATAAGTCTTTTCTTGGCGTTGTCTAGTAGCGATATGTCGTTGGTCGTAAGTCCTTGAAGAAAGGTAAAGGAATCTGTACCCCAAAATGAGAAGATCGCCCTGCCACCAAGGCGGCCGAGAATCATACTTCGTTTATGTTCTGTGCATTGAATTTACATATTAATTTTAACATATTAGCGCGTTTCGCGCATACTAGTCTACCTTGTGTGTGCGCCGGCAGCGTCAGCCAGGACCGCCTCTGAATATCCGTGGATCTCCGATACACATCAGAAGGAACCACGTCATATAAGCGTTGCCATTCGTAACACACTATTATTATGCATCAACGCTTAATATTGCTGTTTGTTGTTCTAGAAATTTTACTTCCTTTGTAACTTGCCCTTTGCTTGCTAGATTCCGAATATTCTCGGCGTCCTTTTGGCGTCTCTGCAGCCCTGCGAGCCCGTTTCAGCTTCCTTTCAACGCCTCCATCAGGGCAGAGATTGGTAGAGTTGAAGACCTTTAGGAACTGTATATGTTGCTTTATGTCTTCCAGCTTGAGCTGAGGCTCCGGGTTTCCGAATACGTTTAGATTTTGCAGGTTGTTCAGGTTGATTATGGGCTTCATATCAACTATGCGATTGTTTCCGACGTCCAGCAGTTTGAGCGACGCCATCATTCCGATATTTTGTGGTAGCGCCAGTATTTTGTTGGAGTTGAGCCTGAGTTCCTGCAGGTTCGGCAACTTGCTTGTTACCGGGAACTCCCTGATTGCGTTGTGGCTGAGCGTGATTTTCTTCAGTTTCCACATGGTTTTAGATGGCAGCTTCACTTCTTCGATTTCGTTATGGCTGAGAATAATGGTCTCCAGATTCTCCATCTTGCTCAGGTTGCACATAACTTTGATTTTGTTATTGTTAAGTATGAGCACTTTGAGGCTACTCAGGCAAGCTACAGGCGTCATGTCTGTGATTTCGTTATTTGCCAGGTTCAGTAGCGTGAGGTTTGTAAAATTAGCCATGTTCGGCAATTTTTGTATCCTGTTCCTCGACAAATCCAGCACCTTGAGATTGTAGTTTTGGCTGAGAAATTCGAACTCTGTCAATTTGTTACCAGCTAATGACAGACTCTCTAGTGATTTCATGGAAAACAGGTCATCGGAGGAGGAGATTCCTGCATTTTGCAGCGAGAGTTTTCCGGCAGCAGTCACATCACCGCTGTCTACGATACCTGAGATTCTGACGATTGTCAGGTGCTCCTCTTTCTGATCATCTTGTTCGCCTTTATTAGCCATTTTATCGATCACATTATCCGCATGAAGTGAGTCCGTTAGGTTTCTTTTCGCTCGGCACGTGTAGCCTATGATTCCACGCGCCTTCACATACTTTGCGGTAAAAATTTAACACATGGCATCTACAACTTATATAGTAAACGTGTTAGCCCGTTTCAAGTTGATTCACCGCCTCGTTACTCATTAGCTTGCTTGTGGAATGCAAAGTATGTAATCGTTGCTTAGGGCCTTATAAACGCTTGATCGCGCCTGTGTATTTTGTGATGCACTATACATCACTTTTATGTGACACAAACTCTATGAAGCTACGTTTTGAACGTCATTTCTACAATATTCAGCATTAGATATCTCGTAACAATAGATACACTACGCATTGCTCCGAACGGTTAGAAGCATAAAAGCTGACCACATTAGTTATACCAACATTACAAATGTTGCTGTAACCACAATACAAACAGTTATAGGCTATGGCACAGCCATCAGCCAAAGCTAGTGTACGAAAAGTAGTCATCTGACTTAAGCATCTCGTCCGCCACCGCAACAGCCCCCGACTCTTCGTTGGTGGGCTGCTGGTTTTTCATTGCCAACAATCCCTTGGATTCGATGTCCTTGCGATGCTCACGACGCTTCTTGAACCATGCGGTGAGTTTTTTACCGATAGACGATGCGGAGATTTTACTCCACATCCGTTTGAAAGTGTTTGACAGAGCGATATCCAGGCGGTGTATTACCTTGAAGTGGTGCTTCAGTATCTGCCACGAGGCGTACGCCGCCATGGGCAAGAAGAAGTAGGGTCCGATAACCGCCATGACGGTGACGGAGAGCGCGTCCTGCACCCCGATGGACAGCGCCGTTTTCACAATTGTCTCAGCCGGTTGCAGCAAGCAGTGCATCCTCGGGGGCTTGATAAGCATGAAACACGACTCGACGGGTCCCTGACCAACATCTGCTGCGTGTTGCGTGATCTCCGCACACTGCATGACAGAGTATGCGGCCATTGTTCCGATGGATAGGTAAGCAAATATGGCTTTGGACCGTGACTTCTCCCTCTCCCTATCCCACTGAACAACGAAGTTGCCGAAATAGGGCGCCTGTATGCGTAGCATGTTAGACGTATACCTGTAACCCAATATGCCTAGCACGTTTGAGGCCACTTTCATGATATTTGCGAAGTAGAAAGCCTTTCCATATTTTATAGCTCTCAGCTCGTTTTTCATCTTCTTCGGCAGCATACTGTCATACATGTGAAGCATCGCATCACCCTTGAGAATAAACCTCATCGAGTTGACAAATTCCGGCTTTTCCATGTCCTGGAGAGTGTTGTTCTGACTGAGCGACTTTTCAAACGTTTTAATCGACGCGGGGCTTCGCATGGTGTTCATTGTGAATGCCAAGAGAGCCCTCCAGATGGCACCGCAATGCTGGCCGCACATACCTTGCTGGAATTCAACCTTCCTTTCATCCGGTGTCATTCTAGTGTATAACGGGTTGATGCTGGGAATTCCGAAGTTCTCCTGGGTCCCACTGGGACGTCTGAACTCTTCGTTGGCCACAACGGCGACAGCGTCGTCGATGATGTGACCAAAAGCTTCCTGGAGGTTGTATGATTCAGTGGACGATATGAGGTTTGATATTTTGTTAAGTTCCTCGACAACCTCTACCACATGTTTATAATTGAGTTTGATTCCAAACCAAACAGCATGCTCGACGTTTTGTAGAGACCTATTGAATATAATTTTCCTCACCTTAGAAGCCCTTTGCAAAAACCGTTTCCACTTGTTATTGTACACTGGCGGTGGCACCACACGCCCGAAGAATACTGTATCGCCGAGGTTTTGCTCGAGGTTGTCTCTGGTATCCTTGACAATTTCATATACCAATGAGTGCTTCCCCTCAAGGACCTTCATGGAGGGCATGTCAAGGAACGCATTATAACCTTCCAGTATACGTGCGTTCAGGTACTTGTCCCACTTAAGAGACTCTGAATGCGCTATATGATGCATATCCGCATTTTTGAGATCTTCCTTGTCAAGGTCATCTCCATGTTGCACCTTTTTGGCGATGGCATCTGTGTACCCCTCGTCTGACCACTCCTTAATGATCGTGTCGACATGATTAACATAACCTCCGTTCACGAAATGTTTGTGCTCTCTCTGCTTTGCCGACATCATGCCACGCCCCCAAATGTGCGCGTTTTGATTAATTTGCATATCGGCGAGTGAATGAGTTACGAAAGTAATGGCACCTACAGCCTTCCTCAACAGTTCAACCGGCAACAGCTGCAACAACGTGTGTTTGGCCTTTTCGCGCCTGAATTCCTTTGCTAGGCCTCCTTTGAGCAACCACTTGATCCCTCTCTTGAGACTGGCGGGTATGAACATGTTGGACGACTCTACAATGTTGTACAAAAGGTTACCTCCCCTGAAATTGTTGACATCCCCTTGGAAATGATAGGCAGGCGTCGGAGAGGTAAGCATGTGGTACAAAAAGATGTGGCTCAATCCACCGCTGGTGCTTTGCGCAACTTGCCTGAAGTATGGTGCCAAGTTTCCCGCTAATAGTACAGACGGTGAGAATCCAAAATTCTTCTGCAGACCCTCAAGGTTGCCAGAAACCCAGGTTTTGATTCCAGAAGCTGACATATACAGTAAGGCTCTTTTGAGTGACGCATCAGTGCCTGTCTTCGCTTTGTTACCTCCGCTATACAGCAACGAAGAAGCTGTACGCAGGTCGATATTACCGCGATAGTTGGATGGAAGAACTTTATCTTCGAGATTTTTATATTCTGACATCCACGATTTCTTTTTACCTGAGAACATCCTGTTATCGAATTTGATTGCGTATTCGAAGACGGTTGCATATTTCCTCGGGTCTGAAATCATCCTCAGCCAGGTGGTTGGTATTTCCCCATCTAGGCTCACATCACTCAACAGCTTAAAGAGATCGAACGCATCTTGAAGTCGTTGCCATAGCTCTTCTCCCTCATATTGGGATTTGCCCTCGAATACTTTACTTGAATTGAGCGTGCTGGACGCAAAGTCACACCTGACAACAATGGCTGATTCCCTGGGATCAGAACACACAAATGCCTGCATACGTCTACCGTTAGCGATTGCACCGACACTGTGCTCATAAGGCACACCATACTGGCTGAGCAATTGCCCCATGGCGTCTATTGAGGCATCTATTGATACCAGAAGCACTTCCAGCAGGTTGCACAGAAAGACACCATCCGCATTGAGTTGCGGATCGTCTTTGCGTTTCCTGTTTTTGTTGACCGTGACAGACCCATTAGAATCCCTTTTGTATTTGGGGCCACGTATGGTGCCACACATTCTGTCGAGCATGTCCAGGTTTCCTGACTTGACAAGGTCCAACCATGTGTAGAATGGTCTCCCCTGAGCACCATCAAAGAAGAGCTTGTACTGCGTGTACGCCAGCATGTTCGTCGCCAGGTGACCTAGCAGGAAAGGATTGTTTCCACATGCCCAGAAAAGTTCCATACCAAGGTTCATCGCGGTTGAGCTCTTCTCAGCCTTCTCTTCAGACTCTTCTTTTTTTCTGAAGCCTAGCGCCCTCGCCATGTTGCGGAGCCTATCAGACACATTAAGTGTCTGTTTGTCTCCTCCGAGCAAAAACAGCACTTTGATAAGCATTGCTTCAAGTACTTTAACGTTTTTCCTCCATGGTTCGAAAACCGTTACAGGTGGAGGATCCTTGGCGGTCTTTGGTTCCTCCTTGACTGCTGGCACCTTTTTGTCTTTGCTTTCTTGTTTTGGTTTCGCGGCCTTTTTAAACTTGGGAAAAGCTACCTCGGTACCAATTTGAAGCAGCGAAGTTATTCCTGCCACCTTCATCGCCTCCTGGTTAACCTCTGGCATGAGGTTGTTCCTCCTTTTTTCGCTGAAATCAACAAAGCCGATTGCATCGGCCTTTTCCTCAACCAGTTTTACCTTCTTTCTGTACTCCGGCATCTCCAGAGTTTCCAGCTTTAGAGCATATTTCCGGTAGACATGAAGGAAGTTGGTTCCCGTTTGCGCGAGTAGCATGTGGCGAAGATCGGCGCTGAGACTGTTTATAAAAGGCTCCATGAACCCTTTGATGCCAACGCTGCGTTCGAGAACTGCGATGTTTTCTTCACTGCCAACTGCCGTATGCTCTCTAATGGGTTGGGCAGACGAGTGTTCTTCCTGTGGATTGCCCTCCAAGGGCGACCCTTCCGGAGTCACATCAGTTGGATTGATTTCTTGCTCTCCTCCCTTCGGCCCTGCGATCATTCCTTCGGGTGTTTCAACCCACTCTGCTTCTTCATTTTGCTCTTCGGATTTAGAACCGCTGATTGCGTCTAGAAACTTGAGTTTCGCGTAATCGGCAGGTCGCATGGAAACAGGACCCACTCCACTGCCATCAATTCCGCCAGATTTTACGTCCCTATAGGCATACACATCGCAGTGGATCGCCAGGTATATGGCTGCGGCGATTATACGCACGCATCCTCCCTTCGATCGCGTCATGTCTGAGGGCCCGTTCGTCTTCCTTTCTCAACCATGCGGATTTGTGTTTTATCTTATGCCCTTTTATTGTTTGATGTGTGTATTTGCGATAGGTTTTTGGAGGGGATTTCGCGCTCCAGTTGCCGTTAGACACCGAGCCAAACTCTAGACGTAGAATGCAGCAAGGTGCGTAGCCGGTAATGAGCGATTCATAAGCCACATTCCGTTCCCCTTCACGCTCACGTCGCCTACCGAAAGCTGCAAAATGTACACATCTCTTATGGGAAGCCATCTTAATGTCTTCTTTCGACTCTTGTCTGTGCACAGTCCGTAGCCTTTTTCCAACTGCTAAATGCGCGTTTAATCACGCGCAAAAACGCGGTTAATTACGGTACCAAATCCTACATCTAGCTTTTGTTACATGTGTTTTGGAAAGCATTCTCCTGCAATTCTAAGCCTTTGGGATAACACACCAACTACGTTTTCCCGTCCGTTACGGGTAGAGTTTCGATTAACATACAAACATTTCAGTATAAATAAATTAAACTACATTTTTATTAAAAAGTAACACGGTTATCGGTTACGGTTGTCTTATCGTCCTTCTCCTACGTGGTCAGGCGCCGACCTGTCGTGAATGCGGTTGACGGAGCTGAACGTGTCTACGGACAGTTGAAACCATACCGGCAGTTTTATCGCAACACTAAATGGCAGTTCATCGTGCGGTGCTTAAGCAGAAGCACAAGCCCTTTAAAAATGGCAAAGGCAACGGGGTGAAGCCTAAGCGGCCGTCGACCACCGTTGGCAAGGACGTTGCTCTGCACCGTCGGGACAAAAAAAGCCGCATTGTGGCAAAGACGAAGAATCTTCGGTCAGCCATTCAGTATGAAGCTCCAAGACTGGTATTCGTGCTGCCTTTCCACGAAACTGCGAACGCCCATGATTTCATACACGCCGCGGCCTGCCAGGTGTCTGTAGAGTCCGCCAAGGATGTTCGCTCTTCCCCCGACGGCTGGACTGTCTCATCGCCGATTCTTCTCCCAGCATCTATGCTACGTGACGGTTTACCACGCCGTGTCATCTTGTTTGCGTGCCCTCGTTCGCTTTCGGACATTCTCTATGCGGCATCGGTGGCTGATGTCTTGGTCTGTCTATTTCGTGGAAGTTCGAACGATGATTCAGCATACGACGATTTCGGGTGAGTTATTCATATATGCAAGTGTTCATCCTATAATGATGATAGTCGCAGTTATAGATGTCCGATTTATATCCAGCATTTATGTGTACCTTCCTTAGTTCGTTAAATACATACCACTTGATGAGTTCCGTATTTGTAATAACAGGATTCAATTACCAGTTGCGATTTGTATGTTTAATCTTAATAATTGTAACAATCTGTGAGATCACATTCTCTTTATATTGCCTGGGTTGATGTGGCACTCACGGCAGCAATGGGCCAAATGGTGTTAAATGCTCTGCCACGTTATTTGTTACATACATCTATCATATTCCTTTCAGATACAAGGCTCTGAGTGTGATTCGTCAGCAAGGTGTGCCACCGCCTGTCGGCGTGGACCTAGAGATCGGTTTACCGGGCGACCGCTCTGCCAGCAGTGCTCTGGTGAGGCGCTACTTCTTTGATGAGCTTGGCAGTGACAAGAAGTTTGTAAGCATCAAAAATATTGACGATTTTGCTGCTGCTATCACCGCTATAGGATGTGTGTCGCTCACGGGATTGACATGGCGTTCTGGTCGTAGTTACCTGATGTCTCTGGATCACAGTTACGATGCTTCCACACGACAGCTTTCGGTTGTTGGTTACGCTCGCGGCCTTGGTTTCAGCGTTCGGCACCCTGTGCATATAACCGGATTCGGAGACTTTTTGGTGCAGCGCATAGAGCTCTTGTCGGACTCATGCCCAGTGAAGCGCTCCAGTGCTATGGAATCGGAGAGTGTGGTCGAGGAGATGAGTGACGAAATCGCAAGGGAGCTAGCACAGGAAGTTGAGTGTCTGTCTAATACGATGCCTCGACCATCTGAAATGGCTGACGGCAACGACCTCCTTGAGGACTTTGAGAAGTGTGTTCGTGTTGGTGGAGTTTCGGATGAAGACGTGGATATGCACGACGGATCTGGCGATGAGGACGGCCATGGTGAGGATAGCGGCGGTGAAGACATCGACACGTACTTCAGTAACCTAGAGGACCTGAACCCGAGTCAGAAGCGAATTGAATTCGAGAAGCGTGCGCTAGAGGACCTAAGCTTCCCCGACGAAGTGGATACCCCTGTTGACGTGCCAGCACGCGAGCGTTTTCGTAAATATCGGGCTCTTCGCAGCATCAAGGAAGGCGCGTGGGACCCGTACGAATCTTTGCCTTCGGAGTATCTTCAGATTTGCGAATTCGAGAACTTTCGCGTAAGTGGGTCATACAAACACTCATATTCGTTAGACAACCATGGCGCACTCTAGGAAGTCCGTTGAAATGAACTGCAACCGCACCGGTACTTCCGGGAGATACGTTAGGTTAACACTTTCCAATGTTCCGGCCGACTGTCATGAGCGCATGTGCACCACTGCTGGTCTGTCGACCGGAAAGACCGCGAAGCCACTCGTATTATCCGTGGTCTTTCCATTTGAGAGGAAGGTTTCAGTGTTGAGCATGAGCGTCACTCGTAGTTTCGAAGGCCCGGACTCTATCGCATCGAAGCGTGATGTACTGATGTACTGCGGCTTCCGTCGTTTCCCAGCACGACCAATCTACAGCGAGGACGTGGCTGCAGAGCATGGTCGTTTCGGCACATTCTGCCGTTTCGTACACAAGGGACACACCGTTGTTGCATCCATTTATGGTATGGCGCTATTACCCAACACTCCAGTCGTGAGCCTCGACGCGGCCGACCCGTCTGTGATGCTCTACGGTGGCATCGTGAGCGGCGCGGATCCGACCCGCATCGTGCTGAAACGCATTGTGCTTACTGGTTATCCGTTCCGGGTGCACAAACGAACGGCTGTGGTGCGTTACATGTTCTTCTCACCGCGTGACGTGAGGTACTTCAGGCCCGCTGGTCTCCACACTAAGCGTGGTTTGCGAGGCGCGATAAAGGAACCACTGGGAACCCACGGGTACATGAAGTGCATGTTCAACGATGTGATACGGCAAGACGACATCGTCTGCCTCGCGCTATTCAAACGCGTATATCCCAAATGGCACCCGCAATCGTGGACCGTCTGGCTAGACCAGATTGACACGCAGTAATCTAAAAATTCAATTAATGTCACAGCGAATGTCTAGCATGATTAGACACGGATTACCACATGGTGAAGGCGAGAACGGCGGCCAAGAGCAGGCTGACAGCGCCGAAGCTAGCAGAGTTCATCTTCTTGCACTTCTCAACAGATTCAGACAGCTTGGCGTCAAGCTGGTTGTAGGCATTAATAGCGATGACAGAGTCTCTCAGGTGTACCTGGGTATCAAATAGTTTTGACATCTCGTCTTTAATTTGTACGGCATCAAGACTGGCTTTGGCTTCAATATTTGGGATGTTATCCTTCAGCCATTTTGTTACTATCGCCAAAATTGCTTTCTTCTCCTCCTCGTTAGTGGTAGGCATCTTTTTAATCGAGTCATACAAAGCAGATAGATCGTCAGCAACCGATGGCAGAACAAAACGCAAGTTTAACAAATTGCCATCGGTCGTCTCTTGAGCAGACTCCTGCATCTGAGATTCCTCTGCACTAACACCTACGCTTCCTGCAGTTTGGGCAGCCTGCGCCTTTTCGGCCTTGGGCTTAATTTTCTCAGCATAATCATCAAAAAGATATGTTAATAGCTTGTGGATGCTCTTGCCCGCTTCAGTCAACGCATTGCGTACGGCATCAGCTTGATCGCTGCTCGCCTTAACTTTGTCAGCAAGAAGCCAACTTGGCAACGTCGTCTTGAGAGTTGTGCTTTCGAATCTCTTTTGATATTCCTCGCCCAATACCTTGGACCACTTCGCAAAAAGCTGATTCGAAGCCTTGCTGATCTCACCGTGCAGTGACGTGAGCAACTCAGTCTTGAAACCATCACGTTCCATCAAACCCATGATGATCTTAACGCGCTTTTCCGCATTCGGGATGATTTCAGCGTATTTGATTTCCTTAGCATCAGAGGCCGCAACATTTTGCGACTGTGAAGCCTCAACCTGCTGCTGGCCAGCCGCCAAAATGTGACCGATCTGGCTGATAGCCAGAAGAGTCAAGGAAAGAATGCACTTCATCTTGCCGGTTAAAATGTTGATTATTAGAAAAGTGGAAAATTTTGTCTATAATCAGAGATGGAAGTCAACGTGCTGTGTGCAGTGGTGCATACCCTCCATTGGAGTGCTAGACAACACACACACACCGAGTGGTGCCAACGCGCAGTATGGATAATAGCATTTCTCGAATATACACAACCTTTTTTACAATGATTTCGCGTTTCCACGTACGAGGAGCGTGAACGAAGGACGCGGAAGCGTTCTCGTCCTTTGTATTTAGGACGTAGTAGACACCTGGTGCTGCATCCAAGCCTTGCCATCCAACCCGTGTTATTGTGATAAGTCGTGTGTAATGGATGACTTATGACATTTATCTTCCCCGGTGTGCCGTGTATAATGCGGATTTGCGGGAGCGCTGTGGCGTCGCGTCTCATTCGGGTCGGGAGGCATTTCTCGATGCGGTCACCGATTTGATAGCGAACTGAAGTGTATGAATCCGTTAATCACGTTACTTTGTGTAGTTTGGCAGGCCAGGCTCACCGGCATCGGTGTTTCCCTTCCAGCTGCTGAGATTGGTCTGCTCTCTGGCAGCCTCGCCGCACTTTGCAGCTCCGCCATTCGCCACGTGCCTGTATTGTGCGATGCCACGTTATGCTATAACTTATAGTTGCGATTGTGGGTGACGTTAGGATGTGCTGGGTTGCGGTTATAGGACCGCGTGACCTTAGGCACTCCAGGCCTGCCGGTCTCCACACTGGGCGTGGTTTGCGAGGCGCGATAAAGGCACCACTGGGAACCCACGGGCACATGAAGTGCATGTTCAACGACGTGATACGGCAAGACGACGGCGTCCGTCTCACGCTATTCAAACGCTCATATCCCAAAAGGCACCCGCAATCACGGACCGTCTGGATAGATCAGTGTAACACATGCAGTAATCTAAAAATTCAATTAATGTCACAGCGAATGTCTAGCATGATTAGACACGGATTACCACATGGTGAAGGCGAGAACGGCGGCCAAGAGCAGGCTGACAGCGCCGAAGCTAGCAGAGTTCATCTTCTTGCACTTCTCAACAGATTCAGACAGCTTGGCGTCAAGCTGGTTGTAGGCATCAAGGGAGAGAGCGATATCCTTTAAATAAACCTCGGAAGTACACAGCTTCGCCAACTCCTGCTTAACCGTAGCAAGCACCATATTCTCATTGGGTTTAAGGCTAGGCACCTTTTCGCTTATCCACTTTTTGATAACCTCCAACAATGCTGCCTGCTCCTCCTTAGTGCTATCATTTTTCTCCTTTATCAACGCATAGAGAGTATCGATATCATTCGCAAAAACAGGGACAACGAAACGCAGGTTCAAGAAATCGTCATCATGCTGAGACTCTCCTACTGCAGCAGGTTCGGAAGAAGCCGATCCAGCAAGAGCGGTGTTGCTTTCAGCCACTTTTCCTGTTTGTTGCGCAACATTAGCTTTTACGGGTGCGCTTTGTAACTGTTCTGCATATTTCCCGAAAAGGCTCTCAAACAACCTGTGGATGCTTTGCCCAGCTTTTTCCAACGCATTGTGCACGGCTACAGCCTGCTCAACGTGTGACTCTGCCTCAGAACGGATCTTGATCCAGCTTGGCACAGGTTGCTGAACTTGTTTGGAAGAATCTTGAGCACGGTCCTTGCTTACTTTCAGCAGTGGTGTGAATTTAGCCAAAAACTCGTTTGAAACTTTGGTAACTTCGGCCTTCGTCGTTTGCAGGAGTTCAGCCTTGAAACCTTCACCTTGCATCAATTTCATGAGAACTTTGAAACGCTTTTCCACAGTTGAAATGATATCACCGTAATTGATGTTTTCAACCTTTGACTCGGATTCGGCTTTCGCTGGTGTTGCCGCAGGCTTCTCTATAGCGGTTGCCGCAACAAAATGACTGATCTGGCTGAAAGCCAGAAGAGCCACGGAAATTACGCACTTCATGTTGCTAACTGATTTATCACACCCTTAGAATTAAAAAATATGTTGAAACAAAACAACTACCACATGCGCTAAGTAAAAGGTAAATACACGCAGATACTCTGGTCGGGATGCGCGACATCAGTAATGGGCATAGGTGGTGCTGACCAACTAGATGGCTTGCAACTACGTGGCAAACATGTGTAATATATGTGGGAATTCGTATAAAATCTTATGTTTTAAGTTGTCCGTATATGAGCGCCGTATAGCAATGGCGTTTCCTAGTGTGCTGTAAGGCGCTGCCAACCTTGCGTTTGACTTAGAGCGCGGAATAATGCGTCACTTACGAAGTGCTTTGTGGTATTCTGCCGGCTTCCGTTCGGTGTCACGTTTTTGCAACACATGCATCGATACACATTCGTCTTACCACCGCGACCGGGCGTCGTCAATCGGTCACAGTCCAGCACCGTGCATTGCCATATTGTAGGCGTAATAGCCTGCCATGCTGCCACACTAACCAACATTTAGCCATCTGATTCGGTGAATGTTCGATTCACTGCTATGGGCCCGCTGGTTCGTCACATCGCATTCATTACCTGATGCTCTCCTGCTTTGCAGTTGAGATATGCGCTGTCCTGTAGCGCGACTCCTGATGCTGTTGTCAGCTATGAAGAAGTAGACCGATAGTTAATAACGGAGACTGATTTTAAGAGCCCACAGCTGCCATATGTTGATGGCATGCAACATTGCGTGCTCTATCAGACGATGGCTTAAACAATATTACCGATGTGAGATTAGTTTGTCCACATTTATAAGTCCTTATTTAGCTCCACATGTATAGTAGAGATGATTACTGCTGCGATATTGGGCAGGAAACTTTCCTCTTTAGTTGCGATGAGACGAGTTGGGCCATACGTTGCATCTGTCTGGATCCCTAACTTCGCATTATTAACTAGTCTTTGAATGCGTACATTTGACAATTTAAAACAATGTCATGAATGAATATGGAAACGGCTGTTACATCTTGAACAGCGATAATTTCCACGTGTGTCTAAAGCGCATTTATACCATCTTTCTAAAAACACTAATAGTTATCATTTTCTATTGCACAACTTCGCATAGTACGTGATGTTATCTCAACAACAACAGACCTTTTACGCACCATTGGTAATAGAACGGTATGGAAAATGAAAATGACCGCTATTCATCGAAGCGTGGGTTTGAAACGGACTTTGCGCCCACCAATCGCTAACAAATAGCAAACTTGTACATGTAACCAGACAAAACTCAGCCCATAGCTTTGAATGGCATTGACATATTTAACAATTATCGATGTCAGAGGAGTTCTATGTGACGCTGTTCTCCTCTAGCAGCGGGCTGTTGCTGGGCGTTCGAAGCTGCGCGGTTCCCGCTGATGTAGTTCAACAATGTGGGTTCGTCCTGCTCCTGCTCTGCGTCGATGAAGCCGAGCTCCGGCTCGAATCTACCACCAAACCCGGCGCCACGCTGTGATGCCCTTTTGGCGTTGACCGGCGCGTAGGCAACGTAGTTGAACTGCTTGAAACCGTAGTTGTGGAAGAGGTGCTTCAACTTGTCGTTGTGAGATATGTAGACAATGGCCATCATAATGATGGCTAGGACCAGAATTGTGGACAACACGGCCTTGCTTCCCTTCGACAGCGGTGAGTGTGGCGGACATGGTACGGCGACCTGGTGTGGAATCCACCCGGCTGCGCAAACATCGCCGGGGATTTTGCGGTAAGCGTCAGTCCAGAAGAAGCTAGAAGAAGTGCATCCCTCGCGCATAAGCCATGTGCCATCAATTTTGCAAGTATTACTTCCGATAGAGCGCGTAAAGCCAATTTCACACTCGTAATCGTCAGGGGTGCAGTTGCAAACCTCCCTCTCCACAGTGGCCTTGAATTCCTTGCCGTTGAAACATTCAGACGCCTGCTTGCGGCGTTTGTACGCCATTTTGCGCCCCAACAAACAGTGGTTTCCGTGCGGGTCCGTCGGATGCCACGTCTCATAATCGCTGGAGCTGGAGTCTATGCTCCATATGCCCTTGCACAGTGGCTGCCCGAGTGAGCTGAAGTCGAGATGGAACGCGACACCGATACCGTTTCGGTTACCGTAGAGAATGAAATTCAGAGATGAGCACTTTGGCTCGATGACAACGTTGTTGACGCTCAGGTCGTGCTTGCTGAGACTGAAGTCAAACCAGGTGGCTCCCTCGTTCCACGAGAATACAACCTCCCTCGTCTTCTTTTGGTCCTGTGCCATAACTATGAGCCCTCCGTAGTCACCAAACTCGTAGATGAACGCGCCCTTGTGCGCCTCCGACCATGTCAAACCACCGTCTCTGCTGAGGAAGGTGTTGACCTGTGACGGGTCAAACCTGAGCTTGTCTCCGACATTTCCAGTCGCTAGAACTAGACCAGTCGCCTGTTCCACGGAGTAGAAAGGCGCGAAATTCTTGTACTGCGTGATTCCGTGCAGGTGAAGGAAGCACTTGCCCTCCTCACAGTCGTATGGCCTACCCTCGGAGTCGAGTTTCGGCGGTTGGAGGTAGTGCCATTCCGCACCCTTGTTAAATGAAACAACGGTGCGTACGTTGGGCTCTACCTTGCTGTGTGCTACATGGCGGTTGCGTTTCTGGTCGAGCTGGGTCTTGGTACCGTCAATGTGGGTTTTGAATTTGTTTCTCGGGTTGAGCATTCCGCCAGAGTCATCCCTGAAGTTGGCAATATACACGCCTTCCAGTGAGTAGACCTTGTCGAATTCACATTCTCCAGACGCCGACCTGATGTTGTTGGGCAGTGATAGTGAGTACCGCAGACCGGATGCATCGGAGATGTACACGTTACCAACCTCAATATCCCCGCCTTCGTACTCATGGCCCACGTGTATAATAACCGCACCCTCAGATGTGTCCAGTATTGTGTAGCTGCGTTCCTCAAGCTCCACAGGAAGCACAGCCCTATTGAATGTCACGGCGTTGTCAGTGCTCACGTAGAGGTTCACGGTTTGCCTGACGGGGTCAGAGACTTTCGCCACGAACACATAGTTCCCTGAGACCAGGAACTTGTTACCACCCTCCATTATAACCGTGGCGCTGTATCCGAAGTCATCGGTGTACATGAAACTGATATTGTTGTTCCACCCATCTTGCTTGGGCTGGTCACCGGACTCGATGGAGTACCGGCTGTAGTAGATGCGATCCTCGGAGTTGGTGGTGATGTCTCCCCAGCTGAATTGCGCAACGTACTTGGCAACCCTGTCGAAAGTTCGTCCCATGTCCCGTGTAACAAAAATGGAATGGACACAGTCCTCGTCATTTTCATTGGCGAAGCACGCCCCCTCCCAAGAGCTGAGCAACGCCCACGATGGTTTTACTGGGTGGAACAGCCACATATTGATCGTCCCCTCATACTCCAAACGTACGAAGCTGTGCCCTGCGTTACCCGATATGAAATGCGTTTTCGAGTCTCCGATTACGACCACGACATTCCTGTCGGTCTCGCACACGACAACTGAGTCGACTCTGTAGTTGTTGTTACGCGCGCTTCCTTGGAATAGGTGCGTGATTTCCGTCCACTGTTTGCCTCCGTCCGCCGAGCGGTACAACCTTCCGCTCTGCGTCTTGAGGAGGACCGTTGAGTGGTCGTTGCCGCACCACACGAGATCGTCGATGAGGCTGTCGAAGCTGATCTCTGTGACTGACACCTTCTTGCCAGCAGCAGAGGACATGGGCCGCTCATTTTGCGGCGGCGTGACTCTGTACAACATGTGAGTGTTAGTCGTATTAAGTTGCGTATAAAGTCATCAAGAACATTACATTATTGTAAGAAACAAATAGTTACGCAGTGAGACATTACCATAAAAGCGAATAACACCACTCATCAATCCGAACAAACAACAATAAAACCACAAAAAACAGCAACTACAATTTGCGTAGCTGGTATGCTCCAACATGCGTTACTCTGGTGAGAACCAAGATGGGATTGCATGGAGCCGTTGTAATGACATAAAACAGCATAGGACAGGGAAATGCATGATACAATAAGCGCACAGTTCAGATTACAAATGTTCACGGAAGGTGCATATATCACCGATCTGCATTCATGGTTCAGTCAACGTCTACCCAGACGCCGAAGGAAAGTGAACGAAAGGAAGCTTTCCGCAGTTCCGATAAAAACAAGGCCGCGTCACACCATTGTATATTAATGAGAGAAGCACAACGAAGGCAACGTGATGTATATCAAACATAAAAATGCCGATAGACATGCAACGGTTTTTGTGAGTACACATGGCGTATGGCAACCAAAACTTACATTGATGACGCCACCTTAGCAGGCTCTTGCAGAATCGTGCCTGCTGGATGAGCCTGATCATCGTGCTCTCCGGGTGTCTCGATGTCTATGTGCGAGTGAATCTTGTTTTCCGGCACGGGCGCTCCAACGTCGTCCGCTGCGGCGGAAAGCAACAGCGCGGGCAGCACCGCAAAGATTAGGCGCGGCACCATTTTGCTGAGTCTTCGTGAATTGATAGTTCTTTTGCTGTAGCAATATCCCTCTGCTACCGTAGGACAGCTTTGCTTCGGGCGAATAGGTCTTTTTGTGGCCGCTGTGACGGCACACTGCCCGTTGCGATATTCACGTGTGCTGCGCACACACCAGCGAAACCGTGTCGCTATTCCGGTGAAATCACCGTTTTGTATCGACGTAGTATGTCGCCGGGAGCGGAAGAAAAAAAGAAATGGTCTGGCGTGGGTTGTGTGTTATCGGGTGGCGGCGTTGTCTGTCGCGGGCCCTTTATCGGCTCAGTGGGCGTGCGCAAACTTTCCACTGAGCCGTACCTCGTAATAATTCACCACTGTGTGCGATATATGCCGGCAGTCTGGCGACTGTGTCTACGGGGACCGCGCTAGACAACGTCCACTCTCGCGCTGTACGCATGGTTGTTGTGTCGAACACACAGCACAATTAGTTGCGGACCGTTTGCTACCGAAGATGTTTACTTATAGCCCCTTTTGAATTATTCTCTGGTGGTATAAGTTCAGCTATTACAGTAGCCGGAGAAGTTCATTGGGAGGACAGCGGAATCGCCACGTTGTTTTCATTGTCCAATACATAACACGCCATAGGAAACGGATATATCGGCGGCTCAGAACACCAATGCGTGCAAATCTGATGCGATTCCATTACCTGCCGTTGTGAATGTGGACAACAGCGGTGACGTAGGTAGTCACGTATACACTTCTCTGTCTATAAGGAACTTTCGGGGGCATCCAGCAGTTCTGATGACACATAATGCACTATGCCTTGTAATTACAACGGCTACATCGTTGAATATGGTCAATACTCGATGAACCTGCTCATTTTTGAGCCGTTGGACATAAATTCACGAGTGAAGTGTCGTTCCGGAAATGCAGATGTGTAGATTTACACGCAGTCGCAGCATGCGGAAAAATCGCCACATTAACACTTATATTCAAATTATCCAGCGAATAAACTTTAGAGCGCAAATAGGTTCACATTTGGATACACTGAGCCTTCCGCGATGGGTGACGTGTGTGTTACGCAAGGCGTAGCCCACTAACCTAAAGTTTTACCGCGCAGGCGGATTTCCCGTCGCGCGGTTCGCTAGACGCATGGCTTTTAGCTGCGAATCCGGCTTATGGAGAGGAGTAGCCGGTAGGTGTGCCGCTGCGGCCTTACGCCTTGTGGCAGCGTTGCTGCTGTGCCGCTGCTGTCTTCTACCACTTGCCGCCGGCGAGTTCGATGTTGACAAGAACGTCGGGGCTCCTAAGGAGCTAACTATCGCATCTGCTACTGACTATGACCGGGAAGAGCTGCAGGTGCGTGTCTTTTTATCGTTTTCACATCTCTCTGCAGAAGCTCACCGAGTTCCGGCAGCGCCACCGAAAAACCGTTGATGGCATGCTCTGCGCCGCCGCGTTCGTGCGTAATGGGAACACATTCACCGATTGCACGACTACTGAGGCTCCCGATGGATCTGTTGGTAGGGAATGGTGTTACGTCGAGGTGCAGCTGGTCGGCGTTGGATTTCGCGACTGGGACTTCTGCGCCGGCGTCGTCGATTATGACGTGCTACGGTCCAAAGCAACGCTGCTGTCACAACTGAAGGCGTCGGAACTTGCCCATTCGGTGCTGCAGCTGTCATCGGAGGAGAGGTTGGTGACGTGCAGCTGACAATTTAATATACGACAGTCGTCTTAAGCGAACGCTATCTCACTTCCACGACGTATGTGGCCGAGGCGCAGAATCACACGAAATTGAGCTGCACGAGTTATCGCATGCGCTGCATGGTTTGGAGCGTGCCCTTCAGCAGGTGAAGGCCAATTCGCGGACACTGCAGACCCTGACTGAGCAGCACGAAGCGTTAGAAGAACGCCTTGCAATTGCGAGAAAGAACGCACTCAACGACAAGCGCAACTGCGCCTTTGTTCAGGGATACACTCCTGCAGTAGGTTTACCATATCAACTGTGGTGATGATCGGTTCAGGCGGTTGGTGACGGGATCCGAGCAAGCTATTTCGACAACCCGTACTTCAGGGGACCTCCTGTCGGATTTTTCGACCATCCACACCTTGCACTGACATTTGACGAGGTGCTACCAGTGAGTGGCGTGGACATCCGATCGTTTTCCGTGCGTTTCGAAGGCTACTTGCGGGCGCCAGTGTCCGACACCTACACAATTTGGGTCGATGCGGACTGCAATTTCAGGCTATTTGTCGACGGAGAAGTCGTTATTGAGCATGGTCTAGAGGGCCACGCAAAGTTTACAGCAGCGTTCAGCCCTGTTGGAGTGGTTGCGCTGGACGGTCGTTCCACATCGTCGTCGCACCTTGCATCGCGCAAATTGCTCCTTGACGGAGGGAAGCGTTACCCGATAGTCTTGGAGTATTCGCACCAAAGCGCCTTGAAGTACCGTGACGAAAATGTCGCCAGGATATCCGTGAGCTGGGCTACGGCCACCCGCCCTCAGGCTGTGATAGGCGGCGAACACTTTTTCCGCAGTCGCGAGTCCGGCGAGACCTTGGTGATTAGCGGGATTGAAGCTAGGTTATTTGATCTGGCTATGCTGGAGAATGGTGCGCAAGTGTTCCTTCACGTCACCAACCTGGTGGTGGCCGATGTTCCCGACCGCTTCCGCGGTGCGCGCATGATAAGGACCGTTTTGCGACCAGAGTTTGACGCCGTCACTTTCCACATATCACATGATGCCATAGTGTATGTTGCATTATCCGCCCATGCTTCTTTCATTCCGGTTGGTTCGTCACTTCCGTGTTAAACATGCCGTAGACAAACGCGGAGGACGGGTCGTTGTTCGAGCGAAGCAGCGACGTAATTTCGGTCTATGGCATAGGTGACAACTGTGTATGTGAAATCGTGAATAACTTACATGTGTCTGCAGGAAGAAGCCCTGAGTCAGCAGGAGTTTGTGGTCTACTACCGGCGGTTCAAGGCTGGTGTCGTGAAACTGCAACTACTTGCTGAAACGTCATTCTTCATTTTCCTGCAGCCCACAATGGCGAACATTGTATGCCAAGACGATCTGGAATTCTTGCCATTCAAGAACGGCGACCAATGTGCGGCGTCTTCATCGTTGTCTGCCGCCTTCGACTGCACCAAGGGCTTTGGAGATGGTCATTGGCGCTCTGGATCCAGCCGTACATCATCTCAATGGATGACGCGCACGTTTGCGAATCCGGTGGAACTGTCGTATTTCCATTTTTCGACGATGGATGGCACCGGGCCTATGCGTGCACGGGTGGTGTTCCCCGACGGCGTTGCAGAAGAGTTCGAGCTGCAGTCGCAGCTACGCTACGAGCTAGGGTACCATGGCGTGATAGATTCGCTACGCATAGAGATTGAATCTGCAAGCACCGGCGAATCTGTCGATGCAGGTAACTCCGACTGGACCCTCGGCGGCACATTCGCCCTGTATGGGCGTCAGTGCGGATCGCAGACAGTGGTGGAGGATGCAATTCGGTTTCCCATCCACATTGATTTCTGCCAGGCCGGTGAATCCTGTGGATCGCAGTACGTGGATCTGGGCCATGCCAAAGGTGCCCACGGCCGGCTGTCGTATGGATGGGGCACCACTAATATCATTACTGGCCTTGGTGATGTCCCGTTCTGTACATCCCGATACCACAATGCGACCGCAGAAATAGGTGCAGAGACAAACAGCCAAGCTGCGTTTGGTCGTATGCCCAAGAGTCGGTCGGGACTGCCGCTGGGCAGCGGTCAGTGGTGGACCCTTGACGTCCCCGAACACGGCGTCTATATTGTGGAAGTGGTGCTGGCTGCACTGTGTACCCACGTAGAATCCGCATCACTGCTGTTGAACGGCGTGGAAGTGCTCGAGGTGAGTGCTACGTCATATGCCTAACAATCATACAGGGCGAGTCGCTGCAAGTCGGACAGTCCGTCGAAGTAAGTGATTCCATTTTGCAATTGACACCATTCAGTTCTACGGACGGATATCGCTCGAGCGCGTGGGTTTCGTCGAGCTGCGCTCCAAGTCGTCAGGACTCTTCCTGATAGGCCTGTCCATATACCCCTCCAACATATAGACCCCAACAGCAGTCATAAAAATATTTTGTAACGCTGCAATGGTTTTCCGCCCGGCAGACAGCCGCCGCGCTTAGGCAATTGTACTTGCCTAACGGCGTGTTCGCACCCCTTTCCGGACGTTACAGTCGCGCTGTGATCCGTCTCACGGCGCCGCCGTTCAGCCATGGAGGACAAGCTGAAGTCGCTCGTCTTCAACTATTATGTGCCGAAAGACGATAATTTGAAGCGTTTAGTGCGCAGCAATTTGGAAGACTACCGCAAGATAGAGGAGGAAATCGACGCTGCCATTGACAAGACCATCGAGGAATACACAAGCAAGGTACGTGTTGTGATCGGTTTCCCTGTGATTCTAAGCAATAATGGTCAGCTATATTAAGCTACATATTTATAGAGTTGCTATGTGTTTTGTATCTGCGTCTGTATAAACGCATTAACGTTGTTTCAGGACGTGCTGTCGCTCGTACTCCCTAGCAAACAAAACTGGGATCTCAAGCGCAATTTACAGGAATCACAGCAGTTACTAGCGATGAGGACTGACATGACAATCATGAAATTGCTTCAAGCTGGCAGTACCAAGGAGGAAATAAACCCCGCCATGATGGTCCAGTTCAATCAGAACGGCATGGGAAGAGATCTAGAGCAGGAAGACTTCTAAGGCTATGTTATTCACTTCAGCCGCTAATGTGCGGTATCGTGGCACGGAAAAGCGTTTCGTGGAGCGCGAAGGCATGAGCTGAACAGCTCTCACGTGACGGCCGTAAAATAAGTCTTTAGACTGCTCCACAAACTCTAACAATCGCAACAACGCCTTTATAATATGCTATATATCGCAATGTGTGCCCTTTGCATCGTGTGAAAGCATTTGATTACCGTCGTTGTCAGATGTCTACCGATCACCGACAATGTGCGCAATGTGTACTATACATCGCATAATTTCGTTCTACAAAAATTAGATAATATTACCAACGAAAGGAAGACTTCGAGTCACTGTAAATCTAGTCGCAACCATTTAAAGTCTTCCCTCTGCTCGGCAATGTGGCCAGACGCGCGACTTCACCACTGGTAAAAATAGGCGGTTACAATTGTGTCAACGGTCGTTTTCATCCAGTATACCACTCGCTTACAATCCTATTTGTGGTGTAAGCGCCATTGTGGTGAGCTGGTCGGACACTATCCGGCTGTGTGTCCATCAGTTAACTCACCACCTTTGTAGCGAAGGACACTTTCTCAAAAGGACGTCAATAACCGTCTGCACGGTTTGTCTTCCAACAAGATTGCTATCATACAGGAAGTCTTGCCTTCAAGCCGGATTGGCTGCTCGGTGGTTAATTTTTTCGCATGTTTGTCTAACACTCTGGACGTGAGTCAACTGTATTGAGGACAACCAGGTGAGATAACGGTTTACATGTGTGTTTGCATGTTCATTACGAGACAGATACGAACAGTTTGTAATTTTAGAATCTGCTTTTGGTATTTTGGTAGTAATAAGTCGACGATCTAGAGTGGTTTGTGGCCATGTAGGCCAAGTTGTGCTTACGTAGATGCTTCTGGTGTTCGTATACTTACGTATAGAAAATGTTTCCGCTTTGCAATGCTTGCGTAGACCAGATGATAACGTCATAATGCCAGCGACTGACACTCCGCAAACCCGGGTGCGGGCGTTTGTCGGAGAGACACCTCGACCGCGCATCTCCAAAAAAGCAGCTACTGCTACTTCAGGGGCACCATTGTCTAGCGTGTCGAGGGTTAGAAATGCTTTCGGCGACAATGTGTCCGCATCTTCAGCAACAAACGGCGGAATGGCAACTGCTTCAGCGCTAGGCCGAGCCTATGCATCGGTGCCGCGATGGCCGTTGTCATCAGACTATGGCGAAGGCACACTTTCAGCCACGCGGGAAGCACCGTCCGCCACTCCAATGTACAACCCAGTAAGCAGCACTACGGATACGGCCTATGCAACCACAAGTTCGGCTGTGCGGCAGCGTATGGGTAAGCGAGCTCATCACCTTGGATCATCCAAATGCAGATACGGCAGGTGTCCCCATGTATGCGAGCACTTCACGTGTGCACTCTTTGCCAAGGCCCGTTAGCGGGGCTACATCGGCCGGACGCGACGGCCACTCTGCGACGTCGACCACACGGGAAGGTTTTACGGCGTCCAGGCTATTCGGGGACGAATTTGCGAGCACAACTAGGCAACGCATCTTCAGGAGTTCTTCTAACTCACAGGAGGTGGTTTTGTTTGCGGTGCATCCTCAAACCATAGTCCGGCCACTGCGCCGAGCGGTGCGGCAGGTGTATACCAGGCTGCTTGAGTGGCTATTGGATGTCCTGCAGCGCCGCGGAATGCAGCGCAGGGTCGCACTTGCGCGACTCAATCGCACTAGATGGTTTGCCAAACTCTTCGACTACACTTCAGTGGAGAGGATGCTGAATATCTTCAAGCTTTACTTGAGCCAATCGGATGCTTTGGCTGTGCCTCGGGAGTTTGTGGATGTTTATGACGCATTTTCGCATGAAATAAATCGTTATTGCTTGTCGGAGTCGGTACGACCGCGGGCAGAGAGTTCACGAGGACACCGCGCATTGGTCGTCGGAGGGATCGATTTTACCGAGGAGACACTGAAGAGCATGACAAGATCATTCGAGCCGATGCACCATCCCTCGCACCAGACGCCTATAATGCCTATGCACGTGCAATCAGTGGGATTACCAGGATCTATCGGTGCCGCTAATGCAGGTTGGTGTTGTTTTGACATTACTTCCTCTCATCTCGGCACAGGAGGCGTAGCGTCGCCGACGGACCCCAGCGGCACATCTACTAACTACAGCCCAGGTTAGTTGTGGTTATTTTGTCGCCACATCTGCCCGCAGAGGTCAGCAAAGCTGCGATAAACCGCCGTTACCTGGTCAACCAGGACAATCTCTCCGTGTTGGTCAGCATGATTTCACGCCTCCAGGGGATTATGAAGCAGCGGCAGAAGACCCTTGACGACCTCAATAAGGAACGTCAGGAGTTGGCCAGTCGACTACGCGAGCGTAAACGTGCTTTGCTGGAGCGCTGTATGGCATTGACCGAACAACATATTCTTTCCGACTCTAAGGACTTGGAGAAAACGTTGCTCGACATACAGCAACAGTTCGACGTAACTGGAACCAATCGCACCGCTAAAGCTCTGGAGGATATTGAACACAATATGCACGTCATCAGCCGCTGCGCCAAGTCACTATCGTGGTTGTAGAGGCGTTGTTGACAGAAGTCAAAGGTTGAGACCACTCCAACCTCAGGATATTGCCTTCGTGTTGCGTCGTGCATACTCTACATTGCGTGTTTCAGGTGCACTATTTTTATCTGAAAGACGCCGGATTACGTAATGTTATAATATATCGCATCGATGTACGGCTGACGCCGTTTGTTGCAGCAATCTCATTTACTATATGTAGCTAATCGTATATGTAGCATTGATCACCTTTGTTGAGACCATACGCAACTTTTAGAGAAGCGTTGGCTACCTCATTAAATAACGTCGGTGATCGGCTTAATTGCACATAGCAACGCAGAGGCGGTAGTCGCCTGAAATAATCACACATTGCCCACATTTAACACGTATTCGATTTATTACAGACATTAACTCACATATAAACGGTTGTGGATCACAACTGTCAATGACAGTAGTCCCTACTTTCACCACGTGATTCTGCACTCGTGACCGGATTCCAGTGTCTGTGGGTAGAATCTTACCAGTTCTGTACCTATAACAAAATTGTACGTTAATGTGTTGTTATATTAGGGTTATACGTCGAGCTAGCATCTGACCTAGTCCTCAATCATTAGAGGCCCATAGACATTTTTCGGCAGCAGGATTCCATGTCTTCTGCTCGGATATTTCGTCAATGTGAACACTTCCAAGTTAAAGGCATACCTGTCAACGCTTATGGAAAGAAGAAGACTGTTACTATGACGATCGTCAGTTGATCTGGCGGATCAATGCAGTTGCTGATATGGTTGCTGCCGGCCGCGCTGTTGTGCACGGAGGCATTTCGCCATACCAGCCGTTACCATGATTCGCCTCTCATAAGTGCCTCCGGGGGCACCGGTCAGCGTTCAATGCGGTTGCTTGGGTCGATGAAACAGCTTAAGGGAGCACGAAAGTCAAGTCGCAGGCGCCCGAAAAAGACAACTCCAGCCAAGATTTACCCATCGCCCACCCTGTACTATGGGAACATCCAGGACTACTTCGGTGCTCCACGCGAGTACTATGCGTTGCCGTGCGCAGATGCACTTGGCGTGATCCGGAGCGAGCCTATGGTTCGCCTGGCAAGCATGATTAAGAGGGGCACAACAGCCGAGGAGCTGTCTAGGGAATTCGAGCTTGATACAACCTTTCACAAAGCTGTGAAATCTGCTGTAGAACAGCTAAGGCTTATTGCAGAAGGTCAGCGCTGTGACGTCACCCGCGACCTCGTTATATACTTCGAAAGGGTTGTTAAGCGCCCTTCGGAGTTTCCGCATTTTGTGGACCGCGCTCACGCAATAAAGCGGCTGCAGGAGTTTTGGCGCCGTCGCGAATTCGTGAGGTACCGGGGCCTATTCAAGCAGGTTTACTGGCGGATGCGCCAAATCGCGGGGAAGGTCGGTTATGCGGGCGTCACTCTGCAGGACTTCCGTGACCCCGCTCTTTGGAGGCGGTACGGCGTTTTTAAAGGGCTGCCGCGATCTTCTATGGTCGACAACTACCTTGTGAAGCACAAGATTGCGCTCAACAGTGATATACGCGACTTTTATTTCATCGATGCAGATACGGATGAAGTGTGCTGCATTCTGGATCCGGAAGCCGACGGGCGCGCCAAACGCCGCGTTGATGCGTTAGATCCGAAAGTGATGGACCGTATAGCTAGTGACCTCAAGGAACTTGGAGTATTTCCAAATGATGAGTGGCATACGATGAACATGTCTCGCGTGGATGAGCTGCAACGGGATTGCGCATCGCCTGACGCTCAGCGGGCGTATGCCATACGGGATTTCTATCTCACGCACTCCAACCCAGGCTACCGTGTGAACGGCGATCCGTACTATCTGGAGTCATTCGTTAACCATCGCTACAGGACGAGGACCCTCGAACGTGATCTGGGACTGAAATACGAGAACTGGCTACGCAGTGGTGCGCCGCCACCTATGCCCAGACCTGTAGGGGTTAAATATCAACATATGGTCTTATGGAAGAGCTTGTCACGCAACCAACGGCGCCATCTGGTGCAGGAGTTCCTCTATCCCAAAGCACAGGATAAACCATCTACGGTGCGGCCCACTGCAGATGGCGAGGCTCCAAATTCTACCCCGTTGGAGAACACGTAAATCGGCTAACATAATTGTAATTATACGTATTTCAATGGTGTATACTTAAAACTTGGTAATGCGTCACCTTGTCCATAACAATACCATTGGTTTCGTAATTTGGACGGACCTCCCACACAAAGCGCAACCATGATAAAACCATAGCATAAGGTGTAGTGAGGTTATTTTTAAGATCACTAGTTCTGATAAATAGATGTTAGCCGAGTACACGGCAATAGGGTGCTGTTGCAGCAGGCGTCTGCTTTTTAAAAGAAAATCCAGTATAATTATCATAACTGGTATTACTGGTACATCGTAGTCAGCAACCTGCAAAGTCACACCCACAAGGTCAAACTGGGGTAATTTCCCACAAGTTTACCAGCTCCTTTTGGTCGCCAGTATCAATCTGAACTGTGCGCCACAGGTCAGCGGCGCCGTAGCACATATTGTGCACCTGAGACTCTTTGCCGTCCCATTCGCATTTCATCGAGGGCCGCCATACATGCGACATGTGGCCCGCCAAGAATGTAAGCGGGAGCACGAATTCGGATGCACGATCAACGGAGTCTAGCGGTGCGTATACGACAAACCTCTGTGACTCGCGTGATTCTCCTCTGAGGAAGTAGTCAGCACTAGCCGCCACTTTATTATCCGTACTTTCGCTATCCTGCGCAGCCACAGACGCATAAACCGATTGCAAGTATGGTACAAAGCGCCCCTCGACGATGGACTCAGAAGCGGGATTGCCCTCTGGATCGTATTTCTCATATCCTACGCTGCGTAAAGCAAGTCTCGCAAAACGGCCGCACTTTGGCACTTCAAATAGCCACACAGACTCTATGTATACCTCCAGCGTCTCGACTGGAACCACCGGCTCCATTGAATGCAACAACTTGAGCAGAGAAGCTTTGCTAGATTCAGAAGGTGGACTGCCGTACTCCTTCACCATCTCCGAGAGCAGGTCACGTGGAAATTGGTTGTTTGCCGCGAGAGACAGCAGCCACTCCCTGTAACCCCCGAACATATAGACCATAGAACCTTGGCACATAGCGGTGATGTGGGAGCAAAGCAACGTAGGTTCCGCGGTTTCCAATGCGGATGTCCAGTGCAGTTGGTGCTTCGAAAACAAGTTCATCCGCTGGTGATTAAAGACGTAGACATACTGGAACCAAACACCCAACTCCTCAATACTTTGGAGGAGCAGCTTCTCGTCAGCATTAAGGGCAGCGCTGCCGCCCCGTGACCCACAGGCACAATTGCGTGCGGGACTAGTGCGCGATCCTGACTTATCAGCAATCTTTGAACTCATACGTTGCATATTGCGGTACATAGAATCTATTTTGTCCCACCACATAGCACGCTTCTCATTCCATGAAAGCCAGTCGCAATATCGCGATATGACGGATTCACACAGAACAACCAACTGGATGATCAGTGATACACCCGAAGCAACCGTTGCAACGTCACCACAGCAACATGCCAACGAGTCCAACGCCACACTGCCGATTAGCTCCGCTAGACGCTTGTTTTCTGCGTCAATCACCTTTACGACATCAGCACCGCATAATTTGTGCCCTTTGCTCGCACAACGATTGCACGGATTGCCATCACTTGCGGAGTCGGTCGCTTTGCCCCTACGCCTATGTTTTTCCCTTTCACCATGCATCGCCTGATCCTCGGAAGACGGCGACTCAGATTTCATACCACCATAACGCAACAGCGTGGTGTTTGACATCTCAATAATGTTCGAAGAAAATGATTTCACACCTTGAGTAAGCGATATCAGTAGATGACCGTAGGGAGTTGGCGCACGCCACGCCTCGACGGCGCTGTTCGGCAGTGAAGCCGCGTTGTTGAATTCAGGTTCCAACTGTATCAACTTGGCTTGCAATGCCCTCTCGTTGCTAGTCAGCGGGGACAACCGCTCGATGAACATGCGGATGTCCCAAGGGGTATCCATGACACCCCAAGAGAGACGCGGGGGAATTGTTGTGAGGTAGTTCAGATAGTCGAACACCGTATTGAAACTTGTTGGCTGCCTATCGAAGAATTCGCGACTACGTCGCAGCCTAGGTTTGACCATTTTAGGTTTCCGACCTTTAGGCTTACGCCGCTTAATCATCGGTACGCTGCCCTCATCTTTTGCGCCGGCTCCGTTCTTTGGATCACTAGATGCCTCCTGAGGATTGGGAGCTGAATTTGAATCATTGGATGCCTTGTTATTGTTTTCCTGAGGTTCAGACGTTGAGCCCTTACCCGCAGACTTCCTTTTCTTTTGACCGGGCACTTCATCAGCACTGAATATACGATCCGCCTGTAATTGTTTGGCATGATCTGCAATCCTAAACTTGAACTTTTCAGGTCCAAACGAAGCGGTGCGTTGCTGCTTAGTACGCATCGAATTTCGCTGCGCCGTAAACCTAGCAGATGGCAGAGTGCGAACAAAAATGCGGTAACCAAGCTCCCCGCCGAAATAGTAATAATCGTTGTAGAAACGGTCACGCCCAATGTGCACGTTACGCTGCACATATCGCTCCTCCAGCTCGGCCAGATCCTTCATGATCTCCTTAGGCTTCTTACGTTTTGCCGTGTCAGTGCCAGACGCGGCAGCAGCACCCTGATCGTTGTCCCGAGCATTATTTGTTGCGGCACCCTCCGGGTTTTGTGAATCGCCTTCCATCTTGACATCGCCCGCAGATGCCTTTTTACGGGATACTTTTGTACCCGGCTCTTCCTTTATGGCCACACCATCAACGCCCATAGGTGCATCCACAGGCTCCAATTTGACCGGAATGCTTGCGGAGGACTTTGAACTGCTTTCGGGTTCCGATTTTACCTTCGGATGAGCTGTGCCGCCAGATGGGTTCTGTGATGCTGATGCCGCTGTCGTATTTTCCGTCGATTTATCCGTATCCTTACCGCTTTCACCAGAACTTTCTGCAGCTCCGCTGAGGTCACCATCAGTTTCAGATTTGACGGCAGCGTCAAAGTTGCCCGGTGAGGACATCATTTCATTATTTAGTGGCCTGTCCACGTCTTCAACCTTCCCATCCGCTGAGGCTGCCACGGCTGCCGCCTGCGTGCTGTCACTCTTAACCAGAGCTGCTTTCAAGTTGAAAAATTCGTCGTTCCTTTGGTCGATGAAACGCTTGGCCTCAGGGCTATACGACAACAACTCGCCCATCCAACGCAACAATATTAGTCGGTCGCGTACCTCGAGTTCAAAGAAGCTGCAGACGCGCAATTTTTCCATTACCACCTTAACCGCCTCTATAGAGACTGATCCTTTGAACAGGTGCTTAACTCTCCCGTTATCTGGGTACCACTGAATCTCAAATTCATAGTAGGGAGAATATCGCTGCGTTCCTGGGCCACGACGGCGGCCAACACGACCCCCCTCTTCCGTCTCCTCGGCTTCCGCCTCTGCCTCTTCTTCTTCCTCCTCTTCATCGTCCACATCATCCTCAGAGTTGCTGGTAGCTGCCAGTGATCCGTTTGGTTTAGCCGCTGTAGATTCACCCTTGCCACCATCTGGGGCTTCCTTGTCCATAGCCTCATCGTCTTCCTCGTCTTCGTCCTCATCCTCCATTGCGTTCATGGCGGAAGACGGCGCATCTCCGTAATTCCCAGAGTTGATCCTGTACACGTACTTGCGTCGGCATGAGTACACTGCATAAAACAGATGGATGCGTAGTAGACACGGCCAAGTATACTCCGTCAACATCATTGGATGCAACGCGACTTTGGCAGTTAGCAGGCTCATGGACTCCCTGAAACCGAATCCTAGCACCGGCTCTGCTTTATTCACCGGCACTGGATCCACACCGAAGAGAAGCAGGGAGGAAGCTTTCAACCGATCGTTCAGCGTATCGAGCAGGTCAGAGCGTTCCGGGGTCTCGGGTAACGGCTCCGTTTGCCATACCAGCAGTTTTTTAGAGAAAGTGGGCAACACCTCGAAAACATCTGAGGGGTATATCACACGGTAATCGGCTCCTTCGCGGCGACTGTTAGCCAGCAGATCCATGGGTACGCCTTCTAAGCGAGAATTCAAAGAGATCACAACACCGTCCGCCAGATACTCATAATCCACATTTGTGTAGGTGTAAGATTTGGTGGCTGCCAACAGACGTTCGACCTTCTTAAAACGCCTGTTCCACCGCGAACAGTTTATGTATGGAATCGGATGCTCAGGCTCCGGAATTATGTGCCTAAATCGACCGCGGTATAGGCAACCGCCGTGAGTAGACATGAAATAAGACAGCGTTTCATAATCCGGCATGCTAGCCTTTATATCGCGTTCCTGTGCGTCCTTCTTCTTGTCCGATAGGGGGGAAAGAATACGCATCATCCGCACCCGATACTCCCAACTGTCGAAGCGGCTGTAGTCGTTCAGGCAGCGCATGAGCCCCAGATACAGGTCGTTCACCCTCTTATCGAGACCCTGGAATTTGACAAACCAGTCGTCGTGCTCTGCAACCAAGCTGCAGAGACATTGCGGAGGTTCGAAACGGAACGTGGAAGGTTCGAGTGGCTTGTACACGTCGACGCTGGTGGTGTAGAGTAAGCTCCTTTCGAGCTCAGCAAACGAAAACTTAGGCAACAGCGGATCAACGTTCGAGGGGGATGCCGAGAACTGTCGACAGACATTCGCAATATCCAAAATATCATCCGCACCGTAAAACCTTAGCATACGTAGAGGGATATCCCGGGGGTAGTATCTCGCATCGTTCAATTCAACGTTGCAATCGTTTAGCAACGCAAGAGGCTGCTTGCTGGCTTCGTCACCTGAAACGTCGCTGCAGGTGTTGTAGCAAGTGTACTCGAAGTCATCAGGCAAAGTTAGCGCATTGCACTGTTTCTCTTTATCAATCAACATCTGTTGACGCTGTTTCATCGCTTCATCAGGTTCCGATGCAGCTGTAGACCGTTTAACCACGGGTTTAGGTTCCTCCGGCGCAATCAGCTGGATATCCGCAGCATCAGTCAGCTTCGAGTTGCGCTTAATGATACGCCCCGAAACCTTGCTCTTGATCTCCACCGGAGGCGGTGGTTGTGCTACAACCTTTAATGGCTCCACTGCGGCCGGCATTTTGCTTGATTTGGGTTCCTTAGGTATCTTCGTAGCAGCTCCATCTTTTGCTGCTTTGGAAGCCTTAGCCGACTTGGGTAGAGACGCTCTCTTTGGCATCTTGGGTACTCTGGTCACTTCAGCAGCAACAATCGGTGCTTGCACATCCAGCACAGACGGCAGAGTCGGAATAGACATATCCCTGTCCCTTTTATAGGATGACATTTCGGCCTCGTTGTATAACAGCTGAAAGGTGGATAGATACTTTTCGGTGAGATGGGCAGCGCTCATAAACTCGGGCACTACGAAACTCTCGTCGAAGAAAACGAACGGTCGATGTTCTTTCAATAACGCCATTAGGTCGCACAACAGTAATCCGACGGTGCTTGTACCAGGATTTGCGGCGGGGGCGTCGGTTGGCGCAGAGATGGGGTTTTCCCCATCAGGCTCGATTTTAATATCCTCAGCAACTGTAGTGCTCCCCAGAGTCTTAGAAGCGTCAAACATACTGTACGGGGAATCGAGTGCAGTATAAGCGGCCTTAATATCGATTGATCCATAAGATCCCACGCCAGTGCCGCTTCCTATATCGGAGTGAGCGTTCGTTTCTTGCGTTTGGCCTTGATCAATCTCTTTACGGCGATTTTGGAAGAGATGTAAGTGGAGGCAGTCAGTGTACAGCATCTCTATCAGCTTAATGAGGTCTGCCTCCGTGAACCCAGGCAAATGCATGGACTCGTTCCAGGCGGTAACGGCCAAACCGTCCTCCGCCGCTATTTCTGCCAGAATCTCGTTCAGCCTGCGATTGCAGTTGCGCTGGTATTCCTTGGTCAGACGCGTGGACAGGTTGTAATAGAGCAAGAACGACACATGGTAGCTAGCGTAGCGCACCGCCGGCCTGTCCAACCGGTAGTATATATCGTGCTCACTTATGACGTATAACGCCGGAACATCAGACGGCTTGCACCCATAGTCGATAAAGAAGTCCATAATCCGGGCGCGTACGCCTACCACCTTGGATTTGCGGCGCTGCCGGCCACGTGACGAGTCGTTCGAAGAAAGCTCGTCATTGAGGGTCGGATGCATCAATGCCCTCAACTCGCTGACGGTATGCAACGTGCTCACCAATTTTAGCTTTCCTACCAACCAAAGACCCGCACCGAAGTGGGATAACTGGTTTAGCGGCGTTATCCTATCGCAGTTCGGCGAGTAAATTAGGAAGTCTTCCACATAACGTATCACCGTGCCATCCTCCTGAAAAAAAGTAAAGGCGGACGGTATCGCAGCCTCGCTGTGGTACCGCTCATGGTTTCGATTCATCACCGATTCGTTGCAAGACGAGATTCCTAATGTGCAGTCTACGTCCTCACCAGACTGAAGATGGTCCACCTGACCGCGTAGGGAGGAGTCGCCGGTGTCGTACATGGTGGTCACCACGGTCTCGGCACTTGGGTCATACGTACAGTAGCGGTTAACTCCAACCTGCTGCAGCAGCATAGATCGCCAGGCGAGCCCGCTGCGCAGCTGCTGGGAGAGGGAGTCTGGCGCCGCGGACTCGGAGAAGCTGCCTCCGCCAGCAGCGGGCGCCATCGCCCTGCCTGCCGCCATGTGGTCAGCCATATGTTTTAAAAGGCACGGAACAGGATAAATTGAGCGGCGGGCCCTCTACTGTTTGTGTCCTACCACACACCCTCGACAGGCATGAAGCGCACAATAGGCCGCGCCACCATACACATTCACACACTAGCAAAGCGTGTTAACCATTCATCATTGCTAAAGTTGATTCAGCGATAGACCGGGCCTCCGAAGAAGGTAGCTGCTCGAATGTGTGTCGTAATACGCGAAGCTCTGTAGACATGTGGGATGCCCCGCAATGCAAAACCCACCTTCCTTCGAGTAGAACGACGAAATGTGACTCTCCATGTTAATACCCACGGAATCCCTAGACGCCAAACTCTGGGCGCTGCCGACCACAAAGTTCCACACACTCGTTCCTAGAGAGAAGGGCCAGAAGTGGTCGTCCTCGGGTTCGTCGAATGGATCGTAGTAGGCCAGCGGAGGTTGTGTGTTGAACATAGACACGTGGTGGAGCTTGCCCTCGCCATGGTCGCGATTTGCGATACCGGTGGAGTTCGTCGTTTTGAGGTGTTCATCCTCAACACTTGTGTTGCCGCCAGCTAAGGGTAACTCATCAACGTCTGAACTTGGCGATGCATTCCACAATGTAGGGCGATCGTTATCATATCCAACCGATGTAACCGATTCGCATGACATATTGCCTTGTTCACCGCCTGGAGGGTTGCATTCTTGTTCCCTACCGGTCGAGAAACCATCTTCGCCTGCTGCCGGTGCAGTAACGTGCAGAGAATGTAAAGATGCGTCATCATCGCTTTCGTTGAGAAGTTGCTGCTCACCGTCTAGCGTGTCTGCCACAGTGGGTGTTGATCGTGCGCTCCGTTGCTCTATTTTCAACTTTTCCAGATGGTATATGCGTTCCGCCAGCCTGTAATACGGCTCGTCCAATGTAGAGAAACCTGTTGCAAAGGGGTCACGAGAATTGACGGATTCATTTCTGAATTCTTATGAACCATATAATGAGCGACTCACGTGATATCTTCGTCATCCGACAGCGTCGGTGCCTGAGAGTCCAAGCACGGGTGGTAATTACCCAGGTCGAATGGCAATTTTGTCGGTAGTACAACTGAAATGGGCTCTTTTACTGTGCCCAATTCCTTTGTAAGCTCCTGGAATTTACGCACGGCAATCGGACTCTGTTCTACGATGGTAAGGTTGCGACAGTGGAAGTTTTCCACTCGTCGGAACTCGATCTCCTCAGGCAGAACCGGTATGAGGTTCGCATCGTGTGCGGTGTAGTCTCGGAGGTGCAAACACTCGTCATTCTCCGGCTTCATGTTGATTAGCTCGGCATCGTCTGCAGGCATCCCATCGCTGCGAAAACAGCCGCCTATACAACGCAAACCTATTCTCTCCCAAAGGCTACGACGTTTGATAAATTTTCTCATCACGTCGAATTAGTATTTGCTGTGTTTTACTGAAAACGCTCTGCGTAAAAGGTCGATGTGCTTATTCCGAATATGCGAAGTGATGACACCCCACTGTGATAAATTATCACCTAAGGAGTTGCAGCGCAGCTCTACGCAATTATTTGGTAAGACGTGATAAGACATGTGTGCGTTAACTAGGGCGCCACTGAATCGTGACGAAACTCAGCAGTGATATTCCTGTGGCACCATGCGCCTAAAAGTCTGCGCATCAAAAAGCATTCCTGGATCTGCGATCAGAGTCATTGCGAATCAGATGATGTTTCATATCTAATGTCGTATATTGATATGACTCTCGTATTTGTTATATAGGGCATTAGGATGCGGGTGCAGATATTTTCGCATCATTAATTGTCGGCTCAGCCAAACCCAGTATGGCACATCATGTTTCAACAAATCGCCGTAGGCTATTGAATAGGTACGGTTAAAATAGCATTAACCAAGGATGGACGCAAATGCATAATCTAAATGAAACACTGACATCTTATTATCGTAGCGAAAGTAAAATAACCGTTCAATTGTCATGAAACAAATGGATACATATCATGATGCTAACTTTACAACCTCACTATGTTGTGGATTACCAATTCATTAAGATACGATCCAGTCATTAATATGCCGCCACTGTGGACGGTGACATTTTTACCTGCTTCTTTCCGTCCAACCCTCTATCAACCCATGCATGGAATACGCAAGGTAAACGACCAGATTCCACATGCAACGTATGCCACTGTCACCACGACGCAATAATCTTATTTAGATGCACTTAGAAAATGAATAAACCCTCTAACTTAAATTATCGACGTCCAATATTGTATTTGCGATGTGACACGGTGAGCCGAAGGCGGAAAAGGACAAGGAAAATTCGCCGCATAAATTCGCTTGTGAATCAATGATGCTCATGTCCAAATCATGTTTTCCGTTGATTCCTTCTCCACAAACATTTCGTAGAGTGGGCTGCAGTTGCGCAAGCGCTCCACGGCAGACCTGAGCTCCACCAGCAGTTGATCGATCTCGCGTTCAGTGGTAAAACGACCAATACCGAAGCGAATAGAGGTGTGCGCAACTTCTTCACCGACGCCTATGCTGCGCAAGACGTAACTCGGTTCCAGACTGGTCGATGTGCACGCCGATCCTATGGCACAAATTAGCAAAAAAATTCGAACAGCAGCGCGATGAAAAAACGTAAACAATTTTACAAATCATTGAAACATTTAGGAATCCGCTATTAACGTTGATACTAGCATTTTGCTTTTTGATTAAATAGACATCAACGCAAACATTTACTACGGAGGCTCAGGCAACTGGTGTAATACGAGGGGTAATAAACTCAACCTACCACTGGACAACGCGATATTTTGGAGCGACATCAGTAATGATTCACCTTCAATGAATTCGAAAGAGACATTTAGATTCCCCCAATAACGCTCGCCATCCTCAACCGAACCGTTTATATGCACGTGCCCTATGTCACGCATGCCGGCCACCAGCTTCTGCCACAAACGACGTGCATGATTTAAGTCGCGCTGCATCTCCTGACGTGCCACGCTGGCTGCCGCACCTAGGCCTACTACCAGCGGCGTTGGTAGTGTGCCTGATCTTAGGCCGCGTTCCTGCCCACCGCCGTCGATGATTGGGCGCAGTCGGATGCGCGGCCGTCGACCTACGTAAAGGGCGCCCACTCCCTTCGGACCGTATATCTTGTGCCCAGAAATCGACATGAGGTCGACTGGCAGTTTAGAGAGATCCAAAGGGACTTTTCCGAAGCTCTGCGCGGCATCGGTATGGAAAATAACGCCGCGCTCTCGGCACGCACGTCCGATCCCCTCTAAATTTTGGAGGGTGCCGATTTCATTGTTGAGATGAATAATTGAGCACAGGAATGTGTTTGGCGTGATAGCGGCCGCAACATCCGCTGCGCTGACAATACCCTTGGTATCCGGCTTCAGGTAGGTCACCTTGTAGCCCCGATTTTCGAGGTTACGGCACGTCTGCAGCACGCATTTGTGGTCTATCTGCGAAGTAATGATGTGGTCCTTTATTTTTGATGCATCGGGGTGTTCGAGGTTGCTGTAGTATTCGGTAACGCCCTTGATTGCCAAATTGTTCGACTCCGTTGCGCCAGAGGTGAAGATAATGCTGCGGGCGTCGCAATTGAGTAAGGTAGCCACTTCAGATCGTGCTTCCTCCACGGCGTGTTCAGCATCCCAACCGAAGGAATGAGTGCGGCTGTGCGGATTCCCGAAGCTGTGGCTCAGGTAGGGCAACATTCTATCCAGAACCCTCGGGTCTACGGGGGTTGTAGCCTGGTAGTCGAGATATACGCGTCCCTCATTATACGCACGCAATTGGCGCTGTGCACTGCAGACATTCAGCCTCTCCATGCTGCGGAAGGCATCCGTGTTTTTCCGTACGCTTCCCATACCATCTCCAATAACTGGATGCACGGGGTCATTACGGCGACAGCCTAACCTTCCATGGGCATAATTACGAATTGATGCTGTTGAGACGGTTGGCAGCCTGCTGTGAGCGCGATTGCACGCCTTGATAGTGTGTAATTGAATCTGAGCGTTCAGCATTGTTACGAAATTATCATCATCTTCTGCGTGAAGAAGGCTGCGCGACAGCAACGATCAAGTTAAAGTAATGTTACAATCAGCATATAAATTATGAAATTATCTGCAGTTGTATCCTGTGGTCTATTTTTCCATTAGACAGCGCTGCCAACAACTGCCAAGATTGTTGTAGGGAGCTCATCGGCAAATGCTGGTGTTGTGAAATGAAATTTCGCATAACACAACACACACATCAGCCTGCAAGTATTAATATTATGGTCACAAGGTATATAGGCGATTTCAAACGACGCGTTGAGCTGTACTGAAACAGTTCCAAGTGAAGGTTACGACGGCACAGAGGATTTTGAAAACATGGCTGTATGCGCCCAGTAACCGATTCCACTGTAATAAAACAACATCAGCATCTAATACTGTGAAATGAGCGCTTGATGCTTTCAGCAATTTGGCGATACAGACAGAATGTGCAACACGTCATTCTCGTTACATAGCAGTAACATGAGATTAATAAATGCGTGACAGCTGCCCACTATCAACAATTACGTGGAAATACAATTATAACATTAGCCAGCAAACGTACACACGAGGAGATTCAACACATCGGCCGGCACCGTTGCCTGCTGCGCGATAAAGACATGGCAGATTAACGCCTGTTAATTTTAATAAGCATTAGTGTGTGTCAGATGCGACAGTTTCCTAAAAAACGGATGGACTCAACGTCTGCAAAAACCTAATGGATTACGGCGAATGCTCCACCTACCAGTCATTCTTAACGTCATCGTCCGATGAGTCTATATACTCTATTCGGGCGCCTGATCTGGAGCCTTCAGACGAACGCTGATTGCAGTTCTTGTTCACCGCGAAAATAGCGACAATCACCAAGAGCGGTGAAAGCGCAAGCGTCAGCTTGACTGCCGCTACCAAGTAATAGAGTACGGGAAACACCATCGTGTAGCAGTCGAAGCTGCCAGAATTAAACAAAATTCGAGCAGCTGTGTGTCGCCGAAAAACATCAGGCTGGGGTCTGTGAGGGACGTGTGCCGCTGAACAGGTGTTCCCACGTTCCCGAATGGCGGGGAGCGCTCTTCAGAAGCACGATGCTCACCACTTTCCCGTGTCCCGACATCTCCTCCAGCGACCAAAAGCAGCCATCCACATCGACCTTGCCGCGCAATGCACGAGACACAGCCTTGCCGTTGTACGTGATGGTAAGCTCCTGTGGCATGAACCGAACGGCATAGTCGTCCTCGCTGTCCAAAAGTGTATACAACAAATGCCACACGCCGTCGTGTACCGTCTGGCTAGACCAGATTGACACGCAGTAATCTAAAAATTCAATTAATGTCACATCAAGTGTCGAGCGTGATTAACTACGGATCAGCACATGGTGAAGGCGATAACAGCCGCAAAGAGCAGGCCGATAGTGCCGAAGCTCGCAGAGTTCATCTTCTTGCACTTCTCAACTGACGATGTCAAGTTTTTGTCCGCCATGTTATAGGCCTTGAAAGCCACTATGGCGTCCGCAAGATGATGTTCATTATGGATTATTTTAGTCAACTGTTGCTGAATTTTGACGCCATCTAGATTCTTGTTTGCCTCAATTTCAGGCATGTGCTCCTTCAACCAGTTCCTAATATCCTGAGCTATCGCATCCTTTTCCTCTTGGCTGCCGTTCTCTTTGTTGGCTATTAAACCGTGCAGCTGATAGATATCATCGGCGAATGACGGGAACGCAAATCTCAAATTCAAAAACAAATCTTCCAACGACATGCTCTCTGCTACATCCTGCGAATCTTTCGTGGCTGCTGCCACACGTCCAGCAGCATTTGGATCATTTCCAGACTGGTCTGGTTTAGTTGCCCCAACTTCCGTAGATTTAGGAGATATAAGCTTAGAATAATCCCCGAAAAGAAGGTTTAACAGAATGTGGAAACATTTTCCAGCTTCTTGTAAATTATTGCGTACGGCCCTAGCCTGCTCTGCGCTCGTGTAGCTTTGCATTTGAGAACCTGCTGGAATAGATGGAACGGACCGAACCGGATATCTAAGGAACCGATCCTGATATTCGGCTGGCAGCACTTCGGTCCATTTTTCAAGTGACTGGTTAATAAGGAGAGTAAAAGCTTCTTCGACTTTTCCAAGCAAATCAACCTTTAAACCGTCACCACGCATCAGGCTCATAATAACCCTGAACCGCTTCTCCACTGAGGGTATAACTTTGTCGTAATTAACACCCTCAAGCTTCAGAGCGTTGTGAGCGCTCGGCTCTGGTGGAGGTGGAGGAAGTGGCGTGTCATCGGTGGCTACAGTGAGATTGACGCGACTGATAACCAAGAGAGCAAAGGAAATTAAAAATTTCATCATCTCCTTGGACTATATTATAATATAAATTCACCAAACTAAAATTTTTTAATTATTAAAAAGATATTATTCAAAAACCTATCCAGCTGAGCTGCAGAGGAGTAGGGATGGTTGAAACGCGCACGTTGTTGTACGCAAGGTCGCGGCTGGCTGCCTGTCATTGACACACTCGCTGCACATTTTGGTCATAATACTTTCGCGTTTCCACGTACGAGGAGCGCCAACGAAGGACGCGGAAGCGTTCTCGTCCTTTGTATTTAGGACGTAGTAGACACCTGGTGCTGCATCCAAGCCTTGCCATCCAACCCGTGTTATTGTGATAAGTCGTGTGTAATGGATGACTTATGACATTTATCTTCCCCGGTGTGCCGTGTATAATGCGGATTTGCGGGAGCGCTGTGGCGTCGCGTCTCATTCGGGTCGGGAGGCATTTCTCGATGCGGTCACCGATTTGATAGCGAACTGAAGTGTATGAATCCGTTAATCACGTTACTTTGTGTAGTTTGGCAGGCCAGGCTCACCGGCATCGGTGTTTCCCTTCCAGCTGCTGAGATTGGTCTGCTCTCTGGCAGCCTCGCCGCACTTTGCAGCTCCGCCATTCGCCACGTGCCTGTATTGTGCGATGCCACGTTATGCTATAACTTATAGTTGCGATTGTGGGTGACGTTAGGATGTGCTGGGTTGCGGTTATCGAATGCAATGCGTGCTCCGCCGGCTCAGCGGCATGAGCGATGTCGATGTTCGCCGTGTTAGTGGTTGCATTCATCCACAGTGATGCAGTGCACCGTCCCTCGCCCCACTCATGGTACGATTGTTCATACCAGCACACTCTTGGTCGTTGGTCCAAGATACAGCATTGTGGAGTATACCTGTAATCCTCGACACATGCAGCTACGACGCGGCGTCATTCGTTTTTGCCACAGCTGCTGCATGGTAGCGGAGACTCATTTTCGTCAACAGGTCGGTGAACTCCCCTAATCACGAAGTGACGAAGTTCCTGCGGTGTAAGGGGTGACGCCTTCCCGCCTTCAACACTCTCTGCGTCCTTTGAAGGCTCACATTTTCCTTCAGCTTTCGATAGTGACATCGATGGTTTCTTGTTTGCTTGCGTAGCCTTACGACCATCGCTCGGCTTATCCTGTCGCGGTTTCCGGTCGTCGGGAGTGGGTTCAGACTTTGGCTTAACTCCAGACGATGGAGATGGCTTCACGTCGGATGCATCTGCCTTCGTGTCACCATGGTTGACTGGTTGCTGCGTTTGCGGTTTCTGGTCGTCGGGAGTGGGTTCAGACTTCGGCTTAACTCCAGGCGATGGAGATGGCTTCACGTCGGACGCATCTGCCTTCGTGTCACCATGGTTGACTGGTTGCTGCGTTTGCGGTTTCTGGTCGTCGGGAGTGGGTTCAGACTTCGGCTTAACTCCAGACGATGGAGATGGCTTCACGTCGGACGCATCTACCATATCTTCATAGGCCGGCTCTTCCGTGCACAGCTTCTTATCATCGTCGATTTTTTGGATAAGGAAACTATCAATTTCCCGCTCCTCTCCAGACAATGGAGATTTCGATGCCAGCCCCTCAAAACTGCCTATTTTCTTGTATGCCGTATTAGCTTGTGGCTGCGCACCGTCAACAAGCGGTTGAGGGGGGAAACGCTTAACCTCTGCGTTATCTAATGGTGAAGAAGGAGACCGATTGCGGTTTGAGGCGGCAATCTGGCCATCATCGCCTGTCTTTCCGGTTTCTGGCTTCATAACATCAACAGGAGGTACTATCCTAGAGGGATTTATTTTTCCTTTCCCATATGAATTTGACAGCGGCGTTTGTGTAGCTGCATCTGAAACCGTTGTACCACTATACAAACCCAGAGTGCTCGTTGCAGCCTTAGTGTCTTCAATGAATGATTTGACATCAATAGGAATGATTTTCCCATCCTTTTTGGGAAGTGATGGAGATGTTTGTGTGGCTGCATCTGAAACCTTTGAGCCTCTAACATTTCCCACCATGTTCGTATTCTGCGTGTTGTCCTCAACCTTTGGCACTAGTAGATAATGACCCGTTGGTTTTTCCTGATCCGGTCTGAGTGGAATATGAGCATCGGTAAGAGGTATGACTGGAATAATATTTTGAAGTTCATCTCTACCTTTAGGAGATGGCGCCGAAGGATTTAAGATCGTAACCGCATTCTTGCCACCAACTTTAATGTTTTGATTTTGTATATTGTCATCCTCAATCAGTTTTCGGACGTCAAAAATCTGGAATCTTCTCTCCTCATGCGGTGATGAATACGGATCCCCTTTATCGTGAAGGTTTCCCATGGGGATAAATTCGAAATCAAACATCTCTTTGGAATATCCTGCAGGTAATGTAGTGCCTGGAGCGGTGATCTGGTTACCCGGAATGCATGGTTTTCCCACTGGGAATCTCCCCTCGTCAAGATGTTTTGGGACAGAATCGCTCGTAAACCCTGGCTTTACTTTTGTAGGTGAAGGTGATGGCAGTGGTTTCGTGTTCGAGGCACCCATCCTCTTGCCACCCTCGCTATTTAACCTATTCGTCGGCGGCTGTGTGTCGTCGAAAGCAGGCTGAACGGTGGAAGGGCTAGTTATCACTTTCTCTTTTGGAGACGACGGGGTCGGATTGCCGTTTGCAGCACCTACCTTCTTGCCACAGCTCTTTGATGTATTCGTTGGTAGCTGTGTGTCGTCGAGAGCAGGCTGGACTTCGAAACGCCCAACTATACGTTTCCCTTTTGGATCTGATGGCGACGGCCTGCCATTAGACGCTGCTGCAACGTTTTCGCCGGTAGTGCTGGGCTTATTCGTTGGCGTCTGCTTGTCTTCATCAAGCTGCGGGCCTCGGAAGGGAACTGTTTCCCTTTTATCGATAGCAGATGACGGAGATCGCTTCAAGATCGATCGAGGAACCTTATTACCGCCATTGTTGATTGACTGGTGCGCTTGTGGTTTCCTATCGTCAACACCTTTCAGAACAGGACCGCTACTAAAGTCTGAATTTTCATTCGGAGACGATACAGATGGTTTTGAAGGTTCCTCAAACCTAACCTTTTTCTTGTTTGGCACATGCGTAGGCACCTTCCCGTCGCCAACATTCCTTTGGGTGGGAGTTGATCCAGACTTATGCTTATCTCCAAAGGATGAGGATGATTTTACGTTCGACGGAGCAACCCTACTTCCACCGTGGTTTCCTAGTTGGTTACTTTGCGGCTTCCCGTCGCCAACATTCCTTTGGGTGGGAGTTGATCCAGACTTATGCTTATCTCCAAAGGATGAGGATGATTTTACGTTCGACGGAGCAACCCTACTTCCACCGTGGTTTCCTAGTTGGTTACTTTGCGGCTTCCTGTCGTCAACATTCCTTTGGGTGGGAGTTGATCCAGACTTATGCTTATCTCCAAAGGATGAGGATGATTTTACGTTCGATGGACCTACTTTATTGCTATCATCCTTTTGTTTTTGCGATATCGGGTTTTTGCTGTCAACATGTTTTGTGAGAGGATTCCCTTGAGAATTGTGTTTTCCTTTAGGAGGCGGCAGATATGGTTTCACTTTCGCTCCTGGATGGTTATTGCCATCATACTTTGGATAATTTCTCGGCGGCTTTGGGTCGTCAACAAGACGTCCGAAGCTGCCCTTTTTGAATTCAGGCGTCCCAATAACAGACGACGGAATTTGCGTCCATTGTGAGTCGGCAGCCTTATCTGTACGATGGTTGCCTGTTAGTCTCGATGACGGCCTCCTATTAACAAGATCTGGGACACGAGAACGCTCAACCGTTGGCCTTCCGCCGGTAAAAGGAGATGTATTCGAGTTTGACGCACCCACCTTATTGCCACCATCAATTTGTTTCTTATTCTTAAGTGCTTTTTTAGAATTAGCCAAACGAGGAACGGGGAAACTCACATATCTTACCTTTGGAATTCCGGGAGAAGGTTGCGCCGACTTCTTCGCAGAAACATCGACCGCGCTGAGCAGCAGAAGAGCCACGGATAGGAACCACTTCATTTTTAGTTAAATATTAAAAATTAAAGTTTAACTACAGATATAATTATATTGATTCCTTGGCGATGTTGTCGTGGAACGTATGTCGTGCGTCGGCCTTCCATCCGTGGCAGTCAACACACACGTCGAAATAAACCGATTTCAAAGACGCTGCGTACAATTTTATGTATTGTATTGCGTATTTATTCCGTATCATAGCTCCGTGCGTCCAGTGTGAGCAGAACGGGTTGCACTCTTGCCGTCACGTTTCCTAATGTGCTGTAAGGCGCTGCCAACCTTGCGTTTGAATTGGAGCGCGGAATAATGCGTCACTTACGAAGTGCTTTGTGGTATTCTGCCGGCTTCCGTTCGGTGTCACGTTTTTGCAACACATGCATCGATACACATCTGTCTTACCACCGCGACCGGGCGTCAATCAGTTACAGTCCAGCACCATGCATTACCGCCTTGTGGGCGTCATAATCGACACCGGTGACACGTTTGTCAACTTATAGTCGCGTGTTTTTTGCGATGCACTCCAGCAGAACGCAGAACGACATTGATGATTCCGGTATCCGATGTATTACGTTCGTACGACACTCCAACATCCCTGCTTTACTTCTTCCTCTCAACGCGTGACCTTAGGCACTCCAGGCCCACCCGGCGGTACACTGGGCGTGGTGTGCGAGGCGCGATAAAGGCACCACTGGGAACCCACGGGCACATGAAGTGCATGTTCAACGACGTGATACGGCAAGACGACGGCGTCCGTCTCACGCTATTCAAACGCTCATATCCCAAAAGGCACCCGCAATCACGGACCGTCTGGATAGATCAGTGTAACACATGCAGTAATCTAAAAATTAAACCAAAGTCAAATCAAATCCCAAATGTGATTAAATGCGGATTACCACATGGTGAAGGCGATAACAGCGGCCAACAGTGGGCCAATCGTGCACAAGCACGCAGAGCTAATCTTCTTGCACTTCTCAGCGGATTCAGTGACATTCTCGTCCACTAGGTTGTGCTCTCTGAAGGAGGTGACAATGTAAAGCATCTTGTCCGTGCCGTACAGCGCTTCCAACCCTTCTTTGACTTTAAAGCAATTAATTTGCTGCTTTATTTCCATATCACCCACGTGTTCTTTTACCCACGTAGCGATTACCTCGTTTAGGGCGGAATTGTCTTGCATCATATCACGATTTAGGCCCTGAATAGACTTATAAAGACTTAGGAGATCTTCTGAGAAAGGTGGCATTACGAATCGCAATTTTATGTAATCATTTTCATTTCTGATTTCCTGCACCACATAATCCGGGGCAGGTAATTTAACCGGGACAACAGGCTCAGGATCACGTCTTGACAGGTCACCAGTCTTCCGTTGAACCCTGGATGCCATATTTGCTTGTTTTTTTGGTAGGTTTCTGGTGTAATCCTTGAATATGTTTTCAAATATTATATGTATAGTTCTCCCAGCTTCCTCTAACGCGGTATGGAATTCATCGATTTTGTTATCAATTAGACTTAATAGCTCATCTTTCCGCCCTAGATGGTTTTTAAGCACAGCTGGCGGTGGGATTCTGCCTGTTATAACTTTAGTACCATTCAAACCCGCATCTTCCTGTTTCTCTGCCGCCTTCAGCTCAGCTACCCACGCATCGAAACGTGACTGAATAATATCCTTCATATTCTTTGTCACGAATTCAAGCAGTTCATATCTGAATCCATCTCCATCCAACAAACCCATTAGTACCTTGAAACGCCGTGAAGCAGTAGGAAATATATCGTAGTAATCCGGTTCATCAACGATAATGATCCTATTGGTGGTCGTCTCATTGTTCACCTGATTTTGATCTGTCGTTGTTGCTACCGCTATAATTCGCTGCATCTGGACGTAAGCCAGAACAGCGAACGCAACGACTAAATTCATTCTGGGCATGTACGACTAAAATTATCTCAATATGAGGTATTACATTTAGAAGTATTTCGTATGGTAAGCATGGAGTATATGTGTGCTGCAGAGGAGTAGGGATGGTTGAAACGCGCACGTTGTTGTACGCAAGGTCGCGGCTGGCTGCCTGTCATTGACACACTCGCTGCACATTTTGGTCATAATACTTTCGCGTTTCCACGTACGAGGAGCGCCAACGAAGGACGCGGAAGCGTTCTCGTCCTTTGTATTTAGGACGTAGTAGACACCTGGTGCTGCATCCAAGCCTTGCCATCCAACCCGTGTTATTGTGATAAGTCGTGTGTAATGGATGACTTATGACATTTATCTTCCCCGGTGTGCCGTGTATAATGCGGATTTGCGGGAGCGCTGTGGCGTCGCGTCTCATTCGGGTCGGGAGGCATTTCTCGATGCGGTCACCGATTTGATAGCGAACTGAAGTGTATGAATCCGTTAATCACGTTACTTTGTGTAGTTTGGCAGGCCAGGCTCACCGGCATCGGTGTTTCCCTTCCAGCTGCTGAGATTGGTCTGCTCTCTGGCAGCCTCGCCGCACTTTGCAGCTCCGCCATTCGCCACGTGCCTGTATTGTGCGATGCCACGTTATGCTATAACTTATAGTTGCGATTGTGGGTGACGTTAGGATGTGCTGGGTTGCGGTTATAGGACCGCGTGACCTTAGGCACTCCAGGCCTGCCGGTCTCCACACTGGGCGTGGTTTGCGAGGCGCGATAAAGGCACCACTGGGAACCCACGGGCACATGAAGTGCATGTTCAACGACGTGATACGGCAAGACGACGGCGTCCGTCTCACGCTATTCAAACGCTCATATCCCAAAAGGCACCCGCAATCACGGACCGTCTGGATAGATCAGTGTAACACATGCAGTAATCTAAAAATTAAACCAAAGTCAAATCAAATCCCAAATGTGATTAAATGCGGATTACCACATGGTGAAGGCGATAACAGCGGCCAACAGTGGGCCAATCGTGCACAAGCACGCAGAGCTAATCTTCTTGCACTTCTCAGCGGCTGCAGTGACATTCTCGTCCACTAGGTTGTGCTATCCGAAGAAGCTATAATACGCTACCCCTAGTGCCGGCATCAATGCGCTATAATTCGGAAGTTATACAATCGAAAGCCAATTCAAATCTCTAATCACTGATCAGATGACGCCTTCTATGTCCACATTTTTGAAACAACACTGCTCGTAACTTCCTTGTAAGATGCAACCACAGTAGCAGGATTCACTCCAGTTTACTCTTCATCACTCTTAACTGCTTCATTTACAACACCATCGGCCTCGGCCTCGGTTTCTTCGCCTTCATCAGCCTCGGTCTCTTCACCTTCTTCAGCTTCGGTCTCTTCACCTTCAGCCTCGGTCTCTTCACCTTCGTCAGCTTCGGTCTCTTCACCTTCAGCCTCGGTCTCTTCACCTTCTTCAGCCTCATTCTTCTCACCCTCGACTTCGTTTACAACGCGCTCAACTTCATTCTCTTCACCCTCAACTTCATACATACCACTCTCCACTGGTCTGTTGACAGAGGCAATGACCCTTTCCTCGTCATGCTGGTGAGTTTTGCTGGAACCACAGCAGAATAGGTTTGCGAAAAACTGGCGGAAACCACCAGGCTTCTGGCCTTTGCCTTCGATACCACCGCCAGCTCTAAAATCTTCCTTTACACTCTCCTCGGGTGCATCAGACACTCGTGTGCCATCAACATCAGAAGGTAGTGCTTCCCCGAGATCGAAAACATAGTTCTTGTCAGCATGGATGACCTCCGAGCCGTCAACACCACCAACCGCTCCACTGTCGGCATCAGACACACCTGCGCCATCAACATCAGAAGGTATCGCTTCGCTGAGGTCGAAGGTATAATCCTTCTCAGCATCAGCACCTTCCGTGACATCTCCAACCGTCTCGCTGTCAACCTGGGCAGTCTCCTCGCCGACAGCCGACACTTCATTTTCATTCACGTCAGAAGGTAACGCTCCGTGGAGGTTGGAGGCACACTTCTCAGCGTCAATAACTTCCTCGTTGTCAACATCTCCAATGGCTTCGCCCTCAACGTCTCCAACTGTTTCACCCTCAACACCATCAACCGCTTCACCCTCGGCATCGACGCCACCCTTCTCGTCGGCATCCAACACTTCTACACCATCAACGTCATCGAAGGTCTCGCCCTCGGCATCGACGTCACCCTTCTCGTCGGCAACATCACCAACCGTTTCACCCTCAGTACCAGCAACGGCTCCAGTGTCAGCATCGACAGCAATTTTTTCCCTGGCATCAGTCCGTCCAGCGTCTTCGAAAAATTGTGATTCGTCGAGATCGAAGTCATATTCCTCACTGCCATCAAACACTTCCGCATCATCAACAGGACCAGACGGCTCACGATCAAAACGAGTAGCTGATTCTCCTTCAAGACCAAACCTTACTGGTCTGCCGTGCTCATAAGTGTTGCCGGAACCACAGCAGAAGAGGTTTGCGAAAAACTGGCGGAAACCTTGGCTTTCCCCTTGGGGTTCGATCTGGCGGGGAGGTTGCTTCACGGATTTGGCACTTTTAGCAACTGAAGCTCTCAAAAAGTCTAATGTTCTTTCAACGTCTTGATTTGTTGCAGGATGTGACACAGTTTCGTAATCCGACATTAAACGCTCTGAATATCCGGGATGCGGGATCGCTTCAGAAAGTGGAACCGTTGTATCATCCGAAGTCGTCAAATCATCCGAAGTCGTCAAATCATCCGGAGTCTCTATAATTTCCGGAGTTGGTACATCAACTGTGACTGTTGAATCATCCGGAGTTGATATAACATCTGGAGCTGTTGTATCGTCCGAAGTCGTCAAATCATCCGGAGTCGATATAACACCTGTAGCCGTTGTATCATCCGAAATCGTCAAATCATCTGGGGTCGATACAACAACCGGAGGTTTTACAACAGCTGGAGCCTTCCTAACGTATGGCGTCCTTATAACATTTGACGTGAACCTTCCAAGAACCTCATCAAAAGCATTTTTAAAAGCCATTTCCCTCTGGCTCAGCAACCCCGGGTGCCATCCATCCATTTCCCTCATGTCCGTAACAACTCTAAAACCCTTCCTTGTTCGTGACATCATGTTCCTGCTGACAGGCGCATCACCCGAACGGAATCTGCTTCCAGCATAATGGCAAGCCGTATCCCTCGCTGCAATACGATGGATCTGGCAGAAAGCCAAGAGCGCCAAGGAAATTACAAACTTCATCTTGACAGTAAATATGAAAAAAGGGTATAAAGAGCTATTACTGTCAAAAGCAACCTGGGCTCGACGACAAAGCGAGGGATCCTCGCTGTGGCGCTAGCCTTCCATGGAGTGCATGAGCATCATACACGGTAGCTAGCAAAAAGCACGCAGTGTGATCACAACCGCCAATAAAAATTTATTATTTTTATGTTAACAGTGTCGTGTTTTTTGGACGCCATTTTCCTTCCGTTAAGCCGCAAATGCGCTATCGTGTTTAACGATGGAAAAGGAATTAGACATATTTCCTGTCACGTTAGTCCATTTGTTGTGGTTATATGGATAGCTCATTTAATAAGAGCTGCTACATGCGTTTTAATATCTGGTTTCCCCGGTGTGCCGTGTATAATGCGGATTTGCGGGAGCGCTGTGGCGTCGCGTCTCATTCGGGTCGGGAGGCATTTCTCGATGCGGTCACCGATTTGATAGCGAACTGAAGTGTATGAATCCGTTAATCACGTTACTTTGTGTAGTTTGGCAGGCCAGGCTCACCGGCATCGGTGTTTCCCTTCCAGCTGCTGAGATTGGTCTGCTCTCTGGCAGCCTCGCCGCACTTTGCAGCTCCGCCATTCGCCACGTGCCTGTATTGTGCGATGCCACGTTATGCTATAACTTATAGTTGCGATTGTGGGTGACGTTAGGATGTGCTGGGTTGCGGTTATCGAATGCAATGCGTGCTCCGCCGGCTCAGCGGCATGAGCGATGTCGATGTTCGCCGTGTTAGTGGTTGCATTCATCCACAGTGATGTAGTGCACCGTCCCTCGCCCCACTCATGGTACGATTGTTCATACCAGCACACTCTTGGTCGTTGGTCCAAGTTATAGCCTTGTGGAGTTTACCTGTAATCCTCGAAACATGCAGCTACGACGCGGCATTGCCCTTCTTGGAACAACTGTTACATAGTCTGGATCCAGATGGAGCCGCCTTTTCGTAACCAGTTTTTTGCAAGCGACTGATGATGGAGCGACGAAGTTCCCGAGCCTGTGGGGATGAAACCTTACCTTTACCACCAACATGATCTACTGGGCAGGGCTTTCTTTTGCCTTTTCCTTTCGGGGATGATTTCACGTTCGCTCCAACATTAATACCATCGCTCGAATTTTTCTTTGGCGATTTCCTGTCGTGAACAAGATCCTGCGCTGGAAGAGGCTTGTTTCCGCCTTTCGTTTTTGCAAACGATGGACTGGTTGGCGTGGCTACAGCTGAAACCCTTTGGCCATTATAATTGTTCACCTTGCTGGTTGGATGCTGCGTGTAGTCAACAAACTTCGGGACCAGCACATAATGAGTCGCAGGCATTTGACGATGAGACATGGGTTGAATATTACCATTGGTAAGGGGTACGACCGGAATAATTTCAAATTCCCTATTCGCCTTAGAAGATGGAGATAGATGAATGTTTGACGGCTCAAAGTTAACATTCTTTACTCTTGGAATTCCTGTTTGTCGTGGGGTATTACAAAACCGCGGTACATCTGCGATATTAAAATTGCGCCTCGTCTTGGGAGAGGAAGGAGATGCCTTCACGCTGGACGCATCAACGCTGCCACTCTGGTATGACTTACGGTTTGGTTGGTTCGCGTGATCGAGAAGATGATGCAAAGGGAAAAATACGACTTCATCCTGCCCTTTTGGAAATCTGCGAGCAGGTTGCGCCGACTTCTTCGCAGAAACATCGACCGCGCTGAGCAGCAGAAGAGCCACGGATAGGAACCACTTCATTTTTAGTTAAATATTAAAAATTAAAGTTTAACTACAGATATAATTATATTGATTCCTTGGCGATGTTGTCGTGGAACGTATGTCGTGCGTCGGCCTTCCATCCGTGGCAGTCAACACACACGTCGAAATAAACCGATTTCAAAGACGCTGCGTACAATTTTATGTATTGTATTGCGTATTTATTCCGTATCATAGCTCCGTGCGTCCAGTGTGAGCAGAACGGGTTGCACTCTTGCCGTCACGTTTCCTAATGTGCTGTAAGGCGCTGCCAACCTTGCGTTTGAATTGGAGCGCGGAATAATGCGTCACTTACGAAGTGCTTTGTGGTATTCTGCCGGCTTCCGTTCGGTGTCACGTTTTTGCAACACATGCATCGATACACATCTGTCTTACCACCGCGACCGGGCGTCAATCAGTTACAGTCCAGCACCATGCATTACCGCCTTGTGGGCGTCATAATCGACACCGGTGACACGTTTGTCAACTTATAGTCGCGTGTTTTTTGCGATGCACTCCAGCAGAACGCAGAACGACATTGATGATTCCGGTATCCGATGTATTACGTTCGTACGACACTCCAACATCCCTGCTTTACTTCTTACTCTCAACGCGTGACCTTAGGCACTCCAGGCCCACCCGGCGGTACACTAAGCACTCGCTGGCGATGCTCTTGAGTTAGATGTTTCCCAAATTGCTCAAGGAGAGGTGAAGCTTAAGTACCATATAGACAAACCTCTATCGTCGCTAGGAGGTCACAACGTATTCTTGTATCGCTGGACGTTGATATCTAAAAACGAAAATGTACTCGCGAAAATACGCTCCACCGTCAACGTCTCCTTTGCATTTAACCATGACTACACGAAGGTTGGTTGTGATAGGGGGCAAAGGCATGTATTCGGTCAACACTTGAGCAAGAACTATTGCACAAACAAACTCATGAGTAACCATATAGGGAGTACTTACGAATGCACATTGCATTTTTGGAGGGCCGAATGGAAAACCGGCATTGACTGCAGTCCCGACGAAGAGCTGTTGCCAAAAAATTGTGACTCTACAGCATATGACCTCTACTCAAACAGCATCATTCCATTACCTATATCGGTGCGTAGCGTAACTCCATATCCAATTCAGGGGTTCCAGGTATTAAACGTGGCCGTACAAAATACGCCCATCAGTTATGCTTGTATATGTGTTGACCAACGTGGACACGAAACGTCAAGGCTTATTCTCGAGTCATACGATAAATTAAGCCGTAACTTCGTGGTAAGCCGTGTAACGAATTTTAACAGGTTACTCCCAAACCTGTGGGTGCCTTGGCACACGTTCGTATTGTTATGTGAAGGGCCCACACCAGAAAGGTTTATTAATATGCAGCGACAATCCGAACAGTCCATCAAACTACGGGTGGGCACAACGTTGTCCGTGACTTGTGAACATGCTCTCGGGCTCCAAAATGTTGGCAATAGTGGAGCAATGACAACTACATGGCTCCCAACACAATCTAATGAGTTTTATTATACCGTCAAACATACATTGCATGGACGGGAGCTCATTAGGACTTTACACAAAGACGTAATGAGTAGCACAAAAGGTGGATTGGAAGTAGTTTTTCATGAAGACTTGATAAGATCTGGATATCAGACATTAAAGATAAACTCGCATAAAGGCGCTGTGCTCATATCCAAAGATCCATTTTACAATCGACATGTACCCATGAGATTTGTCTGCGGCAAGGCACCCCACCTATCTATTTTGTCGATCGTGAATGGTAACAGACCTGCGTCGGACACATCTGAACACCACATTCCACAGATTACGGAATCGTCGGAGCAATACAATTGGCATGTCGTTGAAGTTGCCGTCGAGACCACGGACCCGTACATGCAAGGCTGCGGCGTTACGTATGCATCGGATGAGTTATTCAAGCCGGAGACACCCCAACTCTACGACGGTGATGGGCAGCCTCAGTTCGGCTGCAAGATTGACCTTCAGGCTGCCAAGGAAGCTGCGTTCTACTGCCCGGCGCCGTACGTCCTGGACCCACCCAAATGTTTTAGGCAAGTCTCCGTGGACGGCATAACCAAGAAAATAACTGCAGTCAGCAAGTCGTTGGTAACTTCAGAATCCAACCATTTTGCCATCCTGCGTTTCGAACGTTGGCGAGTAGGCTCAGGAGAGACGCTTCGCCATACACCGCCCTTGCAATGCCGCTGCGTGACCACCAAGGGTATCGTTCTCTCAACCATCCAGATCGAGAACTACTACGCCAAGTAATGGGTTACTAAGATGTGGTAACTCGTCAATGAATTGTGCGAATTAATTTGCTTTCATTGTCTATGTTGCTGATAACATGTTGACTAGGGTATTTCAGCGGCAGTGCGCCTTAGGTTACAAAGTGGTAATTTCGATATCCAATTATTGGCATTTCTTAGTGTGACCATTGCTTTTAATTACTGGTGTTTACTTTAATAGGTCCTGTCAAAAACGTGGAATGTAATCGCATCTGCTTACACTTTCGTTTATCCCAGAGTTCTGCCGTTATGAGGAAGTTGTAATAGGAGTACCTTCATTTATCCTCATACGTTAGAACACTGGCAATACCTTTAATACACAATAATCGACAACATTAGCACCTCTTGCTGTAGTTCAAGTATTCCGCTGATGTTGATAAATAATCAGTGTCCGTCCCTGAGCATGATAGGTCACCGGTTGGAATTAATGCAGGGATGGCTTCATCTACCACTTATACGATTACAGAACGCATTATGAGATGATTTGCAAGGCTGCAGGGAGTGATATTGAGGATCCCCAACTGACGCTTTCCGGCGCTCACCGGACTCAGCTTGGTATCCCACAACATGATGCGATGGGTAAAGTGGAAAGAAACCGATGCCTCATAGTAGGATGTCTAGCATCTGGGATGTGAATACGATGTTGTAACCATAGTTAGTGCCTGAAATAAGTGGATGAAGTTGGGCAACCGTCAGCCCAATAATGAGTCCAACCTCATCGGGGTTGGTGTGACGCATTGCGGCAAAATGCGTAGTTCAATGTTAGCGTAACGCTTTTACATGATATATGACCCATGGAAGCCGCTTCGCGTGTAATTTCACCAAAAGCCGTAATAACACTGAACTGAGAAGTCGTCGGCTAGAGCACACAAGATGGCCCATCCTCCCGTCCAAGAACATTGCGTGGCCTCACGGACTGGAGATAACCTGCAACTTATTGTGCAATCTAGTTGCGTATGTTCATCTTCGATTGCAATTGCTGAGTTGTAATACTCATCGGTGTCGTCCGATGGTGGCATACTACCGAGACTGAGTCAGCGGCGTGGGAGAGGAGTTGGGGCATCCGCCGGGTGAGTGAGTAGCATCACAGTAGTTGCAATGTGGATGTATGCCTATGTGAGACATTCTGTGAATCTTTGGCCTTGTCTAAGTGAGCGCCGCAGTTGATTTGCATCTACGGACAACATTGTTGTAGGCATTGAAGTCGTGATCCCAAACTATACCCTTGCACCCACTTCGTCGGGCGCCCCGCAAACATAGTTACCCAGATTTCTATAACCCCGAATGCATTGCAACGCGCGTGAGAAGTGGCAGTATGGGTGGAGTATAGGCATTCTTTCAGGATCAAACGAAGGTGAGAGTAACATGATTCAGTATGAGCTGGCACACTAGCATATCAATGCACGTGTAAGCTGTCTATATTAATGGTGTGTCAGAGTTGCGAGATCTCGAACCACTCCTGCTATAGCACACCTGGACGGTAGTCTGGGCGTGTTGCTCTATTTTAATAGGTCGGTTTGCTCTCAACGCACGCTGCTAAGCATTTTCCACAACGACTGGCCGCAGAGTTGTGTGCGATATGGATGGGTCTGCGAAGGAGGAACGGCCAAAAAATCTGGCGAAGTCTGTTTCTACGAGCGGGGACCAGGATATGCAACAGGACACGCTAAAGCAGATGAAGGAGTGGAAGAACCGTTTTGATGAGTTTATGACATACACGCACGCGTTACTCAATGGCTTACTTTGCGATACTCGGTCAGATGCGACCTCGGAGTTGAATAGCCTACCGGGAAATTCTCCGTCAGGTAACGGTGGTAGCCGTTGCAGCCCTCAACAGCACACGCTTGGTGCCGATTCCCCATTAATACAGAGCTCTTCGCAAACCGCCCCGAAAATAGACGAGGAACCAAAATGCGCATGTAAATCGCCTAACATAACGATGGTTGAAAAAATGGTATACCATTCGTTGACCGAGCCTCCCCGAAACGTCAAGGAGTGCATGGACTGGTTGATAGCCCTGAAGGGGAAGGATCCTGGGGAGAACTTGAAGGCCTTGGGTAAGGCAGTCTACAAATTTCTCGCAGACAAGCCTGTAGGATATACTAAGGTGCCAGCTCTCGAGAAAGTTAAACTTATATCTAAGCAGTTCCTGAACGAACCGGACTTTCGCAACCGACATCCCGTAAAAAGGATTAGGAGCAGATTTTATATACGTATGTATAAAGAATTCTGTTGGCTCACAAAATTTTTCACATTCTACAAAAGCGATTATGAGAACATCATACAGACCAAGGGTCTCACTGCTATAGACATCGCAGACAAATTAGGCGATGTTGTGACTGGTTGTGAGAGGTTCTTGAAGCATATCAAAAACCCTGGTCAGTACAAGTCGGCTTACTGTCCAGAAGCTACGTGGGATGCATCATTTGCGAAGAACCCGGAAGCTTGCGCTGTCATCCTAGTGGGAATTGGACCAATGTTCTACGGAGGCCTAGAATCTTTGCTAATAGAATTCGAAGTTTCATATAGAACGGGTCTGAGTCGTTACTTTTTTGATTTTATCCATATGATGCTGAAGGCTCTGGGTTTTGTAGAGCCGGAATGTCGCGCTAGCCCCAGTCTGGTAGATGTAGACAGGGCGTTGAGCCGTTTGGATGACCATGAATTGTACACCGTATACGACCTCTCTGGCTTTTGGGCCTTCTACTGATCAGGGATCTCAATTGAGCTGTACAAGCAGTTGGGAACAAAAGAGTCTGGCTACAGTTCACCACTCAGTAGCCATCAACGAACTCCCGCGAAACATTTCTAGTTTGTGAAGTGTAATTAAAACAATATTTATGTATACACTCATCATCAGTAACAGTGTGTCCGACTGGGCAAAACACAGTTCGCAGCGTCTCTATAATTACGTTCATGGCGCAATTTGACATGCTTGGTACAACATCGCATATTTTTGTCGTCTGCAACAAGGACGTTGTATGAACTCCGCCAATTTATAAACAGCTATGTACATACCTGAGGGTATTTCCGGGGACTAAGCAATCGGCGCCGCCTTGGCGTAAACCGGCGTAGTACCCGTCGTCGAAAAGCGGAGCGGCTGCTGAGTGCAAGGCATAGTAATGCCTATACCTAGCATCACTAAACAACTAAAATTTTCTTATCGCAACAAGTCCACTGAGGACATCTGGTATTGTCGCACCCCAAAAGGGCAGTCATGTGCTGCTCTTAATTTGGGTGGGTCATGCGTATATAGCCTTATGAATCGTTGTTTGGCGTGTCCCGTAAAGAGGCGCCGAACGGAAATGTATGGTCCTATGGAAGTGATCCGAAACACGTCTTCCAACAGGACGTGCATCCCACTACTGGCGCCAATCGAGTGAGGCGCTATCCCGGTAAACACGAAAACAGACACGGGACAAGCGTAGCCGCATAACGCACTACCAAACAAGGAATACGGATAAATATCGGATTTAACAAACACTGTGCTGTCGTGCGCCCACCAATGCCACATCATCACAATTCGACCGATGGTAAGCAACTGATGCTGACATGTAGAAAATGACGACGGTTATCATATATGAGAGGAAACAATATTCCGCATTTGTCGAAAATGATAGATTTCGCAGTGGCATTGACATAGAATTAATTTCTCCACATTTAAGAACCTGTCAAAATATATAAACGTGGAGCGTCAGCTTGACTGCCGCTACCAAGTAATAGAGTACGGGAAACACCATCGTGTAGCAGTTGAAGCTGCCTGATTTAAACAAAATTCGAGCAGCTGTGTGTCGCCGAAAAACATCAGGCTGGGGTCTGTGAGGGACGTGTGCCGCTGAACAGGTGTTCCCACGTTCCCGAATGGCGGGGAGCGCTCTTCAGAAGCACGATACTCACCACTTTCCCGTGTCCCGACATCTCCTCCAGCGACCAAAAGCAGCCATCCACATCGACCTTGCCGCGCAATGCACGAGACACAGCCTTGCCGTTGTACGCGATGGTAAGCTCCTGTGGCATGAACCGAACGGCATAGTCGTCCTCGCTGTCCGTGGGCGAGATGCACGGGAACCAGAGGTCGAAACAACGACTGTTTTGGCGCCACCGAACTTCAAACGGTGGCACGGGAGTGAAGACAACGGGCTCGTTCAGAAACCCCTTCTCGCGGTAAAAGCCAGCCATCAGGTCTCGAAGGTCCTCAGGAGATAGCTTGCCGTCATGGGCGCTGCTCAGATAATGCGCGTCGCTGGCATCCTGCGTGGATGGGCCTCTTGCGTTGTCGGCAATGGTGCGCTCGTCCTCCCGTTGCATCTCATCCAGGTTGCGACTGACCTCCTCTGTAGGGTGACGCAGCTCGGACAGGTCGAACATAGCGCTTAAGTGCGCATCAAGCACCTCATTGTGCTCGTTCAGCAACTCAGTGACGTTGGGTTTATCGTCGGAATCCGCTGTTCCGCCCAGGCTCCGTAATGCGGCACGACGCCGTAAGTAGAGCTCCTCTGCAGCCAGCATCTCCCTTTTCCAGGTGGGGCCAAGCTTGCCCTGCTTCGCGTCGTTTATTAGTTTCATGACCTCAGCAACGTCAGCTTCACCCACGTCTTCCGCATCACCGACGTCCGACTCATAGTCAGACCCATAGCCCGCGTCCAGCCCGAGGCCCGGCATGCCCTCCAGCGGATCAACCGCTAAGGGCGAGGCATGGAACAAACGCTCTCGGTGGAACACGTCCCGTGCAACATCGCGGCCAGACGAATCGCCATGGAGGCGGCCCGCCGCGGAGCTTTGCGATTCACAATACGGAGCAAGGACGAAAAGTGGCCGACGCGCAGTGTGCCCGTGTGACGTACATGACATAAGCGCAACGTGTGCCATGATATACAGTGCACCAATGGCACCAAAGTACTCAGCCATAGCTGATAAGACCGTGAAAGCGAATGTTCAATAGAAACAGCACCGGTGCCGAATGGGTATCTCGATCCATGAGAAACGCCAAGTTGCTGAACGTCATGTCCTAATTCCTAACATCCAGCATTGGCTCACAAATGGGTACGCAAAACAATTTACTTCGCCACATCAAGCTCTTTTGCCGACCGAAGCACCTCGTGGAATACCTTTTCCCTTAGTTCGTGATGCACGTCCCCCCGTTTCTGCAACTCACCCTCGAGCGCTCCTAAGCTCTTACCCCCCGTCGGCAAAAAGCAAAAATTGGTTCGGCGGCGGAGCGCATGAACGGTACTAACGTCTGGATCTCCTACGTAACTCCTGAAGTAGGCAGAATTGCCATAAAATACAAATGGCTCGTACGCTACGGGCTGCGCGTGGCCAATTATCGCACGAAGCTGGTCGTCTATAAGCTTCGGGGTGAACTTCTGCACCCAGCGCCACCAGAACGGAACGTAAGTGCGATGTCCAGTCTCCCAGTATATACCGCTCTGCTGCAAGCCGTGAGAGTAATCCTCCAGATTGCCGGAAGACAAGCCTTCCGATCCACCTCCAGCGTGACCCATCGTGTAACACGTCACCAGCCGGCGTGCATCAGGCGAACAATCTCGTTAGATTGATTTAGATGTACCGGTGTCCATGAGACACACAAAAGTAACAGTGGGACCGCAACGCCGACAAATCGCGAAAAGTAAATTTTATCGCAATGTTCCACTCATACACAACTACTCAATCAATAAATTGTCGCACATTAGTGAGAAACGATTGGCAAGTATGGGGGCGTGTAGCCGCTCGCTGAAGCTGCTGCATTCTTGCGAGAGGCTGGGCCCGTCAGTGAGAAAATGATCAACAAACCGGACGTACGATTGCAAAGAGTTGTATTTTAAGGCACCAAGGGCGTTAATATTCGTGACTACTCGGCGTTACACACGTGAGCCGGTACACCGAAAAGGAGCACTCGGAAGCTGCAATCGTTTTGTTTCCGCCATGGAAGGTCGTGAAGATGATATACACGATTGGGAAAGTTTCCTGTGGCTGACGGAGCTGGATTGGTTCTGCTGTTTAAACCGCCATATCATCAGCGACTGGCCGCCTGTTTACGTCGTTGCTTTCTACTTAATTCTAGCCAATTTACACGATATGCATCTCACGCAGATCAGGGAGTATGCACTTGTAAAGTCACCGGTTTTTTCTTCCTTTTTTTCATCGCCCCTGGCCAGCTCGGTCGGAGAGCAGCACGTTCGTGACGAGCCGCAAGGGCCCGAGAGTGAGCGCCCGAACAGCGCATTCGCCAAAGAGTCAGGAATCGCATGCCTTCTGGAAAGCGAAAACCATGTTTTGAATGCAACGCAAAAGCAACTCATCGCGGCCATGCTTGCGAATGCTAATGACCTTAACCTCCCCAAGAAGCTGAAATTCCACATTTACGTAGGACGTGAAGATGGACGCTCACATGTAGTGCTGTGCAACTGCTGTGCGTACGAATTTGCCGACCTGTTGGTCAAAATACTGGAAAACTTCGACCGATTCCGCCGTAACCCAGAGCCGAGAATAGCGCGACGCAGTTGCGTTTCAAGCATTGTAAAGCGGATCATAGAACAGATATCACCACTAGAATACGAACAACGAAATGCAGTACTGCCGCCGCCGCGAAATGAAGTATGGGACGCAACGCTTATGTTCACTGCGGGGACAATCCACCACCGGTCGCCCAAAGTCAAATACCGGAGAATAGTTGTCGCAGCCTCAGTCATGCTGCTGTACGTGCTCATGCCGCATGATTACGCCGTGAGGCACCTAGGACGTGTCATCAGGACGGCCGATCACCAGTCTCTGATCGAGTTATCCGCCATTATAGACACGCTGGTGCTCAGCTTCCCAAAGGAGGTTGACGTGTGGAGCCTCAAGCTGTACTTGGTCAAAGAGTTTCTCAAACGTCTGAAAGCGAAAGGCGCATACCTGATCAATGGCGTCGAAAGGCTGCTCAGTAGCGATTGCATGGGGATAGAAAGTTTCCTGCTTAAGATTACGAAGAAAAACAAAATGAACGGCCGTTTGTCCTGGTTCCTCAGGCTCCTCCACGATAACGTGCGGACTCTTGCGGTGAGAAATCTGCCAGCTAATGTGAAAAGCCGCGTAATTGAACAAATAGAGCGGTACTTCATTAAACTCTACTCCGCGTTGCTAGTTGCCAACGACGGTTATCAGGGCATCTTCTACATTTATTACAACATCGTTCGCGACCACCCAGAAAGACTGAAGAAGCTGCGCGCCATTTGTGAGCAGGCTGACAGGAACGAGTCGTGGGAAGCGAACCTCGAGATATTAAACAAGGCAGCCGAACGCCAAGCAATCTCCGCTCAGCGGAGTGTATGATTAAAGAGACGGCCGAATTCACGATTAACAAACGGTCTGCATAGGTAGAGAGATGTTCAAGACAGCTTCGCCGGTTGGTGCCGGCAGCATACGGCCATGTGAGCAATATAAACACTATTGCACGCTGCCACGGGCTGCGCACATGACCTACGATGACATCAGCAACACGTTGCATGACACAATCGATGTGAACTGTACCTACAACAATTATATGTATGTTACCACACTTAGATAAGGCGTGCCAACACCTCATGCGCTTATGGACCACGTGGAACTAGATCCGTTTCAGACGTGGGAGCCGTTACCCATTTTTTCCGCCCGGTGTTGTAGGGTGCGGTTGGACGGGGCAATGGGTTTGTGAGGTATGGCTAATGACGATTTTGCGAGCTGATGATGGAGCAGCTGCCGCAGTGCCGACGTCGCTGAGCGCTTAACGATGGTAGCGCTTTCTCAATACGGAGGCTGGTGAAATGCGATGACTCTTCCGTACCTATGGATGGAAGCATTCCCTTCTACAATACCTCCTCGTCGTGAATAGAGCTAACTAAGAAGATGCAACACGTTTCTTGTACTCGTAGAGGGCAGTGGCACAGAGCCGCGAAGTGCGATGCTGCTCAATGCAGCGCGCAGCACGGCTGTCTACAAGCTCAGCCAAATCGATGTAGAGCTTCTGCAGCCGAATTGTCAGCACGTAAATTTTCTCGCACAGCAGCAACTTCCGCTGCAGGTTTACCTTGATGGTCTGACGCTTCTTGATATTCAACGCATTAAACCGCGATTGGACGCGCAACTCGAACAGCAGAGCGTCCAGCTTGTCCTCAGTCAGCTGTTTTGCGTGGTACTTGTCTGTAATCTCGCGACGTAGTTCGTCAATCTGGTCCAAGTAGTCTCGCACCTTCTGTCGAAATGCCGCTTCGCTGGTCAGGGAAGCAGCAGGGTCAGCGCTCAGGTAGGCAGGCTCAGAGTCGCCTTTGTTGTGGAACATAAGCACGAAGTTGTCTACAATGGGTGCCTTCTTATGCGATGGCGACGCACGGTGCGTCCTCGCGGCGCCCGGCTCGTCAACCATCGGTGACGACCGGCCGTTGAGCAGACTATCCACGATCGCACATCACCAAGTTTATTGGTTGAGTTCGTTCGGAATCTACCGGGGACCCTAGCCGCGACGGTCGGGGCTGCTGCGGCGATGACCGCACCGCGCGTGAGCGTGAGACTGGAAGGTGTGGCTCGGGAGGGCGCCAGTCGAGAAATTGGAGGAGCTGATAAACAGGGGAGATGCTGCCGTGGTTAGCCGCACGGCGCGCTTTGAGCGGCGCTGATGTACCGCGGTGTGGCGAAGCTCCTGCTGATATTGATTCTTCTATCGTTTATGGAATGCCTCTCGCCACACGCAATAGAAGCCTTTTCTGTACGCGCTAACACGTCCATATCTCCATCATACGGGCACATGATGGCAATGAATCCATCGTTGTCTGAAGGTGACCCTGGAAGGCGGCACGAGTTGCCGGCTACTGCTTCAGATGAGCCACGGCCGTGGTTGGAGGGAGAGTCGCAACGAGGCGGAAAACACCAAAGGCCTCTAGTACAAATAGCTCCGATGCTAGATGTTACGTATTTCGAATTTAGGTACGCGAAACGAACCATAGTAATACGTCCATCAGGCAGTTCATGCGTCTGCTCACAAAACGGGCGCAGCTGTGGTCGGAGATGATGCCGGACATGACGGTGATACACGGGGAGCGAAAGACCGTGGATGATATGCTACACTGTGGAGCAAACGAATATCCCGTGGTCCTGCAGCTGGGAGGGAACAATCCTGAGACTCTCAAGGAGGCCGCTGTAATCGCAGTGCCATACGGGTACGACGAGGTTAACCTCAACGCAGGCTGCCCCTCCGCGAGGGTGTCAGGAAAAGGGTGCTTCGGGGCGGCGTTGATGAACGACGCCGGCCTGGTGAGGGACATACTGCGCGAACTAAGGAAGACGCTCAAGGTACCAGTCACGGTGAAGCACAGACTGGGAGTGGATCACAACGACAGCTACGAGTTTGTGCGTGATTTCGTCACCACGGTTGCCGAATCGGGATGCGATCACTTCATAGTTCACGCCAGAAAAGCGTGGCTTAACGGGATCAACCCGAAGAAAAACCGCTCAATACCGCCGCTTGACCACGAACGTGTCTACAGGCTGTGCCAGGACTTCCCTCATCTCAACTTCAGCCTAAATGGAGGCGTCAAATCGCTTAAGGAAATAAAGGACGCGCTGGGTAGAGGCGCCTACGGAGTAATGGTCGGTCGCATGGCGTACGACAACCCGTGCGAGCTGGCCAGGGTGGACACGGACATCTACGGAGAGGCCGAAAATCCAGCCACCTGCAAGACACGGCGGACGCTCCTAGAGGCCTACGCGGACTTCGTGGATGCCACCGCTGACAGGAACGCGGACATGCACGTCTGCATGATCGTGAAGCCCATACTGGGCACCTTCTACGGAGAGCACGGCACCCGTACCTTCAGGCAGGCGCTTTCCGACATGTCCGCATACGAGGAACTAAACTTCCACAAGGGCAAGACGAAGCACGCGCAGTACATACATCGCGCTATAGAAATCATGGAGGTCGTGAACCCCGACGCCCTCGATCGCAATCTTCACTGAACGTGTTTTGCAGCGACGATGTATACACGGCTGTAACATCCATCGCAATTCACAAGTTAACATTGTGTTAAAAGAATGTTAGTGTTATAGTTATACATCGTCAAACGAATGACCTATCCGCGGGGTGAATCTACGTGTGCTCGAGGCAACGGGGTGATGACCCACGCTATCGTGGTATGCTCCATACACACATATGGCCTTCCTTCATGCAGAAGCTAACGGCGAACATGTCATAGCGTCAAAAGACGACTGACGCCGTTACGAACATCGACGGTACTGCGTCTGCTGCGCTCAGGCTGCCGTCACTGGAACGCTAACATTTCGTAGCCTTCCAATCCAACTGACACCAATTCGGTTTCTCGCGAATTATTTCGTTTTTTGTATCTAGTATTCCGTGGAATGGTGATTTGGGGAAACGTATAATTTTCGAGATCGCTAAGTGACAATCATCGCAAGGGAAAGCGTTAACGTAAGGTTAGTTCAACGCCCTTTTCTATTCCAATATATACTTTGCTTGTGCAGTTGCCGTAATGATCTACCGGGATTTGTGAACTCGATTTGTTTTGATGCGTACTAAGGACATACGGGTATATAAAGGCGTCGGTATTGTGGCGATTTAGACGTATATCCTGTTTCTCCTATCTTGTGTCGGCGTGATGCAACTGCGATTATCAGCGCCCCGTTTTTTTGCTGGGTTTGGCCACGTGGCTTGTCAATGATAGCAGTATTCTTTAACAAGCATGATATTGATGTGGAAGTAAATTTTGCGTTCCCGTTGCTCTAGTAGTTCGCAAAGTGTTGTTCTGGTACATTTAAAGGTGTCTAATTCTGTGGTTATGTGGGTCGTTTATGTAACCAAAGTGTTCTTACGTAATGGCATTGTTGGATGGCTATATGCGCACCGTCCTGTATCGTGTGATCCGTTTATTTAGGCCATACACTGTGATTCACATCGTCGCAGGTTTATATCCGTCAAAATGGAGTGGACTACTCGGCATCTCAGACCCTCGATTGACATCGTCAGCCTCAGCAGCAGCAAGATGGTGTTCATATTGCTAAACGCGGACGTCTCCATGGCGAATGCGATGAGGCGGATCATGCTGAGCGAAATACCGTCGCTTGCCATAGAGGTTGTGACCATACTGGAGAACACGTCGGTGTTACACGACGAGTACCTAGCCCACAGACTTGGGCTGCTTCCCATCGACTCCAAGAACGCGCGCAACTTCGAGTACAGAGACAAATGCAACTGCAGCGACAAGTGCTCCAAATGCACCGTGGAGTACTCCCTCGACGTCAAATGCCAGGGTGAATCGCGAGTCGTCACGCACTACGACATTAAGCTCGACAGCTGGGACAACGCCCGTGGCGCCGCGGCGGCGCCCATGCCCGTCCCGAGACCGAGCGCGGATAAATTAACTGTCGCATACGGCGACACTTCTTACGCAGCAATGGACGGGTCAATGCATGCCAATATCAAGGGCCCACCGCTCTGGTCGGACGAGCCCTCGGAGGGCGTGCCGTCAGCAGTCGCTGGGACGTCCTCTGGAGCAGCTTACCACGGCAGTACATACAACATGCCGCGCAACAAGGACTTCGAGGATGCGGATGCACCTGCAGGAGGGATACCCATAGTGAAGCTCAAACGTGGGCAGGCCGTCAGCATGAAGATGACCGCGACCAAGGGAATGGGTAAGTTCCACGCGAAGTGGATGGTCGCCAACGTCGCGTACAAAATGGAGCCCATAATCACAATCAACAAGCAAGAGGCGGAAAAGCTCACTTCGGAGGACAAAACACTCATCGTGAACAGCTGTCCGCGGAAGGTGTTCAAGCTCAGCAGCCCGAAGAGCATGTTCTCAAGCACTACTAAATCCGAGTTGGTTGTCGACAACAACCTCGACTGCATCTATTGCGATGAGTGTCTGAATCAGGCTCGCGAGATGGGGGTGAGGGACCTCATACGGGTGCAACCCGACGAAACTAAGTTCCACTTCACCGTGGAATCCAACGGGGCCATACAGCCGGAAAAAATTCTTGAGATTTGCCTCGTCACGCTGGAAGAAAAGCTGGCGGGGCTGCAGCAACACTTCCTGGAGGCGCAGGCACGTAGTCTGGGCACGAAGTCGCAGGCGGGAGGCAGACCGGGAGCGATGCAGCCGAGGGGCATCGACCTTGACTGAGCGTGGAGTGCCAGACATGCAAGAGGTGAGGAAGGATGGCACGCGAATTCAACGACTTTCGGCTGCCGTTGTAAAGGCATTTTCCGGCCGCACTGTGTTTTTATGCATTTAAGCATAATAAGAACTGCGAACAACGGGTCACACACCTCCGAGGGCTGTGCATAAGGCATGGCCGTGAGGCCGTTACAACAACATCGCATGACACTTAATGAATTTCTAACGTGCGTTATACTGGGTGTGTGACGTGAAACAGGTCGTGGCTGCGCTACTTCGTTGGCAAGCGCGCAGGCGTTCCAGGAAAGGATGCGGCAGTGCTGCTACGTTAACGGAAAAAGCGCAACATCTCGATGTAGCGCTGCCGGAACAGAAAATGTACGAAGAGCAGGCTGTTAGGAGCCACGCCAACGCCATATTCAACGAAATCAGGAACACGCCACTGGAATCACTCAACACCCAGTCCTTCCGGAGCAGAATCGCTGACGCCATACGCGTTACCTCTGAAGGAACGGCAGACACCGATCCGAGTGAAGATCAGGGTCTGCAAAAGACGTTACGCATTGTAGCGAAATACAATGTCCACTTCCTGCCACCGTGCAATGTCCAGGACCATGCAGGCCAGGCGACGGTGTACACATTCGATGGATTCCCAGGTATCGCAGCGCACAATATGGCTCAAACCACGTCAGGGCTCTACCTGGTGAGAAACTACCTCACGGAAGAGCAATGTCAAAAGCTCATGTGCCAGACTCTCACCGAATACATCAACGTAGGTGGCGGCGGTCCCAGCATAATCCGCACTCAGCCTCCTAACAACAGCAACATCTACCAGAACGACGGAACTCTCTCCACACCCATATGGCGTTGGTTTGCAATGCGAGAAGCTCAGATTGCGCAGCTTCCGCCAACTTCAAAAAACTCAGATGGGCGACCATCGGGCACATGTACGAGTGGGTCACCCAAACACCGTTGCCGACGTTATGCAGCTGGGGTACAAGAAGCTACCGGGGTTATAGCACATTCCCGGAGCCACTCGTCAAAATAACGCAGTCGCTTTTATCGCATTTGAACCGAGAATATGTGCCAGACGTGGGTCCAGACGGTGACAAATATATGCTGAGCAGGCGGCAATCATCAACTGCTACACAAAGGGGTATTTCCTACGCCTCCACAAGGACGATGCAGAGGAAACTGATGACACAGTGGTCAACATCAGCCTCGGAGCCCCGGCAATATTCACCATCGGCGGCCGCGACTACAGGTGAGTTGAGATAGCGCGCCATTTTATTGATGAACCAGCACCATCCCCGTGGCCATGGTTGTTGACTCTGGGTCAGTTGTGCTCATGGCTGAGGATTCCAGGTTCTGTTTACACGGTAGGACAAAATGCAAATATGTTTACTCGACATTCAGGCGTAGTCAAGTTGCTGGGGTACAACAAACCCGGCCGTCACAATTATGACGCCGGGGAGACAAGTGATGTGGGAGAATTTGCCTATGCTGCGCCTCGCCTAAACATGGTCATCCCGCAATGTAGTGTCGACGCCACCGCATCACTGGAATGCGACCCGCAGTCCCTCGACCGCGTAAAAACGCTCTTCGCCGATCACCGGGTGTCCATAAGCATCAGGCGCGCAAAAAGATGACATTGTGATAACTAATTAGACTTTGCAATTGCATCAAGCATGTCATACACTACACTCTGGGTTACAACGCCGTCTCCGCGGAAGTCTTGGTGGCCCAACACATAGTCGCGGATCTCCTGTGAATTCGTGGCGCTGGCCCCGTACACTCGATTCTTAAGCACGTTGAGGTACTCCATTTGCAAATCGTGCGATTCCTGTGATATCGCACCGGAGGACAACTCACTGTCCAAGTGGTTAGCGCAACGAGCAAGCAGACCCAGCTTATCCAAGTCAAAGAAAATCTCGCGAAGTGTGTAGCGCGCGAGCTCGTAACTGCTACCATTCAGATTGGTAACGAAGTAAAATTTGTGCTTCGTTATAGCGTCCTGGCTGTCGGATGCCTCCATATTCTCGTGAACTAGAGACATAGGCATATACAGATTCCAACGCTCCTTCAAGATGACACGTACCATCAGTGCGATTATGCATGCCAGGCCCGCGGACTCATCGTCGCGCAGCTGAGCTTCGCAACATCGAAACTCCACGCGCCAAGGAATGGGGTACCCAGACCCCTTCAACGGAGGCGGCTTCAGACGCACCGTATTCCAGTTGGTGCTCTGAAAGCATTCAAAGTGCTCATCCGTATTGTGGATATCGACGGCATCTAAATCCTGCTCAAAAGTCACGAGCGGGTCACGTGACATGATGGCGGAAAAGTGTCGCGCTATTACACGATCCAGACCTGCGGAAACGCACGCCTCGTATACGTCCGGCCGCGATGGGACGAGCACGTCGTTCAGAGACGTATAGTTGGCCAAAAGGTATGGCTCTAGCGACAAATACAGCGACACAGTGGAGAACCTGGAAAACGGGACTTGTTCGAGTTCTTCGTCGCGGCGGTCGTCGACTGACTGCGAGAGCACCCGCCAACGCGTCGTATGCGCTGACATTGTGCCTTTGAACACCGCCGTAGCCGCCGTCAGCGCAAGGAAAAGGGGCGATAGCACGGTCAACTGGTCGTATAGGTATCGAGCTTCCAGTTCATCGACGCAGCTGAAGGTCTCCTGGAGGCAACACATACCCATGCCAAACACCATAGCGTCCATGTAAATCGGGTCGTGGTCTGACGGCGGGTAGTCATATTCTTCAACCTGGTTGCGTACGTCACTGGAAACGATTATCCGGTCGATTTCTGCCCGCAGGTCGGTGTCATCAATCCGCCCAACCGGATTGATGAACGCCGACGAGAGTGACGCCTCAGCTTCCTTGCGGAAGTCATAACTTGAGTTAACAGTATTGGATGAAACAGGATCACTTTCTTCCGCAGATACCGCTGCATCTTTGACAGTGGGCGGCGCAGGTGAGGATTGAGCGTCTTCATCTAGGTCCTTTAACGGAGCATCGGTGCCGGATGCGCTGCTTGCGTGTGCCCTTGCCGGCATATTTTTGGGATTAGGAAAGAAGGGAGGCGACTGAATGCGCACCTTCTTACCCCTACGAGTCCGTATATTTCTCGCCAATGTTACAAAACGGGGATGAGGGTTCACCAGCACGTCGCTGCAAAATTCGCTCCGCATAACTGGTTCCTGAGGTGGCTTAATCATAGGATGGTCGGAAACGGAATCGGGCGTGCCCATAAGAGGAAACGATGTTAGCGTGAATGGGTAAACATCGGTAATGCCCATGCTTTCCAGCCCAAGACGTATGTGACGCCGTGCTCCTCTGAACCACTCAAACACTTCCGCCGTATTATCCTTGTCCAAAACCCATGGCGCACCAGGCGTTCCCTCCACCATGAACGCGCCGAACTCGGGCATGAAAAAGAATCGATCGGCATCAGGCTCGGTCGACATTGGAATCCTATCCAACAATTGAGGTCCACATGGCATGAGCTTCGCCGAACGGGTGCTTGGATTCATGTGAATAAGCATGTACTCGCACTCATGGCCGAAACAACGTGTCATATCCTTCCGATCATGGTTGCTCAGGTAACATCGCAAGAGCTCCAGCGTAGCCAGCAGGCGAATCCGGTTGGAAATCCTGGCCGTCTCCTCATAGCTCAGAGGGTCTCCTGCCGCCAAGTATCCCATGTCCGATGTTATTGCATGTTAAAATGATTGTAGGTGTGACGGAGTCTGGCGCATTGGCGGCCGTGGCTAGTAGGAAGTAGGCCGCCAATACGGAAAAGTACACATGGCTCTTGCCAAAAATATGCCTCAAAGACAAACTATTGTACACATTAGGCATGCCTCAGGGCATGAAAAATATTACCTGTTATCGCTAGAAGAAATAGAAATCACGCAAATCGCGTGGAATCCGCGCACACTTAGGTGGCCCGCGCGTGCTGCGACGTAGGTCTCGATAGTCCACTCTCACTCTAATGTCGTCCACTATGAAAATTAGCTTTGGGCTGGCATCATCGGCGGCGAAGCCTCCTGACTCCGGCAGGGTGGCGAAGCCGGCGGCATCGAAATTCTTCGAAGCCGTGCCAACGACGAAGCAGCCAGTTAAACGGGTCAAAGTCACCGAAATGGAAAACGGCCGACTCAGAACGACCCAGGATTCAGCTGGAGATGACCATACGCAGGAATCCGGTGCTGCGGATGGGCTATGCGTCATCCCGTGCACCAATCGCCTCGACGATGTTCCAGCACGCACGGAAGAGCCACAGCAAATAACGAAGCGAGCCCCAATAGAGATAAAGTACGGGTTAAATCTGATACTTCCTGCCAAAACAGGCCTGCAGAAGTCTACCGGCACGCCGCAGGTGGTTTCAGGGGATGCCGCTGCAGATGTTGAAAATAACAATGACGCCAATCGCATTAATGCAGTTGCTCAACAGCCGCAAGGCAAATGCGCCAGCGAGCCTTCCGAAGTGTCTCCGAAATCAAATGTAGTTGGAAACGTCAACGAAGATAAAACCAATACCGCGGCAACTCAGGAAGCTGAACTTCATATGGCTCCAGAACAGGCGCCAACATCCATAGTACCGCCAGCCACAGACGCAGATGTTGCAAAGCTCATTTTGGCCGATATCGAGCAGAAGAAACTACGAGAGAAACTGTTTGGAACGGACCTAGTGGAGCAGGCGGCTAATACAAAACCGATCCTGCTGCGCGGCAAAGACAAGAAGCGGCAGCTACAGGGTGATCCCGAGGCCAGTGAAGCTAGCGACCACGAGCCTGCCTACGAAAAGGTGGCAGTGGATCAATTTGGCCTTGCCATGCTCTTGGGAATGGGATTTGACCCCAAGAAGAACACCAACAAGCCCAAGGAGTACAAGAGACGTGCATACGAAAGAGCCGGCTTAGGCGCGGACGCGAGCATGAAGCAGAACATGGAAGCGCTCACCGATACCCGCATAATGGCGAAGCTTAAAAAGGACCAGATGTACCACCAGTCGCACAGCCTACATGCAGGTGGTACCTGGGTGGTCCCCGGGCTGCAAGTGCGCATTGTTCAGCGTGACCACGCGAACTTCGGTAAGAAGGGCATTGTCACCAAAATGAACGGAGAGGTAGCGGTACTGGACATAGGCGGATTGCCTGTGATGGTCCCTGCTGCATATTTGGAGACGGTGGTGGCGCAGGGCGCCACCAAGTGTAAGGTGGTCCGCCAAATCGCAAGGCACAACGAAAAATTTTATGTGCCCATCGGCACAGTTGTCGATGTCCAGACTGTGACCAAGACGTACGCGAAGGTCCGGTTCCGCGAACAGACTTTCACCGTCTCCCTCGACGACATATGCGACTTCCAGTGACCCTCGTGGGAAGAGCCGCACTGTACACATTTACCTGTACAGACAGCCAATAGTAATGACATATCGCAACATAGTAACCGAGCATAGCTTCGCATATCTTTGGCATATCTAGAATGATTGCCGGAATGTCGATGTGCAGCCGCGCGTGGCGCGGTGGCTGCCGCGACGCTGTGCCGTCAAAGCGGTGGTATAGCGGCCTAGCGAATGAGGTCAGCCTGGAGGTGATACGAACCTGTAGCCTCTGGGCGAGACGGGAGCCCAGGGTCGTTGCTGGCGTGAGCTCGGCTGGCAGCGACATCATGCTTCTGGCAGCCAGACACCTCGGACTCCAAGATTCCGAGCAGTTATGGCGGCTTTCGCCGCAGTCTAGACAGGGAAGATTGCCCAGTGTAGTCAGCCATACGAAGATAGTCTACCAAGATGCCGTTGCTGGCGACCGTGACGGACAGCATAACGATATATGGCTGGGCCACGCAAGATATCGTAGCTATGTCGCCCTGACGCTGCATGGGCCAACAGGAATTGATGGTCTGGGCTGGTGGGGTGACTTGGGGAGAGAATCTGCCAGGTTTGAGGAAGGGGAGTCTATTGAAGCAGTAATGCGTAGCGACGCCGCAAAGGACGAAGGCAGCAACCATGCGGAGGGAGACCCAACGTCGAGGACGGACACGACGATATTCGTATATCCGTACGCCAGAAAGAACTCACAGGCTATAGTGGAAACGCTGAATAAGTATCGCACCGGGCTGGCGGAAATGGATATACGCAGTCTCATCTACCTATGCGGTTCCACCGGCAGCAGCAGGGCGCTAAGGTTGCTGGGCCAGCTGATACGTGAGCAGTGCAGGGGCCACGAAACTGCAAGCGCAATACATCGTGTGGAAGAGCACGCTTGGCCGTGGATGAATAATGCCTCGATGGATAACGTCACCCAAATAGGTTTACCCGTCGTGCTCGACGCACTGGCCAGTGCCGCAATAATACAGTACACTTTCGAAAAGGAGAGTGTGATTTTCGATCATATTGGCTCCCAGTTGCAGAAGCTCGACGCAAAGGTAAAGGAGGAAGGTGCCGCTTTGGCTGAGGAGGTCAAGGCACTCGACGAGGAAATACTCAACCGCGTCGTTAACCTGCTGGTGCTCAAAAGGAACCTGTCGCAGTTCAACAGCGATCACATTAGAGTGTTTAGCGATTTCATCTGCGACCGCTTGCACAGAATAGACCCCAAAAGTATCGCCAACATCGCCTTCTCTCTTGGGCACTCCAAGCACCTGGACGAGTTCTGGATGTTCATGATGGCGAAGCGTATCCAGGACTCTCCGCATGAGTTCGGACCCGATGAAATTGCGGCGATCATGGATGCGTACAGCAACGCCTGCCTGGAAGACCACGAGTTCTACGCGACGCTCTGCAAACAGGTCGCCCAAAATTTCGAGCACTACAACTTGCAGCACCTCACCGTAATCCTGAGGGCGCTGGCACGCGTCCGGGTCCGCGACGAGTGGCTGCTGGAAAACACGCTGAACCGCCTGCAGTCACACTTGAAGGAGCGAGAGAACTTCGGCGATGACAAGGGTACGGGCCGCGAACTAGCCTACATGACAGCTAACTGCGTAGTTGCAGCTGGAGACCTAGGTTACGTTGGCAACTGTAACTTCGACGTCATGTGGAGGCTACTAACCACCCGCATCAGGGATTCGTCGTTTGACATCTGCGCCATCAACTGGTTGCCGCTGGCCGCGATGACCTTCGCCAGCAGGACCACGCTGCAGACGTTCATGCCGGTTTGGCTCAGGCACGTCCTCCACACCATACAAAAGCTGAGGTCGAAAACGTTCGTGCTCACGATACAACGGAGACACCACCTCGTGAGGCACGTGTTCAAGCTAGGCATCTTGCCTCCACAACTGCTCCCGAGGCAGGCCCAAAGCATCCTCGACGACATCTGCGACCGCGAATACGTACGTTTTGCATCTGCAATACATGAAAGTCAGCCCATATATCTATGATGTTCTCATGTGACATTTGTATCTGTTTACGTTGGTGTCGATTTGTTTCATATGCTCTATGTGCGATGAGTGATGTGAACGTGATCAGTGTTGTATGACGGATACGGCAGCCAGCATAGGCTGACAACGGCAAACTCGGTTTGCTATGATGGAGAATGTGGCGTGCCTAACTCTGGCTGCCGGTATTTTGGCCGGGCGAGGAGTTTGTCACGGTACCTCCGTTATGAACGCACGCAAGATGCCGATCCCACGTTTTTACGTTTGAATGACAGATGCTGTATTATTCGCGTAAAATGGTGATCTATAGCCTGCGTATACGCAATTTGAACGTTTTTCGTGCTGATGCAATTGAACTATGGAAACGAGGTCCTCAAAAATGCGCAGGTCACAGGGAAGGTGCCAGAAGAGTACGTACCGGAGAGTTCAACGTTTCACCTGGAGGTATGCGCCTGTCTACGCGCGCTAGACGTGGCACACCAGCGGGAGATCAACATCGTACCCTTCGTCATGGACATCGTCGTGCCGCCGAAAGTGAGAAAGATCGCTTATACGCAGACATTTGCGCACAGAAAGAGTACAGCATAAAACCGCCACAAATATCGGAAGCTCACCGATTGTCTGACAAGGTTAGAAGCGGGCAGACCGACGAACTCAGCGCCGCCGGGTTCAGACTCAAGTACACACGACACTCACCCAACCACCGCAAGCGGAAGCAGGAAATCTACGTATACGACAAAAACGATGGATGAAATCCAATCGTATCGCAACAGGCACCATCAGGCCTACCTCGCGCGCAAAAACGCCGGCGAGAAGGCCAAGACACACGAGACGCAAAACGAGCATCCCGCGGCCGCTGGCGACTCGGGAATCGCGACTCCGGTGCAGCACACGCAGGAAACGGTGAGCTATGGCGAGCCGACTGTAGTCAAGGACGAGTTTCCGCAAGGTTACGACAACATGGAGTACGAGGGGGACCCTATGTACGAGTCGTCAGTGGCTCTCGCACGCCGCCTCCAAGAGGAGCTCAACAGGCCAGCGCCTCCGCGAGAGGAGGTACGCGCACCGGATTCGACCTACCAGGAGCGCATGCTAGGCCCTGAAATCGACGACGACGAGCTGCAAGCTGCGATCGCCAAGTCGCTCATCGACATGTAGTGACTTCCAAATCAACAGATGCAAAGACATGCATTTTACAGTATTAGCTGTTGTACTTGTGGCCGGTCATGGACGCGGAATTTTTCTCGCGCCAAGCGGCTGCTGTTACCGGACGCTGTATGCAACACTGCCTGAATGCTACACTTACCACCCGCTCTACGTACTACGCGCCTCATCTCGCTAAAAGAATGGCGGGAAGATGATCCCCGGGGACGACAGCATCCCCTGCTCCCGGATGTAGGCGTCCACGTCGGCCGGGGTGATGAACCGACTCCGGGACTCGGACGACAGCGCAAACGTCTCACCGGGGGGCTGGTAGTCGAAGCTGATGCCGTTGCTCAGGCGCAAGATCAGGTAGTGAATCTCGAACTTGCGGAACATCATCACGCGCATCGTCTGGCAGAAGATAATGTACATGAGGCGGAGGAACAGGTCGACCAGAATGATCACCACCTCGGTCTTGGTCGGCGAGAAGGAGCAGCACAGCGAACGAAACAGAATGCTATATGAAAAGTAGTTCCACTGCGACTCCAGGAGCAGATCGGACACCGTCGTGCTCTTGAGCAGGTCGCCGCAGAACAGCTTGTGGTTGAGGCTCACAGGGCACATGCTGTGCTTGCACAAAACATACATCAGACGCACCGTATTCAATTTCTTGCGCAACGCTTGCACCATGAGCGTCATGAGCACACTCAGCGGCCACTGTAGCAGCGCGTAGATCTCCATGGCGTAGATCAGGTTGGTCGGCGTCTTCACGAAGCCGCGCAGGCAGCACACGCACGTCACGTAGCTGCACAGGTTCACGGCCTCCTGCACCCACAGACACAGGCATCCGAGCCATCCACACCGCTGTACGCGGTAGAACAGCGCGCTCTGAACCAGAGGGGCGAACACCACCACACCATACAGCACCCTTTCGTATAGACTTGCGGTCGTCAGCTCGCGGCCGAACAGGAACCGCGGCGACCGGACGCTGAAGTAGGGGTTGTAGCAGAAGGCCACGATGGTCGCACGTGAGATCAGGGCGATTGCCACCGCAACTAACATGCGCGAGAACTCGAACGGGCGCTCAGTCAGCAGGAATTCCGACGATTCCATGTCGAAGCTGGGTTCCGCCCTGAACAGGCGACAAAACCCGTCACAAAACTTGCGATATATCATGGAGAAACCCAGTGTTGTCACCGGCAACACGCGGTGACGCTTCAACATCCGGATCAGCAGATCCCGGCGGCTGTTGTCCACGGGCTTATCCAATATTTCCTCGGACACCGAGTCCACGTCGGCGTCCGCGGTGTCGGATCCATCATGATCGTCGATATCAGAGTCAATACGCGACTGAAAACGCAGCCTGGCCGCGAAACGGTCGCTGCGTGTACTGCCCTCGTCCACGCTCTCCTGGGAACGCCCTTGTTTGGGGGGCTGCGTGGTCCGCAGGTGCTTTATCGGACGGGAAGAAGATTCCTTGCGCAGTACAAAGCTGCCGAGACGGTTCAAAACGCTTCGCGTGTGGCTACGCAGGTTGCTCATAATGGAGGTCTTGCCGCGCTTCATCATCGTCCGGTCGGTCAACTTTCGTGACAGCTGGCGTTCGTTCTCAGAGTCGCTGGAGTCTTCCAAAAGCTTCAGATCATCGTGGATCATGTGCTTGGTGGCGGGGTCGTTGGGCAACGGAGCAGCTTCGAAAAAGGCGCTCTGCCACCCCTTGGCGCTGTCCCGCTCCGCCAGCTGGCTCAGTGCCAGACGGTACGGGCGGATAATCATGCCCAATAGGTTCTTAAAGATCAGCATTGAGAACACATTCTCCTGCAGCAAATTCAATAACCTGTAGACGAAAAACGGAATGTCGATGAGGCAAAATCCGACCAGAAACGCGAACTTGGCGATGGTGAACATGTCAAGGTACTGGCCCCTCAGAGAGGGGTTCACCTTCAGCACCTGAGGTTTGGCCGAACCCTGAGTGTCTGGGCCATCGAGATCCGCGTCGTTGCCCCAACTCTCATCACGAAACGCCGTATCATCGTTGCGGCGCCGGCAGAAGCAGAGGCGGTTCAGCAGGTTGGACCAGAATAGCTTGCGGTTCTCTAGCTCACCACTATCCGCGTCCAAGTCGCTGTCGACGGTTGGAGACACCAAACCCAACAGAAACATGCTACCCACGCACAAAATAGCGTACGCCACGTAATTGCGATTTTCGTACGATGTTTCGGGCGAATCCTTTCCGGAGACGTAAAAACTGCGATAGCGCCCTGAAACGCATTAAACGATGAGCACGACAAACTCACGAATCAAATGATTCAACATGATAACGACGTCCCAGAGGTCCACCACGGTCGCCAAGGCGAGGTCGGAGTGCAGCAACTCGTCAACGTTCACATTGCCCTTCTGCCGGTTGAACAGGAACCGATTGGACATCCGGTTGAAGAGGACGTATATTACAGGAGTCAGGTAGAACCCGACGAAAGACAAGTAGTCCTCTGCATCACATTTATTCAAAGCCTCGATAGGCGGAAATAATGTATAAACTTAAACGTGTCGACCGGAGCATACATCATGCAATGGTTTATACGAATCGTGGAGCGCGAAAACGCTGCACAATTCACGGGACATATCGACATGGAATTCACACCAATGCGGTACGATTTTGAATTTCAACATGCACACGGTTACCTAGAAAAAACACAGAAAACAGTTCCACCATCGGGCAACGGAGGGAGCATGCAACGAGACATACCTGCAGCGAAGCGGTTGAAGCCTGCAGAAGACACTGGATCGACTTCATTAGGTAGGAAAAGAAGCGCGGAGAGCTTTATTACAGTGCTGGTGCAGCACAGGCGCCACTGAACAGCCACGCATGTCGAAGAGTGGCCACGGTCCGATATCGTACCGGCCAATAAGTACAACGCTGCAGCGTATACACATCGTGTCCAAACAACTACCCACCTATGAACCCATCCAAAGCAAGCACGTAAATGATGCGACGCTCGTTGCGGATGTAGTAGACAGCGTAGTACAGGAGCGACTGCTGAAAAGCGAAGAACAGCAAGATGGTCAACAATTGGATGCATCCATTGCGGTAGCTGTGGCAAGAACCCTTCAGACTATTGTACGATGGCGGTATGGCACGGTTTCCGTACATCTTGCCCTAATGTGTAAGCCGCTGCCAAGATACGCACGCGACGACACACCGAGAGAAAAATGCTCTAAACGTAGCAACATCCATGTCTTGTGTATCAATCGCGCGAGGAAATCGGTACCGATGGAACCGTCGGCGCAGTTCCCCTATGTTATGCCCAACTACTCGTGGCGCCACGGCAGATGGAGACTCACATCATAACGATGTTGCGCCAGCTGAGTCTGGCTAAAGCCGTCAGAAACGTCGGAAGACGATGGAGCGAACATAGTAAAACGATTAGAATGTATGGAAACCCATGCCAGGGCTGCAAATGTTTCGGTTCGCAGGCGACGACGCCCTGCGCGCCAAAACCTACGCAGGCAGCAGCTGCGCCCGAGTTCGATCATAGATTCGTGGACCCGCTTAAGAAGGCTGGTAGTTCTGATGGGTACGATTTCGAAAGGCTGGATGACCTGAGCAACCTGCTCAAGGTTGTAGACTCGTCTGTCCCCTCGATTAGTGATGCGACGCCCGTAAAAATGCTGCTGGTACCTCCACAGGCGATAGAAGAACTGACCGAGCGGGCTTTTGTTGAAATCATGCATTTTCTCAGATCAGAGCATCTAAAGCAACTGCGGGGAATCCTGGATGATGCAGAGGCCAGCAATAACGATAGATTCGTTGCAATGCAGCTCCTCAAAAACGCCTGCGTCGCATCTGGAGGGTAATTATAAATGTACTTATGCTATACAAATTCAGGGTACTGCCTGGCTGCCAGGACACTGGGACCGCAATTGTTATCGGCAAACGTGGCAACCGTGTTTTCACCGAGGGCGACGAAGCTGCCATCGCAAAAGGTGTCTACAACGCCTATGTGCAGCGGAAATTCAGGTGCGTGCATTATCGGTAGTACATCCAATATGCATTGTGAGATTGTTTGGTATTAGATTATACCAATTTCGCATGAGGAAGGGTTTTCATGGCTCTGTGGTGCGTTGCATATCAGCACCGAGATATCTGCATTAGCATCTCGTTTTAATTCCTGTGAACTGCTCAGAAACGTTCATGATGGTGTAAATTTGTTCAATACCATGTCATTAAAACTCCCGCAGGTACAGCCAAATGTCGCCGCTGACCATGTTTGAGGAAGTTAGCACAAAATGCAACTTGCCCGCACAAATCGAATTATACGCCAAAGAAGGGAGCTCGTACAATTTTCTATTCATAGCCAAGGGTGGTGGATCAGCGAACAAGACGTTCTTGTACCAGCAAACAAAGGTAAGAGTTGTCACTGAAACAATGCCATCCAGATCACGTTCGATACGTAAATTGAAGCTAACATGCTCATATCATACCGTTCATATGTGTTTTTCGATCTATCTGCATCTACGTGATTTTTAATATCTGGTGATCTCATGTGTCATTGGACTGTAGGCGGTGCTGAATCCGGACGTGCTCCTAAATTTTTTGATGGATCAGATAAAAACCATCGGAACCTCGGCATGCCCACCATATCATCTCGCTGTCGTCATCGGAGGGCTGTCAGCAGAAATGACGCTGAAGACAGTGAAGCTCGCCAGCTGCAAGTACTTGGATGGCCTGCCCACAGAGGGGGGCAACTTCGGCGAGGCCTTCCGCGACGTCAAGCTGGAAAACGACATTCTAAACATGACAAGAACCCTTGGAATAGGTGCACAATTCGGTGGCAAGTACTTCTGCCATGACGTCAGGGTCGTACGGCTGCCGCGACATGGAGCGTCGTGCCCAATCGGTAGGCGCTTTGGTCTTAGAACATACATCTGTTGTTCAGGAATTGGAGTGTCGTGCTCCGCGGATAGGCAAATCATGGCAAAAATTGATGCTTCGGGTGTCTACCTGGAAAAACTGGAGCATGACCCAGCACGGTTCCTGCCTACCATAGACGAAGCCGACGGTGCGGAGGAGGTCAACGTGGATCTTGATGCAGGCATGGATAAGGTGCTCGAGCAGATCAGGAAGTACCCAACGAAGCAGAGGTTGCTGTTGCACGGAACCATGATAGTGGCCAGGGACATTGCACATGCCAGGCTCAGCCAGATACTGAAGGAAACGGGAGACTTGCCAGATTACGCCAAACAGTACCCCATATACTATGCAGGTGAGTTGCGTGCAATTATGAGTAGCAACCGCTGTCGCTGCGGTACCATGTTTGCACTTCGTTAGGCACAGCCGCGGTGTCTTACCCATGCCGTTACGTTATGCTACCACGTGATTCGTGGCTTGATTTCCGTTATTATCGTTTGAAATGTCGAATTTAACGCGACATATATGTGTATGTGCGTACTCGTTCTTTCATTGTGTTATTCGTGTGGTACAACCTTATGCCAACTACCGAAGTGTTGATCACTAAAAAACACGCAGGACCGGCTAAAAGGCCTGACGGATTAGTAAGCGGTTCGTTTGGACCCACAACTGCGGGGAGAATGGACAGTTACGCTGCGTTATTCATGGAGAAGCAAGCGTCACTCATAACACTGGCCAAAGGGAACCGGTCACGTGCGTTCGCGAACGCCTGCAAAAAGTACGGAGGAGTCTACCTGGGATCGGTAGGAGGGCCCGCTGCGCTCATAGCGAAAGATTGCATTACGAGCGTTGAGGTAATCGACTTCCCTGAGCTCGGCATGGAAGCCGTGCACAAAATCACTGTCAAAAACTTCCCAGCCTTCGTAGTCGTCGACGCGCAAGGAAACGACTTCTACAAAGAGTGGTGTGGATGAACACATTTTAACTTATAATCACCTGTAGCTACGTAGCACATTGCCGCCACGAATCCCCAGATGGGAAGGAGCGCGGCAGTATACGCGTCGCCTAGTCGCAGAAACCATGACGTTCATGCTCGAGCGAATCCGGGCCTCCCAGGAGGAGCTCGAGTACCTGGAAAAGGCCATCAGCGTGCTCATGAACGATAGAAGGAGGGCGTCTGGACTCAGACTCGCAACCATAGAACGCGCCATCAAACAGCTCGTGGAGCAATCGCAGAGCATCGCTCAAAAGTGCATAGCATACTACAAGGATGAGGATGGGCTGAGGAAGGAAGAAATCCGATACCTTGCAGGTTAGTCCCACCCGCACACCCTTGGTTGTCTACACTCTAACTGCTCGGTATGGGCCAAAGAGCTCTTGCCGAGCTTTGTCTGATTGTTTGACAGTTACTTGACGTTATATAAACGTGATGTATGCAAAATTTGCGTTTCTATATGTCTCATATAGCGCTCATCCGTCTATTTACTTCGGCGTTGGAATCCTGAACTGGAAAACTGGTCGTTCTTTGCTAGATAGAAATGTGTTGTTTTTTGCGAAATGCTCAACATTCTAATGCTGCTATTGAACGTTTAGTAGTCGTGATATAAATATCAAAGATTTTAACACTAATGCAGGGCAGCAAGAAGGCGGCAGAGCCGCTGCTTCCAAGGACGACGACGGACAGCTGTGGACGAACTTCTACAGCAACCTCAAAAACATAAAGGACTATTACAAGCGCAATGAGGGTCTCAACGTACCGGTGGAGCCACGAACGGTGAACAACGTCATCAATGATGCTATGTCTAAGGTTAATGTGGACCTGGAGTTCACGCCGGATGAAAATTACGGGAAGTGTGTCGACCTTCAAGAGCACTACAGGCGGTTCGTCAACCTGCAGGAGCTGCGCAACTACAGAAGGAAGCAACACCAACAGCAGGAAGTTTTCAGGCTGAACAAAAAGTCCATCCCCGAAAATGAACTGGAGGCCAACATCCTACCCTTCAGCGAAATAGATTACGTCACATATCTCAACCAATTCGACAAGTTCGCAGAGATTCCCAGGTACTGCAAGTACAGGGTTAAGGAGTACTACGAGTATCTGGAGAAACTGATGGACTACCTGGTGGGATTCTTCCAGCGCCAGAACCCGCTGGCCACCACAGACTCGCTGAAGAAGTCGTTCCAGGACGGATTCGAGGCGGAGTGGATCGCAGACAGAGCAGCCCATTGGAAGGAGTACACTGAGCAGATGGAACTCTACCTGAAACCGGTGGACCGGCTGTTCGCCTCCAAGGGTGTTTTCCAGTCCTTCCAAAACGGGAAGAAATACAAAAAGATCGCCGAGGTGTTCTCGAAAAAGACATCTCAGGAGATGGAGGAACACTCAAAGGCGAGCAGGGACCATGACAAATCGATTGCCTACATGGAGTACATGATTCAGCACTACAAGGAGTTCATGACCAGCACCATACAAAAGACGATAGAATTTATCGAAAAACGGGAGTCACGTACCAGCAGGGAGCTGGAAGCATCGCAAAGCCTCGCGCTGCAGATACTGGAGTCGGTTGGCACCGACAAGCAGCTGGACATCGACGATGTCTCAAGCGGCGAGGAGGAAGAACAGCCCATATACAACCCGCTCAATCTCCCACTCGGGTGGGATGGAAAGCCCATACCGTTCTGGCTCTACAAACTGCATGGCCTAGGACAAGAGTTCAAGTGCGAAATATGCGGAAATTACTCGTACTGGGGGAGGAAGGCCTTCGAAAACCACTTCCAGGAGTGGAGGCACTCTTTCGGAATGAGATGCCTCAAGATACCCAACACGCCGCACTTCAAGGAGATCACGAAGATCGAGGATGCCTTTGCGCTTTACGAAAAGCTCAGGAACCAGAACGACAAAAACACGTTCAAGGTTGCGCAGGAGGTTGAGTGCGAGGACTCCGAGGGGAACGTTATGAACGCCAGGGCGTACGAGGATTTGCGCAGACAGGGGCTGTTGTAATGCCACGCGGTGTAATAATGCTTACATTCGCACCGAATAACGTAGGCATGAAACATCGGAATAATAAATACTTATTAATTTCAATCGAAATTGAAAAGCCCTAAAGGCTGTAACAAATCCACTGCATTGTGATTTTTAAAACTGTAATCAATGTAGGCGTCGAATAACGGTTGTACACTCATTTTAAAAACGGAGGGCTGCTCCAGATGCCCAGCAGCTTCTTGTCATCGGGGTTGGTAAGAAATTTGGCGGCGCGTATGGCTGTTAATATGCTTACATTGTTCAGCTTCGCGAAATCGCCTTCCTCAAGTAGGGCCATGATGCGCCGCAACAAATCGGCGGCAAAGGTTGCTGACACCGTTTGCAGCACCGTCTGCTGTGCAGAGTGAATCAGCTTCACGAAGTTAGACGACTTTGCATAGTTGTAGAAGTATTCGTGAAGCTGATACACGTGAATAGGCCGAGGGATCGATAGAACAACGTCTTGCTTCTTACACGCGTTCCGGAACTGCTCAAGTCTGCGCACCGCAACGGGGTGACCAGAATCCAAATCGCGCTGTAAGTTGAACAGGTAGTAGGTGATGTACGATGAATCGACTCCTCCGGTAGCTCCAGCTGCATCCTTTCGAGGCTCAGGTGAACGATCCAGCATGTACTCTACCAGCCGTGTCCCGATAGGCTTCTTCGCAGATCCATCCACCGTAGTGTACTTTTGGCAAAACTCGAGGATGTTTCGAATCACGTCGTTGGTGTAGACAATCTGTCCATTCGATTCCTCGTTCGTGAATTTGTCTGCACTGCTGGCTGTGCAGCGCACGCAATCCCTGATGACGTCCTTGGTCCACTCGGTGAGTGCTTGCAAAATTATCAAGTTGTCATAGTGGTCAGTGACCTCACGGCCAGTTATTTTCTTCACCTCCACGATGAAATCGGCGATATTGGTCGCCCTGCGACGCGCCTCAGTGGCGTATTTCATGGCGATGACACCCTCCTTGAAGCGGTGTACCTTCAGGCGTATCCCGGTGTCCCGCTTAACGGGCTTGGGCTCGCCAGACGCCCCGATGCGCTTTATGAACTGCGCTTCCGTCTTCCGGTAGGACTCGAAATTGGTCCGCGAGTGGCGGTCCAACGCGTAAAAGATGCGACGCTCCAGCGAACGCCATTTTTCCAAACGCCGGGTCATTTCCTCTGACGGACGCTGCAGCTCATAGTAGTCGGAAGCCACCAGGGCAGATAGGGTGTCAACTTCGCGCAGGTAGAGGCAGAGAGCGCTGTAGGTGCTGGAGATGGAGCGAAGTTGGTCCCGCAGCTCCACCAACCTCGCCTTCAAATCCGAAGGCTCAGACATGCCACCATAAATTACGGGCACTCCGGATATGTTCTACAAACATATTATACAGTGCTCTCTGATAACAGGAGCACGCTTTAGTTTATGGTCAGCTAAAAACTGAAGCATTGGTGTAGATTGGATATTTCTCCGCGGCGGATCCGGTCCGCGGATACCATTGAGCGGAAAACGCCCATACGGCTCACAGTCGAGCGCGATTCGCGCGCTCGACTGAATGTGCAGCCGTATTGACTGTCCTCGACCCCCTGCTGTTGCACAACCTTCGGCAGGCTCAATCGGTGTTAGCCATGGATTCCGCCCTAAACGTGGCAACGAACGGTTGGTGCATTACACATTGTTAAATTATGACTACACAGGCAGCAACGAGTACCGGTGGGAGCAGAACTTCGACGGAGTCGTTGTCTATGTTGACCTCCCCGCGGGCCTGCAGAAGGCAGATGTGAGCGTGAAATTTTCCCCGAAGGAACTATCCATACGCCTCGGAAAACACGTAGAACTCAAAGGAAAGCTCTGCCAAAACGTAGACACCACGGAATCCACGTGGCTTATAGGGGACGGAAGGCTGGAAGTGCACCTGACCAAGGCCATCAAGGGAGAGGTGTGGACGTATATATTCGAGGGCGACGTACCCCTTAATGAGCTAAACAAGGAAGGCGACAAGAAGCGCATGTTGCTGGAGCGGTTCCAGAACGAGCATCCAGGGTTTGATTTTTCCGGTGCCGAGATCAACGGCATGGTGCCAGAGCCGCGCACTTTTATGAAGGACATCTAAATTTTGGCAACGGCGCTTGTAGTAAACCAAGTGCCCATTTCCCGCAAAACGAATGTCACATACGTCACTTAGCCATAATTAGCGACGACCAAAGGGCGTACACTGCGCCGACCTAGCACCAACAATCGCATGTAAGTCTAGAATATTACACCGATATTTGCCTCGGGGCTACGCCGCTGACCCAGTGAAGCTTCACTTCGATAGTTGTTTCATGAGCTGCATCCGTTTTTCAAACAGTGCCTGCAAAGCATGAAAGAGACACACGCCGACTAACCTTGGCTTCATCATCCACGAGCTGCTGGCGCTTGAGCGCCTCCTGCACGTGCGCGTTTTGCTGCAGCTGCAACATCGTGCGGCAGGAGTCGAATGCGTTGAACGAATCGGCGCAACGCTGCGATCGGTCGGCACGGTTGAGACTGAAGTGCTGCTGGAGGCATTGGAAGTACTTGGAGCCTTCACGAAAATTGAATGTAGAACATTTTGTCGCATACCTGGCAGCCTGCAGGCGTGATCTAGGTCACATGATTGCGTGAAAATGTCCATGTACATATCAGCCTGTTGCATTGTCAAGTTGTGATAATTGAGCTCCAAACGGCATGAGACAATCGCAGCCGTGTCGCTAAATACGACAACCTACCTTCATCTCGCGGGCGTTCACGGACAGAGAATCCTCGAGCTCGGGCTGAAACATTGTCAAAATGCCGCAAAAAAATCCTTACCCGGCCCTTCACGATGTCTGACCACATCACCCGGTCAATGACACCCACGCTCTTGTTGTTGCACGCCAGGCCAATGAAGTTGTGCTCCTCCAGCAGCTTCTTTATCGAAAGAGCCCTCTGAACAGCGATGCGGGCGGTTTGAGCGCAAGCCTACCTCGGCCTGGACCCTGCGGAAGAGGAACCATTGCTTCAAGCGCGAGTCAATGGATGCGATTTCTGAGCGAACAGCGTCGTCACTCGCCATTTTATTAGTAAGCGGTTGTAAAGCAAGCAGACGGCTGCTAATTCCGCCTGTACGCGTAACCAACGCCCATATACACGGGCAGTAGACCACACCACACCTCACCGCCAATTAGTGCCAACCGTCCGCCAATCGTTACACACGATATATTCAGGCGCTTTCTACGTGAATTGACGAGCTTTGGAAGCTGTAGAAGCCCCTGAAGCAACCTTCGTGAGAGCGTCGAGACGTGTCTAGCAGAAGTAGGACGTATTACGATAAGAAGGGTCATGTGTACGAGGCACTCAATGGCAATAATAGAAGGAGAGGTAATGGCGTCATAAACTGGTGTTGAAAGCCTCAAACTTGTCATGGACGGGAGAGCTGCCGGTGGTCACCAGACGTTTGACAGACAACACGCATTTGACTTACGCAAAAACGTAACAGGCGAATTGCGCAAACAAATGTAGCTGTAATACCGTTACGCATTGGTATTTAAGCTCGAGAACCGCCAAAATCGCAAGATAATAAGGAAATGTAACGCTGCCATTTTTGCACAGGCTCACAATATACAGTAATCGCCGAATACTAGAGGGAATTGACATCATGGCGCCACGCAGGCAGCGCAGCAGAAGCAGGTTCAGAGCACGTCTGGAGGAAAAGCCCAACGGCAGCCGTTGGCGCCCCTACCAAAGGAAATCGCGCCGCTCCAGGAGGTCGAGGTCAATCTCTATCTCAGAGGACAGGGGACGATGGATGGAACGCAACACCCCAAGAAACTCTCTTGTATCACGAGAATACGGCCGAGATAGCCGAAGGCTGGACAGCCGGAGCCCAAGCGGAAGCTCAGACAGAAGTGTACGCACGAGCAGGAGAGCAATTAGGCGAAGCAGGGACCGGAGCGAAAGTCGAGGTAGAGACCCGAGGCGACGACGAAGACGTAGGAGAAGCAGCAGTATTAGCAGAAGCGTTAGGTCGAGGCGCATCAAAAGCAGTGAAACGCGCAGAAGGCGAAGAAGCTTCACGCGAAGTTCAAGCCCATCCAGTGGTGGTACTACGAGCAGCGACGACAGTATCCAAACATTGGGATATCGCGGTAGCAGATCTGATAGGATACGTGAACACAGGCGTTTGCGCAGCGGTAGCAAGTTCAGAAGCCGAAGCATTGAACGTACTCCCGAAACACGCAGCCGTCGCCGATCAAGGAACAGGCGTCATAGACGCGACGTGCGGCATCGTATCTCAAGGGGCAGTTCAAGACAAAGCCCGACATATGACGCAGAACGCACGATAACAGATGAATCTGTACTGTTCAGGGGGGACTCACGTGAAGACAAAAGGGGGGAGTCCGTAACTAAGGACCTTGTTGAGGACACATTTGCGGTGACGGACGAAAATAAAGCCGATGATGCAGTGGGTGCCGAGCAATATCCGGATTCTGACGATATGCAAGGATTCCCACCGCCACAACCCTACCAACAACTGGAGGACTTTTTCGAACCAAAACGGCATGGTGCGGAATCCGCTGTACCTCCGTTACCAGAGATTCTCCCGTATGGGGACAAGGTCACCCGTTACCATTCTCAAGACGTACATTTTCAGGCGCAGCAGGCGTAGGTTTAGTTACAATGCGGAGACATTGCTTACAGGGACGAGGATGCGCGTGACAAGTGGCACAAACAAATGATCGATTTGGTCGAGACAAATGCCACATATATTAGAAGGCGGCTTGAGGTAGGTATTAATTGGGGACTTTCATAACCTTCAGTTAAATGACCTCAAGGACGAACGTAGCACGTTTATATCACGCCAGCATGAAAACAAAATTAGTGCACCCGTAGATGGGTAAAACGGCAAGTTGTACGCCGGATAGTAACAGGGTCCCTTAACATTAAATCGCTGTACACAGACGCAACATCACAGGCATCTTACCCCTGGGTTATTGATACCTACTAGGTCCGTATTATCGCAATGTTTTAAGCCTCACAACACAAGTAGAATACGGAATCGTCACGGGTGGAAATAATGGGTGTGATGTACATGGGATTCACGCCGAAATACGGCGGAGGCGCAGCAGAACAAATATCTTATTAACGCAGTTAGGTTGTATCTCTTACACATTGCGTATGCTCAATGGCGCTGTTATTAGGTTCTAATGGCGAAATAGGCGTCTTCGAAGTGTCGAATATCATGGTTGTTTATGCATTAGGAAGCAGCACTGTGTTACCAGCTTGGACCTCGTGCCAGCACTCTCACTAATTAGCAGTCTGACGATGTTTTCGGTTGACCCAAGGAAGCGTTGACGACTGTTGGCGTTGTTTCCGATGGTAGAGATTATCGACGGGCCAAGATTCAGAGCGGGCGAAAATATCAGTGCGCAGAACTCTTCCGTTTCCCAACGAGGTTGCTTGGGGGGCATGTAGTCGTAAGTGAAGCTTACGCGATGTGCAAATTTGGGGAAGAATGAAACCGAGTTTCCCAGGCCATAAACATACCCTTTGTTGCTGCGAAAGGTACCGGCGACCTCGTTGGCGCCGTAACCAACAAGAACCGCAGTCAACGACGAAAGCCTGCCGTGTACCACAATTGCTGGAGGTGCTTCTGCAAGGTACGTACTCTCCGGTGTTGTGCACATGTGGCCACCAAACATGTTGCGCATGCGTTCAAATCCCGAATAACCATGACGTCGAGAAGATAGGCTCTTTGAACCCGAAGTGGAATCAACCATGACTGGTTGATCTACTACGTCCTCCTTCTTCTTTGCATACGTGGAAAACGGCGCTGTAAAAGCGCAAAACAACAGCAGATAATGCAGATATTTCCGGCAGAGCTTCATGATTCCTGAAGTTCCTTGGGTTTTTGTAAATGCGTGTGCCGAAAGTTGAAATGCGGTAGGCTGCTGAGACGACCAAATACTGATGGCTTATTTCAAGATTTGAATGCGAAACATGTCTTCAATACGGCCGATCATTAAACAGGTTTACGCGTCTCGTTATGCCCTGTTCAAAGCCATACAGCTTTAAAAATTTTACAGACGGATGCTCGCTTGTCCTGCAGTGACGGCGGAATCACCGAGATAAAGCTACGTGCCAACAAAAATTGCGGCACAACTGTAAGCCTTAAGATAAGGCCTTATAAGTGTAGTGAGCTCAGATTCGCTGTGAAATAATGTGATCATGATAATCACGTCGAGATGAATCGCAAGCCATTTAAAGATCAAATTTTCGTCGGATACCCCGACATACGCTTCATCATTTCACACCCATGTTGAGTATCAACAACTGCAATCATCGCGGCCCTGGATGAAGTGACAGCGCAATAGCTCGAAAAGGCTACACATCGCTCCGAGGTACAAGAGCGACTAACACGTTGAACTGAGCGTGGTGCCGTTGGAACCTAGCATTAGCTTATCAAACATTAGAACTATACAATGGATCGGACAGCATTTACATGTTCAATTTTTAGCAAATCATTCATCTCTCCGGCCCCACACATACGAGACGGAATTACTGCTTCGCATACGCGAAACTGAAACGCCGTGCGGCAGGTGGTTTCGGAAACGAAAGGTGTACCTTTTACGCCTAGATCTGGAGGCAGGTTGGTGTAACTGCGCAACACCGCCAGCAGGACGCTTGACTCTCGTTACTTTTCGCGGCGACCTTCCTAATAAAATCATGACCTATGGGACCTTATCGCCTTGCGATGGTGGCTATTGCTTTTAAGTGGATCGTAGAGACATCCGTGTCGTCATTTTTCGGAAAGGCGACATCAAAGGGGCTTAAGCTAGGAGCAGTGTGTAGCAATGCCAATCGATATTTCAGTTACGGAGCGATGGCGGCAGAACTTCCTAAAGATTTCAAGCATCACTTCAGATTTGCGGAGTACAACCGCATAGACCGCATCAGATTGCTGGAGGCGACCGACGGGAAATACGGTCACCTCTTCGGCGATAATCTGATGCAAAATTCGGACTTCCAAATGCACATGTACCTCAACACCACCAAGACGCTCGCTGCAGACGCGAACGTTGAGCCCAAGGTCACAGAAGTCCGCACGGACGGCTTCGACGATGCCATCTGCTTCGGCCAACGCCGTAACTACGTCGCCGAATTCATATACATAATCGACGTTGGTGCCCTGTGCTGCGGACACAAGGGGATATGGCACGGAGGGGTGACTAGCGCCCTGTTCGATAATGCGTTCGGAATTTTAGGGTGCTCAATCCTGCCCTTGGCGGTCACCAAGTACCTCAACATACGGTTCAAGGCGCCAGTCATGGTCGGTGACACCGTTGCGCTGGTGGTCTCATTCGACCCAGAGCAGTTCGAGGGCGAAAAGATGGACCGTTTCGTAGCGCACGGGAAAATGTACAACCAAAATGGCGTCGTAGTTGCAACGGGCGAATCCGAACTCGTGGACGTATCGGCAAAATGGGCAAAGAAACAGAAGACTGGCCAAAACGGAGAGTAAAAACCGGAATGTAACGTGATTCGGCTGTCCGCAAAGCCGAAGATCGAGTACCAAATTGGTTGTACGAAGGACTGACAGTCAAGCCGGAAGACTGACAGCCAATTACAGAATCGCGTTTTCACCTTTGGGCCTCGAAACATGAGGCGTTGTTTTTGCATGAAATCAAATTAACAATTTGAAACAGATGCATAATTAATGTTAAAGTATAAATTATCTTTGGTTTTCACGTAGCAGCGCCACAACCGCAAACGGGTTACGCTCAACATTTGGATATATAATGATATCCCATAAGGCGTCCAAAGCAAGCGGTATTGTGGCTGCAGATTATATATGAGGCGGCATCGGTGGGACATCTTGAGAGCTACGGCAAATAAATGGTTCGTAGTCATCTAGGTGCCTACAACCATGACAAATTGGTAGCAAACCTTGATCCCTCCCGCAGACCTAAGGTGGAGATTAGCGTTCGTGTGGTGATATTCCGAGCTGCGCTTAAATTGTCCCATCATATTTATCTTTACAACCTAGAAGTGAGTATTGACACGGCGCTGCGCATATTGCGAATGGCATTAAATGTTTAAGAAAAAATATTCACTTCTCTTGGCTGCTGATATCCCAATTGAAGGTGAGTTGGTGACCGTACGTTGCTCACAACTGCTCATGGCCTTATTACAATACACGGGTTTCTTATAGTAACCGGTATATTTAACCGATCATTACACATGCTGTGAGTAACAGCAACAAAAAAGCAGTATCCTGCGTAAAAATTTTCATGGAAGCACAGAAGACGCCAATAACAATGCGACGTCAGCTCTTCATAGAGTGAAGGATGGGACTTTGTATGGTAACCACTTTCATGACGCTATCCACGACGGTCATGAGTCAATGAACGATTTAATGTAAATCTTTATCCAAATGGAGTTCACACCATGGCCAAAGGATTGGAATAACCTTCAGATGCCTTCCGCATAAAAGGTAGCATGTGCAAATCCTATGAATTGATAGGCGTGGTCAGTCCCTCAGAAACCTGGATATACGAGTCACCAACACCGCTTACAGTCTCAATATAACGGGCAGAAAAAATGGACGATCAGCTGCCCGTGGATTGTTTTGACATAGTTTCTGTCTCATTTTCAAGCCCAATGGCGACTGACAGCGCAAGCTGTGTTTCCAACTGACGCAAAACGTTCACAGCCCGCCTTAAGGTAAACTGAGCCATCTTATGGTCACCATAAAATTTACCAGTGTGCCTCATCAAAAGGGATTCGACCTTGCACCTCAACTCAGAAACGTTTAACCCCATCTCATCAATTTCGGATTCTAAGACGGCCAAACTGCCAGGGTCCACGTCCGGTGCACCTTCAGTGTTTATTGCATCCCCGTCACCTGGTGCCACATCGTAGACGCATACGCCTTCGGAATACGCATCAAACACTGGGTCATACGGTAATTTAGTCCGATCATTGTCGGAGGAAACACGAGAAGGGCCGGCGGTGGATCCTTGGCTGATGCCCCCGTAACGAGATTGGTTGCCAGCCGATGGTGGCACAGATGCATCCTTAGACTCCTTGGACGGGAGTACAGATGTTAAATCCGCAAGAGTGTCCCATCCAGAGGACTCCAAATCACCAAGGCGATGGGAAGATTTTTCGGAGGGTAAAACGACATCGTCGGATTTCGACTTTACAAGCGATGCATACCTTGGCCGCCACGGGGCACCGCCTTTTACAATGGTCCTTGGGTACCTTTGCACCGAGTCCATCATATCTCCGAAGTCAAAGCTGCTGCCCTGTGGTTTCTCGTGTTGTGGCACGGTATCACCATTTGCTGCCTCATTAACAGACTCTCCGGAAAAACGCGCATCAGGCTGCGGAATGTGAACCTTGAGCGGTTTGAAGTTGCGCCTCCGTGCACGCAACGGAATCAAGTTTCTTTCTGATGGAGTAGGTACGTCCGTCTTGTGCTCAACAGTTGCTGCCGAGACTGCAGATTCGGCGGGTGCACTGGCGGCGACAACGCTTGGAACACCAACGGCAGGTTGTGGCATAAGCCGACCCTCGTAATCGCTACCATTTTCCGAGAACTGACAGAAAGAAGGTGTAGAGTCAGAGTGTGAAAACCAATAGCCCTCATCCATGTACAAGTCGCTGCCGGCGTCCAGTACCTCAACGCTGTCTATAACATCGTCGGACGACGAAACTGGCGATTTACAGTTCTCCTCATCTATGTTAACATCTGGTAAATGAGGGTGTTCACCCAATGTAAAATTAGTCTCAGATTGCGCGGCATTAGACAAGGAATGTTCGGCAGATTCGCCTGACCTGGTCCAACCGTCGTAGCCGCGGTAAAGCAAACCAGCCGTTACCATCGCGGCGGCTGCAGCCACCGAGAGACAAATGCGCCCAAAAATCATGGCGATATTCGAAGCTAATGTGTTATGGTCAACCACAGAAGATGGTCAGAATAGCTATGGGGGCCGCTGCGGGAAAATCTAGCCATATTCCTCGCTGAAACAAGCGTAATCGTCGACGAAATTCTGTTCTTGCTCCTACAGCGCGTCAAATTATACAAAAAATAACACACCTCTGGCGAACTGCTGCGGCGGCGTTTGCGCAGCTTGGTCCCGAAGCTCGTAAGGTCGCTCTCAGGAATACGATGGCCGCGTTTCAACGCGTCACCGAATTCGGGACCAAACTTGCGATGTGACCACAGCGGGGTGTATTCTGCCATGAGCCTCGGAAACTTGCGCCGATCACCACGTAAAACGTAGTCGTGCACCTCATCCTCAACCACCATTTGGGAGAGAGTGTGCACGCTACCCTCGTAACGCATCTCAGTCATTAGGCGGTGGTAACCCTCAGCCATCTCCTCAACTGAAGTGTATTCCCGAAATGCCTTCGGATCCGGGTAGTAACCCACAAGACACAAAACAACGGTCTTGCCCGAACCACGATAGCGACTGCGACCGCCTGATACAGCTGACATGTCCGGCACGTAGTTCAGGTAATAGTCAATCACATCTGGGTTTCGCGCAGGATCGTCCCTGTAAAGAGTAAGCGCCATCATGGAATTGTATGGTGCCCGAAAATAGTAAAATCCGCTGGCAGGGTCACAACGTAGCACAATTGTCAATGTATCACGTACCTCTGTTCTTTCATTAACCTGCGTGCCAACAATATGGCTGTGTCAACGGCGGTTGTGTAGGCGCTGGAATCATTGTCGATCATGTTGTCGTAACCGAATAGAGCGTTCTGCGAACATGTCACAACAAGCCGAAAAAGGGTGTATAGGTCACTATTGTTTAGCAAACCACGACCAAATAGTTTATTTCACGTAAGAAAATGGTACGGTAACATATGACACCTCACAATTCCCAAAAAACCATTAAAATGTGGAGAACGCAATTTTACACAAAACCACGGTTGCCAAAATGAGTAGTGCATTCTTGGCGTTTTATAAGTAATGGGTTTACTAAAAATGAATGCCCCTAACGGCACCAAAACCCTTCCAAAGCATGCATTGGTGTGGACTCACCTTAATGGCGCGAATGCGCTCAGCAACCTCTTCATCCGGACTCTCCACGTACTGAGCGTCCAAACGGTCCCATTCGGTGAGAAGTCGGTTTTGTCGTTTCAGAGCTGCAATCGTTCGATCATAGGCTTAATGCAACCCACCTTCACTTGGAAGCTCAAATGGGCGACGCATATAACCGCCGAAGTGGCCCGTGGCAGCCAAAACCATGTCAGGGCTGGGCTCTGGAATGAAACTGGCGCCACGAGCAACGTGCACCGGCATTCTTTCGAAAACATCGTGACGCGTTAGCCAAGGGTAACACAGGTCGGTAGGGTTCTCGATGCGCGTACGCGACCGAAAGGCTGACTCACTAACCGGCAGATAACTGTACATAGGACGGCTCCAGGAACCCCATTGGCGTGCCTCCAAATCCAAATCGGTCTCATCTGCACTCACATGTATATCGTGATTGTGTAAACCATGACAATGACGACGGCTATCAACATAAACACGATCAAGACAGTGAATATGGAGCTGTGCAAACCCAGCGTTGCACACCGATGCGAGCCCCAATTACAGCCATCATGTTCGTCCTCTGTGTGGGAAGCCATGTTGATAAAAAAAAATCCAACCGGTTTATGAAAACAACCAGAGATGTGTAAGAAGAAAATTACTGCTGCTTGTGCTGCAGCAACACAAAAAACGCACCCAATGCCACATCTTGATTCGCGTCTGGACTGATGGTGAACGACACGGCTCCCATCATTGTACGTTCGCGCCAACGAACTCCATGATCATCGTAGTATGGCAACCTCTCCGTTCGCTGACGGTCGCTTCCGCCTTCCAGACGCAGCCCCTTCCCGGTGTAGTTATCGCCGCCGCCCTCCAAAACGCCTTCAAAATTTTACAATTTAGCAATTTAGCTCACCTGCCGGCTGATGAGGGTCCATCGAATGGTCCTGGTACGCCCATTCGTTTTTTAGAAAACGATAACTCGCATTCTGCTCCTTCGAAAAAGAGTCCACTATGGACTGCTCGTAGTCCCACTGTTGTCTTTTAATAGGGAAGCTCACATAAACGTACTGGTGAGGAGTTCAGCGGATCGGTGGCCAATTTATTCAATTGCAGGGCCAGTCGAGAACCCTTCGGCGGAGCATTGTGTCTACAAGTGTATTATAAGCATAGACAGCGCCGCATACCTGCGGAATGCACGCTTATAACGGCCTAAGCATCCACCGAGAGCACTGCTGGACGAAAGGGCACGTAAGCCAAAAGCAGATGCCCACGATATTTCACCAATAGACCGTATAATTAAGGATAAAAATAGAAGCCAACGCTTTGGCAGGAACAACATTAATCGAGTGAGTTCAGGTCGCGACGGAAGCACAATGTACGTCGTTGAAAAACACCATAAGCGTGAGACTTCTGCTACACACTAGATACACATGAGACATTCACATCAAAAGCGAGCTTCCGTACTCGTCGCACGTGTTGAGGAACTTCACACTGTCAGTGGAGCTGCAGACAGAACCGTAGTCGAGCGAAGAAGGCAACACCCCTATGACACCGTACTGCCGCAAATCAATGGCGCAAGATTTCTCAGCAACCTTCCAATTTCCATCCTTGTGCAACAACACTGTCACCTTAGGAGGAGGTGACAGCGTGGAGGCCTCTAAAAAATACACGACACCGCGAACAGCCACCGTAAGCTTCAGAAACTTAGTCCATGCCTCGTAAAACGGTTTACGGTCACTGGCATATTGGCTCCGCATGGCATTCTGGACGTTCGTGGCAACGACCTCGCAACCGTCGCCATTCTCGTAGTGGTATGGTGCGAACTCAGTCGTCGGCTTGATGTAGGCCAACACGCCGTCCAGAACTCGAAGTGGCTCCTTGGTAAATTTAATCTTCATGGAGCCATTGTTGTCCAAAGAGTATACCAAGTAGGCGCCACCGCCAAGGGGAACCGCTGACGACGGCACCCTAGGAATCTCGCCTACACACTCGGCCTCAGAACACGGAGGAACTGCCGCAACGGCGCCACTGAGTGTGATACGACGATGGCCTGATTTTAGCTTGCATTCCTTCAGTGGCCGTTTGTTAACCTGTGATAATGCACCTCGGCTCGGAGTCCCTTCCTCGACCACGGAAACGTCTTCAGTGGTTGCATCTTCCACAGGCTCCGTCGGCGCTTCTACTATTTCTAAATCTCCAGCTGCAGCGGTACATGGTCCCTTTCTCTGAGAATAGTCTTCCGGAGCGACAGTGTTGCCGGAACAACACGCACAGCACAAGTCGAAAATACCCATCCTAAAATGCTAATCTAGCGCATTTACCACACACATTAGCCACCGCGGCTACGGATTATGCAACGACGCCTACGACGCAACCCTAGCGCAGAATGCCAACGGGATACTAAATTACGCTCCTCCTTGCCCCGTTACCAATAGCACACATGATTCCAGGACAGAACATCAGGGGATCGCAACGCATGATAACATGTGACAACAGCTGTATCAAATACACATATCAGCATAGAAACGGTGCATTGATGCTACGCTTCCATAATCTCGCAAAAAACACTTACACATAGCAGGGATGTCGTGCTTCCCAGAAGGTCAAAATCCGAATCGATGGAATCCCGCAAATATACACACGCATTTCACACAATAAAATACGTATGTTGCAACAAAGGTGTTTTGTGCACAACTGTATCACTGAATGCAGACGTATCTACGACCTCTCGTTTGTAACGACGATGTGTAGCCAGCTAAGGCTGAAATATCACTTGTGTTTCCTGCCACAGCCGTCATCAATAATTTTGCCTTTTACTCACTGGTTGGTGCCGTAATTCAGCTGGGAGTATAGTACAGGGTCGTCGCGCTGGAGACGAGCTATCATATGGATGGTATGGCCGCTCTTACCTCAAAAGATGTCAGAAACTTATAGAGAAACGACACGAGAGTTACTCCGAGAGCCACCATTAACCTGATGAAATATGTCACATAGCTTGCTTGCGGGTCTCGAGGCAATGCCTTCCGACACACGGCCACAAACGTACCATAGCGTGATGTGAAACTGGATTACCTTCGGTGGATGCGAATTAATGGCATCCACTGGTGGGACTACCAGAACTCCCGGACCCTGAGAAAGCTTCGGTTGTTATCAAAGGGGCACGCGATAAGCGCGACCGCGGTGACGCAACACACCTCAGGAGATGCCATTCCAAAAAAGAAGAGTGAAGTCCAGTGTTAGTCGGAATGATGGGTTCTGGCAATGAAAACGGTTAATGACGCCCCGCAGTGACCCCGCGCGCGGCACAGGCAGGCACACTATACCTAAAAGGTGTTCAACCAATCATCGGGCAGCTGAATTGGCATCGTGTTGTGTCATGTATGCACGGCATCCACTGCCCAGTTGTTTGTCTATCCATGTGTATAGCTTCCAGCAATGTCACGCTGCATGCCCCTAGGTTGGACAGCATCTAATACCCACCGGATTCATACGCTTTAATGAATCGCCCAAAACAACAGGAATTGGTTACAGGTCGCACCAATGAGCAGCACCCTAATGCTTTGCAAGTTGCTTGAATTCTCAGCGTGACAAATATCGCAAAATACTGTTCCAGCACGCGAATACAGATTTGTTCGACACCACTCAAAGCACACTTAATTTTACAAATCGCGTTTCATATAATACTCGGTACACAAAAGTGTGATGAAACCATATGAACAATGCGTCTTGGTCAAACTTCATATTAGCTTTTTTGTAGTTGATGGACAACACAACCCACAAGCACACCACCACTCCGGTTGGTACCCATTTCAAAGGCTTTATTGCTGCTTTGTCAGCTGTTAGGGTACAAATTGGAGAGCGGATAATAGGATTTCTACATCAGTGGAACCCATGTTTTACGCATGGTAACCATTCATCCGACAGAGTCGCCTCAGCCACGGGGACTGTTGATTACGACACATCAACCCCCACGCGATGCCACAAGCTGCAGATTTTATAACGGAGGAAACTATTGCTTACCAGCTCCATTTCGCTGTAGTCGGCGCGGTAAAATGCTAAATCCGCCTCGGCTTCCTTCAGCAGCTGGGCATGGTGACGCAATAGCATGCAAGCGTACGCACCTCAAACAAAAGCTGGCGACGTGATGACGGGTCGGAGTACGCGACTTTCTTGTTGTACAGTAAATCCTTCTCTTTGACACTTTATGATGAATGCAAAGCAGCAACCCACCTATATTTGCATGGCCCTTCTCAGAAGGAGCACTGTGCATCATCTTCTTATACAGTCGCTCGTAGTCGACCAGAGGCTGTGCCACAGTTAGTCCGCAAGAGAGTAACGTACCTTGGGTGCGATTATGACGACAGGCGTCCTTATGTCGGAAGGTGCGGCGCCGTCACCTGCTCAAAGAATCAAGGGAGGAGGGCACCAAACCCACCGGTTGCGACGTCGAGCTTGCCGTTTTGCTCATCTTTCGGGTACTCTGAGAAGTCTAAGCCGATTGTCAAGAAGGTCAAAATACCTATGTTTAGATGGATGCCACCCGGGTCGGAGGCCGCGGTAGCCGTGGCGACGGTAAGGAAGGCTCCTATTAACGTTGCTACAATTTTAAAATACCACATTGAAGTGAGAAGGTTGTGTGAATCCGTTTGGATTGACATACGTCGTGTGTACGTGTGTGTGTGTAACCACGTTACAACAAAATCGACATCAGTGTGTCTAACACACCATTGACGCCCTCACCACGCATACACCAGCGCAAATATGACAACGGGCAGACTCGGAATCCATGCTTACGCAGATAATATACGGTGGCGTAGACGCTAGCGTGGGCTCCGGTTCCCGGCGGGGACCACGGCTCACCAGCCGACGCAGATTCTCCCCCCAAACTCACAAAGTCGGACGGATATAGAGGTAAAACGGCAACATTTTCTTTCTTCAGCACGGCTACCACCGGAAGTATGCCGATATTGCACCTAACGTCGACATCCTCACCCAAGTAAGATTCCAAATCCGCGCTAAGCACCCAAGGGGCTCTAGACACGTCGCTAGTAGAGATGTGCGACTCGATCACCTCTAGCAGTGTGGTGCCATTATCACTGGCAAGATCCTCCAATCGTTGCTCAATACCGCTTGCAGAATCCACGAGCGCCTTAGATGCCAACAAAACCAGGTCGCATAACGATTTGGGGGAAAGTCTGCATCTATCCGCGAATGCAAGCGTATCGAATATTCCTGTTGTTATAACGGGAGGTATGCGTAGTAAGAGTATCATGAACGCGCTAAGCGCCTTGTCAGAATGCTCCGTATTTTCCGTCGGCACTCCAGTTTGGTCCTTACGGTCGATGGTGTTTTCCTCTGGTTCCCGGCTGACATGGTTCTCACTTTCGTTACCATGCACTACATTTTCATTGGTGCTGCTACATTTTTGTTCTTTGCGTGAAGTAATGGCATCAGACTCATAAAACCGATGCGGGAACTCCGCACGTCCGGGGACGCCGTCAGCATGCAGAATCATATCGCGCAAATTGCTGTACACTTTCCGCAAGAACTGCTGCGATTCAAACTGCCCCTTTGTTACGTATTCTAGCACCCTCATATGGTCCCAAAATGTTCCCAGACCTTCGTATTCGTAGTACAGTTCCGACACCTTCTGTTGTGATGCGGCGTTCGGCGCAAGCAGATGCACCACCTTAAAAAAACTCTCCGAAGAAAGCGTCTCTATGTTGATTATTTCTATCACATTGCGTGGCATTGGGACACCCAGACTATCTAAATTCGAACAAAAGAGTGACAAATCAACGTTGGGGCCCTCCGTATTCAGTATGCCCGTGCCGGAGTCTTCAGCCTCGTTGCCAAGGTGACGTTGGAAAAGCGCCTGCACATCCGGGGTACTATATTCCAACGTTGCATATGCAAACGACAGTATGGCAAGCTCGTTAAGGGTAATCCCGGGAAGTGCCTTAAACCTATCCGTGGCATGCTTGAGCAGCGCATCGTTGCGATAACTGCAGAGCGCATACGACGTCAATATGGTTCGCAGATCGTGCTCACTAAACCCGTCACTTTTACAAATGAAACTAGCAAGAGATTCCAAAAGGTGACCATCCTTAATACCCAGACGGGAAAACGACACCAACAACCGCACTACGCCGTATGGTAGAGCCTCGGCAAGACGAAGGTTGAACATGACACTGATTTTAGAAAACAGCAATGTCGCCCCCTCCATCAGGTGGTTGTTGGTGGCTGCGAAGTCGCAAACGAACTCGGCCAACTGGCTGAGCTCGTCGCACGTGTACGCGCTGCTCTGGACAGCAATATACAGAATCGATTGATGGACCCACCACTTCATGACTTCGAATAATAAGCTGGTTTATGAAATCGGCATCTTCCGCTCTCACGACATGGTCGTAATTGCGGTAGAAGGCGCATATCGCCTTCCAAACCCGCAACGTGTCCTTGCCATCGAAGGAATCTACCTTCAGTGAACAGCACTCGACGAAGGTTCTCCAAAGATGTATGTCGCTGTTACTGTATCTAGACACATCTAGAGCTATTTTGCCTGTAGGTGAATGTGATAGGTATTTTAGGAACGCAGTAGACAGCAGCTACATTAAAAAATAACACACCTAGTTGCTTCGCAGGGAGCGATTTCAGCTCAGATAGGTCGTTCCTGTTGAACGAGAGCGACGTCAATTGCCTGAACTTCACGCGAAAGGCAGAAATAAGCAACCTTCCCTGGCAACGATGCCACATTGGTTCATTGTGCAACGACCGCGCTATGGCAGGGGCACGAAGGGTGTGACAGGTGAAGCAGCGGTGAACAAATCATATGTCCCTGCAAATAACGTACATAGGGTGTGTATTATTGATGCTTTGCGCACGCACATGCTTTCCATTCCGGATAGTAACTAGGGGCACAGCTCTCAAGGGGTTGAATCCGCGACACAGACACGGCGGCGTTAAAATGGCGGACAATAATGACGCGTCGTCACATCTTCGTGAATGGATCATGCCTGAGAAGAATGGTAAACATCTGGCAGGGCTTATAGTGCGTAATTCGCTGGCGGCGGATTCCAAGGTCGAGTTCGTTCCCGAGGTGAGTCCAGCGTGATGACCGCGACACCCTGAGCAGAAAGGAAGACGCATCAACTGGTACTGCTGCGGTCCGACAGTCTACGATACGGCACATCTCGGACACGCGAGAACATACGTCGCGTGCGATACAATCAGGAGCATCCTTGAACGGTACTTCAACTACGACGTTCACCTCGTGATCAACGTAACCGACATCGATGACAAAATCATACAACGCGCAAATGCAGAGGTGGGTTTGCGAGTAACTTAGAGAATAAGGCGTGCGCGCAGAAATGCGAATTTAAAGAGTTGGCAAGCAGATGGGAACACGAATTCTGGGAAGACATGGCGAAGCTCGGGGTGGAACCGCCGAACGTCATCACCAGGGTCAGCGAATTCCTGCCAGAAATCATAGACTACATTGAAACAATTATCAAAAACGGTTACGCCTACGAATCCGAAGGTAGCGTATACTTCGACATCGAGGCCTTCAGAACGAACAAAGCACACGTATATGCAAAATTGGAACCCACCAGCTTCAATGACCTAGGCCGCATTGCGGACGGTGAAGGTGCTCTTGGGGAGACGTCAATGCATAAGAAGTCTCCCCATGATTTCGCTCTCTGGAAAAAGGCGAAACCGGACGAACCGTTCTGGCCAAGTCCCTGGGGAAACGGCAGGCCGGGCTGGCACATAGAGTGCAGTGCTATGTGCTCCACCGTCTTCGGAAAAGACTCCATCGTAGATATACACTCAGGTGGAGTTGATCTCAAGTTCCCCCACCACGACAACGAAATTGCGCAATCGGAGGCATTCAGCGACCGCAACCGCTGGGTCAACTACTTCATACATTTCGGCCATCTGCATATACAAGGACTGAAAATGAGCAAAAGTCTCAAGAATTTCATATCCATAAAGGAGCTACTCAATAGGTATAACCGGAGGCAGCTCCGTATACTTTTCCTTACATCGCGATACGATGGAACGCTCAACTACAACCCCGGGCCGCAGGGCATGGCGGAGGCGGTTGCTATCGACGAAACGCTCTTCAACTTCTTCTCGCTGCTAAATTCGAGGCTCGACAAGAGAGCAAACACGCAAAAATTGGGAGAGCACGACTGCAAATTGGCTGCAGAATTCGACACGTTGAAGGATACGGTCGGTTGACGCAAATTCGTATTTATCAATATGCGTACAGATACACGAAGCTTTCTTGAATAATTTCGACACCCCGAAGGTATTAAAGGCGATATGCGGCTTCATAGGTAGCCTGAACTCGTACCTTTCGACACCAAACGCTTCTCTTAAACATGCACAAGGAATCAGTTTCAAAAATTACCTCTACAAAATTCTGGAGGTAAGCGTATTAAACTCATGCATTTCAAAAACAATGAAGGTGTTGAAAATAGTGGAGCCTGGCCACGAATATGGTGTTGAAAAATCAAGCGAAGGCACGACTTCGGGGCCTTTACTGGACCACCTGGTGAACCTGAGGGCTAAGGTAGGCACTATCGGGGCCGTATTTACCATACGCAGACGCGCCTCTTTGCGCAAGAATGCATGAAAACTAAACAAGTGGATGTCAGCAAAACCGTCGAACTTCTGAAAAGTTGTGACAAAGTTCGGGACGAGCAATTGCCGGAACTAGGAATCCTGCTCGAGGATCGGGACGACGGAGACTGTGTAGTGAAGTTTAAATCCAAGTGAGTTCATTCGGCGTTACTGTTTAAGCAACACCAGGGACGAACAGCTGAAAGACAACCAACGAAAGGAGGAGTTGAAACAGCAGCGTATTCAGCAGGAGGTAAACCCGCCGTGAAAGGTGTCAAAGTGTTTTGCAGAAACAACAAGAAGAATTGCTGAATACACACCCGTCTGAATTCATTGCGCGCAAGTTCCCTGGGAAGTTCAGCAAGTTCGACGATCAGTACCTGCCTACACACTTGGCCGATGGCAACCCTGTTTCAAAATCTGAAAGGCAGTCGCTTTCAAAGGTACGAAGACATTACGGCACCTTATATGATTTCAGGTGCTCGACAAACACACGAAGCAGTATTTGAAACGGCAGGAAAACTCAAAGTAGACACTGCGTGCCTAACTGTGCTGTCGTACCTATACGATAGCGACGCGTAGCCCAACGATTATGTCACATGAATTTATGCATAGTCAATAAATGCGTGTTTCTGTTATAGTTGCCCGATGTTAGTAAATCTCTGTTTCAACCGCTGAAGGATAATGACTCTCCGGCTTCCGTGCTGTGAGGGACCACGTACATCGGTGATATCGCACAAACAGTAACTCTGTTTACATATATAGGTCAGAGAAAGATAGAAGATGGCGGAACGCAAGGTTCTAAACAAATATATCCCACCTGACTTCGATCCAGCGGCGCTCCACGCGAACCGTGATATGCTCCGCAACGATGGATACGGCCGTGGCAAGACAACCTTCGCGCGACGCATCAAAGGAGGTATGAGCGCGCATATGCTCGACATACGTATGATGTTCCCATTCACATTCCGTTGTGAAAGTTGCAGAAATTTCACATACATCGGAACGAAAATGAATTCCAAGGTCATGCGACTCAAGGACGATACGTATTTGGGAATCGAAAAGCATCGATTCTTCGCCAAATGCCCCCACTGCAGTCATCAAATCATTTTCAAAACTGATCCGCAACACAGCGATTATCTGCTTGAGTCTGGTGGCACACGTACGTATGACGCAAATAGAGATGCGGAGTTGGCAGCAGAGGCTGTGTCCAAGGAAGAGGTACGTTACGTGTTGTGGTCTGCCCATATAATTACAATGTGCCAAAAGATGTTGATATGTTATTGAATACCATTTTACATCAAAGGAGCTCTTCATGTGTCATGCACTTTTTACTCAGCTTGTTGTATTTAAATTCGGCATTTTAGAACTGCCATTTCTGCGTTCGCATATGTTGTACATCTTTCACTCACGAAACGTGAAACTTTACCCATTGATTTTCAGGACGAAATCGCCGAGAAGCGAGATAAGACCGAAAAAATGATGGAAAAGGCTGACCACGCATATGCTGAATATGAGGAACTGGAACGGTTAACCGCACTAAAGCGAAGATCGGGCAGGATGCGCGACCGAGAAAACGCAGCAGAACTTAGTTTACAACGCATACAAAAGGAAAAGGAAATTCAATTCGTACCCTCTCTAGATGATGAGGATGTGGCCCTTTTTCGCAAACAACAGGAAGAAATATTTCTCAACTGTTCCGAGGAAAACGGTAGTGATATGTTCGCCTCGTCAACAACATATGATAATACCACATCGCAATCGGAATACGTCGAAGAAATTGTTGATGACGTGGATGAAACTGCTTTTGAAGGTGGAAAGCAGGAATTGTCTAGTGAAAATAAACTGGATAGAAGGCTGTGTAATTCAGCTGCTGTTGTTCAACAAGTTTTTCCGATCGTTAGCGTAAAAAAGCGTTGCAATACCATTGTAAACCCATTTGAAGCCTATGACAGTGATTAGTATTTTTCAATCGTTTAAACTACAACGGATACTTGTTTGTCTTTCTATGACTTTATTTAGTGCGTTATGCGGCTACGCTTGTCCCGTGTCTGTTTTCGTGTTTACCGGGATAGCGCCTCACTCGATTGGCGCCAGTAGTGGGATGCACGTCCTGTTGGAAGACGTGTTTCGGATCACTTCCATAGGACCATACATTTCCGTTCGGCGCCTCTTTACGGGACACGCCAAACAACGATTCATAAGGCTATATACGCATGACCCACCCAAAGTAAGAGCGGCATCATGGCTACCCTTTTAGGGTGCGACAATACCAGCTGTCCCCAATGGACTACCTACGATCAACGGATGCGTCGTAAAGTGATGTAAGGTATAGGCATTATTGCGACCAGCAGTAGACAGACGCCTTGGATGCAAGCAACCGGTACGCCACCGAGCTGCGCCAAGGCAGCACTAACGTAATTATAGAGACGCTGCGAACTGTGTTTTGCCCTCATTCTACGACAGCAGCTTGGTAGATGTATATTGCATATAAAACTTGTTTTAATTACACTTCATAAATTACATAAGTTTCGTGATAGTTCGTTGATGGCTACTGACTGGTGAACTGGAGTCGGAATTTTTGTTTCCAACTGCTTATACAGCTCCTGCGATCCCTACTCAATAGTAACCCCAGAAGCCAGCGATGTCGTAGATTGTGTACAATACACGGCCATCCAAACCGCTCAGAGCGTTGCGGACGTCTGAAGGACCAATATTTGCGCGGTACTCTGGCTCCTTGTAACCCACGGCTTTCAACACCTTTCTCAGATGCTTCTCATGACTAAAAGGCGTCCACGTCATGAGTCCGGGAGTGCTCGCATTCCACAAAGATTGTAGGCCGGCGTACAAAATTGGCGCCGTCCCTATGAGTACCTTTGCGCAACCTTCCGGGTATTTCGAACATGATGCATCCCACGTTGCATTTTCACTGTAGGTAGACACGTATGTGTCGGGGTTTTTGACATGTTCCAGGAAGTTTTCACAACCATCCACAATTTTACGCACGTACGTTGTGACGTCTTCAGGTTTGAGACCTCTGGTCTCTACGATGTTGTGACAATCGCTTTTGTGGCCACGCTCCAAGGCCCTGGCGATGTGTTCGGGGTCTTTTGTCATACGCGTATCGTATCGTTGCAGCAGATCTCCTACGAGCCACTGATCCTTAATCTCATCTTGCTCCAGGAACCTCTTTGTGATGCGTTTCATATTGTCGATCGACGGCAACAACTTGAAGCCAACAGGGAGTTCTGACAGCACCTTATGAACTGCTTCGCCCAAAGCATCTACAGAATCAGTTCCCTTAATGGCCATCAACCAGTCAATGGCATCTTTGAGGTTGTGAGGAGCCGTAGTCAGCAAATTGTACACCATTGTGTAAAGATAAGTAAAAATCAGCAGCTGATAAAGACGTGGATATTGTCTATGTACAAACCGATGTGCAAACAACCTGCGTGTATAATCAACAACGTACAACGCCAGCTATGTTTCAAAGGCGGATGAGAACAACGCGATCCCTGCTGCCTTCTGACTCATACGCGCCTAATTGAAATACGCAAAGCTTCCTATACACCAAATATGCGTATGATAAGTGCACGATGTCAACCATGCTGCCATGTCTCAGGCAGCTCCACACGATTAACGTGGCATGCAATACGCTGATCGCGAGTCATTGGTTAGACAAGTGTCAGGCACAAATGGCGCATATTAAAGCAGGCGATGTTAGTTGTATTTCTTGAGACGAGTAAAGGTTTGAAAATTTCCGATAGTTTTGGAGTAGCATATTGCAGTGTACGCCGCTCCGTGATTGTCGAGGTGGAGTGTCCTGACGGCATTCAGCATGACGCCCTCGCTCATTGCATATCCACAATCCACATCAGTTAGTCGCTATCCAGCCGCTTGGTTTTGTTCTGTGGCACTTCTTATGGCATACGTCGATGACCAACTACTTGTCTTTACGGTCTGCTGGTACCATATGATGACGCCGCCAAGGCCCCTCCCCTCGACGTTCCTCGGCAAAGCAGGCAACTGCCAGTCAACACAACAGCTGTTAAACTGCACCCTCGAGCCTCCCACCACTCAGTAGTACCAGTATGATCCCTCGATGTCGAGAACCTCTGACCATTTACCGCTGGCCGAATGAGTTTCAAGTTCTCTGTCTCTGCACTAATTGAATCACGGTGTCCGCGAGTTGCAATATTACATCTGCGCTCAGTATGACCATGAAGAATGTTTAGCTTGTAATGATCGTGTTACCAACCTGGTGGGAGCATTGTGGCCTGATATCGATGCCACTCCCAACGTCCGTTGATCATCTAGCTCTCTCAACTTAAGCATGATATCATTTATACACGTTTTATTTCCGATGTGACCATTCTGTGAGACGGGGACCACTCATTCTGACGCAACGCCTCACACCCCAACCCCAACAAGATCGGGCTCCTCATTGAGCTACGTGCTGCCGAACATGGTATAACCACTTCCAACATATTCATCACCTTAGTGGTGTGTATTTCCCCACTGTGAGGCATTCGTTCGCTTTTCGTTGGCCCATCCCATCAAGCTGTAGGCGGGGTCTGAGAGAGGTCACACCCCTAAGTAGACACCTCGCAAATGTCAATGACTCACAGTAGCTTATTAAACTATATATTGTAGTGCTCTGTGAGTGTACAATGGTCACACGATGTTATCCCTGCATCCATTTCCACAGGTAGTCTACCGTGGCCAAGCACTGACACGGTAGTTTCTTATCTAGTTTGGTGGAGTTGCTGTAATCCGAGACAATGTCCCAGATGGTTGCAGTTGTTGCGTCCTAAGAGCATTGTCGAGGTTATAATATGTAGCCGTAACCACAGTCACTCATATCACACCTTCCTCATTCAGTATACGCGAAAGGCACAGCAAATGTCTGGTGAAACTTAATTATACATCACACTATTAAATGGGCTATACACAGCCCTAGTAATGCCCCAATATGGTGTTAAATTGAAAGCCGCAATTATCACACTCGAATCAGAAACCACGCTGCTACGTGAATACACAAATTAACGGAAACAAGGAAACACGTAGATTAATTTCCACAATTCACCGACAAGTTATCACATCTGAGCTACTCATAACTTTGAGTAATAGTTCCCTATCTGGATGGTGGAGAGAACGATCCCTTTGACGGTGACGCAGCGGCATTGCAATGGCGGCGTCTGGCGCAGCGTCTCCCCAGTCCTCAAGAGAACTATCGAAGCTCACGATGACAAAGTGGTTGGACCGAGAGGACACCAATGACTTGCTGAGATCGCGCGTGTTCTTGACGGTACCTTCAACCGCGACCTGGCTGAAGCAGTTTGGTGGGTCCAGGACGTACGGCGCTGGGCAGTAGAACGCAGCTTCCTTGGCAGCTTGAAGATCTATTTTGCACCCGAACTGAGGTTGTCCGTCAGCGTCGTAAAGTTGGGGCGTCTCAGGCTTGAATAACTCATCCGATGCGTAGGTAACGCCGCAGCCCTGCATGTACGGGTCGGTGGTCTCGGCTTGAACCTGAACCACGTTCCATGTGTATTTTCCCGACCATATTGTAGCCTGACGTATGGAATCTGCAGATGGTTGTGATGTAGTGGGGTCATCAGTGCTGATGGATAACTCCAGTTGTTCTGGCACTTTTCCGCAGACGAATGTCATAGGCACATATTTCTTATGCAGTGGATCTTTGGATATCAACACGCCGTATCTAGGTGATGTGATGATCAAACGTTGATATTCTGGTGCGTACGCCTTGCCGTACACGACTCCAAAGCCACCAGGCGTAGTAACTATTGAATCTCTGTATCGCATACGAAAAAGCTCCGTACCGTGCTTCGTATGGTTGGCACTATAATAGTATACGTCAGAATGCATTGGTATCCATGACGTTTCAGGCTCACAGTTACTGTCATCGTCGTTTTCTCCTTCCTTTAAGGTTGTAGTAGAGGTATCCATTTCACAAGTCATTGACAACACTGTACCCACGTGTAGTTTAATTTCCTTTTTATATGTATGATGTAATATTACAAACGCCGTTGATGTGGGCCTTTCAATTAACAATCCGACCTTACGCCAAGGTAGCGACATATATGCCAGTAACCAGTGGAAGGCGTTTTTACGACGTACCACGTAATTATAATTTTTTCGACAGTCAGACACTAGAATAAGTTTAGACGTCTCGTATCCATGTTTATTGACACATATACAGGCATAGCTGAGAGCGCTAGCGCTGATGAATCCAAAGTAAAACAATTGAAACCTTCTGATGGGATATGGCATAGAATTTTGCAAAGACACAGGAAACGGTGTGATACGATTGGAATACATATCGTATCCTGCAGTTTCACAGTTGTCTGGTAAGAGGTCTTCGTCTGTACCGCAGTAAATACCAGCGTACCGACCTTCCTGCCGAATATGTATTGCGCATTCGTACGTTTCTCCAATACCATTTCCCATCGGTTTGTTTGTGCAATATTTCCCGCTCAATAATTGATCAAACACATTCCGTTGCCCCCTATCACAGCCCACCTTCGCGTACTCATGGGTAAATGCGAAGGATACCTGAACGATGGCGCGTATCTCAGTCGGCAGATTCTCGTTCCTAGATCTCAATGCCCAATTATAAACGAACGAGTTTATTCCCTCTCGTAACGCTAAGGGTTTATCCAGATGGTACTTCAGCTTCACCTCTCCCTGTGAGATTCGAGAAACATTCAGCTCGAGGGCATCTCCTGCAAGGGCTTCGTGGTATGGGATTTCGTCGTAAGCGTTGATGTCACCAGCTGCTATCAGTTGTCGCAGGGTGGTTAAGTCCTTCGGCGCGAATTCAGTTTCAAAAGCATAGAGAGACATCATTTGCGAGAATGAGACGGTATGAGAAACCTCGAAAGACTGCGGATAAACATTCTGTATTGGCAACATTATGGTCAAGGCACTCCCCGGATGAAGTACCACCGAACACCAAGGGCCACGGATGGGACGAACTCTGTTGCGGAAGATGTTGCTGGAAATGTCACAAGAGTACTCAGTTTTAGGGCGGATCTGTATTTTGGCCTTCACCTGACCCGTCTCAGGATTTATGCATCTACATTCGCCACTGAATGGCGGTAGTGCTAAGTCTTTAAAATACTGTGCTACTACCCAGGGTTCATGATGTTCGAATTCCCAATATTTGTGTGCTGAAGGAGCAGTAATAGCGCCTCCATGATTGTTCAGGAGTGATCTCATGCAATCGTCAGGTTCAAGTCTACCTTCGCAAAGGAACCCAATAGGTGCTTTGAGCATAGGATCTGCCAGGCATGAACGAATACCAGTGTTCGGGTCAACGGTCACCTCATTGTCCACAGCAAACAGTGGCGAGGGACGGCTACCGCATCCTTGAAGTGGTAGATGCGTTAGACCCCGGTACAAAATGAGCATGCCCAATCCTGTCCCTATCTTCTTTATTTCCTGAGTTAATGGGTTTGTTAACGTCCAAGGGTGTTTTGGAAAATCGGTGCTATCATTCAGTCGGTCAAGGTGCTGTTGCAATGCATCACTCAAAACCAAATCCCTTGGACCACAGAGGAAGATCAAACGGCGTTCGATAATCGTATATATATCGTCATGTGTCAGGTCGAGATGCAGCGTACTGTGTGATTCACTCGACTCCGTTCGAAACAATGAACGTGGTGCTTCAGTACGCACGACATCCGAAAGAGCAACAGAACAAAACCTGCCATTTTCACAAACGTACGCGTTAATACGCGATTGATCATCTGACTTTGTTTGAGGATGCCAAACATATTCGATGTCGTTCACCTGGTGTGGGCATATCACAGTTGCAATCTTCTCGTAGTCAAGATCCATCTGGCACAAACTACGGCATTGCTGATAAGCGATTCTTCTGGATCTCTGAAATCGCAAAAAAATTTACGACATATGTTGGGTGGCAGCAATAATGCGTAAATTACCCAAAGAGACCTCATGATTCTAACGGAGGTCATGATTATCGATTTTTTGCGTCGTGCTGTAGCTGAAGACTCTACCGCACTTAAAAATTCACTTTAACAAACGTTGAGTTTATGCATAGGTGGAATCACAAAATTCTTACGACTACTAATGGTGACAAGCAATAGGAGTGTAGATTCCATGGCAAGAGATAGCCAGCAGCATACCGAGGAATTTTCCTTTGCGGCTCTAATCGCTCGAATCAATAAATCAAGTGCATATGTTCGATATTCACATACATGATTTCAATGAGGGCAAAAATGTGACGCATAATGTGAAAAAATCTGGACGAGGGGCTTTATCTCAAAGAAATATGGAAACCAAAGGACCGGAAATAATGCTTGCAGCCCGGTGGAAGCACAGGATCACCACCGTGGACATTGGTATTTCGAACCAAGACAAGTTCGTGCCAACATGGACATATAAGATGTGAAAGTGAGAGAACCTGGAGAAGGATCTAAAAGGGATATCATCCAACCATAGAAGAGGCTCAGGGTAATCCAATGCATGTTGAGGCAGATGAAACCCATAGATGACGACGACTACGTGAACGACCTCACGCCCAGACTGGGTGGCTGCTGTCACGGGTGGTGCCTGTAACATTTGGCAACAGGACGGCGTGGATCCCGCAACTTGCCCATGGAATGCGGAGTGAGAAATGCTTGATAACAACCTAAAACTCTACTATCCAAACGTAATCACATACCAGATTAGCGAACGAAGCACGCTGAGAACAGCGTAGATGTCTAGACATGGGCAAAGGCACCAACGCACAAAATTGAATGCTTACGATGTCATACTATCATAGTAGCAGGTGATTCTAATGTTGCAATGGCATCGTCAATGAATGCCTCTGAGAGGTGTGTTGAATCATTTTGGAAAATCTTATCAATGTCATCGGTTGCCTTTCGATCCACTGATACCCTGACGTGCGCTCTGCGATCTAATTCGTTGGATAGTTTCAATCCCGCGCATTTACACAACATTTCCTCGAATTCGTCCACTGTGTTCAAACATTGATCCGGGTCTAAGGCCTTACGTACGCTACGTACGAAAGAAATATGGTCCCGCCCGTCTCTGTATTTCGGCATTTTTGTGGGACGCAGGAGCACTTGCGATATAAGGGGTGATATGCTCCAAGGAAAAACGCTATGATGGACAAACGCTTTGTTATTGAAAGCTTGCGAATTGCCCGCCACTTTGTAGATGTGAGAAGATTGTGCAGGGTCACGTATTTCACTACCGTCATTAGAGTCCAGTTTAGTCAGATCTTCCACCACAAAGTCCCCCTCAATACATTTAAACTTTTGGTTGAATATTCCGCAACCTCTGAACACGTTGTCATAGCTCCATCTGCAAATGTCAGTCGGGGATATGTCCTTAGCAAGCTGCGTAGACGCGATCAAACTAGTATTTACACTGCATTCATCTACTATAACGGTGCCTCCTCCTGTGAAACGTCTTATTATCGTTATTCCCCTCGATTTTGTTTCATTGACATCTCTAACGAACTGGTGAGCTTTACCAGCTAGACCCATAACAACGGCTTTGGTGCCTGAGGAAGTGATATATAAAGACATTTAGGTATATGTACAACTACGCCATCTATGCACGGTCAGTTATATTGGCGAATTCATCATCATAGCTGAAATTTGCTGTGCGGAGTTTTGTACGCCACAGGAGTATGACATACGCACATTTATAATACAAACCAAAACAATTGTATATTACCTGTCCTACTGTGGTTATTTACCAAAAAGAATGCGCAATTTCCGGCCACCGGTGCAACCTTCCTGTAGAGGAACTCCTCAAACAACAGCTGCCGAAGAATGCCAATCCCATCCAATTGAAACACATAGAAGCATCTTTGCTTCTGTTTGGACAGTAATTCTATCCATCGTGCGACACCGGTCATGTCTATAATGTGCTCAGCGGCAAAGCCGACTGCATAACGTGCGACTGTGTGTGGAGCATTCTGATATAAACTGTGTTTTCATTTAACATAAATATGTCTGGGTGAGTATTTACGACTCTGATAAAATGATGGAGCCCTTAACAACACCTATTTACCGAAAGGGCGCCGTAAAATGAGTTCGTCCAACCTGTTGCGGTACACCATGAAGTGCTCCCATCCCGGAGAAAGGTCGATTCCCAGCTGGTGGATGATTTGCGCTTCCGTAAGGAAGTGTGCCCCGCAATTCTTGAGGATGCGATGCGCCTCGTTCCTCACCCCCTTGGTGAGTATCACGAACCTGTACGTGTACTTGTGGTCGCTGTACCTCGGCGAATAGTATACATCTCCAAATGGCGTGGATTTGTACGGGTAGTCCCCCAGATTAGTCGTGCTAATCTCGTAGTTGGAGATGTTCTTGTGCACTTCATACGTTGGCGTTGCAGCAGCCGACAAGCGCCACTCGTCAAGCGTTCGTTGGATTTTAATTTCCCCCGCGTCAACACGTGACCAGAAACTGTAATGCGAGTTGCGACCCCTTTTGTTTTTATGTATTGGGCTGTGTAAGTCCAAAACGTCCGCTTCTCGGTCAGCGTCGCTGGCTTTAGCGTAGCACCCTCGAGCCAGCCGGATATGTTTGGGCAATACGAATGTGCCCTTTCCAGGTTGAATGCAATACCCATCAATGCAATCCTTCGCACTCATAAAGAACGTTTTACCAGAGAATCCATCTTCCTCGATGTCAGAGGCCACGTCAATACCATGTCCTAAGGCCGCCCCTTGTAGACATACCTCCTCTCCCATCATGCCTTACTGACACGGAACTAATTATATCGAAATCCCAGCCGACACGCGAACACCTTGTTGGATTTGGTAATACAACGAGCATATGCTACAAGCGTATCGATTGTGTAGTCCCCTGAGGTCGCTGACATTCACCACTGCTTTTAGGCTTCTGGCATAGCCAGTTCCTGACGTTTGGATGCTTACGTGCAACCACTATCCAATTCGAGGATGCTAACCACCTACTGAACCAGGCCTTGAAGGCCTCCGCTCGCTCGTTAGTGGTAGCTGGCTTTTCACAGCTACCGCCGAGGTGGTCTGAGCGACACGTGTCTACACTCAGGAGGTCACAGGCACATTCCGGCCACCGGATACCAAACTATCGCGTACTTATCGCCTCACACAAGCACCCGAGGGTCGTGAGCAGCGTAGGGTGCGAGGTGTGAGACTTTCGCCTAATGGCACTTTCGCTGAAAGGTGTGTATGCGGAAGTCGCCTGAACTGTGGCGTCAGTACTGATATTGATTGGATGCCAGGCGGCAACAAAAATGTCTTTGCTGCTCAAAATGTACTATGGTCGCCTGATGTGCGGACGTTGACCTTGCACGGGCCGGGGTCAATGGGGACGGGCACGGCTGGTATCCATGTCACAGCTTGTCTGGCGCATTTTTTCGACCCGCGCCACACAAACTCATGACCTCACATCGCACTTCAGTACGGTTTTCCATACCCTCCGCGGTGACTGCCTCGATGGTGTGACGGATACCGTCCTCCCCTGCACCTAGGTGAACTACACACTCGTTTACCTCACCTGCCGCCGCGGAAGCCGCGCCCACGTCCCCTGCCGTGATTTGGACGTCTTCTGCCGAACCCAGGAATGTTTTTTCTTTTAGGAGTGACCTGCATGTCGTTTGGGCTTTAAGGGAGGTGTTCTGACCTTGATTATGCGCTCCTTAAAGACGCAGTCATTTAGCATCAGAGCATTGTTCACCGCATCCTCATTAGCGAATTCGATATAAGCATACCTGCAAAGCAGTTTATAAGCTACACATACTTCGGCGTGGAGCCGAAACGCTGACTAACCCTTTCGGCTTCCCGGTCCACTTGTCTACAATGATGGTGATCCTGTTTATTTGCCCGGATGCTTTAAAGAATTCTTGCAACTCGTGTGGCTTAGCAGCGTAATCCACCTGGGCATACTGACGCCCTAAACTATCACTTACGTTACCGACGTATATCGAGCGACGGTCCACCTCTTCATTTTCCTCCGTTTCCATCGCATCGTCAGCCATTTGGGTTTCAGTCATCCCCTAAACGATATTTGTCAATTTGTCCGTCTGCTGCGGCTTTACCTGTAGCTTCTTTAGCTCGTCCTCCAAGACGGTCACTTCTCCGCCTTTGGCTTCCATTTTTGCGATTGTTGGCGGTTAAATACGTATACGCACTATGACTTTGGAACTAGGAATATTTTGGATGTTTAATCTGGAACAGGAAGGTAGTGCAAGCCGGTAGCCGCCGCATTGCAGCCGAAGCCCCTGCGCGCCTGGTGGGTGTGGGCTGACTTTACTAATCTTCACCTTCTGCTCTTTGGATGCCATGTCGAGAAGTTGGGACCAATTAAAGGTGTTTGGGCAACTTCTTTCGGTTCCCCTGCAACGTCACATTTTGGGTGACGAGGAATCCGCAAAGCTGGCAGCGCTCGTAAACCGAGCACTTCAACTCTTATTCCAGGCTTACAGGTGTGTGAAATGTATCCAAACTTACACATACTATGGCGGCAGAAACATAGGACACGACAACGTATACGTCTCTTTTAACGGTGGCAAGGATTCTGTAGCGGTGCTACATCTCCATCGGCTTGCATCCGCTTTCCAATACTCCGGCGAAGCAGCTGGTATGTAATGTGAGCTGCTCAAGTTCCACCTCATTTGTGTTACTATTGCATGTTAAATGTTTCATGATGTGTAAATTTCACTTATAAGTGTAAGTGGCGTACTATAATTAACCTCGCATTAACATTTCTCCTCTTGGAGGTAACATTCGCAAACCAGTGGCATGGGAATGCAGCGCATTACATTCATATGACGATTTAGTAACGTATTCGTTGGTTTACTGAGTTCTATTGACTTATTCGTGCTGCAGGTCGGCCTCTCAACGTTGTTTTTTTCAAGGACCCCGCGGAACGTTTGTTTCCTGAGATAACCGAATTCGTGGATCACATTTCAAAAAAGTATAATTTCAAATTAAGGTGAGTCTACATGTGGCTGGAGTCCGTCTTGATATGTAATTGTTCGTAAAACAGCAGCAGCTGTTTGCGTAGTTTTGCAACCTGGTGTCACCCATAGCAAAAATACATTCACGTGTTGATCAAGTTGAATGTCGATAATAAATAACCAATTTTAGGGTGATAGAGGACGTCTGGCATAAAGGAATCCCACAAATTGCTACCGCAAAAAAGGCGGGCTTTGTTCTAGGTTGTCGAAGTACCGACTTCGATGGCTCACAATTATCAGAAATAGAGGAGGGGTTCACAGGCGGCGTAGAATTTGTGCGCATACATCCCTTGTCACACTGGAGTTACGGTGACGTTTGGAATTTTTTGAGACTCTTTTCGTTCGACTATTGCTCGCTGTACGACATCGGGTACACGTCAGTCGGCAGCGTCGACGATACAATCGCAAACCCTCACCTGAGGAACCCGGACGGCACGTACGCCCCGGCCTACAAACTACAGAACTGGTCTTTGGAGCGATCTGGCCGTACCAAAGCTCCGCGCAATTAGTAGAGCGCTTTACAAGACCTAACGAGTGTGCGAAAGTTGACGTTGACCGTCATTGGGGCACCATATACGACATCATTAACGTTAGTTACGTGGCATTGACTACGTAATTGGACTTTTACCACAGTTCTTCAATAAATCTTCCGTTAGCTTTAAGTTCGGCGATGTCGGTCTTGGTGAAGTGTTGTATTATGGCCTTGACCTGGGCTCCCATCGGTTTACTCCTGCGTGATGCATGACAGTCGCCCATATGTTTGCACTTACCCACAGACGCATACGACCCCATCAGCTTTTAGAATTTCGCCGACTTGTTCCATATTCTTTCTTAGGATGTGTTGTACGTACATGGGAGTCTTCGACCTCGACAAGGCAATATGCACCGTGTAGTTCGGCATGGTTTTTAGCTGCTCCACTTCGTCTGCGTATAAGATGTGTGCTTCCGTTCTGAAACCTAAAAACAATATGCGCTTCTTATCTCTCGCCTCGTCCTGCCAGAATGCCCTGAAAGGTGCGATTCCAGCCCCATTGGCGATCATGACAAGGTGCCTTGAGCCTAATCCCTCGACACTGCTGAAAGCGGAGGGTCGCCTGAACAGTTTCACGGTGTCTCCTTGTTTTAGCGAGCACAGATAGCGCGTGCACGCTCCTTCGTAGTTACGTTGTTTAACGAAAAAATTCCCGATTCCAGGTGACACTTTGTATCCTAACGTTTTCTTGAGAGATGATCTGAAGCTTTTGAAAGAGTGGATGGGGAAGGTGACAAGCTTTACAGTGCAGTCAATACTGTCCGTCTGAACCTTAGTTGAGAATGATTGGTGTGCGACCTACATCAGGGTGCGACGATATGGTATAAGCCTTGGGTACTTTTTTCTTCACTATTTGCAGAAACCCTCCCATGTTGAATAACGCGTCTTCCATAAAGATTTCTACAAACTCAGGCAGCGTTACGTGTAATTCCTCTCTCATCCTTTTGATGAGCGATTTGTTATTCAGCATTTTATTGAACAACAGACACGCCTGGGCTGTTTGGAGAAAAGTGCCCATTTCTTCGAGTATATCCTCGTCTGGTAACCCCGTCAGGTCCAGATAGTAGAATAGAGCATCTCGGATTGTGCAGGGTACAGGAAAAGGGGGTTCAAAGTCCATCTGAGTTTCGGTTGACCCATATCGAGGAACGAAGGTAATAACCCTATCCAAATCTGCATCCTTTAGCCGTAGTTTTCCCATGAAATACTTCACAACGTGGGGAGGGTTGGAATAGAGAATGTTGACGGTTTCCGCAGGACTAAATGCGGAATCCGGTTTAATACGCAAACAGTTTGTTTGCGAGTCACCATTCGGTGTCATGTTGAAATTGTCCAGGACTACATGGTCCGTGCATTGCCATTGTTGCTTGCATACAACGTTTGCGATATTTGGATGGCGTTCACGGTCCTCCGGACTGCTGCTGACATATCTTAGCTCCAATGGTACTGCGGCGTCGTTAGTAAATGCAGACAATATGCATTGCCTCACCTTTGTCTCTCCATGAGTCCGTTACCTTTAGATGCTTCCCGCGTGACTGAGTGCTTAATTGTGGCGGGGGTATTCTAAATTCATTGGCAAGCACTTCACACAGCTTGACGCTCCATTGGTTGAAATCCCCCTTTAGGTCACCGGCATCATCTCCTAATGTGATGCTGAGGAGTTCATGTGCCCCTGCCTTCTGAAGTAGCTTTTGCAGCGTTTTTGCGGCATGGTTGAAGAGCGGATACTCTGAGCTCCCCAGGCCGAAAATGCAAAATCGAAGTCCACGCAGGGTGCTCCCCTCCTTACCACGCTTGCCCAGCTATGACACAGTTAGCGCATAAGGTCTTTATTGTCGCGCCTACCCATTTTACGAAGTCAATGGCGTTATCGGGGAAGAGTCCGTCGTCATGCGTAGCCACGGTGAAGATGGCGGTGGCTCCAGGTTGCGATATTTTTTCTTCTTCCCAATCCTACAGCTCTTTTACACCACCACGATGTGGATTCTTACCTCCAAATTGATTGCATTGGATTGGAAGGCTTCATTCCACGCCGCCAATTGCAGTGCTAGAGCTCTGGCAAAGCGCTCAGCCGTCCCTGTCTGGCTGCCATAGTAAATATAGACACGTGAGATGTCCCCCTGTAGGTCACTTTCAGCCTTTTGGGGCTCTATTTCAGAGGTGTGTGACTCCTGTGGAGCATCTGCGTCCTCTTGCTCTGCTGGTTCGGCGCCGCAACTTTGCGCGCGCTTCCATAGTTCGTATGTAATATAGAGTGCCAAGGCCGTCGCAACGATGGTGAACGTCACCTGTGTGATCTGTGGCATACTAAAATTAAATATAGTAGTTGAACGTCGCCCTACAGCTCTCACTCGAGCTCGTCCAAGAAGGCGACGTCGGATATATTGATGTCGTCCAGCGCCTGGAAATTTTGCGCCGCAAGCTGCTCGTAAGTGGGTTCCGGCATGTCTTGTAGCACCTTCCCTCTATGTTGCAGAATGTACATTTTGTAGAGTTCAGCATGCTTCCGCGCCATCAACGGCGTCGCATACCTCTTTGCGTAGAACGACTTCGAGTGTTTTGTTCCCTCTCTGGTCTTCCACTGAGCCATGAACCTTTGCTGGCGTTTGTCGTATGAGACACTTGCGGATACGACGTTTATGTTTCTGTTGACGTAAGTTTCATCCGACGGTACCTCAGGCCTGGACGAAGGCGGCACCTTCACGTACGTTTCATTTGATAGCGACTGCTCAGCGCGCCTTCTTCGTCTCCTCCTGGCATCCTCATCCCTCTTGCGTGCGGGGTTTGTTTTTGCAGGCAGCTCGGTGACGAAATCCTCGTCATCCCTGCTGCTGAGCGTGGAACGCCTAGACACGCTTTTCTGTCTGGTGTTCAACCGCGCCTCTGCTACCACATTGCGCTGCGTTCTGTTCACCCGAGTGTTGTACACAGTTGGCGGGACGCGTGATTGTTTGGAGAGCACGTGCATGACTAATTTGTCGAAGTCGTTTTGGTTGCGCGTGTTGTACGGACGCTGGGTGTCGCCGCTCATTTCGCGGTCACCGTCTTGCTCGTTCAAATAGCCATCTGCGAATTCAATTGCGTTCGTGCTCGTGTTGACGAGGTCTGAGTTGTCGAATTCGTCTTCAGCCGTGTCGGGTACGTGGAAGGCTGCGGCAATGTCCATGTCCACATCCGAAGGCAACGCTGTTTCATCGTCCAGCGCACTGAGCGAATACTGCCTATTCTTAGACTCCCAGTTGAACTTTCCCCAAGTCGGTACTTCGTCAAAATTGCTGCGCCCGTGCGTCTGCTCCATTTCTAACTGCAATTCAACGTTGTGCATGGTCTGTTCCAGCACCTCGTTGTAGCTGTTGTTATCGAAAGGCTTGTTGTTGCGCATACATTCAAGCCTATATATTATCTTGAAATAGTCGACATCCTCCACCTTGGCCCAGAGGGATGCGGTGGCATTTTCGGGGTCGGCGGCCTCTGCGTCGAACCGATCGTATATGGTGCGGAACACGGACTCGTAGCACTGCAGGAGCGTGATGCTGTTTGTTGTTGCAATCTTGTGGAAGTGGTATGCAAAGTCATTGCCATGCGGAAGCGTTCCCCAGGGCCTGCATACCGACTTGACAAGTCCAAGCGTATTGAGCAGTTTCATCTGATACATGAAAAAGAAGGCCTGGTTAGAGCTCTCGCGTTTTGTTTTTCCGTAGGACTTCCACTTGTCTGCCACTGCATTGTCCACACTGAACAGCCTTTGCGGCTTATGGACCTCCTGGTGCTCGGAGAGCCCAGGCTGCTTGTGATTGAGTGCATCGAAGGCAAGCATCCTGTGGTCGCCACAACTGTCACCTTTTCCACACGTTCTAATATGTCTCGTAGGAGGGTTGGGAGGCGTCGCACGTGTGCTGAGCTCCACCAATGTTTCCTATCCAGGGCAAAGTGGCGTCGGACCAGTTCGCGGATGCGCAAGAGTTCCGGCGTGACCCCTCGCGTGTGAATCTCAGTCCGTAAATCTATCGGCACACACCAAAAAAATACACAGTGCGCATATATGGCTCAAGGCCGCATCTTCTTTGTGCACGAAGTGTGGAATCTCGGGGGTCCCTTGATGATGATCACAGTTGCACCTGCGAGTTAAAACGCGAGCTCGCAGATTCAACACGCTACAATATTGGCACGTCAGATCCGCGTGCGGACTTGTATTGCCTTTGACAGGGTCCAGATGCCGAATCTCAGTTGCGTGCGCACGTGCACATTGGCCTAAGCGCCTTCTGTTGTTTCGTAGTGTGCCCCAATTGAGCGCCTACTTGCGCTACTAATGTACACTGTACTATGTTTGTGTGCTGCGCGTATGGATTGCGGCGTGGTGTGTGCAGCCTAAGGGCTGGTTGCTGGTGTTGTCCCTCTGTGAGGCTGCCGAAGGCAACCGATTTTCGCGTGGCCCGTGTGTGTGTGTCACACGAGATGACGAACTGATCCTGACTCTTTTTGTGAACAGTGCGAATCACTTTTTGTGTTTGTGTAACTCGGCCTTCCACAAGGTTAGGTCACCTTCAGTGTGTCTGCAGCAGCCTTCGTTATCTTCCACACCGTTGGTCTGTAGGTGTGTATTATTCGATGTGTTATTTGATCATTTCGTCATGATTGTGAAGTTTGTAGCGCATCTAAAATCATTTATAACGTATTACGGCCATCCAGTGGTAAACACGCCTGTCTACTTATAGTATTCTTCGCCGTTGATAAACTAAAGATTTGTTCTTGGTTTCTTAGAAGTCAGATCAGTGTCTTTTGTAGGTTATTGTTGAGATGTTCGGTGGAAGCCGTCTCCTGCTTCGCTGGAGTATCATATCGGCAAAACATCTTATTACCTTCTCCGTTACCCGTAAAATGCATAAAAAACACGGCCATGTTATAATATTGTTGCAAAATATGGTGTGTTGCTGCAGCAGCGCGCCGCGGCAGCCCTCTGCACCCGTGCTTCAGTGTCACGCTTACGAGGACTCGTGCCATTCTCACTTGATCTGTAGCGATGTTCTGTGATGTTGAGCAAGGTAGATTCTCTTTGCCTTTTGCAAGTACCAGGCGCTTCAAAAGGCAAGATGTGTGCGCGTCTCAGTGCCGATATCGCGGCTCCGCTTTTCGCGGAGGCCTCGCCGGTCGTTGTCTTGAGGTATTTTCTACCTGTGAATGCCATATAAGGGGTCCGCAGGGCATTGTAGAGCTCTATGATGAGGATGGGCGTAAAAGTAGTAAAGGTGCCGCCTCATTAGGAGCTTTTTTGTCTTTCCGAGGGAATGAATTCGACTCCGATAAGACGGTCATTCGCCGGGAGGCCTACGTAGAGGCGATAGACAGCAACAGCTACAAGGTAAATATGTGTGTATGGATGTTATAATCGTGTACAGTTAAGGTACATGGTAGAGATCGCTGGGCTTTGGACGCTTTCCGTGCATCTTCCTTCTGGGGAGCATATCGCAGGTAGTGGTGCATGCTCACTACCCTAATTGTTTTCAGGTTCGCCATTCGATATCAACATTGAGCCTTCTGAGGCATCTTCGTATACGTCAACGCTGACATGTGAGTCGCAGTGTCTCTGAGGCTGAATCGATGCAGGCGTGCCGCAGAAAGGCTATTCATCGCAACAGAAGGTAAACGCCAACTTTGCATCCGCAAAGCGGTTCAGGAGTTTATTATTACTGCAAGGGATAACTTCGGCAACAAGCTTAGTACGTAAGTGTTTCGGTTTATCGCTGTGTTTTGCGTGTTGGAGCCTGAGTCGGGTGTTATGAGTTTTATTGAGCATCTTCTATTCCAAAGCATATGGTACATTTTGAAGCTCTGCATTCACGTGTGAAAGTGAGAATTGTATTTCAAGCTGCAGACGTTGTTCCACAACGTTTTCTGCGATTTAGTGGCCCACCGTTATTCCGTTATCAGGGGGGGGACGCCCTTCGTAGCCTCATGCATCGGAGCGGGGAAGTTGATATCGGTTTTCGACTGCAAGAACGGTCAAGTATGTCTGCTGAATCTTAGGTTCAGCTGGTGATATTTTCGCAGCATCGGGTGATATGTGACGCGGAGCCCACGAGTTCTTTCAGCCAGTTGCGCGGTTGGTTAATTGTGTGAATGCCTATGTGACATTGCTGTTAGTAACTTTGATGGGAAAGGACATATCAAACTCCCCCTTCGTCTTGTCGTCACAGCCCCAAACTACAGCATCAGCCTCTGAACCGGTAGGTTATTTGTTGTTGCCTTAGTTCCATTGCTATCCACAGGACCGTTTTTTGGTTGAGCTAGGCAAATTAAAGACGCAATCTGCGAAGAGCAATGCGTTGTGCAAAGCGTACGAGCGGCTTTCCGCATCTCTCGTGAAAGAACAGCGTGAAGCTACGAAATCATATCACTCCACAAGGCTGCAAATCGTCCACACGCTGCCAGTCAAGTTCACCATCGAGGACCCTGATCCTACGCTTGGAGCTAAGCGGCAGGATCTGATTGCGCGGCACAACCGCCTTACTGCAGAGATTGAGGAATTATCGGCCAAGGTGCGTGCCGCGGAGACGGTGCGTAGAGAGGTGCTGGAAAACCTTGTGGAGCGTTACGATACATCGACCAAGCTTCACAAGGAGGCGGTGGATGCATACAAGGTTGTTTGCCGTGAAATTGGAGAGCTGACGTCTTCGACTAAGGAGCACCGGCGACTAGCGGATGCATTACGTAGCGGGGACCCGGAAGCCGTTAGGAAAGTGCAGGACATGCACACGATGGAAGACACTGTCGCTGCTTACTATCGTGGTACCGAAAAGGCTGAGAATACCAGGCAGCGCATCCAACTAGTCAGCCGCCAGTACATGTCCAGCGAGATAGCGTCTAACATGATCTCAACGACCCCCGACCGCCCTAACACCCCGGCGTTCTGGATGATGGAAGGGCGATTTAAGCCGGCAAATAAGGTACAAAATGTCTAGCTAGGACATGGGCGTAAGACTGTAATCATCTGTAATGTATATTTGCATGCCTATGTGCCAGTGCAACGATCACATTCCCGCCGGGATTGACTCATTGCATGGCCAGATTTGATGTGCAGCCGATCGTATCCGCATGGCCGACGCTTTGAGAAGTGTGTCTACCGGTCTTGAGGTTATAGGAGGACGTGAGACACATTCGGCATTTTGAGCTATAGAGATTTTCCATTAAAAACACACCCTATTATATACCATATCTTAGATTCGTGCCACATAAGTGTTAATGTTCACTTGATTCACCGCAGTTGTTGATAACTGGGCACTCTCGCACGTGCATCTGCGATAGTGCTTCGCACCGATGACCTTTGAATTCTAAACCACTCTTATCTGTTTAGCAACTCGCTAACGATGGCGTCAGTAATTGCACTATACTCCGTTCCGTATGACTCGGATGCTGAGTCTACCGAGCAGTACGGGAAGAGTTATGCGCAAATGCTTTCCGAAGACTTCAATGAAGATGGGTGAGTTGCCGTCAGTATTTTAGCCACTAGACGTATATGTGTGCCGATGTGTACGTGTTTCATTCATTTTAGCTTCGATGTGTAGCATTGCGCGGTCTCATGTGTTGTCGCATACTCCTCGCTCATGTCCATACGCAGATTCGACGACCCTAATCTGCTCAAATGCCTGGGCAAAGGACCTTCTGGGGAGGCTGTGATACTTGTCGTTCCATCCGTTTCCGCCCGTGTACGAAACAATCACGAAGATGCATTGCGGCTGATGGTTAAGAAGCTGAACCGCTTCTGCAGCTCCAAGTATTCCCTCCTGGTCTGTCAGACATGCACAACATGGTCTGATTACAATTCTTACAATTTCGTCAACCAGTGTAAGTTATATTTATCTTTGCAAATTTGTGGTATCATGCATGCTACATATCTGTCGCATGGTGGAGGTGATCACCTTCCGTGATATGGCTTCATTTAGACCTGTATAACCAATTGTATCGTTTATAACATAGGTGTATGAGTTAAATTGTGCTGTTGCGGCCTTATACAATATACGGCTCCTCTGCTTTGCCGCATGCCAGTTTTACAATCTTGTTTGTGCAAGCTTTCAACACAGGTTCGTGTTGACGCCTCTCGGCGTTGCATAGACTTTATTACTACGTGGTTTAGGTTTTTTGTATGTACACTGCCGTTACACAACGTAAATAACATGTTTGTTAGGGTATGACATGCTCCCCAAGGGATCGAAGAAGAATCTGGAGAAGGTTTACATGGTTCACTCCGCGTACACCACCAAGACCATGCTTACATGCATGACACCGTTTGCCAAGGCTCGCGTGTGGGAGAAGATTGAGTTCGTTGACAAGCTGGGCGACCTGCTGAAGCGCCTGAGACTTGACACGAAGAACATGCTGAGGAACTTCCCATACGCCGTTCAGCGCGCAGAAGAAATTGCGCTTGGTATTGAAACGCCGCTATCGGTGTTTGGAACTGAGATGTGGATTTTGGCGTTGCGCGTGGGCTGCCCGTTCAAGGGCTTCCCGCTGATTCCGCCGGCAGTGGCGCACGTATTGACAAAGATAGAATCGCCGGAAGTTATTGACACACCAAACCTTTTGAACCTGCAATGCGGCCCCGAAGTTCTGTACGCTGCGGTCGGAGCGTATGAGCTTTTGGGTGAGGGGTGCACCGTCGACTCCCCTGAAACCGCAGTGGCGCTATTCAAGCTCTTGGTAGACACCCACGTCGGCGGTTTAATTGGACCAAAGGCCTACATTACGCTAAAGAATGCTTTGCTACAGGGCAGCTCGAATGAAGAGCTGGTTCAGATGATGGCCAAGGTCACCAACGAATTCCAGCCTGTTCAAAAGGATTGCATTTTCTGCATTATAAAAACCCTACGGGCTATTGCACGCCGTGCGTCGCGTAACGGTATGACCGTTAAAGCGGTTTCTAAAATAATGGCTGGTTCTTTCTTCCGACCGCTGTCACCGGATCCTTATTGTTTCAAAGCCATCCAGTCTAGCGAGATGGTTTTGGGGACGATGATTGAAAAGCCTGATATGTTTTTCAAACGCGAGAAGGAGCCTCATGAGCGCGAAGAAGGCCGGACAAAGACGGTTAAGCACAGTAGTCATACGAAATCATCATCGTCGTCGTCCGCTGCTGGTCCCCGTCTTTCGAAGTCGCCTTCCATGCGCGCTCGAGAGGAGCTTCAGCGCATCGCACAGCGAAAGGAAGCCGCACGCGGCTCAGCGTCCCCGCATTCAGTGGAACGGACGCCAACAGCAGCACCCGCGATGGACGAGGAAGAGTCGGAGCAGATCACCGAGATTGAGGAATGACCTAGACGCTCCGATTGGTGCGGTTGGGTTACGGCTTCAAACTAATTTATTTTATTCGTCGTATTGCCATCTTGTCGTGAATGGGTAAAAAATCATCCCGTATCACTGCTAAAGCCGGCGGCAAGTGTGTAAAGAAGACTGAGGACAAGGGCTTATCGTCACCTGCCCCGGTTGTACAGCGAAATCGCGCTCAACTGTTGCTACGTTGGCTGTCGTTTGAGCTGCGATTGCTTCAGCGGATTGTGTACCGTGTAAGTCTTCAGCGGATTTTTATGTTAGCTGCGATGCGCCCCCGTCCTGCTTGTGACTCATTGTAATTCAGAACAAGAACCAGCACCGCTCCAGTGCCTTCATGGCCGCCGTTAGCACCAGCATACGGTCTTTGAAGCGTTTCACTCAATTGGTGGATCAGCGGAGACCACCCGCTGTCTTGTCAACGTTGCATCTCGGTGAGGAGTTCAACCGCCTGTTCTACCACGCTCTTCGTTCGGTGCTCGATGCAAGCGCCGAGATATCACGAGTACACGCGCATCACTTCCACGTTCCACTGATCGCAGTTCTCTTATGTATTTATGGGTATGTTGGTTTTCGGCTGCAACGCGTGACACTGTATGGCATTATTTCAGCTGGTGTGTTTAGTTAGCTGTTGCATTTTGACATGGGAAGTACGTGGTTTTTGTCTGTTTGTGTACATGCATAGTGGTCGGAAATCATGGAATGTCAGTCGACTGTTGTTTTTGCTGAAGCGGCTTCCGGAAGCTTTCGGTATTAAGGCGTGAATCACAGTTCGGCCTGGACAAGCATCCCAGCTTTAAGCTGGTTCATCTTCTGCGTCCCGCAAAGCGCCTCTACAAGCTTGAGGGCGAACTCCATTGCAGTCCCAGGTCCCTTGGACGTGACTGAACACGTTTTGTACGCCAGTAAAATTCTTAAATGAATATGGGCACATATGCAACCAAAAACATTCGCTGGTGTGGTAGTTTGTGCGCATATATAGCCATGAAAGCGGCTTAACCCGTTCGAGTGGTTGGCAGCCGTACTGGGATGCCGAGCCAACGTCGTAGTGTACTCATGAATTCGAACACAACTTACCGCATTTGTTTGACACGCACACGCGGCCAGTTCCCACCTTGGGAAGTGCATCTTCGAATCCGGGGTAGGCCACAGCGGCGGTTTGGTTGTCTAGGATTCCGCCTGCAGCGAGGACGACAGCAGGTGCCGCGCATATGGCAGCGTAGTACCTGTTGGCGCTTTTCTGTTCGTTCAGCATCTTAATGAGGGTGGCAGACTCGGCGCAGTAAGTAGACCCTGGTAGTCCTCCGGGAACGACGATTAGGTCAAAGGTTTTGTTCGCAACGTCGTCGATCAGAGCGTCGGCTGTGACCTTGGTTCCATGAGCCAAAGTAACTGCCTTTTCCTTGTGTACGGACGCAACAGTGACGTTGACCGCGGCGCGACGTAAAACGTCAACGACGGTCACAAATTCGATGTCCTCCGAGCCGTTGGCCTGCAGTCGATGTGTTGCGGCTGTAGGAAACATACCACGGCGACAAGTGCCATCATAACGGTGCCTGTCATTCTGCTAATATTAACGTGCATACGGATTTATAGTGAAACGGCTTATAGCTGCGCACAGGGTAGGGCCGGTGCTACACGCTACGAACGGCGCGCCGAGATAGTGTGCGAGGTCATGTTTAAGATTCATTCAGGGTGTTGCTTTTTATTCTGCCTGTTGAACGCTATTCTCACCGCCAAGCCCAGCAGCAGTGCCGCTCCCGCCTGCGCTGCCAGGAAGACAAAGTTTTTAGTAGAGACCTGGCCGTTTTCGACGGTATTGAACCTGCCATATCATGGTCCCGTGCTCCTCTTTAAGCAACTTACGATGACGTTATTGTGCAGATTATCATTGCGATGCTCATCGTGGCCAAATAAAGGTATCGGTTACCCTTGTCTCGTTGCCAGAGGAACAAAATGGCTGTGAACATAATCGACGTCAGCACGGTGAAGTTCGACTGCAGCGCTGCGTAGAGGAGCCCATCCGTGTGGTCCATGTCCCTTATAGTGGCCACGGTTTCGAACAGCATCCTGCCAATGTTTTCTGGCAGCGACCAGCCGAGTCCGATTCCCAGGACGATGCTGCTGACGTTGGCGTTTGCGTTAGTCCTTCGGATATTGTCAGTCTGTAGCTACGATTGAGAACCTACTTTCCCCTGAGTGCCATAACTATGCCTAAGCACAGAGCACAATCGAGAATGGCCATTACTATTTCCTGATACCTAGTTTGCTCGCCGGAAGTGTTAGACATACCTCGCCGAGAAGGTAATGACCAAGCAACGATGGTATTCCTGTAGCCATGGCTAGTACCTGAGAGGATATTGACTCCACAACATACACATTTGTGCATAACAGTTAAAGGTGTAGCACGGCCTCTACACACTCGGTGCCACGCGGAGAGCCGATGACAACAACATCCCGTATTACAAAACCGACGTAACATGTGCCGTGTTGAGATAAACGACAGATGTGTCACAGCGGCGTTGCGCTACCCTGTCTGCTTACCTTGACGCTGTTCGCCAGAATGTAGTAGCCAATGGCCCGGAGCGCCAGACCTCCATTGTTGAAATTATGCTTCCTGATAACAGCTGTTTAAATCTTTGCCGTTGGTTTACTTACAGGGCGGTTTTGTTGTACAGAATCCAGTACGGTGCTGCTACGATGGCTATGCAGGTAGGCACCTGAATGAATCTCATCCTGGACTCTTTGATGGGTATATAGTGGTTCACAGCTGTAAAATATGTCGATGATACCTCGTTGTCTAGAACAACGGAGGTAAATATGCTTTGTGTGGATTCCTCGGGTTGTATGATGGTGCTCGACACACTGCATCGACGCGGCACCTGGACATGGGTCGTTTCCGTCAACTATGACCTCTCCGCACTGCGGATTTCTGTTTGGTGCTGCAGACAATGGAAGAGGCAAGTGTGTGGTGCTTGAGCGGCTGCACCTAGCAACCCGCGGCGTCGGTGACTGGGAGTCACTGGCGCGAACGCTGGGAGAATATCGCTGCAGTCGCCGCTTTTTGACAGAGGGTTCTACGATTTTAGTGAGACGAACGAAGCGTGGCTCCCCGGGTCTCGCGCGTGCCTTCTCAGGGGTTACATCTACGCATGGCAATGATGTTGTTGTGTCTGATGTGCCTCGTAGCGGCCTGTTATCGCACAAGGGAGACTCTGAAGCTCCCTTCTCACCGAACGATGGTTCATTTGACGCGGACAATGTCGCATATCGCAGGTTTTCCGGCAGTGAAGGTGAACGAGCTGCCGATTCTACAAACCACCAATCTCCCGGCGTTACCAGCTCTGTGAGCGATTCGTCCAAGGAACGGGGTAGTGACGCTGAGTCAGAGCATGCTCAACGTCCGGGTAGCACTGGAGCGTCCACTTCCTTCTTCAGCGTTTGCAGCGCCGCTTTCGAACTGACGAGGTCGTTCTCTTGTAGAGAACCTCCCATCTCGACAGACGACAGCGTAGAGTATGTTGTTGTCAAGTGCGAGCCTTCAGGCGGGTACATAGGCAAGGATACGGTGTTGTATACCGACGAAAGGTTGCCTGTTTTGAGTCGGGTTGATTTGTTGTGGGATGTGGAAAATGAGTCACACGTCCAGCGTTGTGTCGGCCACTTATTAGGGCCAAATAACTCCTCAAAGTTGACGAAGGCTATTCTATTGCAACAGGAACGTTTGTTCGGCCCCTATAGAGTTGAATCTATTGGGACGGGGTCGATTGCCAGTTGTGTTCGGAAGACGATATTTCTTAACAGCTCTGACGAACGCATGGCTGATGGCAACACTCAGTCTCACGGTTCTACGTTGGAGACGTTCAATGCTACAGAGACGCTCTTTCAAAAGATGTTTCGTTACATATTGATGAGCGCATTATCATCGGACTTCCTGGTTTTTTACCCCGGCCGGACGCTTACCGTGCGTGACCTCAGGATGTTCGTGTCTCGTACTGCCCCTTGTACTCGACCAGGTATTATCGGACCGTCAACGGTAAGTAATATGCATACATAATCTGGTCTGATGTCGTTTTAGAAAATATACGTTGGAGTGGACACCGTGGGAGAGTGCGCTTCAGTGTCGGTGGCCCCTCTGAGGGACACGCTGCCAACCACGTACGAGTACAACCTTCTCAAGGATTGTGTTGAACCGTACTTTCGCGGCCACCGATCGCGCACGTTTCAAGTGGACGACGTATTCCGATTCGGTGGAGTGCAGTTTCGCGTGGTTGGTTTCGAGCACCAACGCGAGGAGCCTACGCATTTTCTCAATTTTGACCTGATGAGTCCATTCGCCCGCCGTGGAAGTTGCGGACGTGTTGGAGCACGGTCGGAAATACGCGTTTCAGGTAATTGACTTACCTTTGTATTTTGTGTCAGTCTTTTATTTGACTGTGTCTCGGTGCGCCTGTCATGAAATTATAGTATTCATGCACCGCTATGGGTGGTTTCGGTAGTTGTGTTGTGACCGTTGAAGTGATGCAATCTCACATTCTTCGTCATATAAATTACAGATCCCGTTGACCCTCGACTGACCGACTTATTGTCTGCTGAGCAGCTGCGCCACCTAAGGCGCTGTGCGCCCAACCAGAGAGAATTGCTAATGTTCAAGTTGGCATCTCAGCTGGATATGGATTCAATAGGACGTCTATACGGACACAACGATAATGCACAGCGGGGAGTATCATTTGAACGGATTGAAACCTCTTATTCGGGTTACCATCGCAGCTTCTCATCTACCCTTACCGATACGGTTCATCAGTACAACATAGGGGATACACCCGTCGCGACGATCACTCCCAGCTCTGGATGGTCCGACCAGATGTGTACTGTATGTTGCGAAGCCATCGATGAAGCCGCTCCTTCAGGCATATTCACTTATGCATGCGGCCATGTGTTCCACGAGAAGTGTGCGAGGGAATGGATAAATATGTGTGGAACGTCATGCCCCAACTGTCGCCATTGCAGCATGGAGGTGTCAGCTCCCTGTGACACCGGAGATGCATACGCCTTCCACACCCTTTCCGACTGTGACGACACGGACATGTCGGATAACTGCGCCGAATCAGTAAATCACGAAAGTGGCAGCTCGTCCGGTACATCGGAATTGCTGCACTGGTTTAATTCGCAGGAGGCATAAGAGCAGATCCTGAGAGAGGCCGTTTGCCATTTGGCACTTTGATAACAGTACACAACCTGCATGATCAGCAGTAATTAATGTTATATTTTTATGTAGTAATATTTTAGAGCCGTAGTAGCTGACCCGAGCCTCCGCCGGCAGCCCTCACCGAGCGACCATTTTGCACGGATTGTGTATGTAATGGCCCACGCGTGATACATGTTAGGTGACCAGTTGTGTTGTATGCGGTGAAATACTTTACGATAGGTTGGTGTGACCTGTTGAGTGGTAAAACAGGCAGTGGCAAAACAACCACCCCTCACTTCTCACATGATTGCCCAAAAGATTGTATATTCTGAGATTTTATCTCTGCGATTTGACTGTTTCTGCGATTTTCGTTATTTTTTCACGCCACGCCTGCGTTGCCCCGCTTGGGTGCCTGCGATGCACCTCCAGGTGCTTGAGAATCTGGGTTGCCCTGTACCAGTTTATGCCAGTGTTGTCCCTCAGGCTCATTAACAACGTTTTCCGAGTGTCCAGCAACATTCCCTTCATCTCACGCTGCTTCCTGGAGGTTTCCATGGCGATCCGCTGCTGCCGCTTACTTTCGCGGTAGCTACGGCTTATTTTCACACCGTATGGGACCATCGGTACGTATCGCTTGGCCGCCATAAGTCTATACGACAGCGTAAGCATTTTTAACAACACGGCTTTGAAACTATTAGTATATCTTGGAGTCCGGAGGTGTCATACGTCTTCCTCGGACGAGTAACCCTGCACCAGGGCTAGCCCGCCAGATGAATTGCTTTTTGGTGCCCCTGGTCCACCTTTTGCAGCAACAGAGGTGTACACTCGCTTTGTACTACCCGAAGGAGACACTGAGGGTGATTTTTGCACCTCCTTATCTTCGTTGTCCTCGCTTCTCCCCTCGTTTGTACAGTTGCTGGACGCGTTTCCCACCACAGCGATTTGAATGGCGGGAAAGGATCCCTTTTCAAACACCACGGAATTCGTCCGCGTGGTTCTGAACAGCGATATGCGATTCTCCTCTTTCCGATGCTCCACGTCCTTTTTAGGCTTCTTGATTTCCTGCGTTTCTTCGTCTGGTTGAGCGTTACGCAATCGCTGCGCCTCTTTGATGAATTCTTCCTCCTCCAAGCTGCGTCTCTTCCAGAGCAAATTGCGCCTGCGCTCAAGTTGATCCAGGTGCGCGATGTCCTCCTCGCTGAAGGCCGATGCGATAGCGGTTGCCGACGTGAGATTATCCGCAGTGAACTCTGAATCTCTGTCGCAGTAAAGTTCCTTTAGTTTGAATTCGACGTCAGACTTGTCCGTTCGCTCCCGTTGCCGTCCTTTGGCAGCAGGCGCTGCGCTGTCTGTGCTGAACAGGGACCCCTTGGTAAAGTCGATGAGTCCGCCAGATGCCTTATCTGAGCTGTAGTTCTGTGTTCTTACAAAGTTCATCGTGATTCCTCATATTTTGATGTGTAAGAATCCGCCATAAATACAGTGAGTCAGTCGATTGCGGAAGGCGCACACCGTAAGGCATGTAGGGGCCCTGGAAGCGTCGCTGAGGTGACGCAGATCAATGTAGATAATATATTGTTGAGTCTGATAACGAAGTGCCGGTGGCAGTGCGTAGGCAAGTCGGTCTTCCCGGACGCCATCACTAGGCCCGGGAAGTACCGACGGTTGCGAGTTGCAGCTCCAATGCCCGTTTTTATGTGGTATATTATCGTCGTAACATGTCTTTTGGCTGTCTGTTCGGCGTTTACGGGGCCTGGCACTGCCAATGTGGGAGGTAGCAGTCTCATTCCCAGTTTGCCCAGAGGATGGAATCTGCACAGTACCGTACGCAGCACCTTTAACGGCCACCCAAACCCGCGCAAACTGCATAAGCGGGTAAGTTCACAGAGTGGCATCGTTTGAGGTTTGATGGAGTATATTTTCAACCCCCAAATGGCACGTCTGTGCAGTCAGGGCTTTGTGAGTGTTTCATGTGCTGGTGATACACCGCCTTTCCTTCACTTATTTACACGTTTCAGCCATTTTGGGCGGACATGTTTGACGAGGAGGTGGAGATCGAACCACTGGGACCGCCGTGCCCCAAGCTGCTGGAGGACGTAGTGCGTGGCGAGCGCCGCCTGCGGCTGACACTCAAGAGGTCGCACAGACAGATGTGCGCCACTATTGTAGACGACGTCGCGCGACACGTGCACTGTTTCATGTCAACAAACTTTCGTTACCTCGGCCATATATTCGGTCAGGAGCCGACAAAAGACCGTAAGTGTAGCTTCTATGGTTATTTGCATGTACAACAGCCAATATCATGAGGAACAAAGGCGGGAACGTGCGCGCCGCGTATGAGCTGGGCAAGCTGATAGGCAGGCAGGCTCGGCAGAAAGGGATATCGCGTGTTGTATTTGACCGTGCTGGATACAGGTAGGCCATACGACGGGTATTCCAATGGGCGTTACAGGTACCACGGACGGGTCGAGGCGCTGGCGATTGGAGCCCGTAAGGTGGGCCTTGACTTCTAGATGTCTAGAGGAACGCTGGACACATAGACAACGCCTTACCCGTAACGACCCTTACGCTGTCTGACTATTCCGTTGCCTTGAACCCTGCCACGAAGCTTTTTAATTTGTTAATACCGGTTTCAATTGGCAAGCTTCCATACGGTGGGCCGAGACAGGCAGAGATGGCAGCTCCGGCCGTTGCGTCTTCGTGCACATTGGTGGCTGAGGAATCTGGCAATGCCCGGGTACCGCTCGTGGCACAATATCGGTGCTACACATAAGCATCCGGCTTAAATGTGTAGCGGTAAGTGATGCCTATGAAGCAGCAGTCCGCGTCTGGGACGTCCCCAACCGAACGGGACTCGCGGCCCCCTCCGGCTCAGCGTCGGATTATTGAGGGCACATACGAGTGTTGGAGCAACGAGGTTAGTCCCTCACGCTCTGACAGTGTTTACCGAGAGAACAAGGCGAAGTACAGGAATGTGCAAGTAGGCCCTGTTATAAGTGCTGATGAGGTGGACGCGCTGCTATGTCGTAAGCCCAACGCGGTGAAAAACTTCATTAATTCGCTGAATGAGCAAATGCGCCAGCGGCTTTCGCCTGCTGTGGCAGCCGATATCAACACTCCCCTCGAATCATGTGATTACGAGCCTGAGTTTGGCCGTGAGTTGCAGCAGTGCAACGTATCGGTGAAGAATCGCATTACCATTTTCGACAGAAAGACACAACAAGCCGACGGTGGAGCACGGTTGAAGACCGCTGCTTTGAGAAGTGAAGGTTTTGTGAACCATGAGGCCTCGCCAGGTGAACGCAGCATGGCAACCTACGCTACAGAGGTAGGCACATTGGTTGCCGAGGCTGCGCCTAAATGCTCCATGTTTGTAAGCAGTACACCGTACGACAGCAGTAGCTGGTTTGGTTTGTCTAGTGGGTTTTCACAGTACGCCGGAGAGGAGTTAGGCCCACCGTCCCGTTTTGGTGCCAATCTTGACCTTGATCGCATAGCCCAACTCTCACAAGTTGGTTTCAACTTTGGTCCACCTCCTCCGTCTACCGAACGCAGCTTAACGGATGTTGTACGCCGTGTAGGTGCGCCGTGCAATCAATTTGGGCCCTCTCTGCAGCGTTGCATGTCGGATCATTCACATGAACCGGAGCGTGATCCCTTCGGCTCCGCCCGCCTTGGCAGGAAAGCGATTAATAAGGGCCCCAATGCAGCGCGTTATCGCTTCCCTGGAGAGGGTAGCCCTGAACCACGTGGTTTCGGTTTGGTGGATACGGATGACACCTTAAGTTTTCACGAGAGTCGCAACGCGTGGGCCCCGTCGTTGGGGCAACGTCGGACGTTTGCCGATGCTCCTGTAGAGCGAGTGGAACTTCCTTTGGAGCTAGTGCGTCGTGGTTACGACACGGATTCCGATTGCAGTGGTCCTTATGCTGATTCAGCAGATTTGGAGTCTCGAAACTCCTCTAGGGACGTTGCGCCGTACTTCACAATTCGTGCGTCAGGACGTGAGATTCGTATACACACGACGAATGTAATCAAGGCGGGTTGGACCTGGATGCACAGTGCGCGAGCTCGCAAATGGTTCCCCAAGTATCTGGTTCTGTTTTACGACGAGCCGCAGCGCGCCCGGTCATATCAGCTGCACGCAACCATAAACGGTGCCGCAACTGGTGGAGATCGCGGTGCAGCGTCGCCATCGAGCTTTTGGGACATCTACAAGATATATTCTCACCTGGGCCAAACTACGCGGGTAACTGCTGATTCCGCGGATCGATGCAAAGATCTTGATCCTTCTCCGCGACTACCCCCTTATAAAGGGGTGCAACCAGAGTCACTGTCAATTAGTGGTTCCTACAGTCGGCCTAGGAATGTTTGGGATGCGGATTGTAAAGAGTAGGTGGTGCTTATTGTTGTGGTCTTATGGTTTGATTGCCCGTCCATATTGCAGTGCCCATTGTTATTTTACATCTATTGGCTATATTGTAGCACACCAGCGCAATGCTGTTTTGATTTTGCATCATGTTTCAACACGTGATATCTTGGTCCGTGTATACGTGGTTACGTTATATGCTCAGATTGTTTTACCCTGTAAATAATGCGTTTATATATTGCAACCACGCGATGATATTCCGTCTGTCCATTTTACATGAGGTTATAACAAATTACAGGGCGTTGTCTGTGCTTTCGAGATCTACCTACCACTCATATTTAGAATCGTTGGACGCAGTGGGCAAGTCGTTGTCATCAAACCAACGTAGATCAATCGTGATCATCCCTGACAACGCCACGGTATATTTGACAATCCTTTCTGGCGAGACCGACGACGTTGCCGGTGCGTTGCGCCGCGGTGATTTTCGGGAATTCATGGAGGTAGATGTTGGTCTTGTGCCATACACAAAGCAACATGCCCCCAATCACTGGCTCACTGGATTTCTAACGAGAACCATGGGTAGAGATCCGCTGAATCTCATCCACATTCCGCTGGTGGACGGCTATGAGTGCTGTTTTATGCCGCTCTGTGCTGCTCATTTTTCCGGCGTATCGCTAACCTACGAGATGGAATGCGCGCGGCTTAATCGTGTGGGACGAGAGTACGAGCATTGGTTGTTTAGTCTCTGGGAGTTCGTGGTACGGCGCGGTGGGAAGGCAGTTGACTCCTCCACGGATTCAGGGCAGTCTATCATGCCGGTGACGGTAGCGACTGCTCTGGGGCGCCTGCTGCGCAGCGCTACAGAATTTTTGTCAAACATTTGGCAACGTGCGAGGGGAACCAACAAAGTATCAGCTGGCTGCGATGAGGCTTCGTACACCCACGAGTTGCACGCCAGCTCCGACCTACCCGAGGAGCAAGAATCTCTGAAAAGGTTAGTGCTCAGTCAGCATTATCAATGTTTAACAGCGTACTGTCTGGAGGAGGTTACACGCGCCGCGACGTGGGCAGTCCATCCCACAAACGGGCGCTCACGCGCGGTTTCGCGCAATGGATCAGTTCTCGAGGCTTCGATGACCTCTCTGTGAGCATGAACATATACAGCCTGACCAGTAGATTCGGCGAATTATAGGATAACAACAGAGTCGGTAACATATACCTTCGTGTTATAATTCAAATTTTTAATGTTAACCGTGCCATTTGTGTTTATGGTACGCCGTTGTAACTCCCGTCGGTGGTTTGAATGTCGCTGTAGGGCATCTTTATTCATCTGTGTGCTATGTGCTACTCATCTGTGCACTTTTAGGTTGAGCTTCGCGAAAATGCCGTGTGGTGATGTTCCCTTGGTTGCTTTTCCATTCCAAGGTGGCACTCGGCTATGCGCCATTATCGCTTGGAAACTCAGTCCCAACAGGTCGCGTGAATATCCGAGCCTATATGCTTACAGTCCATGCCATAGACTCAACGCTTTGGAAAGCCCACTGAGTCAGGGATCGCACGCTCCTTGTACAACTCGTGATTCATGCAACAATTTTGTGTGCACCCTTGCTCTTGTAGCATAGCAATGGTGCTGCCAGATGCCTGATATGGAGGTCACATGTGCCATTTGAATCGGTGGTGTTCGTCACATCGATGTGCAGGTGCCATTGGCACTTGGGTCAATATTTCACATTATATATTTGTATAACGCGTTCGTCACGATGCAGGTCTTTTGGCTTCTTCCCATTGTACACTTGGGCATATGCGCCGCCCAGCAACCTGGAGCGCAACCTTTAGTACCACCTTCAGCACCGAGTTCAGCTGCAGGATCAGCATCGGCTCCATCACAGCCGCAACTGCAGGGTGGACAAGTTGCAGCCCCACCGATGGCACCCGCGCAAGAACTTGGCGCAGAACCCTCAGATGTATCTGTGGCTGTTAGTGAATTGGCTGCTATTATAACCCCTGTCAACAGTCCCGCAAGCGACGAATTATGCAGGGATCACGTGAAAGCGGTGCATACGATTCGTGTTCAGTCACTGCTGATGCATTTCAATCTGAAGCATACCCTGATTAACAATTTGAGAAGTGACATTGGTGACGGATTTTACTACCCATTTAGAAGCAGCCTTGAAGCAGCCACAACGGGGGCGATAAGCAAAGAAATGACAGACTTCGACACCAAGGAAAAAGCATTCTCCGCAGGGCTTACGGAGTTAAATGGTACACCTTTCTACGCAAGTGCAGGAACGTTATTTGCGGCTTTGACGGCTGCTAATACCTCGTTGGACAGCACGCATATCAACCACCTGCTCCATATAAAGCAAGCCTGGGGAAAAGAGGAAGCGTATGGCAGCATTATGATGCTAATGCAATTTGACCTTAAACTGTATGCTGGGAAGCTTGAATTGGTTTACAGAACTTTGTCAGACCATGTTAAACTTGTTACGGACCCCACTGACAGTGACGCAGACCGTACAAGCATATTGGATGCGTATACTTCAATCCGCAGTGCCTTCAGCTATGTGTCAAACGTTCGCCGTGATGTCCATATGCTGTCGTTGTCATTTGTGAAATATCTCGAAGCTAAGAAGATGCACGAATCTGCATTTGCCGCTGCCAAAAAGATTGTTGGAACTATCAACACAGTTTGTTCAGGAAACATGCCTACGGAGCGTTCCGATGCCAATATCGTGCTTGGGGACGTTACAATTGCCAAAGACACACAGGATTACGTACGGTTGGTGCCTAAGCGCGCAATTGGTGATGCTACTACGGTGCAGAGCTGGTTGAAGACTGCCGCGTTCTTCCGCTACATGTATGCGCTGGCCCTCACAAGGATGTCCAAAGCCTGCCATACTCTAGTGGCATATTTAGTCACCAAAGCGCCCTCTTCCAATACAGAAGAATTTACCAACATGTACAACGCCCTTCATAGAGACATTTCGGCCTACATCACCGCCATGTCCGCGTATGTCGCTGACGTGTCTAACGCTCAGTTGGGCACCGACCACGATACCGCTGCGGCAGCCATGGTCAAATCAGCCGAAACCCTGGTAAACCAGTACACGGAAACCGTCAAAACACTCGTCTCTGCCTTGGAAGATACCGATAAGGCTGCCGGTGAGGGTGAAGTAATACGTGCGGACACTGAGATCATGCGTATTGCAGTAACGTTCCTTGGGCGCATGGTGCGCCTGTACAAAATGGATATGATCGATGATCCCATGGCACCCGTACCTGCACCCTACGCAAATACAATCTCCATGTTGGACACAAGCACCGCAATGGCGGATGGCACCAAAAAGTTCCTCGGTGCACGCGTTGCCACACCCGATGCGATGAAATCAGCGATTCGCAGACTTACGTCTCTAAATGAAACGGCAAAGGATGCATTTGACACAACGATGTCGTCCAACGAATCTTTCCGGACATTTTATCCATCAAATGTGGACGATGTTGAGCGCCACATGAAGATTTTCAAGGACCTGCAAAGCATTGCTGATGCACAAGTCTTTTTCATGCTTAACCCTGAAGACAAAGAAAACAGTGGTAAGAAGAGTTCCGATTTTGTCATACCTACTGCCTTTCTTGCCGCAGCTTCCGCCCTGATGATGCTCTAAGGATGCAACTTCACTACTTTGAGTCCGCACCAGCTATACGACTACGCTCTTCCGAGATTATATGATCGAGTTGCATATACCCAATGCAAATCTTATCGGCAAGCATGCGAGGGGCTTTTGCTTGTTTGCCGGTTCATAGATACCATTTGGGGCCAACTCCCAGGTAGCGTCGTTAGCAGGCGATACGCTTTTTATTCCGTAGATAACGGCAACACTTTTATTTTATCTGCCTAGAGTTTCACATCTGACCGATTATTGTACTGCGCCCACAGGCTTTATCTCTGTAGTCACATTGGGGATTGTCAACAGGAGATAATAATATTTTGTTGCTCTGCTTGTGGTTGCCTATAACACACATCATCTCAACCCACTGCTTTGAATGATTCGGCCTTGTTTACGACACTACATAGAGAATGTATGCGACACGATTGCAGGAAGGCCGTGTACAATGAGTGAGGTTCAAAACGATTAAATTTAAGGATTGTAGGAAGTTGGAAAGGTATTACAGAATCTAAACCATTTTTAAGTTCTTGAGCTAGCAGGCAGCGCCGACAAAGACTAGGAATGCTAAGAGGGAGAAAGCAACAAGGCTCCAATTGTCCGCCATCGTTACACACAACCCACTTCACAAACAACCCTGTAAAACGATGAACAACGTACCTCAATCCACTAATACCCCTGCAAGAACGAAAATATACGATGTCAGTATCCATACACGTAGCATGCCACCCATTTTGTGATGGGGCCAACGTAGTCGAATGGGCTGCGAAGCTGACATACAATGGACATCCATGACGTCAGCATTGATTGATCGACCCTGTAACCGTTATGATGAAGATAAAACAACACTAAATCACTTAAGATCAATTATCACAACCGCAACTACATTATCAACATCCACGTGACGCTATTGGTGTGCCATTATGTGCCGAGGCGATCGATAGTGCAAGATTGAGCTGCTAATGAATACCAATGTCCTGAACACAGATGCAAAGTAACCAGAGTCCTATGATAATAACGTCGGGAAATGACGCGGCATCGGGAATATCCTGCCGATAAGTACGCCTACATGCGTTCGCTGGTCACCCGACCAATCGCTATCAGATCACCCTATGACCTTAACGATCACTCCATACCTTGCTCACTGTGGGACTCATAGCACGCTGGCATAGAGTACCGATTGCTCGTCATCGCAGTCAGCCTTTACGGGGCAATGTTATCACTAGACCACTTAAAAGGAATGGTAATCAACTAATTCAAACATATAGCTGCATTATCTGCTGTTTTGCAAGCTGGTTAGCTTAGGTAAGGTTGCTGGAAGGAGGGGATGAGCTTGGATAGGTAGGCTTGTAGTGCAACTTTCGGCTTCGGCCGGTTTTCACCTTTACCGGGATTTCACCTCACTCTATTGGTAATTATTGCCGGCTTCACGTCTTTCTGTTGCCGAACGCTACAGGTGTCATCCATGATGCCGTCCATCATGTCTGAGCGCGAGTATCAATCGTCCTCTGGGTACCGTGCACATTACATGGCCTACTGACTTAAACACTGTATCCTGCGTTATCTCTCCTCCTGTGGGTTCCTTCAACTTACACCTCTGTTGTGTCTCCGCCTCCAGGAAGTGGTCTTGATTACTTATTCCTATTTCCACAAATGTGATAGTGTTTCTCCGTCAATCCGCTGATGTGGTATCATGTCGGTTATGATATTTTGACCGGCAATATGATGTTTCTGTTACCAGTATGAGAGCTGTAATGCTCATGAAATGTTCATCACGGGTGCAATATGATGTCTCTTATCGCGTCTCTCCGCTTCATTGTTTTTGTTCCTCCAGTTGAATTTTCTTCGATGTCCCAACATATAGCTAAGATTATGGGGTTACTGTTGACCTTCCCTTTCATAAAATAAAAAATATTGTAAGTTGAATTGTTTCATATATCTAAAAGACGTGCATCTGTTAAAATAAGTTCGTATTCGGTCATGTTACCACGGATTTTTTGGCGCAAAATCCATCACCATGGGCAATTTTAACATCACGAAGTGCCTATTGATATTATGCCATATGACCCTGCCGACGGTAATAGGTCATGAATTTGTGTGCAATTTCGGAGGTGCAAGAGGTTTCCTTAGCACAAAAGCTCTCGTTAGCTGCCACGCATATATCCAATACAATAAATTCTCACCTGTGATATGCCCACACCAGGTGAACGACATCGAATATGTTTGGCATCCTCAAACAAAGTCAGATGATCAATCGCGTATTAACGCGTACGTTTGTGAAAATGGCAGGTTTTGTTCTGTTGCTCTTTCGGATGTCGTGCGTACTGAAGCACCACGTTCATTGTTTCGAATGGAGTCGAGTGAATCACACAGTACGCTGCATCTCGACCTGACACATGACGATATATATACCATTATCGAACGCCGTTTGGTCTTCCTCTGTGGACCGCGAGATTTGGTTTTGAGTGATGCATTGCAACGGCACCTTGACCGACTGGATTATCTTGATTTAATGGACATTCTTCCATGGTCTCCAGTCACGCCGTTGGTTCAAGAAATAGCGAAGATAGGGACGGGATTGGGCATGCTCATTTTGTACCGGGGTCTAACGCATCTACCGCTTCAAGGATGCGGTAGTCGTCCGTCACCGCTTTTTGCCGAGGATAATGAGGTGGTTGTGGACGCTGTGACTGGTATTCGTTCATGTCTGGCAGATCCTATGCTCAAAGCACCTATTGGGTTCCTTTGCGATGGCCGACTAGAACCTGACGATTGCATGAGATCACTCCTGGACAATCATGGACGCGCTATTACTGCTCCTTCACCACACAAATATTGGGAATTTGAACATCATGAACCTTGGGTAGTAGCACAGTATTTTAATGACTTCGCGTTGCCGCCCATCAATGGCGAATGTAGATGCATAAATCCTGAGACAGGTCAATTGAAAGCCAGGATAGAGATCCGTTCAAAAACCGACTACATTTGTGACATCGCCAGTAAGGTCTTACAGAATCGTTTCCACCCTATTCATGGTCCTTGGTGTTCTGTGATGTTACACCCGGGCAGTACGTTGACCATAAGGTTGCCAGCAAAGATCGTTAACTCCACTGCTACTGACGGAGGTATCGATGGCGATATTGACGAGGATTTTTCGGCTCTCCCCTTCTCACAACTGCCGTCTGTATATGAGTACGAAACTGATTTTATGCCGAAGGACTTGATTACTCTACGACAACTGAAAACAGTTGGTGATATCAATACTTACGACGAAATCCCATACTACGAAGCCCTTGTTGGCGATGCCCTCGAGCTGGATGTTTCTCAAATCTCACAGGGAGAGGTGAAGCTGAAGTACCAGCTGGGAAAACCGCTAGCGTTGCGAGAAAGGTCCAATTCATTCTTTTATCATTGGACCTTGATATCAAGAAACGAGAGCGTCCCCGATAAGATTAGAGCTATTGTCAATGTGGCCTTTACGTTTACGCATCGCTACAAGATGATTGGTTGCGATCGAGGACCACACAGCGTCTTTGACCCTAAACTTAACAAGAGGTATTGCTCATTAAAATCTATGGGAAACGGTATAGGGGATATTTACGAGTGTTTATTCAACCAAATGTGGGATCGTCGGCTGGCTGGCATCCACTGCAGACCAGACGAGGACCTGTTGCCAAACAACTGTGAATCCGTTGGATACAATCTCGTTTCCAACCATATTATGCCATTCACTGAATCTATGCGCAGTGCCATGCCCTACCCAATTCAAGGATTTAAAGTGTTCAAGTTGTATTTCACCAAACGTGACCCTGTAGGCTACGCTTGCATCTGTGTTGACCAACGTGGATACGAAACATCCAGACTTATTCTAGAAAGCAATGCTCACGCGACTCATACGTACTTAGTGCGTCGCGAAGAAGCGTCTCAGACGTTGATACCTTACTTATTACTGCCGTGGCATGAGGTTGAATTTTCAAGTAGATGGCTCATAAGGCCAAAACCGCTTATGTTAAACGACGTATCTCAAAAGTCAGTTACCCTGCAAGTTGGGGAACATTGGACCATGCATTGTGAATTTCATCCCGAATTGCGAAATTTTGCAAATAATGGAATAAGTAAAACTACATGGCTGCCAAAGCAACCTGAAGAATATTATTATACCGTTAATTATACGACAGATGGGCCTGAACTTTTTCGTCGGCGATACAGAGATTCAATAGCTACCACGCCGGGGGGCCTGAAGGTCAGATACGAAAGGTGGTACAATAGACCTAACTACCACATTCTGACGATCAACTTTAAAATGACTGCAGTATTGATATCCAAAGACCCACTGCACAAGAAATATGTGCCCATGACGTTCGTCTGCGGAAAGGCTCTTCAACCATCAGATTTGTCCACTGTCACAGGTAACCCTTCTACTTCGGGATCAACTTCACTGCCCAATATGCGGTCTATATGGTCTACGCCGCGATACACGTGGAATGTAGTGGAAGTTGCCGTCGAGACCACCGACCCGCACATGCAGGGCTGCGGCGTCACATACGCGTCGGATGAGTTATTCAAGCCTGAGACACCCCAACTCTACGACGCTGACGGACAACCTCAGTTCGGTTGCAAGATCGATCTTCAGGCTGCCAAGGAAGCTGCATTCTACTGCCCAGCGCCGTACGTCCTGGACCCACCCAACTGCTTCAGCCAGGTATCTGTGGGCGGCCTAGTCACGAACGTAGGTGAACTCAGCCAGTCGTTGGTGGCATCGAGGTCCAACCACTTCGTCATACTGAGTTTTGATGATTCTCTGGTAGGACCTGGGGAGACACTGCGCCAGACGCCGCCATTGCAATGCCGCTGCGTCACCGTCAAAGGGATCGTTCTCTCCACCATCCAGATCGAGAACTATTACGCTAAGTGATAAGTGACTGAGATTTGGTAACTTGTCAGTGAACTGTGGAAATTAATTTGCTTTCATTGTTGATGTTGCTGCGTGTGTTGATTTTTGTCTGTTTCAGTGGCAGCGTGTCCTTAGATTCGAATGTGATTATTAAGATCGACGATTTAACAACATGCGGTTGTATTTATAATATGTTTGAGGAGAAATATACCAGTATAATTGTGTGGAGTGGAATGACGTCCCACCATATCTTGACTTGGTTTTTTGTAATACGGGAATGAGGATGGTGTCGCACCCTCATTTGCACATATATTCACAAGTTGAGATATAGGCAATGACCTTAACACGTCGGAAAGCGCAACGTCTGGTACGTGGAACTGAATTTATATTACTCCAGTAATATTGTTACACAACTACTGTGCCACTGCCTGGGCATACCATACCATTGGTGAAAATGGCTGCAAGAGTGGTTTCATGGGCTTAATATATGCTCACAGCTCATTGAATCAGATGATCTGTAAAGATAGAGCGAGCCATACTGACAATTGAAAAATGGGTTTCGAGGTATCGTCGGGCTCATCCACATCCATCGCAGCTGATGGGATGGATGATCACAAAACCTTCAATGCCTCAATGAGTTGTTGGGCACTGGGAAGATTATTAACGTGTTGGTGATGATGTTGCAACTGTACGTGAGTGAACAACGTTCGGCAATTCTCAACGCAATAAGAAGACCGATCTCACTAGGGGTGGTATGTGAATCATTCTCACTATGCGTAGTTAAGTTTTAGCATAATAGTGACATAGGGAACGCATAGTGCACTAATGATTATGTCTATTCATTCACAGCGGTCAATGGTCAGTTGAAGTGCGAAGTCGTCGGTTATAGTACCCAAGATGGCCCATCCTTCCGTCCGAGAACATTGCGTGGCCTCACGGACTAGAGATAGCCTGCAACTTATTGTGCAATGTAGTTTCGTATGTTAATCTTCTATTGCAATTGCTGAGTTGTAATAGTCACCGGTGTCGTCCGATAGTAGCACAGTACCCAGACCGAGTCAGTGGCGTGGGAGAGGAGTTGGGTCATCCGCCGGGTGAGTGAGTAGCATCACAGTTGTTGCAATGTGGATGTATGCCCATGTGCGACATTCTGTGAATATGCGGCCTTATCTAATTGAACGCCGCAGTTGATTTGCATCTACGGACAACATTGCGGTGAGAGTTGAAATCGTAACCCCGGACTGTGCCCCAGCATCCACTTCGCGGGGCGCCCCGCAAACATTGTTCGGCCCTATTTGTCACCTCAAGATGATTGCATCGCGCTTGAGCACAGTAGCAGTGTGAGTGGTATATTGACGTTCTTTTCGGACCAAACGAAGGTGAGAGTAACATGATTCAAATTGTGCTGGCAAACTAACATATCAATGCACGTGTCAGCTGTGGATATTAGCGATGTGTAAAACGTGAAAGATTTTGAAGCGCCGTTACGATAGCGTACCTGGACTATAGCCTGGTGGTATCTTTCTTTTCGGAGACTAGTTTATGGTCTCAAGGCACGCTGCTAATTCTTTTACGAGATGGCTTCTCAAGTGGATAGGCGCACGATGAAAACGCCTGCCGAAGATGAGGAAGGGGGGTCTGTCAAAGTGTGTTTCTGTGGGTGGGGACAAGGATTTGGAGAAGTCGCGGATGCTGAGGGAAAATTTAGCGATTAGTTATTCTTTGTATCATTGTGTCCTTCTAATCTTCACGGACTCGAGAACTCTACTAGGAATTATACTGTTTGTTAATGGCTATAGCGATGATGTCATCACTGTTATAATCGCTGATATAATTGACGGTATTTTCGGTGGCGTCGTGGGTGGTGTCATGGTTCTCATCATCGATAGTGTTATCCGTCGTTTATTTCCCAGCCTTCGTAGCGACAGGGTTACTGAGGGCGGAGATGATAATCCGGAGGCTTGCGATGGTAGAAGGTCAGCACCAAACTCCAGACATGACCGCAAGGACAAATGAACGTTGTGAAGAGCTTTATAACCACGGGAATCGTTACGTCGGGGTGGTGGCGTGCAGTCCTTCCCGTGCAGAAATCCGGCCGGAGGAATTGCCGTTGGACTAGGTTCATGAATTCTACCTCAACGCGTGTACACTCAACCCGTGCCCTGCACCTCCTTCCATTAACACTGATCACGTAGCACACGTAACGTGGAATCTGAAGGTGATGCAATAAGAGTTCATTGCTTGATTTATTTTGGGGCACAGTGTGGGTGGTAATCTATGTCCCTAGCTGATTAGCGCCTTCCTGGGTGAAAGGCAGAATTATTTTCCAGGAGATAGTTTGGAATGTCAGTTATGAGGTAGGCGGCTGATCAATGAGTTAGTCTAGGACGTCCGAAGGGACGACCAAGGGACAGCGTTGGTCGTAATATACTACTTGTAGGCCATTGTAATATTTCAAAACCAGACGCGTCGCTGCAGATTGACTAATATCGCAACGTTCAGCATACACCATATTGTCTGAAAGTAACCTACGACAATGACATGCGTGCTGCATGTCACGTTACTTGTGTAGATCTGGATGCGAGCCGCTGTTATTCCAGCACCGCAACTTCATCACTTGCCTGTTTGGTGTGTGGACTGGGGTTCATATGTCGATAAGGGGTCTACATATTAGAAGGCCACAGCGCTGTTGTTGATCTGCTATTAAGACACAGCTGCTCAAATGTGCGTGCTGCTTGTTAAATCGACCATCCAATAGACGAAAAATACATTCGTGTATAGATCTAGTAATTTAACCACTCATTGCAAAATGGTGTACACTTCGTTGACGGAGGCTCCTCACAACCTCAAGGAGGGTATTGACTGGTTGATGGCCCTGAGGGGGAAGGATGGTGAAAAGAACTTGGCGGCTATGGGTGCCGCACTTTACGATTTTTTCGAAGACAAGCCGGTTGGAAAGATGGAGCTGCCAGCTCTCGAGAAAATAAAAAGCATTTCTAAAGAGTTCATGGAGAACCCGGCACTTAATTATATGTGGCCCGCCAACGAGCTGCTGAGGAGATTCAGGGCGCCCATGAGTAAGAAAGGACCCATTTGTCTCGGTAGCTGCTTTGGAGCTACACTCGAAAGCGACTATAAGAACGTCGTGAAAACCAAGAATCTCACTGTCGAAACAATCGCAAAGAAATTAGGTAAAGTCGTGGATGGTTGTGAGAAGTTCCTAGAAAAAATAAAAAGCCCTGATGGGTATAAGCCGTCTTACAACTCAGAAGCCACATGGGATGCGTCATGCGCAAAGGACCCGGAAGCTTGCGCAGTGGTCCTGGTGGGGAGCGCCGATGCTGTACACGGGTTTGCGTTGTTTGCGCAAGGCAAGTCATGATGCAACCTCGGCAACGATGCCGTTTACGGCGTGTACGAATCTAGGAATTGCATTGAAAGCTCTGGGTTACGAGGGGCCGGAATGCTGCGCTAAAATTAGTGGTTCTTATGTCTACAAGGCCTTGAAAAATGTGAAATACCAAATGTTGGTCACACTCTACGACCTCGCCGGCTTCTGGGCCTTCTATTGAGCGGCGTGGCAGGTGAGCCGTAGAATCAGATCGGTCAACAAGGAATCTCTTGAGTCTTCTCACTAAGTGGTTATGCGAATTCCTGTACGATGCGCTATGTGGCCACACACGGCTGATGCTGCTTTTGGTCTCTAAAAGGCGCCCCCTTCGCATCCTGTACGAATACTACTCATGAAGCATCGCATGGCCCTCTGATTAGTGCTCCCCTCAGAATGGGCGACTCACAGACTCCGATGCAACACTAGTTCTCGTGCCGTACTTATCGCTTTCTCGTATGGCACCAATCACAAATCAATGGGTTTCATGAATCAAGTACAGTTGAACATGAGGTTCTGCGTAATATTTAAACTAACAATGCATCCCAATGTGTACCCCGTAGCGCTATCGACTACATGACGACACGGTTGGGCTGCTACCTACATACTCTGGCGGTTTTAATATACACACCATTTATTGCTAGAGTCCATTGCATCAGAAGCTATATACCGATAGCATAAGCGTTGTCTACGTTTTCTCCACGGCAGAGAATGCGTGTTTCATGTTCTCTAGGACGTCACTTGGAACAAGGATGGAATCTCCCCCAAGGTAGACATCTGCCTGCATCTTTTCGGCCATGTCGTGGACGGTTCTCATCTCCGAAAATGTTATTCCACCTATGATATACACCATGATGCGCCCGCCTCTTGGATCTTGCTGTTTATTGGCAGCTTCCGTCTGCACGCTTGGGAACTTCTCATCTTCGAGCGTACCGGAGATAACCCGTCCTATGACGTGCATGATATCGGGCTGGTATCGTGACAGTTCGTACTCTCCCCCATTGCCGTGCTTTTTGTAGTACGTATGTGCGTCGCATTTGTCGTGCAGCCGGTGGGATATCTTATTCGATCCTGCAGACCGGGGTGAAACAGCTGCCCCGGAAGGAGTGAACACCGAAGCTATACCCAGTTCTACGAATTTTTCAACGACGGTTGCGTCGAGATTCGAAAGGTGGGCAGTTCGCAGTAGTTCGGAAATATGGGTTTGCGTAACGTTTCGGTAAACCGAAACGTACAGCAAGATGAGCCTTATCTTGGTTTCATCGTCGATTCCTACATCCTCGAGAAAAGTATTGAGTTGTTGGAGCGCCTTGGAGTGGCTCAGTTTATTGCCATGATGATCGACATTGGTGGCGAGGTCCTGTTCGAGTTCCCCGACCTTAACCAGCTTCTTGGCCTCAAGTTGCTCGAACGAACGTTCCGTCAGTGTAATGTGTGCGTAGTACTTTTCCACTAAATACCTTGTCTTCGGAAGTTCTCTCACAGCTTTCAACACTTCGTGCGTGCCTTTGGCATTGTGTAATGTGCCGTTGGCGGCTTCACCAGCAAATTTCTCGATTTCCTCCGATACCACCTCATTGACCTTCTGAATGTGCAGATGCTTGAATCGCTTCCAGAGCACGTCCGTCTGGCCGGATAACATAACTCCGCGTTTTTCGCGTTTCCCGGAGGTGGCAACGTAATCGAACTCCCAGATGTCGTCCTTTCTCTGCTCTACAGGGTCGCTACAACAGGGTATGCGCAAGACGTCGTACACAAATGCCTGGTACGTATATTCGTGGATGTGCAACGGCACAGGGTCTATGGACCGATCAAGCACAAGCAACACGTCGCCCGGCTTACGTGTCACCTCACCGGCGGTAGCCATGATAAGCTCAGACGTGGCCTTTGCGACGAGCTGCGGAAGTCCGCTCGCCACTGCGTGGTACCTGATTTGCGGCATGCTTCCGAGCACTGAGCAGAGTGATGCCAACCTCGAGGCGATGGATTTTGCGATGCTGCCTATGTGGGTTGGGTAGAGGTTGAGCAACGTAAATCCCATGTTACCGTGGAAGATACGTTCCTCGTATGCGATGAAGTTGAGATGGAGCTCGACGCATCCTAGCACCCGTTCTGTGTCCACCTCTTCCGCGATCTTGCGCAGCGCACGGTCGTCCTCGAGGTGGCAATTGAACACTAAAAACGCCGACTTGTATATTTCTGAGCCCTCTTCGAAGTCATCAAGGAAGTAGTCGACAGATCCTATGTCTTCGCTGAGCAGGTAGACCGCTACCCTGTTTTTCATGGGCTGCCGCCTCTTAGTGATGAGTTCGACGAGGTCGACTCCCTCATCTAGAAGTTCGCTAACCGTGCAGCACGCTGATACGACGCGTAGACTGCGCTGGTCAACCAACAGAACAACACGTCCAAACGGCACGACGACCTGCCGTATCGCCCATAGCAGACCTGCGAACCATGGAATTCCACACGTATGGCAACCTACGCTCTTTGGCTGCGGCCTTGAGTGACATTATTATATGCGATATAACTACATTAATGTTGTCTCTCCGTCACCAGCGGGTAAACGAAGCGCGTGGTAGATGCGATGTGCACAGCGACTCTAGTGTGCACCTTGCCAAAAAGTCAATAGTATCTCCGTAATTTCTTTCATGATCATTACATGGGGACCATCGCTATGCTCCCTCATGGAATTTGTGACGATGAGCTCGGAACAAATTTATGTGCGTCTTCGCGGTATTGCATCAGCAGACCTTCCACTGGAGATGCGGCGGCGCCACTCATACAAACTCCCCCTTATATGTGTATGTATTTCGGTGCTTAAAAGGCTTTTCGAGCCGCTTTGAAAGTGTTGTTGCGGGATGCAACGTCACAGATCGCATGTAGACACCACACGACGCACATACTGCATCGTAGACACGCTATGCTATTGTTACAATACAAACATTTAGTATCACACTCTGGTGAGCATGAGCGAGTCCGTAGGCGGTGCGTTTTGCGTGAACGTGTCCGCCATCTCGAGAGGGACACCGCGAATGTTTCTCGCGGGAGGCATGTCATGCACAACGTGCAACACAGTAGCCGGGCGCCGTAACGCAGAGAGGTGTTGCCATACATGGGTAGGGTTCTTGCGCGCCTTAGCCGCATCTTTATCCGCAGCGTGGTCCACATGTGAAATATTATGCTCCAATGTGAGCGGGGGCACGAGTTGCGTATGCGGGAAGCGCACATACCATCCCTCCTCCTTTGACCCTGCAAAGCCGTATGCGTACTGCATTACCCTGACAAATTTGGGTGCGCCCCTTTGGAAGGGGTTGTTGCGGAACAGCGCCGTAGTTGCTGACTTGTTGTGAAGCAGCGCACGTAATAGCTCCAACATGAACCTCGGCACAGCCGTGGGTTCTGAACGTGCGCGTTGGCTTGCGACATCGTGGATTAAATTGTCAAGCTCAAAAGTGTATCCAGGCACCATTGGAGGCATTCGTGTAGTGTCTACTGGCGCACAAGGCAACTCGTATTGCTTCCACTTCGTGGCGGCCGTCACAACGGGATCGTCTGTGCCCTGTATCACCAACTCATACCTCTGGTCGGGGAGTACCCCAAAACCGTCATAGCTGTTAACTATGCCAAGCGGAGCCTTTATTCCGGCAACCGCGCTATTATATTTGGCCGAGCGGATGAGCAGCGGCATCGCATAGCAGCATACGACCAGGGCAACAACAGATTGCAGTATGTAGCTGCACATGGAGTAGAGCCTGCGCTTGGTATGACACAGTCCCATTTGCAGTTCAGTAACTCCTATCCACAGCCAGACGCTCCACACGCTGAATCCGGTGGTCATGAATTCCATCACCAACCACATATGCAACGCGAATAGCGTTCCAGCGGCGGTGATGTAAATTTCGTGCGTTCCGATAGCATCGCACTGGACGTGGAGAATAAGGGCAAGGCAGAATATGAGGAGCGCCTTCAAGCCCATGTGGGACCTACCTATTACGATATTCGCTGCTACGATCGCTGTAAGGAAGACGAGTACGAGCTGTATTCCACGTTGCATGTATATGTGCTGCTCCTCCGTCCAACTCATACCAAATGAATCGTGGGAGAAAAGTGCATCTCTTATGTACCTTTTCTTTGCCCTGTACGTCACAGCGTTGACTAACTTGGACCCGAAAGTCTCGTTCGCATCTTGGTCATTGCCATCAGCTTCAACATCATCAGACGCCTGCACTACAGCTGAAACAGGGACAGTTTCATCTTCTACATCATCTCCATACAGCTTAAATAAGCTGTATAGACGGTTATCCCATAGGAATTCAAGTGCTGCGTCATCGAAGCAGAATAATGCACAGGCACCCAGCAGCAGGTAGAAGCTTCCGAAGTTCCCTAAGCAATTCATAAAAAGTGCATAATTCAGCGCGATGCAACCACCAACTAGCCTACAGGCACGGGGGCTCACTAGCAAAAATATCGAGGCGACGCATTCGACGAACAACAGCGTGTTGGTGGCAAAGGCATTTACCAGCGGCCGTGCATCCAACATATTGAAGAAGAGGTGTGTCAGCGGGTTAGGCAAAGGCACGTCCAGGAGCATGTACTTGAAGGCCGTTCCATCGGCCCAATGTGGACTCCCACGGATCTTGGAGACACCGGAGCAGAACATGATGCGGTACACCAACAAGCGGTATGCCCACCTGCATGCCATGGGGACATCCCAATCTTTGTCTGGCTTCTCAAACAGTGAGAACGGCGAAAGTAGGAATATGGCGATGAAACCCGCTTCCAACAGGAGCAAGTCAGCATTATGCGTCGGCAGCGTAGACCTAAGAGCGATTAAAGCGAACTTCAAAACCCAGAGCATGAGGCACAGCGCCAGACTGGCCATTCCAGTAACTCCCACCAGCAGGCTGACCGCCATGCCCGCAATGGCAATCACACGGATACAGGTGTCGCATATTGGCAGGAATGCCGAAACATCCGGCAAAACAACCCCCTGTTTACTGCTCGCCAAGTCGGTCAGATGCACAATGGCTGGCCACACACCATCTTGTCCAATCAGTCCCACATCTTGATTAAAGTGTCCCAAAAAGGAAACAAAGTAAACAAATGCCAGTACGCGCAGGAAAACGTCCCTGCAAACGTTGTAGGAGTTCTCCTTAGCACACTCTGCCTCTGCTCTCGCGATCAACAAGTCGGCCTGCTGGTCAGCAGGGTACTCGTAGTTACACGCTGTCAGCGGACTAACCTCTCCACTACCTAGCGAGTATACGTGCGGCTCATCGGTAGGCTCTCGTCTCACGAGCGCCATCTTACGGTGTCTATCGGCCCGCGCGTCCGACGCGCCGGCGATTGAGGTGCGCTGCGAGCAGTATAACTGCTTTGTACGACAGCCTAGGTTATATTAACGTCATACAGCGGATATTGTGCTCAAGACATCTCGTCTTAATGGTGTTTCGCGTTGGTGTGTTTTTTGTGCAGCGCTGTGCAGCTTCGGGGTACCATCAGTTGAGCTAGGTGCCGGAGACTGGTACAACGCATATTTTACGTGTCTTCGCGGCCGAATAATCTCGGTGCGGTGTGCGTAAAGGTTTCTGGAAGGCTACGGGCCTCGCGGGCCGTGTTTACTGCATCTTACACAGCCTTATCGTGCCCCACACCGCTTTTCGCTTTATGCATGGAGTACCGACGCTGGCATCCTTCGCTTTTCAACGGCGGACGTCTCCAACGGAGACTTTACGGGTGTTACCATTCCGTTATGTACAATAGAACCATGAGAGGAACGTCGCTTCTTGCCTTCCTCGCCTCCGCCGCGCCGCGCGTGCTGGTGTCGTGGTCGTATATCCTGCTGCGTCCGCGTTTCGCTCACGCGTCCCCACTTCAAATGTCAAGCATCGGAGGTCCTAATTCAACTTTCGCGTATAATTTTCCAAGTTCTACGGTTGAAAGCGACGCTACTGTCATAAGGGAGCCGATGGAAGACGGTGTGTACGACTTCGCCGTCATCGGCGGAGGTTGCGGTGGATTGGCCGCCGCAAAGGAGGCTGCCAGTTTGGGTGCCAAAACCATTCTCTTCGATTACGTGCGCCCATCCCCGCGGGGGACTACTTGGGGCCTTGGAGGCACCTGTGTTAATGTGGGCTGTATCCCAAAGAAGCTGATGCACTACGCTGGCATTTTGGGACACGCTTCGCATGATCGTGAGGCACTTGGTTGGGGAAGCCATGATGGATCACACGATTGGGGTCGTCTTGTAGGCGTAAGTTATTAATATACGGCGATTTTACTCTGCCGCAGACCGTACAGAACTACGTCAAGATGCTCAACTTTTCCTACCGCTCGGGACTTATTTCCAAGAGCGTTGAGTACGTCAACGCTCTGGCGAGCCTTGCGGACAAAAATACAGTGACTTTCACCGACAAGAAGGGACAGGCGCAGCAGATCAAGGCTAAGAACGTGCTGATCGCCATCGGGACACGTCCCACCATCCCCAGCGACGTAAAGGGGGCATGGGAGTATTCGATCACTTCTGACGATTTAATGAGCAGGAAAGAGCCTGTAGGTAAGACGCTAGTAGTCGGCGGCTCGTTCGTTGCTCTGGAGTGTGCCGGTTTCCTTACCTCTATGGGTTACGACGTGACTGTTGCCGTCCGTTCTCTTGTGCTTAGAGGATTTGACCGCCAATGTGCGGACAAGGTGCAAGAGCTTATGTTGGCAACTGGTACCAAATTCAGGAACGGAGTTGTGCCAAAAGTCATCACCAAACTCGACAATGGCAGGCTCCGCGTCGAGTTTATCGATGGAAGCTCTGACGAATTCGACACCCTGATGTATGCGACTGGCCGTTCTGTGTCTCAAAACATGCGAAAGGAACTCAGCGCTATAGGTGTCAAGTTTAGCGAGTACGGCAGAATCATAGCCGAGGATGGCCAGACCTCTGTGGAGGGCGTGTACGCCGTTGGTGACGTCGTGGAGGGCAACCCCGCTCTGGCCCCGGTTGCCGTGAAGGACGGTGAACTGCTTGCCCGCAGGATCTTCGGAAACTCAAAGAAGAAGGTGGGTTTTGCCAGTACCAATGTGACACTTCGCAGATTGACCTGAACTACATTCCTATGTGTGTCTTCACGCCGTACGAATATGCGCGGTGTGGAATTTCGGAGGAGACAGCCGCCGAACTTTACGGGGATGACTTTGATGTCTACCTGAAGGAGTACACGACTCTCGAGTTCGCGGCTGTGCACCGAGAGAAGGTAGAGAGCGTGCGCAACGATGAATACGACGTCGACATGCCCCCTACATGTTTGTCCAAAATGATCTGCAAAAAGGATGGCACCGTTGTCGGTGTGCACTTTGTCGGCCCCAACGCCGGGGAAATAATACAGGGCCTATGCATGGCCGTACGCAAGGGAATCACCAAGGACGAAATAGACGACACCATTGGTATCCACCCAACGGACGCAGAGAGCTTCGTAAATCTCACTGTCACGAAGAGGTCCGGTGAGTCATGGGTGTCGAGCCAGGGCTGCGGTGGTGGTCGTTGCGGTTAATAATGGGAGTGTTACGAACCACACCTTGTATGTAGTAATTTGCTACAAATATGTATAGCCTTAATATCTATCGCAACGTTCGCTGCTAGTGTGGCGGTGCCGGTGTGTCTAATTTCGTTCTTGCCGGCCGGCCGCCCGCTGTGGGACGTGTTGCACCGATGTGTAGACTGCCAATGGGCGTAACACGGCCATTTATGCACACCGTATAAATGGACAGGCCCACGCATAAGTTGGGAGCAAAACGGCGCCTTTGCGGCGATGATGTCGCAGCGGCGCCTACGATGGTGAAGCGACCTGCAACAGCGCCTCCCGCAGCCGCCAGCGGTAACCAGCAGGATTTGCTCTCCTTATTTACTGACTGCATGAGCGCTTTGTCTACAAACAAGATATGCAGTCGCAACGCCTTCGAAATCGGCTTCATCGACCACATGACAGACCTGGTACACTTGGACGGTGGTTCCGACGATGATGAGAGCATACCAGAGCTTCCGTCTAGTGATCCAGTATCTGCTGCGAGCCGTAGGTTGAATTTCACGCGTGCCTCGAAGGTTGTGGAGAGTGCCAGCAAGATTTACGGCTACCGCATCGAGGCCATTTACGACCAGACCTTTAACGTGCTTATGAGCATGAATAGCGCCAATCAATCTGAGGGAGGCGGTCCGTTGACCACTGCTGAAAAGTCACGAAACCGGACTCGTGTCAAAGTGGACTACACGTCAGGCTCACGTACCTTGGCACCAGAGGCAGACGTCACTCTGTCCGAGATACCGGTCGATAACGTTGTTCTAGACCCGTACTTCCTTAAGATATCGTCGATGTTCGACCAGAGCGGCGCGCAGGGGTTGCTTCTGACCAATTTACAGGTCACAGACGACCTCTCACTGGATCTTGACGGTGATAGCATGGTCTTCTCGCCTCCGAATGCGCTGCACGCAGAGGCAACTGCAGCCTATTTATCGTGCAATGCCGTTCGTAAAGTGGCTCTGAGCAGTGTAACTGACGTATCCAAGCTTGAAATTTTGCCTGAGGCATCATACTTCCGTAATCAACTACAACGCCTTCAGGACCTGAAACGCAGGAGGCAAAGTGGCGCCGCCACTGACATGGACGCGTACACAGAACCGCAACAGGATGCAGCATCGTTAATGGATCTACATGATTCAGGGAGCGCAGCGGATCCATACGTCGACGATTGTTCTTCCGATGTGGCGCTGACGCAGCCGGATCCTGGCATGGAAGGACCGCCGTATGGATTCCTGGACACAGGCTCCGATGGATACTTAGGTGCCACATTTTCCACCGTTTCTATGAATTCTGATGGAGCTACAGCAGCGTCAATAGCGACTTCAAACTCTTCACGTGCCTCCATTGCTTCGTCCGTGACGGTTCCACAAAGATTAATCCGTGCTCTCGGTGGTACGACAATGAGCATTAAACAGCGTTTGGCTGAGATAGATTTGTTCGGAGGATCTCAGTTTTCGTATTATATGCCAAACATTAAAATGGCAAGTGCGGGCAACCACGAGACGACTCCTGCTGGTCTCGACGGGGCCGGCAGGAAAACGGACAAGTCGGCAAAATACAGAGCAGCTGACCACAGAGACATATTGGCTTTCATGCGATCGCGCTCCGCATCCGAGGAATTTGACAGCATCGATCGCATCAACGGGATGCTGCAGGCCAGAACGCCGATTCGGCCGCATGGGATATTTACGGCGCCCGATTACACAGGGTCGATCTTCAAGTTCAGTGACGCCTTTTTAACACGCCTGTGTACGTTAGGCAACCGCATGCTGAGGCTGGCAAATGATAATGACTGGCGAACGTTACAAGCGGAGAATCAGGCACCGCCCGTGCTGCATATTCACTACACAAGGGACCAAGAGGCGCCGTTCAGCTTCATGCGCATCGGCGAAAACTTTTCATGGAAGGAGGACGAAGAGGTGGGGCTTTCACGGGATGAAGATGCCTGGTTTGCCTACCAGGACGTGGTAGAGGGCAGCGCGTCGGAGTTTGGTCTGGACGAGATGGACAGCGACGCTATGCACATCTCGGCGAGTCAGGACCACTCCTTGCAAATTTCCATCGACGACATGTATGAGGAAGATACGTTTGATGTGGATTTGCCGCGAAGTCAGCCTGTAGATGGCGGTTCAACACTGGAATCAGCACCAGAAGCCAATCACGGCGCACTAGTGCCTGCACCGGTGGCAGTTTATGTGGACATTTTCAAAATCAAAAAGACGCTGTGCAGCGTGGTATTGCCTCCTCCGGATTTCCAAGAGGCTCTGGAGGACGGCATTTCACTCGGAAATGCCAGCGCTTCTTCACAGCCTCGCAGGGAGACCAGTTGCATGTTCCAGAGGGCCATCAGCGAAACGCTGGACCGCTTACAAAGCTCAGACGTCGCCGCGCTTAGCAGCCACATCATGTTCGTATGCCTGCTACACGTTTGCAACGAACAGAATCTACTTTTGCGACAGGGCGCCGCATTGGAGGACTTCCAAATCTGCGTCGACGCGCCCAAGGAGCACCACCTCGGTAACTTTTCGAGCACGTTGTCCACTTGAACTGTGAAATGTTCTCAATACTATCGCTATATCTCCTGTTCTCTGTTGTACAAGCCAGCGTAAGGCCGAGATCGGCTGTCTTCGGCACGCTTCAGACGCCGCCACCGCCGAGCGGCAACGCCACCTTCCAGGTTTGCCATATTGGATGTCTACGAGTCAAAAGTTAATCAGTTCGTGGGTGTGTACGATCCTGAGTCCGGTGTACATTGGCGTGCTCGGCGCAGGCCGATAACCGAAGGCCTGTCGCTGTGGCTGCGCGACGTTGCGGACGCTGTGCGTTTTCACGACTCCAGGCCGCTGCGCGACGATTGTCCGCCTAGATTCCTATACAGAATATTCATTCTGGACAAGTTGGTGAGTTTGAGGTTCGCCACTCCATGAAAACGCTGCAGAATGCCATTAAGAACGCAGCTAAGCGAGGGCTGGTAACGCTCACCGTAGAAGGGAACACTCTCACCGTGACGCGCACTGGATTTCTGCGGAAGGTCGCCACCAACCGCTTCTAATGTTTTATCTGTCTTCATAGCTGTACGTTATGCTTCGGTGAGCCGGAAAAGCCGAGATTGCTGTTTTGCTGTTATATGGCGGGGTTGAATCTGTTTTATTGTACGGAATTATGTCGACAGCGAATTTTTAAGCTACTATTGAATACTGTGTGCTATGAGATAATAGAATGGATGCTATGAGATTGTTGGTGAGTATACTTGTCCGCCATTTCCATAATACCGTAGTATGAACATTACATGATTCTGGGGTCTGTTCCAGTGAAATGACACCCTTTGCGATCTAAAAATTCTACATGTGCTACGTGAAGCTACATTATGTCCTTGGACTAGAAGGCGGAGTATCGATCAATGTCCATCTCCCCGGGAATGCTTCCACCGACAAGATTACTTGACGGTAATTTGACACGTTCATGTGGTTTGGCAAATGCGGCACATATGGTAATCATCACCTTAAGTGCATTGTCATGAAGCATATGCCAGAAAATGAGGATTATGAGCAGAATTACAGGGATGTGGCCACCATATTCGCCCGTGTCCGCCACTGGTGGCGGCAAAGCAATGGAATGCAAGTTCGGCAGAGTTACCACGATCAAAGATTGAGTTATGAAGTGATGCAATATACTGGGGTTAATGCGCCTTGCACTCAACAAGCGCCCCAGAAGTTTGACAACGGGGCATATAACGAACATCGCCAGTCTACACCGATCCCTCATAAGCCTGAGAAGGCGCATAGGAGTGTAAGGCACCATTTTTAAAATGCGGATATCCGCACAAGATCTGCGGAGCCTGGCCATTGAAGCGTGCTAAGCTGAAAGGGCAGCCCACCAAATTGTGTCGTTAAGGTAATTAAAGATTAGTTAAGAACTGTGTTTGGCCTCACGTGACGGAAGCAGTATTGTAAAGGAAGATTTTATGCATAAATGTGGCTATCATTGCGTCTCATAAAGTCGAAATGTTTCGTGAGAGTTCGCATGATGCCAACTCGCTGGGGAACCAGAGTAAGATTCGTTGTTTGTCGAGTCGCTTCTAAACTTCACCTGCAAATCACAATCAATAGAAGGCCCACATGCCAGAGATGTCGTAGAGTGTGTACACAACATGCTTATCCACACCTCTCAACGCCTTGTGGACATCTGGAGCAGTTAAGTCCTGTCTGCATTCAGGCTTGACATAACCTATGGCTTTCATTATCTCTCCCAAATGAGTCGCCGCCTTAGAACCTGGACCCTTCTTCTCTGCAGATTTGTCCGCATCCAATAACGACTGTAGCCCTGCGTATAACATAGGCGCAATTCCCGCTAGGACCGCTGCGCAAGCTTCCGGCTTTTCGAACATGATGCCTCCCACGTCGCTTTCGAGCTGTAAGCAGACTTGTACTGGTCAGGGATTTTGACATCTTCCAAGAACTTCTCACAACCACTCACAACATCACCTAATTTCTTTGCGATTTTCTCAGGATTGAGACGGAAGAAGCCTATGATGTTTATATAATCGCTTGGGTGGTAAGAGGTGTGACGCTTATACCACAGCCAATCAGTTTTGTTCATAGGTTGCTCGTATCGTTTCAGAAGGTCTTTCACGTGTGAGTAGTCCTTAAGCTCTCCTTTTTCCAGGAACTTCTTAGAAATAGGCTTTACCTTTTCGAGAGCTGGCACCTCCTTGAAGCCAACAGGCGTGTCTGCGAGCAAATCGTAAAGCGCGGCGCCCATAGCCTTCAAGTTGGCTTCGGCATCGGTTCCCTTCAAGGCAAGGAACCAGTCCATACCCTCCTTGAGGTTGCGAGGAGCCTCGGTCAGCGAATTGTATACCATTGTGTAAAATCGGATTGAATTGAGCAATTGCTATGAAGCTGTGGGTTTGGGGTCTATTTGAAGGCCGCTTATTTAAACCGCTCTCAATCCCGGTAAGCAAAAGTGCTTGACACCTAATAATACGCGTTTGATTCAAAACTACGCAGCCGTTGATACACCACGTATACGTACGATGTAGTCGCGTCTACGGCACTAGCGCCCCACCGAAACCAGCTCGATACTATTCGAAGCGGCATGCGTTGTGCACAACGCATGTCGTTGGCGTATAAAAGTGCAAAGCAATAGTGGCATATACTGAACATTGTTAGTTATTTGCATATAATCATCAATGTTTGAAAGTTTACAGTGGGTTGCTAGTAGTGTGCTATAGTGCCCACCGTCCCATAGACATGTCGGATAAATTCCCAGACTCATTCGTTGGTCAGCCACCTAATAACTGACATGCTACAAAGTCATCTAACAGATGAACCACTGCGGGAGCTAGCATTTCAGTCATTTGGCGGTGGAATGGGTAATCAACCACCCACATTCACTGTCCACTGACGTGGGACGACGCATCATGAGTAACGAACAAATTAAGATACCAAATAATTAACGTGAAATCGTCACCTACGATAGGTAGAGGCTCGTACATATGGTCACGCATAAGGTTGGGATGGCATCCTCAAGGTTATATACGGGCCAGCTTCTTATGTCCAGTAACTACAGCATCCGCCGTGCATATCTGGGATACCGCATCACAAAATACATCACAAATCAACGCGTGTGTTATGTAGGTGCGATAATTATTATGTGAAGTGAAGTAACTCCAAAGGGTCGTCATCGAAGTAAACTAGGTCGTAGTATAGTGACAGCATCTTCCTCCCGTGCGTGAGTAAGGCCTTGAAGTCGATGAGGTGTGAGGCCTTGGTGGTGAGGAGGTGTGAGCGGACGTGGGCAGTACATCGACCTTTGTTAATCCGTTTCTTCTAACTAATGCGTACTTGATACGCTGCTACGATAGAAGTCACGGAGGCGTTCACCGGGTACCTGACGATATGCAATTTTGAAACATTATATAAGACGTTATTACGTTGCCACTGCGCTGTTAATGCCGAAAACTGTGCGATAATTGCGATTATAAAAAATGAAGGGAGTGATTAAAGAATGCGATACAAAACGTTCACTTGCGAACGAAACAATCGCGGACTTTGTGGAACGGGCGAATGCGAAAGACGCTCATAACGCATACGACAGTGAGTGTGATTGCTATGAAGATGACGGACGCGATGATGGGAGCGGTGGAATTGTTGGCAGCGATGGTACGAAGTGCACTGGCGGCAGAGCGTCCACGTATACAACATGGACATTGACAGGTGGAGGTTTCACATTTAATCTCACATATCGAAGGAAAGCAATTGCCATTTCCATTGTCTCTTTGCGATTTAGATATGGCCCCATACATGGAACGCACTGGCCTTGTCGTTCGCACACTTTACAACACCAGAAACAGCACTCACAATCTCCCATCCTACAGGATCTGTCTGTATAATCACATTCACACATCCCTTCAGACATCTCCTCCTCTCTTGCAATTAACGCACACCTGCATGAAACACGCACCTTAACCTCGAACTACCAACCCGTCTCCCCTCGCCGTTCCATGACTCATCAGCAACCACCACTCGATCCATCGCCAGGGATACCATGAGATTGCCAACCCGACCCCACATTTCGCTGAGAAAATGCCTCGAATATTGTAAAGGTGACCGTGGAGTAATGCATCGTATTAGTTATCTTTAGTATTGTAGAACGTGATGATGAGAGCGCTGCTATATCCTTGAATGCGTTAGTCTACTCACGCCCACCTTGCAGGACCATTGTCATTCACTTAATAACACCTCTCGTTTCAGTTGACTACCTAAAGCTCTCAATTGGCACACAGAATCACATATCTAGGACTGATTTCCTGTTTATGCATGATTTTGACATAGGATAAGGCATTCCAACGTTACGTCTTACAACGCATTCCTAACAGGATACGACCCCTCATTGAGCTGAAGGCTGTCGAATGTATTTGGCGCACATCTGTAACTTACTTTATTTCCAGCATCCCAGTCACCTTTATGATGCTTAAAATCACAATATGAAACGCTGGGGTGTTCGATGGCACGCATCCCATCAAGCTGTAGGCCATGTGGCGGAGCCCGGTGACACCCCTAGAACTGCACCCCTAAAATGCCAATATGGTTCATTGTATAATTGCGCAGCAGATACCGTAGTTATCTATGAACATATGATGAACACGTAAAGCCACTTCTGCATCCACTTCCACTGGTGGCCTAACACGTCCAGTCACGGACACTGATTATTTATCATCATTAGTGGGGTAACTGGACTAAGGTAGAGGTGCTAAATGTTGTCGATTGTTGCGTGTTAAAGGCATTGCCAATGTTCTAACGTATGAGGATAAATGAAGGTGCTCCTACTACAACTTCCTTACTACAAAAAGCGGAAGGAAGATGCGGCAAGACATAACAACATTTCACCCCCATCGTTACACGTCTTACTTGTTATATATCCAATACGCAGCAATTATGACAACAGAATAAGGTATTGAGTTGACAACCGCAATTACGGCGTTATAACGCAAATCCATACTACCACTTAGATACACAATAAAAATGGAGACCAATAGCAACAATTAACGAAAATTAGTCTGTGTTTTTGCTAAACGAGTTACCACATCTTAGTAACTCATTACTTCGAGTAATAGTTCTCGATCTGTATGGTGGAGAGAACGATACCCTTTATGGTGACGCAACGACACTCCAAAGGCGCTGTCTGGCGCAGTGTCTCCCCAGGTCCTACCAGAGAACCATCAAAACTCAGGATGACGAAGTGGTTCGATCGCGACACCACCAATGACTTGCTGAGATCGCGCGTGTTCTTGACGGTACCTTCAACCGCGACCTGGCTGAAGCAGTTGGGTGGGTCCAGGACGTAAGGCGCTGGGCAGTAGAACGCAGCTTCCTTGGCAGCTTGAAGATCTATTTTGCACCCGAACTGAGGTTGTCCGTCAGCGTCGTAAAGTTGGGGCGTCTCAGGCTTGAATAACTCATCCGACGCGTATGTGACGCCGCAGCCCTGCATGTGCGGGTCGGTGGTCTCGGCTTGAACCTGAACCACGTTCCATGTGTATTTTCCTGACCATATTGTAGCCTGACGTATGGAATCTGCAGATGGTTGTGATGTAGTGGGGTCATCAGTGCTGATGGATAACTCCAGTTGTTCTGGCACTTTTCCGCAGACGAATGTCATAGGCACATATTTCTTATGCAGTGGATCTTTGGATATCAACACGCCGTATCTAGGTGATGTGATGATCAAACGTTGATATTCTGGTGCGTACGCCTTGCCGTACACGACTCCAAAGCCACCAGGCGTAGTAACTATTGAATCTCTGTATCGCATACGAAAAAGCTCCGTACCGTGCTTCGTATGGTTGGCACTATAATAGTATACGTCAGAATGCATTGGTATCCATGACGTTTCAGGCTCACAGTTACTGTCATCGTCGTTTTCTCCTTCCTTTAAGGTTGTAGTAGAGGTATCCATTTCACAAGTCATTGACAACACTGTACCCACGTGTAGTTTAATTTCCTTTTTATATGTATGATGTAATATTACAAACGCCGTTGATGTGGGCCTTTCAATTAACAATCCGACCTTACGCCAAGGTAGCGACATATATGCCAGTAACCAGTGGAAGGCGTTTTTACGACGTACCACGTAATTATAATTTTTTCGACAGTCAGACACTAGAATAAGTTTAGACGTCTCGTATCCATGTTTATTGACACATATACAGGCATAGCTGAGAGCGCTAGCGCTGATGAATCCAAAGTAAAACAATTGAAACCTTCTGATGGGATATGGCATAGAATTTTGCAAAGACACAGGAAACGGTGTGATACGATTGGAATACATATCGTATCCTGCAGTTTCACAGTTGTCTGGTAAGAGGTCTTCGTCTGTACCGCAGTAAATACCAGCGTACCGACCTTCCTGCCGAATATGTATTGCGCATTCGTACGTTTCTCCAATACCATTTCCCATCGGTTTGTTTGTGCAATATTTCCCGCTCAATAATTGATCAAACACATTCCGTTGCCCCCTATCACAGCCCACCTTCGCGTACTCATGGGTAAATGCGAAGGATACCTGAACGATGGCGCGTATCTCAGTCGGCAGATTCTCGTTCCTAGATCTCAATGCCCAATTATAAACGAACGAGTTTATTCCCTCTCGTAACGCTAAGGGTTTATCCAGATGGTACTTCAGCTTCACCTCTCCCTGTGAGATTCGAGAAACATTCAGCTCGAGGGCATCTCCTGCAAGGGCTTCGTGGTATGGGATTTCGTCGTAAGCGTTGATGTCACCAGCTGCTATCAGTTGTCGCAGGGTGGTTAAGTCCTTCGGCGCGAATTCAGTTTCAAAAGCATAGAGAGACATCATTTGCGAGAATGAGACGGTATGAGAAACCTCGAAAGACTGCGGATAAACATTCTGTATTGGCAACATTATGGTCAAGGCACTCCCCGGATGAAGTACCACCGAACACCAAGGGCCACGGATGGGACGAACTCTGTTGCGGAAGATGTTGCTTGTAATGTCACAGATGTGCTCAGTTTTCGAGCGGATCTCTATCCGGGCTTTCACATGCCCCGTTTCGTGATCTATGCACCTGCATTCGCCATTGATGGGCGGCAACGCGAAGTCAGAGAAGTATTTTGCCATCACCCAAGGTCTATAGTTATCGAATTTCCAATATGAATAAGGTCGAGGAGCACTTACTAGTACACCATTATTGTCCAGGAGTGATACCATGCAATTGTGAGGTTCAAGTCTACCTTCGCAAAGAAATCCGATGGGCGATCTTGACATGGGATCTGCCTCACATGAACGCGTACCAGTGTTCGGGTCAACGGTCACCTCATTGTCCACGGCAAACAGTGGCGAGGGACGGCTACCACAGCCTTGAAGCGGTAGGTGCCGGAGGCCTCTATTCAAGGAAAACACGCCCAACCCATGTCCCAACTTTGCTATTTCTTCGGTCAATGGAGTGGTTGGATTCCATGGAAGTCTAAGCGACTGGGCACTCTTGAGGCTTTCAAGGTGCTGTTGCAACGCATTACTCAAAACAAAATCACGTGGTCCACAGATAAATATCAGGCGGTGGTCGGTAATTGCATATACCTTGTCATATTCCAGCGCGGAATGCAGAATAGTTTGCGACCGATTCGATTCCAACCGTACAACTGGGCTTGCCGATTCTGAACGCACGACTCCGGAAATGGCAACAGGAACCAGCCTTCCATTCGCAGAAATGTACGTGTTGAGATTATCTTGGTCGTCCGATATCGGTTGAGGATGCCAAATATACTCGGTGCCGTTCACTCGGCGTGGGCAGATCGCAGTTGCTGGCCCGAAGTACTCGATGTCCACCTGGCATACTACAAGTGCATTGGTGCTGAGCAAACCGTTTGGGTGGTCTAAATCACAACGTAATGTATCAATAGGGTAAATCGAATACAGGTATATTGCGCAAAATGTCCACAGGGACCTAATTACGCCAAATTTGGCCATGCGTATCGAATTTATATCACAATATGTAATGTAACTGCATCGGGTTCAAATGTCTCTAAGCACACACATTATATATATGTGAAATCATATTGGAATTCACGACTTCTTATCCCGTAGGGATGGCAGCGAACGCCCCACAGCGTCAATTAGACAACAACATATCGTGGAAATTTCCTCAACGTCTCCAACTGCCATGATCAAAACGGAACCCGACGGATATGATAACGGGCGCAATATTATATTTTTGATTGATATCTCATTCTCATTTTAGCTAATGCGCTGGCCGTGGAAAGTCATCGTATAGGTATACTGGGCGTAAACGGTCGGATACCGTAGTTTAAAAATTGCGAGCACACACCATCACGATCGTGGAGATCGCAACTACCAAACAAGACAACGCACTGCAGACGGAGACGCACACAGAGCGTATTTACGAGGGCCCGGTGGAGGACGTGGAGGGAAGTCAATTCAACCAATAGACTAGATTCAAGGTGGCACCCTAGGTGGTGTGAGACGCTGAACACAGAGACGACTAATCATCTGTCAGTGATACAGACGGTGGTGTGAGGCACCCGTTCAGAGAGGTGTGTTGCCGAATTCATACAGGCCCAGCAATGCCGCGTATACAGGAAGCATGGTGAGACTTTAGTATTCGCCAAAACGAACACATTCTTACATACCCACTTACAGGAAAACAGCCCAGTAGAAACATGCAGCACTCTTCTTGTAAGTATCAACATCTATTATGAGAGATGCGCCAATATTAATCGCATGTTGCTTCATTGTCTACGCTTTTTGTATTTCACGTTTCCCTTCTTCAACGACTTTAGATGCCGCTTCAGATTTGCCATCTTCTCGGCGATGTTCACCGTCTGCTTGCCTACGATTCGCTTGCTTTGCATCGTCATCAGCACGGGCTTGTTGCGGGCCTTAACACGGTTGGTTGTGCTCTGCTTATTCCCTGCGCGACTCTCAGCAGCTGTACGCCGTTTTTTGCGCTCCATCCGGGCCAACGCAGCCTCTCGACGGTTCTCTGCCGCGACACGTTTGCGTTTGGACCCATACGCCAGATCGTTCGGGTTGATCTTGATACGTTCAACCTCGGAATCTTCGTCCTCGTCACTGTGTTCGCTTTCATCGTCATCGGTTTCACGATCTTGTTTACGCTTAAGATGATTTCCAGATGTCGTGGCCCGCTTATTTTCGTGTCCGTTGCCATCGTTCTCTGTCTCACTGTCCTCCTCTACGTCTGATTCCCACGTGTCGCTCTCAGAACCATCGCCCTCGTCCAAAGAGTCCATCTCCTCAGAGCCATCATCACTGTCCTCGGCGTCGGGGTCATACGCATCTTCGCTTGCGCCGATGTCTTCATCGTCATCACGGTCGCTGCCCGAACCAGAATGGTCAGCTTCAGCGTCATCAGGGCCCATGTATTTCTTGCGCTTGAAATCTTCTTGCGATAGGATGTACGTGCTGCTGAACTTTTGAGTCGTTTTGGAGATTTTTTCTTTCTTGGCTTGGCTGAGCTGGGTGCCGGCTTCACGCCCTCTAAGGGTGGCGTGAAGCATCTCCGGGGCCTGATCCCGGTAGAGGTTTATAAATGACTTGGTCGCCATGGCGACAGCTGAATGCATTTTAGGTGGTTCGAGACTCCACGTACCTTTATTTTTTATATGCCTGAATTCCACAATCTGTGAGATGGTCTCCTTGGAGAACAAGCACGGCGCCCTCGCAGCTATCTCGCGTAGCGTGTTAATACCGACAGTTATGACTTCATTAGCACGGTCTTCACTCACAAATTGATCCATTATCTGTTTGATAAGAGGTTCCACGAGATCGGTGGGCATATCAGGGTGAACTGCCTGCGCCGAGATCGCCAGGATTTTAGTCACAAGCTTTTGCTTGTGGTTGATGTATTTCAACATAAACCCGTAGAAGTTTGGCACCAGAAGGCGGTGGCGTGCGATCAAAATGCTGACTAACTGGAGCAGGATGAGCTTGGCGCCGAAGGTTACATCCTTGTTCCTGCAGCGCTCGAACAGCCGATCGGTGAATTTCTGTGGATCGTGTAGGTCGTCAATTGCCGCAAATTCGCGAACGGCGCATAACTGCAGACGCCGTTTGCGACGTTCCAGTTGTTTTTCCACATGTTTCTTCGTTCGAGCTAAGCGGTTCTGCCGCCCCTCGGTCTTCTTCGAGTGCGCCCCAAAGCCAGGGTGCTGTTGTTGTTTGTTGAGGTCCTCAAGCGCGGCAATCTCTTCTTCGATATCCTCCAAAGCCGAGAACGCCACGTCCATATGGTTTTTAGTGCCAAGCAGAAAGTGTGCGCCAGCAAGCACCAGCTTGAGGTTGGACGCAAGAGCGCACTGTGCAATGCTGTTGACCGTTTGGCTATCCCTCCACACCCTCCTTTTGTGCATCTCGACGCATATGCAGCATGTTAGCAGCTGTACCTGGATGCTTTTGGCTTTGAGGAAGTCGAAAAATAAACGTTGCACGGCTCTGGTTAACTAAAGCACAAATGACTTAGCGTAAACGTTATCTCACCCTGGCATCCTTAACTTGTTGCGATACGATAGTGAGGTCGCGTACGATAAAGACGAAGAGCCTTCGACGCGCATCGCGGTCGTCGAGGTCGAGCAGAGCTAGCCACTCCGGGAATATGCTGTGAAAGGTTTTAGGCGTTGCGCCTACTCCACCTACGTGAAGATATCGACCAGGCGCTTGCTTCTCAACAGAAATGTGGTGCTTATTACTTGTTTGAGCGTTTTCCCGTTTATGCGCTTGCGGTGTGATTTGACGAAATCAATGAGCATCATGCAGAGATCGCGTCCCAGTTCGGGGCTCGGTGACTCCTCAGCATTTGCAACTCCATTCTCCGAGACCAAATTGATACTACCAGCTGCGCTTCCTCCGCGTTGAACGCTTCCAACGACATTAGACGAGCCTTTGCCTGTAGCGGAGACACCCGTGGAATCCGTTGCGTTAGACGGTATGCATCGAAGGTCTATATTGCTCTGCTGCGGCCCACAGTAGAACGGCACGGACTGACAAGTTATGTTTGGGCAACATCATAGACATACCTGCGCAACAAAGTTCAGCAGCGCCATGGCCGTGGAATTGTACAGATGCGGCGTCAACCGGAGCACCGCTAGGGCCGCCACGAACTCCTCCCATTTCCGAAAGAAGTCCGCGCGGTGTGCCTCTGGCTCCCGCTTGATTCGCAGAATCAGATTCTCCAGACCTTCCATTGTTTATGACCTGTGATGTGTAACCAAGCGTTCATTACGACGGATAAAAGGCTAGACCTAACCGTTAAATTGGCCCTCCGGGAGTTAGTGCGTGTGGCGCAATGGATAGCGCGTCGCTCTCCGGAGGCGAAGGTTGTGGGTTCGAGTCCCACCATGCACGGTTCTTTGTGCACTATTCGTTTTAAGGATGGTATCGGCTCTCCGAGGTATACTGGTCAAATGGTAGGTGCTATTTACGCCTCTAAACTATCGCAGTGACCCGCCGACTATGGAGATAGTCCGGCAGATTAACGAGACACGGCAGTTCATCATCGAACAGATCGACGAGAGCGTGGCGCTCTGCCAGGACAACGTCTTTGACTTTTTAAAGGTGTGTTGGTGCGTGCGCGGTTTAAAGGTGTGCAGGAGGAGGTAACACGCCGCCTGGAGTTCGCTGAGCGACTCACGCCTGCCGAATCGAAGCCTGCAGCTACGGATAGCGAGTGAATTTCACCGCTTGATATAATCCTGCGTGTATATACGGCGAGCGACGTCGGAGACGAGCCACGCAAACCCCTCCACGATCCCTTCGCCGCTAATACCGCTGCATCCGTGGATGCGCCAGCTCCGCTCGTTCGCGATTCGGTCGAGTCCCAGCTGCTACAAACTAGTGTAATAAATCATGCAAATCACCTCCTGAATTTCGTGGACGTTGAGAGCTCCGGTAACGTCCTGCTTGTTGGCGAAAACCAAGACCGTGCACTGTGCCATTTGCTGCGCAGGGTGATGAAAACACATGTAACACCAACATCTTGCGCCAGGAGGTCCTCTATCTCGCTGCGCGAGTCTTCTAGGCGCATGGCATCCGCAGAATCCACGACCCAGACCAGCGCATCTGTGTTTTCGAAGTAGTTGCGCCAGAACGACCGGATGGTCTTCTGTCCACCAACGTCCCAGATGTTCACCTGGTAGCTGCACATCTGTCCGAACTACAACGATTATTGATTACCCATCATGTTCTAGTGTCTTTATGTTGAAACCGAGCGTAGGCTCGACGCGCGAGGTGTCCTCGCCGTTTAAGCGCTTGAGGATAGTAGTCTTGCCCGCATTGTCGAGGCCGCTATGAGATGTGTGGGTTGCGATAGAGCACTCACAGCATAAGCACACGAATTTCGTGTTCCAGGGCTTTGCCCTTGCGAATCACCTTCAAGAGTCCCATGGCTTAACACTGGCGAGGTGTACGCGCCCGTAGAAGGTCGGCGGGCCAACTTGCCTGCGCCTCCGCAATCATTACCTTAGTTCGCTCATCGGCGCTTCCCTCGTAAACTGACGCAGATTGCGGCTGGATGCGCTCCGCCGCGTCGCAAATGATCGGGTCAAGATTCGGCGTCGCGCCACGGAAGTAGATTTTCATTCCGATGGCCAAGACTTCCACAGCCACAGCCCGCACCGATCCGTGCGAATGCCTGCAAAGGGCACCCACGGTTTCGAAGAAAGGAGCCTGTTTCACAGAGAGCCGCGCAACGCCGTGAGAGTTGTAGAGATGTGCCCTGAGCAACAACGTCGATATCAGCCGCAAGCGATTGCAAATTGAGCGGGCCCCTGGCTGCGAATTGTAACCACCGAGCGACCTGATGAGGCAGTTGACAATGTCCTCATACGTCGGGATGGTGTTGGATTCGGCAACCTTGAGCAACGCACAGACGGCGCAGTTGATCACCGCTGAGACCGGATCCCCAAGTCGGGCGATAAGCGCTTCCAAGAACTCTGAACCGCCGCTAACTGCAGCACCGCGATCCGTTTTTGAACGGGGCGCTTCTCCACGGTCGGTGGCGCCACGCGCACTGGTGGCTACAGAGCAACCATGACGCTCCATGAACGCGAAGAAGGAATCCAGCAGATCTAGCGATTTTATAAGCACCTAAGATCGCATATGTGGCACTACGTATCTGTTACCTTTAGTGCGTGATCCTTGAACAGCCGGGTCAGGGCACAATAAATGCCTGCGACGGCCTTTTGGATGCTATCGTCGTTAGTTGCCAGGATCTCGTCAGTGTCGATTAACGCCAAAATGTCGTCCACTGCTTCGAAACGTCGCAACCAACGACGGGAATACAGTTTATGAACCACAGTGTCGTCGAAATGCCCCGCTGCTGCGTTTGCCTCGAGCAGCAGCGCGGGCGGTATCTGGTCGTCGCTCTTAGATACCTCTGCGGGCTAGTGATAAGCTAAAAACGACGCGCTTACCCATGCTGTCAAGTGACCCAATAACGTCGTCCATTGTGTAGCTTTCGCGCCCCGGCAATGCCTGCTCCTCATAAGGTGCTGCCACTGCATTGCAACGGGGACTTCTGGGGTCCGATTTATAGATGGAGACTATTCGGTCTGATGTTACGCTGGGATAGTCCAAGGCACGGTCAGTTGCGCCGCCATCGCTTGCAGAGACGTCATAACTATTTGGAATCCGTGGTGATTCACGTGTAACAGGCGTGCCCACTATGTTGGCGAGCGCACAGATGCACGCATCCAAACCGTTCATCGTGTGCTGCATAGAGGGTTCGTATAAGACATCCTCGCGCATTTCTCGTAAGACACGTAAGCGTTCCACCCAGGTAGCGTACGAGCACCGACCCGTGATCAGTTGCTTTCTAGCGCCGTGCGCTGACAATTCAGGCAGCGCTCTGGGTGTAATGAACCCCCTAGGCAACTGGAGCTCTGAGCTGTAGTTGGGAGTGCGATCCGGATCGTCCGATCCATGAGCATGGTCTCCAATGAGACGGGCGCCGTTTCCGCGCTGCTCTCGGTCCATCATGCAAATATCCTACTGCGAAGGCCGCTCAGACTGGTGTTCTATAAACCCGCTAAGACTGCATCAGAGCAGTGAAGATGAGATATCATCGAACTGTATCAATGCGTTATAGAGCGACTTCTTGCTCATGCAGGTGTAATACCAGACCCGGAATGGACACGCCTAGTAAGACAAAATTCGTGACTTTCGGAATGCTTGAAACGTATTAACGCATCCTCCATCACCAATGACTCTCACTGAGTCACTAAACTCAGCAATAAATGCCTGCCATGTGATAAATAGCCAAAAAATGCGTTACTACCAATGTGTAACCATGGAGGCATGCCTACACACCAACACTCCGGCGGCTGCCTTCTAGCGTTAAATAGCCACAGCCGGAACGTAACACCACGCATGGAGGAAACTAACCTTTGCGTTAGTTGTTTTTCACATGTAAATCTACCTTACCAAGCAAACCTTCTCTAATGCAGGATAGTAGACAGTCCCCCGATGGTAGCAATAGAAAAGCAACTAACAGACTTCTTGAGCTGAAGGTGCGCGAATACCTAACCAATAGAAGCTTAACTAAACTACAGACGCAATTTACGTAACATGTGTCGGCACGATTCATTAAACGTGCACAAGCGGTTATCGTTCATGTGTGTACCACCGCGTAACGGTTAATAACGACTGTAACGGTGAGGTAGCAAATTTTGCCGTCAACATGATCGCCTGGGCACATATGCGAGCAGAATGCATGCGGAAAGCAGAGACATGGTGCCATCGCTGGTCCGACGAGGCACGGCTGAAGGATCAGAACTCTGGACTTAGTCGCTAACGAACTCCATAGCCCACAAAATAACGTAAGGCAATAGAACTACAATTTGAAGCGTGATACCATGGGAATGACTATCATCCCCCCTAGCACCGATAGAATGAGGTGCGTCACCAGCGTGCTGTGCTTCTCGAGGAACTGCACTGGGAACACCTCCACCCGCTGTTTGCGCGCAGCGCGCTCAGACTGCGGCGGGGTCGAGGAGGTTTCATCGTACATGTCAGGTTCACAGAGGCCCAGGCCGTCGAAAACAACGCGTCCCGATCGCCTCTGAGGGGCGATGACATTGTACAGGTGGTCGTCAGGTCTGGGCTGCGGAGGCGGGCGTATGATCTTGAACTTCATGAAGTCAATACCGCCGAAATCTATGTCCGATTGCTGCCGTGCGATATAGGGGAAGGCCTCAGGTCTAATCGAGTCGCTCTTCAGCAGATCTTCAGTGATCGGTTTCTGACGCATGTCCATTGTGAAGGCACGACTAATGCTGCCGATCTTATTAAACAGAATGCTCGTACCGCGTTTTAGTAACATCTCCGCGGCGTGCGAAGCCTCTCCCAGGTAGTAGCTGCCGTCGGAATTCGTGCGACCTTCTAGGTATCCCCCTGTCGACGCGTCCATAAAATCGGCCATGCTATCGTTTGCCACTTTGTATACCACTACCGGAATCACAAAATCGCAGAATAACGCAGATATGAGTCCGATGTGTCCCAGATATTCGAAGAAAAGTGACTCGTTGGAGAGCATCCACGTGAAGGTGAATGGCAGGACGCACCCCCAGAAGTAGGCCAATCGCGATCCGCAGTAACCCAGGTTGAGCAGGTTGTACTTGGTACTGATAGTGCCAAATACCACATCGGGCAGCACGTTAACGGCAACGAAGAGACAGATGGCTGCATGCGTCAACACACTAGTGTTGCTGAGCAGGATGTCGCTCACGATGCTCCCGCTGTTGGCCGGGAAGCCGACGCACAGGATGTATCCCAACACATGGTAGATTGCGGAGGTGAAGAACGTGCTTGTCCACATTGTCCTGACGACCTTCACGTCGCTGGTCATCTCGTTTGCCCAGGACGGAGTTGAGCTGGCGACGTTGAAATTCTCCACAAACGTCAGGATAACCTTGCTGAAACGCCTCCCACCTATCGCTGGTGGCTTGGAGGAGGGCACTCCACCCAAATAACGAGCGAAACCGAACACGGCGAGCTGCATGGTGCAACCGATCAGCGCCAGGAACGAGAAGACATGGAATCCCATGGTCTCCTCCAGCGCGCATGCGCTAAGACGCAGGCACAACACGGCACAAATGACATAACCCATTGTTATGGCCAGCGTGAACGACTGCCCGTCGGCGCCGCTGCTAACGTTGGACTCGTAGATGGCTGTCACGGTCTGGATGTCGACGCGGCCGAAATGCGCATCCGGATAGACTTGCAGCGCTAGCGTCCACCCCAACGTTCGCACCAGCAACATATCCACGAGCTTCGAAAATGCGAGTATGCCGCAGATAACGCTGCATAGGTCACCGACGTGGTGCAGCAGCGCCACCATGCGGAAGTTGTGGTCCGAGAGGTAGTACTTGACCAACGTGTTGTACTCGATGCGATGGTCGAAGTTCTCGTTGTGAGGAATCAGTGTCATGGCTCGCAGCAGCATCAGGCTGCACAATGCGGCCAAAACTGACACTAGTAGGTTCGCCAGCAGGGCGTACAGCCATCCGCCCTCACGCATCACAGAAGGGATGTCGCTCATTCCTGCGGTCGCATGTGGCCATTAAACACGAAGCTTACCGTATCCGATCATCTGGTTTACCACCAGCACGAAGGAAGCAATGGGCGAGATGGTTTTCTTGTACTTCCATGTGTAAGCCTTGAAACGCTTCCTCGAGCGTACAAATCCGCCTGGCCGCGCAGAGGCGGTAGCGTCACCTTCTGTAGGCGCCATGGTTACCATGACTTCAAATCGGGGCGGGTGCCTCCCGCATTCCGACTGGTGAGCTGCCTAGGCAACTGCAGGGCGCGCCACTGCACGCCATAAGAAGGAAGGAAGCAACTCAAGGATACGAACCACTGCAATATCTACCAGTGTCACAGTCTACTGTCATACACATTCTCAGTTATATTTTATTATTGTTTGGGTGACTTTTGCCGTTTCCGCGAATTCATCGCGTGTGTGACCCCGTTGCATGGAACACTGCATTACTAAGACACGATTCGGTAGCCCCTAAAAACGTCGTTCTATGCTTACAACATACGTTGTGTTCTTTGTTAAGCGCATAGTGCTAGACGATAGACTCATGTAGAACATGTCATTATAATTGCTGAATGGCATAGAGTATGTGAATGCGTCCGCCGGAGCCACCGTATTGCTCGCAGACGGACGCATCAGCTAGAAGTATGTTCCAACAGGGAGCTGTGATGCGATAAATCGGTTATAAGCAAAAATAGCAGGGGCCATCGGCGCACATTTGTTACACACGTGAACGCAACAAGGTTTCGAGCGACAGCAATCATTCGTCGACACATTCTAATGGATGCGATATATGACACCTCTTAAATAATGCCTGATGCGCTCAGAGAAGGCAGCGTATATACGGGCCGCGCCATCCAAGCATAAATAATGATAGATAGCCTTCAACGGTGATAACGCCCGCATCCTTATCAGGTGGGCATCTAACGATTTCAAATAGCACATTCACCAAACTGCAACCGGTACAACGTCTGTAGTGGATAATAGAAATTTATTTCCACCACTGGTGACACGCGTGTCTAACTGATGGTATCATCCGACAGCCCGCGATTTTGAGTTAGTATCTCCACACAACTCCGGATAAGTTTGGTTTGATTGCCAAACCTTCACTATACGCGACATGGGTGCACCAACCCCGTCATATCCCGGTGATAGCCACGCGGAGGTTCTGCTCAGCTGACCAATGGCAAGATCTGCCGTTGGCGAGTCGCTCGCACGCATCAACCCGGCGAAACGAGATCATGGAGAGACGGCTTCGTCGGATGACGTAGCGTCAGTGCAAGGTGTACCGGGGAGTAACAGTAACATGCGGAATGACACGGTTGAAGCCATAAGACATGGCCGGGACGGTGTTATGTTGAATATCGCAAAGGTACCAATATCGGAGGACGGCGCCACAAAGCGCCGAGCTAAATACACGAAACATGGAGGCGGCAGGAATGCCGATTCGTCAAGCTCCGAAAGCTTTTCAAAATCGGCGGCCGTGACACATGGCAGCACGTCGAAATTACGCCGTGGCGCAAAATTATTTGCCCATGCCGGCGGGCCATTCCTGAGGAAGCTGGAAGCATATCATGATGCTTTTCTGAAGTCCGTCAGCCGAGTGTATAACTCTGACATGTCCGTCGACGCTGCGCTGGCCATTACATTCGTGCCCCTGAAAGAAGTGATCGAGGCATTGCCGAAGCAAAAGGCCGCCACTTCGGCGCAGAATGGTGATCACTGCGAGCTGTTTGCGGAGTACGTGTACAGAGATGCCCTCCTATGCGCTTGCTACATGGGCAAGGCGCGGGCAGCCAACGGTCCTGACGACGGCTTGGAACCTCTGGCAGAATTCCTGTACTGCCACATAATGCGTGTCGACTATTTGTTAGAAAACCATGCTACACCGAAAGGTGCCGAACTTCTGGATTCGCAGCGTGTCATACCCACCTCACCACGCACCGTTGTTAGGGTGTGGGAAGCACTGCTGAGCCTTTCATTGGCTAAGGATCGCAAATTGCGCATGGCGTTCAGCACCGTCACCTATCATATTATGAGGCTCGCCTGTAAGGATGAAATTGAAGTACCGCACAAACTGTTCACGAAGCATGCGGATACGTTCGTGTCACTGCTCGCCGACCCCAACAAGGAACTGCGGTACCGATGCCTGCAGCTACTGGAGCATTTCCAGGTAAGAGTTTGACCGTGTATATATCTTGGTGTACCGTATATTCATTGCCGACGGCCTTTGTGTTGTGCCAACTGACCACTGACTACCATTATTATCGGTCCATCTTGCTGCAGGACGAGCGCGTCAAGGGAGAGATGCTAAAGTATACAGCAGATCCGGCTGCGATTGTAAGGGCTGGGGCTGTCACTTTCATGGACGTGCCACCGACACTGGAGGAGGCGCTGCCGGTGCTGCGCAAATTGATAGCCAGACTGGCCGACGTCTCGAAAGATGTGCGGTCTGGCGTGTACAAGAAGTTGGGTGCTGTCTACAGCGTGATTCCGGTAGAGATGTGCACCCAGATCATGTGCTACGGACTGGCCGAGGAGGCGCCGAGCATGAAAAGGGCATTCCTGCATATGCTCTCGTCCTGGATTAACAACTGCGGTGGACTGATAGGGTTCCTGTCCGACATGATCTCGCAGACTGACGACCTCACAGTGCTGGAGAATGCTATTTCATTCTACATGAAGGGCACAGGGTTCCTCAGTTCCTTCTCGATTAGGTCGGATAAAGGAAGCGGGGGTGAAGGCAACGGCATCGGCAGTGACGGTGTTGGCGGGACCGAGGCTGAGGAAGACGCCGACAACATCGTGGCGTATATGAAAAGGTTCAAAACGCTTTCTCCTGCGGAGATGGTGCTTGTGAACGTTTTCTATCAAAATCATGCCCTGCCTGAAGAGGTCAAACTCATAAACATGATAGACATCATTTCGTATGCGCATTTTGTGCTTACCACGTTTTGCAACATGCCCGACGATTCAGACCAGGCCTCTCAGTCAACCATGAGTGCCGGCGCAGACGATGATTCACAGTTTGTGGACGCGGTTGAGTCCAACCAATCGGCGGCAGTGCACAAGTACGCCTCAGAGGACTCTGAGAGGATGAAAAAGATGTACTGGAACAAATGTTTAGTTTCGCATGCACTCCGTGCGCTGCTTGTTATCGCACACTGCCATGCCATTGAAGACAGCTACCAGGTTGCTCTCACCGAAACATTCTGCGACAAGATACTGCTCCACAGTCCGGTGCGCAGCAACATCACGGGGCTGATGGCCGACCTCGTTGCACAAACTACGTTGGGAAACAACTCGTATTCCCACGCACTACCGAGCCGATGGCTGAAGGGAGGGGTTACGTTCGCCGCCACCAGCCTGCTGAGATACGTCTACGCAAGGAAGTTCAGGCTGGACGGCAAATTTATCGGCGACGATCCGCAGATGGAGAAGCGGCACTTCGAGGTATCCGTCACACGTAAGGTGCTATCCATCATATCTGACATCAAGGACCCCTTTCAAACCTCTGGAATTTCCAACATCAGCATACGCCGGGAAGAACTCGAACGGATGGAGCTGCAAAAAATCAAGGGCTTCGACCCCACCAGCTATTCCATCGAGCATCTCAGTCTGATCGACGCGAAGCTGCGGGAACAGATGGAGCAGACGTGGACGCAGCAGGCCGAACTGGAAAATGTGAAGAGCGCGAGCAAAGAGAAGCAACAGCAACAGGAGATGTTGCAGCAACAGGAAGAAGCGCTGTTAGTGCTGCTGGAAAAGCAGCAGGCGTTTGCTACCGTCATACGGAACTGCCTGAAGGAGCGCTGGACGCGCATCATGGCCATCGTCGAGGCTTTTCTCGGACAGACCCAAAGCAACTGCAGCGAAGATGCAGGGCTCGCGGAGTTTCCGCGCGCCATCCTTCTGCCACAGATGGCCTTCTTCTGCGCCACCGTGGTTAAGTGGCGCGACCAAAGCATCACCGATCAGTACTGCGACGTGCTCACCAGCAAGTGCCTCGGAACGTGGTGCATGCTCAACAAGGGTCGCGTTGAACTGTGGAGGCAATTGAACGCCTTCCATGTGGCTCTAAAGGGTGCATTGGCAATTCTCGAGGGGTGTCTTAACCAGGCGGCCGCCGAATCTGAGGCCTCGTCAGACGCCATTCGAAGACGCATCGAAATGCAAACGCTACGGTGCGAAATGTACATGACCACGCTGACTGACCTACTCGTCACTAACGTGGAGCTGCAGCAGGGCGCAGCTGGCGAGGACGCCGCAAACGTAGAGCTTATCGAAGAGCTCAAGGACACGCTATGGGGTATTGTGAACTGCACGGTCAAGAGTTCGAAATACGTGCAGTCACTGGCTATTAGGTTGGGATGCCGTCTTCTCCTTACCGAGTTCCTTCGTAGCAAGCAGGAACGTGTTCAAAGCCCACAAACTGCAGAGGAGAAACAATGCAGCGATGACATTACCGTCGTCCGCCTACGCGGCATCTTAGAGATGGCCTTCGTCGCGCCAGCCGCAGCGCGACACATGATCGCAGATTTCAAATTCACGAAATCGACGCGCTACGTGCCAATCACGGCCGAGGACAAAAACATCATCGTGAGCATGTGTGCTCTGTACCCCACGCTCTCGTATAGGCATCTCCGCAACTTCCACAAGGTGCTGGAGCAGGTCCTCATGCGGTCTGTACACCATGCGCTGCAGCTGGAACTACGTATGGTTGGATTTGCGCGCCTCATATCGTTCGCCGTGCAGACAGTATTGCACAGGTCGCCGCTTTATTTCTCGTTGGAGACCTTCGCCAAGTACTTCAAGTGGCTGCTGCTCATCACAATCGACAAGGGCCCGATTTTGGCCGACCGCGGAGGCTTCATGTCGCTCATCGGCGCGCTTATATCGATGTTTGTCACGCGCAACGTTGCCGCTCTGCTGGACCGCTTCGGGCTATCGGGGCCAGGGGGCGCTGGGGACGACGAGCCGAGGTCCATGAGCGACCTCTGCGCCCTGGCGAACCCTGCACTGGGACTGCTGGATTTGCGTGACATGCTTCTTCTTCTCAACTACATCAAGAGTCAGGGCGGATTCGTCAAAGCAAAGGCAAACGTAAAGGTGGTAGACGACCTGATAGAATTGATCTCGAATCAAATGCGGAAGTTAGCTACTTTGCATGCGAAGGACCTCGTGAACTCGGATGGAGGGGTGTCAGTAATTCCTGGCGAGCCTCCCCAAATCGTTTTTTCGACCGATGATTCCACCGCGTTCAGCGATCTTGTAGACGCCTACGACGCCTATATATCAAGTCTCGGGCCACGCGAGCTTTGCGCACTCCTTGTAGAAATTGAAGACGAAAAGCCGGCAGTGGTGGAGACCGAGCCTGTCGCAAGTAGAAGGATGACCCGATCCGGCCGCGGCGCCAGGTTATCCCAATTTGATATGGAGGAACACGACGGGGACGATCTCAGCGACGCCTCAATCACCTTCGCAGATGATGACGAGGACTTTGTTGTAAAGTGATGGCAGAATCGAAAGCGTCCGTGGTGCCACCTTTATGGTTGCACCCAATTCACTCATGCACAGCTCACTCCCAAACTTTGGCGACACCCAAATGGGCTTTATTCTAATGATAAGCCCTGGGAAACACTATTACGCTATATATAATAGATGATGTTGCATCTTTGCAGATGTCATTTCATTTGAGATTACATCTAATTGCTCAGCGTTATGCAACCTGTCAACCGACGAGGCCTGGGGCACGTATCACTACACTGAAAGCAGATAAATGTATAAAAATGTGAATCCATATTACGACTTGTTTAATGCCGATGGGTCATCCGCAGCTGGCTCATTCACGGCGTCCAACGTCTCGAGGACTTGCGTTACGAACCCGGAAAAGAACTCGTCACGCATATATGGAGCAATTGCGGACGCTGGATCCGGAGACGATGCGATTTTTCGAAGCACCTTCCGCAAAACCTTGTTAGACAGCATTGAGCGCAGCTTCTGGTCCTCCTTCAGGGCAGTAATTTGTGGCTCCGACAGCTCAGTTTCCTTGCCATCTGTGCGGAGCACGTTGGGAGCGGAATCACTCGCTGAAGCACCGCTAGCCGCGTTACTGGGAACACTCGAGCAGGAATGCTGCTTATAGCAGGGCACACTACAGAAGTTTTTTCTGCAGCACTTATAACGGTAAGGAGCCTCCGGAGCGGAACAGTCAACGCAGGCCATTGCGCAACCGGGAAACAGAATGAGGCTTGCAAATCACTCTTTCCCTTCGTCGGGGCTCAAAAATTGTATCGCAAGGCCGATGATCTTGGTGATCGCTATCGTGTACAGAAACATCTTGGCCTTCGCCTTGAAAGCCTCCTTGACTCTGTCTTCATGTGATTCTTCGCTCTTTGTCGCGAACATTTTGTTCCAACTGCTGTTCTATATTGTAGAGTGGTCGCAAACTCAGCGCAAGGCTTGGAAGGCCACACACCCCAGTCTCTGTTGGCGTTGTCCTGTACTTCTTAGAGAGTTGCCAAATGACAACGAATTCTTATATACATGTGTTTTTATTCTATTATGCGTTACGTCATATAGTCACCGCAGCTCCACCTCGCCTCCTAACTAGCGAAGGATGAGCTGCGCAGCCAGAAGGACGCTGTCTACACCCTAAACAACGTGCCCCGACGGACAACCGCCTACCTCACGGAGATGGTTGTTTACGGAAATACGCGTCCTTCTGACACGTTTGCCGCCGTAAAGAGCTGGACAATCTGCAGTCCACGCAGTTTTCACATAGCGGCGTACAGAATGAAGCAATAAATATTGGGAATGCATCATAGACCAAAGGAATATACTACACGATTGTACATGTGGTTTCATTAAGATGGGCTGTTGTACGTGCTGATGAAGGCAGCCCTACAGATAAACGTCGCCCAAACCTCCCCGAACTCTACGTCCAAGCAGGTCCATGTGGCGATTGGAGAGCCAGAAAGCTCGCGGGAACATCTCGTTGGATGTGCGCAATGACAGTTGCGAAAACACCAGACGCGCATATGCGAACAGCGTGTAAGATTCCATCAGACGAGATAATGATCTCTTACTGCCGTCCTCATCTGACCGCCTTGCTGCAAAAAGCTCGTTAACATGGGCAACAAGTGATTCGCGGTTTCCTTGACTTTCCTTTTCCCCATCTGAACTGGTGGCAGTAGCTGTAAACGTCTCGTGCATGTCTTTAAAAGCCTCCCTGAGGTGGTCAAAGTGCACTTTAAAAATTGTAGCGTGCGCTCTCAGAATGCACAGTGCAGCGTCTTCGGACAGGTATATCCGCCTTCCTACCGATTCTGACAGCGACGCCACTATGGCATTTCTGTTAGCAAGTAGACTACTAAAACCCTTAACTGACGACCGCTTAGGCGTCGTTACTGTGGTGGCCACAGGGGTCTCATGGGTTGCGCGGTTTGACTTATCCATGTCTACTTTCGCATCGTCATTGACGTTAGTATCGTCTACAACATCATCTTTTTGCGCTTCTGATTCTGAGATGCCGTGCTCAGCAACGGAATACATCACATCGTCAACAACCCATTGCACGGCCAACTGCGAAGGTGGGCGCAGCCACCTGGGTTCTATAGCGATGAGCCTAGTTCCACATACGGCTTCAACTACTCTTAGAAAGGCGTAGTATGCCATGTCTACCGTCCGTAATTTTAGGATGGAAGTATCGCCAGTATCCTCTTCCGGTGGGCAGCTGCCGACCATAGCACCCGCCGCCAAGTGTAACAACCGGCTGTGCAGCGGCCCACGAATACCAGATCCAGCATGATTAACGGCGCTACAGATCTTCGAGAATCCACTCAAATGATCACCACAAAAAACTAGGCATCTACCCACTACTGTTGACACCTGAGCGTCATCCAGAGGTGGACACTGTGGACCAGTTTTCGCTGTGTCATAACAGTACGAAGGAGTTGCGATTGGGTCATGATGTCTCCATATCGTTGGGTAACGAGAGATGTGATCCTTAATGGTATGCCACACGGTTTGTTCTCGTACAGGCTTGTCGCTGCGACCCTCCCGACCCTGACGCAGGGCTGCATAAGATTTGGCCGCATCGCGGAGCATCTGACTCCGCGTATACTTGTAGTCGAGATCCAGACTGCGAATACGCTGCAAGTAAACTATGGCATTCTCAATGCGAGCTTTTATGTCGGTCTGGCTGCTCGGAAACTGGTCATGCAGTTGATGCAACGATGACGGGATGGCAGCTGACGATTCCAGGTTGCAAGAGTTCGCCACCGCCACTAGCACAGCCTGCAGCCCCGAAACGTTGTCCACCAGATGACCATTGCCGGCGGATGATGCCTTCACGCGCATAACGATCTCAGTCGCCGATGCGCTTTCCGAGGGGTCCGCTTGGCGTAACCACGCCAACACTGCGCGACTACGTAATAGACTCCGATCCAACTTGTTGCTTGCACTTATCCCAACAACCGGCCCCGCTCGCCTGAAGCTACGTGACGTGCGAGAACGTGTAGCGCTTTTCGTGCACCGGAGGCCGCGGGAGGAAACAGTTTTGCCCGTGTTCTCCAGGAACTTCATCACATCTGACATTATAGCCGAGTAGCAGTGGCACAGCCCTTGCAACTTCAGAGGCACCTTGCGACGAGTGACGAAAACATGCAACAGCAGAGGTGTAAGGGCAGAAAGGATGCAACGACTCAATGTGCTGGTAGCCGACATCGCCGCCTGCGATTCGCCCTTGGCACGCTGGTCACCCCCATTCTGACTCTGCTGCTTGAACAGATTTGGGGAGTTTGTGCTGTCGCTCTTGGCTGCATCTTTGAAACGAGACAGTTCACATAGTCTTAGAAGCAAGATCATCAACGGATCCAGGCGGTCGCCACGACAGTGGATTATCGCCTCCGAAATCGCTTCATAGCCCCTACGGCGTGCGATTGTAGCCAGAAGTCTAAGGAGGGCCTTCTTGCGGTGTCGTCTTAGGTCCTTAAGCACTGCCGTCACCCATAGGTCGATGCCACGCGACCACAGCTCATAAAAACTCACCATCTGAACTCATGGAGCTAGTGTAAACGTTGCTGATTTTGCTCTCCATGGAATATGACATGATAACTGTTACTATAGTGTGAAATATAGTGTAGAATCCCGCAAGTATCAATTAGTGTGTGATGTCGCAGACACATCACAACAACGTGAAGGTTGATTTATGTGTCAAAAAAGCATCACGGATGGCCTTCTTGTAAACAACTATCTGCATACCGGGGTGATGTGTCGTTTCGCGGCGACGGATCGGCCAAGATTCTACCCTGCCATGGCTCTGGGTACCAGACGCCCGGAGCATGGATGATGCGCACGACCAGGATCTGTCTCTTAACGCTGGCCGTTGCGACCGTGTTCGTACAACTAGTAGCAGTGGTACAACCGTATATACAACGAGAAGTTTCGCTATATCGAACAATCGCAACCCCAAATGCAGCAGCAAATAGGAGTGCCCAGCCTCTGACGAAGCACAGGTCACGTACAAAAAGTAAAACAGGGAAAGGCAGAGATATCGCAACAACACAACAAGACACAAGTCATGAGGAGGAGAGCCAGCAGCGCGTTAGTGATGAGGTGACGGTGAATATCGGCCTGCATGAGGGAAGTGCATCACGCAGCCATGGATTAGAGGATGATCATGAACAGAAGATTGTGAAGCACCACGACTCAAATGACAGTGTGATTTCCAATGAATCAATGCATGAAGGGTCAAGCGGCGACGATGGAATATCAGCCGCATCCGACCCCTCGGGCGGCACCGACGACAGCAACGGCGGATGGAACCTACACAACCGGCTAGTGGAAGGCACTGAATACCAGCTGCACATACCGCCTATAGCAAACTTCAAGCCACAAATGCGGCTAGCGTTCACTAAACCTGAGGTGTACGCGCAGCACGTGCCGGAGGAACCTATGGACCCTAACAATGGTGACTACGCTAAGGGGCCACTGCAACTGCACGATGTGGCAGAGCATGGTCAGATACCGGAGTTCCGACACGAAGCCGGAGTCAATGGGATAAAACCGGGAAAATCGGAGCTTTTCACCTGGAGAGTCGAAAGGCCACCCGATGTATTCATCATCAACTGGTCCGGGGTGGCGCACACGGGCTTTCGAGACGGCGTGGTGGTAGCTGCACGCGCCATATTAAACCTGACGCACGACCAGCCGCTGGAAGTCCTTAGGTTGCTCGAAGCTGTTGCGGAGCGCCGCAGCCTACCCATGTGGCTGGCCACGAGGGCGCGCTATGCGCAACCATTCCTAGACTCGGCTGCTGACTGGATACCTGCACTGCAATATTTCATCAACAACTGTAATGACCAGGATATGCTGGAGAATGTACAAACTGTCGAAGCACTTGCAGAAACGGATGCAAACCCGCTCGATATTTTGAAGCACATTACGGTCGGTGGCGACCCCAACGAGCTGGTCGACCTGGGGAAACCGCAGAGGGAGTCAATGGGCATGGAACCCTTCGAAATAGAAGGATGGAAAACAGATGGGGCACACTACAGCGACATGATCTCCACGTACGACAAAATCCTTAAGCAATTGGGGATCGACAAGCCTAATCTGGAGCGGCACTTCCAAGACGCTTGGGAACAATTGTCTAAAGACAGGGAATCGTGGTCAGACGCAGTGCTGTACAGAACGAATTGCGCCTCCTTGGATGCACTACAGAGGCGTAACCACGAATCGTACAACTGCGCAGTTGTCAGCGCGATCAAGCACCACATAGAGGTCTTCCAGATGCCCGTTTACTTGGTATCCGACATAAAAACCACAGAAATGGTTTTGCGCGAGCTAGAGTGCCTCCAAATCAAACCGATAAATGCAGGAAACGTCTATGGTCGCGACCGTGGCACGCCGACAGAGAGCATAAGAGCGCTCTTGGCCGACCTCAAACTTGACCCAAGAGTCCCGGTGCACTACTTTGATGATCGACTGTCCGGACTCGAAGCAATCAACTCAAGTCAGGATTTGAGCCACGCGAGGACCTATTTCGTCGATTGGGGACGCTCAACGTGGTCCGAGAAGTTAGGTGCCCTGTACGCAGACAGGTTAGACACTTTTTATAAAAAAATGAAATATATACAGCGTTAAGTATGTCAAGACCACGGAATGGATGGTCAAATTCCTGGCAACTCCTGCGACTGAGCCCGGAAGAGAATGGACCCACGGGTTCCGCCTCAGGCGTCCGGACGAAGAGGTAGAGAAGTCAGTCATGGACTGGAAGAAAAAGTGGCACAAGGAGACGCAAATCACTGACGAGCCACTTAAACCTATTCCTAAGATTATTTAAGAATTCATTTGTCGTGCTTTAAAATATACACGCAAAATAACAATCGGCGCTGCCCTCAACCATGTGTTCGGTTAAGGCTGCGGCACCGCCTGGGACAGAACTCGCTGCATCTCGAGGATGTGAGTAGCTCCATCACCACAGCTAGGAGCTGCAAGCGGGGCGCGTCCAACGTACTCCAGGTGTAAACCGGAGCCGATGTGGCGCAACAAGTGGCCGATGCGAGGAGACGCGTAACCCCATGCACCAGCGTTGGCATGCTCTTCTTGGCACCAAACCAGTCGCTTGAGGTTGGGGAAGCGCTCAAATTCCGTCTTCAAGGCACTGACGGGGAACGGGCAGAGCTGCTCCACTGTGGTTACGGCGATATTACCCATCCCGAGCTCAGTCACCCGACCAGACAGGTCAAAGTAGACCTGCCCGCTGCAAAGTATCAAGGTATCAACAGCAGATACATCCGACACAGTTGCGGGGATTACCGGCCTGAAAGCATGGGTAGGTCCGAACTCCTCCAAGCTGCAGTAAGTTCCACGCAACTTTAGAAGCTTCTTGCCGGTCATAACTACGAGCGGCTTGTGGAAGTCACGAAGCATCTGGCGACGTAGCGCATGGAAGAGGTTGCTCGAACGGGTGCAATTTATAACGCCGATGTTAACGCGCTTTGCGTGTTCATCGTTGGAGAGCGACAGGAATTCTTGCATATCCTCGGGCTCGTTTGATAGCTGCAGGTATCGTTCCAAACGAGCAGAACTATGATCAGGCCCCTGCCCATCGAAACCGTGCGGTAACATCAGGCACATAGCCGACTGCTGGCCCCATTTGGCCTCTCCACTAACCACAAATTCGTCGGTCACCGCCTGAGCCACATTCGCGAAATCGCCAAACTGCGCCTCCCACATGTTCAGAATGCGGGGGTTCTCAAGACCGTAACCGTACTCGAAACCCATAGCAGCCGTCTCCGAAAGCAGCGAATTCAGCACCTCAATCTGATCCCCTTTCGGCACATTCGAGAAGATGTTGAATACCCGGAAAGTCTTCTGGCACTGCACGAACGAATGGCGGTGTGAAAAGGTGCCCCTCTTGGAGTCCTGGCCTACCAAACGGACGCGGAATCCGTCCTGTGCGAGCGATGCGTAGGCCAATGCCTCGGCCAGACCGGTATCAATGTTGGCACCCGTGTCTATCGCCTTTGTGCGTTCCTTAAAAATACGGCGGATAGCAGGGTGAAGCTGGAAGTCCTCCGGAACGGCGTTCAATGCCTTGCCCAACTCAACCAGGCGGGTCACTTCCACACCGGTCACGGGAGATGACGAGCTCATGGCGGGGGCTTTCCACTCCTGGGTCTGCGGGGGCGGCGCAATGGCGGACACCTCAATGGATCGTTTCAGAGCAGCGTCGAATTCGGCCTGAATTTCAGCCTCGACGGCGGAAATCTCGGCCTCCGTGAACACACCGGTCTCCAACAGGTAATTGCGATATGCAACCAACACATCCTCCTTCTTTTCGACACGCGCATACATCTCGGCGTTGGTGAACTTTGGCATATCCAGTTCGTTGTGTCCAAACTTACGGAAACCGACCAAGTTCACAAACACGTCCTTTCCAAACCGCTGACGATACTCGTAGGCCAGGCGGGACGCCATCACGACGGCCTCCACGTTGTGCGCATTGGCGTGGAGCGCGGGCGATTCCACCATCTTCGCCAAGTCGGTGGTGTAACGAGTCGAGGCGCCACCGGCGGGGTAGGTGGTAAACCCAATTTGGTTGTTGACGACTATGTTTATCATTCCTCCTACTGCGTACTCAGGGATACGGGACATCTGCACAGTCTCCGCAGTTACTCCCTCGCCACTGAATGCAGCGTCACCGTGAAGTACCACGGGAATAACCTTGCTAGCTTCCAAACCCGAATTTACCTGACGTGCGCGAGCCTGACCCATAACCACGGGGTGCACAAACTGCAGATGAGAGGGGTTGTGCAACATCTCTAGACGCAACGAACCGCGACGACTGCGATAGCCAAAGTGGTACTTAACGTCACCGCAGTACTCGCTGCCTTCCTTTGCATACCAGTTTTTACCGCGGAACTCGGCAAACATCTCGTCGAGCGGGCGGTTTAAAATGTTCACCAACACATTGAGGCGACCACGGTGCGACATTCCCATCAAAAGCGAATCGACACCGGAGGACTCTGCCAAGCTGCATAGAACGTCCAATGATACCACCATCGACTCAAGACCGTCGGCACCGAACCGCTTGACAGTTGGGAAGGCCTTGGTGCAGAACCTCTCGAACATGACTGCACTTGCCACGGATCTGAAGAACTCAAGGCGTTCATTTTTTGTGAAATCCATGGCACTGGGATTCTCAATCCTGTCAACGAAAAAACGCTGCTCCTCTACGGGCAGGTGGGAGAATTCCGCCGTGAAGTCGCCGCAGTAGCTCTTGCGTAGGTTAGAAATGCATTCCGCTACAGTTGCCGAACTCCCCATGTGACCGGGAAGCAGGCCGGAAGGAATGGTACGTGACAAATCGGCTTCGGTTAACCCGTAGGTTTCCGGCGCTAACTGAACGAGAATTAAGAACAACGGCATGATCACTAACCCAAACCTCGACTTCCTTGGGGCTAAAGCGGTGGAAGGGCGGTTCGCGTGGCAGACAGAGCGGATCCAAAGTGGCCTGAGTGTGGCCATAGGTGCGGTAAGCGCGGACAAGCTCCGCCAAACGAATCATAACAAGTCGCTCGGCATCGTCGGCTACCGATGATGCCAACAGAGACACCACGCTGGTCTCCCTTCCGGCGGTCGATCCAGTAGCTATTCCGTCACCCTGCATGTACGTTAAGAATCCAACACACAGTGACTAACCGCTCCTTCCGCGGATGTGCCGAACGTACGCGCAGCACGCAACGCTCGCAGCTGCTGGGAAGAGGCCGGGCTACGCAGGCATAAAACGCCGCGCAAACTCCCGTCCCCCAACGTGCGATTGATTTTGCGCAACATGGTTTTAAAAGTGAACCATACTACCGCGCGGCGTAAGCAAAAATATTGGGATGCTAGCCACACTGCAGCTAGAATAACGCAAAGGCATAACTAAAACCACACACATTTCAAGGCTGATTACACATATTAGTAGTTTCGCGATATTGACGTCGAGAGGTACCGTCTCCCCCTACACCTCGCCGCGATTGAGGGGAAAAAGCGTTACGCAGTGGTGGCGCCAACGTTGGTACATCAACGTTCACAAGTCACATCAGCCTTCGTCAGGCACTGTGATTGAGAAGGTGCGTGGGTATTTTTTCACCTCTTTTCTCTTGCTGTCGTCCAGGTCCCATAGCATACCTCCGCGTATCAACGCGTCCAACAAGGCACTGCCCACCATTAGCACCCGCAGCGATAGGGCGCATATCAATACCAAAAATACCGCCGTCACGAACCGAATGACAAGTAATGCATTTGCGTCGACCTTGGATTCCAACGCCTGCTGTCGCAGAATCTCTATACTGAGCGCAACCTAATACGCGGTAAAACAGGAACATGTGAAACTCACGTGTTGTACGAAGAAACATTGGTAGAGCATTATTGCCAGCAACGCCAATCCCGGCCGCCCGTAAATCATCGTCAGGGCGAACGCCACGAAGCTGATGGTTGCCGAAAGGCAGCTTCCGTAGCTTATATGAACAAAGAAGTCACGAAAGCACTTGGTGTACATCTGCATGAATACCATCACGTTGAGAGATGCGGTCGTGGCCAGAAGAGATGTCAGCATCGGCTGACATACTAGCGTCAGAACGTCAATGACGCGCGCGTCCTGGCCGTGCCACGGCACTTGAAGAAAACGTCTCATCATGGTCCACATTACCCAAAATATAACAATGTGCATCGGTACTGTTGGCGGCGACGCAGCTGTCTAAAAATTATCGCGAGCGATTCCTGCTGCTGGGAGGGAAAAAGCGCATAACGATACTGGCTACCGAAAAATAGCCAACTGTAGGTGCTAGAAAATTTAGCGAGGTTATTATAATGCCCAAAGGCGGCTATTTGACTTTACACCAACTCTATTCCGCAGTTGCGGGGTGTTAGACACCTGCTGCTTTCTTAGAAGCGCCGATATGCGCGTCGCTACCGAACACATGGCTATAAAACCATATAAAACTGTAAAGAGTCAGCGATAGCAAATGTGCCAGCGGCCTCACTTGCATTGGCCGACCTTGGTGGCCGGTGAGTGCGCTGGCAGCAAAAACGATTTTACTCGCTACGGAAAATAATCGATAACATTCATTTGAGTATTATAAATTTTAAATAGATGTGTCTGGTAGCATATCTGTCGGCTCCGTGTTGCCATGGAATCCGACACACGCGCATGAGCCTGTTTTAGCGCTACCCCGTCAAATACATGTGGTAATGACCTCCTGAAGTGTAAAGAGATATTTTAATTCACGTGACGCCTCGGGCGGCTTGTTGAGCCCCTGCCGCCATGGCCAACAAGACAAAGGGCGCCAAGCGCGCCAAAACTGGAGAGAATGAGACGTATAGCATCAAGGAGATTCTCGAACAGGATAAGCAGAACATCCGGGACACGTATGGAGGCAAGTTCTTCGAGTGTCTGCAGCGCGGCCTCACAGAGCTCCGGCAGGAAGAACCCAAAGTCGACATGACCGAGGAGAAGCTCAGGACCCTGAGCAACCAGATTTGTGACGCGTGCTATGATTTCTACTGGCATGACAGGCGGGTATTCAAGCAGAAGATCTTCGAAATTTACAGCAACATGAAGAGGGAAAACAACCATGACCTGCGGCGTAAAATCATAACAAAAGTCATGACGGTGAACGAGCTTATCCACGCAGAGACGATAAAGCTGGCTCCCGACGAGGTGCAACAGAAAAGGCAAATTGAGGTCGAAAAACACTATCTGCGAAACGTCATACTGCCGGGCGACCGGAACAACGTTGCAACAACAGCGGTCGCCGAGCCCACGCAATCTCCGGAAAGCGATACTGCATTAGAGAAGGCTGTCAGCCCCAGCAGAAGTAGCAGTGGACTGGACCGTATGGTCAGTCCTGGTAGCCGCGACGGGACAAACCTTTTCGATAGCGATATCTCGGATGAGCAGCAGTCGGATTCGTCTGGAGAGGAGGAAGAGTCAGACCAAGATGGAGATGGTGATGAAAACGCACCTCAATCGGATGCGGACACTGCGCGGCCTGGCGCCGCTAGCACATCGCCAGCGGCGGGGCTGAGTGCCACCCGTTATGAGGCCGACGGCGACCGCGGGGAAACATCTACATCAATCGACGAAAGGGGTGAAACTGGTGATCACACACCAAAACGGCGGAATAGTGCGTCACCCAGCAGTCTTATGGAAGATATTGATTCGAGTAGCATTTTCTTGACACGCCAGCATAGGGTTGAGTCGGACGAGGAAGCAACACCTAAGAGACCTCAAGCGCCAGACGGAAGCCAATTCACGCTAGAGCACGTCATGGCGAAAATAGAGGGACGTCTTGACGCGCTACCAGCGTATATTGCAAAACCGTTCAGGGGACCGCTGAAATGCGGACACAAGCGCGTATCACTGCTCATGGCGAGGTCGCACATCCTGCACAGCAAACAGCCAGATCACAAGATCTCGCCCTCGCCTGAATGAACAGAGGAGTTATACGCTGGAACTACATGGTTGTGTAATGTGAGGGATCATCACGGCAGCACGTGACACTGCGGCGCACAGGCCTGCATACACCTCCGACCATGTTCAGTGCCATAACGGAATCCGAGACGCCGGATCACAAAGAAGTCGCGTACTGGATGCACGTCTACTGCTGACAGGAAATATTCCTCTCCACCACGTCGGGCATCATCCGGGAAGGCCCCGCGTCTCCCCGCATCAGCTTGCGGGGACAGGATCAAAAATATATACTAGGACTCGAGAAAACGGCGAGGAAAGCTGTGTGCTGTGCCGAATGGACACTTAAACAACTTTCAAGTGTATAAATACGCCAACTGATGACCCGTTGTGCTGTAACAGGCACCACGTAAAGCAACTGACTCGTGGAATCATCCGCGCTTTTTGCGGGGCTTACAAGTAAAACGAAAGAAGGGACCAAAATACCTGCTGAATAACAATCGGATCGCTATAAGGCTTCAGTCATGATACGCAAAGACGTCTCGGGGCGTCGGCGGCGCATTGGAGGCGCCGGTGACCTCCCACCCGACAACGCCACCAACCAGACCAGTTCCGTAGGCTCGCTAGCTTCCTCACGTGCATTATCGCCATCCTTCCATAGAAACTTGATTGATCTGCAAAAGCAGCTGCCTAAAACAGTGAACAATAAGGAAGATGATGAGGTGGAATACATCCGAGTGCTGCGGTCCTGTTTGTCGGGCGCTGCGCCTGACCCCTCAAGTCCGTGCTCGATTTCAACGGCGGGCAGCGACGAGGAAGAAACGGCCGTAGAGTCCAAGAGGCGCTGTTACAGTGACGTTTCGCCGTACACAACCTTTCAAAGGCGCCAGCATGCTGCTGGAGGACTATCCGCTGAGAGGCTGCAAAATAGCGGAGGAAGGCACTCCATTGGCGTTGAAAGAAAATGGCGCACTGAGGTTGTTGATCTCCGAGACTTTGTATCAGCTGGTGAATATGACAACGCCGATGACAGCTTTCGTGAAACGCCTTACGAGAGCGGTGACCACGCGGCCTATCAACTGTATTATGAAGGCAGAGAGACACCTGTGAGACACACGCCTGCCGGAAACACGAACATCATTTTGCTGGACGATGGCAACAATGCGGGAGTAGAAGTCTCGTTACGCAAGCTCCGCACCGGCATGAAGGGACAGCATAGGCTGATCCGTCTGCACAGAGTGGGGACGCACCTCCAGCTGGAGTACTCCGAAGCGGTAGAGGACCTGGAGCTGAGCTTTGTACCTACTCAAACCATCGCAACGAAGCACGACAAACGGCACCGGAACATAGAACAGGTGCCGGCCATGCGTCCCTCGTACGCCCAACGCACGTCGACTTCTGCAAACGACCATTTCATAACAACCAGCCCTGTGGGCATGACAGCATTGTGTGTGGTCTCTGGAGTCATCGGCGCGGCAATTGGCGCTGCACTGTACCTCAGGAGTCGGAGTTCGACAATGGCTTGAACAGCTGCACATGACCACTGCGCCCTACACACAAGAGGCACATCTGGAACACAGGCTCTGATCCTGCTATAATGTAGTGTCATCTGCTCATAAAAGCACTAGTTGTACGTATGAATCTCACTAGAGACCAAACATTTGTGTTACATGCACGATATTAGTTGTGCATTTTTAGACGAGCACGTCATCTCGTCCTAGAGAGCCCATTGAAGCGCTCTAATAAACCAACGATATGGCCTACATGACCCGCGCCATCACAGTAATCGCACTAAATACAGAGGCGCACTGCGCCATACATAATTTCGCTTCAAGACGCATGCCTTGGCACAGCCTAAACAAACACGGGGGTGGCGAGCGTTCCAGGACAAGCTGACCCATACACGGCATTCTGTTTGGAGAATTACAGCTATACCGCACCTATTACCAGCAGAGACTCACGTGTGACCGAATATCTCTTGACAAATACGCCCATGCACTTATGACATGACTCCCGAAACTGATCTGAGATCCAGGGCATCACACCCATCGGCCTGGAAATTCCCCTCACAAATACTCATCAGTGTGAACATGCGCATCCGGTTGGAGCACACTTACAAAAGTTTTGCTACATTCTTGCATCATCTAGACACTCGGGAAAGGTGCGATTGCGATCACCGAGCTTGACATGACCTCGCCGACGTAAGTATCACTTCACGGTAAATCAACATGTCGATGGCGACATCGGTTGTAGGAGGACAAACATGCGATGCAACCAACACGCTGCATCATTCCCGCATTAGTATTCGTGCTGGGGAGAAAACATGCCCATATGCGGATGCGTCATCGGTTGCCAGAACTGGGGGTACGGAGCAGGCTGATAATACTGCGGGGGCGTCGCGTCAAATTGAGCAGGAACAGCATTCGGCGTCACCTTTTTGTTTGCACGTGATTCCACCATCTGAGCGGCCTGGCACGCTAGTGTAGCGCGCGTGTGGTCGCATTCGCGGCTGCGGGTCATGAACTCGGACAGGTGATCGCTCCAACCGGCATTTCCTGCACCAGCCTGCCAAAGATTCGGATCTGAAGGCTCTTCTACGTTGAAGTGGTTAACCATGCGCAATGCACGCTTTAACGTACGCTGCAGGGACAGCAGGCGCAGTTGACGCTCCAAACGCATGAGCCCGACCAAGAACTTGTCCACGTGAATCATTCCATGTACCCGAAATCGATCCGCAAACTTCTCCATACCCAACGAGTGGATTAGTGCTTCGATGCTCTCCATGCCTTCGCCGTAACCCTTCTCCATCACGAATTCTAACAGCGAGCGCAAATTGCCGACAGCGTTCAGAGTGTAAGAAGTCCGGGATTCCTCCATCGATTCATTATACTCCACCCAGCCTAGACTAGGAGTCCAGTGCGTCCCACCAACGTGCAACGCCTCCGCGTAGTGTAGTATCTCAGCGGCGTGAGACGGCTGCTCAGGCTGCTTTTCGTTCACGGTGGAGCAGTCGACGCCACAACGCAGCAACAGATCGGGCGGCACATCTGCACCCACTGCCAGGTATTTGTAGACGGCATCGATCTGGCTAAGTGTCCTCTCGAATTGGGAGCTGCTCACAGGGTTCCTAACGGATCCCTTCATGCCATGGTACTCAGATTCCACGGGTTTACGCTTCTCCCGCACCGCCTCAAGGGCGGATATGAGCTGACGGAATCTCACGTCATCTGATTGGACTCCCTGTGCGCTCAAATTGTAGAGCTGGTGCACGATCTCGGAGTAGGTGGCCATCGTTTAAGGTCGAGCCAGGACCGGTGAATGCCAGCAGCGGCACAATCACGAGGCAAAGCCACCTTCGTATAACGTCTAAAATTAAAAACTATCTGGGTGACGCGCCGGCGACATACGGCGCTACGAACACCCCGCACACTGCGAGGCGCAGACCGCACGTAGCGCTAGCACAAAATGATAACAGTGTTATAAATATACGGTTCTACATTTCCGGCATTACGGGAAGGTCATACACCGTAACGTTAGCGGCTTCTCCGCCAAACTTCCTTTCGAGCTGGGAGGGATCCACCGTCTCTAGCATCTTCTTAGTGTTCCTGCCAGAACTTATCTGGATCTTTTCTTGAGTCACTTCCGGCAACACGTTCTTCACAAGTCCCCAGAGACCCGATATGATGTACGGAGCGTTTATCAGGAACATCTGGGACAGGCGGCCGCGGTAGTTCACCGTCAGTGCACGGCAAATCTGCTTAATCAACGACACCTGCAAACCCAAAAGGTTGGTGCCGCTCATGTCAATTATGACCTTCCACTGCTCAATGCGTCCGGGGATCATCAGCTTGTTAATGGCCAGCTCGAGCGTGAAGAAAATGCAACGCAGGACAAGCTCAGGTTGGACCTTAGCCACGTTGCGCAACTGGATAACCACAATAGGTCGCATGCAGTTGTCACGGCCGTGAATGTAGATGATTCCACGGGCCTGCGAAAGGTCATTTAATGGCACTCACAACTAACCAAGACGCCCTCAATCTCAGAACGATGGATGGGTAGTGTAGCCTTGCGCCATTGTAGATTCTCTTTCATGTCATCCAACGCTGCCTGGTACTTGTAGTTGTTACCGATGAGGCAACGCAGGAGATAGCCATCGTCAGCGAATATAGTTGCGCCAAAACGCTTCTTAAAGCTCACAATTGCCTGGTTGGTATCCAACTGAGGGCCCTCGAGCTTCTGGATAGCAAACACCTTGAATGCGTGAATGTGCTCCTGCTCGAAATTGGTGAACTGCACATTTGAAAAAATAAAACGAATTTGGTGCCCGCTCCTAGTAACCTGAAGGCAATAAAAACGAAGTTATCCCGAGCGTACCGTGTTCAGCTGATCGCCCGTCGGCACAAAGTTTTTCACGTACTCGGGCAAGACGATGCTATCCAAAAGCGGATCGTCATACCCGAGCGCGTTGCATGAATCGGAATCAGAATTCATTACGCCCATTGTACTAGCCAATGTGCATCATCATCGCACGGCGCCGATATATAAACCTGCTTGCGACCAAACAGGTAAGTCACGTGGCAATCCACGAAACTAATAAGTATCGGTAGAGGGGCAAACGATGTGCGAATTAGGGTAAAAAGACTTCTGTTGCTTCCCCACCGCAGATGGGGATACCGGTATATCACTGCAGGCTCTACGTCGATCCAAATAGCGCATTTAATTTCGAAACGGTATATTGTATTCATCTTCAATACCAGACTGCTTTTCGCGCGACGCCTTATGGATGTGTGTACTACTATGTCGCGGCGCCGATCATTTACCGGCTCTCACAGATAACACTCTACTATGTCACAAAGATAGATAGCACATACTTCTGTATGGTCGCTGTTAGGGACCAAGCAAAACTTTCGCAAGAAAGGCAAAGCGATAAGTACTGCTGTAACAATGCGCATTTCGGCATACATGTCACAACCGCGTTGTATCACAATGTGTAAATATGTGGGCTCATAGTGTCCCGTCGACGGTATGCATCCGCTGTTAGCGGTTCAAAACCTCTACCATGTAACTCAATGGTCCGTGAAAATCTGTATTTTGGCGCACTTTGCAGGGTTTATTACAGATGTGAATTATTAATCGTTGCCATTTTCCAGCGGTCTCGTAGTGTAGCGGTTATCACCGTGGACTCTGACTCCACTAACCCAGGTTCGAATCCTGGCGGGACCTTTTTGTTCGACGCTGTGTTTTAAAATTACGTTCAACAAGCACGGCTAGTGTGAAAAGGAGGCTAGTTCTCGATTTCGAACTCTTTCTCGGGTTCTTTTGTCGCGTCTGACGTCGGCGGAGATGGGAATGCTACTCCTGTGGGGATGCATCAGTAGTCACAAAATCAGCGTACCCTCAAGATATGAAGCAACCTTTCCTGCAACGTGCTGAATATACAAATACACATGGCGCCTTACCTTTGACGTTTTGGAACACTTTAACGGGGGAGGTAGCGCCTGAAAGCAGCGGCTCCTCGGGCTCTTCGAGCATGGAAAACTCAAGCTCCAGCTCGTTCTCATCCACATCATCTGGAATCTATAGACGTTTATAGCGTCAAATATCGACCTGCTTACCGCGTATGACCGACTCAATATCTCGTTTACATCGTCAGCGTAATCCGCCAGGTCCTCCATTTCATCTTGGAGGCGCTGCGCGTGAGATTACAAACGGATGGGGAAAAACCGCACCTCCAACTGATCCACCTTTACGAGTTTCAGTTGCTTGCGAGTTGCTTTCACAGATGACGAGAGTGCATTCCGCTGAGCGGTATATTACTCTTGGTGGAAAGTAACAGCATACCACTTCCACCGCCGTCTGCAATTGGCTGGCAATGTGTTCCGACTGATCGACCGATAATTGAACACCGCAGAGCTGTTCCCTTTGGTTCTCATAAACGCGGCGGCGTTGGAGCACCTGTAAAGCCTTGCGCTTGGCTGCGGCCACCGCCGCAGGGTTCTTGCAACTGGCAAGTCCAGATTTTATGCTCGCCAGCTCCGCATTGCAGGCGTTTATTTTCTCATCGATGGATGCGATCTTGGTGCTGATTCCTTCTAGACACGACGTTTAGAGGAATCTAGAGCATAAAAGCACTTACGCGAGGTCTCCTGGAGCGACGCTGCCGGAGTACGCTTCCAAAAAAAACTGCAGCAACGTCACTAACCGGGTTACATGGAAGATTGTGAAGCAGTAACGATACCTCATTAATACGCGGCCCGTCAGTCGTGCCGCAGAGCACGATCCAGTTCAATGGCGAAATCGACGGTATGGATATCTATGTGTAGATTCCACTGGCGGGACAAATATGTTGCGAAGTGCAGATTCTTCGACAGATTTTCACTGTCATAACAAAACAAATTTTAGGGTGGGCCGAGATACCGTAGAAGGTGAATCATATGTAACCATCAGGGTAGCGCCAACGCTTCATCAACTCGCCGTAGCTGCACAAATTGATTGCACAGTATCACGATCACGTACTTGAAGATGCGTGGTGTCATCTCGTTTTTGACGCGGCACGAATTTTCGGCCATCTGAACCCAGCCCATCAACGCGCGGCGGCTATCGGTACTGCGCAAGCAATTCGGTAGAATGACTGTGACAACACACCGAGGAGGGAACTCCGTTACAAAGCGCTGGAAGCACTGCTGGCCGTTTTTGCACATGTCTGTCAGAGTGCGATAAAAGACGTCGATGTTGCGACGCTGAGAGTCGCTCGGAACTTCGTCCACATAGGCGCCGTACATCCATATCTGTACACATTCAATTAAAAACGCGACTTCCACTCACTAGGATCCACTGGGCGCTGCAAGGGTCGATTGCAGCGTTCCTGTCTACTGCCGCGAGAGATTCCGCGAACGTGTAGCGCCGCCTCTCCGGACGGTCTGGAGAATGCTGCGAAGACATCACCACTATCAACTGTTGCACATTTCCTTGTCCTCTAAAGAGGGTTATTGGTACGCCATATAACCCAAATATAGACCCGTCCCCATGCTCGATGCAATGCCAACAACGGTGGCGTAAGGTCTACCGGAGAGATCGAAACAAGTCCCAATCGCAACATGTTCTACACAAGTAGACTACTGCGAGCTCTCCAACATATCAAACAGCATGGAGAGCGCTCAGTGCCGCTCTCAGACAGCACTCTTAAGGAGGTCATTGTCAAAGCCATCGGTAAGATAACGTTTGGAAGAGCAACAGCAACACTTAAATGCAGGCAAACCAACTTCTAGCGATGAGATAAAGTACTTCAAGCGGAATCGCAGAGCAAAGCCCGTTGCGCCCTGTTTCGCAGGTGAAATCAGACCTAAAATGAAGCTCGTCGCCGCTGCGATCGATCACTCGGAACTGCCTCCGCCGACGTTACCAGAGGTATGCAATATATAAATGAGCAATGGCGTCCATGTTGGTGGCAATACGTTGCCATGATGGACATAATTATTTTGACGGTGCGCTTATATGAGTGAAGGTCGCATTCTACGGACGCACAAATGCCGGAAAGTCATGCCTAATCAATGCCATATGTGGCCGATATGGAGTTTGTCCCGTCAAAAGTCTTCCGGGAACCACCAGGAAGGTACACTTCTACAAGGTAACATTGCGTTTCAACAAATGAATGCATGCACAGGTGGGCTCACCGCCAAGTATCATACTAGTTGATATGCCCGGCTACGGGTATTCTTCCGCAAAGGAAGATCTGTCCACGCAGTGGAACGAATTCGCTCTGTCGTACCTCAAGTACAGGGAAACTTTAAAACTAGTCATCGTGCTGGTGGACAGGTGAGACAACATCCACGAAAAAAACACCTGACTGATTCGCAGCCGCATAGGATTGAAACAGTCCGATCTGGAAGTCATCAATTTCTGCAGCAAGTACAAGATAAAATGGCACCTCGTGCTCGCAAAGGCCGACACCATGAAACCGGTGCTCCTGGCGAAAATGATGCAAAAGGTAAACCTGGTTTATGCCCTTTAATTATCGTTCAGGTAAAGCTGGAAACCTCTACATACAGGGGTTCGAACGGGAAAATTATCGCAGTTGGAGCGACGAAGGACCAAAACCTAGAGGAAATCAGGGGGATTGTAGAATCCTTTAGAGTCGACAAGCACATAGCTGTAAGTGATGCGTTTCCAGTCACACTCACGTGTAGCATTTCTGGTCTAGATACAGGGCCAGTAGAACACCCGATGAAACCAAAAGGATGAAGTCAGACGATCCTCCAAAAAGTATCGCAATAAAAACGGGCAATGATAGCGATATGCGCTTAACAAATGAATCGCATTCGCCACTTAAAGCGACTCCATTGGAAAAGTTAGTTTAACATCTTTGTTTCTGATACTGCTGCAGATACGATTTGTTCAAGTACATCGGCGAAACGAGTAACCCATACAGTGTTGACCAGGTGGCACTGCGTTGCCTCGGCGAGGTATTCTCACGGTTGACGCCCATACCAGGCTTTGTTGACGATACGATGCCAGCTGCAGAAGATACTACACCGGCGATCGAAACGGAAAGCGTAATTGAACGCAGCGTCGCACCCACATTTGTTGAAATGGACGGTAATCTGCTCTACGACCTGCACATAACTCTGGAGGACACGCTAAAACGCAACGAAGAGACCGAGGCGCCACAGGAAAACCTCATACAAGATAAAATCGTCAGCTATCAAAGACGCCTGGCCATGGGCATCGAACCCGCGCCAAAGGTCGGCAGGCCTAACATAGGCAGGAGCTACAAGAGGGTTATGTCCATCTACAGGAAGGCATTGGCGCCCACAAAACTCAAGTGGAACTCCGCGAATCGAGATAAACTGACCTGGTCGGCAGCCTACCAGAAGTGGGAGAGGTGGAGCAAAAAGCACCCAGAACTCGCCAGGTAAGTCACAACTGTGACATCACATCATCTACGATCAGGTCCGCGCAACCACCCACAAAACGGCAAGTAGTTAGCGATGGAAGGTTGGTCGCACCGAACAATGGCACAGTTATTTGCAGCAAAACGCGTATACGGAAGCACCAGTTGCAAGTACACCAAAAACGCATTAAGACCCGGGAAGATCCGCCCAAAATTAACCGAAAGTCCCATCTATAGAGTTATACGTCAAAACGGTGTGCCACGATCACACGCAGACGTTTTAAAGGTGAAGAAGGCAATCCGGAACTTACGCCCCTCCTTAGTAATTGAGGAGGCACCAGCCAAGCGCTAGACCAATGGTGCTCACGAAAATGACTGCAGTACCTGTAACAGCAGCTGATACCTTTATGGAGTCCAGGTAATACGTAGAAGTCACGTCGGACGTGAGTACAATCGGACGAAACAGCACGTAATTCAAAAGGTAGACAGCGATTCCGGAGATGAAGCACAACGCAATACGGCTCTTAGTTGCCGAAGAAGGTGGCATTTTAAGCAGAAGATTGCTTGTGCGAGTGTGTATCCACACAACGCGCAGCCGTGTATATCAGTGGCCGACACTCGCTACACATTTCATCGATAGGGCTGAAATAAACCGCTAATCATGGTAATATGTCCATAAAAACTGAAATCAATCGGTATTATCGCACTATTTTGTCGTCCATTAGCGCTAGGAATACACCGGAAAATAGTAGGTACATTTTCTCGTTGGGATCACGCCGCAGACCGTGCACTCATTGGAGAGTTGATTGAGGCGGACGCTAAATTGGTCAAAGGTGCCCTAGATCTCATCTTGAGTGGAAGCATCGCAAAGGTTACCTTCGCACCTAATCAGCAGCCCACATCGCAGTCCTTCTACTCTATTCTATCCAAAGATAAAACGAGGCAATACCTAGTGATGCAAGGGTATTGTGATTGTATGTTATGTGTCATTCCTGTCGTCATTACGAATCTGTAGGCTTTCATTTCGCGGAACACGTTCTGTCTCGTGCGACGTCGTTCACAGTAAGCGCATCGGAATCTATCTACATGTGGATTTAGTGCACACATGAGCTGGCGTGCGTGCTGCTGGAATACATGAGCGCAGACATACAGACGGACGGTGGTAATTTGCTGCACAGCATCGAGGAACTGGACGAAGAGGAGTTCCTCGAACGGATGCACCTGTTGTACGATGAATGAGGAACAAGTTATAGTAATATGTTACTATACGCATCGTATATTGGTAGTGTGATCAATCAGCGTCACCAACAGAGACACTTGCGTAGAGCAAACCGTGAGGTCCATGCTTTGATAGAGAAATGCAGAACCGTCTCACAACGCTTAATAATAGCAAATGTATCCTGTTTACAGGCTAGATCCCCACTCACGCATAATAAATCGTGACCATTTGTAGACTCCTTGCATCACATGAAATCGAGACGTGGTATCCGCATATTAAAATCACAAATGCGATGGAGACAGTTCATAACATCTGTAACCGTGGCATCAAATCATAAACAAATTATAATATCATACCGATCACTCGTACCTTCTGAGTGCATTCAAAAAATTTTTGCGGATCTCGCAATGTCGCAATGTTATGGAATACCATATACCCATGAGTATATAGATGCCTTCACGCGACGCTAATAAGGATTGTAGATGTATGATGTCTTAATGGGGTTTCAGATTATTTCACGTTACCTCTGAATCCTGAGAACACAGTACAACTATTCATAACTTCTCATCCTCAATAGTCAAATCACCGAATGCCGATAGGGGTCTTTTATGACGGTCAATCGCTCTCATCGCATAAACGGGTATGTAACTCTCAGAATAGGATGTCGTCGCTGTTTGTCTTTCTAGTCTTATTTTTCGCCTCCAAAGCATCCGCTGAAAACTTACGTGAAGGAGAGGTAGCTCCCGTCGATGACACGCACATGACGTATGCCAGGTGGTCAGAGTTTTGTGTGAAAGCTCAAAAGGTCTTCAACGAAACACACGATAAGGCTGCGGTGGAAGTGGAGACCGCGGGAGATACCGCCACAAAAAACACAATTAAAGCTGCTTATGAAAGTTTCCAGGCGACCGTTTTGAAGATTAAGCAGGAATGTGATAAATTGGTCGCTCTTCCAAATACTGCGGAACAACTTAAATTCAAAGGTCAACCAAATGAAGCAACTGAACTAGACAAAGCTTCAAGATTCATCGGAAGGCAAGTCATGAGCGCTATCATTAGCGCACACAATCATTACATCATCTATAAGGTCGTGTTCAATAGTGAGAAGGAAAAACGCAATTATGTTGCTGCCAGCAAAGTCATTGACAATGCTATTCTCAGTGTGAAGTCGTTAAGCTCATTCGCCACGGTTAAAAGAATCATTCTCTCTGCACCTGCTATATTTGCAATTCACTCCATTTTGTTCTGATCCATTGGAAGTAGCAATAAACTATCAGCTATAGCATGCATACATATCGTCGAACGATGTGTATATGACAGTAATACTTGCTAGGTTTTTATCGTGCAATTTAATACCAACAGTATGGATTGGGGATTCAAAGAGCATGGCGCAAAATAATCGACTCAGAGGAATGTGAATGGCCAAAATCAATGCTATTTACAGCTAATCATCCTTGAATTTGTACATTATACGCATTAAAACAATGTTTACCAATGGTGCGGAGTGGAAAGGTATCAGATGCTATCTTCCGAATACATGAGCTGGAGATTTCCAAAATGTTGTATTGCCTAAATCCGGCATTAAAAGAAACGCATTCTTTTCAGAAGCTAATCGTGCTCCGTGTAAAGATATTTTGTGTTAATGGCTCACTTTTGACGTGGAACGACTTAAAAGTATACCGGAGGCTTAGGTCTTGCAACCTGTTGGTATTGGTTGCGTGTTACACGTCATCTGGGGACGAGAGTCATTCGAAGTCGTAATATTCTTTCCTCAACGATGTTATCGTCATTGATGTTTTCTCTATCACAATGGTGATGGTACGCTTTGGACGATGATGTACAAACTGTAGTTATAAATGGCATTGAAAAGATCATTTTCCTCAGGCTGAGAGGATGCCTCAACAGCTCTAATTTTTGTTACAGCATGTTTAATCATTTTGCACCTTTTAAAGCACCTGAAGTTGTGATCAAACATAAGATCCATTGTTATTGTACATCTTGATGAATTTTCTTAAGAAAAATTCCTCGGTTGCATGGCAGCTAGCTGCAGCTATTGAAGTTTCGATGTCCTTTCTTATCACAAAAATTAAAAAATTGTAAATAACTGTGATTCCAGTAAACCATTGAATGTGTGTTTGTCTAAATCATTTTTTTAATGCAGTTGTCATCTGTAGTATGACGTACAACCCCAAACCATGGCTAAATATGGGATTATAACTCTCTGGGCAATTTTATCAATTGTTCCGTATTCTGCAAGATATATTCACGAAATTGATCATAATTTCGGAGATCCAGATGGACTACTTCGGGACAATGCTCTCGTAAAGTTTTATATGGATACTGAGTACTTTGGCCCAGCAACTGTGATATGCCCACACCAGGTTAACGACATCGAATATGTTTGGCATCCTCAAACAAAGTCAGATGATCAATCTCGTATTAACGCGTACGTTAGTGAAAATGGCAGGTTTCGTTCTGTTGCTCTTTCGGATGTCGTGCGTACCGAAGCACCACGTTCATTGTTTCGAATGGAGTCGAGTGAATCACACAGTACGCTGCATCTCGACCTGACACATGACGATATATATACGATTATCGAACGCCGTTTGATCTTCCTCTGTGGTCCAAGGGATTTGGTTTTGAGTGATGCATTGCAACAGCACCTTGACCGACTGAATGATAGCACCGATTTTCCAAAACACCCTTGGACGTTAACAAACCCATTAACTCAGGAAATAAAGAAGATAGGGACAGGATTGGGCATGCTCATTTTGTACCGGGGTCTAACGCATCTACCACTTCAAGGATGCGGTAGCCGTCCCTCGCCACTGTTTGCTGTGGACAATGAGGTGACCGTTGACCCGAACACTGGTATTCGTTCATGCCTGGCAGATCCTATGCTCAAAGCACCTATTGGGTTCCTTTGCGAAGGTAGACTTGAACCTGACGATTGCATGAGATCACTCCTGAACAATCATGGAGGCGCTATTACTGCTCCTTCAGCACACAAATATTGGGAATTCGAACATCATGAACCCTGGGTAGTAGCACAGTATTTTAAAGACTTAGCACTACCGCCATTCAGTGGCGAATGTAGATGCATAAATCCTGAGACGGGTCAGGTGAAGGCCAAAATACAGATCCGCCCTAAAACTGAGTACTCTTGTGACATTTCCAGCATGATCAAACGCAACCGTGTCAGCGCTATTGCCGGACCTTGGTGTTCGGTGGTACTTCATCCGGGCAGCACCTTGACCATAAGGTTCCCAACAGAGGGTGTCGATACTATTTCTGGTGAGGGTGCCGACGAACACTCCCAACCTGGCCTACATCGGCGAAGGTCTCGTATATCTTTATTAGAAACTGGATTTCAACCAACGAGCTTGATGACACTACGGCAACAGGCTGGTTATCATGACCTTGCAACTTACGACGAGATCCCGTACAACGAAGCCCTGGCTGGCGATGCTCTCGAGTTGGATATTTCCCAAATATCTCAGGGGGTGGTAAAGCTGAAGTACCACCTGGGCAAACCTCTCGCGTTATTAGGGGGCCAAAACTCGTTTTTGTATCACTGGGCATTGAAATCTAGGAATGAGGATGCCCTCGAGAGTGTAGTAGCCACCGTCAGTGTCTCGTTCGCTTTTACGCATCGCTACAGGATGGTTGGTTGCGACCGAGGACCACAAAACGTGTTTGATCCAGAGTTGAGCAAAACGTATTGTTCAACTAAATGGATGAGAAACGGTATTGGACCCACGTATGAATGCAAATATTACAAAAGGATGTATGAGAATCATGCTGGTATTCACTGCAGGCCAGACGAGGAGCTCCTACCAAACAACTGTGAGTCTACAGGATATGATCTGTCTTCAAATCGAATTAAGCCATCTCCAGAATCTGTGCGAAATGTTACGCCACACTCCGTTCGCGGATTTCAGGTATTCGACATGGACAAACCAAATGCTCCTCTCAGCTATGCCTGTATTTGTGTCAACCAACATGGATACGAGAAGTCTAGGCTCATTTTAGAGTCAGACGATGAAGAGAATCATACCTACCCAGTGCGTAGTGAAAAGGCCTCCCATACGTGGTCGCCGTACAGATTTCTTTCCTCAAGTGAGTTTGATTTGGATAAACGGTGCAAATCACCGATATCAATTGTTCTAAACAACATATCCAAAAGGTCTATTAAACTACACGTGGGCACAATGTTGTCAATGACTTGTGCTCTTGATTTCGATGACCCGAACGTTGCAAACAAACACGATATTACAACGTCGTGGCTTCCAACAAAAGCGAGTGAATTTCATTATATTGTCAGCCATACGTTACATGGTCGTGCCCTTATTAGGAGAGCACACAGGGATGCTATAGCCGGTACTTCGGAAGGTTTGAAAGTAACGTACGGCTATGTCCATACATCTTCATTCACACGTTTGTCGTTAGAGTTACGCAAAGGCGCCATATTAATATCTAAGGAGTCAGACAACAAGGAATATATATCGATGACATTTGTCTGTGGTAAAGCGCCAGAACCCTCGGATTTGTCAATCGTCACTTGTAACACATCTGCGACGCCCATTCCCTATGGTACAGGAATGTTGGCACCTTATACGTGGAACGTCGTGGAAGTTGCCGTCGAGACCACCGACCCGCACATGCAGGGCTGCGGCGTCACATACGCGTCGGATGAGTTATTCAAGCCTGAGACGCCCCAACTTTACGACGCTGACGGACAACCTCAGTTCGGGTGCAAAATAGATCTTCAAGCTGCCAAGGAAGCTGCGTTCTACTGCCCAGCGCCTTACGTCCTGGACCCACCCAACTGCTTCAGCCAGGTCGCGGTTGAAGGTACCGTCAAGAACACGCGCGATCTCAGCAAGTCATTGGTGGTGTCGCGATCGAACCACTTCGTCATCCTGAGTTTTGATGGTTCTCTGGTAGGACCTGGGGAGACACTGCGCCAGACAGCGCCTTTGGAGTGTCGTTGCGTCACCATAAAGGGTATCGTTCTCTCCACCATACAGATCGAGAACTATTACTCGAAGTAATGAGTTACTAAGATGTGGTAACTCGTTTAGCAAAAACACAGACTAATTTTCGTTAATTGTTGCTATTGGTCTCCATTTTTATTGTGTATCTAAGTGGTAGTATGGATTTGCGTTATAACGCCGTAATTGCGGTTGTCAACTCAATACCTTATTCTGTTGTCATAATTGCTGCGTATTGGATATATAACAAGTAAGACGTGTAACGATGGGGGTGAAATGTTGTTATGTCTTGCCGCATCTTCCTTCCGCTTTTTGTAGTGTGGAAATAAGGAAGTTGTAGTAGGAGCACCTTCATTTATCCTCATACGTTAGAACATTGGCAATGCCTTTAACACGCAACAATCGACAACATTTAGCACCTCTACCTTAGTCCAGTTACCCCACTAATGATGATAAATAATCAGTGTCCGTGACTGGACGTGTTAGGCCACCAGTGGAAGTGGATGCAGAAGTGGCTTTACGTGTTCATCATATGTTCATAGATAACTACGGTATCTGCTGCGCAATTATACAATGAACCATATTGGCATTTTAGGGGTGCAGTTCTAGGGGGTGTCACCGGGCTCCGCCACATGGCCTACAGCTTGATGGGATGCGTGCCATCGAACACCCCAGCGTTTCATATTGTGATTTTAAGCATCATAAAGGTGACTGGGATGCTGGAAATAAAGTAAGTTACAGATGTGCGCCAAATACATTCGACAGCCTTCAGCTCAATGAGGGGTCGTATCCTGTTAGGAATGCGTTGTAAGACGTAACGTTGGAATGCCTTATCCTATGTCAAAATCATGCATAAACAGGAAATCAGTCCTAGATATGTGATTCTGTGTGCCAATTGAGAGCTTTAGGTAGTCAACTGAAACGAGAGGTGTTATTAAGTGAATGACAATGGTCCTACAAGGTGGGCGTGAGTAGACTAACGCATTCAAGGATATAGCAGCGCTCTCATCATCACGTTCTACAATACTAAAGATAACTAATACGATGCATTACTCCACGGTCACCTTTACAATATTCGAGGCATTTTCTCAGCGAAATGTGGGGTCGGGTTGGCAATCTCATGGTATCCCTGGCGATGGATCGAGTGGTGGTTGCTGATGAGTCATGGAACGGCGAGGGGAGACGGGTTGGTAGTTCGAGGTTAAGGTGCGTGTTTCATGCAGGTGTGCGTTAATTGCAAGAGAGGAGGAGATGTCTGAAGGGATGTGTGAATGTGATTATACAGACAGATCCTGTAGGATGGGAGATTGTGAGTGCTGTTTCTGGTGTTGTAAAGTGTGCGAACGACAAGGCCAGTGCGTTCCATGTATGGGGCCATATCTAAATCGCAAAAGAGACAATGGAAATGGCAATTGCTTTCCTTCGATATGTGAGATTAAATGTGAAACCTCCACCTGTCAATGTCCATGTTGTATACGTGGACGCTCTGCCGCCAGTGCACTTCGTACCATCGCTGCCAACAATTCCACCGCTCCCATCATCGCGTCCGTCATCTTCATAGCAATCACACTCACTGTCGTATGCGTTATGAGCGTCTTTCGCATTCGCCCGTTCCACAAAGTCCGCGATTGTTTCGTTCGCAAGTGAACGTTTTGTATCGCATTCTTTAATCACTCCCTTCATTTTTTATAATCGCAATTATCGCACAGTTTTCGGCATTAACAGCGCAGTGGCAACGTAATAACGTCTTATATAATGTTTCAAAATCGCATATCGTCAGGTACCCGGTGAACGCCTCCGTGACTTCTATCGTAGCAGCGTATCAAGTACGCATTAGTTAGAAGAAACGGATTAACAAAGGTCGATGTACTGCCCACGTCCGCTCACACCTCCTCACCACCAAGGCGTCCCACCTCATCGACTTCAAGGCCTTACTCACGCACGGGAGGAAGATGCTGTCACTATACTACGACCTAGTTTACTTCGATGACGACCCTTTGGAGTTACTTCACTTCACATAATAATTATCGCACCTACATAACACACGCGTTGATTTGTGATGTATTTTGTGATGCGGTATCCCAGATATGCACGGCGGATGCTGTAGTTACTGGACATAAGAAGCTGGCCCGTATATAACCTTGAGGATGCCATCCCAACCTTATGCGTGACCATATGTACGAGCCTCTACCTATCGTAGGTGACGATTTCACGTTAATTATTTGGTATCTTAATTTGTTCGTTACTCATGATGCGTCGTCCCACGTCAGTGGACAGTGAATGTGGGTGGTTGATTACCCATTCCACCGCCAAATGACTGAAATGCTAGCTCCCGCAGTGGTTCATCTGTTAGATGACTTTGTAGCATGTCAGTTATTAGGTGGCTGACCAACGAATGAGTCTGGGAATTTATCCGACATGTCTATGGGACGGTGGGCACTATAGCACACTACTAGCAACCCACTGTAAACTTTCAAACATTGATGATTATATGCAAATAACTAACAATGTTCAGTATATGCCACTATTGCTTTGCACTTTTATACGCCAACGACATGCGTTGTGCACAACGCATGCCGCTTCGAATAGTATCGAGCTGGTTTCGGTGGGGCGCTAGTGCCGTAGACGCGACTACATCGTACGTATACGTGGTGTATCAACGGCTGCGTAGTTTTGAATCAAACGCGTATTATTAGGTGTCAAGCACTTTTGCTTACCGGGATTGAGAGCGGTTTAAATAAGCGGCCTTCAAATAGACCCCAAACCCACAGCTTCATAGCAATTGCTCAATTCAATCCGATTTTACACAATGGTATACAATTCGCTGACCGAGGCTCCTCGCAACCTCAAGGAGGGTATGGACTGGTTGCTTGCCTTGAAGGGAACCGATGCCGAAGCCAACTTGAAGGCTATGGGCGCCGCGCTTTACGATTTGCTCGCAGACACGCCTGTTGGCTTCAAGGAGGTGCCAGCTCTCGAAAAGGTAAAGCCTATTTCTAAGAAGTTCCTGGAAAAAGGAGAGCTTAAGGACTACTCACACGTGAAAGACCTTCTGAAACGATACGAGCAACCTATGAACAAAACTGATTGGCTGTGGTATAAGCGTCACACCTCTTACCACCCAAGCGATTATATAAACATCATAGGCTTCTTCCGTCTCAATCCTGAGAAAATCGCAAAGAAATTAGGTGATGTTGTGAGTGGTTGTGAGAAGTTCTTGGAAGATGTCAAAATCCCTGACCAGTACAAGTCTGCTTACAGCTCGAAAGCGACGTGGGAGGCATCATGTTCGAAAAAGCCGGAAGCTTGCGCAGCGGTCCTAGCGGGAATTGCGCCTATGTTATACGCAGGGCTACAGTCGTTATTGGATGCGGACAAATCTGCAGAGAAGAAGGGTCCAGGTTCTAAGGCGGCGACTCATTTGGGAGAGATAATGAAAGCCATAGGTTATGTCAAGCCTGAATGCAGAGAGGACTTAACTGCTCCAGATGTCCACAAGGCGTTGAGAGGTGTGGATAAGCATGTTGTGTACACACTCTACGACATCTCTGGCATGTGGGCCTTCTATTGATTGTGATTTGCAGGTGAAGTTTAGAAGCGACTCGACAAACAACGAATCTTACTCTGGTTCCCCAGCGAGTTGGCATCATGCGAACTCTCACGAAACATTTCGACTTTATGAGACGCAATGATAGCCACATTTATGCATAAAATCTTCCTTTACAATACTGCTTCCGTCACGTGAGGCCAAACACAGTTCTTAACTAATCTTTAATTACCTTAACGACACAATTTGGTGGGCTGCCCTTTCAGCTTAGCACGCTTCAATGGCCAGGCTCCGCAGATCTTGTGCGGATATCCGCATTTTAAAAATGGTGCCTTACACTCCTATGCGCCTTCTCAGGCTTATGAGGGATCGGTGTAGACTGGCGATGTTCGTTATATGCCCCGTTGTCAAACTTCTGGGGCGCTTGTTGAGTGCAAGGCGCATTAACCCCAGTATATTGCATCACTTCATAACTCAATCTTTGATCGTGGTAACTCTGCCGAACTTGCATTCCATTGCTTTGCCGCCACCAGTGGCGGACACGGGAGAATATGGTGGCCACATCCCTGTAATTCTGCTCATAATCCTCATTTTCTGGCATATTCTTCATGAAATTGCACTTAAGGTGATGATTACCATATGTGCCGCATTTGCCAAACCACATGAACGTGTCAAATTACCGTCAAGTAATCTTGTCGGTGGAAGGATTCCCGGGGAGATGGACATTGATCGATACTCCGCCTTCTCGTCCAAGGAGATAATGTAGCTTCACGTAGCACATGTAGAATTTTTAGATCGCAGTAACAATCTTAATCACAATGTAGCTGCGCATGGCATCCTTTAACATTTCTACTTCGGAACCTTGACAATACCTGCGGAAATGTGCTCCAACAGACTCCTTGGATATCTAAGCCTTCACTAAGCTAACGTCCCGTAGCTCCACACAGCACACAGCGTTATTGTACTCTTGTATGATCAATACCACACGTTGTGCTAAGTACGTAAGTTTTTACATGCAACAGAAAACAACCAACTTAAATCACGTTAATGCTGTATAACAGAGCGGCAAAAGCTCGATGACGGAACAAAGACCTGGCGGACATCAACGATATTTATATACTGATATTAATGCTTCATGTTTGACAGACCTCATCTGTGTCTGATCCAATAAGCACGGGTCATATAGAGTAATGCATAGGTTCCTAAGGTGGAAAGCCTATCACCTTCAACTCCACTGGCAGCGCTTCGACCGGAAACAGATGTAACCAACAACTCGGTAATGCTGTTAAATTACGACCTCTGAAAATCCGATGGGGGCTGATACAAGCACTGCTTCAAAATCCGTATGAGCACCTGCGCTGGCTGGGCGTGTTACGACGGCCGATCCAGCGCGGACTTTATAAATACGGCCGGCTAGCAATTGGTCGACTCTTCCCTCAGCCGTTGCGAAGTCACGCCCTTGTTTTGATGGTACTTGCGGGAGCTTAAGTTGCGGTGTATCTTGTAACTTCATTCTTCTATTGATAAACAGGTGACATTTCTGTTTTCCTGCAACTTCATTTTGTCGAGCGGTTAGAATAACGAATAGTTTTCATCCCGTTAAAATATATGTCTTGCACAGGCCAGTAATACGCTGGCAGCTGTGGTTATTCTGCCATGTAGACACTTTCCCCATTATCACTTGGAAAAGCAACAATCTCAGACGATAAAACGGTAAATAGAAGTCCTAATACCTTGGTCTTTAACGTGGGCGACGAGTTATCATTAACAAATGGCCTTTAACGCTCCAAATACGAGTACATTCAAACATTTGCCTCGACAGATTCCCCTTGCTACGATACATCATTTTGTTTGTTGTTCATTGTTCTTTACCCTTTTCGTCTTCTTTTCATTCTCTACTTTTTGCAAACTTCTCTATAATCATAGTACAATTTGCCCATCCTACAGCAACGCCGATCTGTGTGACTGCAATTGCGACGCCTCGCCAACACGGTTCCCAATAAGCACAACTCTAAAATATGCAGGATGTGCACCAACCTGATAAAGGTGTTATGGTAAATAGAACGCGTCGATTTGATGGGTGTGTCTACAATTATGCTTCCCCGGTTAGACGACGTTCATAAGACGATCGACCAGAACGAGGATGAACTCTTGCAGAATAGAGTAAATAACTGACCTACCGGTGAACACGGACTTATTTTCTATAAATCCAATGAATGCCGTCAACTCGCGCTCCCTAATAGTGATTACCTGCTACCTACCAGACCGGGGATAGGCCGACAGGCTGCAGCAACATTGCAAAGATGGCTTGAAGGCGCCCTTTAGGAAAACCATCTTGCCACATCGGCATTATATAGCGATATAAACCGCAGCATAACCATTGCTGATGTGCGTACAACGCGCCGGCATAATTTGGCTAAGATGGAAAAATTCCCGAAAAGGAGGTATGAGGACCTAGCGGATGATGTGGAGAGGAAAAGTTTTGACCAGCAGACAAGGTTCAAGGTGGTACGGTGTTTGATTGCTCGGGATGGCGATGCGATAACACGGCATATTAGTTGTCGGAGCGATTTGAGAAAATCCACACGTTTGTCATGGGTGACATGGTGGAAAGAGGATCACGAATACCATTGATTGCTGCCGCAGGTAGATTAAAAAAATTTTATGCTGCGAAGAAAGATTCCAGGTATCTCAGCGACACACGATTTTTCGTGCGCGGGGTGCGTCTCCAGCTTGCGGGGCGTGAATCGTGTCTGACCCGAAAGGCCCAGGTCCAAAGGTAGCCAATTACCGCAGATTATCCAAACAAAAATACGCCTATGATCTCCGCTTTGGAATCATATCGCTCGAAATTCGCGGCCCGCGTGGCCCCCGCGTACACTAGTTTGACTCAGAAGTACACATGTGGCGAATTTCCGTGTTTGTGGTGGGCCGTCTCGAATCTGTCTAGCCCAACGCCGCCCCTGCACTTGTCACCCTACGTTCACTTCAAGCTTTACACATTTTGAAAGTCTATAAAGTTGTTAAATAAAATAAGCCTTATAATATTATATATCCGCATATTGTATCACAATGAACGCATTTAAGAAGGTTGCTCTCCTCTTGGCAGGATTTGCCGCACTCTGCTTCGCCGAAGTCTACGCCGACGAAGCCAAGCTTGACGACTCCACCCCTGAAGAGTGGGTTAAGACCGTCACCACCTCCGACGACCACCTGAAGACCGAAGTCGCGAGGCTGAAGAAGGACGAGGCCTACGAGAAGGACACCGGATTGTTGGCTAGCAAGGTCAAGATTGATGCTTTCGATGAGGCCGTTAAGCTGTTCACCGCTGCCAAGGTAAAGGTTGACGCCGCTAAGAAGGCTTTGGACGAGAAGGCCAAGGGCACCGACAACAAGGCTGAGATCGAAGCTGTTATCAAGACCTCCAACGACACCGTTGAACTCTACAACAAGGCAATGTTGGCTCACACCGAGGCTCTCTTCGTTGTTGCAAAGTACTACTCGACTAAAACCGGCAGAGTTGCATCCCTGAAGCACCTTCGCGCTCTTGACAAGAAGCTTGTCTCCAGTTTCGGTGCTGCGGTCGCAACAGTAGCCCTCCTTTCCACCTTCGTCGCTACGATTTAAAAACTTCCGAGATCCATGTAGTAATATGTTGTGGTTTAACGTTATTGGAGGCTTCTGACTTCTAAAGGGAGCATATATACAAGGTCCAGGAACGACATACGCAATTGCTCTACTTTGTTAGTCCAATCAATAAGTTACTGACTCTTCGAACCTTCAATTTGATACCTTAGACCACTGTATGTAGTATATTATCGCTTACATGGTTGTCTCGTAATGCTCCTGATGGTGCCTCATCTGACCACTCCAGTGGGCGGCTCAATCCACCGCTGTGTCGCGTAAACGCCGTTAAGGTGTCTTCGCATTGTCAAAATAATATTTTAACAATGCAATTGTTGGTCTTGGACTCTTCAATAGACTCCTTGGTGGCGTGGTCTGCTGCGGAGTGTGTCTGCGACAGTGTTCCTACCGTTGTCCTTACCTCGATATCCACGGGGTCGGATTTGTATTCAGACAAATGTCGCAACGAGATTCACGCGCGTGAGTGTCTGAAGGAGGTGCCTTTAGTCCGTTCAAAGCTAGAATCCCAGGATGCAGAGTCCGTGAAATTGTTTAGCGAAAAAATTGGCAAGCACACTTCGCAACCGGCGGACAGTTAGTTGACATTTATGTAGTTGCACATACGGCCATTAGGTGTACTGAAGCAGCTCCTGAAAACCCTGAACGAGGTGCCCCTGAGGCCGCTGTTGTTTGCGGTGGATTCTTCGGCCCCTGACGTGCTGCCCATATTCGGTTGCAACGCCGTATTGAAGTATTACGCCGAAAGTCCGGGTAGATGCGGCGATAGCGGCTGTCTGCTGCACACACCCAAACATGGACAGACCGTATTTGACTGGTTTTCGTGGTCATCGCAATTGCGCACTTTGTGCAACAAGAACGCATCTGTCGATTTGAAAGCGTTGTTATCGCAATTTGATGCCTATCTATCCGGTCAGCAAGATTCTGATATCAAAGTTTGCATCGGTTCGGTAGTGATTACGTTGTGCCTGCTATGGTTAGTTTGCGTGTGCATTGATCGCATGCTCGCTCAGGTACGAAAGCAAACTAGAGTTCTTAGGTTGCAATTTGGACATGTTTGGCCACATACGGCGCTACATGTCAGCCGTGTTGAGTGCGACGGCGAATTTGGAGAGGTATCGGTGCCTTCACAAGTATTATAGACTCCACGGCACATGCGCTGCACCTGAGCGTTCAATAGCTTCATCTGACGAGTTGGAGTCATTATGCCGCGATTTCGTCGGTAGGAAGTTTTACGTCACCACCGCACTGGCGTACACTAACGGACCTCCGCATATCGGCCACACCTACGAGATCGTGACGTCGGATGTTTTGGTTCGTTACTTTAAGGCCTTTGGCATGAAGCCTACGCTTCTGGCGGGCACCGATGAGCACGGACTGAAGGTTGCAACTACGGCTGAGAGTAGCGGCATGTACCCTATTGAGCTCGCCGATTACTACTCCGCTAAATTCCGAGAGAATAACGCCGCTCTTCTGACCGACGCCTCTCTATTCGTGCGCACTACTGAGCGCCGCCACCATCACTCAGCGCAGAAGATTTGGAGGATTTTGAGGGATAGGGGAGACATATACCTTGGCGAGTACAGCGGTTGGTACAACGTCCGGGAAGAGACGTTCCTAACCGAGGTTGAGGCTGCGGCCACCGACTACAAGGATCCATTGTCAGGAAAGCCTTACACTCTTATGAAAGAATCGAGCTATTTCTTCCGTATGAGCAAGTACCAGCAGCAGTTAATCGATAAGATAAGCAGCGATCCTATGTATCTGCAGCCCGAATCCGCGCGAAATGAAATTTTGAGCCGTCTGAAGAAGCCTTTGGAAGACCTGTCGGTGAGCAGGTGTAACTTCAGCTGGGGCATTCCCGTTCCCGATGATCCGTCTCACGTGATGTACGTTTGGTCCGATGCGTTGACCAGCTATTTAAGCGGCATTGGTTTCGGCGACTTCGACGACATCAGCGAGCTAAAGCTTTGGCCTCCCGATGTTCAGGTCATTGGCAAAGACATCATTTGGTTCTTCGCCGTAATTTGGACGTCGATTTTGATGTCCTTGGACGTTTCGTTGCCCAAGACGATTTTCGCACACGGCTTTATCACTGCCGCTGACGGGCGCAAAATGAGCAAATCTCTGGGCAATGTCGTTCACACCAAAGACCTCCTGGTGAAATATGGAGCGGATAGTCTGCGTTACTACCTCGTTCGGGATTCCGTCTTTGGTTCAGACGTGAAGTTCGACCTCTCCTCGATGGCGGATTTACACAACGCTGATTTGACTGACACTATTGGTAACTTGGTACATCGTATCACGACTTTATGCACGAAATTCTGTAACGGGTCCATTCCCCCCGTTGCGGACAAGTCGTCCCCGCGTCCCTTCAACATGGTGGACGTGGCAGCCAAGACCCTGAAGCATCTACAGGATTTCGCGCTGCAGGACGCACTGTTGAGCGTGATAGAGGCATTCAGGGATACTAACAAATATTTGACCGACCGCGAGCCGTGGGCTAAGGGTTCTGTGTCAACTCGGCATGACACGATACGTAACGTGCTGGAGGCGATTTACTTTTTGAACCATTTAATGCAGCCAGTGATTCCTCAAGCGGCTTCGGTAGTTTTCAAGAAGCTAAATACTGCGCCGAAGACCCACATAGGCCTATTATCTGCTGACTATGACAACCTGACGGAGGGCACCAACGTGGTCGTCGGGGACATTCTGTTTCAAAAGGTGGTCGCTGCCGATAAAACCCAGTAAAAGGATTCCTCGCCAACATTGTTATCATCGGCAAACAAAATGCTAATTACTTTACACATATTTCATTATATCGTCGGTCACGTGATGGATGGGTTCGGTTCGGTTTTTCCATCTTAATACGTGTTGACAGTTAAGAGTGTATCGTGTTAAACATAATATATCTCTACTGTTGGCCTAAGGCAAGCATTAAGCAGGATAAGCTGCCAATGGAGCTATCGAACTGATTATGGTTTGTGTTCAGTTCCGCCAACGCTGCGGCCATGGAGCAACATTTGCCAACACGGATCTACGTTTATATCGGCTTCCTTAATGACACCTATGCCTGCTGGGCATTATAAATTATTAAAACTTGAAAATTAACTTTTTTGTAAAAACTATGTTGAAAGATTCATCTTTGAAAATTCATCAGGGATAATTTCCCCTGAGAAAATTGAAAGGCAGAAAACAGATCTCACTTCAGGTATAGTTTACCGTAGTATATCAGCAACAATTTTTGATGTACATAATGTTTCATTAGTGCTGGTTGTTCGCTTTCAACGCTTAACCGCACAATTTTTTTTTTTACGAAGTTGGCGATGTCGGTGTCTAAGTTCAGTGCTGACCTCACACCCGGTCGCTTCATTTTTGAATTGACGATCCATGAGATCCGACTAACTTGCAAACAAGCGATAGATGTCGATCTTATATGGTCAGCAGGCGAGTTTCGATGTTTTTGTGTTTCACGACGCCGCAGGCAAACAGCGTAGTCAAACTGGTGCCGCCATAACCCTCTTGCCTCATGTTGCATCTCACAATGTCGACCAAAAGTTGTTAATACACCAGACCTTCAGCGATGGTCATCCGTCCTCCGTAAAGTCCCTGATTCAGGTATTTTGTTTTTGGCTTACGCGTCACTCTGCTTAGGTGGTTGGTTCGCACCGTTATGTGAAGCCCCAGGTCTTTGCTGAATGCGTGATTGATTTGGTGCACCTGTTTGATATAAAGTCCAAGGGTGCGATAAGCTTTCCTCTGGACACCAGGCTGGACCCCAATGCCAGCCTGACCTTTTCCGTGATGGTGACAAATTTCTCGTTTTCCGGTTCGTTCTCAAAATCTCCTTTGTCATCTGTATTAGAAGACTCTGTTGTTGCGTCGTCCACTTTATCGTCCATCGCGGAGAGTGTGCTGGAGTACCAGGGCTTGAACGCATCCACCGCGGACACGGGGGTCAGGTCCCACGGGTTGCGTCGCCTGGAGAGTGCTGACATTTACCGCACGATAAACAAGATGGCAACGAAGCTATCGCGCATAGAGAACGATATACAGCGCAAAACGTTGAAGCTAAACAAGATAAACCGTAAGAACTTGGATGAGGTCAATGGACTTCGCTCTCGCCTGGAGGACCAAATAGCCCTGAAGGACCAACAAATTAGGATTCTCACCACCCAGCTGGACGAGATGCACACCGCCCTTGCGCTCTCCCACGAGCGCGAGTTGGAGTTGGGCGGCTTCGTGCTTGGGCGAAGGGAATTTAGTGGCAATGATGCGATGGAATTTCGGGAAGGGGGCATGTCAAAGGTGGGAGCCTTCCCGGAGTCTGCAAGCGTTCGCTACGATTTCAACCGTAATGAAAGCGTCACACCGGCATCTGTTAGGGGCTCAGAGCGCCATTTTACGAAACACTCCGGGGTAATTTGTCCAGTACATCACCTTGCATGACCTTTAGGGGGAAGAGCTATTCACGAACAAGGATCGAGACAATCTGTCCCTTCTCCAGAAGCAGCGGCTAACCCCGAGCTGGCACACCTGTGACAACGGCGATATTCTGAATAATAGCGTGCCTCACCTAGGTGAGCGTCCCACAGAGCGTTGGGTAACAATATTTGCAGGTACACAAGTTACGAAGTGCGGGTACGGGGACACTGCTTTTGCCGGAAGGAGGCACAGCAACGAACGCGTTGCCAAGCAGGTCGTTCCTTTGTCATGGGTGAGAGGCAAGATATCAAGTGAGCTAAATGCGCCTCGTGGGATAATGCGCACCGCAAGTGCCACGCCCCCGATGAAGGCTGTGTTGCCGTACGTACATCGCGCATCTGCGGATCCAAAGGTAACCATCGGATTGTATTAAAGTAACGCTGAACCATGCGCAGAGCCCGAAGCACATTACCTCGATACAGCACAGCAGCGGCCGCGAGATACACGCTTCTAACACGAGACTCACGCATGAGCTGCGCACGCCAGGCACGACAGTGCTTCCCCTTGGAAAAATACCTGCGTTGATTCACCGCAATCTAGGCGCGAGATTACCCCAGGAGGCCGGCGGAGTGATGCCTGATCTCCCCAGGAGCATTGTTCGCCCGTTGGCGCCCTCCGTCAGCGGGGCTACCGCTCCGGTCGCCTCCACTCCTTCTTCACAGCTCTCAGTGGTTGCCCCTGCGGAAACGAAGTCGCGAAACAGTCCTGTCTCTGATGTTAACGACGACCGCGACACTACGATCGTTCGCCTGGAGCGTGACCTGATAACTACGAAGGTGGCACTGGCCGACAGCGAAACCCAGCGCGACATCGAAATTGCCAAGATCCTCACCACCGCGGCACACACCTAGCCTCCATCCTATCTCGTGTACAGTTTAGATATCCTTTAATTTGTGTATTATGTTACTTGTGGCGCCGGCACATCGCCCGCCTCTCCACGCGGTTGTCTTTGCTGCGCAACGCGGTCACATGGTTCGTTACTACGATGGATAGCGGCTGTGCCGGCAATTCGGTTGACGATGTGTCACGGTTGTCGAACGTTTTGAGCTGCCAGTCCGTGAATCCACTGTCGCTGCGGCTGCATCTCCAGGGCCGTCGGCTGTTCGGCAGCATCCGGCACAGTCACGCCCAGGCGCTGCTTTCCCGTATTTTCCGAACTGTGGACGGGCTGGTGGATGCCCTGGATGACTCTCAGCTGGAGCGTGTGTCGGAGTTTTTGAGCGACGTGCCTTCTGACGCGTCGGCCTTCCAGGCCTTCGTGAGTCGTCTGCTCGGTGATGCGTCGGAATCCGGCTCCATATCCTGGTTGTTGCAAAATCTGCACGGGATAGATGGCATCGAGAGCTTCGTGGCCAGTCTGGAGTCCGACTGGGCCCTCTTATCGCAACTAACTTCAGACCCTTCGGTGGCTGGGTACGCAAAAATCGCACGTGCAGATCCCGAGTGCTCCAAGGCAGTCCTGCAGCAGCACAGGTCGTCTGTGGGAGCCGTTTCTGAGGACGACCTCACGGCATATGCTGCGCTCAGTCAGTCCGACTTCCGCCAGGTGCGGCTGCGGAACTTCGTCAAGATCCACCAGGTGGGCCAGGGCGCGTACGGCGACGTCTGGCTCGCTGAGGACATCGTGAACAAGGTGCCAGTTGCCCTCAAAAAGTTGAAGCTGAACGAGGACCGGGAGGGGTTCCCGAAGAGCGCTATTCGTGAGATTGTGCTGCTGAATACTTTGAAGCACCGTAACATCGTTAATCTACTGGGCATTGCGCATTCCCAGTCGGAGCGCGAATACGGTAAGGACCATGTGTGGATGGTGTTCGAGTACCTGCCCTTCGACCTCAGCGGCTACATCGAGGCGCTCCGAGACCCAAGTGAAAAGCGCGAGAAGCTGACCAAGCCTTTGATGTGGCTGTCCATCGGAGAGATCAAGTCGATAATGCACCAGCTGCTGCGCGCCGTCAGCTTTTGCCATCGCAACAATGTGCTGCACCGCGACCTCAAGACAGCCAACCTGCTGATGAAGCACGACGGTACCATAAAACTGGCCGATTTCGGTCTCGCTCGCGTGTGCCCAACTGGCAAGGGGATGCTGACGAACCGAGTGGTGACCTTGTGGTACCGTCCGCCCGAGTTGCTGCTGGGCAGCGACAACTACGACTCGGGCGTGGACATGTGGAGCGTTGGATGTATTATGGCTGAGCTTGTCTGCGGCACTCACATATTCGCCGCAGACAAGGAGGCTCTCATCCTGAAGCTAATTGCTGAGCGCCTGGGTCTGCCGACAGAGTCGGACCTCAAATTCCTGAAGACGCTTCCGCTATGGAACGAGCCGCTGGCGAATCCACTCCACCCCGACCGGCAAGGCACAATAGTACCGCGCAAGAAGGAGTTCGAGAAAACCTTCAAGGTAACTAACGAGCTGGGCGACGAAGGATGGGACCTCATGCGTCAGCTGTTTGCGTGGACACCGGGGAATCGCATCTCTGCGCGCAAGGCATTGCAGCACCCATGGTTCAGCGTGGAGCCGCTTCCTTCCGGACTCATCAGCCGCGCCAACGTGAAGGCCGCCCACAGCTTCATGACCAAGAACCAGCGAAAACGGGAGTCGCAGAAGCAGCCGTTGAAACGCCCGGAGTACGTGAAGTACGCGAACACTGGGCACATCCGCCGAACGCTGGAGAAGCAGCGCGCCAATGCTAAGGGGAAGCAGGCCGCTCTGAACACAAATCCATGAATTTACTAGTTTTCGTTAGTGTCTGGTCCCCGTTGTCTGTATTCCCGCGGTTCGTCACCCGGGCCGAGGGGTGCATAGCGGCGCTACTGCCGGTGCTCTAGCAGCGCTCTCCGACGACTGAATAGCAGTATCTGGGAAGATCGCAGATGGTACACTATGGGAAACTCGTGCTGCCTCGGTCGCTTAGTAGGTTTATGCGTGTCCAAGTACACACTGCGTTGGCCGCTACGCGGCTCGCGCTACTATTGCTGTCTTATTTGGTTGCGTATGTCTGAGCGTCCAACACCAGTGGATACACATTTAACGCAATTTGCAGCACGAGTACCGTACAAAACTGTCGGAGATTGAATCGCAGGTGATCGACAACATTGCCTCGTACGGTCCGATATCGGACGTCTTGGGTTTGGACGAGTCTGAGTGCGACATTGAGCGATTCGACCTTGCTTTCGAGAATGGAGACATCAACGAGTTCGTGGCGCTGTGCGAGTCGACGCAACCGGTGGGTCGCCAATGCGGCGTTTTCATGGTGCTCAGATTGACAAGTTGGAAGACCGGTTGCATCCATGGGCTGCCAACCCTACTACAATAGGCGCTCTAGCTGCAACGCAATTGGCGATATTTGCCAGCAAAGAACGTGAGTAACGCGGGGCGGCCTTCACAATCCCATGCAGAGCAGCCCGAATTTAAGGATGCCATTCGTGAGGCATCGGGCATACCAATTCTAGTTGAGATGCTGCGGAGCAACGTTAGTTTCAGTCCTCCACTTCATCATGTGCTTGCAGGAGGTGGACCGTGTCCACGTTGCTGTCGTTGCCCTTTCGTTTATGTCGGCTGGGAGTGAGTCATACCATCGTCAGTCCGGAATTGTCTGCAGATACCGAAAACTGTGTTGAGATGTTCCGCGCCGGCGCACTCACGGAGATGATCCGTGGCATGAAATCGGATATCGACGGCATGCGCGCAGCTTGTGCACAGACATGTCGCAACATCTACCAGTTAGGTGCGTTGAACCCGTCGTTCACCCGTTCACCTCGGGGCAGATTTGGAGTATCGCAGGGTGTTTGTGAAGCAGGGTGGTTTGGTGAATTTGGTGAACTTGTTGTCACCGTGTGACGACAGGGATGAGGAGATGTGCCTCACCCAGCTCGAGGCCATTTACCACATCGAGGACTTCATCATGGTGGGCTATCTTCGTAAAGCTTTAACGTGACGTTCAGGACGGAGTCGAGGAGTTGCCCGAGTTCGTTTCTATCGTAAAAGTCTCTGGCGCCAGGGAAAAACTCAAATTACTTGAGAAAGTTAGTTAAAACAGTTGCTCGGCTCTATGACTTTGCAGAGCAGTAACAAGGAGTTGAGCATGGCCGCCAAAAGCGTGCGTGTCCGTCTTGCCGATTAGCAGAGAATCTGGGTATCAATTCACGCGCCACTTTACAGGGGCAGGGGGTTGTGTCGCAGCAGCTGCTGGGCAAAAGCCAGGAGCGCCTCCTTGCCTCTGACTTCCTGCTTGTTCTGGTGTATCGCAACTGCGATGAACTGTTGTAATAGTAATGCTAAACTAACGAATATTGAAGTCCTCGGCGTATAGGTCCTTGATATCTTGAAGGTACTTGCGCTGCACGTTGACCCTGCTGTTGTGCGTGGAGTGGTGCTCCCTGACCTTTTCGAAGAAGGGCAGCATTTTTTGGCGCTGTTCCTCGGAGAGACCTTCCCACGCATCATCGATGAGTCCGCCAATTTCAACGTGTTTGAGGACCTGGTTGACGATGATGTACGAGCAGTCAATGGCGCCCCTGGCGAGATCCTGTATCAGCCGCTCCGTTTCATAGACGCTGAGGAACTCTGGGATGCAGACGCAAACGAAGGTGGTAAGGTTAGGGTTCCTCATCTGATCGTGCGTTGTGTTGATCATGGTCCGGATTGCTTTAATCTTATCGAAGAGCTCCTGCTGTGACATTTTCGCTGTGGACATTGACGCGAATATCTGGAAGAGGCCTCCCATCGCACTCTCCAGGTTGAGCACCGTCTCAACGACCTTCTCGAGCACCTCAGGCAGTTTGAGGAATTTGAGGGTGTGCCCGGTGGGCGCGGTGTCAAAAACTGTGACCGAGAACCGCTTGCTCTGCACCGACCTGTGCGCATCGTTGTAAACGAACAACTGGGCACCTACTGCATGAGTTCCACGAACGTAAGTGCTTCATCCAGACCGGGCAACATCGTGAGAATGTCGGGGATTGAGCTGAGGAAGGAGTGCGTTTCCTTCAGGCTACCCAGTCCATCCACGATTTGCGATGTGTTCAGCTCCTGCGTACACATTAGCCTGCACTCAGCACAACCGCAACACCAACCATTGCATAGAGGTTCTTGAACCCGTTGACTAGCCTAGGCTCGTGGGAGAACTTCTGTCCGAAGGCATCACTGAGGCTGTGGGCAGGATCGGTGGATAGCAAAAGCACCTAGCTCAAATGAGCTGCATATTTCGATACACCTACAGATTCCCTGGTCTCCGCCAGCGCTGTCGCAATAGACGACGAGATGGTGGTTTTGCCAACACCTCCCTTTCCGCCGACAAAAATCCATTGCAGCGAGGTCTGATTGACGAGGTTTTGTATGTCGTTGCGGACCTGCGCATCCGACTCGTTGATTTCGCAGATTTCTACCATTTTCGTAACGCGCTGCAAAAATCGATGTGTGCATCATCCCTTCCCGACATCGGTATCGCGCGGATGTGTAGTTGTTCCGCCTACACGGTAGATGGTTTTCGCGCGCCGCCTGAGCGCAAAGAAGGCTCGATTTACGTGCAAGAAGCTCGCCTTCCTAGAGGTGCAGCGTTTCCAGCGTGAAGAATATGGGCGTTGGTTGACTCGTCGTAAGCGCGCTGAGCGTGTGCTTTTCTTACCATCCGGTAAGTTCACGGCAACACATCTCGTTTAGCTGCACTTTTCTGACCTTCTCACATCCATGTGTAGTCAAAGATGAGGTTGGAGAGCTCTCGGCGGAGTCCATGCAACAGATTCTTCACCAGGGCTCTGCGTTCCACTTCTCCAAGGACCTCGTTGTTGAGAGACAGGATTCCCTGCACCACCTCCTCTTCGGCGGGGTATTCAATGTGAGACGTTTGGAAACGATTGACCTGGTGTTGTTGGCTTCGGTGTTGACAAAGCTTCCGTCGACAAACAATGCTTTGCTTTCGCGTGCCTTGGTGCAATGCGATTTGCGCTTCGACAGCCTCTCGCTTTCTGAGGTGGCACAACTGTCTTTCCTCATACGGGACCTTCCAGAAAGCCTAAAAGAACCCTTCAGCCGGCAATGGCTGCCCAAAGTTGCACGCCTTTTGCGCCGGCTGAATTCCGACAGCGTAGGAGCCAACCTCAGCAGCCTGGCCAAACTCTCCTACGCAATATCGCATTTTGCCCCGCACCTACGGGAATCGCTATTTGTCCTACTTTCGTCCCTTGATGTTGGTGACATCCCGAATGCCCAGTTGTTTTCACGTGACTGCTCTCTCGTCTGCCAGAGCATGTCAGCGAGTGGCGTGGTCAACTATGATTTTCTGCGCGATTCCAGTCAGTTTTACGAGTCGCAACTGAATCAAACCGTCGAGTCGTTAACCGGCCGGTTACGGCGGCGTCAGGTGCTCTCGGGTCATAATGTAGTGTTTGATTTAGAGGATGGCGGCGTTGAATCTGCCGTGGACATCGACCACTTGTTGATCTTCCTCTCTACCTGTGAACGTTTCGGCTATCATAATAGGACCCTGCTGCAAACGTTCAACAGCTATGTTGACTGCTGCAGTCTCGTTTTTGTCAATGAGTGCAGGGCAGCCGATCACTACCGGCGTCACGGATCCCGGACTCCCAACCAGCTGACGAAGAAGTTCGCCGAAGCAGTTCGCGGCGGACAGTACAAGCACCCTGTTGGCGGCAAGCAACAGCTTCAAAAGCTGTTGAAGGACCTGCTTGCCAGTCTGGCTACTGACAAGGACGGGTATTGGTGCTTAGACGCTGTCCACAGCATCGGTACAAAATACGTGACCCAGCGCCGCAACTTCGCCCGATTTTTGGATTTCATTATACGGAATGTTAACAAAGACTTGCTGACTACGTCTGAGAAAGCTGCCCTTCATGAGCTGTGCCGTTCGTATCAGCCATTCCATTGTGAGCTGACGGCACAGCTGGGTGCACTCACAAAGGATAATCGAAGCCATACAACAACGCAACCACAGGTGCAACTGTGCGATGATAAAGGCAGCGAAGTGGTTTCGGTAGACCCCCGCAACGTAGCATCTATCGTAACCAGCTTTCGGGAGGCGTATACATCGTACGTTGCTAACGGCCGCCCGGAGAGCTTGGCTACTCTGGCCTCGCTATTCCCTGTTCTGGCCAAAAAGCTGCCGGATGTCGTATGCTGGGATTGCGTGTGGCAGATGCTGCACGTGATTGCGGTGTCACGCTGCGTTGACATGCTGCCGCTGGTACGCTCATTTTTGGAGGAGTCATTTTTGGGGTACCACCCTCTATCTCAGGCCGCTGGTGATGCATCCTCAGTAATGTCACATCTACTGGATAGCGAGGATACAACTGAGGGTCACCTGCTCTATCTGGATAGCTGCGTTCGCATTGTGGAGCTACTGTTAGAAGCCGATCTTTCTCGTGACTACGCCGACTTGCATATATTCGGCCATTTTTTCGAGCTACTAACAAAAGTCAGTCACACGTTAGAACGAGACAAGGGTGGCCGTGATGAAGATCGCCGCCTTCTTGTTGAGAGGTTGCGTAGCCAGCTGGAGCGGTACCTCGTGAAGTTTTCGGAAGTCAAGCGGTGTTTACAGGAAGTGGAAGTACCACGTCCGGTTTATGTACAAGTTCTGGGTGGAATTTACAGGCATTGTGGCCTAGATTCCTTGCCCGGTGCTATGAGCGCGGAGAAGGCTGTTGAGCTGCTTCGCTCTTTGTGCGTTGCTGAAGACACGGCATTTATAAGCAAAAACGCCACTTTAATTCGACACATCCTGTTCCAGGGCTGCCTGGTACCATAATATAGTCTTTATTTACTCTATAACAATTGTTGATGTGTAGTAGTACCTGGATTCCAACGCCCTGTAGGGCTGCCAATGGCCGCGCCCTTGCAACCCTGGCGAGAAGTTTTGCCAAATTCCATATCGCAAAATGTCTGCCACCATGGAAGCTCCGGTGGCGTCGACGCTGTTCGATCTGGAGCGGCTGGAAGTATACCGTCTGCTGCAGCGTGCTCTCGAGATCGGCCGCGAGGATGCGCAGCGCTTCAGTTCGCCTGAGGAGATGCTGTCTTCCAGACTCGGCGCAGAGATATGCGAGGTATACGCTGCTCTATTCAAAGGCGGTTTCAATCGTCAAGACCTAGCTGCCCTGGAGCACTCGAGCTATGTCTTATTTCTTTGGCCGCTGCTCTCTTTAGACGCTCTTCCACTGATCCCCAGCTTAAGTGCTGAATCACGCGATCGTTTTCACGCTATTCGCGTCTCTGCCGTGATGACATGCGTCTGGGCTGTCGTCGAGGATCACAGCAGTGGCCGAAGCGACTACGCCGACCTATTGCGCCAAGTTGCCAAAGGTGAGTTAAACCCATCAATAAACCCCTAAATGACGTTACAGAACACCCTTCAGCATTTGAGTGTGTCTTCTACAACGCTGCACAGCTTTTCATGCTGGAGAGTTGGCGCAGCGACCTGTGCGACACCCGTGAGTGCGAGGCAATGGACCGCCTGACTATCCTTGAACTACGGGCGCTGATGAGGTTCTTTATACTATGTTTCCAGAGTTTTGAAGTCGGGGGCATTCGTAGGTGTTGCGTTCAGCTGGTGTCCCCTGCGATTTGGCTCCACATCCCCGAGGTGGTGCGCGAGAGAAACATCTATGCCCACAACCGTCTGGCTCAAGGACTGTTCCAACGTTCTACCAAGCGCCTCGAGGAACGATACGATGGTTTGGATGATGCGCCCGGGTTGCCGCGTTTTTCGGATTTAGACAGCGTGAAATCGTTGTACGAGCTTTCTGGATCTGACGCTGAGGGGCACGGCAAGTTAAACGACCGTGCCCGTTTCCTGCTAAGTCGCGACTTTCTGAACAGTGTCCTCAACCACTTCATCTATGTTTTGGAGGACGGTCTTGACCTTGACGCCTTTTCGTCTGCCGACAGCACGGTGCAGGACCGCGCCATGCAGCGTTTGATGCTCTGCGAGAACCACATGGAATTCGTGATAGACCTTCTGAGCCAGTTGAACACCCGCCGCATCGTGAAACCGCTGTGCGACGCCAAGCTGATTTTGGTTCGTTGCAGGCAAACGCCTCTGCACGAGCACCTGGAGGGTTCGTTGTTCAAGAGCATGTTGCGCATTCTAAACTTCTACATGAAGTTTTACATCGACGAGGAGCTGGGCACCCCTTTGGCGTACGACAAGGTGATGGAGCAATATTACCATCGTTTCGAAGCCTTCCAACGCGTGTGCTTCACCAAGTTTGGCAGCGATGAGGTGCTGAAAGGTGTCCACCTCCTTTCGGCTTTCGAGGTGCACCAGAAGGGCGGTTTGACCGAATTATTATCGCAATGCAAGTCCAGCGTGTTGGGCAGGCTAGTTCTGGAGTTGGGTCTGTTTGCCGTGGAGGACAACGACATGGAGGCTCCCCGTCTCATGCGTCCCGCTGCCGTGAACCTGACCCCTATAAAGGAGAAAGGAAAGAAAGCCGTGAAACAGTTTTTGATAGGTGTTATAAACGCCCACCTTGAGCGCCAGGTTGATTCAGTGGCTTTCCTGAACAGCCTCCCTCTGTACCCTACTGAGGAGCTGTTGTGGAGTTCCAGCGAGCTTCCCAACCCCCATGCGTATATCCGCATGTCATCATTGGCTCTTAACAAGTTGAACCTGCAGTACCTGACAGTATTCGACTTTTTGTATCGCAATTTCAGTTTATACCGTTTGGAAAGCGCCTCGCACATCAAGTACGACTTGGAGGAGGCGATCGACTCGTGTTGCCCTCGCGCGCATTTGGGTCGAGGCGGGCCCAAAATGGGCCAGCAGGAGCTGACGGAGACACGTTTCGAGGGCAGTCATCCTATGGCCATTGCGGTGTCGTCGTTCACCATCCGTAATGTGTCATCTGCCACGGTGCTGCATTCCGACTCCAGTTTCGTGGAGGCCGAGATTGTGGTTGACACGTCGCTCATTAAGGAGTTCCAGGTAAGGCGTGACTGGCAACGTTTGAAGCGCTATGATGTGGTGTTTCTTGTGTCCGTTGCCGCGCCCGTACAGCAGGTGCGTAAGCGGCTTGACGAATACGAGACACCCGAGGAGGTACCACTGAACTTGGGCATAAACCTGGTCCGAGGCGCAGAGGTCTGCCAGGTGTTGGACGAGGAGGGTCATGTCATTTCGGATTTGAACCCGTACGAGACTCGCACGCCCATCGGTTTCCGGCTGATCCTCCGGGTACGCTTGGACTACAACCAGTACATCCAGGACATTGCGCAAGATCCCAACATATACGGCAACATGAACTTGTTGGTTCGGCGTCAGGCCCGTGTGAACACTTTCAAGGCTGTTTTAGCATCCCTGCGCAACATGATTAACCGCCCTAAGGCGTTGCCTGGCTGGTTGAGCGACCTGATTCTGGGTTTTGGCGACCCTCTTCAGTGCCAGTACCCGCAGATGGAACCGTCCGAATGGTGCCTAAACTTCTTAGACACCTGGAAGAGCGTGGGCCACTTCATGGAGACGAACAACAGCTTCGTCGTTAAGGTGGCTTTGCTCAAGGGCTATGCCGACGGTTGGGAAACTCGCCAAGTGTCAGAGTCGGAACTGTTCGTCCGCACCCTCCAGAGCGTTTCCCTGAAGGATGCGGATGCGACAACGGTGGCCACAAGTGTTGCGGGTGATTGCAACACCTGGGCCGCATTATCGCAATTGGGTCTGAGCGTGGACACCGCTTCAATCCAACCTCTGGGCGACAACCGATATATGTTTTCGACATCGGTTGGATTTATGGTCATGGAAGTAGATGCCGGTATGCTGGCCTCTCTTAATGAGAAGGGCAACGTAGTCCACGGCCGGCGCCCCGATCTACGCCTTCCCCCTAAGGTTGCTTTCTTGGTACCGCAGTTCCATGTCCCTTCACCCCGGGATGAGTTGGCAACACCGCGTCCCAACATCGTTTTCACTCCAGCACAAGTGGAGACCATCCGCTCCGGAGTGTCACCAGGGTTGACGGTGATTGTAGGACCGCCAGGTACAGGTAAAACGGATTGCGTCTGCCAGATCGTGGGCATTCTGTTCCGCAACCTACCCGAGGAACGCACGGTCGTCTGCACTCACAGCAACTACGCGCTGAACGACATTTTCACGAAGTTGGTGCTGAACGGCCACGTCGATGAGCACCACATCGTGCGTCTCGGTGGTGCGGAGTTTGAGATTGAGGGATTGGGCGACTTTTCGAAATGGGGTCGCGTAAACTTCATTCTTCAGCGCCGTCTGGATATGTTGGACCTGGTGAAGAAGCTCGTAGACGCCTTGGAGGTTCCTGGAGATTACAATTTCAGCCTGCAGCTGTCGTTGTCATTTTTCAATTCGAAAGTGCTGCCGCTATTGCGACATAAGGGGGCGCTTTCTGTCGTGACCAGCAACTCTGCCGACAAGACCCCTGCCAACGAAGCAGAACAAGGTGCAACAGACGATGCAATGCATGAGGATAAGGATGCACAAAGCGGTAACAAGACCGAATCTTCACCGCAAGGCATTGCTGACAAACGTGCCCATAATGTGCCTCGTCTTCTGGAGTTGCTCAACGGCTTCTTCAATTCCGAGGTGGAATTCGCCCCGTCACTAAGGGACCTATCAACGAGGTGGCAACATCTCCAACTGTGCGGATCGGTCAACGACCCGCAGCTCCACGAGAAGCGCTGCGAATTCCTTATGTACATGTACAACATGATCAAGGAGCTGCAACCGTTTGAGGTTCTGCGCAACAACCACGACCGTGGTCGTTACCTGGTGGAGAAATACGCTCGCTTGGTGGCCATGACCTGCACTCACGCGTCGTTAGGACGGGAGACTATGGAGAGTCTGCGTTACAGCAACCTGGTGATGGAGGAGGCGGCACAGGTACTGGAAGCCGAGACCTTCGCGCTTCTGGCGCATCCTCTGAAACGCGTTATCTTGAGCGGTGACCACTACCAACTACCTCCAGTTGTGAACAATCGCAGTCTGCTGCAGTTCTCCAATATGCAGCAGTCACTATTCCACCGCCTGGTGCGTCTCGAGACTCCGCATGTGATTCTGAATCGCCAGGGCCGCAGTCGTCCTGAGATTGCGTCACTCTTCACGCACTTCTACCCCGTGAAAATCGACAACATCGACCTCGCGCTGTCGCTCCCCGAATTCGGTTCTCGCAATCGCTGCTTGGAGCACAACCTACAGTTCGTCGACTGCGAAGGTTCCGAGTCCGCGCCTATTCCGCACTACTACCAGAATCTGGAGGAGGCTGAGTTTGTGGTGGCTACGTATATGTACATGCGTCTGTGCGGCTACCGCAGCGAGGACATCGTGATTTTATGTATGTACAACGGTCAGAGGGCGCTCATTGAGGATATTGTGAAGCACAAGTGCGCGTGGAACCCTCGCATAAAGGCGCCTCGCGCGATCTCCACTGCTGACAAGTTCCAAGGACGGCAATCTGACATAGTTTTGCTGTCACTGGTGCGTACAGCTCGCCCCGGACACCTGCGAGACCCTCGCCGCATGCTGGTGGCTCTGAGTCGCGCCCGACTGGGACTGTACATCTTTGGCAGCTGGCGCCTGTTCAGAGGCTGCAGGCAACTGCAGCAGTTCGCGTCTCGTCTCGACGCGTACCCCAAAGAGCTGAGGCTGCTACCCGACGACACCGATGCCAGCGCCGTGTCTGTCAGACGTTACAGCGAGATGGAACCCATTTTGCAGAAGTTGCAGTAACAGCTCATTCTAATCCATCAACTTTGCATGTTAGTTCCCGTTTAATGAGGTTAGTGCTGCTATACCGTTGACTGACGCTGACATACATCGTTCCGTGACCGTCAGATCCAGTCGCAGGGCAACTACGTTCTCTCACAGCCAACACATCATATTATTAACACATATAGATGCTATTTTAAAGACATGTGGATCGTAGATTCCAAAAAATGCACCAATCACAGGGCTGATATGAGGCTCTGAGTGTCATCGACGCGATTTCCCCGCAGTGGCGCCACACATTGCGCAGTTAAGCTGCATATACTTTCAGATTGGTGTAACCAGTGCTCGGTGCCGGGTGTGTGACTATAGGAACTCGGTGGACTTGGTAACGCGCCATTACTGTGTCGTTGCTTGGCGCCGCCTTTCGACGGTTTTATTTCTCTTATGACGGATCTATTGTACGCTCTCATTGCGCACGGTGGTAGCGTGATTGCCGATTATACTGTGCCACAGTCGCAAGGCTCCGGAAGTTCGCAGTTCCACGTGAACTTAGACGCCGTTGCAAGGTACGTTATCCGCCCGCTTTCGTGCCACGTGTCCGCATGAATGCTAGACATATGCTACGTGTATATCTGTCTATTGCCTGTGTATGTATATGCGTGCCGTCAGATGTTCTATTTGAAGTTTTGTCTCTTCCTATGTATATTTTTGTGCATTCCTCTGCTTACAGTCTGTTCCTTCGGTACATCATCAGCTCAGAACTCAACTATCCAAGCTCCTGTCAAAGAACGGCTTTGGCACTGCATGCGTTTTGGGCCACTATTTCCACCACGTAGGTGTCCATTTATGCAAAGCGCCACTGAGCTGATTACAGAGCATTAACGACGGCCTAACTCTGCTCTGCGTAACAGCATCAAACGAAGATACGGATCTTCCCCGCCGGTTTCTGGTGTGTTTAAGCGTTAGATGTGGTCATGAGTGTTAGAACGAGCTTCGTTTGTCGTGCACTGTGCAAGTGCTGAACAACACAAGCACGCGTTGCGAATTGCTGACGCGCATCCTTAGCCGTTTGGTGGTAGGCCATTTCAGCGCAAAATACATGCGGCTGTGACAGAACGACTACAACGCAACCACTGACAAGCTGCGGTCAATCGAGAGCAACCTGCAGCAGACCACCGACACGTTGCGCAGCAACATAAGTAGGTTTCCGTGAGTTTTGTGTCATTCCCTGCAGCCAGCATCCTTGAACGCGGGGAAATAATCGACTCCCTGGTGTCGAAATCCACCGCATTAAAAGACGAGACCTTGGCTTTTCGCAAGGTTGCGCAGCAGGCCAATTGGGGATTTTTGAGACGCTTGCTACAAGGGGTCTCCGACGTCATTCTTACGCGCAAGTTTGCCGCAACATTATCGGTACGTAGTGCTCATGCGCGCTGATACACCATTCAGGTTGCCATACTGGTAGCGTGGCTGTACTTTTTCTTACTGGCATGAAGGGCGCCAGGTTCAGCTTCATGCTGTTTGGCCCCGGCTACGGGCGACTTGGCGGCAACTGTCATTCGCTCATCCCAGCACTCATGGCTGGAGGCTTGTTGGGCCATTTGTCCACAAATCCATCTGCTGCCATCGACTTATCGTTTCTGCGTCGTGACTGGTATGGGAGCAGCATTCGCCCCTTCCTGATGGGATTGTTTTTGGGCGTTGGCGTCGGATACGCGTTGTACCCGCTGGCTTCACCTTATGTGTCCGCTTGGTGGGCCTATCTGCGTGGAATCGTCGCGAGTTTCACCCGGCGTGGCGAGAAGGACGGGAACGGTACAGACACGCAGTAGTGCAGCGACCATTTAATCGCGCGCCAAACTACCTCAACAAGCCATTTACTTATTGTATAATATGTTACCGCTGCACATTGCGGATGTGTGATGTCTTCTGTGCGCCTAGCCGTGTTGTATGTGTAGCGCGGTCACTCGGGGTGTGTCGCTTTCGGTTTCCGCCATCGGCGGCCATTTGTGACTGTCACGATGGCGGCGCAACCTGTGCGAGGTCTCGTGAAGTTCATCACGGACCTGAACGGCCTCTCCACCGGCCGGGAGCGCAACCACCGCGTCCGGGAGGAGCTGTCCAAAATCCACTCTCGCTTCGATGAGCGCGGCATGAGCGGCTACGAGAAGAAGAAGTGCATGCTGAAGCTGTTGTACATCCATATGCTGGGTTACGATGTGGATATCGGTTACGTGGAAGCTGTCCAGCTGATGGCTTCGGCGTCCTACCAGGAGAAGGCAGCCGGTTACATGGGCGTGGAGGTGTTACTCGGGGACTTGAAGGACCTGCGGCGCATGGCGATAAACACTACGCTGGAAGATTTGCACAGCACCGTCGAACACGTGCAGGCGCTTGCGCTGAACCACATCGCCAACAGCTGGTGCGAGGAACTCCGGGAGCGCCTCTTCGACGACGTGCTCAAGATGCTCCATGTGCTTCCGCTGGAATCGTCCATGCTGAGAAAGAAGCTGTACATGTGCGTCCTGCAGTTCCTGCGCCTCAATAGCAGGCTCTTCCCGCTGCCGGACTGGAAGCGGAAGATGTTCGACCTACTTTCGCAGGAGACGGACTTCGGTTGCCTCATGTCCCTGACGAACTTGCTGATGGAGTTCGTGCGCATCAAGCCCGACGCCTGGGACCACTGCGTGCCGTTGATAATCGAGGCTCTGATGCGCTTGCTGTCCGGCACCGTGGTGGGCGAGAGCTACTACACGTTGAACTCGCCGTGGCTGTTGTGGAAGCTGCTGAACGTTCTCGCCATCGTACAGCCGAACCCTAACGCGCGCTATACCCACACGCTCATTCACGTAATCGGCAGGCTGGTTGATCGTATGGTATCGATTACGGTCCCGATGTCCAGCCGTTCGCTGGCGGGTGGAAAGGGAGTCCCCGATAGGGCTGAGATGATGGCCTGGCTTCTGCACATGTCAATCGCCCTGGAGACGGTGCGCGTCATAGTGGTTTGGGTGCCTTATATGCCATCGTTTTCCTTGGAGCCCATTACAGACTTTCTGTCCCGTCTGCTCTCGTCCCGGTCGTCGCACGTGTACGTGAACGGCCTGGAGATGGCGGAGAAGATGCTGGACAATGAGCAGCTGGTGGTGGCGCTGAAAGAGCGGCTGCCGCAGTTCCTGCGCCTTTTCGCTTCCAACGATCCCACTGTCAAGTGCCGGGTAGGTCTACTGAACTTTACTGTCACATCGCCTTCAGACCCTGTGGGTGGTTTCGCGCCTTTGCGACAAGGACAACTGGAACCAGGCCGTGCCGGAGATGCTATCAGTTTTGCGCAATTCCGATGTGCCAACGCAGAACTTTGCCGTACCGCTGCTTCTGGACGCCCTGGAGCGCTGCGTGCCTCCAAGCTCCCTATACGTCGACTTCGTTTTCAAGATGGCGCAGTACGTGCACGACGAAGCCGTTATGGAGGGAGTGCCTGCTATACTTCACGGCAAACCGGTGCGTTTCGGGGAGCTTTTGGCGTCAAGGTGCATGTCGGCGTTGGCGCAAGGCCCCGTTAACGACGCCCTGTTGCGGTAAGTCCATATGTTGTCCACCACAATGTCCGCAGGATATGTGCCACCAGCCTCGGCGAATACGGCCACTTGATCGAAAACGAGTTCTCCTTCAGCGAGCAGGCAACCATGCTGCAACGTTTCTTCCCGTTGGGTTCCGGGTGCACCCAGTCGATTGTGCTGACCACGCTGGCAAGACTCGCCGCCAGGGACAAGTCACTTTGGGAGAAGGTGGAGCGTTTCCTCGATTCGCAAGCCGTTCACCCTGATGTCTGTGTACAGTCCACAGCGTGTGAAATACTGCGCCTCATGATGCTGGGCAACTCGGTGTTGGAGAGCGTCGTTATCGGCGACCGTGGCAAGTATGGCGCAATTGATGCGATTGAATCCGTCGAGCCTAGAGTGTTGAGCATCGCCGATGTGGGTAAAACCAGGTTATATAATCGCAACGCGGTTGCTACTCGTCGTCAAGTACGATCTGCATCCGCATCTTCTTCCTCGTCATCCAGGTCAAGCAGCTCTACCTCATCTAGCTCGTCCGACACCCCGGCCCCGGAGTCCTCTATGAGCTTCGAGGAAGATGCGGGCGACGGCCGTCTGCTGCGCGAGCGCATGCTGTCCGACTCACCCGGAGCGTTGTTCGACGACGGTGTGCTGTCGGTCTGGGTGGAGCAGGCCTACCGCCGGTCCGAAGCCAAATTGATGGTCAGGCTAACAGTGAGCGTCCGCAGTGCGCGGGCTGTCAGGTGTATACATATAACCAGCACGTCGTTACGCTGTGATTCCGGGCTGCAGGGAGCTGAACACAATACGGTCGAGGGTAGGCTGGGACCGGGTGAAGAGATAGGCCACCGCCTCTCATTTGTGCTTCACAGGGCGTATTCGGACCTACCTATCTACAAAGTGCGCTATGTCGTGCAGCGAGCATCTGGTCGCAAGGAGGACAGCGAGGTTAGCTTCCGCCTGCCGGTTGGAATACACAAGTTCGTCACGCCGCTGATCGCCGGCGAGGACCATTTCGACAGCATCTGGTCATCTCTCCGGGAACACGAGGCGTCGCGCGACATCGCCGTCGGCTGCAGCATGTCCGCCGCCTGTGAGATAGTGCGGCGTTGCGTGCGTGCGCACGTGGTAGAGGTGAGTGACAGTAGCTGCTGTTTAACAACGTCGTCAGGAGTCCGAGAGCGACTCGTGGTTCGCATGTTCCTGCGAGTGTGCCAACAAATCTAGTATCGTTTGCGCTGGCCGTTTACGCGCGTTTCCGAGCAGGTGGGTCGATTCATTCATTCTCTGATGCGTAACGCAGGCTGCGACTGTCACTTGTCGTGCGGTGCTCCAGCGCGTCAGCGACCGCAAGTCTCTGCCTTATCGTGGCAAGAGCATTAGAAACGGCTTCCTACGGCCGCTTATCGCCGTAATTCACCGCGGCTATTCGGTCGGCGATGCCCGTCTCGCTGCGGCCTCCCCACAGTGTTGGCTTCGCGGGTCGTGGCTCCTGGCTCGCTGACCACACAGACTAAACCGCTTGGTATTTATCTTCCGTTGGCCCTTACATTCGGTGCATGTGCTCGGTGGCAATTTTCTGGCACTGTTTGGCGCGTGGGTTTCGTGTTTTGGCCGCGTGTGATTCTGGTAACGTGAAAATTCGCGTCTGACCTGTCTTTCTCGGTTGCGTTCGCAGGCCCTTTTGGAGACCTTTTCGGACGCATTTTCTGCTTCAATCGTTCACGATTACCAGAGTTTGGTTCGTTGCTTCGATGTGCTGACTTTCTCCTACACCCCAGCGAGTGTTAACGATGGCCACCAGCGTAGCACACGGCGTAGGCGATGAGAGCAAAGTTCCCGCTCGCGGGCGGAAGTTCGAACGCGGCGCTCGTCCTGAGCGTGGCGATCGCCCTCCCCGCGGCGACCGCCCCCAGCGCCGCGCTCTGAGGCCTGAGGAGATTCCCATCAAGAAGCAGATTGATGAGGAGAGCGAGGCCATTTCGCGGCTGCACGAGCAGCTTGCCGCCCTGACCAAACAGATTGATGACCAGAGGCGTGAGAATGAGGGTGGCGAGAAGGGTGAGATTAAGGTGCGTCTGGACGATCTCCAGAGCCGCATCAACGACCTGGAGAGCCAGCGTATGCACTGCTTGAGCGTGATCGACAACCACAACAAGGAGGCCCGCGAGAAGAACAAGGCGCTGAATGATGCGCGCCAAGGTGTTGGTTACAAGAGCGAGGCTGAAATTGACCGTCTGATCAACCAGCTTGAGGAGCGTATGGAGACCACCTCAATGTCACTTAAGGAGGAGAAGGCCATGATGGCGCAGCTTCAGCAGTTGCGTCAGGCCAAGACCACCCTTGAAATGCTTGAGCAATCACGCCAAACTGCTGCTCCGGGCGACAACACCGTCGTGTCCATGAAGACCCAACTTGACGACTTGCGCAACCAGATGAATGAGCTGCGCAAGATCCGCAAGGAGGAGGCTCGTAGGCTATCTGTGCTTAACGAGAGCGACCGCAAGCATTTCGATGGTCTGAAGGAGCTCCGTGACCAGCGCAAGCAGATCTCCAATGAGCTGAAGGAGCACACCATGAACAAGGCCAAGTTGATCGAGCAGTTGAACGAGCTGAACAATGCTTACTTCGCTCAAGTGCGCCTTCAGCAGCAGAGGCGTTACCAGAAGCAGCAACAGGAGCGCGAACGTCGCAACCTTGAGCGTGAAATCAAGCAGATGCGCATCCAGCTCGATGACCTGACCTTCCTGCCGTACGAGAAGGAGATTCGTCTCTTGGAACAGGTTATGGGCTACGTTAATCGCCTGCGCGCTCAAGACACGGTTGAAGTTGCTAAGGTTGAGCAGCCTGTTGTAGAGGAGAAGTCTCTTGAGGCTGCGTTCGAGGGAACTCGCGTGGTGCCCAAGAAGCAGCGCGATGAGTACTTCATTGCTCCCAAACAAAAGTCGAAGAGCAAGACCCCTCGTGAGAAGGTAAAGCCCACGTTGAAGCTCGACATGGTTACTATTGGCTATTTTGAATCGTGCGGTGTCCCTCCGCCAACCTCGATGGACTCGCTGGTTGACTGCTTGCAAAAATTGGATGCCAAGCTGTCTCACTTCCACGAGCTTCGCAAGGATTGCGATGTGGATGCTATGCGTACTGCGCAGGAAAACAAGCTTGCCGAGGCTGAGAAGCGTTTGGAGGAGTTGAATGCCGCGCGCAACGCGCCCTGGACTCCGGAAAGTGCCACTGCCGAGGCGAAGACTGAGCAAGCTGAAGCCGCGGCTGAGGAGGCTCAGGAACAGCCAGCGGAGGAATAACCATGAAACCTAAATAATATCTTTTATTGACATGATGGCGTTCTGTGGCACCCTTTCACACAATTCGTGTACGCCGCTACCAATTTCGCCTGATAATGTGTAGGTGATCCGTGCTGCCGTGGGCTGTTGAGCGTTTAGTGCAAATTAACTTCGTCTTGACCACTGTTTTAATTATTTTTGTTTTCGGACGCATTGACGTCCGCCAAGATCTGAAATATCGCGTCTTTTGTTGAGGGTGGGTGGCTGCGCGTTTGCTTGGCTGGAGTTGGCTGGGCATTAATTCTGCCGTGATCTTTGTGTCGCGTTGTTTGTTCAGCGTGTGTGATTTTATTTTGTGCTGTGAATTCTGCTGATGTGCGTTCAGTGTCGGCCATATGGCGAGGACTAAGCAGACGGCGCGCAAGTCCACCGGAGGGAAGGCTCCGCGTAAGCAGCTTGCGACCAAGGCGGCTCGCAAGGCTGCGCCTGTGACTGCCGGTATAAAGAAACCTCACCGTTACCGTCCTGGTACGGTTGCGCTGCGTGAGATTCGGAAGTTCCAGAAGTCGACTGAGCTGCTGATCAGGAAGCTTCCTTTCCAGCGTTTGGTGAGGGAGATCGCTCAGGACTTTAAGGCGGACCTGCGTTTCCAGTCGCAGGCTGTGCTTGCGCTGCAGGAGGCGGCTGAAGCGTACCTGGTTGGCCTGTTCGAGGACACCAACCTGTGCGCCATCCACGCGAAGCGTGTGACAATCATGCCCAAGGACATACAGCTCGCTCGCCGGATTCGTGGCGAACGTGCCTAAGGCACGAAATGTGTATAGGTATTCGTACCAATGCTTGATTCCAATTGCTTGGTATCAATGCATAATTGTCGTTCTCACAGGTGCTTGTGAGATACAATTATACCGGTGTCAAAACTCGACCGTCAATATTTTTCAACACCTAATGGCTCATATAGCTTCCGACCTTAATTATTCTCTAATGTGTAATCACATCTGCGCGAACGCGGCTGGTGAGCTGACGGGTTGTACGATATACGCGAGCACGTTCCTGACTCTGATTTACGCGGTGAGCAGCCTGATTTCGTTGGTTTGCTACGTGTGGTACGGAATAAGCGTGCGCAAAGGTCGGGTTCACGGCCCGATGAGGTGGACGATGAGCAGTCGCTTCCGCAGGGACACAGAGGTTTAGTGATGATACCGCGTTGGCTGGTGGAGCACGTGTCTGGTCTGGTTGAGCGTCGCTGCGTACACTTCAGCAAGCCTTCGCCGAGCTGCGAGACACGGCGTGACCCGGCTCGCCGGTTCTGTCGCGGAGGTCTGCGTCACCACGGAGAGTGGATCAGCACGTGCGCCTTGATCGGGCGGACGCTGCGCGCTCAGGGCATGCGCTGCGACGTGTTCTATTCTACTGACACCGGTCGGAGGTTTGTGCGTGCGCTGGAGAGCCGGCTGTGCAGCCTTAGCGCGCAGCAGCTGTTCCAAGTGCTCCTGGCTGGTCTGAAGTTCGAGGTGCGTGTCTGTCCGTTTCCTGTGCGGCAACCCTGTCCCAGGCGCCCATTGAGGGTATCGTATGTAGGGAACTATTGCCTCAGTTGTCCGGGTTGGACACGGTGAGCGTGCTGCGTCTGCCCAGTCTGGTTGCATCACGCGATCCAGCTTTCTGGCGTGTGTTGTGGCAGGTGAGACGCATATTAACAGTTTCAAGTGTTTTAGGAGCTGGACTCTCGCCAGCTCGGTGATAAAAGTTGCTCAGGGGTCCTGCTACGAGTGGAGACCCATCTGCTAGACTCGTTGCGGTCTGACGCCGCCGCATATACATCTAAATAATTACTGGTAGTAGAATGGTTCATCTTCGTCACTTAGGTCGCCGTATAGCATGTCTAGCTCGTCCTGGTAGTTTTTGACGCTCGATATATCATTCGGTTTCTTCTTTGAGAAGGTGACCTGGCTCTGCTTAGCCTCCTTGGCTTTTAAGGCCGCTTCTATCTTGCGTTTGAGGGTTTGCAAGTCCTTCAGCTCTATTTTCTTCTCGCAGGCCTGGAAGAGAGTGTCGATGAACTGCAGCCATACGGCGCTTTTCGCCTGCGCACTCTGTGTCGCTTGTTCATCAGCGTACCTGGCTCTGTTCTATCTTTTGCGATAGCTTCTTCGCGACATTGTCGCAGTCCTTGAGGCACTTGAGTGACACGTGTGCCAGTGGATCCGTGGGAACTGCGTGTTATGCTTCATCGCGCTCGTCGACTCACTGATGGCATGGATCGGGTTCTGCGCGAACACGTCGGCCTCCGCGTCGTCGCTACCGCCGCCTCTACCCTTACCGGGCACTGAGAACAGGTCGTCCACGAAATCCCTGTCCGCAGACTCGCTCAACCTGCGTTATGTTACACTGCCGCTACAGCTGTCATTACTTTTGCGACTGTAGTCTTTCGGAGAGTTTCGCCACGTCTTCCTGGCCCCTCGGCTCCGCTGAAACTTATATACTTTTCTATACGCGCGGTAGACATACGCTGCTTCTCATCTTCGGAGTCCGTGTAGGCGTCCCAGGAGTCGAGTGTGTCGCTGTCTGGCGCCATTGGCTTGCAGAAGTATCCAGAGAGCCAATGAGCCTAGTCCCTTTATATATTTCCTCCGAGCAAGCTTGCTATCCCTCTGATGCAAGTTAAAGTTTTTCTTCGCCTTTCTTAGTGCTTGCCGGAGGCCTCCTGGCCTGGGTCGCGGATGGGGGCGTGGACGCTACACATTGTCGTCTCCACGCTCTGCTGTGCGTTATATTGTTCACTGTGTGGATTTGGACGTGTTTCCCGGTCCATGTGTGCTGCTACTATGTGTTTCGTGTGAGGAATCCCTTGTATTCTGAGTTGCCGCGATGTCTGCGCTGCTGCGTGAGCTGTGTCCTGTGAGCCTCCTGCGGCCTACGTTTCCTTCTTCGGTGAATCGTCGTCTGTATCTGCCCTTGTCTCGGTGTACAATGACGCCGTATCTCGTGACGCGGCCGGGTTGGAGCGTGCTTTGCGTGAGGTGTACTCGTTGATTCTGTCTCACTTCCGGCAGTGATCGACTTCGAGGGCATGTCGTCGTATCATTCGTCCGTGCTGCGTGGCTGCAGTTTGTCGCTGTGGTCGTTGGTTGCGTTAAACTGGAAGGGTTGCGTGTTACGCACTGATGAGGGTTTATACGGTGCTTTGCAGCGGTCGTTGCACGGCGTCGATGGCGACGCTCTCGACTCTGACTGCGGCTATGTTCTTTGCGCTTCTGAGCGTAGGTGTTGTCGTGAGTAATTCACCGCGTGTCAGTTGTCCGGCATAATCTCTGGCTTTCGGTTGTTTGGCAGCGCACTTGTGCGTGTGGTGTATCGCAACCCTGCTCCTATACAACACGTCGTTCGTGTTCAGCCAGTCCGGCATCGGGGTTTTGTCGCTAGCTGCCGTCCACCTGTGCGTTGTTACCGCCCTTTCTGCATGACATCTCAGCGTGAGCCTGCTGGCGCTGCATGCCGCCCTTCGGCCCAAGGCTGCGTCTCGGGGTGGTTCCGTTGAGAGTTCCGCAAGGTAGCTGTGTTTCGTGCTGTCGTCACCGCGTTTAGCTACCTGCGTGCCCACATCTGCGTCCGTGGCCTGTTCATGGTCGCCACCATCATCGGTACGGTTGCGGCGCCTGCCTGCCCTGCTCACACGCCCTCAGCGATCCTGGCCTACGACAACCTACACTTTAACCGCCGATGCGCCAAGACATTCTTCAGCGGATACTCGGCGGTGCGTCACACTCTACACATACAAACACGCTAACACAGATGGACATCGGCTTTTCTGTTTATCGTGTTAGACAGACCGACGACCGTCTCGATGCTGATATGCTGTTACATGGGATTAAAGCATTACGCATTCTTCGTGGATTTGTTTAAGGTTTCTTCGCTGAGATTGCGGATGCGTCAAATGCCGGTGAGAAGCTCACCGCTGATCCTACACATGTAACGAATATCGATAAGTATAACCCCTCACAGATATATTTCCCAGTCGTCGTAATGTCAGCTCCGGAAATTCCGTCGCGCTCTTCCTCCATAGACGACGACTGCTCGGTGCTCGATGTGCGTTACTCAAACGTGGGTGTAGGCTAACGCCTATGCAACCAATTATTATGACTGCATTTTGTGTTTGATTTTTAAAGGATGTCACAGGTAGAAGGTTTCGACCGTGCGTCGACCGTTGTTCTCAGCGGTTTTCGGCCGGAATACACCGTAGACGATTGCCGGGCTTTCGCGTCCTGGTTTTCTCCGGTTATACACGTCGAGCAGTTGCCATTAGTTGATGGCAAAATGCGTTTTGCGGTTGTGTTTGCATCAACAGCCCACGTTGAGGTATGTGTGTAAAGGATCGCGTTAATTTACTCTCTGTGCAGCAGCTGCTGAAATACAAGGAGATATCCGTGGAAAACGGAGTAGTCGAAGTTAGTCGTCCTGACGAAAGCGATACCGTATGGAATTCGGTCGGCGACATGATGACATACGCCACCGCGGTAAGTGTTTACACAATCTACCAGAGCTCATGGATGTATTCGAAATTAACATAAGTTCAGGTACCGATCTTTCAAATGGCTCAAGATGGCTTGAACGTGGCGCTCAACCAACTTTCTTTGGGCTGGGGTGGCTATCTCGGTAATTAAAGCGCCTGAGATTGCGTGAATTCAGGGTTGTCCTCCTTCTTGGACTTAGTGTTACGCAGCAACACTGCATGGATGTTTGGGGTGACTCCTCCCTGAGACAGTGTTACTCCTCCGAGGAAAGCGCTGAGCTCTTCGTCGCCCCTGATGGCTAGCAAGATTTCACGAGGTGTGATCCTGCTCCTCTTGCGATCCCTGGCAGCGTTGCCGGCCAACTCGAGAATTTCAGCGCACAAGTATTCCAGCACTGCTGCAAGGTAAACCGGAGCGCCAGTTCCGATTCTTCCTGCGTACCTGCCGCGCTTCAGCTGTCTGCTGATCCTGCCGACCGAGAAGATAAGTCCGGCTTTCGACGCTCGCGACATGCGCTTGGAGGCGCTTTTCCTACCCTGAGTGCTGACAGTCATTTTCGTAATGTTTCGTGCAAACAAAATGTAGTGATTCGCTGGTTGCGTGGGCTGCCTCCACGGTCACATCACGCACACACCACCCATTGTTTGGAGGGTAATGAAATACGTTAACACATGGGGCCCTATTATTCGTCATAAAACAATTTATGTTTATATCAGTGGTTCACACACCGAATGCGCGCTGTGTGTACAACGGTTTAGGAAAGCTCAGCAGAATATCGTTGTGTGTCTGTCAAGGCACATCACTCTTATTACTCATCTATTCTAATGACATATGAAAAGACACAACCCTCTTTATTTCAGCTAATAATGCACGATAGAATCACACCCCTCAAATTGAGACATGAAGGTTAGCATTGATACGGCATTCATCAGTGCGCAAACCAGTTCTACAGCTCCACCGATTGACGCATTGAACCATTCTAACTGCATTATTCGTTGCGCTGACACGTAAAACTATATTAATGCCTTGATTGACAACCTTCGCCTGATAATGTGTTGTTGTTCTGTGCTGCCGTGGGCTGTTGAGCGTTTAGTGCAAATTAACTTCGTCTTGACCACTGTTTTAATTATTTTTGTTTTCGGACGCATTGACGTCCGCCAAGATCTGAAATATCGCGTCTTTTGTTGAGGGTGGGTGGCTGCGCGTTTGCTTGGCTGGAGTTGGCTGGGCATTAATTCTGCCGTGATCTTTGTGTCGCGTTGTTTGTTCAGCGTGTGTGATTTTATTTTGTGCTGTGAATTCTGCTGATGTGCGTTCAGTGTCGGCCATATGGCGAGGACTAAGCAGACGGCGCGCAAGTCCACCGGAGGGAAGGCTCCGCGTAAGCAGCTTGCGACCAAGGCGGCTCGCAAGGCTGCGCCTGTGACTGCCGGTATAAAGAAACCTCACCGTTACCGTCCTGGTACGGTTGCGCTGCGTGAGATTCGGAAGTTCCAGAAGTCGACTGAGCTGCTGATCAGGAAGCTTCCTTTCCAGCGTTTGGTGAGGGAGATCGCTCAGGACTTTAAGGCGGACCTGCGTTTCCAGTCGCAGGCTGTGCTTGCGCTGCAGGAGGCGGCTGAAGCGTACCTGGTTGGCCTGTTCGAGGACACCAACCTGTGCGCCATCCACGCGAAGCGTGTGACAATCATGCCCAAGGACATACAGCTCGCTCGCCGGATTCGTGGCGAACACGCATAATGTGGTTATCATATCTAGGTATCCGTTAACACCCTGAATTCTTTGATTTTTCTGCCATTATCTCTGTAGATCTTTGCGATCTAGGATTTGTGTACTTCTGTGGACTTCATTTCCGCAACATCCAGGACTGTGTGTTATTGTTAACCACATATTGTTACATTAATATGCACAGCGCGGTACCTTGAGTTGTTTTAGATTTTGGAATATATTTTATAATTGTGTTCAGTGATTGGAATACTATTTCGCCATTGTAGACGTAAATCGTATTTCTGACACAACGTAATCGTTGGTTGACTACCAATATCTTTTATAATGAGTGACAATAGCGCATCGGGGCGTTACGAAGGAGTTGACAGCAGCGTGTATTCTTCGGTGGCTCCCATAGCTATCGAGAGAGATAGTCCAGCGTCCATATCAACAATAAAGATGTCGAAATCGGAGTCTAACAGTGGCAACTTCTTCCAGAGAATGTTTGCAAGCGTCTGCAAGTGGAGTTGGTTGCCATCTACGGCCTTCTATTTCTTCGCGCTATTCGCCGTTGCGATTGCACTGTACGCTGACCAATGGTCAGGAATGAGGATTGAATTCAAGGCCGGAGATGCGAATGCCCTAAGTCGAACGGTGTTGGGTGTTAAGACCTTGAGACGCGCCGATTATATTCACAAGGATGATTCGTCCATGTTATTAAGAAGGACGATCCCTTACAGTAAGATCATGGAAGATTCATACTGCTCAGATGAGAAGAAGTCGGTTGACAAACTTGAAGCCACAAATGTTCCCACCATTCTACGGCGTATAGATCAGGTTGGATTGGTGGATCGTGAAACGGAGGCGGCATTCATCGCAAAAAATGGTCGCGTGATTTACGATGTATTATGCAGCGCCATCCCAGATTTTTCATATGATGGCTTTGTGATCCTGACTCTTCTGCCCATATCGGCTATCCTCTTTCTGCCACTTGGCATACTTTGTGTCTTGAGGAATCTTTTTAACAAAGCGTCAACCAGGAGAGGCGTTCATGAAACGATAGAAATACTTGCTGTTATTACGTGGATTATTTCTTTGGTATTATCGACCGTCACATTGATCTACTATTGGGTGAGTGCATCTAGGCCCATCTGCGTGAACGCGGCTGGTGAGCTGACGGGTTGTACGATATACGCGAGCACGTTCCTGACTCTGATTTACGCGGTGAGCAGCCTGATTTCGTTGGTTTGCTACGTGTGGTACGGAATAAGCGTGCGCAAAGGTCGGGTTCACGGCCCGATGAGGTGGACGATGAGCAGTCGCTTCCGCAGGGACACAGAGGTTTAGTGATGATACCGCGTTGGCTGGTGGAGCACGTGTCTGGTCTGGTTGAGCGTCGCTGCGTACACTTCAGCAAGCCTTCGCCGAGCTGCGAGACACGGCGTGACCCGGCTCGCCGGTTCTGTCGCGGAGGTCTGCGTCACCACGGAGAGTGGATCAGCACGTGCGCCTTGATCGGGCGGACGCTGCGCGCTCAGGGCATGCGCTGCGACGTGTTCTATTCTACTGACACCGGTCGGAGGTTTGTGCGTGCGCTGGAGAGCCGGCTGTGCAGCCTTAGCGCGCAGCAGCTGTTCCAAGTGCTCCTGGCTGGTCTGAAGTTCGAGGTGCGTGTCTGTCCGTTTCCTGTGCGGCAACCCTGTCCCAGGCGCCCATTGAGGGTATCGTATGTAGGGAACTATTGCCTCAGTTGTCCGGGTTGGACACGGTGAGCGTGCTGCGTCTGCCCAGTCTGGTTGCATCACGCGATCCAGCTTTCTGGCGTGTGTTGTGGCAGGTGAGACGCATATTAACAGTTTCAAGTGTTTTAGGAGCTGGACTCTCGCCAGCTCGGTGATAAAAGTTGCTCAGGGGTCCTGCTACGAGTGGAGACCCATCTGCTAGACTCGTTGCGGTCTGACGCCGCCGCATATACATCTAAATAATTACTGGTAGTAGAATGGTTCATCTTCGTCACTTAGGTCGCCGTATAGCATGTCTAGCTCGTCCTGGTAGTTTTTGACGCTCGATATATCATTCGGTTTCTTCTTTGAGAAGGTGACCTGGCTCTGCTTAGCCTCCTTGGCTTTTAAGGCCGCTTCTATCTTGCGTTTGAGGGTTTGCAAGTCCTTCAGCTCTATTTTCTTCTCGCAGGCCTGGAAGAGAGTGTCGATGAACTGCAGCCATACGGCGCTTTTCGCCTGCGCACTCTGTGTCGCTTGTTCATCAGCGTACCTGGCTCTGTTCTATCTTTTGCGATAGCTTCTTCGCGACATTGTCGCAGTCCTTGAGGCACTTGAGTGACACGTGTGCCAGTGGATCCGTGGGAACTGCGTGTTATGCTTCATCGCGCTCGTCGACTCACTGATGGCATGGATCGGGTTCTGCGCGAACACGTCGGCCTCCGCGTCGTCGCTACCGCCGCCTCTACCCTTACCGGGCACTGAGAACAGGTCGTCCACGAAATCCCTGTCCGCAGACTCGCTCAACCTGCGTTATGTTACACTGCCGCTACAGCTGTCATTACTTTTGCGACTGTAGTCTTTCGGAGAGTTTCGCCACGTCTTCCTGGCCCCTCGGCTCCGCTGAAACTTATATACTTTTCTATACGCGCGGTAGACATACGCTGCTTCTCATCTTCGGAGTCCGTGTAGGCGTCCCAGGAGTCGAGTGTGTCGCTGTCTGGCGCCATTGGCTTGCAGAAGTATCCAGAGAGCCAATGAGCCTAGTCCCTTTATATATTTCCTCCGAGCAAGCTTGCTATCCCTCTGATGCAAGTTAAAGTTTTTCTTCGCCTTTCTTAGTGCTTGCCGGAGGCCTCCTGGCCTGGGTCGCGGATGGGGGCGTGGACGCTACACATTGTCGTCTCCACGCTCTGCTGTGCGTTATATTGTTCACTGTGTGGATTTGGACGTGTTTCCCGGTCCATGTGTGCTGCTACTATGTGTTTCGTGTGAGGAATCCCTTGTATTCTGAGTTGCCGCGATGTCTGCGCTGCTGCGTGAGCTGTGTCCTGTGAGCCTCCTGCGGCCTACGTTTCCTTCTTCGGTGAATTCGTCGTCTGTATCTGCCCTTGTCTCGGTGTACAATGACGCCGTATCTCGTGACGCGGCCGGGTTGGAGCGTGCTTTGCGTGAGGTGTACTCGTTGGATTCTGTCTCACTTCCGGCAGTGATCGACTTCGAGGGCATGTCGTCGTATCATTCGTCCGTGCTGCGTGGCTGCAGTTTGTCGCTGTGGTCGTTGGTTGCGTTAAACTGGAAGGGTTGCGTGTTACGCACTGATGAGGGTTTATACGGTGCTTTGCAGCGGTCGTTGCACGGCGTCGATGGCGACGCTCTCTCGACTCTGACTGCGGCTATGTTCTTTGCGCTTCTGAGCGTAGGTGTTGTCGTGAGTAATTCACCGCGTGTCAGTTGTCCGGCATAATCTCTGGCTTTCGGTTGTTTGGCAGCGCACTTGTGCAGTGCGTGTGGTGTATCGCAACCCTGCTCCTATACAACACGTCGTTCGTGTTCAGCCAGTCCGGCATCGGGGTTTTGTCGCTAGCTGCCGTCCACCTGTGCGTTGTTACCGCCCTTTCTGCATGACATCTCAGCGTGAGCCTGCTGGCGCTGCATGCCGCCCTTCGGCCCAAGGCTGCGTCTCGGGGTGGTTCCGTTGAGAGTTCCGCAAGGTAGCTGTGTTTCGTGCTGTCGTCACCGCGTTTAGCTACCTGCGTGCCCACATCTGCGTCCGTGGCCTGTTCATGGTCGCCACCATCATCGGTACGGTTGCGGCGCCTGCCTGCCCTGCTCACACGCCCTCAGCGATCCTGGCCTACGACAACCTACACTTTAACCGCCGATGCGCCAAGACATTCTTCAGTGGATACTCGGCGGTGCGTCACACTCTACACATACAAACACGCTAACACAGATGGACATCGGTTGTGGATTCATGATAATGCAGTCGGGAGCCATGACCTCTTTCAGCCGCAGTGCGTGATTATCAGTCAAGATTTCAACTATTTCAGATAACCGAAAACGCAGCTATATAAACATATTGACACGCCACTGGGCTCTCTTCCTGTTGGGTTTGGGGCGATTGTTGGCAACAAGTGCGGTCTCCTACGATGTACCGGTGGAGGAGTACGGCGTGCACTGGAACTTTTTTTTATCCCTTGGAGTTACCAAGATTCGTAAGTCATATGTTTTTCTGTTGTGTATATTGATCTACTTGGCAGTGTCGGAGCTATTACTTTCTGTTTTACCCGAGCGTCTAATTAACGTGTTGCCGTTCGCCATCGCTTTCGTCTACGAGTGGTTGATATGGTCCTTCGATGCAGTACATGCCGTCCCCGCGATAGCTCGGACAAACCTGCTGACGGCAAATAAGGAGGGTATACTAGCTATTCCCAACTCAGTCTCCTTATATTTCATGGGTTACTGTTGCGCTCGTGCCTGCGGGAAAGTGTACCAGGAACGTGGTCGAGGTTTTGCTATAGTTTTTAGTGGAAGGTAAAGAGTCGATATCTCAACATGTGAGCGTTTTCAGTATCGGAGTGTTGAGCGCCTTGGCGTCGTTTGCTCTTTACCTTCTTGGATTCCCCAGTTCGAGGACCCTGGTATGTTCTCGAATTACAACCGTTATATGCCTCAGGTAAACTTGCGCTTCGTGCTTAACACCACATCAATCGCCACTGGCTTCCTAGCCAGTGTCATCGCAACGCAATGGCTTTGGGGTAAGCGCGACCACAACAAGCACATAAATCAATCAGGTGATAATACGGACGTCACCGTGGTGGAATGTATCGGCAAGCACTCGGTCGTATTCTTTCTGTTGGCTAACGTTATTACGGGTGCCGTAAATGTTTTTCTGCAGCCATTGTTGCTCCCATTGCCGCTGATGTTCCTGCTCGTCGTGGCATACGGGGCAGTTTGCTGCATGTGTGTGCTGCATTTGGACCGTCGCGGCGTCAAGCTACCATGACATAACGCCGCTGGCCATCAGCACGTGTTCCACGAACTGTTCGGCCTCCTGATTTTGCAGGTCGCAGCCGTTGGCCACAAACTTTTGTACCATGAGCTCTGCCGTGGATGACTTGAAGGCGTGAAATTCGTCAATAATCTGCGGTTTTTCTATTCGTATTAGCCCATAACTCACCATATCACGTGTGTCGTCTATGATCCCTATGGTGAACCTTTGGTTGTCTTTGAATTTCGCGGCGAGCTGCGCCGTGATGCGATCGAGCGCTGGTTTCCACGCTTCCGCCTTAGGCGTCATGTCAGCGCATCTTCTTTGTAATGCGTCCCTTTCGGCCGCAATGCGCTCTTGTTCCGCCTGAGACGATAGTTTCAGGTGTGCAATTGCATTCTGTGTTAACGATGAGCACACTGAACCTCGTACCCACCCGTACGTTAGCCTTCAGCTCCGCCTCGTACCGTGCACATGCCTCGAACGTGTTCCGGCGTTCGGCCTCGGCCTTCTTTTGCTCCTCTCTCGCCACCTTCACGGCATCTATTGCCAGTTGCCGATACTTCTTGACTAGAACGTCCACATGCTCCAGCACCTGCCGCTTAGCCTCTATAAGCTGGCGTTCATGCTCGCTTTTCATGATAGCGATTTTGCGATTAAATTGTTCCTCGTCTTTAGCGTTGCTGATTGGGGACGGCGTGTGCTGAGAATCTCTAAGCGACCTGGCGAAAAGTGTTACGTTTGAATCCATGGAGCTCACCTTGTGCAGCGTATCGAAGTTCCACGTCCTCTCTGCATGCATTTACATATTCAGACTGTTATCCTTACCATTGACGAGTTGGGATATGCCTCATGGCTGTCACTTGAAGGCCTCGCTGCCCTAACCCTGACGTTCTGCTCGTTCTTCATCCTTCGCACTGCATCGCGATCGATATGAAGCAGCGCTGTCTGCAGTTGCCCTGCCGAGCGATTATTGGTATCAGGGGTGAATTTGAAGTGTGGCGGTTGCAATTTGTTGCGCTCAGAGGCTCTCATTCGGGGCGTGATCGGCACATCGAGCATAAGCCCCTTCCCCTGTCTCACCCATCCCTCAGGCAGCTCCACCTCATTTTTGCTAGAGTCATCAGCATTTTCAGCCGTGCCATCGCCGGCTTCCGACTCCGGCAGGCTCATGTTGGAGATTCGACTCAGGTGTGTACCTGAGTCTGTCTGCTGAGGTGCGTCGCCATCCGAACCGTCGGACGGCGACTGCACATCGTCCACTTCCCGATCGCTATCCATGTGTAATGCCCATAAAGGTTGTTTTACCGGCACCGTTAGCGTTCATGTTCGTCTAAAGCCGCGTGACACCCTGGTGCGTACGCCCGTGTTGCGCGTTGCTTAGTAGTTGAAGAAAACACGAAAGCTGTGTAAGACATCCCACGCGGATTTGCCTTTGTTTTCGCTCTCTTGAAACAGCTGTTGAGCATGCTTGTCTGCAGCGGTGGTCGGCGGCTCGAGGTGTATGAGTGATGTCCAGTAAGGCTCGTCCGTTTTTATGCGGGCGCACAGCTCCTCCAGGCTGGACACCAGTATTCGTGTCGACCATTTACCTGCCCCTGGAAGTATCCGGTAGCGTACCGTCTCGCCACCGAGCTCCTTTTTTACGCTGCCCTTCCACCAGGCACCTCGGTATATTTCGGCAGCGCTTTCGGGCGAAAAGAAGACCACCAGCTTGTCTGTAGCAGGATTGAAACCCCCTTCCGATGTCTCCGATTTGGTAACCACGATGGGCGGGTCGGTGGTAAATATGGGCGTACCTTTGAACGTCCCTTTTCCACGTCGCGTTGCGCTAACCAGCGCCTCCGAAGTGGGCAACAGAATCGGGTCAAACTTGCGTGTAGCGTTGTCAACCTGACGTGCGTAGTCGGCCAGCGTGGTTCGCGCCATATGGGCTTCCTTTCCCTGCCTCCTCAGCTCCAGCACATGCGCTGCGCAGGCGTTTGGGTCCATGAAATATAGCACCACCGCTGGTATCCGCCGCTTCATGCGGCTTAGGTCGTGGGTGCTGCTCTGCGTAGAAACAACCTCCTTAACATCCGCGAATTGCTGCAGGAACTCCTGTACGATTTGCTGGGCTTTCGGCATGTGCTTCGCCGGCCGCACCGCAGCAGCAGGCGGCGCCTCTGTAGCCGATTCAGCTGCATTGCCCACGTCTTCCAGCGGATAATGCGATATCAACGCATTCCTCGAAGCGTCAGTCGCGATGTAAACAGGAATGCTTTCCAGCCGTCGGTAGAGCGCGATTGCTGACCTGTGTTTATCCAGGCGGCCCAATAGGTCGGTGATTCCAACTATAGCCGGACTGCCACTCGACAGTACTCGACGCTGCTCATTGTGTGCCCAGCTCCCCGTCCACCGTAGCTGCGGATTCCTGACCGTTGAGCGTGATTCCACGCGGCAGAACGGCAGCGCACAAAGGCAGGCAACGGCCAGCCAGTGATACATTTATTTATGATTTTCTAACATTATTTGGCTCTACGAGTTGCGTCATCGACGCGTAAAACAAAAGACAGCCTTCGGCTGGACACCACACACCGCCGAACACACACAGCGCTTAGAGAAGCAGAGTAATTACAGCGATTGTCCGGAAGATTGCTCTCAGTAGTGGTAGGTGTCCTCCTTGAATGGGCCCTCCGGCTGGATGCCCAGGAACTTGCATTGCTTGGCGGTTGGGACGGTGAGTTTGACGTTGAGCGCCTTCAGGTGGTACCTGGCAACGGTCTCGTCTAGGATCTTGGGAAGCCTGTTGATGCACTTGCCGTACTTGCCGTTGTCCCTGTTCCTCCAGAGCTCGAGCAGGCACAGCGTCTGGTCGGTGAAGGAGGCAGACATGACGAAGGCGGGGTGCCCGTTGGCACAGCCAAGGTTGTAAAGACGACCGTAGGCGAGGATGATGACACCCTTTCCGGTGTCGGGGAATCTGAAGTAGTCGGATCCGGGCTTGATGTTGATAATTTCGAGTCCTGGCACCTGGCTGAGTTCAGACATTTGGATCTCCTGGTCACCCTGGCCGATGTTGCCGAGTATGGCATTGTTCTTCATGCGCCTCATGTGCTCAACGGTGATGATGTCGATGCCACCGGTGCAGGAGATGAAGATGTCAGCGGTTTCCACGACGTCCTCGAGGAGCACGACGTCGTAGCCGTCCATGGCAGCCTGCAGGGCACAGATGGGGTCGATCTCGGTGATCTTGACGTTGGCGCCCTGTCCCCTGAAGCCCTGGGCAATACCCTTGCCAACGTTACCGTAGCCGATAACGACGGCGGTCTTGCCACCAATGAGGAATCCATCAGCTCCGTTGAAGAAGCCGTGGATGCCAGAGTGCCTGCAGCCGTAGATGTTGTCGTACTTCTGCTTGGTGACACAGTCATTGGTGCTCATGACTGGGAAGAGCAGTCCGCATTTTTTCCAGATGTTGCGGAAGTGCGTAACGCCGCTGGTGGTCTCCTCCGAGAGTCCAGTCACCTGGGAGGCGAGCTTCTCCCAGAAGTAGCCCTGCTCCACAACCAGCTTGTTAAGCAGCTTAATGAGGCACTGGGTGTCCCTGTCGTTCTCGTCGAAGTCGGCGGGGTTCAATAAGCTCCCGTCCTTCGCGTGCATCCTTTCGAGGTCCACACCGAGCTTGATCATGTTGTAGGCACCGCAGCCGTCGTCAACGATCAGGTTGGGGCCGTCCGGGCCGGGCCAGCGGAGGGACTGGTAAACACACCACCAGTACTCCTCAATGGTCTCACCTACAGCGCAATGATCCCTTTTCAGCGGTTATCACAAACGACATCATCAGGCAACGGCGCCGACACAACGCCATACGACACGGACATACACTGCATTATACACGTAATTCCCATACACAAAATCCACATCACAGCTGTAAAATACAACACGAGCTACATATAGAGCGAAAATTGTCACTTCACCACATCTTCCATAGAGATTCACATCACAGGCAACCTACCCTTCCAGGCGAAAATGGTGGTGTTGTCGCTGTGGTAAGCCTTAAGAGCAGCGCAGATACCGTCGTGGGCGGAGAAGGGGTTTGACGACGCCCATCTGACAGTAGCGCCGAGCCTGTTGAGGGTTGTAATCAGGCAACCGACTTCGCCAGTGAGGTGAAGACAGCCAGAAATGCGTACACCCTGCAGCGGCTTCCCCATCTCTTCAACTTCCAAAAGCGAATTAAGTCCAGGGGATTCCTCCATACGGAGCTTGAGAAGGATTTTACCGGCATCCTTAAGGGAAATGTCCTTGCACACACCCTCGGTGCGGGGCGTGAGATCATTCCAAAGGTCAGACATCTTGAGTTATGCGTTACTATTGGCAGAAGTCACGGGCCGCAACACCTATCCAAATTTTCGATCCTATATTCAGAGGAACATAGAAGGTGAAACCAACGTCATAGCGCTGCTGTCGGGCAATTATTCGCTAATCCCCATGGCTTCTAGATTTTTTATCGCCTTCGCTCTGTGCGCGTCGCTTCATTTTGCTGACTTGGCTACGATATTTCTTGTACATGAACTCCCTGTACTCTGGCCATGTTTCTTCGCAGACTTCCATCTGGCAGAAGTGCGACTTCTTGATAAGGCTGGAAGCCTCGGAAAGGTCTGCAAACAGCAGCTCCGAATACGACAGAGCCTTCCTCTGTGGTTTCGGCTCGGTGACCTCTGTGGTTTCCTCATCAGAGCTATCGTCCGATTCTTCGTGTACCTGCTGCTGCGTTACTGTCGGCTCCGTCTTTTTGCCGGCGTCCAACTTTCCCAGAAATTTAGCCAGCCAATTAGAGCCACTTTTGTTATCTTCCTGCTTTGTTTCGCTCGTTGGTGTGCTGGATTCTTCAGCAACATCTGCCGCTGGCCGCTTGCGGCTTTTAGGGTCGCTTTTGGAGGATTCCTTCATTATCTCAAATCCACACGATGCTCAAGGGTGTGTATCTCCAGGTAGCTCACGACTATACCATAGTCGTACTTTCACTAGCAACACGCTCTCCGATCTCATGGCAGGGATGCCCTGCTGCCGCGAGTAGTCATCGCGACGTCGTCTGTACAAGATAGGTGCAGTCTTTTCGTCGGTAGCATGCGTATTACACACCCAATCTGAGCAAATTAGATCTTGTTTCAGCAATTAATGGAATTATTAGACCGGTATAAATAGTTCAGTGACTTCGGGCCTTCGCATCAAACGCAGAAATCTTCTACAACGCTTATTCCGACCATACAACCGCCATAACACGATATATCTAGTTCAGATGGTACCGCAATTTCCAGTATTGCTATTCTTATTTGCTGTCTAATAGATGTGAATTACGCTTGTTTCCTCTGGGGTGGCGTCGTTACGTACGCCGTGTTTTACGATGGTGTGTAGGATGTGTTAGTTACAACTCTATTATAATGCTATTTGTAATGCCTGTGTATGTTTCCAGTCGGTAGGAATTAAAGATGGAAGGGGGAACCTTCCTCTGGCACTGGTTTCTGCGGCGCGTCTAGTCTTCCATTACATTGTGAAACGCACATGCGGGCCTGAGATATCGTTCTAGATTTTTTTGCATCAGCAGCTTTCCATGCAATGTTGTTACGTGCCTTAGATTGACCCTTACGTTATTGTCTCACCAGTCATCTAGACAACTTAGAATAATTGAGGCGATTATAAAAATTACTGGCTGAATGTCTTTAATACCGCATCAACGTGCCACATGAAGTGAGTGCTGTGAGTTGATTTACATTACGGCGGTACATATGTATGTAGTAGCTGTTGTAAAACCCCGGTCCCGACTGATGTTCACTTTGCGAGATTCGCCCTTCCGGTTGGACACCACGTGTTGGCTGCGCAGGTGGCACATCCAGGCCCCGCAGCCACGCATATTGTCTGCCCGAAACCCACCAAAAGGTGGTTGATCTCTGCCCACAGCTTCTGAGGCAGCAGAGACTGCAATTTGATTCTCGTTTCTTCGGGTGTCTTAGTTTTCACCCATCCCAACCTGTTTGCGATTCTGTGAACGTGCAAATCGACAGCGATTCCATTAATGCGCTTGAATGCCTGTTCGTAAATGTAAAGGTATTAGCTTTCGTTTTCTTACCAGCTGCATCACGAGGTTTGCCATCTTAGGTCCTACTCCCGGTAGCGATACTAGTTCCTGGATTGTGTCAGGAACCCTTCCGTTGTACTTTTCAATTATTATGTCAGTCGCCTGCTTGATATGCTTCGCCTTCGTCTTGTGGAATCCAACTTTGGAAATAAGCGAATCCAACTCTTCCTCTGGCATCTTGGCCACCGACTCCACGTTCAACCCACGCTCCTTAAGAGCGTCCATGGCCGCCGCAGTTACAGCGTCCTTGGTCTGGCTGGAGAGCATGCAGGCGATGAGAGTTTGGTACTCGTAAGTCGCCTTGTCTGCGCTCTCGTCAGCGCAGCAGTGCGCGCCCATAGTGTCAACGGGTGCGTTTTCCTGCATTTCATTTATTCCTCCGCATATATTCAACTCACATCTTTTCTCATATCCACAATTGCGTTCCAGACATTCGCGAAGTTGGGGATGGAGCACTCGTTCTCTTCGACGTGTCTGAAGGGCTGCCTTTTGGTGTCGTACTGCAGCTCAATGTAGTCGTTGTCATACTCCACCTTCGGCTTTTTCGCCACCACCTGCTTGACTTTCTTAACCCGGGCTGGGCTTTGCGTGGCGGTACTCGCCTCCGAATCGCCCGGCGTCTCCAACGCCTGCGCCCTCGGCTGCTTTTCCCTCGCCATGACCTTGATGAGCGATTCCAAGTCAAACTGCGGGCTGGCAATGTTCTCTATAAGCTGCTTTACTGAATCATGCCTCGGCGCGGCAGTGAACTCCGATAACTCGGTCAAGTGCGGCGTGTTCGCTGGTTGCTCAACCACCGTAGCCGTTTGCGATACGCGTATACGCAGCCCCGCTGGCGTGATCCAGCCTACCGAAAGTGTGGACAACTGTTGAAGGTTAACTTACAGTGCGATTTGTTGAAAGTGAATCGCAGATTCTTCACCCCTCGGATGAGCGACTTGAGTGAGCACAGCGCCAGGGCGAGCAGTTTAAACCACGGTCTTCGCCATGTCGCCGCCATTATACATCCATTTAGAGGCTGAAATGCCGCCCACGGGTGGCAGATGAGTTTATGTCTCGTAGGAAGGCTCTATTCAGTTATCGCGAAGGCACGTGATCGGCGCAGCCCATACGGCCGTCTGGTGGCGATATGATGGATAAAGTGGCGTCCTTATGACTTTGTGACAGTATTTAGGTGTCCTTCCTGACGAATCGCGGAGTTACGCGTTCATCGGTTGGGGCCGGCTCTCGCCGCCCCGCGCCCTGAGGCCCCATCGCAGAGGCGCGTTGGCCTGCTCGCGGTACTATTCAACTAAAGGCAGCTGCCTAATGAGCAGTAGTGCAAGGTGTACAAAATAGGTGCGTTGTGCGTTCGCGTGACTGTTTTGGCGGCTTCTCGGCGGGCCCAACAGCCGGTGTCGCCATAGGGCCCTCCCCCGTCGATGTGCAGTGTTTGCGATTATCGGAGACCCTTTTAACATCTTTCACAGGTTTTATTTTGTTTATCATCGGCACGAGTAACGGTTTCGCTCCAAGATGGTGGGTTTAACATTTCTTGTCGGTCTCATCCGTGTTCCAGAATCTCCGTTTGCAGAAGCGCTTAGCCGCTTCGGTGCTGAAGTGTGGCAAGGGCCGCGTGTGGCTGGACCCCAATGAAGGGAATGAAATCGCCATGGCCAACTCCCGCTTCAGCATCCGCAAGCTGGTGGGCGACGGTCTCATCATCAAGAAGGCGGTCGCGCCGCACAGCCGCGCCCGCATCCGTCTGATTAACGCCTCGAAGCGCCTGGGCCGTCACTCCGGTATCGGTAAGCGCAAGGGTACCAAGGGTGCGCGCCAGCCCGCGAAGTTGCTGTGGATGCGCCGCCAGCGCGTGCTGCGCCGTATGCTCCGCAAGCTGCGCGACTCGAAGAAGATGGACTCGCACATGTACCAGAACTTCTACAAGCGCTGCAAGGGTAACCAGTTCAAGAACAAGCGTGTGCTCTTGGAGGCCATCCACGCCCAGAAGAACTCCTGGGTCAAACAGAAGGCGGAGAACGAGCAGATCGAGGCCCTGAAGGCCAAGGCAAAGGCCATCAAGGAGAAGCGCAAGCTCCGTATGGCTGCGCGCACCACATAAACCTCCTAGATAACGTTCTCATCGGCTCTATATTGCGTTGGCTGTCGTTGTGGTGTGCTGTTATTTATGGGTGCCGTCGGTCAGGCCAGGACTGCCTGACTTCGTCTCGCCCAACAAGAAGTTTACCGTGTACATGTCCAACAAACATTAGCGGTAGTTTCAGCATGTTGTGTGTCACGCTTTTGCGATATGTTTGGAGCTGTCTACACCATCAGCATTGCGGCCGGAAGCCGCGGTGTCTGGGGTGGGCACTGTGTCTACCACTTGAGTGCGGCCGATCGCTTTGCGTTATCGGCAAGGTTCTCCACTCTTGTTGCGATAAGGTTGACGGCTGCTAATCTGTTCAACACGGGGATGACGGTGGACGATACGGCTTGAACGTCCTCACGGTCCTTGGTATCTGCATAGCGGCTGGCTGTGTGGTACAGCTTCATTGCCTTGTCAGTAGGTCTGGCTTTGTCATCTTTTTTCATCCACCTCAAAAAGGTGTTGAAGTAGCTCTTTTCGACCGGTGGTGGCGTCAGAACCTGCCCGGCGCCATTGAAGCATCCGCCGGGGCAGGCCATCACCTCAATGTACGCCATATGCCCCGTTCCCGATTGGCCTTTACGCTTCAGCTTTTGAACGATGTTTTGCACGTTCCTGAACCCGTAAGCTAGCACGAACGTCATTACGGGCTTGCCATCGATTTTCAGCGTAGCCTCCTAAGTGGGCATTATAATTGGCAAAAAAATTCCAACTCACTTGGTAGTCCTGATTGATCGTCTCTGTGAACGTTGGCACTTCATCGGCCTTTACAATAGATTCCGCAGCGTATTTCATGATTTCCTCAGCAAATCCACCCGACTGTGACTGGGTTCTGCCAGGTCTCAGGTAACTATCGTCGAGGAGTGGTGTTAGCTTGATATCCTGTTGGAACAGCTTGGAAAAAAGGAATGCATCCTTGTCCGAGAATATGCGATCCAACTCGGCTTCAGGCATCGTTCGGAAGTCCATGTTGTACAACTCCATGATCTTCTGGAGGTCACCCGTGGAGAGCACGTCGTCCACCAGCTTCACGTCTTCCGAGTGACCTTCAGTTTGTGACCCAAGGTATGTGTATATGCTTCTGAGGTTCTTATCTGATTGACTTCGTGCGGCCTCAATTTTCTTGTCATAGCACGGCGCGGTTGTAACGTGGTATATGGGTTTGATTTCCATATTGCGATGTCTGGCGTACCTACCAACGCGCTTCAGGGTCTCCTGTAGTCCTCCGTAATGCCCTGCGAAAACGCTTGCGGTGGGCTCCAGATGCACGCGTGAGTGCTCCATGGCCAACTCAAAGCTCCCCAAGGTCTTGACCAAAGCACCCTGGATATGCTGGCTTGACGCCACTCTGCTTATTCTGGAGATGACGTTTTCATCAAGATTTTTTTCCGCGTATGTGGCGAAGCCCGGGCAATGGGTGGCTATGATAGGCATGCCTACGTGACCTTGATCGTCACCATCACCGTCCACTGCATCAGCGTCGGTATCCCTGTTCACCGCCTCGGAGCTGATGCCGTTCGTCATCGCATTTTCGATATCAGCTGGATCCAGAGTTCCACCATGTTTCAGCTTCAATCTAGCTTTGGCACTGAGTCCTGCAAGTATGGTATCGCGGAACTCCGACTTCGCCTCGTGCAGAGCAACGGCTTCCGCGAGGCTCATGTTGTACACCCGTTTGGCACCCAGCCATTTGAACAGGTATGCGAGCTTCCTGAACGCCTTTTGGTATGTTACGTTGTAGGTTGCGGCGAACATGAAAGCAGTTTGCGGTGCGATGGACACGGCGGCTACATCCGCCTGCCTTATTTTTCGTGCGATGTCCTCGTATCCACGGTCCTTGAGGATGATCTCTTCCGATGAAGTTAGGCAGCCTGAGCAGGACATACAGTCGCTGATTCCGACGACGATGCGTTTCGTGTCCTTGTCAGCAGTTGCCGGCTGTAGCTTGTTAGGCACCGGCACACCCTTGTCGTGCAGCTTGACTTCATAGCTCTCACCGCTCTTTCCGACGGGGAGCACGCACTCCTCGCTGAGGTTGAGGAAGTCGTTAAGCTGGTCTATTTTGACCGCGCTGGAAAACATCGCTCCCGCCGTCAATGGTCAAAACGAAAAAATGTGTACGGATATAACGCTACATTTGCAAATAAACTAGCCATATTCGCCCATTGGTTGCGGCGAAGGCGCTGCTGCAGTGGAATCCTCTCCACTAAACAACGGTACGCAGTATGAGATTCGTTAAGCCAATTCTTTTATAACAAAAAATTTTAATAATAATATGAGTCAAAATTACGATGTATGCTTTAAAGGTGTATATGTTTATAGCGAAAGAGGCGTTTTGGCGGTACCATTTTTGTTACCTATACCGTATACCGTATGCGATACCCGCCACTTGACACCTATGGCATGGCCTTCAATTATAATTTTTTACTATTGCGACATGATTTTTGCCAGGTATAGCCGATATGTCGCTGTTTACAGCCAACGGTGTCTAGAAATGTAATTGTGCGTTATGTACTACAGGCTGTTTTTTAAACTGCGTGATTGGCTACACATCGGTTTGAATCTTTATCTTCTTTCGGTTGTTACGACATCTGTGCATCTAGGAACGAAATTTCGACCGCTACTCATGGCTGTCGCTTGATGTTGACCTCCTTGGTCGTATATTCCGCAAATTTAACAACGTTGTACATACGAATTTAGTCAAATTTTGTGACCAATAGCTATAATTTGTCGCTTATGTCGCTAAAATGGCCTTTATTATGGCGTATCTGGCACGAGGAATTTTTCTCCTCTGATTTTCCACGCATCCCCTGGAATCCTCAGCTAACTGTTGCGAAAATTGCTGCGCAAATAATTCAGTTACACTAAAATCACGCTATTTTTGATCAATATTCGATCGTCAGGCTTGTTATTTCCTGTACGAGCCCTCCTTATTATTTTTTGTCGTGTTGCGGGGCATTGCAGTAGGCAGTTGTCGAAAGGGCAGCCGGGTCAGTAATTGATTTTTCTCGCAACCACAAAATCTGCTTAGCCGATTTTAGGCGTCAGCAAAAACGCAAATCGTGTTTCTGGCCGCGATTTACGCAGCGCTAGTCAGCTTTTTGTTAGCTGTGCGGACTGTGCTACGTCTGTCTGCGTGCAGAGTATTTTGGGGTCGCATATATAAAATCCATTCTGGAAGGATGATATAGAGCGACTGTATATATTAGCGGATTTCAATTCGGTCGTAAAGACTGATCCAGAGTCCCAAATTCACCATAATTAATGCCATCAGGTAAACCGCGGTTTTTCGGAATCCTTCGCCATGGAGCAAAACGACGTCGCCGGGGCGCAGCCCCGATGGTATGAGTACCTGTTCTTCTGGCGCCCCTATTCGGTTATGAAGCGCGTAAAATATGGAGATTTCACGGCAGAGAAGGGTTATGGCAACTACTCGGACAGTCGCGGCATGAAGTTCTTTTCGTTTGGGTGGATAACAAAGTGGGTCGGGCTGGTAGCATACGGCAACCTGCACTATGACAAATATCCCGGCCTACCGGCCAGCGACTTCGATACGTTTGCGTCGACGGAGCTGAGCTTGTACCTAATCGAGGGCCGCTCGAACCCACGTGGACCGCTTTTCACCAAGGTTATGGGCAACCTGCGGTGGGGACTCTTGCGCGTTTTTAGGCATGCCCTTGCCTATCTGTTGTTCCTTACGGTGATGAAAGACGCAACGGAGCTGCTGGTGATATGCCTGATGAAGATGGTGGTAGGCGGTGTCACGCTCAACAGCACGTCGGCAATCGTCTCGTGTGAGTTTGCATCCCAATTCACGTTAAACACATGCAGACGTCTTAACTACCGCTGCCATCGCGTCGGCGATAGCGCTTGATGCATTTGTGGAGGCCTACCATCACTTCTACTACAGGCGTATGTCGCTGCGGGTGGAGATCACGCTCCAGATGTTGCTGTACGGGAAGCTCCTGTCTCGAGATCGCCAGCTTGCAATGCGCCAAAACGGTAATGTAACCCCTCACGGCAGTCCTGTTAGAAACGACAGCCAGGTAACCGGCGGTTCCTCCCGCTCCGGCGGCGAGATGGACGCGACGGAGGAAGTGAATATTCTCAACCTGGCGCTCTTCGACGTCGACGAGATATCAAACGGAATAGTGCGCATGATTGATCTTATTAACGTGCCAATAAAGGTGTGCATGCTCAGCATCTGGTTGTACAGCGAAATCGGGTGGAGCGCCGTACAATCGCTTGGCATCATCGGGGCCATGACGGTGCTGATGCTTCTATCCGAGTGCCAGTGCGCCTCTCTGCTGAAGGAATATGTTAAAAGAGTGGATTTGCGGCTCTTCAAAACGCAGGTGGTCTTGGAGGATTTGAGGAACCTGCGGCTGGTGAAGTGGGTAGGGTACGCGATGGACTCCGTCATGGGCAGCCGGTTGCACGAGCTGCAGTCATGTCTGAAGCGAGCCTACCTCAGTTCCTTAAGCAGCTGGGTTGGCATTGTGGCACCCAACGTGATGGCGTTATTCATTTTTGTGATGTCGTCAATAAACAATTCCCCAGTTCTGCGTGGCCTGAATCTTGACAAGAGCCAAGCCCTTCCGCTCCTTCACGCATTAAGTTACTTCATCAGACCGCTAAGGAAGCTGCCGTCTGACATAAACGACCACATGGAAGCTTCCATTTCATGCCGCCGTTTCGAGGATTTCGTGTACCGTAAGGTGCTCGATACTCACGTGCCGACGCCGTACGACAAATTTTCTGAACGCGTCCCGGAGAGCAATTCTGACTGCCAGCACCCTTACAAGGTCGATATATCAACGCTTCACGCCGGTGGTAGTCCAAACGCCTTCTCCATTGCCATGCGCAAGGTCATGAGTCGTGTGCCGAGATGGATGATGCCGAAGAGGTCAGTGGCCTCTAAACTCGGTCTCTCACGTTCCCTCACGCCTTTCAATGTGGGAATAGATAATTTCAGCTGGTCGTTCGTGCGTTCAAGGGACTCCATCAGCCTCGACAGCGAGCTTCTGCGCGACTCCTTCATGGGAGTCAACTACCCCCATGTGGTCCAGTTCTCCAACGCGTTCTTCGGCTGGACATCGGTGCCAATCCTCTCAAACATCAATTTGACGTTGAGAACGAACGAGGTCACCTTTCTCGTCGGGCCTCCCGGCTCGGGAAAGACTTCCCTTTTGAGTGCCATACTGGGTGATCTTCAACTGCTGTCTGGTATGTTCCCTGCGTTTTTAAGCATCCATTCGGTGCAGGCTCCGTCTGTGTGGTCCCATGGGAAGTTAACCTCCCCATAGGCTACGTGAGTCAGGAGCCATGGATCCCCCTGGGCACTGTGCGCGAATGTATCCTTTTCGGCCACTCGATGGATAACATGTTGTACAACCGTGTCGTGAATGCCGTGGGCCTAGACACCGATATCGCCAGTTGGGATATGGGCGATTTACGGGTGCTGGACGAGGGTGGACAGAACCTGAGCACAGGGCAGCGCGTGCGCATATCGCTGGCCCGATGTATCTACAATCAGATGATGCATTCCAATAACGTCCATGCTGCGTCCTACAACCTGTATTGTCTGGATGATCCGTTTGCAGTTTTGGATCCCGCACTGGCCGTTAACATATTCATTTCGTTGTTCGGGCCCTCTGGTCTGATCGCGGGTGCCAGCGTCATCATCGTGATACAGGAGGGTTTTATCCACACGCTCCGCTCAAGCGGCGTCAACCTTTCTGCCATGAAATTCTTCGTATACCAGATCGATGGCCCGACCTCGGAACCGCAGCTGGAGACTCTGGATGAATTCGAAAGTCGTCAGGTTTTGAACGAAATGGGTGACAATTCTGACCTGCAGAGCGCCGATTCATTCGACGAATTGGCGACTATCAGCGCCTTGAACACCATGGATGCGTTGGACATCTCGGGCGCAATTGATGACCTGGATGATGGCAGCAATGAAATAAAACCCGACGCGGTCTCCGGTGATGATTCGAAGCCCCCGCCAACGCAGTTGGGCGACAACAACCAGACACGTGGAGCTCTGAAGTGGAGTAACTTTATGTGGCTGTTCAACCACATTGGGATGTCTACGGTCGTAACCATGCTTACGGTATCCTTCATCACCGTGTGCATGAGCATTTTTAGCGACCAGGTGGTTCGCTCCTGGGGTGCGATCGTCGACACACATCGTTGCGTTATTCCTGGGGCCACTCCGAATATGAATATGGATCAGATGATGCTAGAGACGCAGGAATACGACGCCACCATGCGCATGAAGCTGAACCATTACTATCTCTTCGTCCTCTCGAACAGTTTGATCGTGGTCCTCTTCATGTGCATCATCTTTATGGAGCCTCTCGGGACCTTCCAAGCGGCGCGTAGCGTCTACGAATCGGCGCTTGGAGGCGTGCTGCGTTCGCCGCTGTCCGTGTTCAGCACCATGCGCATCGGGACCATCAACAACCGCCTGTCTACCGACCAGACTTATGTGGACTACAACTGCTTCACACGATTTTCCAGCACCGCGTCGACTCTGATGTACAGCACGATATCCATCATTATGATCTGCATCCTCAACTGGTGGTCAGGTGCCATGCTTCCCATCGTCTTGTTCCTGACCTTCATCATCGTCATACGTGACTACCTTCCGATGTGCCGGTTAGTTTCGCCTATCGTTTCTTTACATGTTTCAGGGAGAACATGCGTACTACGCTTGGTACACGTGCGGCACTATGCACTCTCATCAGCCAGACCGTCACTGGCGCAAGCGTTATTCGTTCCGCTCGCCGTGAGGGGGTCGCCATGGCACAATTTCTGCGCTACCTGGATGCGTACGAGCGTACCAAGTTCTTCCACGCCTGTGCCGTTGCATGGGGTAACGTTCGCATTCGACTGCTGGGTTTCCCTCTGATCTTGGCGAACGTGTTGTCGCCGTTAGTCAACCTCATGATACAACCGCCCTTGGAGTGCGGAACTGCCATGGACGTGCACGTCAGTACTGCGCTGATGTACTCTTTGAAGGTATCGAGGTCACTGAAGGCTGTGATTGCGATGATGGTCGACGTGTCTAACATTATGTGCGCATGTCAACGACTACAGGTGGGTGCTCCGTTAATGTCGCTATATAAAACCGTGCAGGACATGTCCAAACTCGGACCCGAATATGACCATAAGTTTGAACAGATGCGCCTAGCCGTTAAGTCGCGATGTGCGCAGTCTGGTCGCAAGTGCTCCGTTTTTCAGCCGGAACGTACCTCCAACGAAGGTCCGGCCATGTTCCAGCTCACACGCACTGGAGTGGAGCTCCGCAACGTCGTCGTGGACTACACATTTATCCCACCTGTGAAGGGTGCACCTGGGACAGCAGGTGCCGGCGATGACACTCCACAGCCGGTAATCAGCTACAAGCGGTTGTCCCTGTCATGCCCCTTCCTCTCGTTCCCACCAGGACAGCACGTCGGCATAGTGGGCCGCACGGGTTCCGGGAAGAGTACGCTATTGTCGGCTTTGGCCGGTGCAGTGAATTTGGTGCGGGGCACCATAGAATTGGACGGCGCGAACATCGAAAGTCTCTCGGCCGATGAGAGTTGCACTGCCATCGGCAACATACCTCACAACCCGCCGCTGCTGGTGCACTGGACTGTGCGCGATTACGTCGACCCGAAACACGAGTGGGAAGACGTTGCTATTTGGGAGGCTCTGTACACGTGTAGTGCAGGGGCATTCGTGCGCAGCCTGCCGGGCCCCAACCCGCTGGACGTCGTGCTAAAGAAATCGTGGTCTAACAAGTGCAAGGGTAACAAGGAGGAACTCGACACTTCCGGCACGCCAAGCGTCGTTATACTCGACGTCCATCTGCAGTACCTCAGCCTGGCGAGACTGTGGCTCTACAAACGGGAGCTACGCATGCTGTTGGTCGACGAGGCATCGGTAGTTGGGCCGTCAGAGGGGCAGTCGTTCCAGCCAATTCACGAGCTGCTGCACCGTCTGTTCCGCAACTGCAACGTGTTCCTAGTTGCGCACAACGCCGACTCGCTGCAGTAAGTTTCCACCTCCAGTATGTGTTACAACCTGCAGGTTATGTGACCGAATCTTGGTTCTGGACAGCGGCCGCGTCGTTGGTGAGTGCCAAGCGTCCGAAGTCTCCAACCAGCGTGATCTAGCTGCGCGCTGCCGACAATTCGCACGCGGCGCGAATCCCCCATCCGACGAGTAGCTAATCACTGTATTGTAATTTCACCATATTCTGGCGCTTCTCTAGCGCACCATGTCGTACGGTTGGCTCAGCGAGAGCACACTAGCTCCGCGCAAAGCCCGCTCGCTCCAGGTACCGAAGGGGTCGGTTTCGGTTCTGAAGCGTATTATCAGCAAGCACACTTCCGACGGCTCGGCGTCGGCCCCCGCCGCTAAGTCACGTCGAAAAAAGGTGTGTTAACTTATGTGTCTAAATATTGCGGCGCAGGACCCTTTTGCCGATAAGAATCCCGGCGTTGAGCTCCGCAACCAGGTCGACCGCGTCGGGCAGTCTACCTCCTCCGCGCGCGTTCGCGAGCGCCTGGAGGCCAAGGCACGTATATACGAGTCACTGGGTGTGTATTTTTGCGTTAGAGGTGTATGTGCTAATGTCCGTCAGCGGAGGGGCGCGAGTCCGAGGTGCCAGAGGGACTCGAGGTTTTGGTGAACTTTCAGTCCAAGCGAGAGCTTGACAGCGCTTCGTGCACAGTACAGGGCCCAGAAGGCGTCACTTTGCTGCAGAAGGCTCCTGGTATGTTCATGTTTTGCCCCTGTGACGATGTGCAGAGGCGCCAGTTGTATCGGATTCCGAGAACGTGGTCAACGAGGAATCGCTAGACACTGTAAGGTATGTCAATTTATGCACTTTCGACATTGCTAAGGGCTTTCTCCGACGAAGAGTAGCTGCGTTGCCGCGTGCCCGCGCCCAGGCGACCTCAGGGCGCACATCGAGCGTGGCGCGCAGCACGCCGTATCGCAGTGGATGTTGGATATCGTATAGAGCAATGGCGAGAGACCGGTTGTTGCTATCCGATGTCGTGGAGGGTGTGCCCGCGACGTGGTACCGCAGCACGTTCTCCGCGTACGTGCCGACGCGCAGAGAGGTCGAAACCGGCGCACGGTCGATTCCCACCCAGGTGGTCCACCCTGACGGCTCATTCAGCGTGGGACTGGATGTTGAGTCGGTTGGTCCACAGAAACATGGAGCAAGTCAGCCGCAAAATGGTACAGTGCCGGTTCTTTCTGCAGCTAACATATGCAGAGACCGAGGAAGAAGAGGACTATTCGCTAGTTGTCTACGCCTCAGGGCGAGAAGGTAGGCGTTTGACACCTATGCGCGTAAACATCCTATTTCAGTACGCAAGCGGGCCGTGGCGCAGGAACATCCTCTGATTCTGCTCTCCTGCACGATATACACGATAATGGTGCTCTGGCTAGGACCGTTCGCAGCGCATTCCCCGGACGCCACCGAGAGGACCACCACGCTGCTATGGCTCTGCTGGTGTTCGATATTCGACGTGATTGCGCTGATCGGCGTGCTCTGGTATTACGGATACTTCGAGCTGCTGAGCATCAACACGACGCTGCTGGCCTGCATTTTGGTCGTGCTGCTGCCACACATCGAGAGGTTTGTTGCACCTACCAGGGTTACACATGGTCTGCAGCGTGTATTCGGTGTCGTTGGTGTTCGGGCACGTGTTAACGCTGGTGCTCACCAGCTACTCGTTGGCCAAGTGCGAGCATCGGATGTTCGTCATCCCAAACTTCTGAGCGGCTTCGGGTCGCTATTATCGCAACCAATGGAAATTGTATAGGGAGGTAGCTGTATAGGCTGCGCTGATTTCAGAGTGGGCTCTGTGAGAGGCACCTCGACGTTGGAATCCCAGCTGGGCGTCGTGTCTAACGGTCGCCAAAGATCGCCCGTTTCACAGTCCCGGTGATAGGTGTCACCGCAACTCACGTATAATGTTAGTTTTTTTGTACTGTGCTCGTTCTCGGAGCATTTTAGTGGCGGTGTGCGGCTGCGTCTACCTCCGTTTTTGCGGCGGGTGGGGAGCTGCGATCAGAGGCATTATGCGTGACCTGTTTAGCACAGTGTCCAAATTCACAGTTGTGCCGCAGATGCCGGCAGCATAGTGCAGTTATTAGCGATGTTTACAGGCTGGTGGCTGCTGGCGCTGTTCGGCGCCTGCTCGACGGCCATCCAGGCCGCGACCGGCGGCAGCGGCCTCACTCTGACCCCGGCGCAGGTTCTATTGCCTTCCACATCCTACTACGTGGATTCGGGGTCGCGAGAACCGCTGAAGATCCACGTACAGGTCCTGCTGCGCGTGGAACCCCGGGTATGTGTGAACTGGGAGGTGCAGAATCCCGAACTGCTGCGCTTGTTCCCGCCGAATAACGAGGAGAACTACATAGAGTACTCGATAGTGCCTCTTTCGAGCTTCGGGGATGGGTGTTCGAGCAGCATCTGGGCCGCCTCGCTTCCCTCGGCGCTCCGGGCGCCGAGCTCGGAATCCGGGTCGCTGAGGAGCTGGGTGTTTGCGTACGAGGCATCCACGAAGACGCGCGCGGGAGCTGAGGTGGTGATATCGCCCATGCGGTCGATACAGTTTGAGACCCGCAACCGACGCATTTCGGTGAACCAGGTTGCGACGCTGAAGATTATAGGCCATGACGAGTACTCCAACACCTTCACGTCGTTGGAAGGCATCCCGTTCGAGGCCCAGATCGAGGACCCGCGCATCATGGAGATCACAGACCTGCGTCACGACCCCGAAGTGGCTACTCGCGCTCGGGTGTCGTTACTGGACAAGCGCGACCGCTTTGCCGTATCGCAGGGGTCAACGCTGACCTCGGACGTCATTGTGCTGCAGGGTCGCACAGTAGGTAGGACACGCATCTCTGTGCGTGTGATGTTGCCTGAGTACCGCGAAATCGTTTTGAAGGATGTTGAGTTCACGGTCTCCGACTCGATCGACCTTGAACCCGGCCGACTGGTCTTGCCACCCGGTGCGCAGTTCAAGTTCTGCGTTCAGAAAATCAAGCCCCAATCACAGATAGATGACACCTGGGACCCGACGGTTGACCTGACCAACTATAAGTGGTCAATCACCGGTGGCACCGGGCAGTTGGTGAAGCCGGACGGCATGCTGACCACTGGGAAAGCTGGGGGCGTTGACTTCCGCGTTATTCTCACCGACAAACGTAATTCGGAAACTTTCGTGAGCGATATCAGCGTGCGCGTGCCGCAAAGCCTTGGAATCTCATACGGAGGTCTGCAGCAAATGATGGATTGCTACGCCGCGAAGGGCGTGGACATTGCCGACGCATCCAACCAGACACACGTAAAACTTCTGGAGCAACTGCAGCAGCAGGTATATGCAGGCTGCCGCGGTAGCATGCGCTGCGGCCTTCGTTACTTGGCCGCTGCCCCGGGATCCACTCCACCAGCGTACCTGCTGCTGGGTCGTAACTACATTTTCGACGTTGGGATGAGGGACAAGGACGACACTGCCATATACGTAGCAGAGGGGTACTCATTCAGCTGGAAGGTCGACAATGAGGCCATCGTGAGCGTGACCCGTTCCCCCAATGGCCGCTTTGTCATGATCAGTGCCCTTGCTGAGGGGGTGGCCAAGGTTGTTGTCGAGCTCGCGTCTCCCAAGGTCAGCGTTGAATTCACAGTGTCAGTAACGGACCCCGTTCATCTGCTCGGGTTTCCGGTAGAGACCATCGACTTGCCCAACCATCAGGGGTTGGAACAGGTTCCCCGTTCGGAGCCGCTCGTTGGCAGCACCAAGCCTTTGGTCATCCCCCTGAACGAAAACGCCAAACTGGTGGCACGCGGAGGGTCAGGAGAATACCTGTGGCATGTGGATGATATCAGCATCTGTTCCACCAAGCAAGGAATTTTGCGCTGCAAGGCGTACGGATCTACGGTGCTAACGGTGTCGGACCGTTTGAACCCGGAAAATGTGTTCAAGGTGCAAGTGGTGGTGCAGCGTATGAAACGTTTGGAGCTGTTGCCGACGAAAATTCACGTCGAAGTCGGTGCAACAGCGCAGTTCCGTCTATCTGCATTCGCCGACTTATCAGATCTAACTCCTGTCTTTTCGAAAAGTTGGGCTGCCGCATCTGGTGAAGCTGGGCAATTCTACTGTTGCATGCCTCTCACCTATCAGGTCGAGTCGGCCATCAATGCGAAGTTGAACTGCCGCGTGGAGCACGACAGGTTCATGTTGGACTTGACCAAGGTAACCGAAGAGCCGTTTAGCTGCGGTGTTTTCGCATACCGCACGCTTCACCCCGGAGAGTCTGACGTCTCGGTGTCGCTATTGAACGAAGAGTCTATGGTTATGACTGAGTTGACTGCGAGTGCCAAGGCGCTGATTTATGACCGGCTGTCGCTATCCGTTCATCCGGACTACAGCCAATTCCCCTTGAAGACGTCGCCTCAGCCTTTTATGAACGTCTCTCAGGCTACGGTTGATCAGACGGTGTTCGCAAATGTGCCCATCGGCGGCAAGGTTCGCCTGGTTGTGCGCGGTGGCCCGCCGATGCTAGGAGATAGTTTGGTGGTGTCTACATGCAATGCGAGCAGCAATCATTTGTACGTCGAAAGGGTGGATAATGTCAAAGAAGGCATTGCGCACGGGCACACGATGTTTGATGTTTACTGCCTGTCCGAGACTGCTGGAGATAAGGTGTGCGTCCGCGTTGACGGCGTGCTCCGCAACGAGTACACCATAAGTTGCCGACTTCCTTCGTACGTTGAGATACACCCGCTCATATCGGCCAACAACCAAACGGTGCGTGACAACTTGCTGCACTGCAGCGGGTATCCACTGAACTTGGAGGATGGTGATGCAGTGTCAACAGGTGTCTTCAGCAGCGGTTCGAACCTGTGCTACAAGGACGAGTCCAAGACGAAGTGGCAGATAAAGACCAACGCAGACACCATACACGCCTTCCGTGCCATAGTGTTCGATGCTTTCGGAACTCCTCTCTGTCCCAGCCACAGCTACAAGGTACAGTGGAGCGGCTCCGCAACCGCTGGTGCCGCAAAGTCGCCTGAACTGTCCTTCCAAAAGATCGACGGATCGGTGTTTGTATACGACTCCAAAACGCTGGTGGATAGTGATCTGGTTGCTGGCCTTGAGTGGCTGGACGCTTTCGACTCACGCCACACTTCTGCAGGTGTAGCGGCCGTGTTGAAGCCCAAGTCCGTGACGACCAAAATCGCAGCCAGCAAGATGTGGACGAAGAGCACCAGTCGTCGCGGAGGCTATGTGCTGTCAACGTCATTGCGAGTCCTACCTACCCTGCCTCACGAAATATTGATTGGAGTCAGCCGTACTACGTCTTTAACGCCTGCGGCGAAGCGCGTCAGCATTTTCTTCAATCCACGGACGAAGTACCAATTCGCAGTGGCTCTGGGTTCGGGGAACTACGTGGAACTAACTGCGTATTCGGAATCGATCAAGCTGCAACACAGCACGACTTTGTCTTTCAGTTCAGCCGCCGAGTTCGCCAGAGTGACCGCGGTCGTAGATGGAGTGACCAACCTGTCTGATCCGCTATCGCTGCAGAAAAGCGTAGCCAGGTATGCGGGCACTGTCATGCCCCCTATCCCTGTGAAGTACCTGAACTTCACATGCCCGCAGCCGTGTTCACGTTCACTGGATATTGTGGACCGCAGTCAGCTTGGCCAGCATACCAAGACACTGATCATCAGCCAGTCGCCTGTATCCAAGTTACATATAATCATTACGGATATTCCGGATGTGGAGAATGACGTGTTTGAAGATTTCGATGCCTTGTCTAGCCTTGGAGGTGGCATCAATTTGCTTTCGGTGAAGCGTCTGTACCGCGTGCACGCCGTCGCCCTTGACAGCGATGGACTCCCAATGTCGTACGCTTCGCTGAGTGGCCTGAAGTTCTCTGTATGCAGCAGCAATCTTGTGAAGTTGGAGCATCCCAAGGACGTCGGTTTTAAGGCTATAGGTAGCGCGATGGTTATCCAGTGCCTAGCTGAGGGCAAGTACACGGTCCGTGCGGAGATTAGGAACTACACAGGTTCGACAGAGACGCCTGATGGAGTACTGGTTTCGGATTCATTGGAAATAACGGCGTACAGGGAGACATCGCCAGTGCTGGCATCTATTTTGATGATGCCCAACAGTGGTGATTTCCACCTGTCTATGTTGGATGGCGCTCTCTCACGCTCCGTTCCGCTACAAACTGCAGCACTGGAAACATCGGACGAAAAAATCCTCCAAGTTGTGGCGTCAGGCCAGGTTGGTGTGATTCGGTCAGTTAAGCCGGGAACGTGTAACATGACGTCGTACATTGCTGGGGGCACGAGCTCGCCGTCAAAATCGGTCACACCGGTTACGGTAGCGATGCCCTACTCCCTGGCGGTGAATGGCCCCAATCAAATGCTGAACAACAAGAGTGTGGTTTTGTATGCTAAGGTTAGTGACTACAGTGGTCGTCCTTTCACGCCATTGTTTATTTTCGGCTCATCGGAATCCGCCACTAACTCGTATTGTCTGTTCACCTGGAGTGTATCGGGTCATGGTATATTTTTGGAGGAGGGTGAACGAACCGCCACTGTAACCGGCGCGGGTCGCGGCAGAGTCACCTTGCTCGCGACCTCGGCGGGTGCGATAACGGTATCGCTTCGTGCATCTTGTCGCAACCTGTCAACGTCGGGAACACTTGAGCTTTCGGCGTCGAAGTTCACGATCGAGAGTTTAATGCCGTCGACTGTTTTCGGTTCACCCATTTCGGATTCGATCATACTGTCACCCAACTCAACCTATGAGAGCCTGGCTGGCGTGGTTGAACCCATAGCGTCCAGCGATGTATCTTTGCTCACGGTTGATGGGACCAGTGGCCAGACAACGTTGAAGACGGAATCGAAAACGGGGCACGTGCTACTTAAGACGGCCGACAGCTACGTTTCCCACGTCCAGATACACACGGTCGATCAGCTGCATGTACACAGTTATGGCGTGCAATCGAGCGAGATCAGCGTATTGAAGAGCGGCAAGAAGGAGTTGACTGTTCACCTGAAAACTAGGGACGGTCAGCTGATAGTGCCACCGGTAGATTTGCGACTCAAGTACATGTTGAGTCACTCCTCATTGTTCAGGGTGACCTTGTCGGGCCACTCAATCCATGTCGCGGCCAACTCTGCTGATGGCTGCTCAAGTCTTATGGTGCTGCTTGACGAAAACGATGAACAGTTCACGGGCACCAACATGGTTGTGGACACCATCCGTTTGTGTGTGGTTAACGCGTTGACGCCGCAGGATGCGGTTGTTTTGAAGGGTTCCACTGTGCGCTTCCTCGCTGGCGACAGCAGGTCGTTCAGCATCCAATTACGCGGTGTGCCTCTGGCGCAAACTTACACCTCTATGGAGCATCAGGATACTCTGCAGTACTACCAGGATGCCATATTGTCGCGCATGGATGCTGTGATGTCGGACATAAAATCCGACCTGTCTCGCGGTCTGATCAACGTCTTCAGGGATATTGGCCTTCCAGAGTCCGATTGTGTTGATACGCTGCAGCTGCATCAACCGTATTTGGATGTATCGCAATATAGCAACGGCATAAAACCGTTGTATGTGTTCCCGTTCTCGATATGCCGCGAAGTGGACAGTGCTACCTTCACGGCCAAGCTGACGGCTTTCCTGCAAGAGTTGGGTCGTTCCGCTGATAGCGTATTTTCGCTTATGGAAGGTGGCGTTTCTGCAATGTCGGATAATGGACAGATGGACACCAGTGTGACGGAGATGTCGTCATCCAAAAACGGTCAGAATGCCAAGTCCGGGAAGGTTGTCAAGGCGTCTCATCCTAGTGCTCTGACAAGCAATTGGACGGTTGATGAGCCCGATATAGTTTGGATCAGCGACTCACAGGGTGTAGCTTTGGCCACAGGCAGCACGGTTGTTAAGTACGGAAGTGAACATATGAAAGGCGATTCCCGGATAACGGTGTTCGATGCCGTCACCAAGGTGGAATACCAGCACGTCGCGGATTCCGCCGTACGCGCCAATTCAACGAATGTGAAGCCTGTATTTGGCAATACCATAGCGTACAAAGAGTTTTATGAACCCTTTTACGTGGTCTTCAAGGCTGCCACTGCCGGTGGATCCTATGTCCACAACACCCTTCAGGTCGACTCTAGGGTGTTCGCGGTTTGTGAACTGGTTTCGAAGGAATCGTGGGTGAAGGAGGTATTCGGCTCCGAATCCACGTATGTGGTGGGATCAAGTGCAACTGAGTTTTTACCGGCCTGCCGGATATCGATCCGTAGCTTCGGCGGTAAAAACGAGTGGACCAAGATGCGCAACGTACTGAAGGGCGCATCGGAATCGGCCTACGGGTTGAAACTGAAGGTTGGTCTGTATTCTACCTTGCCATCGGACCACAAATCACCTGCGCGCAAGCCATCAAAGAAGCAGTCGAAGAAATCGTCTACGGCAACCGACGTGGCTGCCCAGCCGTTGTGGGTCAGCCTGCGCAAAGTAGACGCGCTACTGTCTGAGCAGTCGTTCGATTGGAAGTTACCCGTGTTCGCTCAGTTTGTGGATTCGGTTGGTATCGCAATTAGTGACGTTTCCGTTGAACCAGGTAAAGCCGTCGCCATTTCAGTGTACCCGCACTACTCACGCTGCAAGCTACGCGTTGATGGCACGCATTACAAGCTGCGGATAACCGAGCGCCAAGGCCTGCTTTGCAGCTTCGCTCTGGAGAATGACGGTGTCGTAGAACCCTCTAGTGTACACCTGGTGTGCCAGCGGACCGTTGCTGCCACCCTGAAAATTTCGCATCCTTCCGTGATACGTCCAGAAGTACAAACGTCAGTCGTCACTACTGAAGTGCGAGCGACTTACAGCGTGGATTGGATGCTGGTACTGTTCACAGGTTGCCTGGCCGCCGGTCTGGCATACCTGATTTACACACTCCTCCACCGCCCCGATATCAGATACTACGAAACCACGGAACCCATCAAGATCGAGCGGAAGTTGCCAAACGTCTTCGAGAAGCTCTACCAGACCGACTACCACGGGTCGACGTCGTCCACCAGCGTACAATACCAACACCGCCGGCGCCTGTAGTGTGTCGTTAAAGAAAATATGGTTATATTTCTATGGCCGTGTTTCGATTATTAGAAGCTGTTAGTGGCAGTAAAGATGCAGGCAGCGGTTCGGCTGCTGCCGCAGTCGGCCGCTCGCAGGCCGATAGGTCGGGGTTCCGTTCCTCCGTAGGAGCGTCTACCACCGGCCCGGATGGCGAGGCCACGTCGGATCCGCATAACACACCCATCGGTTTGGAGCAGGATATGACTGCATCGGACGATCTGGATGACGTGGACGTGATACGCGAATTCTACTTGTCAAGGCTAGGCGAATTGCCGCCACGCCGTTCTACAGCGGGCAACTATCCTCATCGGAATAGGGTAGTGGACGATGCAGGGTCTCCCAATACTCCCGATTATGGGGAATCAGATAGCCATGTATCGGCATGTGACGGTTTTTCTGTTGGAGTCCAGACCGGCTCCGACGACAGCATACACCTGTCTACTGACCATGGATCGGGCATAAATCAAGTTCTTGTGGAGAATGTGGGCGCGCTTAACGAGCAGTTGGAGCGGTATTATCGGTTGGTGAACGAAAACGGTTCATGTGTGGGTGCCATTGGTTCGGACGACCCATTGTCACGGATATACCTCAATCCATCAGGTTCTCAGTGGCCACGCACTTCGGAGATTTTCGGGGTAACCGAACCCTCGGGCAAGTTGGCCGAAGCTATACAAGCGCTGGATCGTCGTGATTCGCTGTGTCGCCAGATTCTGGCGGTGCAGCACTGCCAACTGTTGGCGTATAGCGGCGGCGGCATGTACGCCACGACATTGCTGCCGTCCACTCTTGAGGCTGCGGACTCCAATAAGCGCGGCGGAGTCTCGAGGGCTATGAATATCGCAAACACGCAATCTGCGGATTCCCGTGAAGCCGACGATTCGGGTAAAGCAACCTGCTGCAAGCATGAGGCTCGACGGGATAGGGCCGAGTCGAAGGAACTTGCACGTTTGCGCCGCATGGTAGAGCTGTATAAGAACGAGTTATCGCGTCTCTACGACCGCTGATTGGCTGCGGTTTGTGGAAGGCTGCGCATGTGATAACGACCGCGGCCAACGTCGTTTTGTCATCGACGGTGGAATCCCGAACTAGTGGGGTACCAACCGGATGTACTGCATAAGTGTAATCCACGTTGAGTACCGTATGTGGTGAGCGCATTCCGGTACGCGTCGCGCGTCTAATACGTCGGCGTTTATGTGCGTCGTTATCACAGGTTATCGCAGACGACACGCAAGCTATGTCTCGACCTTGCAGATTAATTTATATAGCTGTTTGCTAACCCCTTTATGCAGATTCGCTAGTAGACATGTGATTATGCGCGCCTAATTCGTCTCTCTCTTCCAATGCCGTGGCACCATCGCACTCTTCATACCGGCCGCATTTGGCCACACATTATGTTGAATCCAGCAAAATAGCATGCCGAAACAATGGTATAAGTAATTAGGCGCCATGCGACTGCGTCGAAGCGCGGCGCGCGATGGGCGGCGACGGATCCTGGTAGGACCGGAAGGAGCCGCGTCGCCGCCCTGCGAGCTGACAACTGCCGCGCACATCAGCTCCAAGGCTGTCGACGTCGACGAAGTCGTGTTCTGCGTGCTGGACAGCCTCGTGGATGGCAAGCCGGAGACGGAAAGGGCCGCGACCAGCACGATCCTGCGCTTTGCGAAACTGCAACAAGACTTCACGATCAGAGCCATCCTATACTTCTTGGAGGTCCAGAAGACCACCGAGTCGCATCAACATGCGCTGTTGGTGCTGTTGCGCAAGTGCATCACGCAGTCGCATGAAACCATTCCAACCGGGCTGCTGCGGGATGTGCTGTTGTTCATGCTGAAGGAGCTCAACTTCCTCGGTGCTAGCGACGTGAGGCACTCTGTGATCATAGAGGCAGTGAACGAAACGGCGGTACTCTGCCCAGCCTTCTCCGTCGAGGTCATTCTTGCGTTCATCCGCGACCTGCGGCAGGAAAGCGCCATACCCACGGAGACGCTCTGCATTTACATTCGGGTGCTTGCCCACGTCTTCGCTAAGGCAGCTAACAACGATTACATAAGGAGCGTCGATGTTATAGGACAGATACTGTCGCTCTACGATCCATCTACAATATGCGTGGAGTCAGGGGAGTTGTGCAAGAACCTGGTGTCCCTGCTGTGCACCCTCTCGAAGGCGCTTCACCCGCTGCAGGAGTGGCAGAGCGCAGAGAACGCTTCGGATATACGTTTATCCAAGCAACTGATGGACGCACTGTGTCTCGAAGATGTGGCACACCGGCGCTTCGCAGCATGGCATGCACGGTACCGAGAGTATCACTTATCGGTGGACAAGCCGCAGGACGTACAAAGCGAGACTATGGCGGTGAACCAGCTAGGAGCACTTATTGGTGGTACTTACACTGAGGAAACCGACGTTCTGTGGTCGTCACGCTCCGCAGAATCGGGATCCCAGCCGCCGAGGGACCGGCCTGTCGTCAGGTCGGTGAGGCTGGGATCGCATAAAAGATTAATATCGTTTGCTGCGGCACTATACGCATCCAGATCGCTCTGCCAACACAGCGAGCAGAGTAGCGTAGGTTTACAGGATTCGGAGAGGCCCTCCGTTAGTGCATCCTCTACGTCGCTCACCCAGGCTGTAGGGAGACACCACAGCTCTGTGGGCCTGGGCAATGGAATAGGAGCGCCTAGCCTGGCGGAAGTAAACGAATGGCGGAAGCATCCAGATGTATATGGTGGTTTGGCGGCCAGCAATCAATTAACTGCGCAGCGTTCAGTCAGCTCGCAGGGGAAGGCCCAGGTCCCTGAAGAACAAGTAGGCCTGAGCCTTGCAAGTCAAAATGACTTGCATACTTCTGACGGAATTTTCAAGTTGGCTGTAGTTGGTGCGCCAATAGCGGATAAAGAAGCCGACGGGGGGAGGCATGGAACGCACAACAAAGTTGGGTTGCGCACTGTGGCCAGGCCAGGCAGTCATATGGCGCTGCAAACGCTTTGCGGTCCCATGGGGATACCCACTGTGGGTGTGCCTGCTGGGTTCCACGATGTGTTGGCACCGCTATTCGCGCTGCTGCTGGAACGGTCGTTAGCGTCGATATACACAAACCCGCCGTTTACCAGCACGTGTCTGGAAGCGTTGTTTGCCTTGGCGCTGCTGTCCAAACACGTTTCGGATGTAACGTTGGCGCGTTATGGTATGACCCTGCTGGACAGCGTACTGGTGCGCTTCTACCAATACCTGCCAAACACCCCCTACTACCCGTTGGCACGGCAGGGGCGCAAGAGCGTGTGGATGGCGCTGCACAAGGAGTCCAGTGACACCTATCGCAACAAGATCGTCACCATATTCTCCTCGATTGGGTCATACGGCGACAAGATAACCATGTTGCCTCCCGCACCCCTGGTGATGTGCCTGCTGCACCTGTGCAAGGTGCTACTGCGGCGGCGCGCTCACAGCGTCGTATGTCAGCTGCCGAACATATGTGAGGTGCTCTTTGGGCTGCTGGTTGCGATGCACAGTTGTGGCAAGGTTGCACTGCTGGCCTCGTGCGACAGCAGTTTCGTCAGCTACTACATCGATGAGGAGGAGCTGCTGCTCAACCGCAGCGTAGGCAGCGCTTTTCTCGATATCGGTTGCGCGTCGTCATGCAAAGATTTCGTGCGGACTGTGGTGGCTGCATGCCGGTTCATGGCTTCCAGTGTTGACACCCGCTGCTACTTCTTGGACTTCCTGTTCCGCAAGGCGTTGAAGGGATCCCCTAGGGAGGTGACAGTGGCGCTTTTCATGTTGGGATGGGCGTGCTCACACCCGCCGATCTGTGAAGCTTTGACGAACTCGCGGAGGAGGAGCAGTGCGCCGTGCAGCCTTGGTGTCAGCGGTGCAGTGTTTTGGCGTCTCATCGATGTCCTGCACACGCTGCTGGGGCGCATGCCGGCAGCGTCTTCGCATCCGCACACACTGCGGCTGCTGCTAGCCCTCATAAACCACTTGTCAAGAGGAGACTGGCTTCTCCTGCACTGCCTGGTTGGCTACCGCACCGCTCCCAACTACGCCGCCGATTTCTACCTGGAGCATGCGACCATGCGGATAACTCGGCCTGTACACGCGCTCATAGACTTCGTATTCAGCCTCAAAGTTGTGTACGACCTGGAGAAAAGGATAGCAGAGAACAACAACAAGGTGCGAGATGTGGGAATGAAGCTGGCATCGGGGTTCTTCCGAAAGATGTACTGCGGCCAGCATGCAACCAGTTACGACCTGAGCCTCTTAGTATGTGGCAGCAGGAGTTTTGAGAAGTTTTTGTTGCCGCACTGCGGGGACCCCATGTTCATTTACCTGCTGCAGCTGCTGCTCACGAATTCAAAGATGAGCGTATTCACGGTGCTTCGGTCGCTGTCGCAGCTGTTTGCCTGGGGCAATTCGGAGTCGTTCTCAAGAATGTGTTCCACCACGGTATTTACGCGGGCGTTGGCATTTGTGCTGGTGTATCTGCACGACCCTGTGAACTACTTTGGCGAGGCGTTCGCGGCGGCCAAGGTGCTGCCGCATATGTCGGAGTTGGTGCTCGGCGAGCGGCTCGAGCTATGCGATGGCATTTGGCCCAAATCATCTTATCACGGCTTCGATTCTTACGTGCTATCGTTTGACCGTGGAGATGTATACGGCCACCTGAGTGGAGTCGACCATATAGTGCTGCATTTCGAGAAGGTTTCGCGCCTGTTTCAGAAAATGTTCCGCTTGACCTCGTTTGATAGTGTGGCAGTGGTGATGGTGAACCAGCTTTCGAGGATATGCCAAAGCCTGAAACCACCGACTACCACGTATACGTCGCTGCTAAAACTGAGCAACGTGCAGGCATCCAGTTCCTTGACGATGTACCACAGACTGGGGATTTTGCATATCATGGCTGCATGCTCCAGATGCTCTGTCGACCTCTGCTCGTCGCTCATTGATTTCCTCCTGGGGTTTAAGGGGCACGCTTCGCAGGTTCCCTGGGACGGCAAATTCAGCGCCGACTCGGGCGTGCCCCCATTCTCAACCGTTTTGGGCAAATGGGCGCCCCTCACATTGAATGTGTGCGAGCAGATGCGTTATACGATGTTGCAGTTGCACGAGTTCAAGCGTTACTGCGCCCATGCAGCAGCTGGCAGCACTTCAGTAAACGGCGTTATGGCTATCAGAGATGTTGTAGGCATTGCCCAAAGCGCTGAAGACATCTACCTGGACCTTTCGTTACAAGATGATCGACTGTATTTCACTCTGCAACCAGATGATTACCTGCATCATGAGTCACAGGTACTTCGCGGCCTTATACTGGGTACGCTGGGGATGCACCAGCAGTACTACAGCTGTGTGCTCTGGAAGGTCTACTACGGGCTACGGAGCCGTCTTCCGGGTAACGCCGTGATCTTCACCAAGTTCGCCACCTTAAGCTTCAGCGAAGACCTCAAGGTGGTTGCGCTCACTGCCCTGGCGTATTTGTATGCTCGAGCGCCCGCCAACCTTTCAGGTGCGGGGTCGATTACGGATTCGTGTGGGAGCGATCCTGACACGTCTTCGGATAAGGAAACGTCGACCGAATTGGCGTCGCCGATATCCCGATATCTCGATCAGCTGGCTACTCCAACTGACGAGGGTAGCTTGGTGGACTTGTACACCTTATGTTTCCGCGAAGGTTGTGAGAAGGCTGTATGCACTGACCTGGCCGGGGACAGCGGCGTGCTGCGGTGCGTGGCAGTACCAATGCTCTATTTCCTGTTACACGAGACTGACCTTGGGATACAGCACGCAATCGCGCGATCTTTCCATTATGCCATGCGCTCAGTAAAGGAGAATCATTCTGCACAAGTGACATTCAGGTTTGCTTATGAAGCTCTGGACCGTATCCTGTATTTTGTTTCGAGCCCGGCTTCTCGCGACTTCGCTGCCAACCAGCTGTACGACTCAACGCTGATCCGACAACAGTGCGCGCATCTGTTCAACCGAGCTCGATTGGATCTTAACTTCCCATCAGTTCGTGCATTCGAGGCTGTCCCTATCAAGCCTGCTGCAGATGGCGTTACGTGTTCGAACGTGGCGTTGGCGTTTTTCAGCGCAACATGCCTGCTATCTGATTATGTTACACCTGGGGACGATGTTTTGCCAGCTCTACATGTGGTGCTCTCTTTCGGAGATTTTTGGCAGGGGATGAAAAGGTCGTCAAGCAGTTCAGGAAACCAGTTAAGCGCATCGGGGTCTATTGATGTCAAAGCACTAACCGTTCGCTTCATGAAAAATTGTGTCGCCAAGGCTGGGTGGAAACGGCTGTCGCAAGTGCTGTCGATGGCTATGTTCATGAGTGAAGGGTTCCCTGCCGAGATGATCAAGCATCGAGTGTCGTTGGTTGTAGGACTTCTGACCGATATGGATCCATCCTCCGTTATTAAGACACCTAGTGACGACGTTATTACGAAAAGTAATGATCAAGATGGTTTGTCGCAACCGTGTGATGCTTCCAGCGAAATTGATGCGGTGAAAAGTGATTCGTCTCCATCCTTTGTGGTTGACCAGGTCGACACTACCCTTGAGGTAGCAGATGCGCAACAATCATCGGATTCACCCCCGCAGGAAAATCAGCACGAAGCTGCTCCTTTGCAAAACAATGCAGAAAATGGTGTGCCAATCGATGCAGCTGATGATGGAGAGGAGGAGCATTGGGGGTTCGTTGACTGCGTGCTGTTGCTTTGGGCACACATACTGCACCTGGAGCCAGGAAGCAAAATGAGAGAGTCACTGCACTCGTGTCTCAAAACGTTGCTGTACTTTGAAACGTCTGGTCATTATTTGTGTGTTATATCGGAGGATCATATTTACAAAGCATTGGCGATCGACAAGACTGTCGCCGGTCCACAAGATCCTCAAGAGCCATTCGTTGGCACTAACCCTCGCATTACACAAACACCATTGGATGCAGATGACGCAAGCAGGATAAAAAAGGGCAAGCCGTACTACAGTAATGTACCTACTGTGGCTTCCGACGTTGGAAATACTACGCCAGCAAAACTGCCACAGGTTGCTGATGTCGAACGGATTGACCTGTTGATACCGAAGGGGTCACTAATGATGGCACTGCTCTGCTGCATGAAATATCTCTCCGCCTCGAGCTGCCTCTCTGGGCCTTTTGCGAATATCCTGCAGTTGATATTGCAACAGAGGTATTCCGATCTGGACCACCAGCACCTGGAGTCTATCCTGGCAACCATATTCAGCAACTTCTCCAGCTCATTCGAAAGCAACGACGTGCCGTGTTCGACGCATAACTTCGTGGTGGATCTCGCCCAAACGGATTTCGAAGTACTGTGCAACGTTATATTCGCGCCAAACTGCAATTATTCCAAGAGCTTCAAACTGTCGGTGACTACGCTCATAACACACGACCCTTTTCTTACACTGCAGTTGCTTGACTTTTTGGAAAGGTGCATGATGGCTGAGTACAGACATTCGATACCTACACGTCACAGTGTCTCTATGGAGTATATTCTGGACTTCGTAGGCCACATATACGTGAATTGCGAAACTGGGATTTTGCACTCTGATGAAGGGGTAAGATTCGTCACGACACTGATAATCCATTCCACATGCATCACGAGATCCAATTCAAGAGATTCGCTACCCATTTTGCAGCGCCTGACAGCGCTTGTGGGTCAACTCGTAGCACGTGCGGATGCTATCCGTGATGGCGTCGACGGTAAAAGGCGTGTCGACGCCTATTTGAAACTCAGCGACCAAGTAAATGGGAATTTGGGGGCAACGAAGGACGACACCAACTTACGCCGAGTGGCCTCTAAGCTACGCCGTGGCTGCAGGTCACTAATGACATCGTCGGAGTTACACCAGCAGCAATTCATACGTTTCCTGGATCGTCTGCTGCAATGCCAAAGTGAGTTCAAACCGGGGTTGGTTTCCATCTGCCTCTCCATTTTCTGCAACCTCTTGCGTGAAAAGGCGCTACGGCGCTACATCACAGCGATAATAGGGATTATCAAGAAGATTGGGTCTTTCAAATACCTGAAGAGGTTTTACTACCGCTCTGTCCACTATTACTTGTTGAATCTGGGGAGTCCTGATGGTGGTCTGTATACGAATAGTTTCATCAGCAAAGGGAACCGTAGGCGTCATGCAAATTTTGATCGGCGCACGAAATTAAATAGATCTACAGATGCTGCTAGTTCATATGCCGGACCTGAAATACTTCGTGCAGTCAGAAATAACGGCGGTGACAATTCGAGGAGCGCGGTACTCAGAACCTTTTCGAAAGGGAGGACGGAAAATCCCATCAGCTTGCAGCAGTCGCTAATGGATGACTTAGTGACCTCGTTGATGAATGACCTTTCTAAACCATCAGCGGTTGGCAACGTGCACTGTATGCAGAGAGCGGCGTCGAGTTTGATAAGGTTTGTGACTGCGAGTAGGGGTTACCAAGTTCGCAATTTCCGTAATATGGTGGCGCAGTTGCTTAGGAAGCCCACAGCGCTGATTAGCACCGATAAACGGGTACTTTGCGCCTTCGCAGAACTGTACCTGGCTATAGCAGAATGGTTGGAGGCATGTGTTTCACGAGGGTATGTTCTGCCAGTGGAAGTTCAGCGGCATCTTCTGCCCCCATTAGGCCTGTCTATACTGCACGGATCGGTGTCAATGCGCTCTATGAGAAAGTACAAGCGGTTGACCCGCACCCTTACTGGCTTGTTAGGTGATGCATTTCCTCTTGCGTTGAGCGTGAACTCGTCCAGTCGTAGTTGGCTCAAGTCGGTGCTATTGCGGCGGCCGTTGGCGGAGCACGCGAAATTCCCCTATCTGCAGTTGTGTATGTGCGGTTGTAATAATCCACAACTGACACACGTGGCTGGTGAACGTTTCTGTGTATGCCATGCCTTTTACTTGCTGGACCTGTTTAGCAGCTGCTTCCCGAGCTACTCTTGGAACGTGGAACTCGGCGTGACCGACAACATCGACTCGGAGATTGCGCGTCTGCGGAGGGACGAACATATGAAGCGCACCTCGCAGGTACTCTTCGGCAGCTTCAACGACTTTACTCCGAGTCAATCGTTGGTCTTGGGTAACCTAGCAACGATTTCGCGAGATGAGACGTTTGCGGACGAGGAACGCGATTTTGTTGACATGAGCGCCGCCTACAAGGTGCGAGTCAAGCGCAGCAAGTCGAGGTCACAATGCAACGCATTATCCAGCATGACGTCTAACCAGTCGTTGGGAGCGATGATGACGGCGCGGTCGATGCGCAGCTCATCGTTCAACAACGCTTACTTTGACCATCAGGATCCTAACGAATGCAGTGCGTTTGATGTCGCATCCGGTGGGTATGGGGGCGCCATTCGTGCCATGTCTGCTGACTCAAAACGCGTCGGCATTCACACGCAAGGAAATAAATATACAAAGCTATCAAGATTTTTGCCTTCACGTTCGTTTGAAAATATAAGGACCGCGACACAGGTGACACAACTCGAAGCAGAATCGCCATTCTGGCTGGATTTGAGTCTGCCAAACCACGATGCTGACCGGTTCCTTTATCAAGAGTACCCGCACGCATCTAGAGGTGTTATTGGTACAACTTCGAATCATGGTGATGAGGCTAGGAATGCAGCATCTGTTGGCGTCGCGTCACAAGGAGGCGAGGGTGTCAATCTCAATTCGTCATGCGGAAGCCTTTGCACTAGCCTTGATGTGCCCAGTGAGCGTGTAAGCGATCCCCCCCGTTCGTTAGGCGCTCCGATTACCCTTCAGCGGAGCCTAATGTTTGGTAACCAATATGGTGTCGGATCTGTAGGTGAAGCGGCCGGGCAGCTGACTTCGAGTGATTTGGGTGATTCTCTAAGCAAAAGGGATGGTTCGCCCTCTTATATCCGCCAACGGGGAAAAGGAGACTTTGAAGGAGACAGAATACTTCTGAACAGAGCAAAAAGAGGCCTCATTGCTAGATCAGATAGTTCATTCGCAGAAGAGCGTTTAAGTGTGGCAGGCTCAACTGGGAGCCCTGTGTCGCCTGCTGTGTCCTATAAAAATGGTGCTACCACCGAGATCGGCGAATGCAATTCACCTACATCGGCGAAACGGCGATTTAGAAACGAAATAATAGAAATCGAAGACAATCTGGTTCCCTCAGGATACATCGCTTCCTCCCAAAGCGTAAGTTTCCGCTGGCCTTCAAGTAAACGCTCCATGGGCAAGGCACTTAATTCGTTACCGTGCTTACCATCGCTGTTGCCCATTCTAACTGTCGCAGATTTCCAGGTCGAAAATGATGGGCATCTGCGCAGGATAAATGTATTTAATGGCGAGCGCAGGAATAGCCGTAGGTCATGTGACACGTGGCCAGTCGGGCAAAACCTGTCGTTTTTCGACATATCGAACCTTGAATGCATCTGGAACACCACGCTGTATACTTCGCCCATGGTCTACCGCTTTATGCTCCTCAGCAAATACCTCACTAGACCCCGAATATATGCCTGTATTCGAGAGGAGCAAGGTGGTCCATGTCCTCCAAGCCAGGGAAGAATAAGCCTCACGGCGGCATCTCCCAAGACTACAGCGCAAACCGATAGTCCAGCGAATCTGGGGATAGTGAAACCGCCGGAGTCAACAGTGCCAGAGAGCGTGATGATCAACGCAGTGCGCGGCGCAGCTGCCATTCTACATATGGCTTTACTGCACCTGACCCACGAAGAAGTCGTCTTGCGTCAGCACATTGTCAACAATTGGCCACGCTGCTTCTTGGAAATGGCGCGCTATAATGCGGTGCTGCACTTCGAGGCGCTTGCGCAGACTGCCAGCAAGCAGCTTTGCAAGATGCTGGAGGGGTCCTCCGGTCTTTTGAAACGCGTTCTGCTAGAGTCGATGGAGCTATTCGCGGTTGTTCTCTCGAACTCCACTCCTGACGCTTAGTGCACTGCAGAGCTGAAACTCTCCGACGCCTCTTTGCGTCCCACATGGTAAACGTAACTATAAAAGCAACCATATGTCCGGCAATAATGATGTAAGATCACTGCTGAAGGTTATATTTCATCTTTCAAGTGGGTGGAATTGTTGTGCATTACATCCTCGTCGTAGTTAGCTCAGTTCTTCAGACAACATATACAACTAATGTCTCACAGTTATTTAAGCTGTACTTGATTATATAAAATGAGAAGGCAACATAGAGTCGCGGATAATATGGCTGCGACGAGTGACAGGCCCTTGTCTAGCAAGTGATGAAGGCGATGCTACTATGGCCATAGTAAAACGAAGAATAACAACCAAAATTAATGTGCATACTGAGAGGCGTGTATATCGCAAAATTAGTTCGGGAGATGTATTAATGAGACATCCGTTCTGAGGGCACTGCGAAATCAGAGGGTCAGACGATGCTTGGTACACAATCTTACCACAGCGTGTGATAGTCGACCCTCAGCACTAGCAGCAGACTGAACAACACGCAACAATTATAAGCGTATTCTTTATAATATAGCGGCAAATTCTAATTTGCACTAGGTCTTTGGTTGCTGAAGCAACATTGGAGAACGGGGCCCAACAGTAGCCGCCGAAATGCGATGCAGTCACACGAAGGTTGCAAGAGCTAACCCATTGATAGGCAGTTATGTGTATTCATAAAGACTGCTCAGACTAAAATAGGCCTGTAGAGATCCTTGATGTGACGGGTTGGAGATGCTAGGAGTCTCTACTACAACGTTCCTAATCCCAGCCGCAAATTACCGGAATACTACCGCTCAAAAAGCATGATTCGAATATCTATCGCCACTAAACACATGATAGAGATCACGAGGTGCACATAGTTAAGCAGCTTACAGCACTAGCATTTACAAATGAGCCAATATTCTTTGCAACCACTGCAATCGACTATACAGCACGGACATGTGCTTCGAGTACAACCACAGCGGTTGCACTCATTGCGTATCCAATTCGCCAGTGAGTTGGCGTCATACTTACTCCCGCGAGGGATTTTTAATTAATGAGGTGTAGTGAACAACCTTCATCAATTGGACTACCGCTGTCTAATGAGGGCACGACAAGTATGTCTCCTTTGTCTCATTCGTGGCGCACTTTGGCGGATTTTTCTCCACCGTCGGACGCGTTCTTCTACATATACCCTACAGACATTGAGTAGACGCCAACGGTTTATAAATCACATTTTACACTTCTTTGTGCATTAACTGGTGTCTGCGCGGCCGATTTCTCGCTGCATGGATTTGTAGCACAGCAGTTGCAGGAATGCGGTGCGCCTGCTGACCGCTAAGCGTATTAACGTCTGCAGATTGTATCACTTGGCAACTTAATCTCTCCTTGTACCCAGTTTTTAAGGCAAATGATGCTATTTCTCCCGACTGCCGCCACGGCGGTGATTTCTATGTAGGTGTACTGCGGGCTCGCAGACGCTGTGAACCGTTTGATTACTGTGTCCTACGTAGTGTCATAGGTCTGACGGCAAACAGGCCCGATGACCACCGTCAATAGAGTGCGAATCATGATTTTTGAGTCGGCGAGAAAATCTGTAACTGCCAACGGCAATCACACAGCACACCGCGAAATGCCGGAACTACGGTTAACAACACACGAGCTAGTCTAAAAATTCAAAGTAAAGTAAGACGTTAAGTGTGATCAAACGCGAATTAATGCATGGTGAAGGCAAGCACGGTGGCCAAGAGCAGGCCAATAGTCCCAAAGCTCGCAGAGCTCATCGACTCGCACTTCTCAACAGCTGCATGGACATTGTCATTCACTAGGTTGTGCTCTCTGAAGAAGCCATAATACGTCACCCCTAGTGCCGGCGTTAATGCGCTATAAGTCGGAAGCTATACAAGCGAAATCCAGTTAAATTCTCTAATCACTGATTAGATGATGCCTTCTATTTCCATTTTTTTTTCAAAACAGCACTGCTCGTGACTTGCTTGTCAAACCCAACCACAGTAGCAGGATTCAATCCAGTTTACTCTTCACCCTTAACTTCTTCTTGTGCATCGTCCTCGACGGACTCATTTGCGTCGTCCTCGACCTTGTTTTCTTCACATTCGACAGCCTCAGCTTCAGCCTCTGCCTCAGCTTCAGCCTCAGCCTCTGCTTCAGCCTCTGCCTCTGCTTCAGCCTCTGTCTCAGCCTCTGCTTCTGCCTCAGCCTCTGCTTCTGCCTCAGCCTCTGCTTCAGTTTCTGCCTCTGTCTCTGCCTCAGCCTCTGCTTCGGACTCCTTCTCTTCATCTTCTTCGGACTCCTTCTCTTCACCTTCGGCTTCATCCTCATCCTCATCGTGCTTCTCTGCCTCAGTTACATCACTCTCCGCTGGTTTGATTACAGGCTCAACGACTTTTTCGTCCTTCGGTTGCGTTTTGCTGGAACCCCAGCAGAAGAGATTTGCAAAAAATTGGCGAAGGCCTCCTGATTTCTTGACATTGACCTCAACATCACCGCTGCCTCTAATATTGATATTCACATTCTCTTTGCCGGCATCAGACACTGCCGTTCCGTCAGCCGCCTCGCCGTCAACGTCGACAACCTCACCGGTAGCACTACCTTCCGCAACATCGTCTCCAATCTCTTCGCTGTCGACCTGGGCAGTCTCCTCACCGGTAGCACTACCTTCCGCAACATCGTCTCCAATCTCTTCGCTGTCGACCCGGGCAGTCTCCTCAGCGGCGTCAGCATCTTCCGCAACATCGTCTCCAATCGCTTCGCTGTCGACCTGGGCAGTCTCCTCAGCGGCGTCAGCATCTTCCGCAACATCGTCTCCAATCGCTTCGCTGTCGACCTGGGCAGTCTCCTCGCCGACAGCTGACACTTCATTCTCATTCACATCGCCTTGGACGCCGGACTCAGTGCTCTCACCTTCCTCTTCAGGTGCTGACGGTGTTAGATCCATGTTACCCTCTACATCAGCGGTACCATCATGCTCGGATGACTCTTCCGTTGGTGGTTGCGTGGCGCATCGAGGCGGTGCTCTACAAACGCGAATCTTCAGCTTCTCCCGACCCGACCCGGATGGACTCGCTTCAGATCCAAACTTTACGATGGGAGTGAATTCGAAATTGAACATTGCCTTCTGAGAACGTTTACATGGTTTTCTGGTCGCCGGAGGAATTTCGCTGTCGACATCAGTCACGCTTGTTTGTGGCGTGGTCTCCACAACCTCGACGACAGGCTCAACGATCTCCTCAACCTCTTCCGGCGCAGGGATAGTCTCCTCAACATCTTCGACGACGGGTTCAACGATCTCCTCAACATCCTCGACGACAGGCTCAACGATCTCCTCAACATCCTCAGCTTCAGGGATGGTCTCCTCAACATCCTCGACGACGGGTTCAACGATCTCCTCAACCTCTTCCGGCTCAGGGATAGTCTCCTCTACATCCTCGACGACAGGCTCAACGATCTCCTCAACCTCTTCCGGCTCAGGGATAGTCTCCTCAACATCCTCGACGACAGGCTCAACGATCTCCTCAACATCCTCAGCTTCAGGGATGGTCTCCTCAACATCCTCGACGACAGGCTCAACGATCTCCTCAACCTCCTCAGCTTCAGGGATAGTCTCCTCAACATCCTCGACGACGGGTTCAACGATCTCCTCAATCTCCTCAGCTTCAGGGATAGTCTCCTCAACATCCTCGACGACGGGTTCAACGATCTCCTCAACATCCTCAGCTTCAGGGATAGTCTGCTCAACATCCTCGACGACAGGCTCAACGATCTCCTCAACCTCTTCCGGCTCAGGGGTAGTGTCTTCAACATCCTCGACGACGGGTTCAACGATCTCCTCAACCCCCTCAGCTTCAGGGATAGTCTCCTCAACATCCTCGACGACGGGTTCAACGATCTCCTCAACATCCTCAGCTTCAGGGATAGTCTCCTCAACATCCTCGACGACGGGTTCAACGATCTCCTCAACCTCCTCAGCTTCAGGGATAGTCTCCTCAACATCCTCGACGACGGGTTCAACGATCTCCTCAACATCCTCAGCTTCAGGGATAGTCTCCTCAACATCCTCGACGACGGGTTCAACGATCTCCTCAACATCCTCAGCTTCAGGGATAGTCTCCTCAACATCCTCGACGACGGGTTCAACGATCTCCTCAACCTCCTCAGCTTCAGGGATAGTCTCCTCAACATCCTCGACGACGGGTTCAACGATCTCCTCAACATCCTCAGCTTCAGGGATAGTCTCCTCAACATCCTCGACGACGGGTTCAACGATCTCAACATCCTCCTTCGGAAGTGACGGAGTTTGATCAGCATCGGCCGCATCATTATTGGTAGTGATATTTTCCTTTGGCGATTTTGCGTCGCCAGAACGGGGTACGGGTATGATATTAATAATGTCATCCTTCCTTGTCGTCGTAGTATCGTCGAAACGAAGTTTGCCTGAAAAAGGTTTAAACTTCGGCTTCCATTGCTGGAATACGGGCGACGGATAAGACCTTTTTGCGTTGTCAATCACATCGCTTAAATTTATTCTCCTTTGTAATGGCTCACCAGGATTATCAAAATTGTATAGCGGGCGGAAACGCCTTCCCTGCTCTTCCGAAAATGCAAGTTCCGAAAATGATTTACCGAGAGCTACCTCAAGACGCTTTCCACTATTGCTCATGAACCTTTCCGTTGGTGTTTTTGTTTCTTGTAGATCGTCAGGTATTTTGAAGCGAAACCTGCCCCCTTCTTCTCTTGGAGGCGACGGAGCAGGTTGCGCCGACGTCAGCGCAGAATCATCGACTGCGCTGAGGAGCAGAAGAGCCACGGATATAATCCACCTCATTTTGTTGTTAAACATTAAAAATTATAACCAAGTCAAATGAGGATTGGATAACTTCCTAACCGATGCTTGCCCTGGTAGGTATGTTGGGTGCCGCCCTTCCCCCGTGACAACCAACACACGCGTGAATGTCAACCGACTTCGAAGACGCTGTGTGTTGTATTAGTTGGCGCGTTATATACAAAAAGAATATCTCACAACTCATTGCGTTCCGTATTAGCGGAACGGAAGGCGCTGTCGCCATCACATTTCCCAAGGCGCTCGAAGGCCCCTCTGACCTTGCGTTTGCATCGGAGAGCAGCATAATACGTAACGTATGAGGCGCCGTGAAATATTCTGTCGGCTTCCGTTCGGCGTCACGGTTTTGCAAGGCATATTTCGATACACATCCTATTTTACCGCGACAGCATGGATGCCGATTGGTCACGCTCCGCAAACACTGTATTACCGTCATGTAGGCGTCACAACCCACCATGCAGTCACATTAGCCAACTTATGGTCACGTGATCCTGTGAAGGTTTGAATCACTGCGATGGGCAGGGTGATTTGTCGCATTGGATCCGTTAGCTTACGTTTTTAGTTCATTGATTTCTCATTCAAACAGCAAACGAGGATCAGGTCAATCCTCGGCGTTTTGAGGGACCTGAAACTCAGAGGAGGCTATGACTCTGCGAATGGCCCTAGCGCCCAGACAGGATGGGCCGCATCATGGATGGCACCCGTAGCATTCGGCAACCGTACGGGGGTAACGAGCAGCCTACACCAACAGCGTGAGGTGCTAGCCTGGTGAACGCGAATAGCAGCCCTAGGCCAAACGTAGCAAAGTAGTGCGCTGTATAATGTAAGACAATGATAAATACGACCGATATGTTGGGATAATTGTTAGATGTGGTTGTGTCGGAACACATATAACAGACGAATTCTACGTGATTGCCCAGCCAGATAATTATTATATCTGCAGTACTTTACGGTGGTGCGAATTACTGTGCGAATCGTCCTGATGGCTTATTGGCACCCTGATAATACACGACACAGCGATAAGGCGCAATTCAGGCTATGGACGCTAATTACTTCTCGTCACTTGACCATATCGGTGAGCCTACTTCTTCCTCTTCGGTCGGCGATTCCGATGGCGTTGCAGCTAGCGCCTCAGTCTCATCATGTCTCTGGCGTTTTTCCGAAGTACGCGGGGGTTCAACCTATAGAGTTACTTGAAAACAATTGGTTTATAACTGTACTTACGTTTTGAAAGAGTGGCAAACGGCATGGGCCTTGTGCCTGTAGCAACCTGGGTGGGTAAAGGACATCCACAACTCCGAGATTTTGCAGCAACTGCACGGCAACGGTCTTGCGGTCTGTTTTTAAGGGTTCACCTTTAGCGTGAGCCTCTATGTCATCAAATTCGGATAAGAAGAGTCGTGTGTTGAATTCCCAGAGCTGGCGTGCAAAAAAGGTAAAATGGTGAGGTCGCAGCGTCTGCACCACCTCTTTTCCGGCCTTCTTGTGCAGACAAATAGCATCCCAAAGACACTGCAGGTAATATCGACAGTGGGTCTTTTCGCGATCATTGTATCTTTTGCAGATAACGTAGCAGCGCTGCGTCCACGGCGCCACCGAGTCCGGGCGGTAAATGTGAACCTCGTCGAACACAGTCCGAAGCACCGTGACCAGGCAAACACTAAATCTAGTGAGCATCGTCCGTATCGACACCACAAGATCCCCATCTGGTGATAGGCAATAAAGAGCCTGCACCAGTTGAGCGACAATCGCGGGCTTGGCTTTAAACTCGTCCATGCAGACCTCTCGATGATACAGTGGCGAGCTCGTTGTGTCACAGAATACAAAGTCGCAACCGCGACGAATAGGAGAGTCTTGCAGTGGTGCAGTAAGACACCGGTGGCCTTCTCCACGCGTCAAGCATTCGTCGTATTTGAAGTCAATGCACTGGCTAACGGTACCTTCACCGAGGAAGGAATCGACAATAACTTGAAGCTCATATGACGAATCGAATTGTATGTGGGAAGATGCACCTCCATTCGCCTTGAAACCGTATATAATAGATCCGGATATGCCATGACGTTTCAGAAGCGATACTGCCGGAAATTGCTGACCGGCATTGCACGTTATTTCGAGGTACGCCTTATATCGGTTGATGTCGAGGAATCGCTGGGCGATCACTGCAAGGTCAACCGTGCCACAATTTGGGAGCATGTGTATATCCGACAACGCCTCACCCACGGCTCCATCTACGCATAAAGCATCCATAGCTGTCACTATGGGTGCCCGAGCCCCGCACAGTGTACGCGTTCGGGAAACGTCGTAGAGCAGATCGTTGCAAACAAAATGGCTCATACGCACTTCGTGTGGCTGTAACGGGGCCGCGACAAACCACGAATCCTTCAGGTATCGCTGATTAAGCAGATCTGTCCGAAGCTCGGATAGCAGCCGCTCGTCCAGGTCTAGCGTAAGCGGTCCGTCTTTGAGCTGTGGATAGGCTGGCCTAAATTCGTTGGCAAACCTTAATGCATCAGCAATATCACGCCCGAATTCCGCGGACGTAGCTTCTTCGCTGAGAGTAATGTAATGCGATGGGTCTTCCTTCTGCGCATACTGGCGGTGCAGTTCCATTCGACGGGCTTGGAGATCTTTGTAACACTTGACGTAAGCCCGCCTGGTGTCAAGGTCAGGCAGACTGCGCTTGGGTACGTGAACGAGGGAACTGGTGTCCTTGCCCGTGATGGTGTTGTCGCTGAAGGAAATGTACTTGACGAGACGGCAGTCCGAAGGTATAGCCGATATCTTGAACTGCCCGAGAAAGAGTCGCGCAAACTCGCGCTTGCGTTTATAGAATGCATTCTCATCCGCCACTTGAAGGAATTGCGCCATTGCGCTCCGCAGGCTGCGGCACTGCAATTGCGCGAACATGGTGGCACACTCTACGAACTCAGTTCGGAATGAGCTGGGGACCCATTCTCGTGGCAATATTGCGCGTCGGTGCGCATTTGTTGCGTATTCGCTAACGATTTTGCAGAGGGCGCACAGTAGCACTGAAGTGATTCCGTTAAAGTGCATACATACCACGTATACCTCGGAGCTGTTTGCTTTCGACATGTGCGGTTTGTACACTTCGACGGTTTTGAAACACATGTTTAGCAGCGTCATTATAGACAGCGAACTCTCTTCAAACAGGGTGAACATCTTCAGCACGAAGATCGCGCCCACGCGCATTAAACCTAATGCACAGACCACCTCTGCCAGCTTCAACGGTGCTGTGAGCGCCTCTTGGTTGTTCGGATCAGCTTGGCAGTCGAACGACCCGTCAGCCGTCACTATGTCTACTAACACGGGACTGCGACCCTTGTTAAATCTGCTGGGTCGGCTTATATGGTCCCAGATGTATTCGATGTTCAGTGTTCGGGTAACGTTACCAGAGTCATCTGCGCCGTTGAGCCAGTTTCGAGCTGTTTCGCGGAATAGTATATCTTCCGCGAGGCATTTGCCGTGGCTGTTGCCCTCGTGGTACGGATTTAGCGAAACCGCCTGCCAGGCCAGCTCGGCCAGGCTGTTGCGCTGCTTGATCGCATGGTTCAACGCTGCGATGAACCCACCAGGACATTCCGAGATGTGGAATGATCGTACGACACCGCCCTCAGTGTCCAGATCAGGTTTTACGGCATCCAACACCTTGTAGGTTTGGAGGATATCATACAGCTTCAGCCAGGCATTGGTAACCAATTCTACACCCGGCTCGCGGCGTCCATTCACTACGGTCGTGATCTCCGATACTTGCTTGGCAACCAGCGACGTTTGGTCAAGCAGCCGCGTGTGCACGGACCACTTTTCAATGTCGACGCCATTGAGCGAGTCGCGGAGCTCCGAGAGCATAGTCCGAGTTTCCGCCAACTCAGCTATTTCGTACGCCGGTGCACGTCCAACGGCCGAAGTAACGGTCTCACATATACAGACACGCTTTCTCTGCACGCATTTTTGGCAGGGCGTTGCGCTGGGAGGAACGCGTTTGACATCGGCAAGCAGGCGGTTTAGGCTGCCTTGGAAGACAAAGCGCTTCTCATTGTGCAGCGCCGGCGTCTTCTCAGTCGCCGCAGTTGCCATAGCTGCCGTCCACCGCCCTCTAGCAGTCAGTGACCCTGTTATTGCCTTAATTACGCAGTGCACATCCCCGTGGGGGTGTGTCCGTAATGAGGAATTGAACGCGTAGACAGCACATTCTGCGGGGCCACGGAGGGTGTACCATATTTATTTATTGTTTTAAGTTGCGTGTGTGATGAGCTGTGCCTGTAGCAGCTGCACATCGCCACTCGCGGCGTACTATTTTCGCTTCCGAGATTCCTCGTCTGGCACTCTTAAATTTCGCACATTGGGCTTCACAAAATTTCCATTACGTGTATAAATGTTTTACGAGCATTAACTGTAATATCGGTGGATGCGTTAAACTCCCCAGTTTCTCACGTTCCACTTCTCTATGTGATTGTTGGCCTGAGCAACATCCACAGTTGGCTCAGTCGCTAATTACCCACTTCCGCGGAACATAGCATGCGTCTTCTGTGTTAGAATGTATGGAATCATCGGTGTGATGCTGTCTAAAGTCTCTAAAACAGGGCTCCCGGTGGCAAAGTGGTGAGTAGGTGTATCGAAGGTTAACTTGTTTTTCGAATTCGAGATCGCAAGCCGTGTAAAGCTGTGTGCCTCATTAATAGACACGGTTTTTAACATTTGTGTTTAACTCCAGGGGCTCTATCGATTGTTATTCTGTGTATGAAATTTGGGCAATAGGGGCATGATCAGATAACGCATAGCGGACCTCAGCGAGTGATTGGCTAGCTTAGTGGTATCCATAATCGATGTCGAGCGTTGACATTACGGTGCTTGGCGCAGGCCAGGACGTCGGTCGGTCGTGCATCGTTGTGACGTTTCCGTCGCGACGTGTGCTGTTCGACTGCGGTGCGCACTGTGGATTCGTCGATCACAGGCGTTACCCGGATCTGCAGCTGCTCGGAGACCCCAACCAATACAATACATTGTACAACGAGCAAATGAACGCGGCCTTCGAGTCAAGTGTTTCGGATGGCGAAAGCAATTCCGACACTGCCGCTGTTGACGGCGTCCCAACATCCAACCCAGCCGATTCGCGAGCGCCTTCAGGTGGCAAATCTAACGCCAGCAACATCAAGGACAGTGAGTGTGCCAATCACGAGATTCTATTGACCATGCAGAAGCGGTGCGCGTAGCGACCTGCATGAAGAACGCTCTTCAGAAGGCGCTCATCAACGTAACCGAGCACATCGACATCTCCATCATATCGCACTTCCACCTCGACCATGTGGGAGCACTACCGTTTCTAACGGAACACTTAGGGTATGTCAAAGTCTGTGGCGCTACATTTCGTGCAGCTACAATGGCCCGGTGTACATGACGTACCCTACGCGCGGACTTGCGCCGATCCTGCTTCGTGACAGTGCCCAAGTGGTCGCCAGCAAGTTCCGCAACACAGTCGACACTGACGGAGCAACGCGTGGACTGAACGTGCTGTTGAACCGTGCCAAAAAGCGGAAGCCGCTCACCGTCGGCGAGCTGGGAAAGGTGGATCCATGGGGCTACACAGTCGATTGCGTCGCCCAGAGCCTCGGTCGAGCACGGGTTATGCAGTTGCGCGCTACGCAGGAGATAGGTAACGTGAGCATTACACCCTACTATGCTGGGCACGTGCTTGGAGCTGCTATGTTTCACGTTGAATGCGACGGGATTTCTGTAGTTTACACGGGTGATTTCAATACCTCCCCGGACAAGCACCTCGGCCCCGCCTACATTCCGCAGCTGAAACCCGACGTGCTTATATGCGAGTCCACATATGCGTCAGTCGTGCGGCAACCTCGCCGCGCCACGGAGATGGAGCTTTGCACCGTTGTGCATGACTGCCTAATCGGAGGGGTATGTTCATACGCTAGTCCAACATATTTGTCGCAGGGTAAGGTGCTCATCCCTGTTTTTGCCGTGGGTCGGGCGCAGGAACTGGCCATTATTCTCGACAACTACTGGACCAAATTGCAGCTTACATTCCCCATATATTTCGGCGGGGGACTTTCGGAGCGTGCGACAAACTATTATAAGCTGCACTCTGCGTGGACTGATTCGCAAAACATTCCGAACCTCTCTGAGAACCCGTTTGCAATGAAGCATATGTTGCCCTTTGACAACGGCTTCCTTAATGACGATCGCCCCATGGTCTTGTTTGCCACGCCGGGAATGGTCCACTCCGGTCTTTCGTTGAAGGTCTGCAAGCTCTGGGGACCAAACCCCAAGAACCTAATTGTGATCCCCGGTTATGCAGCGCAGGGAACAGTGGGGAACAAGCTAATTTCAGGTAATTGTCGTTCTCTGTGTTCACAAATTTCGCAGGCGAAAAGCTGATCCATACTACTATCGGCACTATCGAAATTAAGTGCAAAGTGCGATACCTTTCATTTTCGGCTCATGCGGACAGCGCAGGGATAATGCGGCTCATTAAACAGGTACGAACCAATCGCAAGGGTCTCATGAGAGTCTGTAGGTCCAGCCGAAGCACCTCGTGCTGGTGCACGGCGAGTACGACGGTATGAAGAAATTCGCCAAACACATCGCAGTAGAGTTCGGGATTCCCGTATCCCACCCAGCCAACGGGCAGACCATCACCGTCAAGCAGGCTAAAGGAGGAGCAAAAGTGCCAATCTATTATTATCCTCAACTGCTTCTGGAGGCTTCCGGAATAGTGTTAACTATGAAAGAAGAAATCGGTAAATCAAAATCTCCTGCTAATGCAATCGCTTCAAAACCAACAAACGAACAGAATGCTTCACGTGATGCAAAGGATGTTGAATATCTCGATTGTAGTGACTCGGATTCTTCTGTTGATTTCTGCATTAAAAAACTCGAGGAACCGGCCGACCATGTTTCCGCGATCATGTTCCGCTTAGAAGATGGGATAAAGTCTCTGTCGTTGCACAGCAACGATGCGGCGGAAGTGACGGGGAAATATAAGCCCACAGACACAGAGAAGGTGGCGGAATCTGCGGAGACGCCTTCTTCATCCGCAACTGCGACAAAGTCCGAACAACCAAACGAAACAAAAGGCCGAGAACTATTGTTGATGGTGTCACGTAACCATATGGCAAAGATGTTCAGGGATGGGATGACACAGCTGTCTATGATGCCGGAGCTCCGGTGTCACCGCATAAAGTACCGCCAGAGTTTTAAGTGCCGAGAGCGGGACTTTGTGGAGGCGACGGAATATGTGGCCGGTGTCATGAACTGCGAAAAAGGCTACTTCGTTGAGGAACTTCCGATGTATGCTAAGACCATGGAATCTGGAGGTGAGCGCCGGTGTACTATTGCCTATTTTGTGTTGTTTGTACTACATTAAGTGCGTTTTCAACTCTGCGATACATTCGTAGATTTTGAGTTAATCTAGGTTGCACCGCAGTGTTAGTACTAGGTCGCTAATATCTCTGCAGTAAGAGTGCTGAAGGTGGGAGGTCTGGAGGCGAGTCATAACCCCGAGGATGATATGGTTACCCTAGAGTGGTACTACCACGAAATGCAGCCAAATTCTTTAGTTTATACAATCGTCCATTTCTTAGAAAAGGTAGCAAATCAGCAACTCGAATAACTTTCAGATCACCTTAGCTTATAATGGCTTGGTTTGTAACGCTTCTTTCACCCTCTGGGTGTTGGGCCATTATATGGCGCAAGCCAATTGACCACATTAGTGTAATCTTCAATGACGTTTCAACACCTCATTCTTGTTCAATACATCTGCGATGTGCCGTTGGGTGTAGGAACAACTCCACTGAATGTACATTCAACTAATATGTCGAAGAGATGACGGGTATATGGCGTAACATTCAGGTGAAAATAAAGCTGATTGTGCGATAAGCGATAAAGATTGAACAGTTTCGACGCCATCTTGATAATATTAATAACTAAAGCCATGATTTAATTATTGTTTTACACTGTATGGTGTGCTATATGGCCTAGGGCTGCTATTCGCGTTCACCAGGCTAGTACCTCACGCTGTTGGTGTAGGCTGCTCGTTACCCCCGTACTGTTGCCGAATGCTACGGGTGCCATCCATGATGCGGCCCATCCTGTCTGGGCGCTAGGGCCATTCGCAGAGTCATAGCCTTCTCTGGGTTTCAGGTCCCTCAAAACGCCGGGGATTGACCTGATCCTCGTTTGCTGTTTGAATGAGAAATCAATGAACTAAAAACGTAAGCTAACGGATCCAATGCGACAAATCACCTTGCCCATCGCAGTGATTCGAACCTTCACAGGATCACGTGACCATAAGTTGGCTAATGTGACTGCATGATGGGTTGTGACGCCTACATGACGGTAATACAGTGTTTGCAGAGCGTGGCCAATCGGCGTCTATGCTGTCGCGGTAAAATAGGATGTGTATCGAAATATGCCTTGCAAAACCGTGACGCCGAACGGAAGCCGACAGATTACCATACAGCACTTCTTAATCGTCGAATTATGCTGCGATCCAACATAAATGCAGAATTCGCGTGGCTTTCAAAAACATTAAGAATCACGACGGCAATAGTGCCTTCCGTTATGCTGACCTGGACGCACGGATCTATGATGTATTTTCTGCATGTTGCGCGCCGAATCATAATACACGCCGATTTTTTGAAATACGTTGACATTCACGCGTGTGTTGCTTTTTACCGGGGAACACAGCACCCAGCGTACCTTCCAGGGCAAGCATCGGTTAGGAAGTTATCCAATCCTCATTTGACTTGGTTATAATTTTTAATGTTTAACGACAAAATGAGGTGGATTATATCCGTGGCTCTTCTGCTCCTCAGCGCAGTCGATGATTCTGCGCTGACGTCGGCGCAACCTGCTCCGTCGCTTCCAAGACAAGAAGCGGACATTGAGCAGTTTAGCGTCCGACTTCCTTTTGACGATATTCAGACGCCAACTGAGGAGATAACCAACCTTGGTGACGTTAATGATGACCCAGCTGATGTTGATCAAACTCCATCACTTACGGAGGAGGTTGAGGAGATCGTTGAACCCGTCGTCGAGGATGTTGAGACCACGCCGCAAACAAGCGTGACTGATGTCGACAGCGAAATTCCTCCGGCGACCAGAGAACCATGTAAACGTTCTCAGAAGGCAATGTTCAATTTCGAATTCACTCCCATCGTAAAGTTTGGGTCTGAAGCGAGTCCATCCGGGTCGGGTCGGGAGAAGCTGAAGATTCGCGTTTGTAGAGCACCACCTCGATGCGCCACGCAACCACCAACGGAAGAGTCATCCGAGCGTGATGGTACCGCTGATGTAGAGGGTAACATGGATCTAACACCGTCAGCATCTGAAGAGGAAGGTGAGAGCACTGAGTCCGGCGTCCAAGGCGATGTGAATGAAAATGAAGTGTGTGCTGGCGGCGATGAGACTGCCCAGGTCGACAGCGAAGCGATTGGAGACGATGTTGCGGAAGGTAGTGCTACCGGTGAGGTTGTCGACGTTGACGGCGAAGAGATTGGAGACGATGTTGCGGAAGGTAGTGCTACCGGTGAGGTTGTCGACGTTGACGGCGAGGCGGCTGACGGAACGGCAGTGTCTGATGCCGGCAAAGAGAATGTGAATATCAATATTAGAGGAAGCGGTGATGTTGAGGTCAATGTCAAGAAATCAGGAGGCCTTCGCCAATTTTTTGCAAATCTCTTCTGCTGGGGTTCCAGCAAAACGCAACCGAAGGACGAAAAAGTCGTTGAGCCTGTAATCAAACCAGCGGAGAGTGATGTAACTGAGGCAGAGAAGCACGATGAGGATGAGGATGAAGCCGAAGGTGAAGAGAAGGATTCCGAGGAAGATGAAGAGAAGGATTCCGAGGAAGATGAAGAGAAGGAGTCCGAAGAAGGTGACGCTGAAGCTGAGGCAGAGACAGAGACAGAGACAGAAGCTGAGGCTGAAGCTGAGGCTGAAGCAGAGGCTGAAGCAGAGGCAGAGGCTGAAGCAGAGGCAGAGGCTGAAGCAGAGGCAGAGGCTGAAGCAGAGGCTGAGGCTGAAGCTGAGGCAGAGGCTGAAGCTGAGGCAGAGGCTGAAGCTGAGGCTGTCGAATGTGAAGAAAACAAGGTCGAGGACGACGCAAATGAGTCCGTCGAGGACGATGCACAAGAAGAAGTTAAGGGTGAAGAGTAAACTGGATTGAATCCTGCTACTGTGGTTGGGTTTGACAAGCAAGTCACGAGCAGTGCTGTTTTGAAAAAAAAATGGAAATAGAAGGCATCATCTAATCAGTGATTAGAGAATTTAACTGGATTTCGCTTGTATAGCTTCCGACTTATAGCGCATTAACGCCGGCACTAGGGGTGACGTATTATGGCTTCTTCAGAGAGCACAACCTAGTGAATGGCAATGTCCATGCAGCTGTTGAGAAGTGTAAGAAGATGAGCTCTGTGAGCTTCGGCATTGTTGGCCCACTGTTGGCCGATGTTACTGCCTTCACCATGCATTAATTCGCGTTTGATCACACTTAACGTCTTAGTTTAGTTTGAATTTTTAGATTAGCGCGTGTGTTGTTAACCATAGTTCCGGCATTTCGCGGTGTGCTGTGTGATTGCCGTTGGCAGTTACAGATTTTCGCGCCGACTTAAAAATCATGATTCGCACTCTATTGACGGTGGTCATCGGGCCTGTTTGCCGTCGGACCTGTGACACTACGTAGGACACAATAATCAAACGGTTCACAGCGTCTGCGAGCCCACAGTACACCTACATAGAAATCACCGCCGTGGCGGCAGTCGGGAGAAATAGCATCATTTGCCTTAAAAACTAGGTACAAGGAGAGATTAAGTTGCCAAGTGATACAATCTGCAGACGTTAATACGCTTAGCGGTCAGCAGGCGCACCGCATTCCTGCAACTGCTGTGCTACAAATCCATGCAGCGAGAAATCGGCCGCGCAGACACCAGTTAATGCACAAAGAAGTGTAAAATGTGATTTATAAACCGTTGGCGTCTACTCAATGTCTGTAGGGTATATGTAGAAGAACGCGTCCGACGGTGGAGAAAAATCCGCCAAAGTGCGCCACGAATGAGACAAAGGAGACATACTTGTCGTGCCCTCATTAGACAGCGGTAGTCCAATTGATGAAGGTTGTTCACTACACCTCATTAATTAAAAATCCCTCGCGGGAGTAAGTATGACGCCAACTCACTGGCGAATTGGATACGCAATGGTCATTTGTCGCGCTGCTTTTGATCGTCACCCGTAATTCCAACTCAGTAGAATGCCCAGAATCCAGCCAGGTCGTATAGTGCGGCAAACATTTCCTCATCCAGAGCTTTAAAAGCCCTCAGTACATGTAAGGCTTTCATGTCAGCGCGGCACTCTGGCTCTACGTAACCAACGGCTTTTAACACCTCTCCCATAGGTTTATCCGCACTAAAAGGTGGCCATTTGAAGCACGCAACTATAGACGCTTCCATCAAAGATAGTAGGCCTGTGTATAACATAGGCGAAATCCCCACCAGGACCACTGCGCAAGCTTCCGGGTCGCTCGAGCACGATATATCCCACGTCGCTGAAGAGCTGTAAGCAGGTGCATAGTGATCAGGGTCTTTAATATCTCCCAAGAAAGTCTCACAATTATCCACAACTTGAGCTACCTTCGCTGCCATGGCTTCAGGGTCGACACCTTGAGTTTGTACGACATTTTCATAGTCGCTTTCGCCAACAGTGCCAAAGAACTTGGAGAAAACGTTAGGGTTCTTATCCATAGGCTCTTTGAACTTCCCCAGCACCCTGTCGACGCACCACTCATCCTTAAGCTCCGGTTTCTCCATGAATTCTTTAGAAATAAGTTTTATATTTTCGAGAGCTGGCAACACCGTCAACCCAACGGGTTTGTCTGCGAGGAATTTGTAAACCGCGTCGCCCATGGCCTTGAAGTTGTTTTCCGGATCAGTTCCCTTCAGGGCCATGAGCCAGTCAATGCACTCCTTGAGGTTATGAGGAGCCTCGGTCAACGAATGGTATACCATTTTGTGAGGACTCCTTAAAATGACCGGCCTATATAAACGTGTGGGTTTTTCGAGTACTTACAGGCCAGTTTACAAAACAGCCTGTGTACTTCAACAGCCGCGTCTTAATGGTGGATCAGCACAACAGTGTTGTTGCCTTCCAGTACACACGCGCCTTATAGAACCATAAAAACCCGTCTATACATTAAACAGGTGGACTACTGAGGCGAGATGGTGATTGAGATGCCAAATCGTCGCCGTTTCCAGACAATTAACGCAGCATGCAGCACGCACAACGAAAGTCGCCGGTGTGTTCAATTCTCGGGCAAAATTGCACATATTAAAGCCATACATGTCTGTAGAATTTTAGGTTATAATGAAGGTTTTAAAAGTTACGATAGGTCACTCGTAGTGTCGTGCGAAGCCTACGGCTTCCCGAGCGACTTGATCGTTAATAACACGTGATTCACATAACAAGAAATGCAAACCATGCTTCTGCTATCGTGCGCAGTCAACCAAATTGTTTTTTGTTTTAGGCGTATGCCGTCATTTCCGCGTAGCCCCTCTGCGTTGTTTGCCGGTGGTAACTTTTGTGCCAGAGTAATCTGTTGGAGGTTGCACTTTTCGAGCGCCTCCAGGCATAGAACAACCACACATTGCGGTACATTAGTTCACTCTACTTGCAAAGCACCCATCTTCCCAACTGGGATCGTGGTTCGCCTCCGAAGTCCGTCGTGCGACCTTATCTGGGACTGGGGTCTGTACGCGGAGCATGTTGTGTGCACGTACGCCTTACGGCACGTCGATTTAGAAGTAATACTTTGGTTTGAGCAGTAACAATAGATCTTTAGTCCCCATATGCTTCATCGCAAACCTTTTGGCAGATAGACCGCGTATCAGACGGCTTAGCGGAATCCCGCATTATGTCATCTCCATGAACACCAAAATTTTAGACCGCAAATGGCTCCATTCTCTCAGAGATTCCTACTGTCGGCATACTTTAGCCGGTATTGCAGCGGAGGGCGACTCCGCGGAAACATTCCGTTGCTGGTTTGAACTTACCCCTTCATTTTGAAGGCGTCCATCATGAGCACGACTGTAACAGCATTTACGAACCTTTACCCCCAAGTAGTCTGGCCTCTAAGCCTGCCAAGATAGGTGACATCTAGGCTCTTAAAGGGTGCGTATGCGGGATGTTATAAACCCGCACAACAATTTTTTGCGGCCTAACTGATTGTCACTGTTTCATCTCTGCTTAGTCGTAAGGCTCGTATAGTCCCGCCTAAAGCGCCTGTGTGACTCAGCTCCCGCCTTGTAAGAGCGTTGCACCATAGACTTTAAAGCACCTTCAAATTCAATTAAATACTAAATCTCGTAAATGATACAATCCCATGTAGGATACATATTTCATATGTATTCATGGTGTTAAAACTTAACTACGAATTCTGACAGCCTCATATCCCACCCCTAAAAAGGCTGGGCATCTTATTTGAGCCAAGGCATGTTGAAAGTGCTTCTTCCCCATCTGGTATTAGTCCCGTTTACAACATCCTCACATTCAAAATTCTCTGTATTCTACTATTAGACTGTTGAGCGCTTCACTATACCCATCCCATCAAGCTGGAAACCCTGTGGCAGAGCCCGGTGACACCTTGACAATTGCAATTCTCCATTACCAATATAATTCAATGTATCTCTGTCAAGCAAATGATGTGGTGATATATGAACATATAATGAGCAGTTTAAGCCACCCCCCATGCCTCACCATCGATCGGCTAGCGGCGCCAGGCACCTACACGGTAGAGTTGCATATCAAGACGAGTGGAGTACGCAAAGTTTGCCACCAAACACCAGGTATTATCCATGGTTGTGTTAAAGGCATAACCGAGTGGTTGACTTCTGAGCGTAAATACAAAAGGCGATATCACACATGCCCCATTCCATTAGTACTAGGTACCCGCCAAAGGTGTTCTGATACGGAATTCCACGCCACACCATTAATTTGGGTCTTTTACACTTAAACAAGCTATACACAACTATTATAACACCGGATAAGGCTGATGAGCTTCACCACCGCATTTACGAAGTTCTAACCGAGATCGATACTGCCAATAGAACACAAAAATCAACAAAACCAACACCAACAGTGAAGGCAAATTCATTGCTGCAGTTCACCGACAAGTTACCAAGTATCAGTAACTCATCACTTTGAGTAGTAGTTCTCGATCTGTATGGTTGAGAGGATGGCGCCCTTGACGGTGACACATCGGCACTCCAACGGAGGCGTTTGGCGCAGGGTCTCCCCAGGTCCTACCAGAGAACCATCAAAACTCAGGATGACAAAGTGGTTGGATCGAGATGCCACCAACGATTTGCTGAGTTCGCTCATGCTCTTTACTTCGCCATCGACATAGACCTGGCTGAAGCAGTTGGGCGGGTCCAGGACGTATGGTGCTGGGCAGTGGAACGCCGCCTCGTCTGCAGCCTTTAAGCCGTAGATATACGCGTCCTCTGTCAAAAACATATGCCCAAGGCTTTCTGTATATCGGCAATCTGTTGATTGGATGGTGCCGCTGAAGACCAAGAAATGTTTCGTTTTTGAGCAATGCCACTGGGACGATCAAGGTTGCATGCTTGACGCCGATGACACTGGTGCTATTGCTTCTATGATTCTGCATGGCAACGCCATTTAACTTAGAGACTATCTGGCAGTAACTTCTGGGTGCGCCGATCAGCTCTGCGGGTATTCTATTGCACAACAGGGTGCTGCATGATCAGCCCGAGCTTCCTGCGCCGGTCCCGAGAGGACTTCCTGCACTACGCCAAGACAGACTAACAACTGGCTCATAAGGCAGAGGAGCTGATATTGAAATCTGATCAATTTATGAATGACGACATGATCCTTGTCCTTCAGGAGAACGAAGTTGCTGAGACAGCGTCCTCCTTCAGCCGCCAGACAGCGGAATGCCTGTGGAAGGACGATGAGGTGCTTGAGTATGTGAATCAGCTGCTATTGGACACCATCAACACAAATACGATCGTTTACTGTGCCGCTACATGGTTCGTCGATATCCCTGCGCGTGATGATACTGCGGAGGCCGTCGAGCGTATGCTGTGCGAGCGTGTCTTCGCCAACGCCAATGTGCATGCAGAGGCGCTCAACTTCGTAGGTTACCCTGGACACCCATATCATTAATGCTCAGTGCAAGGGCGTGACTTCGCAGTTCCTGAGCGCGGAGTCGACGAAGCGCGAGTCGGTCGCATTCATCAAGTCCGTGCTGGACCGCCCGTCGCTACATGCCCACCTGTCGCACGCGCTCATCGAGGTACTGAAGCAGAGCTTCTACCCGCGCTGGTCGGTTTTTGTAGCTGGGGGAAATTAATAACGTCGTAGGTTTGTGGGGCAGGGAAATTTCCAGTTAAAACGCTTTGACAGTGGCGTCGAAGGTGACGGAGTCTCGTCACCTAAGGAATCGATGCCTCGCTTTATATAGGTCCTCGTCTGGTGAGACACAAATGAGGTCATTTGAACTTGAGATTAATATTAGGCTACAACTTGTATGGACTCGTCGGCAGTTTCATATATGAGTGGCTTATCTATAAAAGTGTGCGTGTAAATGAGCTCACAACGTATATCCTTTTGGTAGTTGTGTAATCGTGCATTTAACTGTTGTTGTGGCTATAATAACCTATCACTCACACTAGATGAGTATAAGAAGGTCATGCAGAGCACATAAGGCCGAAAGGTTTCCGGTTGACAGGTTGGCGGCTGCAATTAACGGCCCTGTAGACATGGGGAAAGATTGGCCAATTGCGGCAGGTGACTTTAACTTCCATAGATGAAAGGTGACAACACACCATCACTATCGTGGAAATACGAATAACCAATCAAGACAACCTGGTGGAGGTGGAGCATGTTATGACTCTGTTAATGACCCTCGCGCGCATACAGGTGGGCTGCCACCATGGTTTGCGCCGAATACGCACAGTAGCATGGCGGCGTGAGGTGCTAGCCTGGTAAACTCGAATAGCAGCCCTAAGCCAAACGTAGCCAAGTAGCGCGCTGTATAATGTAAGACAATGATAAATAGATGCGCCTAATTATTGCGACGGTTGCTTTTTGTAGGAATGGTGAATCGGCTAAACGGAGAGTGCGGCAAATAAACTACTCTAAATTTAGGTGAGATGCCAATTTCACGCTATGACTAAATATGGGAGATATAGCAACGATGGTATCGTACGCTATTATAAAATAGGCAGATAAATCTCTCTTGACCACCTTCTACTGATACGTGGTCAGGCTATGTCGAGGTGGTGGATCATCTCATAGGCGAGCGAAGGATGCTACTGATTGAGTATGTGGCTTGGCAATGAATGCTGCCGGGACCATCCGGCGTGATGACCAGTGTGAGGGCTAGTTAGGTGGCATTTGTTGTTAACATTGTTGTAAGCCTTGAAGTCGTAACCCCGGCCTAGACCCCAGTAGCCACCTCGTGGGGCGCCCCGCAAACTTAGTTAGGCAGTTGGCACCCCGAAATGATTGCATTGCGCGTTAGCAGTGGCATTCTGAGTGGAGCATATGCATTCCTGGATCGAATTCAAAAGTATGTATTTTGAGTCAAATTGTGCTGGCAAACTAGCGCATTAGGGCATGTGTTAGCAGTGGATATTAACGGTGTGTCAGAGCTTAGAGATCTCGAACTACGCCTAGCTGAGCGCACCTGGACGGTAGTATGGCAGTGTACTTCTATTTGGGGAGAAGTTGATGATATCAAGACACGCTGCTAATTATTTTGCGAGATGGCTTCTCAAGTGGATAGGCGCACGATGAAAACGTCTACGGGAGCTCCGGCGGTGTGTGTTTATACGGCTGGGGACATCCGTAGTGAAGGAAAGACACCACAGGCGTCGCCAGATGAGAGAAAGAAGACGATCGAGGAATTGCGGCGGTTTATTACGTTGCTTAGATGGATTTGCATGCTTGTCTTTGCGTATTTCATCATACTCGGCATATCCGTGTTCACAGATTAGGGAGCTCTACCAGGAAGTTCGCCTTTCGGGAAAGGCACAGGCGCTACTATAACCGATTATATCACCGATTATGTCATCTGTGGCGTTATTGGTGCGGTTGTTTATTATATAATCCATTGTATGCTTCGTCGGCGCGCTTAATAAGCGCATAATGAATGCAATGCGTAAACTGCGATAGCAGATGACAAACCAGACGCTCGCCTTGCGACCTCTCCGTTGTCGCCTCAAGACGCGAATGACTCCAAAAACGAATGACCTTCCCAACGAGCTTTAGTGCCGCGGGATCGTTAGATCGCAGTTGTAGCACGGGCAGTCCTTCGCGCGCCGGAATCTGGCCGAAAGTGTTGCCGCTGTAATACGTTAATGAATTGCATCTTAACACCTGCTTGCCCTCAACCATGCTATAAACTTCCTTACAGTAACCACTCACGCTGCCAATCAACATGGGATCGAAAAGTAATGTACCAAGAGCTTACTGCTTGATTTATTTTGGGGCACAATGTGTGATTGGTGAGTTGTGGAAGCCAATTGCATCACCTTGTGGTGACAATGAGCTGTGGAGGGTTGGTTGGCATATATGTGGGCAGCTTAGGAGAGTGGGGGGTAATGCAGTGATTGGCTGAGTTGTTGCTTCTATCCATCATTGTCATTCTCAGTTGCGGCACGATGGAGATAAGTAGATTGCCATTAGAAACAATCGACGACCGCCTCTTTACCCCCCCCAAAGGTTTACGGCCATTACGAGAGGTACCTGCCGCCATGTACATACTCATTTGTGTCATGCAATCCATGTATGATTTTAATGTCGCAGTAGCTCTGCCGTACCCATAATTATTTCATGTGTCAATTTCGTGTTAGTGCAAATCCCGTACAAACGGGCTTGATAGCATATTGCTAGCACCGTCAAGCCTTCTGGGCAACTACGGCATAATGCCACCCAGCCAACGCGGTACCTGCGCCCAAGTACCATCTATTCAATCCAGCAGCTCGCCGGAAAATCCAAGATATGACGGAAAGTGGCTACGATCCACGCAATAGCAACGCTCAACAGAACGTATTGTTGCTTTTAAAACACGACCTTATCGCTAGGATCGATCCAGTTAATAACTTTGACATTTTTGGTGTGCTTTACCGTTACGTCGACGTCTACACGTTTAGGCATAGGGTCCCTACAAATATTCACTCCAAAGGTACACGGTGGCCTACCTGGTGGAAGGCAGTGGGAATGCTGAGAGCCCCTCGACTTGCACCGACTGCCGATAAACCCAATCTGCCGTGCTCTCGAAACCTGCAGTAATGACAAATTCCTGGCATTAACACGAACCTTGAAATTCGTGCTCCTCCTGATCTGCTTCGTCGGAAACGTGGATGTATCCTGGTGATGTGTCACGGTCGTGTCGTGAAAACTAACCAATATTGTCTCTGTAGGCTTGTTCCTTCAGCTGTAATCTCGCTTCTTCCAATGTTATACGCTTATCCTTTGGGTCGCATAGTTTGTTGTACAGAATGAAGTTCAGCAGGCTAAATTCTTTGACCACCTCTCGCACCGTGTTTTCTTTGAACCCGTAGCGCTCCGCGATTCGAGAAATTGTGAACCTCCCCGGGTCCAGATTGTGCAAAAAGAACATGTACTCGCGCATGAGGGGGTCTATCCTCCTCTTCATCGGCAGTTTAATGGGGAATATGCGCGGCAACAGGCGGTTCAGGCCGGTGTCCTTCCAGTAGTTCGTATTCTCCGCAGTGTCCAGTGTTGGGAACCGCAATCCCGAGAAGTCAGTATACGTTTGTCCGAAATCTGTGTCTCGACTGTATGTTACGGCGTTTTTCTTGTCAGCTGACGTATGTTGCCGCATGCCAATGCGGAAACGCGTAGGCACCTCGTAACCCGGCACAGGATCTCCCTGTACTGGTTTCCAACCGCGTTGATAGGACGTGGCGTCGCAGGGTATGGAGCTGCACATCACACGTTAAACACTACGGCTATTTCAGCATACCTAGGTGGAATTGGCGGGTCATAAGCGTCGTCACCCTGCTGTTTAGTCAACTGGTTAGCCAGCGGCACTGGGTTCACCCTCCTCTTTCGAAACGCCGCAAAATGGCGACAGATTAAGGTACAGGGTGATGCGAGAGATGCATTTGCGGCATCGATACGATTAATCATTTTAAAAACTCTTGTATTATTTACCAAGCAAATGGGATGCATAACAATCTGATCATGTCAGCGTCACACATCACAACAGATATTTGGAAAATCCGCTAAAACACGTAAAAAATTTACGGTTTTAATAAGACGATATAGGTTACGTCAGGATGTGTTAATGTTCGGGATTAATTGTCGGCTGGTGGGCAGCGCATTAGACATGGCCTGTGAATACAACAATGTGTCGCCTTTAATTGGCGCATTTGCATTGAAATAGGCACATAGGTGTGTATAATGTAGTTCTTTCTATAATGGCGGTGATTAGACAAGGAGTAGTGCCGGTTAGGCGTTCGTCGCAATGACAAGCGTCAACGTTCAAGGGTTGTTGACAGCGCCCTAGATCGCGCACAACGAATGCCGTAACTAAATGCAGCACAGGTAAATCATGTGTGGGTGGAAGCAGTGGATATGTAGCCCGGTAGGGGATGTGTGTCTGGTACGCGTTGGAGGTAATGGAGGTGCACCTGCCTTGCCGCGAAAACGAGACAAGGCAGGGTCTTCGGCAATAAGGTCGCCGTGAATTACTGTTGTGCACACCCGAAATAGTTCGAATTTAACGAAAGAAGCATTGTATGCGTCTCTGGGGGAAGGTGCACCTTCAATCTGATCTTTATGACCATTGTGTGAGTTAGAGCCGCTAATAAGATGAAGACAGGTGTCTATTCTACCTTACTTGCGCTCTGGTTGCTCTGTATCGCCAATGTGTACGCTGTGAATGAGGCTGATGGCGCCGCCGAACTGACCATGCAGCATGAGGAATCTACGCCTTACAGCTACTTCCTCGAGAGCGAGCTCGACGACACCTACGAGAGGGGTGACGGCGGTAGCGTGTACGAAATTCCTGACGATGCCACGTTGACGACCATGTCGCTGCTCGACCTCGCCGGAGCACCTGACCTCTTGGATTCGGCTGATGGTGAGTTCGACGATGAATCCGACTTTTCCTTTTTGGAGGAAGGCGACGAGGAAAATGAAACCGAAGAGGCATCGTTCTTGGAGATCCCTGAGGATGACGAATTTGATTTCGACGCATCTTTCATGGAAGCTGAGGAGGACGATAACCCAGCCGACGCTCTTAGCTCCGGTATTGATGAGGAGTTTGGGGAAATGGAAGCCAAGGAGAGCGACATCCTCGACACCGAAGCTACTAGCTACATGCCCATCCGCCGTCGTACGGCTGTTAGGAACTGCAATGACCACAGAAACCATTACGTCGAACGTGCCGTCGACGATGTTCTCAACACTAAGGCGGCCATGTTGCAGCAAGGTGAAATCAGAGAACCTTCCACATGGGGATCATTCTTTAAGAGTAACGGCATCATCATCGGGTTAGTATTGTTGGTAGCATCGGGTCTGGGGGTGTGGCTCGTTATGTACACCCCAGCCTGCGTCATCGTCGCAAAGGAACGCGTGATCGGATACTTCAACCGCGAAAGCGACCGCAACACCGTCTTGCCTGAGGTGACGGAGTCCGAACCTTTGATGGCTCAGTGAGCCTGTAGAATCACACAGCTGACTGTGTTTAGCTGCCCTGTAGCGAGTCGAACAGTGTTCAAAGCTAATGTATTAAACCAGATAACGCCATCCTATTTCGCATGGTCCTTGCGTGCGGACACTTAAGTGGTTCTGACTCGGTTGTGTAGTTATAAGCGATTCGTCATACTCTGGTATAATCGCATTGCAGTTTCGAGGTGTCGATCATCGCCAACTGTGGATAAAGAATGCCGCGCATGATGCAACGCAGAAGCATTGTTCGGCGAGATAACACACCGCACTGAAACATACAGCGATGTATGATTCCCATAAATGTAGACATGGTCAAAAATCGACTGGCACATCAGCGCTCGCAAGGAGCGGGTCTATACCTGCGGGATGTGTAAAGCCTACCTAAATGATACGGCATACTTCACTACGCTCACATCTATTGAACATTTGTATTGCGTTTTAAATATAGTTTAATCTCCTAACTCGATGGTTGCTGACGGCGATAACTCCGCAATCATAAGCCTGCCTAGCAGGATGGGCACGCAGCGACACATTTCTGGCGGTTGGTATTGATGGCAGAGGATTCAATGCGTGCAGAACCCACCTTCGAGCTATTGGGCGACGTCTGGACGATCGCCAACCAGCGGGGGACAACGCTCGACCTTTCACGTGCTACCCGTACTCAGTCGGTGCAAGTTTGCGAATGCGATGGTCTGAAGCTCATCATTCCCGACAAAATTGTCTCCCTCTCCATTGTCTCCTGCAGCAACGTGGAGGTAGACATGCACTCCTCCATCTCCGGCCTGGAGCTCACAGATTGCCATGGCGTAAAGATCCGTGTAAAGAGCAGCTTGCCCTCGGCTGCCATCGACAAGTGCCAGCAGGTTGGATTCTGGATCACTAGCGCGAATGCGGAATACATCATGTTCACGTCGTGCAAGTCCGGCGACATGAACGTCAACGTGAACCGCAACACCAGCGGCAACGTCGATGAGGACGACTGGGTGGAGAGGCCCATCCCCGAGCAGTTTGAAAGCCGTTTCAACGCCAAACTGCAACTCGACACGAAGCCTTCTATGTTATACTAAGAAGATGCGGGCTCAAGCTGCTCGCGCCATGTATGTGCAAACGAAACCAGTCGGACTTGCGTCCCGCTCTGTCCCAGGAAACCAACGCAGAATACACATTGCGTCCATGTCCATCACAAACACAGTGCTATTAAGTGTGATTTATCTTTGACAGTTAACAGCGTTGGCTTGTGTGGCTCAGACAGTAAAAATATAATCATGGTAAGCACATCAGGTGAAAGCATGACACGAGTTGTCATCATAGCCTGCCACTAATTGCCTTGCGATAATCTGGGTGAGGGGGCTTTCGCGTGCCGTCCGCTTGGCGGCGGTCGCTGAGGCATTGTAACTGTCTCTAAATCGGGCGATCCCCGCTATGCCGCGCCAAATCGTTCCAAACGTTTCTGTCTTCGCGCGCGTTCATCGTCGTCCAGGGGCACATCGCCCTTGACACCGTCGCGCTGCAAGTCAAGTGAACCATATAAACATCGAAGATTACATACCTTTATCATCCGCTCGAGACGACGCTTGTTGCGCTCCGCCTGTGTCATGCCGCTACGGCCACCGCGCCGCCTTTTGTTGCGACCATCGGAACTCTGTGTCCTTTGTTCCGCGGTTTTTGTGCCGCTAGAGGTGATGTTGAACCTTTTGGCACGTAACGCCATGCGCTCCTCCATGCTAAGCGCACCAATTTCGCTGGGCATAGAAGCTGCGCAGATGTGAACCCTCGCAGGTGTAACTACTCCTCACCGCTAGTAGCAACTTGCTTCGCTTCCTCCTTTACCACCTCTTCAGGCGAATTGGTTTTGGTGGGACTGGAAGGGCTGGCACGGATGCTCACACCGTCCGGGGTGGATGGAGCATCAGGGCTGGGAGTTTCGGTGCCCTTTTTGACAGCGTCGTCATCTTCTACATCCTCTTTTGACTCCTCGGGTTCCACCTCGTCATGCGCCTTCGTCTCTGCACGGCGTCCCATCCCGGTCACGTCAGCAGACGACACAGCCGTCGATTCGGCGCTGTCTTTTCCAAGCAAACGATTAATGAGTTCCTCCTTCGCAAAAATTTATCGCGTGAGTAATTTCAGTACCTTCTTGCCGGTGGTTTTCATGTTCCGATCAGACAACAGAGCCCGCAGCTCGACGAGTGTCTTCTTCCTCAGCTCCTCCTCTTCCATTGCGATACAGCGTGAAAAATTGATCCGATGGAATTATTCTGTTTTGTGTCTCCGCGTACCGAATACACGGCGGTGGACGGCACGCAAGGCGATATAGGGTGTGAGCACCATCCAGGACAGCACACATAGAAAGACGTATCCAAGGGCCAGTTTCCACAATATACTCCGACACTTTACCATGCGATCCTTTTTGAAAAATGATTGGCGCTTGGTTTTCACGTCGTGGTATATGGATCGAGGGTCTCGCCTAGGGTCGTTGGAGAAGTGACGAACTATTTGCCCTTCGGTGTTAAAGAGCTTAGCACTCCACTTCAGCGCGTCTATACATAGTCATCGCAAGCATACAAGCGAGCCTACCCGCGCTGGCATCGTACTCGAACTCCAAACCGCCGAAGTTGTTGAACATATAGGCGGTGCGCTTGAACACGTATAAGGTCAGAGCGAATGGGCGATACGGCGATTTGTTTTGTTCCAAAAACGAGTGCGTGAGACTGCTTGAGGTGACTTCGACAACCCCCTACGCGGCGTCATTGCGTGTTTTGAGAAACTTACATCCTTCTCATTCAGTTCACCCCAGTGCACATCTCCCGAGAGGAAGATGGGATTCTTGGGTTGGGTCGTGAGTAGCAGTTCCATAAGCCTTTCCTTCGCTTCGGGCAACAATCCCCAGCTCTCAGTGATGGGGTAACGTGTGAAAATCTGTATTGAGGACACAATGATATGCGCCTCTGCTTCCGACTGGTGCAGCTGCCCCTCCAGCCAGCGCCACTGCTCCGCTCCCAGCGTGTCTCCGCTGTGGTTACAGCCGAATCTACGCACATATAACCACCCAATTGGATAACACAAATGCATGCGGCCTTCAACGGTCACGCAAGCCGTGCGGCTCGCACGCAAGTGGCACAGTTAACGATGAATGCAGGATTGCGTTTAAAGTGCGACGCGGTAAGCGCAAACCCATCCACGATTACACTTAGTACACCCGTGTACGCAATAAGCGCAATAAATTGTGCAATTACGACTTGTAAGATGGATGTGGTAACTAACCCGAATAGATAGTTGATTGTCCTCGCCACGAAATACTTGTTGAAGTGCATCCTTCTCCACAGGCACGTGTGACACGAGCAATAGTAGTAGCAGTCACGGTGATATCGCACGTCGAGCACGATCAGCTTAACCGCGCGTTTGGGCTGCTCCGGGTCCCGGAAGAGCATGGAGAAGTAGGAGCCGGCACGCTTCCTCCGGTAGTGATCCGCCGGCTTGTTAAAGAAGTCCAGCAGATACTCCTGGCTGAATTCGCGATGCTCGTACTTTATGTGCCCGTCGTTGATGCCTGCAACAATGCCAACTCCACTGAATGCGCAATTTACCCAGATCATGGTCGTCGTAAATACCGTCCATGCGTTTCATAGAAGCCGCAAACTCCCGATATACCGATGACGCATTCAGACGGTTGTACTCATGTTTCAAACAGTGTGGTTCGCAGCATCCGTTGGCTGAATGAGATGCCGGCGCCCAGCTGGTAACCTACGAGCATAGACAATGTCTCCCGTATACAGGAACATGTCAGGGTTGTAACGCGTAATGGAGTCATAGATGCGTTTCGGGTTCAGCTCTATCTTTTGGCAGCTGCCGAAGGCGAATTTGTTCAGCGGCTCCTCCACAATCTCGTCCGCCGGGAGGCTGCGTAGCTGTGACCCATAGCGCTCCTCGTATTGCGTCAATGACGCAACAACCTGCGCCAGAAACAGACACAATACCGACACGACGCCCAAATTCGCCATCTTACCGACTACGGTTTACACCTAACGAATACCAGGGTCGACGTGACACACACGTGCGAAAGGGTTACCGACATATGTACTCGAGATTTCAGCGAAATCTCAAGACGGATGCAATCCGTCTAATAATGGGTTTGATAGTGTATTACGGTGTCGTTACGGTTGCTGCCATTGGATGCTTTTCGCAATGTGTTGCTAGAGCGCCATGCTAGTGTGTAGAGGTTTTTCAGACGCCGTGGTTGCTCTCACGATATGCAGAGCTTGCGCCAGCTTCTGCTCTTATCTCTGCTCGCATAGGTTGCACGAAGATTGGCGCGAGGTGTACAATTTATTATAGACATCGTCAGCAGCAAATCGCGGCCAAATAATTCGCCTTACCGTTACCCACATAATACGTTCGCAACTCTATATAGACCACAAATGCGACGGTATGCGAACTGCTACAGTGATGCAACAATATTTTATGGGCAGCGTGAGTTGCGAAACGGAATGCCGAACATACGCGTCATGCGGACAACTGATGATTGGTCGCTCAGTATATCGAGAGCATTTTAATAATCCTTCTTCGCGTGACGACGTCTAAACAGCCGCCGAAGACGCCGGCATACAAATCTCGCGGTGATGATTCCGCACCAAACGATCGCAGCGATGGTGGCCGCCAACACCACCTTCCACCGCGTGCTGGTACAAGGGACGATTCGGGTGTTATGTAAAAACGTATTCGGTTTCCGATCGACGTTTCGGTACGGTTCCATTGGATCTTCGTAGCCGTCGTGGAATGTATCCACAACCACCTTCCCCTCGTCGTCCATGAGTTTGATGTGGCGGCTCAACCGCTCTGAGAGACGTTAACTGCAATTAGAAACACCTACCGCATTTGTCGTCGTGCTCGAAATCTATAATACCGAAATTGTTGTAGCCGTAGACAGGCAGATTTAACCAACGGACGAAAAAGGACACGATCGGTTTAACATACGGGAACTCCACATACATAGAGTGCGTGAGACTGCTTGAGGTGATTTCAACAATTCCCTGCGAAGGATGATTTTCTGTAGGTGTTTTTAGGAACTTACGTCCACTTCAAGAATTCCTCCCCAGTGGACGTCGCCCGAGATGAAAATGGGATTCTTGGGCTTTGTAGCTAGCAGAAGTTGTACCAGTCGGTCTTTTGCATCAGGAAGCAGCCCCCAACTCTCCGCAATCGGGAACCCTGTGAACACCTGCGTCGATGACACTATCACATGCGCCTCTGCTTCCGACTGGTGCAGCTGCCCCTCCAGCCAGCGCCACTGCTCCTCCCCCAGCGTGTCTCCGCTGTGGTTGCAGCCGAACCCGAAAAGGTAGTTCAACAGACGAAATACCATGTAGTGGTGCATGCAAGGCTTGTACCAGTGGCAGTTTTGGCACGCGCAGTAGTAGAAGGGGCTGCGATGGTACCTCATGTCCAGCACTATAACCTTCACACGGTGTATCTGGCAGTGTGGATTACGGTACTCCGCTGAAAAGTACGCTCCAGCGCGTAGTCGTCGGTAGTGCCCAGCCGGTTTGTCCAGAAAGTCCAACAGCAGCTGTTGCGACGCCCCGCGGTACTGGTAGCTGTTGTGTCCATCGTTCATACCGAAATCGTGGTCGTCATAAATCCCGTCGATACGTCGCATCTGCTTCCGGAACTCCCTGTAGACGGGGTGCTCGTGAGCAGCGGTGTAGTAACCCCTGACGCATTCCGGCGTGCGGCAGTAATACTCTGACCGGCGTGAGGAAAAAGTGCAGCAGGAACCCACCAGGGTAGACGATGTCTCCCGTGTACAAAAACAGGTCAGGACGGGTCTGGGAGATTACGGGAAAAATGCGATTGTCGCCAAAATCAAACTGCTGGCAGCTGCCGAACGCAAGCATGCCGAGGGGCTCGGCGTACACCTCGTCCGGGGCTAAAGGCGCGAGTTGCGTGCCGTAACGAGCCTCGTAGCGCGCCACGGGCTCGAGTTCGGCCTCGCACTTGCATCTTATAATCGCACCGTGAAGAAAAAGCGCAAGCAGCTGGATGAACATTGTGCTTATTCGTCTGGGCGACTCCGCGGCAACTAGGTAGTAATTAGCCACACGAGACAACAAATACAGTCAGCACCACAAACGCGCAAGACACGAATGCATATGTAAACTGAGCAGAGATTATGTACGCGCTTTGAGTAGGTTACGGCGATCTTTCGCGTTAGCGATCCGCTTTTCGTTTTCCGCCGCTCTGATGTAGTTGTAATCATCCTTTGAGATGATGTCGTTGAGGTACAACTCCCGCAGACAAGTGAAGAATATACCACCACTGGTGCGTTTCCTGCTGCCATCAGCCGTCAACACGCCGCCGTTGCGCTCAATTTGCATCGTCAGGTCGAACACGGTTTTGGACAAGTCAGCGCCTATGCGCGTTACGCAGCGGTAAATCTGATCCGAGTTCGGCTCCTGCAGCGCCACAGCGATGGTCGAGGCTAGCACGCGGTTGATGTCATCCGGGTCCTCCTCGGACACGTTCAATGTCTCTCGGAGATAGGTGACGAAATCTGCGTGGTTACGCAGTTCAGCAAGTTTGTACGGGGTCAGGGACCATACATCTTCCTCGTTCAAGAATGGTTGGTGTTCAACCATCAGCTTCACGTTCTCAATCAGCCCAGAGAGCGCTGCGGCATGGAACGGTGACCGGCCATTGGCGTCACGCACGTTGACAACGGCCCCGTTGTCAAGTAAAAAGCGCAGATACTCCGTGTTGGCCCTGAACGCGGCGTAATGCAGCGGCGTCATGTTCGCCGAATCCAAGTCGTTCAGCGTGGCGCCGTGGTCAAGCAGAAGTTGTGTTATCTCCTTGTTGCCTTTGATGGCTGCGAAGTGTATGGCCGGCGAGTATACATCCATAAGTCTAACTGGAGCACATTTGTGCTTAAGCAGTGTGGTTATGTTGGCCCCGGCGTCAACCAACATCTTCGCAACATCCGTGAAGTTCTTTGACACCGCTATGTGGATCGCCGTCCAACCCTTGCGGTCGGCCAGGTTCACATCAACGCCACTTGCCAACAGATACTCCACACACGGCGCAGACCCGGCGGCACTGGCGTAATGCAGCGCACTGCGACCGACATCGTCCACATGGGTAACGTCAACATCCTTTTGCATTTTCAGCAGCTCTAGATCGCCCATAAATGCGGCCCTCATGAACTCAGCAGTGCTGTTTGGAACCGCCCCGGATGGCAATGCATCGGAGCCTACCCCGTCTGCTGTCCGCGGCAGAGTGGTAGACTCGCTGTCCGGTTGCGTTCCCACCGACTCAGATGGGTTATCAATGCCAACCGGGACCTTGCGCTCAGTGGCTGCTAGGTTGGCGTTGGTACAGCTGTCCACGAAACGGTAAATGCTAAAGTTCAGCTGCTCTTCAGCTGACACCAGCCCGTCCAAATAGGCTCCCTCCCCTCCCTCGATGACGTTGATGGGAGTGGGTGCCGTGTTGAAATCCACCTTCGGAGTTTCCTGGTCAGCAACGGCTCCAACGACAGACGGCGACTGTACGGCAGTCGTAATGCGCACCTGTTTGCTTGCATCCGCACGCCCGCCTCGACGCGCACCATCTTTGCCAGCTGCATTTGGCCCATAACGCTTCGAGGTGTCATCTCGCTTCCCTGAGGGTTTATCGCCCTTCTGTGCTCCATATGGGCGCTTCATGTCACTTCCAGACAAGAATTCCGCGCGTTTATTGCGCGGCATAGGATGCTGACCTTTGTCGGACGGGAGAGCCGCGTCGCCCTTTCGGCGCTGGTCACCTTGCTTGGCCGACTGATCCTTGCGGTTTGGCTTTGCCCCCTCTACAGATCCTGTCTTTAAGGGAGTAGGATCGACCGATGGGTTGTTATCATCCCCCACGACTTCCGTTTCCGATCCTTCCACGCGTGTCATGGTGGATTTAGCAGTGCTGCTAGATTCCGCATCGCGGCGCGTTGACTTGCCAGCGGGCTTTGCATTAGCCCGCTGGGGTCGTGGAGTGCCTTTGCCGGTGGCTCGAGGTTCCTGCTTCTTGGTAGCGCCAGCCATGGATGACGCAGTTGACGACTCCGGCACCGCAACATCGGGGACAACCGCTGGTGCGGTGCTTACGGGAGCAGCGACCTGCGGCGGCACCGAGGCCGATACAGCATGGTTCTGCATTATCTGATTGAAGGTCATCATGCTAGACAAAAATAGTTTTCCCATCTCGCACAAAAGTTGGGTCTGCTGACCGTCTCCCGCTCCTGGCTGCGGGTTGGTTGACGTCAGCGCCTGAGTGAAGTTGGAAAGCAGATTGTTGAAGCACTCCGTAGTGATTCCGTTTCCAGTCGTCGGCAGCGAAGTCGGCGCGGGTGCGCTTGCTGCGGGTCCCACAGCGTGCGTAGGTGACGCAACAGGTGCAGCTTTGACAGCCGGAGTAGTCGCTTGTCCGCTGGATTTCTTGTCAGCGGTTCGGCGAGGTGCGCCGCCACGCCCACGCCTTTGTGAGGATATCCTCCTTGCATTTGACTGAACCTCCGCCATTTTTAAGTGACGAACAATCCGATACTGAACAATGACAGAGATCCCAATCCTTCGGCGTTTGAGCGGCGGTTAGAGAACTCCTAGATTGGACAACCGTACCCTAAATTTCTAAAGAGCGCACAAATAGCACAACTACACCACCACAGTTACACACGAGTATTAAGTCGGACTTACGTGAGCCTTTGCGAGGTGGTAAAGCATATATCCAAAGGTCAACCTAAGTAAACCGGCGTAGCAGATTTGATTCGATTCCTCAAACAGATATCCACGATTCTTTCACACTTCGTGCAATGGAGCTTTGGAGAAGTTGAACGATTCTTCCTTGCCGAGGAACACTGTAGGTGCGAGGTAGAACGGGTATACCGGATAACCGCGCGATTATAGTGTACACGTACCTCACATCTACGCGGTAAGGACTACAGGACACCCGCACACAAATGTCGGATTTCAACTATGCGTTACTACGGACGTTGGCAGTAACGGTATAACGAGAGCTTCGTTGGCCTGGGAGCACAGCGAAGTTACGTCCGCAACGACCGTGTTCAACTGCGGTATCAACACACTGCGTGTCTAGTAAAAAGGATGGCAGACAAAATCTCCTAGTTGGCCGTGAGCCGCGGAGGAGAAGCAGAAGTCTTCGCCGCAGATGTCTCCCGCTCCGCTGAGATATGGAATCTCTCCGACCGGCGGAGCTGTTTATTAGCACACCCTAGACGCGTATATCCGCTATTGAATATCGCATAGTGACGTTGACACGCGGGCTGGATACGAGAGGCGTGAATAGGGGATGTGTGGGGAAGTCGAGCTCACGTGGATCGCGTATGCAGATAATACGTGCCTTTAATGCCACACATGCTTTATATATGAAGATCATTTGCGTGTAACAGCACACGGTATATTCCTATCATAAATACTGATTCTCACGGGTCAACTTGATGCTGTCTATTATCGACATCGCATAGTGCGTGCGGGCATTTGAAACGCCTTGCCGCAAGAATCCATACGGTATTAGCGGTGAAATGAGTTTATAAGCGCGATGCAATATTATTCAACTGTGATCATTGGTGGTACGGACCTCGATGATGTCAATAACGTTTGCACTTCCTTGCGGTGTGTGAGACTTGCGTATCGACGCCTTTAGCTTCGGTGTCGTGCCTTCATTCGCGCCGTTGATGAATGTGATGAACTCGAACGTGCCGCCGTCCAACCCGAAGTAGAATCTCTTCGTGGCGATGAAGGCAACCCCTTCTGCCGGCCTCAGTAACGTCCTGAGCACGGCGGCAATAGCGGGGTAGCTCTCCGTGCGGTAGAGGCATTCGCTCGCAAAAATGATTTCACACGCTTCCTTTCTAGAGGAGAGGATGCTGTCACCTAGGTTGGCCATGTCTTCCCATGAGCATGCGATAAGATCAAACTCCAGTCCGTTTCGGTGCTGGTCCGTGGTCTTGTCACCAGGCAGTTCGTTAGATAAGGGGGTTTCTCTCCGAGTACCGCATCTAAAAACACCAAATTGATAATTTTCAGCCTTGTCGACATCCAGTTTTCCACCGAAGTCCAGCTCCGCCTTTCCGTCTTTTGTTTCAGTTGCTGATAGGTCATCGACCCCTTGTTCCGTTGACGCCTCAGATGTCTCTACTATTCGGTGTATAGACAACACTTTGTTACAAACATACCATTGTTTACGGGTTGGTTAATGGTTGTATTCTCGTTGCATGTTTCCGCAGCGGCACCTTTGCGATATGATGGGCTCGGTCCCTTCTCTCCAGACTGCAGATGCCCCTTTACTGAAGCAGTTGATGCAGATGCGTTGGTACCGATTGTGTTAAGAATGCAGTTCGGTATGACCGACTCCTCGAGCACATCCCAGTTGAGGTCCTGGAAGAGGACATTGTAGTTGTGCTGCAGCCCAATGACGCCGCAGATTCCATTACCGCAACCTGTTAAATGTGGAACCACCGAAAGCGTAAACCTACCCAGGTCGATTGCGTAGCCTCCTCGTCTGGTCTTCATTTCCTCGTGGAGGAATGCAGCTAGGAACCAGGTACTCTCCCATATGGAGAAGCCGCCTTCATATTTGCGTCGCTTCACCTACAAGGCAATATGCATCGCTGACTCACAAGTGTTATACCACACATACACGGCGAAACGCACGTATTATTGCATTTTTGCATCATGTTTTATGCCTCACTTGTATGTATGGTACACATCGGCCAACGTTTGCAAACTTACTGTAGCAGATTGCTTCTCCGGAGGCACTGCAGCCACACGTATCGTAAGTGACGAGCCATCATTGCTAGCTGAGTTCGAAACGGATGCTTCGCCGCTAAGCGCTTCTTCTTTCGGCTCGAATGTAAACACCCGGCAGGTCGCAAGGTCAACCGAATAGTGCCGGCATCCGTCGACAAGCGATTTGAGCGAGTAATTAACACGTGTCTCCATCTATATTTAGGTGGTGGACTGTATTTACTATTGTTTATGCCGGCTGGAGAGAAGCCGAGCCGCTGGTCCTACACATCCGACAACTCGCTCTCGTCCGCCCAGGGCGATTTGTCGACGTCTGCGCCCTTCAGAGCCTCGTGGGCGGCGACGATGCTCGACTCGATGTCGATGTGCGATTGGCTGGTGAGCGCTTCGTTCGCGCCCGGGAAGCCAGTGACTGGAAGCGGCAGCGGAAGTTCGTCGCGTGCCGACTCCAGGCCCTCAAAGTTGTATCGCCGCATCAGAGAGGCCACTTGCGGCTTCCCGAACAGAACGAAGAAGTTGTATAGACAGAAGAAGACTACCGCGACGTCGACAGCCGTCTCGTGTTGCAACACCTTCAACGCCAAGGGACGCAACGATAGTCGGCTCTTGAACATGAACGCAACGATGTCCACGCAGAGGTCGGTGATCGACATGATGGTCGCCTCCATGCCGCGAGGGGCGGTGCGGATGCTGAGCACGAGGCCGAATGTGAACAGCACCTGCTGGAGCGCCGTCACAAAGGTGGCCACGAGGCTGGAGTACCACGGGCTCGACTGCCCCGTCGGGATTGGCATGATCCTGTGCCCGCCACACATCAGCACCATACTCGAAAGGAATGCGAATTTTGCGATAGTGATCATCCGATCAAGGGTGACGAAGCGCCAGAGCAGGCAGCTCACCAGTACCTTCACCACGACGCTGAGCACCAGCAGTGTAAGCAACGTGAGCGATGGGTACTCCGTGGGCCGCAATATCAGGCAGTCGTACGGGTAGCGTACCGACAACGCCATGATCATCATGGTGAAAAATGCCACAGTAACCTTTGGCGACCACTTGGTTTCTGCCCTCCTAGACATGTCGACGGCCTCCTCGTATCCCCCCGGGTCGCATAACAGGACCCAAAGAATGCACAGACCGTTTCCGACCAGGAAGCACGGAAGCACGTTGACAAGTGCCAAGAATGACGCCCAGAAATCCGATGTCCGCGGATATGGCATGACAATGCCCAGCATGTTCCATACTCCGTACCCAGTCATGAATAACAGCCGGAGGGAGGCGAATTGCACCTCGTTCATCTCGGTATTGCACTGCGCGTAGCGGCAAAACGCACCCTCGCTGACGGCTGCGGTCGCGATCTGGCAGAGGGAGAGCACGGCAACCAACGACGGGCCGCATCCATCTCCAAGTGGGTGCAGGTAAGCGTAGACCATGATCGTCGGCATCAGTATCACCACACCGAGCTGTGACAGTACTAGAACCAGATTGCATCGGCGGTGGAACTCCACCAAGGCGTCCATGAATCCACGCTTGCGAACGCCTCTTGTAGCACTGGAATCCCCGCAGGAGAGAACCCATCCGTAGATTCCAGATGTATACTGCATTATTCTATCCACAGAGTCGGCTATGGCCGCGATAAGCGGCTTCAGGAGCCACAATAACGGAAGCCACGTTCCGCATAAGACAGGATGCGATGGGTCCGCGTCCGGGTGCGACGCCGCCAGCAGTCCTACGTAGCATGTGTAGAGCAGGTAGAGCGTCTCCGACTTGAGCAGGAGCGAGAAGAGGGAATACGACTTGAGTTTGCGCCCGTTGATTCCGTAGCGCCGGCACAGCCCATCGAGGAAGCTGCAGGAACAGGGCCAGACGCGGCGAGATTCCTCCCTCGGCGAGGAGGAATCCGCGCCAACAGCCTCCATTATAGAGGCTGAGCTAGATTATGGCGTATTATGGTATCGCAACGAACCGCGATATCTGCCGCAAGGCCGCCAGGGCCGATGGAATCTCGGCATCGCGGTGGGGTCAAAGGGTGTGCAAGGCTACAATTTATAAGTGTTAATCGTCTACGGGCTCCTTCTCCGGCTCCAGGGTCACGAGGTCGTCGATACGGAGTATCGTGACTGCCGCTTCGGTGGCGAACTTGATCGATTTGATCTTGCTGACCGTCGCCTCGAGGACGCCAGCGGAAAGGTTGTTGCGAAGCTCGCCATCAGCGAGACTGATTCCGTACCACTTGTACTCAGCATCTTCGGGCGAGATTGGTCCTTCCGCTTGCGCCTTTGCGTGGAAGGCTCGCAATTTCGCTACGAGTTCGGTAGCGTCAAGGGCGGCGTTAAGTGCCAGTGTCTTCGGAATCACCAGTAGCGACTCCGCGAATTCCGCCATAGCCATCTGCTCACGAGAACCCTGAGACAATGTCAGAAATGTTAATTTGAGAAATGAGTGCGATGATCGCACACAACATAACTCTGTCTTTTATACGCAACGTCAGCATAGACAGATGACCACGGTCACGTCGATACGGACACTAACGAGCAACGCAAATAAACAACAACGCGCAATATGGACACTTTAGACACAATGCGACAGTCAAGCTACATGCGCAATGATGTATATCAGCAGCAGCCGTATAACATATCGCAGCCCTATCCGCCAACCCATTAAAGGAGGGGGAATATCAAAAATACTTCACCGAACATTATCATCGACACATACAACCCAATTAACTTGTAACACTCGAACAAATACCATGTATCAAATTGGTAACAAAAAAGGTTCACTGATACGTTAACGTATCTTGTCACCATACCCCGGTTTGACATAATCAATATTCACCAAGATCAACTACCCGAGACACACACAGCTAGTCCACAGTTCACACAACTCTCATCAACAAACCATAATGCAACCATGTAGATGCCACGAATCAACATACCAAGGTGCGCGCAAAGCGCTCGAGGTGGAGCGATAACGCCGTCTCCACGCATCCTCCGCCGGGGACCAACGAATCTTGCTCGAGGGCGCGGCTAGTTGCGCATAGTGCGTCGTGCACAGACCGTTCGGCTTCATCGACCATGAAGTCGTTGGCGCCACGGAGAATAATGGTTGCTGCGCGCGATGTGCTGCAACCCTCGAAGAAGCTGAAGTCGACGTCTCCAACACGCTCCTCGTACACTTTGTCACAACTACCGAGTGAGTCTTCGGGGAATGCCTCGTCGCCTTCAAAGGTGGACATGGTGAGCACAACCTTGCCTGTAACAGTTGACGGAACATCAGAATTCAAAACCAACCTCCAGTCAGACGCGCTATTCTGCGCAGGTCCTTCTTAGGCACACGGCGGTAAGCCATAACGCCAGCCTCTAGGAAGTACTTGAGAGACATGTCGTCTATGCCTTGGGAGGTAAGCACGACGTTGGCACCACTCGCCAGAATCTTCGCCACGCGCTCCTTTGTCACGTCCTTCTCCTTCTTACGGACCTGCTCCAGTTCGGCAGGGTCCGTGATTTGCACCTGTACGCCGAAATGCAGCCGGTAGTGCTTTATTGCGAAGTCCAAAAAGGCAATCTTGGCTCCGCTGATGTCGATGGGCATGCCCTGTGCGGCGCGGCCCATCATCAGCGCGTATCCGTTTACCAAGTACGAATCACGCGTGCTTTTGCCATGAGTCTTCAGAATGTTGATGGCGTCGACTGGGAAGCGGCGGTTACCGGCCTCGTCGGCTGTCTCCACCGACTTGATGGCCTTGACGACCATCTGGGAGAAGTACTCCAGGTTGACGCGTAGCATCTTGGACGATAGCGTTGTGCGTGCAATGCTGACGACCACATCCTCGTCCAGCTCGCTCATGCGTTTGCTCAGGTGCTCCTTGATGTACTTCACACACTCCTTGATGGCCAGCTTGTAGCCCGCGATGATGGAGGTGGCGTGGATGCCCATGTTCGCCAGGTCATTCGCACGCCTCAGAAGCTCGACAGCCAGGAGCACGACCGATGTCGTGCCGTCGCCCACTTCCTGGTCCTGTAGGTCGCTCAGGTCGACGAGCATCTTCGCCGCCGGGTGCTGTACCTCGAGCTGCTTCAGGATGGTGGCACCGTCGTTCGAAATGGTGACGTCTCCGACGTCATCCACCAGCATCTTGTCTAGACCCTTCGGGCCGAGGCTGGAGCGCAGTACATTGGCAATGGCTTGGACCGCCAACACTACGAAGGATGAGCCAGCTTGACAGCGAACCTACCATTGCGGCTGCGGACCTCCTTGCCGGTGATGCGTTCTCCCAAAATACCGAGAGACATTTTGGTATTTTATGTGTGTCCTCGGTGCGGGTGTGCAAAGGGATGTTTTATGCGGGCAACTCTGCGTACGGCGTCGTTAGGCAAGACTGCGACAGCACCACCATACGGGACGTCTTCCTCCGCTAAACGCAGAGGTCAACGTACAATCTATAAAGGTGTATAAATCTGTGTGCTGTTCTACGGTGAACTGGCTTTCAAAATCTAGCGTGAACAGTCGTGGAAGGCTACGTGACGACACTTCCTGTCTCGCGTCGCTGGAGATAGTTACGCGACGCACATTCGACGTTTGATTTGCTCAAGCATTTATACCACTAAATCAAAGTGCTTTGTTATGACTATTGCAGCCTTTGTCATCAGAAGCTGATACAATATCTTCGCATCAATGCTGGTATGGATGGGCCGACACATGGGCTTTAAAATATCCTGTTGCGACACAATTCAGCCGATATATTCTTCTCAAAAAGAGGTAAATGTATTATAGCCTTTAGACACCTTATTTTGTACCGGAGTGATACACGCCTTCCGGCAACAACACTACGGGGCAATAACACATCATTTCTAGTAGACTACGGAGTAGACACACAAGCTCCAATTTACTATTAATAGCACGAGATGGACCGTGGGGGCAGCAGGCCGACTTCTCATCGCGCCTGGCGACGGGGCGATTCCTGCCTTACAAACCTCAGGTGGCGTGGGGACCACAGACCTTCAGTGCAAGTTCTGCTTCGCGTTTCCGGACGCTACAACCTGATATGATGATATGCAGACGGGCGATCTATAAGCTGCAAAAGCGGCTGTGCAGATGTCTATAACTGATTACACATTACGGTACGCCAGCGCTGAGCCGGCCACCGTTACAGAAGCGGTTCTTGCACCCCGTCAGCCGCACGACGTCAAAGTGCTGTGCTTTTAATTTTTAGAAGTAATATACATTAATCTTTTTATTATATACTATCCATAGTTAATTGCGTATTACGGCTTGAAGCTGCAACCCATTGATGTTGCGGCTCAGTCGACTCGTTACTTGCCTGTCTTCCTAGCAGTGTCCCCTGCTGCGATCAGTATGATGAGACTCTTTACGGACTGGAGTGTATGACTCTATGATTCAAAAAGCATTTCTGACGCGATCGCCTAGTGGCAGGGACACAGACAAGGTACACTGGAAGCAGGCACATCCTCCACTGGGGTTATATCGTCACTCTTATAGGCCACTGCTGGCACTTTCACTCCCTCTCCGACCTTGGCGTCGTAGACGTCGAGACCGCGCCACGGCGCTGAAACATGTATTAAGAAAAACACTTTGGAACCTACAGATGCCGCAGTTGTAGCTACGCTTGTGCAGTATAAAGATAATCGCGGCGGTCAGCAGGTACAGAATCGCCGTGCCCAAGACCATGAACTCCAGAACCAGCGCTGACGTGCCGAGGAATCCGGGCTTGGCGATGTAAAAGTACTTCCGCGCACGCCACTGCTTGGCGGGCCAGAGATTGTTAGTCACGTGGAGGTAGTAGGTACCGGCCTTTAACCCGTTCTTGAGGGTGGCATAATGCTTGACAAACGTTGAGTCGTAAGGCAGCTGGATCCAGGTCCTGAACAGCTGGTTGCTCGGGTCGAACCACAGGAACCCCGAGTCCCTATCGGCCGGTTCCACCTAATCATTTATATAAATTCGCTACACCATAGACCTACTCTGTTGTGGAAAAAGCCATAATCGTACTCTGGGATATCCATTGAGAGCGGGAGGCAGTCCTCCCTCTTAGTGACTAGATTGTCGTCTCCGATCTTAAGGGGCTCGCTGCTGCTGCACAGCTCGAAGTTGTCCGTCATTATGGTAGCCGATATAGGTCCACACGGATAAGCAGGGCGCTTGAATATGTCGTGATCCTGGTTTTTGCACCACTCGTCCATACCATTGAGCGTGTTCTTGCCTTCGATGCACCTCAGATTGAGAATCTGCTGGAAAGTGCGGAAAGCTGCACATATTTATCATGCTGAGATATGGGAACCGACTTTTGCAATGGTTATGGAAGATCTTCGAAGGGCTGGACTCATAGGCCACCTTTTTGTGCGTGACGTAGAAATCGGTGATCTTGTAGTATATGTAGACAGGCCCTTCCAGGTCATCCCGTACTTGTAACACCATGGGTTGGGTGTAATCAGTGTACTCTATTTCGGCGGTGTACGACCTCCGGGAGGAGAATATCAACGCCAGTCCCAGCAACAGCAGCACAGCACCGAAGAGGGTGAACACCAATATGCCACCACGGGGAGTGTATACGCGGTAGACGTTCAAGTTGGGCGTGAATTCCATCTGACGATACTTGTCTATGCGCTTCCGGTAGTTTGTTCCCGTGACCTTCATCGACGGCAGCCAGAGGTACTCCACTTCAGGCTCCCCCGTCTGGTCATCAGTTGCGAGCTGGTGGCTGTTCCTGGGCGACTGCACCTTGGGGAGCGACATCCGACACCCTGCCTCGCCGGACGTCGACTGCTGGGTGGTATCGGCGGTGGCGAACTTGACGCTCATCTTGAATGCCTGGTCGCTGATGTCGGCCAAGCGCAGGTCAGCGGTATCAGCCGCGTCCTCAGGCGCACGACGATCCATCTCGTGTACGGTATGACGCGTGCCACTGAGTCCCGTTACGCTTGCATAGTCGAGGTAGCTACAGCGCCGTCAAAGGCGAAACATATTCAGTCCGCTCTCGACTAAACCCGGTAACACTCATCTGCGTTTAAAATATATTATTTAATCGGCTACTGTGCGGCTGGGATACCATGAAATTTACGCGGCGCGCGACGACACACCTCGCCGGGAAAACGCCCGCCATGTCTTACACACAACTAGATAAATACGCTAACACATACAAAGCACAGGTCTGTTAGTTCTCCTCCTCGAACGGGTTGGGAGAAAATGGATCCTGCGGAGAATACTCCGGACTCGTAGGCGAGTATGTCGGACTTGTCGGCGAGTACGCCGGGCTCGTCGGTGAGTACGCGGGACTCGTCGGTGAATATGCCGGACTCGTTGGTGAGTAGGCGGGGCTTGTCGGCCGGTACACTGGGCTCGTTGGAGAGTACCCTAGAGTAGGACTTGTGGGCGAATACGCTGGGCTCGTCGGCGAGTATGCCGGGCTGGTCGGTGAATACGCTGGACTTGTAGGCGAATAGGCGGGACTCGTTGGTGAGTACGCAGGACTTGTTGGCGAGTAGGCAGGGCTCGTTGGGGAGTAAGCCGGACTTGTCGGTGAGTATGCGGGACTCGTCGGAGAGTACGCTGGGCTCGTTGGCGAATATGCCGGGCTGGTAGGCGAGTAGACTGGGCTTGTTGGCGAATAAGCCGGGCTCGCAGGACTGTAGACAGCACCCGACTGGCCGTATACCGGGCTTGTAGGGCTGTACACCGGACTAGTCGGTGAATAAACCGGGCTGGTCGGTGACATCATACCCATAGTTGGCGATAGAGGATTTGGCGATAACGGGTTCGGTGACAGCGGCGCGTACCCGGGACTTGCAGGCGATTGCGGCGACATGATGGTTGGAGAGAAACTACCTCCAAGAGCCTTCGTGTCGATAGCAGGTGACGCTGCAAATCCTGGCGACGAAGCGTTGATCACCGGCGACATCATCAGAGCCGCGTACGAAGGGCTGAACGGCAGCGGCGAAAGCATCGAATTAATCTTCGCCGGCGACATCGAATCAGGGCTCGTCGAGTCCGGGCTTGTGAATCCAGACAAGGCAGAATCCGGTACAATCTGGAGGTTCTGGTTCGCGTCGCGAAGCTTTTCCTCGTCGATCATGATATCAAAACATCCAGTCCCCATGGGGCACAGCTGACCCAGCATAACGTTCTCGGTGACACCCTTTAGGTTATCCACCTCAGCGTAAACGGCCGCATCCACCAACGCCTCCAAAGTCTCCTCGAAACTACACTTCACCATTGGCCCACGGTCTGCGCGGTTTAGACCGTGGCGCGTGATCGACATAATGTGACCCTTTTGGGTCATCACATCACACAGCAGCGACAAGTGACGATAGTTCACATAACTACCGTCGAAACTGATGACGGCCCTCAACTCACGGAGCAGTGCCATACGCGCCGCCTCGATACCCAACACATGGAAAATCTCGCTGATGTCGTTCGAAATCGAACGCTGTGCGTCGACGCAAGGGATCGGCAGCACGTCTTCCAGGTTGCAGCCGTCCGTGTCCAGCACCCACTGGCTCACACGTTCGAACCTGCCGTTGGTCTCGTTATACTTGATTTGAGCCTCTTCACGCATGTACACCTTAGAAATCTTGGCCACACCACGCAATTTCACGTTCACCAGAACCTGCGACATGAAACGCTGCAGGAACTCGCCCTCGTTCTCGCCCAGGTTCTGCTGGTCCACCTCCATGCTGGAGTATTTCACCCGAATGCGCAAAACGAGCTCGTCGTTGTTGTCATCGGTGTTGATGCAGTCGATCTCGTCGTGGCTAAACTCCTGGTAGATACGGTCCACAATCTCCTTCATCGTCAGACGCTTGTCGGTCATAACCTTATTCGACAGCTGGATGCGCAGCACCCACGGACCCAGGCGGCCCATATCGTCGTCAGGGAACTCGTAGTACTCGCGCACCCAGTTGCAGTCCCGCGCCACAATGGTTCGTGACACATGTGGGTCGTAAATGACCTGCGAGAGTGCAACCACCTTGTCCAAAGTCGTGTACTCCAACCGCGTTTGCATATCCTTCGCACGCTCCTGGTCATGAGCGACGCCTCTCTCGAGGTGAATTGTGAGGGAGGGCGTTTTCACGTTGCGAACCACGTTGATAAGTTCCTTCAGACGCGGCAGACCGAGAGTAACATTCTTCGAACTGACACCGGCAAAGTGGAAAGTGTTCAGGGTCATCTGCGTAGCTGGTTCACCGATAGATTGCGCCGCCACAGCGCCCACGCACTCTCCGGGGTGGCAGATCGACTTGTAGAATATACGTTTCACCTCACCCAGAAGCCAGTCGAGCGCCAGGTTACCGATTTTCTCTCTCTCCATGAGACGACGTGAGTGTAACGCCGTTGAAAGATGTGCCTTTATGAGGATGGTAGCGTTCTCCTGCGCCTCAGCAGCCAAAATATCCTGAGGGCCGCTTGTGACCACGATGGTCAAACCATCCAGCAGCTGTTGCACACGCTGCGCAATGTCAACTGGGTTCATCAGTTTGCGGCTCTCGGTGGTCATCGGGAACTGTGTCTTGGCGTACTCCAACAGCCTGGAGATGTTGATAGGCAAGTGCTGACGGGTCTCTCCGTCAGGGAACACCTGCTTGCACAGGATAGCCTTCATGTCGAGCAGCCGCTGGTACTCCTCCACCAGCACCACCTGCTGACTGAAGTCAGTGAGAATGTTGTTGCGGATTGTTTCATCCAGAATCCAGCCGACACCGTAATTTTCGTTGCGGAAGTCGTGCGCGTACAAACGGTTCAGCTCGGCGAAGTCGAGCTTCATCAGGTCCAGCGTCTGGTCCTCAATGTACTCGGCGCCCATGCCGTCCTCACCGTACAGGAACTGCAGAATGTCACCCACACCGTTACGTACAGTCTTGTCATAGTGCACCATGATGTCCTCCATAGCCTTCATGAGACGACGTTGGACGTAACCAGTCTCCGAGGTCTTACAGGCAGTATCGATAATACCTTCACGACCACCCATGGCGTGGAAGAACATCTCCTGCGGAGTCAATCCCGAAAGATACGAGTTGGACACGAACCCGCGGCTCTCCGGTCCGTAGTCGTGTTTGATAAAGTGTGGCAAAGAACGGTCACGGAATCCGAAGGGGATACGCTTACCCTCGACGTTCTGTTGACCCACACATGCGATGATCTGTGATATGTTAATGGTGGACCCCTTGGATCCACTGTTAACCATAGCCAGAATGTTGTTGCGCTCATCCAAACTCTTGGCGGCGATGGTACCACTCTGCTCCCTAGCCTCGTTCAGCTCCTTGTTCACACGAGCCTCAAAAGACTCGAACAGCGACTTACCGGGTTGGCACTTGAGCTTACCCTTTTGGGACAGACCAACCAGGCGCTGCACCTCCTTCTTGGACCTATCGAGAATCTCCGCCACCTGGGCCAGCGTGGACTCGCTCGCCATGATGTCGGAGCAGGACACCGTGAACCCGTTGTGGATGAGCCAGTTGTTGACGACCTTCTGCACGGTCGACAGGAAATCCTTGCAGCGCTCGGGACCCGCTTCATGCCACAGGACGTGAATCAACGATCCCGAACTCGTACCCACAGTCTTCTTGCAGATGACACCACAAAGGTGCTCATTCTTGCTGATGATGACCTTAGAGTCGTTGGAGGAACAGTATGGGTTGTCGTTTTCGATTGAAGTTCCCGAGTTGCGCATCAGGTTGATGCAGGTCGATGAGTTCAGCTGGTCGAAGGTCAGTATTATCGTGATCACCTGCTTGCCGGTCCAGAGCGGCACCGGGTGGAAGATGCACGGCTGCGGAAGCTTACCGTCCCAGTACGGAATCCACATCAGCAGGTTCATCAGCATGTCCTTCGTCAGGAAGCAGTCTCGGCGCGTGAACTTGCTGATACCCAGCAGGGAGTCCTGCACGATACCCATGACAGGACGGTTACCCTGCGGGGAGACAATTTGCTTAGGCACAAGCATGAGGTGTTTTACCTCCGCACGCGTTTCGTGCGTCTGGGCGAGATGGAGGTTCATTTCGTCTCCATCGAAATCCGCATTGTACGGCGAGGTTACCGACAGGTTCAGACGGAACGTCGAGTACGGCAGGACCTTGCAACGGTGTCCCATGATACTCATCTTGTGAAGCGACGGTTGCCGATTAAACAGGATGAAGTCACCATCCTGCAGATGCCGCTCTACGCGGTAACCGTACTCCAGCTGCAGGTCGCTCGCCCGCTTCACGTGGCGCAGGTCAAAGCGCGTCCCATCGTCACGAACGATGAACTTGGCGCCTGGCCACTCGTGAGGACCCATTTCAACCTTGGCTCGCAAACTCTCAAAGTTGAGCGGAGTCACGGTCTCACTGAACGTAAGTGTCATGGCGATGGACTTCGGCACGCCGATGATGTCGATGGGAAGGTTGGGGTCACCCGTGATGACAGTACGCGCCGAGAAGTCCACACGCTTTCCCATAAGGTTGCCACGCAGCCGTCCGTCCTTACCCTTCAGGCGCGCTCGGATGGACTTGATGGGCTTCTTTGAGCGTGTGGATGCGACGGGCATCCCCGGTATATCGTTATCGAACAAGGTGGTAATGTGGTACTGCAACAGCTGCGAGATTTCCTGCAAGATGTGAGGGGCCGTGGCGCGCTCGTCGTGCTTCTTGAGCATGTTGTTCGCCTTGACGATATCGAGCAGCTTCAGCGTCAGGTCGTCCTCGCTACGGTCGCTTCCGTACGCGACGTACGGCCGAACGGGCGGTGGGGGCACAGGCAGCACCTGCAGAATCAGCCACGACGGCTGCGAGCGCTCGGGGTTGAAACCGAGGTACCGCATGTCCTCATGCGATATCCCCTTGAGGATCTTGAACGCTTCCTCGGCAGTGAACGGACGCTTAATCTCGTCGCAATCCTCGTCAACCTCCTCCAGCATCTGGCGGTGTTTGTCCGTGAACTGGATCAGAAGGCTGGTGCCTTCCTTGCTATACCTCGGCTGCGGGTAGCCGCAACCCTTCATCTTAGACCCGGCCAGCGTCGCGTGCTGGCAGCGCGGCAAAGTCGAGCAAACTTCCACGAGCCTGTTGAGCCTGAGCGCCGTCGCGCGCAGCTTCATGATCTGTATCACGCGCGGGTCGTCCTTGGCGCAGAGCAGGCTGCTGCAGTTGAAGCACACGCAGCGCAGTACCTTCATCACCGCGATGATGAAACTGGAGTGGTACATCGCCTTCGAGAGCGTGATGTGGCCGAAATGGCCTGTGCAGTGCTTCAGGTCCATGTAGCACGTCAAACAGTTGTGACGTGCGTCCGTCGTGCCCATACGTAGGTCGTTCAGGCCGCCAGTGACCGGAACGCCATCGCGGTAGAAATCCGTCTGCGTGACTTCGCACACAGAAAGACGCTTCAGCATCTCCGGGTCTAGTACACCGAACTCGATCGCGCGGACCTTCTTCAGGTCGCACGGCGAGAACGGCTTATTGAGCTCCGCGACTGTCGTCATGATGCGCGATGCTCTGCGATATTAGATAGTGAACACACCGCTCGGCGGCCCCGATTCACGTCATCGGTAGGGACTGTCGGCGGGGGCGGGTCCCTACTGTGGGTCACACCCAAGGCGGCTTCGACCCATGCAACGGCAAACACCGTACCGTTCTGGTCGTACTTCGATTGTTATGCTAAGTAGTAATTATGTGAAGAAGCATAGGATTCCTTTTCGTGACGAGGAAGTGGCCAACACACTGTCTACACCGGCAGGATACGAAAATCCAGACTCTGGCGCAGCGGATTGAGATCAAACGGATCATCTCGGTATCTCCGGTGCAATAACGCACTATGTATTCTATCTGCCGGCAATTACGTCGGCATACCCCCGAATACTGAGAAACGTAATCAGGACCACTGTAGAGTCGTCATAGATGCGAGCTTTTATAATTAATAACATCGTCCAACAGTGCGCTGCTCTCCACCACGAGGTCTAGCGCTTGTTATGATGAGGGTGGACTGTTGTCTTCGGCTGGAGCACGCTCAAGTGATGGCGTCGGCATCAGCTGTACCGGCTGCTCACGCGTCTCCGCGTCCTTGCCCAATGCCTTGAAAAGGGTCACCGCCTGAGTTATCATCTCGTTGACATTGCCGACGTTTGCGGGCAAAACGACGGTGGTCGACTGCTTCGCTAGGTTGTTGAATGCAGAGATGTAGCGCTCCGCCAGCCGCAACCCAACGGCATCCACAGTGCCTGAAAGCAATAGCAGCAACTGAGTCGAAACATACCCGATTCCCTAAGTGTAGTGGTAATCTTCTGCAGAGCGTAGGCTGTGGCGTCGGCGCGTTCTCTCTCAGCTATGGCTTCTCCCTCCGCCTTCAGGATCGACATCTGACGCTGGGACATGGCCATGTTGATCTCGCTCTCCTTGTCACCCTCGCTCCGCAATATCGTGGACCGTTTGTAACGCTCAGCTTCCACCTAGCAACATTGTAACCCTAGAAGGATAGACCAACCTGGCGCTCCATGGCGGCGACGATATTCTTCGGCAGCGTTATGTCGCGGATCTCGCAACGCATGCATACCATCCCCCAGTTGCTTGCTGCGGTGTTGATGGCCTCAACGATCTTCTTGTTGAGGTTGTCGCGCTCCAGGAACGTGGTGAACAGCGACAGCTTGCCCAGTTCCGAACGCATGGTGGTTTGCGCCATCTGCGTCATGGCGAAGATCGGGTCTTCGATGCCGTAAGAGGCGTGGTACGGGTCCACGCACTTCACGTATAAGACGCCGTCTATTTGGAGGATCACCTGAACGCTATGTTACATCCTGCCTGGTCACGTACATTGTCCTTGGTTATCGCCGTCTGGTTGGGCAGCACTATGGCGTCCTCCTTTAGCGAATGCACATACGATATGCGGTCGATCAGCGGCAGCAGGATGTGCACTCCCGCTCCGATGGTGCGGCTGAATTTGCCAAATCTGCGTAAGGTAGATGGTTAAGGAATGCCGACCTACCTCTCAACGACGTACACCGTCTGCTGAGGCACAATCACAACGCCGAAATGCGGCCGTCTGCCTGGCTTCTCGTGCACATAGTTGACTGTGGTGAGATGCCTGGCGCCGGTAGGTAACGATGCCGCCTGGTTCAACTGGGCTCCGGCAACGTAACGAGGCGTGCCGAGCAGACTGGAGTATAAGCGATTAGGTGACCATATTGAACGTCTCAACGTGTCTTTACAGTGATGGAGCAATAGATTGCTACTCATAGCTCTGAGGCGCGACTTCATCACTCATACAGAATGGCAACAAACCGTCAGTAGCCGCGCCGGCGGCGGGCATCAACGTCGCCGCCCACTTGTCCAGTACGCTTCACACATCTCAGCAAAACCAAGACAAACCTACTCTTCTATCTTCAGGTAGTTGAAATCTGGATGGAATGCGATCGTACAATCGGCAACCTACCGCTTCCCTGCGCCTCGAGCGCCGCGAGGATCTGCTCCAGCAGAAACCCTGATGTTCTCTCCCTCGACGCATTAGTATGGTCGCTGGGCTTGACGTGCATATGCTCCGCGATAGAAGCGATGTCTGAGTGCCATGACAGCGGCGTACCGTCGTCACTTACACGTGATGATCCTGGCGTTCGATTTACCAACAAGCGCCTCGATACGGTCGTACACATCTTTGTCTGAGACTGATTGATGTGGGTGTGTATGGCGTCTACCATGCGCTTCCATAGCCTCCGGGTTTTTTACCGGGATACCTGCGACGGTGTAAACTGTCGTTGCGGACACCAACCTGCACTTTCTAGCAACATGGAGAACTGTTGCAGCCGAGCATCCTCGGATTCCATGTCCTTTCCGGCGTGATCGATGTTGTTCAACACGTCATCCATGCTGAAAGACTCCCGTGGCTCCTGTCGAGAGCTGGCGGTGTTGATGGCAAAGCACCGCAGCGCGGCGCATAACGCAAAAATTACAATTGCTACAGACTTCATTATACTATTTTACAGCAAAAATGGATATGTGTACACCTAGGCGAGACGATGTGCCCAGCACATCGTGTAATGTGGGAGGCTGGAATCACTCTGTAACGACAGAAATTCATTAGGCACCAGTCCTGTGTGCCACACACCAGATACGATGTGTAATCATAGATTTGTGACCAGGAGGTCATCTGTGTAAGAAATTTATGGTGGAATCCACACAACGACGGATTCGACGTCAGCAGACGGACGCTGCCTTTAGTAAATTCAGAATATCATAACTACCAAGTCATGTAATATACGAATGTCCAATGCGATAGATACGAACATGAATGTGGATATATGTGCCGTACGTAACACCAATCGGCACCGATTGGTATCCGATGTTACGTATCGTCCACACCTATCCTGTTTCTACGGCTAAGGTGTCAAAGGCATCCCACTACCTTGCATGTTATTGAATATGAGAAATACAGCAAAAAGAGGAACGAAACGGATTGTTGTGCAGTCTGACAAGATATTAACAGCTACGTAGTTTCCAAACATCAGTCTCGTCTCGGTGTTCCTCTTTGAGGGATGAATCCGTTAAGGGTTCACCCGCTCAGGCGCGGCTCTTTTCCAACGCTTCGCGGCGTGCTTTTGACAGTGCTTCTTTCTTTTTCTCGAACTCCAGTTGCTGGCGTTGCTTCTCGATGGCTTCCATCTTCCTGCGTTCGGCGGCCTCGAGGCGGACGCGCTCAGCCTGTGCTTCACGCGCCTGTTTGGCTGCGTTCACACGGGCCTTCTCGGCAGCGACGACCTCGGAACGTTGCATCTGTGAGGTTAGCTTGTTGGTGTTCACCGCCTCCTTCAGCTTCTGTTTGGATTCGCGGGCCGCACTCGACATCGCTTCGATCTTGGTGGCGGCGTTCTTCAAACCTTGACCCTTCACGGTGATGCTCACCTTACTAATGTCGTCGACCTTGAACTTGCTAGCGGTCTTCATGACGTACGCCGGAACGGATGCCTTGGCCTCCCAGTGCAGCTTCTTGCCAGGGACACGCTTGCCCGACTTGCCATCACCAGTAAGGCTGCCGGGTATTTCAACGTGGCCTTCGCTCACCACGCTGCTGGTCTCACGGCTTTCTTCCATGCCCTCGACCAGATCCATCGCACCAACATCCACCTCATCAGCGCTAACAGTGTCAACACCTGCATCATCCATTCCGTCTTTCAACTCCGGGTTCTCATCCTCAGCAACCTCCTCATCTTCAACATCTGCCGGTGCAACTTCTGCTTCCTCCTGTGCCTCGACGTCATCTTCCTCCCCGTCTGGGCAGGTGCAAACGAGTTCACTCTCATCCACGTCATCTGCAGCTTCCTCCACTTCTGCTACTTCACCTTCCTCACCCGACGCCTCTTCGTTGACCTCTTCATCGCCCAATTCACTCAGCTCCTCCGGATTAAACTCGTCGTCGGCTACATCTCCTTCGAAGTCTCCGTCGTCTTCGTTACCCAAATCATCCGGGTTAAACCCTTCGTCCAACTCAGCCTCATGGTCCTCTGCACCCAATTCATGTTCGAAGTTTTCCGAAACGTCGGGTTCGCCATTGTCGGAAAAGGTCTCGACATCACCGGTGTGGGCATACTCCATTGCGTAGGCCATTGTTAAGAAAGAAGTTTACAGTAGCACTATGCTTTGAAGACTAAATAGAAATCGATTACGTACACGTGTCAGAGTTAATAAATTATTGACTGCAGGCTCAAAGGGAGGAACCTAAATGGAAATACGTTCGCGAGACGCTTTTTTCGGTTAGGCGAAGACAGCTAGATCTGATCACGTCGCAGCGCGGAAATCATACGACGTCTTGATGTTGCAGATCTGCAACAAAATGGTACTTTGGCACGTGTGATCGTCTCAGGCGGTATCTTGGCGAATCAAATGCTTTCTCAGCGATATCTACCTACATCGGTGAGAGTTACGGTGCCGTCCCTAGCATGGATCGCTAAAACATCGATACGTCGATATACCATCGAAGACATTTCAACGCAGTATACCACGTAGGAATTAGTTTCTTAAAAGACACTATAAATATTCCAACCATGTCTCTAAGCGTTAATCAGCGCTTTATACGCCACATGCTTCCCGAACAACAGGTGTGTAATTATAACGAAAATGCGTCCTTCTGCTACACACAATAACGTAAATCAACAAGTGCTATACAATAAATCATCTGACATGTTAATCACTGCCCAAATAATTCCACAATACCCACAACATTAGCGAAGGTGGGCTACAGCAACGGAACGTGATAATCACCGCTGGTGGTTCACATTCCACCGTAATTGTACAAATATGGATTTGTGCCTGATATACTGAACGTTAATCGAATGGAAGCGCAGGTGGAAGCCGACGCCGCGGCTGGACATCAACCCGAAGATGTTGAACAAGCTACGACACCGTTGGTGGTATTGGCGTACAACATTCCGGCGGATTATACGTTGTACAATTTTCAAGACATGATTACTGCGAGGTACGGGGATATAGGGCAGCTATCTATCATCGCACCGTTCCCCTGGCAGGATCGCAACTGCTGCCCCTGGAAAATCATCTGCAAGGATCGTGAGTCGTACGACAAGATGTTGACAGTTCGCCACATGTGGTTGAAGGACGAAACCGGTAAAGACAGCTCGGTGGCTATAACATTTGTCGCCGGCGACCTTGACGACATACCAGACATACCATTCAAGGAGGATGAGCAACTACTCATGTCTGAGCACTGCAACGTCAAATAGGCTGTGGAACACGGTGTTGTATGATCTTCCAAGCACAAGATTTGCGCTAGGCTCGGCATAACTCCGACACATCAACGTCATTGCCGCTGTGCGTCACAACATCGCGTTGTAGTGTCTAAAACGACATCCACGTCGTAATCGCAACTTGACACCCTACACATACCAATTATATCGTGTTTTTGTATATGTAATACGTTGTTGTCATTGGTGAGGGCATTGTAACTGCTTCAGTTGCCCGGAGTAGGTCGGAGTGTGTAACGGCGTATGCCAAATCAGTCGATGTGTAACTCGCACATCTGAATACGAAACCCTGTTTCGCATGATGGATGTCACTGTACCGCTGCTGTTGCTCGTTATGGTTGGCACGGCGTTCGGGCGCCGAGATAATTCGCTCACCAGCCTGCTCGTCCGGTACATCGCCGAACGCTCCGAATACAAGAAGGGTGACCAGGAATATGCACGAATCACCCAGGCACCTATGGTGTAAGTCTACTGTCGTTGTGTAAGGTTTTCATAATCTGCAGTAAAATGCATCTCCGCAAGGTGTTCCTCCCATCGACGTTGCACGCTGCGATGAAGAACGACATGGCCGGTAGGTGAAAACATCCGCAACGTTAATATTTGGCTCAGAGAAACTTGTTGAACGTAAGGAAATGGCAAAATCACAGCGCTGTCATAAACAATCAGGGGCTGGAGAGGTGGACCGTGACAACGAATTTGCCAGAAAAGCCATCACAGAGTCATTGGGAGCCGTTGATGAGCTGGAAAGGCTGGCTGGAGAGCATGTAAACAAGATGGTTGCGCATAACTTCCATGAACAGGAGTTTAAGGCCACCTTTGCCGGAGCACATCAGCGGCCTGAAAACGTCGCCGGAATAATGCAGGTAAGCCAATGACGCACACACAATCGCTATGCAATAAGCAGCAATCTACTGGACTCTCGGACTACGCGGTACTCCCAGCACGACCGGTGAACGAGGCGCCTCAACCGTACACGTTGATGGAGCGTAGTAAGCGGAAGCCATCCGAACTGGTTGACCAAGACGCAGAACGTCTACACGTTCCATTGTTCGCGGTAAGATATAAAATATTATGCCGCACTTTGTTGTAGGAACGCGGTGATGAAATGGTTACAAAGGCCTGATGTGCAGCGGTGTCTGCCCACGAGATTCCACGGCGGACTCCTTACAGCAATCGCAATTATGTACACAGGCGCAACATGGCTGCCAGTCTTATTATTTAGCGCCTCTACGCTCGCCTTCCTGCGCAGGGAAGGCGCCGCAAGGGTCCCGGTCGCAGGCCCATATCGCAACACGGCAGCAAATGCCATACTCGACTGGCCAGCGCACGACAAACTCGCCCAGCGCGAAGATGGATACGATCGCTCGGGATCCTACGCGGTGGTACACATTTCCGGCGTGCCCAGGTGGCTGGAACGAGGGAGATTCTACGATGTAAACCGAGTGCAGCAGCAAGTAGGCGCCAACGTGTACCTCCATCGGGTCGCCTTCTTCCAATCGGAGGAGGGCTGGTACGTGCACGGTGAACCGTATCTGGAAAACGTGCGAGTGCTCTGCAAGGTGCTCAAGCACTTCAGGGGACCCAAAATGCATACGCTCAAGTTCAGGTCAAAGAAGCATTACAAACGCAAAATAGGGTTCAGACCCGAACTCACACGTCTGCAAGTGGAGGCATTCGAGACAATTCCTCACGGCGAGCGTTGGGTCGACGAGGACCCGATTTACGTGCCATTGACGAGGATAGAGCAGCTGAGGAGGCCGAGCCTGGAGCTAGCCAAACTCAAAAGGAACACAATATACAGACTCACGGAGACCGAAAAGCGCATGTTGGAGGGCGATCCTCTGGCGCATTTCGATCCCGTGTATAACCAGACGTTTCTCGCAAACCGGACAATGCAGTTGTAATATATACATGAACACAACCTACCTAAAGTCGGACACACTACTCATTACAGACGAGTAATACGGAATCGTAACACATGTTTGTTTGCCTCTAAGGTGCGTTAATCATGTGCATAACAGGGTGATGTGTTATGCATGACATGATGACGTTGATACCCAGGGGATCCAATGCTGCTGGTTGACACCAAGCAAACGTATCGTAACCTAATGCGCTTTAGAGAGCAGCATACCAGCACGCCGCTTATACACAAGTTCCCATGAACTGCGTGCTTTTGTAAAAGCTGTCAACAAATGATAGAATGTGTTGAAGCAACGCCTTCCAGTAACAGTGGCACTTCCAACTACATTATCCGCCATAATGCATCACATGTGTATCTAAAAAGTGTATATAGCAATCATATTGAGGGTTTACAGTTCACTCTAAAATGCTGTCGGACACCACGCCGAAGAGTGGAGGCAGAGGGTCCTTGGTGTAAGACACAATTTCATCTCCCAGCTTCGCCTCTATATCGCAATCCCGGAAGACGAGGCAGTTGTTGTTGTCCCCCTTCAACAGCTCTGTGGCGTTTTTACGTGATGATTGCATTGAAACAACCGCAAGGTCACGTGCAAGAACCTTGCCCTCACGCATCAACATGCACAAGTTGCCCAGACGTACCGTACCGGACAACACACTAGTGCCAATAGCCTGACGTTTGCCGATGCCCTTCAAGTTAATGGTGCCTACTTGCGTCACGTTCATGTTGGCCTCCTGCTTCAACACGTAAGTTGGGCCAAAATAGAAGTCGAACATCCGCTCAATATCGTTGAACAGCTCATACACCACGTTGTGTGTGCGCATGAGATCGGGTACCGGTATCCCCTTAGGCGGCGGGGTGGAGAACCCCAAAAACGCCACGTTGCCCGCCTCGACGAACTGCGAGTCACTCCGGTTAAAAGCCCCCACGTTGCCAGATACGACACGAATTGGGTTCCACGAAGGCAGTAACGGTGTTGCATCGGTCGTGTGCTTTTCAATGTAACCTCGATCTTTCAGGTAGCCAATGTCGCAGTCGGCGCGTTTGCGCTCATTGAAGTCGGCGATCCATTCGAGCACGGCATCCAGGCCGCCCTGATCGCCGCAACGCAGCACTACGCAGAGCTCCGGGATGGGTTTTATATCTACCCTGTCGCCCTTCATCGATCGATATTCAGCGGTGCCCACGGCAGCAGTAGCGGGGTTTGGCCCGGTAACCGACGACACCGTTGCAAGGCGGTGACTCGCATTTGCTGACCTGCGCTTCGCCAATGCGGCGAGCTTCTGAGCCTTTGCCTGGGACTCACGCTGCTGTACGAACAATCCTGCGCACGGGGCGCTATACGGCCAGCTTACCTGAACTATATCGGAGGGCATTGCCTGCTTGATATGGCGGCCGTTGGCGTCGAACATCCTCTTGACTTTTCCACAGGATTCGCCGCACACCAACCAGTCGCCCTCGCGCAGCACTCCAGTCCTGACTATAGTTCGCAGGCAATCTCCCCAGGTCGGGTGGCGTTCTGTTTCGAAAACGTAGGCAGTGCCGGGCATGGATGCGTCAACTGTCAAATTCAAACGTTCTCCCATATCGAATAGAGCGGCAGTGAGCTCATCTACATTCTTGCCGGATTTGGCAGAAATGTACACCACCGGGACATCGGAGAGATCAAGCCCGCAATCTTCTAGCATGCCGCGCACGTGCAAGCCAGCATCAATGTCAACCTTGTTAACTGCAACCACGTACGGGAGGTTGTTGCGCTGTATAAGTTCAATGGCCTCGCGTGTCTGCGGCATTACGCCATCGTCTGCAGCCACCACCAAGATTACCACATCGGCGCAGCGCACGCCACGGTCACGCATACGTCCGAACGCGGCGTGGCCAGGAGTGTCCACGAAGACCAACTTGCCACGATCCAACTCGATTTTGAACGCTCCGAGTTTTTGTGTTATACGCCCAGATTCTCCAGCGGCGATATTCGACCTCTGCAGAGTGTCCAGCAGTGTGGTCTTGCCGTGGTCAACGTGGCCCATAATGGTTACCACCAGGGAACGCTTGAACTCCATCTTGCTAACGCGAGAGATGGTGACTCCATCGCGCGATTCAGTGAAATCAACCCTAAACGGGATGCCAAGCTCTTCAACGATGAAGCTGGCCTCATCAACGCTCAAATGGTCGGGGTCGCAATCCAGCTCCTCCGCAAGGGAAATAATCTGTCCCATGTTGAAACATTTGCAATATTAGTATGACATACCTTATTTTCATCTATTTTTAAGTACGAAGCAATGGCATTAGCAGTAAGCCGTCGCACGGTAACCTTGTCACCATTAGCCTCGTTACGGTTGCTGCCGGAGCGCTCTGGGGCCTTCGAATAGTCCATCTGGAGCACTTGGTCCGAAATATCAACCCCTGCGGAACTAACACGGCTTACTGTGCTCGTATCATTATCAGCTGCGCTTTGTTCAGCCTTTGATACAGATGAATCAGTACTCGCTGCAGAAACAGGTGGCTGATGCGAGGCTGCTGACGCCCTCGACTGGATCGAACTGAGCAGGCTCTGGAGGTCATCATCTAGCGACTTATCGGATATCAGTGTTCTATCCGAAGCTTTGTAGCTCCATGATGCTCCAGTATTGATGGCAGCTTCAATGTTGCCCGTTTCCAAAAACGACAACACGCTCTGTATCAGTTCCTCCTTGCTCCAGGTCTCCCGGCCAGTAAGGGCTTTGATGCGATGCAACAGAAATGAAATGTGCGCCGGGCCTATCATGTATTGCTTGCCATTTTCATCCTTCGGTTGAATTGTATTTGGAGCGGTGAGGTCGAACGCCGATGCATCTGACATCAGCAACTCGCGGATCTCCATTACTGATGACATCAGCTGTGGATCCAACCCCTCATACTTCAACAGTTGGTATTCCACTTCCTCTTTTGCGGCATCGTGCAAGTTAGTACGGTTGAATATTCCGCAATGTGTCGCTTGGTCCGTATTTTGGCGGCCTGTGGATTGAGCGTTATTGGCGTACTGCAACGCAGCGGCCAGAGCGGCATTTGACGACGCCTTTGCCGCATTTAATGCATTCAAATTGATAGTACGACGCGTTTTATCCAATATCCTGGGTGCGGGTTTTATCGTGTTTAACGCATTGCGCGATGCGGTCAAGCCAACGAACGCAGCTGGTACTCGGCTACCCTTGCCTTTTGGAAACGTCACAAACCGCTTTATATTGCGATTCGAATAACTTTTAGAGCTTCCAGTGTGTCCTGGCGTTTCCATAAATTGCTTGGGTTTCCTCAAATATTCTTTAAGGTCAACCGCTGCACTGTCCAAGCGTTGCATAGCATGCCCTTTCAGGATTCCTCGAGCTCTGCTTATCGTCATCGTAGCACCTCATACCCATCAAATACGCCTTAATAGACAAATTGTCACCTCTTTAGACACACGAGGAAGTGATAAGCCTGCAGCGAACACAAGAATAACAGTGCTTTACAAGACACTGAAGGTACCTGGAGCCGTCTATCAATGATTGCTTATAAAAGCATAATAATCCTCACAAATTCCACTCCTAAAGCACTACGTATACCACTTTCAAGCACTGCATCAACGTATGATAACACATAAAGGCAGCTTTTATAGGCGCTTCAATGGACAGACCGCGCAATGATTAGATGTGTCAGCGGCGGCAACCAGAAAGTCTACCTTCCAGCATCAAAGATGCTACACCGCGAAGTGAGGTGACTATTTCAAGGTTGCTGAGGCAACTGTGGCGAAATTGGAACAAAAGTTGCCACACATCACCGCTGACCTATGACGGCGCGAGGCTGACCCGCTCAATAGACACTTCCACGGCCTGAACCGGCCGTTATCGCAATTTAATCAAAATGAAATCGGATTCTACAGAATCTTCGGCGAAGAAGAAGGCTACCGGTGGCACCGGCGCCTTCGGCTTACTCGGCCTCAATAAGACGCTGTGCTACGCTCTAGAGCACAGGCTCAGGTACAAGCAGCCGTCCGCCATCCAACGTAAAACCATCCCTGCGGTGCTTCAGGGGCGCGACATCGTATGTATTGCCCGGACTGGTTCAGGGAAGACGGTGGCGTATCTGGCACCGATAGTACAGATGCTGGAGTCGCATTCCAGAACAGTGGGACTCCGGTGTTTGGTGCTGTTGCCGACCCGAGAACTTGCGCTGCAGGTTGCGTCGGTGCTTAAGAAGTTCATCAACTTCTCAAAGCAAGCCGATGCATTGCGCAGCGCCACGCTGATTGGTGGAGAGGCCCTGGAGAGCCAATTCGGCGCACTGACCTTCAACCCCGATATCGCAGTTGCAACCCCGGGACGACTATCGCAGCATATTGTTGAGAAGAGTATCGAGCTCAAGATCTTATCGCATTTCATCATCGACGAAGCGGACAAACTATTCGAGATGGGTTTCCTGCCCGACGTCTATCGCATATTCTCGATGCTGCCGGAGAAAAGGCAAACATTGCTGGCAAGCGCGACTCTGCCGTCCGAAATCACAGACTTCGTGAAATTCGGGCTGAGGAACCCGGTGGTGGCCCAGGTCGACAAGGATATGCAGATTAATGAGCAGCTGGAGTTAAGGTTCATCTACACGCGCACGGAGGATAAGATAGCCGCGCTTGTCAAGCTGCTACGCTGTAGTGCTGACAATGAGCGTACTATCGTATTTGTGGCCACCAAGCACCACGTGGAATTCTTTCGCGCGCTGCTGGCCGCCATGGGCGTCACCGTCTCCGCCGTGTACGGTGCGATGGACATGACTGCACGGTCGCAGCAGATGTCGCTGTTCAGATCATGCAAAACTAAGGTGCTGATAGTTACGGATTTGGCGGCGCGTGGGTTAGACTTACCCATGGTGGATTGCGTGATCAACTTCGACTTCCCGCATTCCTCCAAGCTGTTCATCCACAGAGTGGGACGTACGGCTAGGGCTGGCCGCCAGGGAACGGCGCTGTCGTTGGTTACGCCGTACGACTTCGCCTTTTGCTTTGAAATACTCACGGTTATAGGTAGGAAGCTCGTTGTTTCCAAGGAACCGGTTATCGGAAACGACACCTGCATCATCGGCACGGTGGGGGACATAAGTGTGACGATGGAAAAGGTTGCCTCCATCATTCAAAACGACGCTGATGTCGAGAGTTTGAAGAAATCGATGGACGCTTCGTACAACCTGTACTATAAAACACGGCCGAAGCCGTCCAAGAGTGCAGTAGACCTGTCACAGGGGCATTTGGAGGCACTCGGCGGTCTGAATGTGGTTGCTAACACTGTGCACCCGTCATACGTAGACGTGAAAGGTCAAGGTTCTTCGGTAGGGGCAGAGTCACAACCCAATGATGAACCCGTGGAGAACGATGCAGAACAGACTCTACCCGATTCAAAGAAATCTGAGGATGCTACCTCCAAAAACGACATTCTGGAATTCCTGCATGGTTTCAGGCCGTCTTCGGCGAAGACTACCATTGTGACCACGCTTCCTGCCAGTTCTATCGCAACTATGGAGCGCGCAAAGCACTACTCGAGGCAGTTCAAAAAACTGGACTCAAGCACACCCCTACCCGCAGACACATCGTACGATATCGAGGGCACGGTAATGCCGCGTTCACATGACGCCGGTCCGAAACAGGACTTCCTAGTCCCGTCAACTGCCAGCACCGCTGCACAGGACGAACTCCGGCTCCCCAACATAACCCTCAATATCACCCCCGATTCTGAGGAGCTAATGCAGAAATCGAGGTTCCAGCGGAAGCAGCACTGGGATCCGAAGAAGAAGAAGTTCGTGCAGGTCACCGTCGACTCGATCACCAAACGCGTCATCAAGGATGAGAGCGGGAAGAAGGCCCGCGGCACAGTTGAAAACAAAGACCTGTTGAAGAAGTGGATGAAAACCACACGGAAGCGCATCCAGAAGGTGGGCGAGCAGGAAGAGGCGCCACAACACAAAAAAGCCAAGGTTGTGAAGTTCGACGATGAGGAGTCAGGCGGGGAAAACGACGATGACGGCAAGCCTAACTACGACGAGCTCATACGCATGTTCCCCAAACACGCAGGTACTCTGGAATCCGCCAAGCTCAAAAGACCCTTGACGCACAAGCAGAAGCGTACACTCAAGAGGCTGACCACCAAACCTGACTTCGAAAAGATGCGACCTGAGACCAAGGGTAAAAAGTCGGGCAAGGCGAAGAAGCGCAATAGGCTAAGTCCGCAGGAGTTTAAGAAGAAGGTTGAACGCAAGATCGCATCAAAGGGTGCGCCTCGGCGCAGCAAGCTGATAGTTCGCAAAAAGCGACGGTAATCCACGGCATACGCACGCCTACCGATACAAACACATTTTAACGTGTTTTACACCTATCATTTACGAATGTAGCGTTGCAACGGTAAATAAGTGTTATTTTTGCGCGATATGTGGACCGTTTGGTGTACCTTAAACAGCTATGTTAGGTGTAGCCACTTATCTCACGGTCAGTGTAGGTGGAACAACAGGTATGGGCGCCCAGGCTTTGAATCCCGCTTAACGTATCAAACAACTATCAAATAGGGAAAGGGTTTACGTGTTTACTCGTTAGTTTTTTCTGTGAGAAACATTCACAAATGCAGCCAATTTGGCAACCTCCACAATAGCTGACTAAAATTCAAGGCTCAGCCCGGAATTACACGCTGTCTAACAGCTTCAGTGTATCCTTGAGAGCTTCAGCTTTGCGGTTGAGATTTTTCTCACCGCGTATCTGCTCTAGCTGCGTCTGGCAGTAGTACGCCGTCTTAACTACCGCCTCCAGGTCGCCAGCAGGCTCAGTAAACCAACGCCGCGACGCGCCCGCTTCACCATTAGCAGTCTCTCCAGCTCCTTCGCCAGATTTCCGAGCGGTTTGTGCGCGTGCTGCGGTGTGAGCGAAGAATAGCGCCGCTTTGAGCCTGCGCGTCAGGCGATCGACCTTCTTCAGGTACAGGCCGTCACGCTGCAGCGCATCAGCGTAAATCTAACGGACGGTACCCACCTTATACAGGGAAGACACACTTGATGTAGACGAGTCCATTACTCAGAACATACGGGAGTAGACTTTCTTCACGCGATCCTCCTGCAGCTTGGCCTTCTTTTCCAAAACAGCCAGCAACTGATGGGCAATGAGCGCGCACACCGCGACAAAAATACTCACCTGCTTCAAATCCGCAGCGTCTGGGAATTTGGAGACGCCCATACGAGCGTCGGCCAGAGCGTTCTCCAGCTCGTTGAGCTTGTCGTAGGCAAAGGCACGGCGGTAGATAGCCTTCGTGTTGTCAGGGCTGCAAAAGCATTACACACCAGATCAATACGTTGTTTCACGCAAAAATGATGGTGGTGGCAGAGCGGCGACGGGTCCCGTCATGCGGGCACGTCAGGCCGGTGCCGTATGTAGACACGACACAATGATTCCATGACGCACCTTAACTCTAGTGCCTGAGTGCAGCAGCTGACGGCCTTCTTGTAACTGGCTTCTGTGCCCATCTTGATGTAACACTGCAAGTATTCGCGGTTAGTGACCGGTGTACCAACCATGGCCAAGTTGAGGTTGCTTGCCAGCTTCAGCAATTCCAGCTCCGAGCGCTCTTCGTCGTCAGGGTTGGTGACCTTAGAGCAATATTGCAGCGCCTTCACGTAATGCTGCGCAGCCATCTCGATGTTGCCGCCAGAAAACAGGGCGTTTCCCTCGGACCTGTTCTTGGCGGCACGCTTCAGGCATGTCGCCTTCGGCAGAGTCACGTCCATGTTCACCTCAGAGACTGAAGTGTAATCAGGAGCCATGGCTGAACGCTCGATCTCGGCGGCTTTGGCCTTCTCGGCTTCCTCCAGTGCCTGCACGTACGCCGGGCAGTGCTCACGCACCTTGTCACGGCACTCGTTTAGTTGCGATTCACACGCCGACGCACTCACAGCCTTGTCGCTAGCAGCACTGAGTGCGAAATCGTCCAGCGCGGTTAAGAACGGCTCAACATCCTGCAGTTGCAGGTGTTGGCTGAAGTCGCCGCGGGCGTCGTTCCTCGTCTTGATGATGTACTGGTCGATCTCGTTCAGCACTGACCGCTTGTGGAACTCCTCCGATTCGACTACGCTGAACTGCTCCTCTCTGGCGATAGCAGCTGCTACTTCGGCTTCTCCAATATCGGTCGATATGCCTTCAACGTCCAACAGCGACGGTGCGTCTGCTCTCGCCAGGCATACAGCGCCACTCGCAGTGGCGGACGTAGAGTCCAACGACATCCTCACAACCTGGGTTGCTCCGCGAGATTTCGCCGCTTCTGTGGCCAAATGCTTCACGAATGGGACGCGGGACCCGCCGCCAATGGTTTCGATGGCCAACAGGCACCCGGGTTCCACATGCGCAAACACGCGGTCCATCATTCCCTGTAGGATGTCCTGCAATCACGTTAAATCGGTCGTCTGTTGCTATTATCGTACCTTGAATGGTTCACAATTGTCCTCCAAATCCAATCGCGTAAGCACCATTGAAAAGTCATCGCCGTCCGCGAGGACGCGTTCGCAGTCGATCTTAACGTCGGCCACCACGCTGAGCTCCTTCAGCGCCTTGGAACACGCCTTGTAAACATTGAAAGCCTGTCGTGAGGGTGGTTTCACATCAACTCCATGCTTTTCTTTGATGGAGCTGCAGACGAAGTTTGCCAGCTTCTCTACCATTTGGTAGGTGCCAACCGAATCGTTCGACTCCTCCGCCACAATGCGGTGTTCTATTTCATCGCCCTTCGTAATTTCGGCCACAAAGAACGTGCAGTGGCAAAATCCAACGTCCAGGAAGGCGATGTGCATCTTGGACTGCCCGGTCGAGTTCGTGAATTCGGTGAAGACATACGGGAGATGCGAGTCACACCAACGCCGCAAGAGGCATTCAGTCTGCTTGTATAGGCGGACTCCTCCGAAACCTGTAAAGCCATTTAGCAAAGTAGTAGGCGGGGATATACTCACCCCAAACTGCCAATGCCTTGTAGATGGCCAAGTGTTGTTCCTGGGTGAAGTACTGCGGAACGGGTACCGATAGTTGAATTAGGCCGTTGGCACGGGGGTCTACCACGCCAAGCTGCTTGCGCACTGTTTCAAGCAGCTTGTTCACGAAAAACGCGAACACATCCCTCGGCTGAACTGAGCATTGCTGGTCATCGAAGTTCACAAGAAAGGCAAGATCCGGTGAGGCCTCATCCACGGGTAGCGAGAAGAGGTAACGGCGAGCATTAATGAAGCTCAACACCGATTCCTTAGACGAGGCAACAGTATATGGGAGCAGCTGTGGATAACATGAAAGCATATGCAAACGTTAAACGTACACATAACGTCGAGTTGAACAGGCTGGTACTCCTCAGGTCGGCCTCCTCTCCGTAGAGCCTGCAGCCAGTCAGCCTTCCACATTCCAAACCATACCTAATGCGCTTGTCGTACGCGACAATGGTGGGAGTTTCGCGATTCGATAGCCGATTCACGTGTACCTCGATGGAATCGTTGCCGGACCACGACACGCACACCTTGCTGGAGAAGCCACCCAAATCGAGGCCGACGGTCGCCATGGTTGATGATTTCGGCAATTAAGCTGCGGATGAGAATGTCTTCAGGGAGCGGCTAAGAATCTTGCAATGCAATCTTCCCTCCCCTGGCGTGGTAGGGTGCCTTTTGCCATGCGAGGCAACGCACCAACATTTCCCGTCGTTTCCATTGCAGCGTGGAGAATGCTTCTCATAGTTAGCGTACGATGTCGTTCAATGCAAACGCAGTCAACAGTGACGATGTGCTCTTCATAATTGACGCAGACTGCTGCATTGTAGACACACACACAGCTCTAATAAATTGTCTGGGCGCCGTTTCTAACATCAACGGCAGCTGCATATATTCGCCGTGGAAGGACACGAAGCCGGAGGAACCACGGGATTGTTTGAACAGTGGATGCCCGCGCCAGGAACACCTCGACGAAGATAAAGGTGTAATTGGAAACGGCGTAATTCCGCCATCAGATCCTATTTCAGGTGCAAATACGCACCAGGAAGAAACTGTAAAAAACCCGGACGAGGGTGGATCGAAACAGCTCGCATTGCGCAAAGAGCCTGTTCCCAATGGAGTAGAGGACGGCGTTTGCTCGAACTGTATCAACGGCCAACACCAGTCTGATAAGGGTCTACTTGAACCATCATCTAAGGTTGCAAAGGACAGCAAGGTGTCCAGCAAAAATCATCAAAGAAGGTTGAGAGAGCTCACTCGCCTCATTCGTGACGACAGCTGTATCGCCAACGAAGTTATTCAGGAAGCCATTCAGGTGGCTGACTGCCTGCTCGAAGAAGCTAAAGGTGTTAAAAACGAACGATTCGAATCATTAGATTCGTCTTTCAGGGACTCATCTGTCGCGGTGGTTCTTCGTGATCAACAGCAAGGACTGTACGAATCCCTACACAACAAAAACGAGATCAACGTCACACCGTTCCAACGATTTGTGGAGGACATAGCACTCTCCAGTTATCAGTCAAAGGGTGAAGCGGACGTTATACAGAATTTGGAAGTCGTGTTGGAAAAGTTACTCGTTGGGGCACCAAATATAAAAGCCTCAAGCGGGAGGGTTATACTATTCTCCCATTTTCCACAGGTCATTCGTCGTCTACTAGAATTAGTTGGTACGTGGTGCGTATCTTGCTGTTCATCCTATGCAGACGGAAAGTTTGGGCAACGTGACGTGAAAATCGAGGTAGCCCTTCGAGAAAACGTAGTAAGCCATCACGCCAATCAGTCTCGGGAAACGCATTGCGTATTATACCCGGAAGAGAGCGTTGCAGTACGCAAATTAGCTGCGGAATTTGGCAAGGTGCAAAAAGAAGGTATACGAGTTGTCCCCAAGGCTGCACTGTCAACGCTTCAAACGACAGGGTCATCGACAGGAGTCGCCAGCGACAAGGTTAACCTGCATTGCGAACCCGACTTGGATAGTATAAGAGGTTTGGGGGCTATATACGTTAAACTAAACCGTCCGTTGTATATAGAAGGCACTGTCGTTAAAGGGTTTGGCAGAGGCGCTGCTTTCCTTGGAATCCCAACCGCGAATCTGGATTGCGATAGCATTCCCCACCTCGTGCCAGGTGTCTATTTTGGGACGTGTTGGCTAAGTGGAAACTCTGAGGTTAGCGAGGATACACCGCTTGCTGCGATACTTTCCGTTGGGTTCAACCCCCAGTTCGACGACGCCGCTTACTCCGTGGAGCCGTACATATACCACGAGTTCCAGTTTTCGCTTCTAGGCCAGCGCTTAAAATTGGCTATTGAAGGCTTCCAACGTACCGAAGCCAAATTTGAGTCCGTTGAAGGGCTAGTTGCGGCAATACAGACTGACCTCGTAGAGCATAAAATCGTACAACACTGTCAAAATGGGTGTCATTGAGAAGATTCGTGAGATTGAGGCCGAAATGGCAAGGACTCAGAAAAACAAGGCAACTGAGTACCATCTTGGACAACTGAAGGCCAAGCTCGCCAAGTACCGGACACAGCTGGTCGAGGCGCGTTCCATGGGCGGTGGCAAGGGAGAAACCTTTGAAGTTTCCAAGTACGGAGATGCCAGAGTCTGTCTGATTGGTTTTCCATCCGTGGGAAAGTCGACGCTGTCAAATGCGCTGACCAACATGAACTCTGCAACCGCCGAGTACGAATTCACCACGCTCACATGCGTGCCCGGAATCCTGGTCTACAAGGCGGCTAAAATACAACTGCTCGATTTACCGGGTATCTTAGACGGTGCGTCTGAGGGCCGTGGTCGTGGAAGGCAGGTCATCGCCATAGCCAACAGCTGCGACCTTGTCCTTATGATACTGGACGCCACCAAGGACGACTCCCAAAAACGTAAATTGGAACGGGAACTTGAAAATGCTGGAATTCGCATTAACAGGAAGCCGCCAAACATTTCTTTCAGGCAGAAGAAAACTGGTGGGCTTAACATCAACCACCTGGTGCCGGTTACCCACCTCAGCGAGCGCGTTGTACATTCCGTGCTGCACGAGTACAAGATATTCCACGCCGACATCATCATCCGCGAAGACGCCACTGTGGACGACCTGATAGACGTCGTGCGCGGCAATGTCAAGTACTGCAAGTGCATCTACGTCTACAACAAGGTCGACATGTTGTCGCTGCCCGAAATCGAGGAGATTGCTTTGCGGCCGAACACTGTGGTTGTCAGCAGCAGCAAGGAGTGGAACCTGGAGCTGCTGAAGGAGCGGATGTGGGACGAACTCGAGCTGATGCGCATATACACCAAGAACAAGGGAGAGCTACCAAACTTCGACGAGCCCATCATCATGACTCCCCAGCGTGGCGACGGCCGCGTGGCCTCTGCAGTGGAGATGATCCACAAGAAGATGCTGGATGAGTTCAAGTTCGCACTCGTTTGGGGCGCTAGCGTCAAGCACAACCCGCAGCACGTCGGGTTGCGCCACCAGCTGTGCGACGAGGACGTCATCCAGGTCTTCAAGAAGAGGTGAAACATAGGCGTCATCCGAGTCTCCAAGGAGAGATAATTGGCACGTATCATACAATCGCTCAAAAAGTGTTGACTAACCAGCGTCACAATTCCTGGAGCGTGCTATCTCAAGCATTGATGTCGGCGACCTCACATACCAGCTTGTTGGTAGCGCATCAGCGTGCCACCACCAAAAGGTCATGTTGGAATTCATACAACTCAAAAAACCTAGTAACATTTACTTATTTCGCACCATTTTCATGCACAAAACAGCACATATGGCAACGATGGCTCGACACGGTGTCCCGTATACCAAGGGCAGCATGGCGTTAGACCGCCAAACAGTTGCAACAGCTGACGTAGACCACGCCGCACCACACGTTCCGCAACCGCCAAATACTCACGCGCACCGCATCATAGACGGAAGTCCACAGGCCAGGGGTGATGAAGTGAGTTGCGAAAAATATTCACGGAAAGTTCACGCCTAACCCAAGAGGGCGCTGGCAGTCTCCGACTTGTACTTCCAGTTGGCAGGAAGTCGGCGCTTCTTCTTGCAGTAGCGCGCAAGCCTGTGGATCTTGGACTCGAGCAAAATGAGGCGGAATTTCGAGTCCTTGTCGTTGAGGTTGTGCTCCATGTGCTTCCTCATCACCACAGCCTTCTTGACCAAGAAGTAGAGGTCCTCCGGAATGTCCGGCGCCCAGCCTGAATAAAATTTTCGGCACACATCGCGGCACTTACCGTGACCCCTGAGGATACGAAGGATCTTGTTGTTCGTGATGGCCTTCACCATGGGCACAGCGTTGGAATCACGAAGCACCACACCGATTTGCGAGGGGGTCATACCCTTCTTGGCAAGCTTCACGATTTGCTGCTCGAGCTGCAGGGGCTTGGTCTTGACCCAGGAGGCCGGCCTGCGGCGGTAAGGGACACTCGAGGACGAGATACCCTTGCCCTTCCCGTACATACGGCCCATATTGCTCACTTGTGTACACAACTATACCACAAAATGGGCGATATAAAAAGGTTCCTACGACGGAACGAAATTAGTACGCTCTGTTGCGATGCTACCGTAAGCCGACGCGGCGCCTCGATGGGGCACCCGCGGGACCGGCTCTCATGGGGAGAACAGCTCTCACCTTTTCTTGGTCTTATCGATGCTAAAATAGCTCAGAATAGACGGTTGACGTGACTTGGTGGGCGGTTGAGGCACAGTTGATTTTGCTGGCTGAGTCGCCTCGGACTTATCGGCCATTCCTTGCGCCTGCTCCGAAGGCTCGTCGTTTGACTTATCCGCCTCAGCCTCCATAGTAACGCTCTCACTCACAGAAATTGACGCATCCTTTTGATGTGTACCGGTTGAATTGAACAGCTTGTCCTCAGCACCGGCGAGGAACTGATACTTTGGGTACAGCGGGTTGCTGAAGACGCTTGCTGCAACGTGTGATATAGGAGGCCAAAGAAGTTACTTAACACGTAAATACAGCTTATTTCGGGTTATTGTGCCCATGTAGAGCATGCATATTGCGCTAGAACGTACCGATATGCTCCGGTTTAACCGGGAAGCTTGACCACGTGTCTAAGATGTGTTTATCGACATGGCCAGCAAACTGCGATAAGAAGAGCACCTGACAGCGCATATACACATTACAATTTTACTGCCTACCGTAGCCTGACCTAGCGTCCTCAGCGCATCCTTGGTCATCCTTGGCGCTTCGTCGTCCAAATCGAGGATTCTTTTGAGCCGATGAGGTGGAATCACGATGTCTCCAGTCTCTGTTTTGCTCTGAAATTCGGCAGCTCCGTCCGCCTGGGCCATAGAAGCTGCCTTCTTGCGATATTCCTACGACTCAATTAGGCCTACACATCGCATACGCAAAGCACGAAGGATAATTTCACGCAAATGTGACACTATAACGCGATAATGCGCTATGTAATGTCCATTGATGGCAGTAAAAGCCGCCTTCCAAAGGAACCGGGAGCCATGCGATCAATAACAACATCCAAGCAACACCTACCTCCTGATTCGGACATTCCTTCCATAGCCGGGCTACTTCACGCTGCACATCGGCAAGAGGGACAGTCTGCGCACTATAAAAGTCAGAAATACGGCACACCTCAGAGCCTAGACGTGCGAGAAGCTCCGCCCTCACGTCGGCGACCACCTCATTGTAGAACAGACGGAAGCCAGTTAGACCATGCGAAGACATAATAAAAATATTAACGGAGTTTACTCAAGTGCGGACGACACATATGTTCAGGCATTGATCTGCATTCTCAACATTTGATCGGGGGAGGGCGTTACCTTGCACTGCACGATGCGGCGGCGCAGGTGAGCCTGGAGGCGGACGATGCCTTCCATGGAGGCGAGCAGCTGGTTCTTGGCGGCTTGACGGGTGAGCCACGCGTCCAGCATGGCGGTGATGGGCTCCCATACGCTGAGGCGCTGGCGCTGAACCACAGTCAGCTCCTTCGCCACCTTCTGGGTGAGGAACATCATAGTCTTGCCCAGGGCGTACTGACCGGCCTTGAGTCCGACGGACTCCGCTAGGCGCTGAGAGGCAGTCTTGGGGTCGAGGGACTTGTCGTTGGTGATGCCGAGGTCGACATACTTGTACTGCTCCAAGAACAGCTCGTAGGGGCGGCGGTAGGAGTAACCGAGCTTGCGGAGCTGCAGCGCCTCGATGATACTGAGGGCGTGGAGCTGGACGAGGATCTTGACGTTGTTGAACTCAAGCGGCTGCTTCGACTCGTTGGGCTTGACACAGCGGATGAAGTGTGAGTCGGTGCTGTTGATAAGCTTCATCAAAGCGTCCAACTGGGACATGAACTGCGAGCCGATAAGCTGGCCCTTCGCCAGTTTGCCGCGGGTCACATTGACGTTCTCGAACAGGTTGTTGATGGTCTGGTTGGGAGAGGCGTTCACGCACTCGACTAGCTCGGCGGTCAACACGTCCTTGTTCTTGAAGATGAATGACTGCGCATTGTACTGGATGGTGCCAATGGTGTGCACGACGTTGAAGTTGAGCTGAGCACCGACCTTGGCGGGCAAGTACTTGTTGTTGTCCTTCAGCTGGTTGTTGCACGCGCTCACGAGCTTCTCGTCGCTGCCACCGGGGGCGAGGCACTGGTCCTCGAGCAGGGACAGGACGGACTTGCCCTTCGCGCACAGAACATCGATGATGGCGGCGTTGCTGGTGTAGTTGAGCTCGGGGATGGGAATGCCCTCCGACTTGTACAACGCACCCTCGCGCTTGAACACGATGTCGACGAAGTTGGTCTGAAGCATCTCGTTGGTGATGTTAATGAACAGCTGCTCGAGCGAGTTGTTCTTGAACACCTCGAAACCGAAAATGTCAAGCATACCAATGAAGTTCTTGAAGCCGCCCTGAGGCTCAATGGAGCGGTTAAGGTTGCGGATCAACCACAGGAACAAGCGCTCGTACATGGCCTTGCAAATACTCGATTTGAGGACCTCAGCGTCGCTCTGTTTGCGGGGACCGCGGATCTGGTTGTTGCCGGCGCTGGTCACCTTGATGGTGAACTCAGTCTCAAGCTGGTTGGGGTCCAAGAACATCAGCTGGCAAGCATCGGTGAACACGGACTTGTTCACGATGGTGGCAGCGTCGTCAACACCTTCCACGGTGGTGGCGCCTATCTCGACGTTACCCATCAACAGGATACCGGACAGCAACGAGTAGATGGTGCCGATCTGGTCCTCACTCAGGCCCATGTTCTCGAAGGACTGCATCACCTCCTTGAAGTCAGCGACATCGTCAATACCGGGCACGTCCTGGCACTTCGGGTTCAGGAACTTGTAGTCACTGATGCCCATAAGCTTGTATTTGCTCTTAATCTCAGGGCTGGCACCCTTCAACAGCTGGTAGAAGATGTGGTACGAGCGCTCATCGGCATCCTGGGTGACGATACGGGACTTCTCCAGCAAGAACGCAACAATGGAACCGTAACGAATACCACCCTCCTCAGCAACATCGAGCTGCATGAAACGACCGAAACGCGACGAGTTGTTGTTGCGGATGGTCTTGGCGTTACCGAAGGCCTCCAGCACAGGGTTGGCAGCCATGATGGCGGTCTGGATCTTGCTGTTGCTCTGTCCATCGCTCTTGTAGGCGAAGTATCGCATCATCTGCTTGGTGGCCTCGGTCTTGCCGGCACCAGATTCTCCAGACACGATGATGGTCTGGGAGTACTTGTAGTCGTAGACATTCTCCAAGGCGCGCCTGGCAGTCAAGAAAACGTGAGGAGCCAATTTCAGTGAGTCGGGCGCGTCCTTGTAGTTCTTGATGATTGCATCGGTGGCGTTTCCGAGGTTCTTGAAGGGGTTGATCGCCACAAGAAGAGGGTCAGCAGTGCTGTAGATTTGGTTGTTCATGAAACGGTGACGAAGGTAGTCAAGAACACAGGGGATATTGGTCTGCGGAAGCATACCAATGTCGCCGTAGGTCAGGGGGTCAAGCTGGGCGTTCGTGTTCCATGCTCTGTCAATGGGCACTTCAAAGGTCGCCTTCTCCTGAGAGGCGTTAGGTCAAACGCATGCGAAACACACCTGGCCGGCCGGCGGAGCGGGGTCAATCTGCGTGCAAACAAGCGTGGTCTTCGTGGAGCCTTGTTGTACGAGGCATTTCACGAACAGCAGCGCAGGATTTTCCTTGATGCTGGGTGCCGCGTCTGTCCATATTTGGAAACCCTGCATACACATTAGCGGGTCAAACACAAAATTTTGAAACGCATGAAACTATACTTACCGTCAGCAATTGCTCAGAGGCGTCGAAAGGCTGAACTTGAGTGCCCTGGCGCTTGAGCGCATTCGCCGTGGCAATCTCGTCCTTGGAAACGGTCTCCATCACGAACAGCGAAACATTAAAACAAATTATTCAACAGAGCACATATATTAACAGTGAATCGCCTTTAACGTACATGCACTTCATCCACTCGCTGGAGAGAGGCAATGCGCAATACACACGGCGCTGGAGGTGGCGCGCATGAACACTCCACCTAGGAGCACGTAGATGCTACACAGGGCGTCCAGACCGTTAAAGCAGCGGCTTTGGGTGGGCATGGCGCGCCTTTGCCGCTCCACCGCCGCTTCTGCCTACGCATTGGAGCGAACCGATGCGTCTGGCCTTAGCTGCTAAGCCAAGCCGGTTGCATCGGCTAAAATATGGAACCTTATATGTGGGTGTAAGGCGTAACGGATGCTGCTGCGGGGCATCTGGTCCAGCTGGCGAAGCCAATCGACACATCGGTGGATTACGGTCGGTTGCACACCAAATTCCGATGACACTTCCAGGTGTCTCATAGTGTAGATAAGGTGGTCAATTGACATTGTGCGCCAGCTGGTGAATTCAAAAAGGTCATTTTTACAACACACTTGTGTTGCGGCACAGGAAGCTGAATTGCTCCGGCTACTGATCACAGACGGCAGCATCTGTACATTTGGCAGCTTTGCGGCGTCCCAATTAACATTAAATTGTGCGCTTGAAGCGTTTTACGGCTTCCTTGGGTGGAATTATTACGCGTCCATCAAGAATGTATCCTTTTGCGGTTTCATACACTTGTAGCGCAGGGGACTATTATCACTTAGCATCGCAATAATATCGCCTTTATAAGGCAAATGTGGGCTTTAATTGAGCTCCCGGAACCGTAATTTGTTGCGGTGGAAAATCGGATGCGGGGATACTACCGTCCCTCGTGTCACCTGATGCGTCGCACCGGTGATTTGCGCCGTTTTTAGCAAAATCCATCCAAAATATTACAAAATCTTCTCCGACGTATAGAGAATGAGAGGAATCTATTATCGCATACTTGTGATAATTTTTCCACTCTCCCTGCAGCTTGCACTGCCGGCGGATTACAAAACATGGTATGGATCTGCGAAAAATTCATTCACCAGGGGAAAATCTACGTACGACGATCTGGTGAAGTCGGCGCAGAATAGTGAAGATGAGTGTATTATACTGAACTCAACGGATAACCGATTGTCTACAAAGTTAGGGGCTGGTAGGGGGATCGGCACGGAGTCGGGCTCCTTCCCGTGCCTCGATCACCTGCAACATAAAGGTACGATCAACAAGTGTTGGAAACCCTATGTAGCATGCAGATAATCGATCATCTTTCGACATCAACTTCAACATCGGGGATATTGCCGCCGGCTCCAGAGAGCAGCGGTTGGTCGCTGAAGGTGGATGCTGGCAGTTCGTGCTGAACCAGGTCAGCGCGCTCGACGTCGACAGATGTGACGTGAAAGGCGAAGTTTCGAGGTCTCTCATCGCATTGGCAAAAACAAAGTGCCACTTAATAAGATCAGGCAGGTCCTTCCCCCTGGCGGAGCACGGGTGCCTGCTCAATCCAGAGCTCTTAGACGATAGTGCGCTGGGACTGTTCAGTGAACAGTACACTTCAAATCCTTGCCGCAGCATGTACAGCAGCGGCGAATGTGAAAAGCTGAAGGAAGACATCGTCGCACAATGCACAAACCCCCGAGTCATGACAGAGGCTGCCTTCCAAATGTACCACGCGGACCTCAACCACATAGGTTTGTTTTCACATTATTGAGTCATATATTGTTATGCAGATGATATATGTTTCTACCTCCAGTCCAACGAATGGAACAGAAGAACCGAAACAAATGTATGTGCATTATGCATCGTAACCCAACCTGTGTCAGATAAACAGACTGGGCGAATCGGCTGTAAATCTTCTGACTACACAACAAAATATGGAGATGTTCCTAGACGGGATGCAGAAGCAACAGGAGGAGAGTTTACGAAAGGCAACTAGGTGAGGGTGTTGTAAATCTTGTCTACTGTTATGAACCGCGGGGATGCATGTAGGAATATTAAGTTTCACAGTTGCATACATGCAAATGGCGATGTAGATAATTTTAATTAATACGTCATTAAATAACCAAATTTTGTGTGATTACAGCAACGGAACAACGCTCAACATTAGCAGCACTAGCGTCTCAGTGTTACATGTTTAATAATGCACTGTTATTCATCTCATTTAGATATCGTATGAATTGTGTTGAACCAAAACTGTACAAATTTACAGGTTAACCTCTTGGATGGATGACTTGCGAGAAGATCTAAAGGACGTTTTCAGCATACTGCAAATTATCAACTCGTATCAATACAAAATATACGGTAAGTCGGCGATATTTTATAAGCCTGGAGTTATAAACGCTGCAGCCTTCATTCACAGCTTCAAGCTTTTTTTCCAATACGCATTATATGCCATCGTGGCAATCGCATTGACCGTATTCGAGGCGACTGCCTGGGCACGCCCGCGCATCGTGTTGGGTGAGTTTCGATGCCTCCATATCCATCACATTGTATTACAGCTGTTGCTACATCATGTCTCGCGGATGCGCTCGCATTTAAGGCTATTACACGTTCGGCGGCGCTGGAACGGTTAGGCTTTAGCAAGGAGGACGTGTACGGCATCACATCCTCCGCAATTCGCTGGGTAGGAGTCATGCATTTAACGATATATCGTCCAGATTGCGGTTGTTTACTCGGTTTACACGTGGGTTAAAGCTCTGGTGACGTAAGTCCAGGCGCCAAGACTCTAAAAAGCTGCGCAGTTACCAGCCACCGGCACAAGCGATGCTCAAGGAGATGCACCAAATACGGAAGATACTTACGCCTCGAATCGTGTACCCAACAATCAGCACGGAAAGAGGGGATTCTGACGGTACTGGCGACGAAGGTAGTGCCAAGCTTAAATGTGCCTCACAAGCAGCAGACAACAGCCCGCGAGGCTACACCTTGGACGACTTCGTGGAACTGTTCGGTGATCGCAGCGACAGCACGTACACATACAGTAAGCAAATGTCTGTTAGCGTTATATTTATCAGAATCCGGCTATACTACAGAAGAATCCTATGATGGCTCTTTGGGCGAAGATTCTGAGGGACTCGTTGAGGAGTACCTGGAATCGCAAAGCCGGCGGAGAAGGCGTACAGCGAGCCCTCGACAGGTAGCCAACTATAGACGTTTATAGCGTAAAACACACGCTAATATCGCATAAATGAAGTATATGACGAAGACGCTCATTGAATACATCGTCGCCCCCTCCACCTTACACACCTTGACTCAGCGATGTAGTATTTCACGGCGAATTATGACAACATTTTAAGATTCCCCTCATATAATATAAGGATTGGTATTGCTGGCGCTTGTGTTAACCCATGGAGCGCTAACACGGTGTCCTTTGTGACTTGGTAGAGACAACCCGAGCTTGGTTGTTCCAAGCGGAAGTAGAGCTGTATTCTAGCTTAAAGTGAGATCCGGCATAGAGATGAGTCAGCGAGGACAGCAGATGAGGGGTCCCGGTGCGGGCGGGCCAACGGGTCCCCCTAACCAGGGGCAACAACAAGTTGCTTGGGTACAGCAGATGCAGAATATGTCGTACTACCATCCACAGCAGCCAATGATGATGCGACCGATGTCGAACTCTCCCCATGGAATGCAGGGCGGTATGATGTACAGCGCCCCCTACGCCAATGCACCGCATGGCAACTCACAGCGTGGGCATGTGAAACAGAACCCTCCTACACACGGACAAATGCAACAGAACCAAGCTATGTATGCAGCGAATCACACTACCGCCATGCAGAGGCATCCAAACCATCAGCAAATGATGCAAAACCAAGCAATGCCGCAGCGCATGGATATGCAGATGACGGGCAACAACCAAATGTTGCATCGACAGGATGCAGCAGGTCCGGATCAACGTCAGAATGTCAATCAAACTGGGAATATGCAGCCGATGGATGCGTCGGGTGCCCCACCACCGAAACAGGTGACTGGGACGCCGACGCAAGTACCATCCCCAGGAGACACCACAAATCAAACCACTACAAATGATACGCCTACGCCGCAGGGGAAAGCGCGTCCGCGTAAACCTATAAACCCTCTTGTAATCCCGCAAATTAGACCTGTACAAGCCAATGCGGTAGTGCAACAAGCCCAGGCGCCGACGTCAACGCCATCATCGCCTCATACGTCGCCGGTTCAAGCAGGGTCTCCCACGCAGCCGCCGAGACCTGTCGAGCCGATTAAGCCAGATCTCTGCATGATTGACTGTGGTAAATATTTTGAACCACTGGCTGAAGCCCTGAATTTCGACTCTGCGCCGGAACCCTCAGGTCCGCCACTCGATGTCAAGTTTGAGCAGTTTGGAAATGCGATCGCCGGCATGCTACAGCAACAAGCGCAGATACTGGAGACCTCGCAGCTGCAAGCGAGTGATGCGGATGCCGCAATTGCAGAGGGCAGCATGGTGAACGTTCATAAACTTAACACCATGACTGAAGCGTCCGCCGCTCTGTTCGCTAACATCTCCACCCTATCGCAACAAATGCACGAGATGGTAGACAAGCTACCGCCGTTCTATACGAGGTCGTCGCACTACTTCCGCAACCTCGAAATAAAAGCCGATGATGTCATCTCTTTCTCCCACACGCACGTGCCGGAGGCCGCTGTATCAGCGCACCTGGTCAGGTTGCAGGACGAGTTGCTGAAACGGCATGCGCCCCCTTCCCCTTAGACGTTCTCGTAGATGTGAAAACAACGCAATAAATATACTAATCTAAGAGCGGCGTAATATGCATTTTGCTTGCACGATTAGGGGGTGAGTGTCTTTATCACAGCAAACGGAGGTTTATAGTGAATCAAATAGGAAACGGCGGGTCGCAACGATATACGTAGACGTCAAAGTGCAGCAATGCTTGAATTACGTTTGCCGATGTAAAATACAATATGTACATGTGTGAGGAATGGCGTTGACGCAAATATGATTGGTCTGGAAGGCACACCAGTGGAGGAGGTACCAAGCCCTGATGAAGGAGCTCAAAAGGAGGGATCTAGGTATCAGACAACTACCGAGATGGTTGTATGTGTTACAATGGGCACGAAACCCAGAGAAGATTATGAATCTGTGAGTGACACTTTTACCCAGACAGGAAGGATGCCATCGTTAATGACACCAATGGCATTGTGAAGCCAATGCCAATAGAGTAGGGCGTTCGTCACGCAAAAGTGTGAACGGGTGCAAACTGAACGTAGCTGCATAGCACACTGCAAAACTTGAAGTACGGCGTTGAGAGTCCTTGCGAAGACTGTCGCAGGCAGTTGAGCAGCGTCGGACCGATCAGCTCTTAGACAACATTTGAAATATATTTCATGTAAATATAACTGTACTCATTTAACATATTCACTATGGGAACATTGTTTGTTGCAGCTTTGTTATTTTCCGGTATATGACCACATGTATTACTCTGGGGTGCCATGTTTTGTGTATATAACGGTTTAGTCGCCAGTGGAAATTGTATTATACTGAAAATGTAGTACATTATTTGTATTTTTATTCAATTCCATATTATCATATGGAATGTCACGATGTATGCTACCGTATATGCTCGCTGATGTTGACGCTCCTCTCCTGCTGCATATGTTGTGATCTTCCGCTAAATTTGAGCTTACTAATCATATGGAGAGGACTACTACTATAGCACGTCAGCGAGAATGGAGGAAGGCGGGGGAGACACTTCAGCTTCATCGGCAACGCAGACAGAACCTGAAAATGAAAAAATCCACTATAACGTGTTGGGAAAAGCACTTTACAACATTGTGTCTTTTGTAGAAGGTTACGATCAACAGGTGCTGTCCATGTGTATGAGGGCTTTTGAAGTAACGCTGGGTTTTTCGCAGTCTCAGCTGTCTATGATGGCAACAGTGTCTACCATGTCGCGCTTGGGATGCTGTTTAATTTGGGGGTTGTTAGCAGATAAGTGCAGTACCAATCTTGTGTTTGCAGCGGGCCTTTTGATGATGGGCATGGCTTCGATTGTTCTAAGCTCCGCGTCGCAGTACAAATCGGTATGTTGCAACTTTTACGGTTAATGCTTCCTCAGATCCTGTTCTTGCGCTTCTTACACGGTTTTGCATTTGCTTGCGTCTACCCGGTGCAACAAAAAATTGTTGCGGACGAATACAGTGACCCGTGTTCCAACCTAGTATTCGGTATAATGCAAGCGTTGAATTGCATGGGAAGCCTGTTATGTGCAGTCGTAACTACACGTATTGCACGCAAAATAATGTTAGGATATTATGGTTGGCGCACGTCGTACGTTTTTTTGGGGTACGTATGGATATTGTGTGGTATTGCCATTGTATTTGGAATGCAAAGTTCGAACTGTGACGAAAAGAAAAGTAGTACCGAACCCAAAAAAACTAATATGAGAGATGTAATTGATGGAGCATTTGCAGCTGTTTTTTACTGTAAGACGGCAGGTATATCCATATTTACTTTATTCGTCGCAGAAACTCCCACGTGCGCATTCTCTTATATGACCATATACCTGCAATATTTGGGAGTGTCTGACGTAATGGCAGGCGTTGCGGTATCGGCGGCAATGATTGGTTGCGCAATAGGAAGCGGTGTCGGAGGTTTAATTTTTAAGTATATCGCAGAAAAATGACAGGGTTGGTGAACTTTCTTCCGGTATCGCAGTACTGGTCGTCCGACTAATTATGTGTCTCTTATTCTTCGTATGGGATCCACCATGTGGGAATTTGCTTTGGTATCATTATGCAGAGTTGGCAGCAATCGGTGGAACATTAGTAACGGTTGGTGGTGTAGATAGGGCCCTTTTGAAGAAAGCAATCGAAGATAAGTGCCAGGGTACCGCAGCCGCCGCGATTCGAACCATATCCGGCATCGCTAGTAGTCTGATTCTCTTCCAGGCATCGGCCTATTTGTCCGAGAAGGTGTTTGGCTACGTCCCATCGAGAAAGTCTTTTGATAACATGGAAGTCGGTATTAAACATAGAAATGCCGAAGCTCTCAGGAAATCAATGATGTACATTATTTTGGCAGGCACAATACTCAACATTGTTTGCTATATTGCGTTGTTGTGTAACATACCCCAAAAATCAGCTGCAAAGTGTACCAGAAATTGAGGAAAAACGAAAAGGCAATACAAAGCATGCGGAAAACACAGTAATGTGTAGGAATAATCGAAGGATGACGTCTTTAAACGTGACAGCTGTTTCCTCATTTAGCATGTCAGAGCATTAATACACAATAAGTGCTTAGCTATTTTGGGGGATGTGTGTCAATGCCAGTTTCACTTCAGGTGTGGTTGGTTTTTGAAAATTTGGTGGGAAACGTATTTCTAAGGCAGAGAAACGGTTGTTTATACGGTATGGTTCATGGACGGCAAGAGAAAAGTATTTGTAGATAGCTGAATAAGAATTATTTGCTATTCTATACACGACAAAATCAAGTTGTAAATCATCGGACACCGTTGCTGCGTAATAGTACAAGGATCTAAAGTACGTCATTTACGCAGCACCAAATCCGGAAGCTTACGCCAATACAAGTACGGGTGTTGGCAGCGATGCTCTGTGAGCGTATGGTCTTCAACCCCTATATGCACGTGAAGGCGTTTGAGCACGTAAGTGGCTCATAACACCCGTATCATCGATGCTCAGTGCAAGGGTACGGCATCTCAACTGCTGAGCGTGTCGTTGACTAATCACGAGTCCTTAGCACTCACGGAGTCCGTGCTGGATCGCCCATCGTCACGTGACCACCTATCGCAGGCGCTCATCGAGGTACTGAAGCAGAGCTTCGACGCGCTCTAGTTTACAAGAATTTGTAATTTAATGGTGTCAGGTATGTGGGTCAGGGCAAGTTCCAGTTGAACCGCATTGACGGTGGGACCAAAGGTGACAGATCTTCGTCAACTAAGGAATCAATACCTTGCATTTTATAGCCGGCAAGTGTTCGGTAGGACCGAAAAGTGGTCATTATGACTTGAAACATTAATATTAGCATATAATTCACCTTGAAGTTTAGGCGGTTTCACATACTCGAACTGATGTATACAATTGGTTTCATACATTTGCCACCCAGTAAGAGTGATCAGCATTGCTACTCTGTTATGAGGCCAGCTAAGAATGGTAAAAAATACAAGCCTCCGCATTTTTGGTACATTGCCCTTGGATGCGTCGTTGCTGCAGGAACGCTAATTGAGTTGGATTAAACGCTGTAAGCTCATTAGAGTGGAGACGTCTAACATATACTAAAACATTTCTGCGGTAGTCCCAGAGTGCCGATGTAGAAACATTATATTATGGTGGACGCCAATATAGCACTAAAAACGCTCATCACGCCAAAAAAAATTATATGCTCGGCTGCTATTTAAATGAGATTACCGGAGCACAGATTGGGAATGTGCGGTGGCCCCGCCTTTATTTTTGAATTCATTCAGCACCTTGTTAAAGATTTTTTTCATGGTACCACAGGTAAATGTATATACCAATGATGACTAGAAGTATGGCGCCAACAGCACCGGCAACACCATAAGCCCACGTCTCCAACATCATCCCTCAAAGCTCACTTACAATGCATCCCGTAAAGCCATGAACAAGTTGCCTACAGCCTCCAACACTTCTGGTCTACTGATGACGTGTAATCACTAGATCCATACATACAATCCGTCATCCACCTTATGCCTGGGTGAGAGCAGTCCAGCATCTCACAACGCTGACATACCGTGAAGCTGCACCACCAATGCATGCCTATATAACGTATATTGTCGAAATGATTGTTATTACTACGACATTCAAATATGTATGATCCAAGAATGCAGTCGTAGCGCCATTCATCGTATTCTTTGCGCCAGACTACGGTGGCCGTACGTACTTCTCAAGTGAGATATAGTGCTCTACAACGATATTACGGTTACTTTAACGCTGCCAACAGATATAACCCCATTAACCACGCCGTCCCGTGATTGTCACGTCGCCGACCAGACACCACCCGTAGGCTCGCCCATCAGTAATCACTCACCGCCTTTCCACAGATGCGTATGCTTTCCCGTGCCTTCTAACTGCCAAATGTATGGCCCCATCCTTTACCAATAATGCTGCTAGCCGGCGACCTAAACTGATGGCCATCCCACACAGCTTTACATTTCACCGGCACTAAAGGATGACGTAGACACGTCCGCGGGTAAAGCACAAAGCAACTGGCATCTTAACGCAACGAGTAGATTACAGGTTATGTCAGGTGCTAGGTTGCTCGGTAGTGAGTTGGATGAGTGAGTGTGTTGTGAGTGACATGAAGGCGCGGTGAGCGCCACGGTCACGTTGAGAAGTATCTTAGCTTTCCAAGTGTGTTGATACGCGCCGCTGCGAGTCGCGACTGGGCGGCGATGCGGTACGATGACGGCGTCCTCATGTGTGAGCAGATGTGGTTACTGCATGGAGTTGTGTTCATCCTGTTCTTGTAGCTACTGCTCTGCTACGATGTAATTAAGGAACGCGTTCACCGAGTACCTTTAGATGTACGATTACGAAACATGAAATTAGACATTCCGTCGGCACTGTTCCGATAATGCCGAAAACTGTGCGATAAGTGCGATTATAAAAAATGCCGGAAGTGATTAAAGAATGCGATACAAAACGTTCACTTGCAAACGAAATAATCGCGGACCCTGTGGAATGGCCAAATGCGAAAGGCGCTCATGATGCACATGACTACGAGGATGATTGCGATGACAATGACGGGAGCGGCGATGGAAGCGGGGACGCCTGTTGAATGGTTGACGCCGGTGGAAGCAAGGACACTGGTGGCAGGGTGCTCACGTTTATGTGCACAACAATGACATTTACAATCCTGAATATCCTCTGCACAGTTCGAGCAGCATACATCAACAGGTTTCGTGATATCTCTTCTGTTGGATGCTCTGGCATCTTCGCATGCCGAGCAGTCACTGCCCTGACAATACCTACAACAAAGATGACAGCACGTGCAACGTACATTACACGTGCCGCCCCTGTCCTTACAATTACACCCCGCTCCAGACATCTTCCCCTAACTGCCTTATCATCAACGTGCACAAACGTGAAATACGTACCTTGAACCGTAGAAACGCCAAGCCACCTCCGACAATCGCCGCGCATCCCACCGCCAAGGATACCACTATGTACATGCAGCGCACAACAGACACTCTCGACTTCGAATTACAGGAACAATACCTATTGTATACTTGCCAATATATTGGTGCGCTACCTGGCGCCTAGTTTAGCTGAGGGGCGTGCTTAGTATATTAGTGATCGCCACAATGTCTATAAATGCCACATGGCTAGACCGTCCACTGGCCTACACGGCGGGTAGTGACGGTGACATTCATTGCCTGGCAACGCACATGACAGCTAACAGGACAACCATTCATGCAACAGACGACCCACCCCACCACCCATGAGACTCAATAGCCTAATGAGATGAACACTCACGTTCGCTTCACTGAGTTCGTGGTGTCTACTTTCCCTACGAATATACATACCGCATCATAGAGTCCACTTGACGTCTCATCCAATCGTAACGTAGTTCATTTGTCACGCTGTTCATGTCCTGCGAAAAAAGGACCAACCTTCAAAAGTTTTGGATGAAACAATATTCCAATCTTAGTGATACGCTGTTAATGCCCTTTAAAACGCCAATTATAACGCCAGATGCCGCTACTGCTGGGCCTGATGCTGTCGATACTATTAGATGGTGACGGTCGCCATTTTGGGCTCAAGTAAAAATAATTAGTGTCAATGGCCTACTTCGCTTTGCATTGCAAACTTGTTGTTGAATACAAATCAATTGTAGTTAGCATAGGAGCGCTCCGAGCAGTTTGGTCATCGTGATATTGGTATTGGATACCAGCTGCACTGTGCAGTAGTAGACGGCGGTGCCAAGTTTATAGTGCGCAATTCAACAAAATGCTGTATCGCATCACGGCACACATCAAATAATCCGGCTATAACTAACTTGCGATTAAGGGGTGGCATCAAAAGTGTGGATGTGATCAGATTGAGCGAGCATTGACTAAAGCAATGCCACTGTTGCATTTGGGGAAACACCGGTTGAAATTACGTTGACATAATGAATGGTTGAATGTAACAGATGCTGCTATATTCCGAATGTCTCAACAAGGCAAATAGCAACTGTTTCATAAAGGTGTGGTAACAATGTTCCACGTATGACCAACGCATCCCGACCAGGGGGGTTCATTGGAGGCCTGCGCAGAACTGTGTTCAGGGGCTCAATGAATTTGACAACTGCGTAATTGGCAAGTGTCACCTATGATCTTACAGCCTCGTTATCCGTATGGTCCGTCGGTGCAACAGAGGCGACCACACGATGATGCAGCGAGATAATCCGTAGTAGAAGGCAGTAAGAAATAAATCAAAGAGCTTCACAAGTGACTACAGACGCTATATCGCCATGAATTCAGTTATAGTAGTAAAATGGCGTGCCCTTTTGAATACAGCTTCGAGGCTGCTGCTGAATACCTCCGTTCGGGGTGATACGCAATTCTCATCTCACGTGAATTGGGTTCTTCACCGTCTTATAAAATTTTAACATGGTAACCAATTATTGCGCCACAATTGCGTAGCCAAGTAAGGTGGTACTGTCTGCTACGTCGCCAGCGCACATAGCAACCTTCCTTGCGTGACGCAAAGGACCGTAAGACGTGAGTTCGTTGTGTAGTATTTTGGCATAAAATGCGACGTTATAACTCACATCTTTCAAGTCGCTATTAGAGTGTGTCATTAGGATAACGAGGTGTGGATGAAAGGTCGGCCAGCATGCCATGCATCAAAGCTGTGCTCATACGATAACATCGACGGCGCATCATATAACACAGCAGCAAAGAGTAAAACTGATGTGCCATAGACACTTGTCGTAGGCTTCTATCTAGTTATCTCTCAGATGCAGCCTACACCGTCGGGGTGAGTGGTGGATATCTGTACAGGGGTGTAGGATTCGGTTGAGAGGAAGATGAGTCACGGTAATGCTTGTTGTTGCCGTACTCCTGGCATGGTGTGCAGCCCATCTGATTCTGATTGTTGTGGACCTAACCGAAATACGTGTTGCTGCCCATGCTGCGAACAAAAAAAGAAATGTGCACCGGCGCGCTTTGCGTTATACATTGGCGGCATCACTATTCTAGTCCTCCTCTGCGTACTCGTCTGCGTTATGATCGAGAAAAGGAGGTGGCCGTTCGAGGGAATCCACGACCGCATCTATAGCCCGCCAGACGTCTACGACCCTTACGAGCGGTACCCGCCGCCACGTTCGTATACATACTAGTGTCATGGAATCCACTTAGGATTTTAACATCGCAATAACTTTGTCGTACCGCATTTGTAATGTTGTACCCATAACAATAACCATATACATATGAATGATCTAATTGCCCAGGGGGATATGCTCCCGGCATATCCAAGCCCCCTGGCGGACAAGCTGACAGCACGTCACCTACTCCAGATGGAATTGGTTCGGCAATGTCACTGTGTAATATGAGTCTAGTAGCATAGGCGTGCGGCGGTCGGATCAAACCACAAGCCGCAATTTCATGGCACAAGACACCCAGAGATATAGCATAACGTGACAGTTATTACATAGAACGTCTTTTGAACTCAGAAAGCAGGCTGAAGTGATCAGACGACGGCCAGCCCTTGTTTGGCAGGTTGCCGTTCGCCTTTACGTCACGGTACGCGGGCATCTCGTATAGCGACTGCACATGCAGCTCGTCCGCTGTGTACCATATGTAGTCCACACAGCCGCGTTGCCAGCCGTGGAACGCGGTGAACGCGGGCTCGTTGCATTGGTTCTGCCCTGGGTCGAAGGTGCTGTAGGCGCTGTGGAACTTGAAGGGGCAGAATAGCAGGTCGCTCGCCTCCCCACCTAGGGTCTTGTCTACCCCATCCGCATCTTTATTGGTCGGACTAGGGTTCGAGTCATCCTCCTTTCCGCTTAAACTCTGCTCATGTATTGCGCCCAGGTATTTTGAAATGACACCGTGCATGCCCTCGTCGAACTTGATCCATTCTGGCATCTTCGTGAACAGATCAATGCCAGTGGTGCGGCTTAGCGGCTCCACCCACTCCCCCTCGGCTCCAGTACCGTAGATGTCGGAAATGTAGTTGCCCTCGAAGTTGCCCACGGTGATGCCAGACTTTCCATGCCCGGCCTGCTCCGTCTTGTACATGGTGTCGAACATGAGGTACTGTCCGGATATCAGTCTTACGTTGCAGTTGCGAAGCACCACGTAGCCCTTGCTCAAGAAGTGGTATAGCAGGCTCTGCGGAGTGAAGTTGAAGTCTCCACACATGATGATCGCCGGCTTTGGGTGGTTGCACGCAGCGGCGCCAAGTTTCTCCATGCACACCGACTCCATATCCTTGATCGCCAAGAGCAAGGCGCACAACTGGGCGAACTTGATGTCACCCCGGTTTTTGTTGAACAACAAGTGTGTGTTTGAAAAGATGTAGATGTCGTTCACTTTAGCCTGGTCGTCTACCAACTTGCTGCGCTTGTCCACCAGCGCGATGACGATGGCCACCTGCAGACGGTCGTAGTTGGCGTCATTGACGGCGAATTCGATGTCCTTGTGTGACAACACGTCAAACCTCTCCTCTTGGTAGAGAATGCAGACACCATCCAACTTGGGCGACTTCTTCTTTTTGAAGACGGACCTGTATCCCAGGCGTTGGAATTCGCCCGAGAAGAAATTGTCATATTCCGCCTCATCAACCTCCTGCAGACATACGACATCCGCTTTAGAGTCCCTCACAACATCCAGAATAGCAAACTTTCGGCTGTTCCAGGACATCACCTCACTGTCATTGTTCACGTACTTGTTGTCCACAAGGCTGCGCGCAAGACAGTTGAAGCTCATAACTTTCAGGGGCTCAAACTTGAAGCGGGATGCAGTGCTGTGCGGCGGTGATTTGTTCATGCCGCAGGACCAGTTGCGCTCGACCAGGCTTTCGGTGTCAGACTCCGGCGTGCCATTGCGCGACGCCTGTGTCACGCTAACACGCATGCTGTCCAACTTCACGGATAACAGATCCAAGGGTTCGACGGCTGGCATGCATACAGTCGCCTTCGTAAATGTTCGTGAGCCATCAGAGCGCAACTCTTCAGTTGCACTCACGTTGCATTCCAACTTGTCGGAAGGCTCGCTGAAAGCCACCGACTGCTGCGCCTGTGATGCCTCTGCGTTCATTCCGCATCCAATGCCCGTATTCGCCAAAGGCATCAGGTCATTCACGTCGGCGGCTCCCCGACCCACCATGCCAAGTGACCCGTGGGCCATATCATGCGATTGCGTTGCCATTTTGTCCACAGGCATGCGATTAATAACGGCAATCCAGTCGCGTTTGAAGGGAAGAGCTGTTGCTCTGTTCCTGTAGTAAGCACGAATGTACAGGTTCCCCGAGCTTCGGTGCGCTGTGATGGCACCAAAAAACGAACAGCGCGTCTTCTGAACTGCCGCGCCGACAGAAACCAATCCACTGCCCCACCTCGCGTTCACAACACGGTAACAAGAGTGAGCAGCCTGTGCAAATCTCATGTACACGACTTCGCCTTGCTAACGCTGACGTCACCGATGACGTCGTCACCACCTCTAACGGCGGCGACCAAGAATAAGCTTTGTGGCACCACACTGTACGAGGCGTCGTTGAAAAACGGAAGCCCACGTGCGGTTAATATGTCTGAGGTAAGGAAGCCAACTTATGTACGGCTATTTTTGCCTTATCCTTCCCTCACACAATTTACCTCTGCAACCTCCTAGCCTAGAAACGGAGCACATACATGGAAATACTGCTCCCCTCGACTTCTAACACAGCACGCTTACATTCCATAAGGGTTATGGAATTTCACATAAAAATTTTCAATCCAGTGTAGTATCGATGTTGCAGCAGTCACCTGAGGTCAGACTTCGATGTCGTGATTCCTTCGGCTCTAAACGCCAATCCGTCTTTCTATGCAAGCTGTACGTGATCCACACGCACTATCACGCTATAACTCGCTGATACACGCTATCAGCAACGCGCCCCGCCGTTATAATCCGTCAGGCAAGGACAAGTATAAGAACGCGAACGGATCCATGACGCCCGCGCAACCAGATGGCGATCCCATCCTATCTAACACCAAACCACACCAGATACTATGCCTAGATGAGATAGGCCAACATGTGACCGTGAGTCACACGTATGCCAGAGTGAAACATCTCTGCGGCAACGATGTTCGGCTTGCGTAAATCGCAGTGGCCGGATAACAACGCAAACGCGATAAAATCGCGCGATTAATTCGACGCTGGGTCCACTCTATATGTTTTTGAATGTGACCGCGGTACGACGGTGTGATGCGGGGCACCACGGTCTACCACATGTACCACCGACGAGCTTATGATGAGCGGATTTAGAACAAAGACGGGGTCTATTGAATTATAGGTAAATAATTGCGCCCACTTCAGGCGGTAATGAGTCTAAATATTTACACCGAAAATCACCGTATCACCAACGGCAGAAGCGACACGACAGCCGTGTGTGTCTGCACAGAGTAAACAGAAAACTGCATGTCAGTTGATTGGGAGTTTTGAGAAAAAAAATGTGACGACGAAACGCGCTGAATGTCCTCGCGACATAGTGCTTGCCACGGCCGTGTGTGTGAGACACAATAACCTGGAAGGCGCCGAGAAGGCGCGCGTACCTTAACGATTCGGTGAAATGTTGCACGACTAGAGGCATATCACATGTGCCCGTAAATTGATTATTTCCCTGCGTGACATTTACCGCTTTGTGTGCCTAGCATCATTCCGACGATCAGGGCGTCCATATGTGTAGTGTGACCTTCCAACCTCGGACGCCGTTATACATTGAGTCATACACATATAGTTGACATATTTTACTTAAAACTACAAAATAGAGCCTAAATCGGCTATTTGAGTTTCGGTTGGATCGTAAGGAATGCTCGGTCCATTCACACGGATTTCGCGGTAGAAACGCAGCTTTAGGCAAGGTGTGGCATACAACGGAACCACATAGGTGGCAATGTGCAAGGAAGGATGCAGAATTCCCGATCGTAACCAGTTCGAGACTGTGAGGCGACGTTACCTCAGCCCCCATCGTTGCGACGGAAGCGGACACCACCGCCATATGCCGTAAAGGTCAGTACACCGGCATAAAAGAGACACGTGACTTATCACACCACAAACCAAATATTATTAGTTTACATGTGAGTTCTCCAACCATGTCGGAAGAGGAGGAGCAACCTGCGACGGACACCTATCCGTGCGCGCCTGCGCCGCCGGTGGAGATCAAGCTTTTCGTCGCGCGCATACCGAAGACGCACGAGGATGCGGAGATCAGGAAAATGTTCGAAGAGTTCGGGGAGGTGAAGGATGTAGTAGTGATCCGCGACAAGACCACCAACGCACACAAGGGCTGCGCGTTCGTTCGCATGGTCTCAATATCGCAAGCAGACGCGGCCATCAAGAGTCTGAATAACAACCTTGTCGTGGACACGGCGCTTGGCGCTGTGTTGGTGAAGTACGCCGCAGGCGAAGCTGAGAGGCTGGGATTCACCTCCCTCGTGGGAGAGCCCGGTGTCAATGAATGCAAACTGTTCGTTGGCAGCATCCCCAAAACGGGCGATGAGTCCATTGTGCGCGAGATATTCGAACAGTACGGCACGCTGGACGATGTGTTCATTATGAAGGACCAAAACGGCGTCGGAAAGGGTTGTGCGTTCGTTAAGATGGCCTACAAGGAGCAGGGCCTCTACGCCATCCGCTCACTCGATGGCATGAAGCAGCTGGACGGCTGCTCCCGCCCGATGGAGGTGCGCTTCGCCGAGTCCAAGGCGAACAAGCAGCTTGGCGGCGGCATGCACCACGCCGCCATGCGCGCTCCCATGGTCCAACCACCCTACCCCGTGCCAACACCCAGCCAGGTGCGCCAGGTCGGCATATGGAGGGAGTACATTTCTCCCGAGGGCAAGCCGTACTTCTACAACGAACAGACCGGTCACACGCAGTGGGAGCGCCCCCCCGAGTTCGATAACCCCTCCGGTGCCGGCCAGGCCCCAGCAGGCCCCCCTGGTGCCAATCTGTTCGTTTTCCACATCCCCAACGAATGGACTCAATACGATCTCGTCCGCACCTTCTCCCAGTTTGGGAAGATTTTGAGCTCGCGAATCGCGTCAGACAAGACGACTGGAAGGCACAAGGGTTACGCCTTCGTATCATACGACTCGCCAGAGTCGGCTGCACAAGCTATACAACAACTAAACGGCTTTACAGTGCTGGGAAAACGACTGAAGGTGACTATAAAGAAGGGAGACGAGTCGGCGGCAGTGTCCGCAGCCCCGTCTGCCGCCCCTGGCGCAGCTTCTGGGACTGGCATGGTTGGCAGGATGCCCACACCGGCGTACCAGACCTACCAGCCCCCCCACGTAGCTGGAGCGCAGCCCTACGGACAACAACCCTACTACGGATCCTATCAGAGGTATGCTCCATATTAATGACGTTTCACTGCTGCGCGACTGGCTTCGACGACGGCCGCCTTACGACGATTGCATGAAAGTGGTGTTAAGACGTTGCGTTATTGGACCTCTTCGCTGAAGTGCGTGGCTTGCTTCCCTTTCTGATCGTCTGCCCTTTCGAGTGACCGATGCGACGCGCGCGACCAAAGTGTCGGATTTCATACATCGTTTGTGCCATTATGATGCCCAATTGGAGGCAGAGCGACCGAGTGCCCCGGAATTGCTCTTCATGCAGCGCTACAGCGCGTCTGTGATTAGAACGTGCATACATAGCGTCAATTTAGTTTGCTGCCATACACCATGTAACATACGCGTATACATTTGCCCACAGTTTTCACAACAGTTCCGCCGTGATGTTGTACCTGAAATGCTTGTTGCTCGAGTTGAGCGTGATCTTTACGTGGTCGAACAAATTGACGTGGCGGCCCGACGATAGGGTGACGCGCTGCGTCTCCGGGTCGAATGCAGCCACGTCGACGCTTGCAGTCGCCTCGATCCCGAAATCGTGGGCCAGCAGGCTAATGCGCTTCTCGGTCGCCCCCACCACGGTCGCTACCGTGGAGACACTGCCCTGCGCAACGTATGGAAATGGAAAACGGGACAACGCACCTGCTTCTTCAAGAACAGATACGCGAAGAGCTTGATCGACTCGCGGCCACACCAATTGGCGTTCCGATGCCTTCTATTCAGCGCCTCGCATTGAGCGGGTAGCTGCAGTTACTATCAAACTTTCTAAATTCGCCTACCTCCTGGAAGAAGCCGGTGTCCATGGCCTCTATGTCGAGTGCGGCCGCCAGCATGCGGTGGACCACGACGTCTGCGTACCTACGGATGGGCGACGTGAAGTGGGTGTACAGGTCGGTGCACAGCCCGTAATGCCGGAAATCATCCGAGCCTGTGTCGCCCGAACTGCAGTAGACTGCCTGACTCATGCACCTCGTGGTCATGATACGGAGGGCGCTGCCCAGGCGATTATCGCTCTTCTCCACAATGCGTTTCAGCGAGCAGTTGAGGTCGCGTGAGTTACCGAATTCAAACTCCAGCTGGTGTTGGGAGAGCGATCGCTGCAGCGCCTTCAGGCGTACCTCCATGGGCGGCGGGTGCCGACGGAGCAGCGCGCAGGTGGGGAACCTCTCGAAGATCTTGGTTGCGACGCTGACGTTAGCCAGCAACATGAACTCTTCGACCATGCGGTTTGTGTCATAAAGCACATATTTCTCCATCTTGCGAATGTCAGTCAGCTCGTATTCGAACTTCACATCTGGTGACTCCAGTTCCACGGCACCCCGTTCGAAGCGCTTGGCTCGGAGCATTTTCGCGAGCCTGTTGAGGCCATTCAAAGCTTGCGTGATCTCGTCGCTGCAACACGGTGATTAAGGTGCACAATCCTGAGCTTACCTCCCACCGGCGTCGATGAGCGCTTGGGCGTCCTTGTAGCTGAATGCGCGGCAGCTGCGGATGATGCCCTTGCCGAATTTCGTGTTGCATATTTCGTTTTTGCTGTCGAATTCCCACACCACGGAGAAGCACAGACGGTCCTGGTTCTCAACCAACGAGCACAAGTTCGTTGTCAACAGGGACGGAAGCATGTCGGTACGTCGGTCCACCAGGTAGACCGTGGTGCAGCGCTGGGAAGCCTCCCGGTCGAGCCAGCTGTCAGGTCGCACGAAGTGGGTGACATCGGCAATGTGCACTGACACTTCCACGTGGCCATTGTCCAACACACGATATCCCAAGGCGTCATCGATATCCTTGCAACCGGGAGGGTCGACTGAGAAGACGAGTTGGTTTCGGAAGTCCATGCGGCGAGCAATCTCTTCCTCGCTCGGCGCCCAATTGGGCGGAGGCAGCTCCTTATATGCGGGCGCCGGGAAGTCGCGAGTGATGACATCGTGTTCCCGCAGGATCACTGCACTCTCGGTCTCCATGTCCTCGACATCCCCCAGTACCTCGACCCAGTGACCGGATGGTTTGCGCGAAAAACGGTCCCAGCTGTCGATAGCGACAACAATGCGCTTGCCGTCCAGTTCACCCGACTTGCGGGTGTCGATGAAGATGAACGGGATGCGTGCATCCACCGGGACGAACACGCGCTGCACCGCATGGTGGGTGCCAGTGATGTCGGCCGCCTCGTCGACGGGCATCAGCGAACCGCAGTATTCCCTCCAGTTGCGGCGTATGATCCCCACCACACGGCACTCCTGCTTTATGCACTCAGCCGGCTTCTCGTCCTTCGTGGCATCGAGGATGGTGGCGCGGTCCGACTCTTCGCCAACAAGTTCCTCTGGTGCACCAGCTTCCGCGGCAGACGCGCTTGCTGGCGTGCCCATATTTAATTGCTCTCCGACGATAACTTCGATGCAAACGTTGTCTCCGTGGATGGCGCGGTTCAGGTTGGCAGTTCCGGACACCTTGAACTCGTCCTTGCCGCATTTCACATAGCCGTTTTGGAAGGATCCCGCGAACATGTTGAGCACGCCGCTGTAGTAGCGGCCGGTCTCTATGCCAGCCTGCATCTCCGATTCCGTAAGGTGCGCAGGGTAGCACTCATCATCGTCGGCAGCGGCGCCACGGGTTCCAGATTCTGGCCGTGCTGCCGCGACGTACTCCAGCGCATCGGCGATTTTGGGCTTCAGCTCCTGAGCCCACTCCTCCACCGTAAGCCGTTCAAAATACGTTCTCCCTCCGTCTACGGCTGATGGACCTCGAGGTGAAATGTCCATCCCTGTAGCATGCGATGCATAGCTTGGAGCGGACAACGTAGGGTCCAGTGAAACTGCGTCTTGCGACTCGTCTGACGAACCTTCATCCTCGCTGTTGCTCAGCAGTATGACACGGCATCGGGGGAGGTGGGATTGGTACCACGTTGCGCATTTCTCTATCAGACGGTGGTCGCGTTCAGCCGGCGTTTCGTCGTCGTTCTCCGGAACATAGGTGGGTTCAAAGTTCTCGTTAGAGAAGAGGTAGAAGCGTCTAACACGTGTACCAGTTTCATCGGCTGTCTCAGCATCCTCGGAGCCGTTGCCATTGGCCAGCTCCGCTACCGGATTTCCTGGCAGCAATAGCTTCTTTATGCGCGCGTACATGCCAAGGCTGCGACGGCGAACCTCGTTAAGGACCGTCGCAGGGATGACGCAGTTATCCAGACATTGCTCGCAGAAGGTCATCTGCTTCATAATAACGTCGACGGTGAGCACGAGCAGCGGTTGACTGCCGTCCAGTTCGCCTGCAAACGATGATGTCGTGAGCCGTAGAATCTACCCTGGACTTGCGAACGCACGCACGACTTGCAGCGGTCGACGCCACAGCCGATGTCTGAGCGGTGATAGACCTCTCGCGTGAACCGTTTAACATGGCGGTGCCCAGAGGCACGCCAGAAGGTCCGCAGCGTCCGCTTCAGCGACGGCTGGAGCACCCCGTAGTCTTCAACGTCCTCCATTTGTGACTATAGGTGTTAGTGTGTGACGACAGGTGATAAGATTCTCTAACGGTGACGCTACCGCTGCTGCGGTGGGGACCGGAGATGCGTTACACAACGTCGCGGTCGGTTGCTGAATAACGGGTCGTATGGCTGTATAATGTCCACGTGTGCATATTACTAAATCTAGCTTTTATGTGGGTTGCTAAAACCGCCGTGAAGGCGGCCTGCTGACGTTGTATTGAGCCTATAGACACGGAACGTCAATGCAACATTAGGAGCCGCATGGAACCAAACAACACGTACACACCGGCGCCGAATACAACTGAAAGGCCATTAGAGCCTATATGGAATGTCTTCGGGCCTAATGCGCCGCGATCGGTTGATGGCGCAGGTGTCTGACTCTGCGTGACCCCGGCGGCAAATAACTATACGCTGAAAGATTCTATTTATTGCACATTAGCACTAGCATGGGTACCGCGGATGATTCTGCGGTAACAGGCGCAAATTTGGACACACTAGCTCTATGAAAACCAATGCGATCGCCGTACTGCGTTTCGCGCACGCACCACAGGTACTGTCCTTTGCGCGTGCTGTCCCGAAGCGGTATCTTGTATACGTGCATGAGATGAACATTGATATTTAATAAAAACAACATGTCGCAACAGAGCTTCGGAAGCGCCCGCGGCGTTGCCCGTGTCGGCTCAGCCAGCGCTCTTCCCGAACACCTCATCCCGGATAATATCCATGGACACCTCAGCGCAACGGCGCCACAGGGCAGCATGATGGACGAGAGGGCGCTGATGTCGCTCTCCCAGAATGTGTACTTCGGGAAGTGCTCCGTGCAGATAAACGAGGTGAGTCGGCAGTACGCTGTTGCATACTTTGCAGTACGGAATCAAGGTGCCCACACTGTGGAGGAATGCGAGTGCAGCGGTGCTCACGCACCACGCGCTGCTCTACGAGGCCAACACGGTCCTCAATACCACCGGGGCGGTGTGCTGCAAGTCAGGCGAGAAGACCGGCCGCTCTCCGGCCGACAAGCGCACGGTGATGGACGAGGTCTCGAAGGACAACGTCTGGTGGGGGAAGGTCAACATCGAGCTCTCGGAGCTCGCTTACGCCATTAACCGCGAGCGTGCCATTGACTACATCAATCTGCAGCAGCGGGTCTACATCACCGACGCATACGCCGGGTGGGACGCAGAGCACCGCATCAGGGTGAGGGTCATCAGTACTCGAGCTTACCACGCGTTGTTCATGAAGAATCTGCTCATAGAGCCCACCGCGGAGGAATTGGCGACGTTCGAGCCCGAGTTCGTGCTGTACAACGCTGGCGCGTTCCCGTGCAACCGTTACACCAGGGGTGTCTCGAGTTCCACGTCGATCTGCCTGAGCTACAAGCGCATGGAGATGGTTATCCTAGGATCTGAGTACGCCGGAGAGATGAAGAAGGGAATCTTCACACTCATGATGTACCTCATGCCGCTGAAGGGGCTGCTGCCACTTCACTCCTCCTGTAACGTTGGCCCCAACAACGATGTCACCCTGTTCTTCGGACTCTCGGGTACCGGAAAGACTACTTTGTCGGCGGATCCGTCGAGGAGGCTCATTGGTGACGACGAACACGTGTGGACTGATAAGGGCGTGTTCAACATCGAGGGAGGGTGTTACGCGAAATGCAAGGACCTTTGCCGCGAGAAAGAACCCGAGATTTTCGACGCTATACGTTTCGGAGCGGTGGTGGAGAACGTGGTCTACGACGTCGTCTCCCACGAAATCGACTACACCGACTGCTCCATCACGGAGAACACCAGGTGTGCCTACCCCTTGAGCCACATCCCCAACGTCATCATCCCCGCGAAAATCGATTCACACCCGTCTAACATCATCTTCCTCACCTGCGATGCCTTCGGAATCATCCCCCCGGTCAGCAAGCTCACGATCGAGCAGGCCATGTACCACTTCGTCAGCGGCTACACCAGCAAGATGATCGGCACGGAGATGGGTGTCACCCGCCCCACGGCCACCTTCTCGGCCTGCTACGCTGAGCCTTTCTTGGCCATGCACCCTATGGTCTACGCCAAGCTGCTGGAGCAGAAGCTACAGAAACACTCAACCGACATATGGTTGCTGAACACCGGGTGGATTCAGGGAGCCGTCGATTCCAAAAAGGGACGCCGCATTCCGCTCAAGTACACGCGCGCCATCGTTGATGGTATCCACAACGGAACGCTCAAGAACGCCAAGTACGAGCAGATGCCCGTCTTCGGACTTATGGTGCCTGTGGAGGTGGAAGGCGTCCCTGCCGACGTGCTCAACCAGCGCCTTGGTTGGGGCTCAGCCGACTACGATGTCAAGGTGGAGGAGCTGGCGCGGAAGTTCGCTGAAAACTTCAAGCAGTACCAGTCGGAGGCCAACGAGAGCATCCTGCGCGGAGGGCCGGTGCAGCAGTAGGCTGCCGCCACGCAGCGGTGTCAAACGCCAGCGAATGCCATGTGTAACAACAGTTGCGGTCTGAAAACGCGCTACCGCTGTGCAATACACTAATTCCGTTTCTAATTTTTTACAAATGTTTGAAACGTTAACACCGTGTTAGTTGGCTGCGCAACGCAGAGCGCCACTTTTGGGCAAGCTTGCGGGCGCCATTAAAGCCCCCCGATTTGGTCACGTCGAACCTCCCGATATATAGCTCCTGCTCGTACGTGCCCTGCCGCATCAGGTCGCGAGGGGTGACCATGAGGCACAACACCGCCTTTTTCGGCGTCCCCTCGAGCCAGAAGTAGATGGGGCCTGAAAGCTTGGAAGTCATCACGCCCTTCTTCAGTCGCTCTTCGAGAGCGGCTACAGCCGCGTCGTACGCGGCTTGGAAGCCGAGGGACTCAACGCTGAAAGCTTCGATGCTGCGATCGCCGTTTTTCGAGTCGTACGTAATAATCATCCACAACTGAGCGCCGCAGGAGAACACGATGCCCCGGGTCTCTGGCATGACCCTTGCTTCCTCCAGATGCTCCAGACGGGTTCCGCTGTTGGGGTTGTACCGCAGGGCAACCTGGCAAACTTCCTCGAGCAGTCGCCGCTCTTTGCTGGCAACTGCGGCAGACGTCGACCCCACAGCGAAGTCTGTTGCCAGCTTGAGAGCACCTTCCATCCCAAACTTGCGAATGGAAAACAGGCGCCGACGCCTGGCACCTAACGGTCCCAGATACACCGATACGAAGGAGTGTTTCTGGCCGTCGTATTTCACCATGTTACGTATTTCAGCCGGGATAGGGGGAATCTCATGCTTCAGCGGGGGCACCTCCACGGAAACCGTTTCGTAGCGGTCTCCCGTGGTGACAGCCGGCGTCGGCGGGGCGGGGTTAATCACCATGGGCGCAGCCGTTGGTGCAGGCACCATCGCTAGGGTCCCCGACGAAGGTTTCACGGTGTTTTGTGTCGTTTGCAACACAGTGGATGGCGCCACTTCACCTGAAGGTGGAGGCGGGGCTTCGATCATCGGAGGCATGTATTGCGTCTGTTGAAGAGCGTCAAAAACCTCTTCGAACGGCGGGAATTGAGCCGTGCTGGTTGTGTTGAAATCTCCATTGCCAGAAGAATATGCCGGTGGGTTGCTTGGTGGAGCGGCGTCTCCCATGGAATATTCTATGGCAGGTGGCTGCCCCCACGAAACGTCGCAGGCCGCATTGACCGCCATACCCTGTCCATCGGAGCAACCGTAATACGGAGCGTTGAACTGCTGCTGTTCCATAGGGGGTGGCGGGCCCAGCATGGGGACCGACGTGCGCATGGAGTTCCTGAAGTCGTAACCGTTCAAGAGGTTGCCCAGGATCCCGTTCTTGATGTCGATCAGAAGCTGCTGGTTCTGCATGTACGCCTTCAGGTACGTAAGCTGCAAGGTCATCGCCAATTGAGGCTCAACGGAGTTTAGGAGCTCGGGTGTTGGCGGCAAAGGCATCCTCTTGGTGAGCTCGTTGATGGCGTCGGTGAGCTTCATCAGTTCGGCGACGGTCACAGTACGGTCCAAACGCGGCGGGAATAAGCCGTAGGAATCCGTCAGATCGCCAACACGGTTCACTTGATTCACTCCGATGTTCGATATGCCGTTAACGTTCTGCGTTCCGCCAGTGCTGCCTTGTTGGCTGCTGTCAGAAGCCACAGCGCAGCTGGGAGCGAAGGTGAGCTCATTGCCAGATGGGAGAGATTGCAAAGGCTGCGTACACGAGTTGTACGTTGTGCCATTTAGATACTTCCCGTAGTTTTCCCAAATATTCTCCCACGGCAACAGCGCTCCGGACGAAGACGACGACGTCGAGCCCCCGGGCTGCCACGCCGGTAGACTCAAGGCGGCGCCATCAGTTGGTTGCGATATGTCGGGAGCGGCGCCTTGCACGTTCCTGTAGAGCACTGTTTCGTACCTGTTAGGCTCGTGCTTCTGCTGTTCGGCCGGAGAAGGCTCTGCCCCTGCGGCCGCCGATTGGCCGCGCGATCCCGAAGCTCCTCCTAATTCTCCATCGAGATACATGCTGAACAGCTCGACTACCGCCGGTGCACAATAGCTGGCACATCATAAAAAGCGGCCTTCCAGTGCTTTAACGGATTAGCCGGCCCGCAGCGTACCGGCCGCTCGGACAGGCGTACCGCCGTCCGTGTCCGTTTCAGAGAAATTTGACAACTTCCGCTGACGTACAAATTGTGGGATGTATTAAATAAACGTAAACTATGCTGCTTTACGGCCGCAGAGGGCTTTGAAGCATTGAGCGTACTCAAGCGATAGTGCCGAACGCAGGCTTTGCGATCGACGGGATTCCACGTACATTAGAGTCACACACTATTGTTTTAAATACCTTGAAGCGGTTTTACGTGGTATTCTGTATTGGGCGTTGTTTTTAGGCGTAAAATTTTTGCTGAGCCGCTGTGCACCGCGTAGACGCAACTCGAGTACCGTTGTTGAGGTCACGACCGAAACTGGAAGGCATCCTTCGCAGATCCACCGATTTTCCGCGGTGAGCTCTGGGCGATTTTGCAATGTAATGAGCAATCGTAGTCTCCCTTAGACACTGGACACGGTTTTGTAAATCAGTGTTAACATGGCAGCAATAAATATGCAACATACAGCTACCGAGACAAATTAATGGGATATCAAGACCATGATTAGAGCGTCATAACTCTGGCAAGAAGTTCGAGGATTCTACACAGGGAAATGCAATAAACTGTTCCTCCGATACGCCCATCTGCACAGGACAATGTAGATATGTCCCTTTTGGCACTGCAGCTGATGCTGTTGTCTACATGGCTCCTGATACCGCATTTAATATGCGTGCCGCTTGTATTGTGCAGTCATGGGCCATACGCGTTGTTGCGCCCACTAATTCCTACACGAAATTTTGTGGAGACTGGCAGAGGGCACCGATATAGGGATGGCGGCATTATCGCAACATCGCAGACTAGAAACGCCAATGGACGGTACGGGGTGTCACGTCATGGCGCATTTATTGCCAAAATGGGCTGCAGTCAGTCGGCATACTCATCGGGAACAGTGGGACATGGGTGCTCCTTCCTTGGCGATGAAGATTTTTATAATAGCGCTAACGCAGGGTCACTCTACGGAAACACATCGCCTTCGTCTGGATATAGACGAGGGTTCACGTTGCATCTCAGTGTTCGCAAATTGAGGAGAATGAAGCGGCGCCAAATAAATCGCATGAACAAGGATCTAGAGCTGTTTCGGCGCGTGAAGGAGCGCAGGCTGAAGAACCCCAATCGGCTCGTAGATATACGTAAGATCAACTTCATCAACGACGAATGCAACCCCGCGCTCATGAGGCTACCTGTTTCGCCGCTGGTCGACCTGAACGGACTGGTGCCATTTAAAACGGTGCCACAGATGACATCGCAAGTGCCCTTTAACCCGGCTCCGGTGCTGCACAACGTAGGGTTCAGGTTCAAGCCAGACAAAAACGGAAAGTATGAGCGTTTCTGCGAGCCATACCCGATGGACGAGATTTTGCAGGTGGTAGACGCACGCAGTCTGGGTGCTATAAGCCGCATGGCTGGCAAGTACAAAATCACGGGGGACGGAACTAGGATACCCACCCCAATGGATAGCCAAATTGTACCTCCGGGTGCTAGTGTGGGCAAGGGGTACGGGTTTGGTCTCACCAAGAAACCCGAACCTAAAAATAAGCCCATACCGCTCTCCAACTTCAAGCCTTTTGCTCCTAACATGGAAACGCTCATTGAAAGCCCGCAAGAACTTGAAAGTGTACAGATGCAGGCACGTGCCTACGCTGAAAGCTTGGTCGGCAAAATAGCGGAGTCTGCCGGCAACGATGCTTCGCCGACTGTGGACTCCAGCTCCGAAACTTCGGATGCCCTCACCTCTGCTGTGGAAACACGTCAAGATATAGGAAAATACGAGTCAGACATCGGTGCTATAACGCAACACGCTGCGACAAGTGGGCGGTACGATCAGGTTAAAGACGCCGTTGATGTTTCGTATATGGACGACGTATGTAACGAAGGTGATATCATGAGGAACCCCAGGTACCTCGGAGAGTATCGGTACAAATACTGGTACCACCCCTTCTACGGCAACGCAACCATGCCTGGTGACGAAAAGCGCCTGATCGAGGAGTACAACCGCGAACACCCCGACGCGCCTTTGGAATATGAGGAATACAAGGTCGACCTCATCTACTGTCACTCCAACGGTACAATCGTCTACCTCGGCGAAGACCAGGAGCCGTACACTAATCAGGCCGATGACTTCGTCATGGAGGGCGAGGACCCTAGGGAGCCACGCTTCGTAGTACAAGCGGAGGCAGGCTTCATCAAGGAACATCAGCTGAAGCTAGGGCAAATTCTACCCAATGTCAACAGTGAGATGAGAGAGCGTTATTACGATAACATATTCTTCACACCAAAGAGCGTGCGGCGCCAGTGGCAAGTGCATCTGCCCGATGGCACCCCGGTGATGTAGTTTGCGGCCCAGCTAGATATTTGCACAGTAACGGTTTAGAGCAAATACCAAACTATGATGCACTAATGTGGTTATTTGATTACAGCGATACTGCTTTTGTAGTATCTATCAAATTGGGTATAATGCCTTCATTTTTATTGTTCTGACACTACGCACTCCGAATATGCTACGACTGCATATGCCTCCAATAAATGTTTTTAGTCGTTTGTATATATTTTCTCTGCGTTTTGTGTTGGGATTAAAAGGTGTCGCTGGCCTGTTTAATTGGTTTTCATCAATGCCGAGGTCCAACGTCCACTGCACATGGGCGTTCAATCAACCGGGGCACATGGGACAAGCGCATATTATATAAAAAGACAATCAGAGATAGACACCAACTACGCTATCAAAGATATGGTCGTGTTGTAAAGCTTTAGACAAATTTTGGCTCTGGCGCCATCCACGTACACAGTTTCCAGCGATGTTGTTGCACAAAACACGAGAATGACATCAATTATGCAATTATTATGGATACTACAGTATTGTGCACAATTGTGTATTATAAATGATTTGAAATGTAAAACTTCTGTTTTAAAAACTTGCAGTGGTAATGCGACTACACCTACACCAGCTATTTCGCAGTGGCATATAGAGGTAGCTTAATTCTACTCGATGTACATCGGACCACCCAAGCGTACTCCACGGTACCTGTCTAACCCTTCACCTCGGTAACTGGCTAGACAGGAAACCTCAAAAAAGCCCTCCCCCAATTCAGCTCCGGCAACCTCCAGCCAGTTTCTTGCCTGTCGGCTAATCCGGTGCTGCGCGGACATTGCGTTGTACGCGTCGTAATCGGCTACATTTTTGACAGGCGCGAACTGTGCATCGCGGTCTACCTCGATGCATACAACCTTGGAAGCAAATTGGAACACATCGAAGACGAAGAGCTCAAGAGTGTACCCGTTGGGCTCAGCGGGTCTCACCAATTTGCCTTCATCCTTGTCGTAATACGTCACTGCCTTCTTAGCAGCATGATACGGTAGCTGTTTGAAAAGCTGCTCTGCAATGACCCTGCGCAAAAATTCACCCGAGAAGACGTGGTCGCACATATTCCCGTATACGCGTGTTGTCCCTTGCAAAAATGATGCGTCCGGTAACATCGCGAGCTCACTGTACTCCACGACCCTCGGGGATTTTCCCATGCAGAAAACTCCTACATTCTCCGACCCGCGCCTAACCACGCACTTGTTTAGTACCTCCACCCCCGGGCATCGCAGCGCCAAGCCAACTAGCTCCGGGTCGAGGGGCCGAGACAGTGCGTTGTCAATGGCGATAACATGCAACAGCTTCAGGCTTTCCAGCTGTGACATGAACTCTGGGCAGTGCGCCAGTGCCTCGTATAGGTCTCCGTTGCCCTTGGGTGCCTCCACCACGTTGCCGTCGGAACCATCTTCGGCAGGAGGGCTAGGAAAGAAGTCGTTGCCATCCAGCGTTAGGCACGGAGCTGTGCTCTGCATTACCAGTATCACCTGCTGTTTGTCGAGTCCGAAGTAACGCTGGGATTGCAGGTAGCCTGCGATGCTGTCGTGGTTGAAGGGGGACGTCAGAATGTAAACACGCGGCCGGACGCTATCCTTACCGAGCAATGTGCACAGCCGATTCACCCGTTCAAGGTGTAGCTGGAGCAGTGTTTTGCGGCGCACCGGCGAAATTGGAAGCAACGCTTTTGGGAAGGTTATACCTACCCGGGTTGCTAGGCCGCCGGAGAGGATAAGCAGGGCGTACCCGCCCCTAGACATCTCACACATGCCATCTTCAAAAAGCGATTCGCGCTGATCTGCAGAAGGTTCGCGTATCACGCGGCCAAAGGCCTCCGACACACCCAGCTCATCGAGCTCAACCTCTGGCAGAGGCGTCAGACCCGATTCGAATCGAACTGTGCGCGCCTCTCGCAGCAGCGATCGGTAATCAAGCATTGAAATTTATTAAATGTCCAAGTATACAGTGCAATGGCCGTATCGCGGCAGAAGTAGTGCTGGTCCTGCACATATCGTGGAAGACACATAATTTTACACATACCTTTCGACCACTCGTCGACTTCCGGTTTGTATATATAGGTGGCGTCGGAGACTTGCGTGTTCTGACCGCCTGTCAGTAGGAGCGAGTCGCCGCAGCACGTCAGCGACGTGTCCATAAGCTCGACCGGCGCCTCCATCAGGTATCGGCTCGCCTGTGAAGCCGAGTTCCATGTTTCCAGTGAGTTGTGGATAGTGTGCATGTTGTCTATTCCCCCAATGAGGTAGAGCTCGTTGTTGTACGCGCAGGCAGCTCCGGCACTGCGTACCTTGAGCAGCGCTCCTGGCAGCGCCTCCCACTTGTTCATACGTGGGTCGTAGCGTTCCACGCTCTGCAGCCGCTCGCCGCTGGTACCGCCCAGCGCATACAGCATGCCGTTCTGCGGTGCGAGCATGGGAGATGACCTAGGCGTAATGAGTGGCGCCACTTGTATCCAGTTGCGCATCCGAACATCGTACGACTCCACGGAGTCCAACACCGACTGGCCGTCGAAACCTCCTACGCAAAAGAGCCTATCTCCAAAGGCACACCCTCCGTTGTTGCGGCGAGCCTTATTCAGAGCGGCAGCGGTATGCCATGTGTCACGCAGCCTGTCGTACATCTCGGTTTCGCACAGCGCCTTGTAGTCGAGGTTGTGACCGCCAAATGCGTACACGAAGTTGTTCAGAGTTCCCGCTCCGAAGTACATACGAGCCGTCTGCATCGGAGAGCAGTTGCGCCAGCACATGGTCTCGCGGTCGAGCACCTCCACCGCCCCCAGGGGCGCACGCCCGTCGTGGCCGCCAAGGCAGATCGCAAGGGGATAGGGGCTGAACTTGATCTTGTAGTAGGCTGCCTCGTTCAGTATAAGCGTGCTTTCTGCGATATCCTTGGGGACGGGCAGGCATTCCGGATTGCGCATGAAGTTTAGGATTAGCCTAAACAACTCGTAGTCGCGATCGAGGAAGATGCGGCCCTGTCGATCGCGCCCCACCTCGTGCCGGCCGCTTATCAGGTTGGCAAGGAACGACGTCGGCTGTTTCGCGATCGTGTGTCGCGATGTCTCAAATACTACGCCGCCGACGTTTATGTCCACCATTGTCTGAGTTGCGATCTTGTTGTCCAGCACCTTCCGCTGGTCTTGCTCGAATAGCTCAACCCGTTGCCGCAATTTCGCCGATTCGAGTTGCATGTAGTTAGCGAATATGTCTTTTTCGTGCTCAAGTTTCTGGCGCTCCTCCTCTATTCGGCGCCGCGATTCCTCGCGTTCGAACTGTACATGCTTCAGCTGCGACGCTATTTCCTGGCCGTGGCGCCGACGCTCCTCCTAAGAAACATCAGTCCAGAAAACAAATTGCTTACACTGAGCTTCTCAGCCTCTACAATGCGCTCCTGGCGCATCCGTTCGACAAACGCTTTACGCTCAGCCTGCAACTCCTCAGCGGAGCGCAGCAACTCTTCGCGCCGAGCTTTTAACGATAGTTGCGTCTTGTTCAGCCAGCTGACGAAGGTACTGCGCATGTCGCCAACCATGTGCTCGAAGTCATCTGTACCGCTGAGCGTGTCGACCCTCTCCGGTGGCAAACGGAGAGGTGCGAGGTCGCCGGATATCGAGATTGCGCCGGCATCTCGGACAGATGATCCAGCTGTAATGGAAGCCAGGGCGCTATTAGAAGTTACATCGAAAGATGCTTTCGGTTCCATAAACTCGGACGATGTCCCTGTCCAACCTTTAACGGTTGTCAACGAATGGATGTCTATCTCCGAAGGCGCCACGGACGCTGCGCTTGACAGCAGCTCGTGATTCCCCAGAGAATCCGTGTGTTTGTTCATCTTACTTTGGATTTACTGGTAGCTTCAGCCTAGCCGCTGAGTACTGTCCATTAACCGCGTACACCTCTCTCTGGCGCAACGCGCACCGCGGACAGCGTCACAGGGCAACGCTTACCACCCTCAATTTGGATATTGTGTGTGTTATTAAACAACATAATGGTGGCGCAAAATTCATGCTGGTTATGCAGATTTTACGCGTGGTAACAATCAAGTCCAATGTGTATGCAACGTCACCACAGACATTCACCTCCAGTGCCTTAAGTTACCTACGGGTTACACATTGAGACATTGATGATGTGAAGTATTTTGCTGTTCGTGGTGTTAAGTATTATTCCAAATTTTAGGCGATGGAATCTGTGTGTAACCAGTGGTTAAGCGCTATAATTTCACATGCGTTAATGATGCACCCGTATTAAGCCTATATTACAGGAATTTGGTCATAATAAGAAATGCTTTGTAGCCGCTAATTCGTTCTGGAAGTTTATGCATCAACTTCTGGCTATTCACTCGTATCACAGTGTCCTTGCTGGCTTCATGATGCAATAGCTGACCTTCGTACTTTAAGCCGCACACGTCAGGAAGCTCATGAGCAGCAGACTATGTGAAACTTGTCTCAGGGACGTTTGAATGCGATTAATGCCCTAGAGTGACAAACCGGTGTAATGTTTGTTTTGGCTGGCATAGTCTGCTATTTATATATTTTTCACTTGGGCTAGTTTTGCGCGTTTAATAAGGCGCCACACTTTTGACGCTGAGAACTGTCTCCTAGCTCTGCTATGCGGGGCACAACAAGTTGACGATGCACAAGGCTGAGAACTGAACAATCCATACCAATGGACAGCACCCTCGAACTTGCTAGTTTCGGGGGCAATAATATCATGTATGTTCAAGAGAGTTCCTAAGTAGTTTAACGTATTTTGCGATCAATGCTGTTCTGCATTTCGTTCATAGATATGACCGTACTCAGCCACGGTGATGCTGATCCCTCACCCACCTGGGGTCTAAAGCAATGTACACCGTGACTTATAAAATTCGACGTACACACAGCGACTGTCTTGTATTGGTATACAGACATTGGAGCCTGTTAAGCCCCAAATGAATTCGCTATCTTGCGTCCTGAATGCGAATAGATTTAACAGTGTAGCCCTAATTCCACGGCAGCAGTATTCTGCGTGGTGAGCAAATACATAGTAATGGTCATCACCAGATTTCGTAAATTAGACATGTTTCTTTAGAGTTCGTTGGCGGCTAATGGTAGAGAATTGGGGTTAGCATCTCTTGTGTTTAACTGTTTGCACAGTTAACCTGTGGTCCCCACTCAATAGAAAGCCCAAAGTCCAGCGAGGTCGTAGAGTGTGATCAACATTTTCAGCTTCACATTTTCCACTGCCTTGAAGACATATGAACCACTCATGTTAGGGCGGCGCTCCGCCACATTGTAACCCAAAGCTTCCAATACACTTCCCACAACGCCTTTGTTCTTAGACCGCGAAAATATATGGGATTCATCATGACTCGCCTCCCTCAAAGCACGTAGGCCTCCGAACAACATTGGTGCAATTCCCACCAGGACCACTGCACAAGCTTCCGGGTCTTTTGCACATGATGCCTCCCACGTCGCTTCGGAACTGTAAGCAGACTTGTATTGGTCAGGGTTTTTTATATCATCCAGGAACGTCTCAGTACCATGCACAACTTTACGTAGATCCTTTGAGATGTCTTCAGGTTTCACACCCCTAGCCTTCAACACGTTCTTATAATCGCTTTCATCGACATTGCGAAAGAACTTTGCACACCCACTAATGTTTTTATTCATAGGCTTATAGAGCTTCTCCAACATGTTTTTTATGGGCCATCGGCATTTAAGCTCCGGTTTCTCCAGGAACTCCTTAGAAATGCTTTTTACCTTCTCTAGAGCAGGAAGCTCCATCTTTCCAACAGGCTTATCTGCAAGGAACTTGTGAATTGCGTCACCCATAGCGGCCAGGTTCTCTTTCGCATCATCTCCCTTCAGGGCTATCAACCAGTCAATACCCTCCTTGAGGTTGCGAGGAATGTCAGTCAACGAATTGTAGACCATTTTGTAGAGATTCGTTATATTGGACAAAGGCTATAAACGTGCAGATATTCGTGCGTTTACAGGAAGCGCTTTTAAACAGCTGTGTGCTAATGGCAGATTAACAAAAATGCAGTTCACACGTGATACATACGCGTTTTATTGAGATCTACAATGACGTGTATATAACAAGTAAGTATAAGTTGGAGGCGGACGACGCCCCGGTCTCCCATGACAGCCAGGTCCATATTATTAATGTTGCATGCAGATCGCATGTCGTTGTCATGTGTAGGATCCAGACAGAAATGTCACATACTGAGCCTAGATACATTAATATATTTGCAATGTTATGATGCGTTAGGAGTGGTGTATTACAGGGTCTACGCCATTCCGTGGTTGTAACGTAGGTGTCCCGGAATAACGTCCACAGGCACGCATCAATGTAACTCGTGGCTAACCTCCAAAGCACTAACGTCCCATGCAGTTTCCAAAGAGACATAACAACCTAACCTATCATGGCACATCTGAGACGCTAACATGGATGACCGAACACTCAGCATCTCTCTCCACTCTAGCCATGGGGTGACCCCGGTGACTCTCTCGACAAAAATTATGGGAATCAATCAGTTAACAAGCCAATGCGCACTGTCAGCTATGCTGCCGTATTGGTGGCTCTGTTACTGGTTACGGTTGTGGGTTTGCACGTGTGGCGATCTTGCAAAACATGGTATTGTATGTAAAACCTCACGTAACTCATTCATTCGTAACTGGAAAGCACCACAGCATATGCAAAACTAAGGCGTAACTGCGTTAATTACTGTGAGACCTCAAGTTTGCCCATAGGATCGTCGTCGAAGTAGTCGACGTCTTTGTAGAGTGAGAGCAGCTTCCGGCCTTTAGTGAGCAGCGCCTTGACGTCGATGAGGTGGGAGGCCCTGGTGGTGAGGAGGTGGGAGCGGACGTGGGTAGTACACCGGCCTTTGTTAATCCGTTTCTTCTAACTAATGCGTACTTGATACGCTGCTACTATGTAATTTATGAACGCGTTCACCGGGCACCAGACGTTGCACTATTTTGAAACATTAAATAACACATTATTACGTCGGCACCATGCCGATGTCTAGAATTATGCGATAAGTGCGATTACAATAAATGCCGTAAGCGATTAAAGAATGCGACACAAGACGTTCACCTGCGGAAGAAAAAATCACGGACCTTGTGGAACGGCCTAATACGAAAGAAGCTCATGACGCATATGACAGTGAGGATTATTGCGATGAAGATGACGGGGGCGATGATGGGAGCGGTGGAATTGTTGGCAGCGATGGTACGAAGTGCACTGGCGGCAGAGCGTCCACGTATACAACATGGACATTGACAGGGGTCATGTTTTTTACACGCTCTCTTACAGTTCTCAGGTGAACATTTATAAATTCCATCGCTTTTACGCGGTTTGTATTCCAAGACACATCTGTCGCACTCGTAGCACTCTTCGCAACACTCCGGACAGCACTTACAAGGTCCAGAATCACATTTTGGAATACATTTACAATTGGATGTCGCAGTGGACATCTTCCCGCAGCTCCCTTATCATTAACCTGCACAGGCATGAATCACGTAGCTGATCCCCCGAACTGTAGAGCCTCCAAGCCGACTCCGCTAAGCGTTGCGTGGCAATAAGGGCACCTTCCATTAAACCAAATACCAAAATACTGTAGCCGCGAGTCATACACCACATACATACCACTACCAGCTGGGTCATATATAGACGGCGATCATACACCACATTTAGTTGCCAAATGTCTTGGAGGTTTTCAAGTCCCGCATTAATGATTGCAGCTTTTATATCTGTTGTCGATAGTGACAGCTTCAAAATGCCACAGGACCCATTCCTGTTACTCACCTACCGCCTGGTATGATGACTATGCTATCCACCGAAGGGCAGCTGTTTTCAGTTGATCACCTAAGCATCAAAATTTAGATATCAATTTACTTCTGCACGTCACGGTTCCAATCTAATCGTGATGTTAACACGGAACCACGTATACTGCCATTACGCCTCACACCTTAACCCGATTAGGTCATACTCATTATTGATCTGCGTGGTGCCTGACGTTGTTCACTAGTTCCTACCTTAGACACAGGTATCCACATCTAAAAAACTTTCGTAGTGCTCAACAATCCATTGAGGCATTGAACGTTTTGTGGTCATTCATCCCATCAGCTGCGATGGATGTGGATGAGTCCGATGAGCACCGGAAATCGTCATTCGGGAATCCTCAATGTCATTCCCTGCAGCCTTGCAGATCATCTCATAATGTGATCTGTAATCGTATAAGGGGTAGATGTAACCATCCCTGTATGCTTCCCCACCGGTGGACCGGTGGGCTAACGTGGCCAGGGACGGATACTTATTATTTATCAACATCAGCGGAATACTTGAACTACGGTAAGAGGCACTATATTTTGTCGATTGTTGCGTGTTAAAGGCATTGCCAATGTTCTAACGTATGAGGATAAATGAAGGTGCCCCTACTACAACTTACTTATTTCCACACTACAAAAAGCGGAAGGAAGATGCAGCAAGACATAACAACATTTCACCCCCATCGTTACACGTCTTACTTGTTATATATCAATACACAGCAATTATGACAACAGAATAAGGTATTGAGTTGACAACCACAATCAGCTTTAGACAACCCAAACCGTGCTGTCACTGAAATACCCCAGTCTACATGTTATCAGCAACGTAGACAATGAAAGCAAATTAGTTTCCGTAGTTCAACGACAAGTTACCACATCTGATATACTTATTACTTTGAGTAGTAGTTTTCGATCTGTATGGTTGAGAGGATGACACCCTTTGTGGTGACGCACCGGCACTCCAACGGAGGCGTCTGGCCCAGTGTCTCCCCAGTTCCTACAAGAGAACCATCAAAACTGAGGATGACGAAGTGGTTGGATCGCGACGCTACCAACGATTCGCTGATGTCACGAGTGTTCTTCACTATCCCGCCGACGTAAACATGGTTGAGGCAATTGGGTGGGTCCAGGAGGTACGGTGCTGGGCAGTAAAACGCGGCTTCCTTGGCATCTTGGAGATCGATCCGGCAACCGAACTGAGGCTGTCCGTCAGAGTCGTAGAGTTGGGGTGTCTCCGGTTTGAATAGGTCAGTGGACTCGTACGTAACGCCGCAGCCTTGCATATACGGGTCCGTAGTCTTGACGGCAACTTCAACGACATGCCAAGTGTATCTGGCGGAAGATACTGTAGCATTGAAGAATTGTTGTCGACATAAGTCTGACGTGGATGCATCACCAGTGTTGATGGATAAGTCTGATGGTTCGGGCGCCTTACCGCAAACGTATGCCATGGACAGGTATTTCGTGTTTTGGGGATCCTTAGATATTAAGATGGCTCCCCTACTCGATTTCATCATCAGAATGTGATACCAAGGCCTCCTGCCAATGTCTTGGTACCTGATTTCCAGGTCGCCTGGAGTAGTAGCTATCGCATCACTGTACCTCTTACGAACAAGCTCGCGCCCATGTGTGGTTTCATTCACGGCGTAATAGAAAACCTCGGGCTGCATGGGAAGCCATGTCGTTGTAATATATCCATTGTTTGCAGCGTTCTGAACATCGGGATCAAAAACACAAGTCATGGACAGCGTTGTGCCCGCGTGTAGCACAACTGATTTTGGATATATGTTGTGTAGGATGAGAGATTTTGGTGATGTAAGCCACTCACTTGACATTCCTGCTTCGCGCCAGGGGAGTAATATGTAAGGGAGTAACGTGCGAAATGCCGCTTCTCGGCGTACTGTGTAGGCATATCTGTCCTGACGGTTGGATTCCAAAATGAGCCTGGACTTTTCGTACCCGCGTTTATCGACGCATATGCAGGCGTAGCTGAGAGGGATATCGTTTCTAAAAACAAAGTCAAACACCTGGAATCCTCGAATGGGGTGAGATGCCGCCTTACGCATAGACGCAGGGTATGGCGTAACTCTATTGGACTGTAGGTCGTATCCTGCGGAATCACAATTGTTTGGCGACAACTCTTCATCAGGTCCGCAGTAAATGCCGGCCTGCCTATCATCTCTCACAATATGTAATGAACACTCATACGTATCCCCTATGCCATTCCCCATTCGTTTGTTCGAACAATAATTCCTGCTAGCATATTGATCAAACACACTTGGTGTCCTTCGGTCGCAACCGATGATCCCATAGCGATGGGTAAACGCGAAAGACACATTTACGATGGCAAGAATCCAATCCGGAACATTTTCGTTTCTAGATTTCAAAGTCCAATGATAAAAGAAGGAGTTGTGCCCCTGTCGTAATGCAAGAGGTTTGTCCGGATGATACTTCAGAGTCACCTCCCCCCGGAACATTTGGGTGGCGTCCAACTCAAGGGAATCGCCAGCAAGAACTCTTTCATACGATATTTCGCTGCAAACATCAATTTCATCGAGTGTTCTCAGTTGCCACAGCGTATTCAAGTCTTTTGGGGAGAAGTCAGTTTCGTATTCGTAGATGGACGGCAGTTGCGAGAATGGGACAGTGGGAAAAACGTCGTCAGTAGACTCCTTATAGACACTCTCTATTGGGAACTTTATGGTCAATGTACTGCCTGGATGAAGTACCACCGAACACCAAGGACCACGGATGGGGCGGACTTTGTTGCGGAAAATGTTACTTGTAATGTCACAGATGTACTCAGTTTCAGAGCGGATCTCTATCTTGGCCTTTACCTGACCCGTTTCGGAATCTACGCACCTGCATTCACCATTGATGGGCGGTAATGCTAAGTCATTAAAATACTTAGCTATTACCCAAGGTCTGTAGTTCTCGAAATTCCAATAATAATAGGGAGAAGGGGCATACGCAACTTCTCCATTTGTGTACAAGAGGGACCTCATGCAATCGTCAGGTTCTACTCGGCCTTCGCAAAGGAATGCTATACGCAATGTAGACATAGGATTAGCGACACATGAACGGACCCCAGTGATAGCATCCACAGTCACTGCGGTTTCTCCATTGAACAATGGTGAGGGACGACTACCACAGCCGTGAAGAGGCAGATGAAGGAGCCCCCTGTTCAAGTAAAACGCACCCAGACCCTTACCTAATTTCTTAATTTCCTGAGACAATGGCGTGGATGAATCCCAAGGAAGTGCTTGCAGTTGACCATACCCATCGATGCGGTAAAGGCGGCGTTGCAATGCATCACTCAAAACCAAATTTCGTGGACCACAAATGAAGATCAAGCGGTGATCGGCAATGGCATATATATCGTCAATTGGAAAGTTGAATTTCAGTGTTGTTTGTGACGCATTGGATTCGAACCGTATAAGTGGACTACTGGATTCACTGCGCACCACATCCGAAACGTGAACGGAGATCAACTTGCCGTTACCATACACGTAAGTGTTGATATCAGATTGATCACCCGAATTTGGTTGGGGATGCCATACATACTCGGTGTCGTTGACTCGGCGAGGGCATATCATAGTTGCGGAGCCTAGTAAACCAATGTTCATATTGCACCGAACGAGGGCATTGTTGCTGAGTAGTTCCTCTGGATATCCAAAATCACAGCGCAACGCATAAACACCTCTGATGCAATGTACCCATATTGCATGAAATGCCCAAATAATCCACATCATGCGATAGTTGCCCGTTGTGATCGAATGGGTTGGCTGATGTGGCTAACTCTGTCCCTTTATGTGCAACCGCGTGGAAAACCACGCGGTTCAAACGAATAAAACGAAATAAAATGTGTGAAAACACCAAGAAGATGAGTGTTACATTTTTGTGTACGGCAATAACCATATAAGAATCGCAGCAGCTGTCTAGCTTGTTGTCTGAGAATTTTCCTTCGCGGCTGCAACCTCAACAACCAATGAATGGAACCGACGGCTATGGTAACACAGTTCACTCATTATTTAAGGTAAATATATTTTGTGCGTAATAGTTCACCTTTGATCAAGGAAGTATCCTCGTACCACCCGACCGGACATAACCTATTGGACGTCATCGTCGCGGCAAGGCAGCAGAGCACGATCAACATTGTGGAATTGGGCACAAAGGGCCCACATAACCTGTTAAGGATCTAGGCGCTTAAAATCGGTGATAAAGTACTAGTGAATGCGGTACGAGGAGCACATAGAGAGGTAGACAGCTGGATTAAGCAATCCAAACGACGCTTTGTAGTCATTATGCGCCTTTAAGTGCTATCACAAACTCTTATTTAAGCAGATGCATCAGGAAAATCCGTATGTGTTTACCTGTAGCCGTACATTCCACGAGAAATGGATAGAGGATAGCGGACCTCGGGCAACAGTATTTTAACAGAATTCCACCAACTGCAACTAATTCTGGATCGAAATGAATGGACCACAATTAGACTTCTATATGCTTTATGTAAATCTCCCAATTAATTCCACCGATTTCACATATTGTCTTGGAAAATTGCACATTTTCATTAAAATTACAACGCGGATTTTCAATATTCTTATCGTCTATATAAAGAACATACCGTATTAAATAGGTCTGACGCTCTTAACTATAGCAAATGATTAGGATTAAGTCGTAGCGACCGGTTACTCTTTACTAATCAGATCGAATCCGCATCGAGGACACCCGTGCCGAAGCATGGGAGGCTCTAGACCCACTTAAATAGGTCTAACAGTGTAACTTATACCACCCAATATGCCACGTTAAACGAAAGGTGGCGTTAAATTTCAGTCAATCTACAGACGTGACCAACGATCTTACATCGTAATTGGCCATTCCTTGGCAATGAAACCACGCATACACGTAACAAATAATAAGATGCATTGAGATATACGTCCTCTATTATAGAGTGGCTTCGTGCAAAACCGAAACCAGCAACGTAAAGTATAGCCGGGCGGTCTCCATGTTCGGCAAACGTACCACCTTGGCCATCCTTGTTGTGCTTGCGAGGGTCGCGCGGCGGGCAGAAGAGCGCCTTGCGACACGCTCATAGGAATTGCAGCCCGAGTTTGGCTCCGTGTTGAGCCCGGTCTCGTACCAAGAACCGTTTGCGCCGTCTGCTTCGTCCATTCGGTTACGACCGCTGCTGGACTGCGACGATAGGCGCTCTAACTCTGCGCTGCTCTTGAGTAGAGGCAAATCATCCATCCGACGCTCGTACTTGTCAATGGTGATACCAGCGAACTCGGAGCTCCCGGATTCTACTGATTCCTGGTAGAGTCGCTGAGCTGACGTCATCCTCGTCTGGCTCTTTCCAGAGTCTGACCGGCTCATAGGAGCAGAAGGATTATCACCGCCGCATCCACCTGCTCTCGTGCGACCCAAATGCAACCCATTAAGGCGCGAAGGGCCGCAATCATCGGACGGGAACGTGGCCTCCTGCTGCAAGCGTTGCAACAACGGGGGAGGTACCGCTGCCGGTCCCCTGCGAATGGATGGGGAAGACTCGGAGGAAACGTGTACTACACGAAGGTAGAAGGTATCCTGCGCGCTGAAGAACTTGCGGGCGACCTTAGCGGTGATGATGGTCGCGACGGAGTCTTCGTAGCGCACCCCTTCGGGCTTTTGGTAGCATGTGGCAGGCACTCGGAAGATCTCGATGCTGCAAATGGACTTGCTCTCGCATTTCCACAACATTTTGCGTCGATGTAGCAACCCAACATGGGTACGGTTTATCCAGAAGAAAGTCTGCAGTGCCGATGCCGGCGTGCAAACCGTAATGGGACTTATCAGCGCCATATGTGCCGACAAGGCAGACCAGTGTGACGTCGCCGTGTACATAGGGTCAAACAGCTTCAGCTTGCCGTCCAACGGCAGCAGCAGGAGCAGCTCCTTGACGTTTGGCGCCTGTCCCGAGGCGCACATGGACCATGATTCCAAGAAGTTGTATCGCAAAGGCCCCGAAGTCTTCAGGTAGTTGTGAGAACGTTGCGGACGGATGGCGGACAACATCGGTGCCGAATGGATTTGGTGCAGCAAACCCTGAGAAACCACCGATATACCGCTAAGAAGACTCGAGAACGTTCCGAAGATCAAACTTGCCATGGACGAGATCATAGAACCGAAGATGTGCAAAAATGCCATCAACACGTCCCCATTAATACCCTTTGCCGTTTTGATGGCGGACATGCACCTCAAAAGCTGGTGCAGCGGTTTGAGGGCGAAGTTACCGACGCTCACGTAAAGGTTGCGGCCTACAGAACGACCACCAAACGCGATACCCTCCATGACGTTGCTAGGTTGGTCCAGACTTTTGCTGAACGCCTCCTGCATTAGTATCACAGCGTATCGGTCGGCGTTGCACGACAGCCTGTTGAACAGCAGGTACCAACTACCTGTCAAACGGTACACTGCGTCCGCCATGCCCGATACCACCGCCATACCCATCCGTGACACCGAACGGCACCAGAGGAAAACGACCACTGGAGGTAGGTGCAGATAATCCACTGATTCTCGCACGATAGACATGGCTTGATAACATCCGTTCATCCAGTGATGCACAACTATCTTCGGGTTGCCAATAAGATCAACAGCTCCAAGCACCTTGTAGATCTGCTGCACGCTCTGGGTGATGTAGCGCATTACAAAGTGAGACATCAGCGCATAAGGCGTACAGCATAGCTCCATAAATGATTCTTGCGCCAGGATGATGCTCGCGTCGCTGATGTGCGGCATGCGGCGGACGATGTGCATCAGGTAACGTATTATCACGTTTTGGGCCTGCATATCCGAAGAGACACGAGATCCCGACCTGCGTACATTGATGGCCAGCGTAACACGGCCCACGTGCAGGTTCGAAATGTTATAGCGCGTACCCGAGCTCAGGCTCGTGCTGAATTGACTGCGGGCGACCTCCCGCAGTGGGTAGCTTACCACATCAAATCCGCGCAGCCAACTATCCACGTTCGAGAAGATGCCCACGTTGGCAGTTGCGAAGTAGTCCGACGTCGCGCCAGAAAATCCAAACACGGATATATACTCATCCACCAACATCAGGAGCGCCTGACCGACCCGAGTGTCCAGGTTCAAACTCAAAGGCTCGAGTTCGATGCTGCAGTTGGTGATCTCGCGGACGCTGAGGTAGTGGTTTCCGCGCGTATTAAACTTGATGGTAATGACGTGCGGTTCTGTCTGTTGGCGTTCGTCGCCGGCTTCATGTCCTGTCCCCAGATGCTCTCGGCTACGGGCCCTGCGCTTCATCTCGTTAGCATGTGCGGGAGAATGCCACGTGGCCAACGGACGGAACATCGTTGGGTAACACGTAGACGAATCATGCACGTCGGATTGCATCCAAGCCACAGAAAGAGAGAACATATGCTCGTCGTTGTCTAGCATGACCTGCAGCTTGATCAAGGTGCTCGATATGTACAAAAGCTCCTCCGCAATCCCGCCACAAATCGCAGTACCAAGCCCCAAAATATTCATCTGGAGCACATACTCCCAGTTGAAGGTACCAGCACGCTGCGTCCGGGTTCGTGTTGTCGGTGTTACCACGGTCTCAGATACAGCTTCGCGTTCGGACTTGGCAGTAAAGCAAGCCCGCACACGCCGCATGAACCTGGAAGTGTTGAACGATAACAGGGATAATTGCCCATCACCACACAGCGCACCGGGTAACAGCTTGCGAATAGCGCCGCCTGTACGGCTGAGCAGGCGGAGAGTGCCACTCCTGTTGTAACGCAGGTCATGAGGTACCGTCAGCTTGTCTCTCAGCACGGAGTACAGGTGGAGGAATTGCAAGGGCCTGATCCTTTGGAACCTGGACAACCCACGGGTGGGGATGCGCATGGCGGTGAAGTGCAGAGTCTTCTGGCCGAAAGCGACGCATGTTTGTGCTATCAGGCGCATAGATACGATAGTGTTACCGTATCTAAGATGGAACACCGCACTGCATCGCATGGACTCGACACGGCTGAGGTTCACCCTCAATGCACCCCTTACACGTGCGACGCGGCCGGCGCGTCTATTAAGCACATGCCTAAGCGGTAGAACACCCAGTAAGCCTTCGGAGTTATCCGCACGCACGTTGCCCACGGAGGGGTCGTTTTTGCGGCGGTTACCCTTGGCGTGTTGTCCCACCAGCATCCTGAAAGCACGCATATTCAGGTGGAACCTGCATAACAACGTATGCTCCTTGAAAGGGTCATAACATGCAAACGGGACACCCAGCCCGGCGTAGCGCTCAGTCAATGCGTCAGTTGCCAAACCGACAGCAGGGAGCACCTCTCCGTAGCCTGGCGCTCCCAGCTGTTGAACCCAGAGGTCGACACCAGTTGTATTCAGCAATACCCACTCGGCCACTGCAGGCTTCATGAAGCGCACCATCTTCGCGCCACGGTGCATCCTTATCTCAACTTCACAGAGACCATAGCGCAGTGGTCGCGGCACGACAAATTGCGACGCTGCAACACGCTGCGCATCCTCCTGCGGAACAGGCTGACCAGCGGTGGAAGCATTTTGACGCCCAGGCAGCTTCTTAGGCTGATGCAACGACGCTGGGAAGCGCAGCTGAACAACGGTTGAAGGCTTCAGTGATATACCCGACGACCAAATGGTGAACGGTGAGGAAGCATCCGGAGCATTTGATGATCTTGACGATCGGAATATGCTCTGCGGGTCCACACCAGTGATTTCCAGAATCAGCTCTCCCTTGACCTGTGAGTGGAATTCCACGGTCTCCCCCGGCTCTACGAGGTAGTAACCGGTAGACCGATTCTGGTCAATGGATCCGCCGATAACAGGCGCATCCGGCTCACGGAGCCACAATGCGTGGTCGAATTCATTCGTCACAGTTGTCTGCGGCAGAATCTCGAGAACGCTCGTCCGGTAGAACGGGGCAGGGGCCATCGAAGTGGAGATGAGGTAATGCAGCTTGGGGCACTCCAGCGTGTCAGGGAAATCGCAGGTGGAGTAAGCCAAGTCCGGCAAACTGAAGCTGCTCGACACTACATGCGTCTCGCTAGATCGGTCCAAACTAAACAGCCGGCGTTTCGAACGCATCGGATAGTTCTCGAAATTGGATATATTTTTCAGCGTGTTTTTCCGGACCGCCAGCTGGAGGCTGGTTGAAGAAAGCTCTTGGCTCACCAAAGTGCAGTTCTGTGCAGCTATGGTCTGCTTATACCTGCCGTCCCCGCGGCACAACGATATCGGGTATTCCAACCAATTCACAATCCACTTGTCGGCAAATATGGTGCACACCAACTGCGAGCTTGCCAAATAACGCTTCACCAATCCACCGCGTTCGTCGACTGGCTCGAGAGGCTTCTTGCTGACCTCAATGGACACCACAAGCCGTCGAGCCAGGGGGCACGGCGTGGGTGTCACCGTCGAAGCGGAATCTTCCGTCTCAGCTGTGTCATGAAGAGCTTCGAACGCATCGGCAAATTTGGGTTGCATGGCCTCAAACATCAACCTCGAAACAGATACAGCTTCCGTTGGAATCTTCAAATTGAATTCGCGACTCAAGAGCTCCCGCAGCACAAAACGCCCATTCTTAATGTACCACGAAAACTGTGAACTGCCGCTAGCCTTTATTGGCACTGGATAAAACGGCACGCCAGCAGCGACATCGCTTTCAGAGGGGTTTGCAGCCTTCAGGTATTCGTAAGTCACCGGGCTCAGGATATAGACATCGAAGGGCATCATGTTCTCCACCACTTGGCAACTCTCCAGCGAAATTTCATAATGTCGTATACCCGAACGCCCAACAGTTGTACCAAAACCTGACCTCATTGACGACGTGACCTCTATTAGAGTCGCAGAAAGAATTGCTTTGGGCGGCAGATCAGTATCATCCGGAACCTCGAACATGGGCCTCTGGTCTGCCGAGGCGCTCCGTATCTTATGGCTACGCAGCGACGATATGTGTTCAACACGAGACCGACGTCGCAGCAGCATGCCGTTAGATGGACTACCACTGTTCCCGTCGGAATACACCGCAAGTTGCGCGAAAGTTTTCGAAGTTACTGCATACGCAGAACGACGGTTATATCCATCCGAGAACGTGATCCTGTTTGACCTCTCCGAAACCGTTCTCGATGAGTCCACTCTTACATCTGGCGCTTTCATCACAGCACCTTCTACACCCACAGCATCATCCGGGGTTGTATCCGAACTAATGCTGCCATGACGGTTCACATGCTCAGATAAGAGCTTCGACGGGGAAGGGTTCCGTGATGATCCAGGATTGCTATCCAGACGCGCTGACGAATCGGAAGACGTTGCATTAGCCAAGAGATCCTCTGCACTAACTCGGCTTCCCGTTTTGTTTGCAGTTGCCGATCCCACTATCGCAGTGGCACTGCGCGTGATGGATTTGGTGCGCATGGTATCGCGGCCTTTTAACGATACAGTAAGATCTTGCACAAAACCTGTATTGAGCCCGGTTGCCAGGATATCATCAGGTCCGACGTTACCCAGATGGACACTTGACGTGTAGCCCGGTATCGGCGTCTTTATGCGCGGTAATTCAAATGAGTCGTACAAATGTTGCACTGATGTGCTGGAGAGCAGCACGTCACCTTTGAAGTGCGGGGGCATATCCTCTGGGTACTCGAAGGATGAATGTTCCGCACGATTGACCTGTACGGCATACTCGCCTCCACCGACATCCAGCGGGAAATCATCCTGCAGGCAGACGCAGATGGTACAAGAGGGCTCTATCGTCCATGATAGGGGAATGCTCACACGTTGCTGCGTGTAGGAATATACTCGCATAAGTATGTGCTGCAGTCTAAAGTCCTGAAGGCTGTTCGCGGGATCATCGTTGGTATTAAGCGGCCGCAACACATGGGCAGGCGCAATGCGCTTGATGGCTTGCTTCGAGTCCTGAATGTGTGCCAGTTGCTTGAAAAGGTTGTTGCCCACGGCTTTCACTACCGCCATCATCTTGTTGCTCTCTATGGTCTTCTTTGCGAGCGGTAGTGTAGTAGTGGCTGGAGGCTTGAGTGCGAGCCAAACTAGGGAGGAACTCGGCACCACGCGGTTCGCAGCGTCCATGCTCACCGAAGGGAACACCACTAGGTTTTCGTGCGACTGGTTGCTGATCCACAGCGTCGACGAGAACTGCAGGCTGAAATTGCCTGCTGCAGATGCCTTAGATCTTGAGAGACCACCTGCACTCTGCTGCGTTTTTACCATAACATACGCGTATTTGAACTCTTCATGTTCAAACAGATGCAGCGGGACGCCAGGAACTTTACGCATGTCCTTGATACGTTTCAACACACGCTGCCCCCAGCCACCAGTGACGTGACGGCTCGGAAGACGTCCCAGGTGCTTCGTCGTCGACGCGAAATCGCTCACCAAAAAGCGCGTGCAACCCGTGCTAACGCCGAACCGATACATCTGCGTGTTAGACCTATCAGGACGCATGGTACGCAAGAATGCCATGCGGTTCAGATGACGACCTCTCAAATATTTGCGTGACACGTCCAGACGGAGCATCAACTCATCCTCTTGGGTCAGATTCAACATCGACGACGGTATTTCGTATATGCAGTTGTTGAGCTGAATACGCACCACGAACGGGAGGATGATGCCGTAGTGACCGACCGGCAGAATACAACTGTCACCGTCTTCAACGATCCTCCATGTGCAATCCTCAGAACCCTCAAATGACGAATCTACATATAGACAAACTGCGATCGGCTGACCCAATGAGTTTATGAGGTATGACTGCTGATCACGGGTAATCTCCCTCCGCGAGCTGCCATCGTGCCCAGCCATATCGTGAGAGGGAACGAGTCCCTGGCTGGCCAAGGGGGATGTACATGCGGCATCGCCTTCCAGTTTTAGTGAACTCACCCGTCGAACAGCCGCAAGCAAACATTCGTGCAAATCCAACATCTTCGAGCACCTAAACAGGTTATTGTCCATCCTAAATGCAATTGCAGAGGATATCTCCCATATGGGTAGCGAGGGATTTGTCAACCCCAGAGTCGCATGAGAATCCGTGGATGAATTGAGTTGTGACGCATTCTTAAGCATCGATATCGGCATCATTGTAGTCATAATATTGCTATCCGACCTGCACGCAACCGGCGGTTGGAATGCATGGTAGTCGTCCTGTTGCTGCTCGACAAGCGCAATTCGGAGGCGAGCCATTTCGGAGATGTATCTCATGAACCCGAAAACGCACTCTGCCCCGACGAGCGAAATGTTTAGGTTTATCCACGACGTACTTAGGCTGGCGATCGTTTTCGAGGACATCGAGGCTTTGCTGCCCCGGAAACGCACGACCACGGGCTCCATAACCATCTCACGCCTAGAAGTCTTGCAGATGTCAAGCGTTACGCAAAAATGCGATTCGAACCTTAGTAGTGGCCGTGTAGGGTCAGAGGAGGGGGACAGTTGCGATATGGGATCATCAATGACGCCGAATCCCAGACGCGAGGGATTGGAGCGTTCTGGCTGCGGGTGCAATTCTTCCGACGAAAGTTTGTGCGATAAGATGTGCTCGATTGCGCCAAAGCAAAGTGATATCTGATCGTCTATGTTCGAAGAATACACCTCGGACAAACTTATTGACTCATTGAAATGAGCATTCACCCAATCGTTCCCGTCGGGTACTCCAATATTCGATGCCGATCCGAGTGAAGGAGCAAATGACAAACCAGACCGCTTTGGTTCGCGATTAGACCACAAAAGGAATTCGAAATCCTCCAAGGAAGCGGTGAATATGTTCCGCACCTCGTTGACGTAGTTGCTCGATACCTCAACGTAAACGAGATTGAAGGCTACCTTCACACCCACGCTAAAGCTGGACAAAAGCCGCTCCAGGAAACCGATGTTCGAAGCTTGAGATGACCGGCTGCCGGACTTCTTCAGACCAGAGTTCTTGCGTTCTACAGAGTCGCGAATATCCACGTAGTTGCCCGAGTTTGTGTTGGACTTAACGCTTACCCAATCGCTTCCCGATGTCGTCGTGGCGCATGAATGGAATTCATCCGCGCCGGTACTGCTGTCTTCTGCAGGCTCTTTGACGTTGCTAACATTTTCAGGAACTGCGACCACCTGCGTAGGCGATGACCGTATCGGCTCAGCAGCAACAGCGGTGCTAGGTGCCGTGTTATCGGACGTGTGCAAGGCCAAGCAGGAAGAAGCCAATCCAGACAAGCTGCAGAAAGACAGAATGTCGACAGAAGAGAGGGAACATCTCACTGTCTCAAACACCACCGTCATGCAGACGCTCTGGGGGAACTCCTGGCGTCCAATAACGTTCGAGTCCGGGCGGAGTAATACACCTCCGGAGATTTCCAAACGGCACGGATCGATAAACCTCGAATCAACGCATTCGTTGAAGTCATACAAGGTCTGTTTGGACAACGCAAGCAACTCGAAAAACTTGGAGTCGCGTTGGCGGTGCTGCCGTATATACTTGAGGAAATCAATCTGTTGACGGTAGAATTCTTCGCTAGCAGGCGCGCGTTTCCGCAAGGCGGTCATAGCGTAACCACACGGGGTTAACACTCGGTAAGTAAAGTGCCGAGAGAACAACCCGAAAATGTTGCTGCCAGATGCACGCATAAATACGGTCAACGTGGGGTACCCGTTAGAGACTCCCTTGGTAGTATCCGTAAAACCGCGCTCAAACCCTGTTACCGTTGACATCGACGGACTCTCCTTCAATTCGGCGGGTTCAGGTGATCCGCAACTCAAGCTGAGGTAGAGTTGGCCGCGCCCGGAAAACCGCATGTAAATCGGCGTGGACAGGATTGCGTTGCGGTGTACCTCGTGCAAAAGGCGGTGAACAAAAGTCCATCTCCTCACCGTATTGGCGCTGCTGTTAGATGCCCCGGTTAGACGTTTCATTGGGGCAAACAGCTGCTCCTTTGGAATCAACCTGAAATGGTGTTCCCGCCTCTTCTCGAATGAGAGTGGCTTGACGTGAGACGCAAATGCGTCGCTGCTTATGGACGCATTCGTGCCTTGCCCCAAACTGTGCGGGTATATTCCGCGTTGCTGAAGGATGTGCTCGTTCATGCCAAGGTATATATGGCTACGATGCTCGCTTACATCAGCTATTGAACATCTACGCGAGCAAGAACCACTGCCTGGGTCACCCGAATTGAACGAATCGCGCAAGACCTTGTACCACAAGAAGTTAACGAAGTTCTTGTACCCGACCCACGCTGAATCACAGAGCACATTCAAGTTGGACTGTTCAACAGTCACCTTGGTGTCGAGGCTCATGCTAGCAGGGCTGGATTCCGCCGCAGGAGCGGAAGACTGCGGAATATTAGCCATCTTCTTCGCAATTCTCATACAGAAATCCATCAACTCGTCAACAACCTCCCAAGCAACATTGACCATGGTGTTAGAGATGTCGACCTTACATTTCCCCCGGCCGCAATCATCATAATCTATGGACGCCATCATGAAGCAAGGTAAACGCACGTTGTACCCGGCCTCCGATCTCAATACGTCCTTGTCGATCGTACGAGTGCAATCCATTATAGACGCTAGGTATTGTTCCACCCGCCTATACGCTCTACAAATCAGACTATTGCGTTCCCTCAGCTGAAAGAATTGGGGCTCGTCATATTCGTGGGATAGAAGGTGGCGGAAGTCGATGCTCTGGTAATCAATGTGGCGCAGCTTTTTGCGCAGGACGGGATCGTCACGTTCAGTCCTGCTACAAGACGCGCCGCGATTGCTCCGAAGTAACAAATGTCGCATGGAGGCGTTCAAGTCGTCACTGTAGGATTCCATCGCAGACCGCACCTTGTGGATTTCGCGGCGGACTTTTAGCCACCTCCAGAATAGCGTCGTATCCCCGGCAGCAAACAGCGTCGACAGATACAGTGGAACCGAGTTAGTTTGGTCCTCGACCTCGACACAGCCGACAAACGCACGCAGGCAGTCCACTACGCCCGACGAGCACCTGGCCTTCACACCCAACCCAGTTAACTTGCAACTTAGTAGCGGTAACGTCACACCGAAGCGGTTGAGCGCAGATTGCATACATGACAGTGCTGCATGGCGCGATATTGCGCTCTTGGGACTGGAATCAGGTGACATCCCATCAAACCCCTTCAGAATATACGGGTGATCAAAACCTGCGGAAAATCCCTTGGACATGTAGGTACTTGCTTGTTCTGTCGGGATTATTACCATTTCACCGACGCTATTGCGCTCCTGCCTAGCATAGTTAGATGGTCTTGCAGTCGGTATTCGCAGCACAGAATGGGAAGGCGTCCTGCGAATAGGGCTGGTAGTCGCTGTAGTGAAATCGCTTGTTCCAGAATTGGACCCTGGCGACTTCAAGACGTTGATGGTACCGTCGTCCAGGCGCACAAGACGACGTAATTCGAAGAACAAGTAATCTAATTTCACCTCGAACTGCACCATACGAGATGTCTCGAGGACGCGATGGGCAATGACCTGCTGCAGCTCATTCCATTTTTGCGACACTATCGAACGGAATAAGGAATCATGGCTGTTACTCAACACGTATTCGTAGTTGTGGTCAGTTGGACGAGGAGAACCGTCTTGGGGATCATTTGTAGCGGCATTGGGTTTCTCATGCGAAGCCTTGGTGCGCGAATGGCCCCTACCTTTGCTAGGGTACAGGACCTCTTTGCAATCGTTGCACAGCGCTACATAATCGGCGTATGCGTCAATAAAAGCCAGCAGATCGCATTCGCGGAGTGAGACGTGCACAGAACCCAGATCGGATGTAATCACAATCTTCGCAGTTCCACGATTCAAAGAACCCGAATTAGAGCACTTCCACTTCACGAATATCTCGTTCTCGCATCCAATGCGAATAAGCTCAAAGTTGCTCTGGAACGTTGACATTGACAGCGAAATCACAGGGTCGTCACGTACTTTAGCCGACTTAGCACACGCTACCCTGTTCAGGTAATCCGATAACTTCACACCTGCCCCTGTACCCATATACATCTGCCTAGAGCCGCCGTCTGACAGGAAGCTGTAGTCGCCATTTACGCACAAAACGCGCAAATTGGACATTCTGGCGATATGGGAATCGAACGGAGAATCATCATCGTGCGGTTCTAACAGCCGCGGCGTAATAGCGCTCGCCATGGCGAAGGATTCCAAACATACAAAGTACGGCGCCCGATTGCCAGATGATCCTATGTCCACAACGAAAACGCATTGATGGTTCTGCTCGATGAAGAAGTCCACGTTCGGAAACGGCATTGTGCCCTGTAAGAGGTTCTTCGAATACTCAATCCCCAGGTCTATCAACTTATACAGCACATCATAGTAACCAGAACTATCGTGAGAGAGGTGATGATGTTTCTTCTCTGCACCCACTAAAACAGGGTTAAGGGTGTCATGCAGGCTTTTATTGCGCCTCATCATACGCAAGCAATCCATGTACTCATCCAGCAACCGAACATGTCCAAACAAATCGCTATTTACATGCAGAAGCACCCTCGTGTCTGCGTCACTTGGTTTGCAATAGCGATTCAAGCTTAACCCCAGGTACAAGTTCGAATCGCAAATCACGGCATCGGCAGAGTTGGAACGCCGCAAAGCCCCCAAACCAAAATCACGCTGCAAAGCCTTCAGTTTTTCCAGGCCACCTGCCACGCCCGTAAGTTCAGGTTCAACCTCTGGCGGCGCTTCGGGAGCCGGGAGTTCCTCGCCACACGAGAAGAGTACGGTGGCGGGCCCGTCCAGGTAACGGCACGGGCAGCCTTTACGCGATTGCGACTCGGCATCACCATTAGGCAAGCTAAACGGGAAGCTCAGTATGCTGAAAGGTAGAAATTCCGCCTCAATCACCTGGCAACCGTCACGGCCGTAAACGTCGGCAATGAACACGTGCGCACCACGAGCTGACAAGACATACGCTTTGGCGCTGGAACTGGAGTCATCGCAAGGCTCCACATCATACGTGAACACTACCCGAGTATTCGTCAGGACGACATCGATAACCACATCAAACGTTGACATCGCAGGCTGGCATATCTTGCGCAGCGATTCCAAGAATATATGCGACTTCGCATGCTTAGACGCGATCTCGTATATACCACCAACGATCTTCAATCGCGCTTGCAACCGCGAGCAGTCATCTATGTCGGCCTCGTCCCCGTCGGCTTCGCGGTCGTACTGGTTACAAATGTTGACGAGTAAAACGTCGGTGAGACATTCGCTAACGTCACAGCTGCAGCCATGGCGTTCCCCGAAACTGCGAATCAAATTGCGGAGACCTTCAGAAGCCCTGCTACGCAGGATGCGGATGGCCTGCATGGAGTGCAGGATCTCGAAGTCCATGATGAACTCCTTCAGTTCGTTGTTCTTGCTGTTCTGGTCTAGCAACAGATACTGCGGCCAATACTCCATGTACAGAATCTCGTCACTTGGGGATGCCCGCGGATTTTCGAACGTGTAAACGATCCCGGACTGCCAAGTTAAATACTTCATGATGCTTTCGAATATCAGATTGATCAGACAGTCAACTTGATCCTTCGAAATCGTGATGTTCAGATCCTCCAGCTGCAAGAAAACTGAACACCGAGGCAGGTAGTTCTTGGCCAGCGCCATGGTCTCCTTGTACAGCTTGAAGTAATGTTCCGTGCCCCATGCCGACCAACACGTGCGTGGAGCAACAAAGGGAGGCGTAGGGTAGAGGCAAAAGTAAAAGGATAGACAACCGTTGCACTCCTTAGGGTTCACAATGTAATTGTGAGCAGTTTCCTCCAAAGACCGCAGGAAAAACTCCTTCAAAGAAGGGTCTTCATCACGGCTTATCACGAATGTATATCTCGTCCACGCTTCGGACGCAGCACCGTCATCATCATCACTCTGCGGCGATTCGGCAGGTTCCATGCAAGCATCGTCGTCATTGGAATTTTCAGCAGGCTGTTGATAAGCACCTTGGACTGCAGATGCGCCAACAGAGTTAAGGGTGTGCCACGTCTCGTCGTACGAGAGCGGTGCGGCCTTTTCGGCGTTATACGCCCCAGCGTCGAAAACGTCCGAGTCGCCGTCCGAAATCGCGCAAGAAGCTTCGCCGCAGTTTGTAAAGCAACCGAGAGCGCCCCTCGAAGACGACGATGAACACTCTGATCCGGCATCGTCACCTGTGGTCTCCGACACCGCATCTTCCGAAGCCGCAACACTTCTTGTAGCCGATCCCAAGGAATCAGACCTTTTGGCGCTGGCACTACTGGGAGTAGACACGTGCTCAGCGTATTCCTTCGCCGGTGACTCTGAGTTGTGACCGACGTGGCGCCTAGCATATCTTTTCTGCGACTCGCGGATCATGTCGAACGACTCGTGATGATGCTCTTCCGTCGGGTGCTTAATGTCGCAAAATGTGCTTAGAAGTATGCGCCATGTCGAACCAGATGACAGGTTGTAGCCCACAGGACTCATATATGGAGCATCCAGGTCAATGGACGAGGTGTTGGCATTGGGGGAAGTGTCACAGCATAGAAGGCGGCGCAGTGTACTGCGACGGTCTGACCGACCATGACCATGTTCCGATGATCCTGACGCATTCGGTCCATAACCGAAGCAGGCAGCAATTTTCGACGATTTATGGTCCTCGGAGGGCGATGAAGCTTCTTGATTAGCCAAACGACGAATAATGCGCTGACTAACGCGTGGGTCTCTCTTCACTGCTGGCCTGCTATCGTGGGCCGTGGCCTTTAGATTTCCGCTGCCATTGTGCGTCAATGTGTTTACGTACCGGCGCTGAGATCTACGCAAATTCCTTCCCGGGATGCGCTGCCAACCGTTCCGAGATACCTCGTCGCACTCTGCGCTGTGCTCGCCCGTCGAAAGGTAGCTCATCACTCTGGACACTGCAGAACTGAACACCGAGTTGTTCGATGTCAGAACCCTAAGCGGTCGTTGGTGACCAAAGTTATCGTTGTGCACCCTGTCGTGGGAGTGGCGAGCGAAGAGCAGGCGGCTGCGTACACGGTCACCAGCTCTACGCCTCTTTATGCGAAAGACCTTTCCGAGCTGTTGCCCTCTGCCTCCTGTACTGTACCGCAACCTGTCGCGGTATGCAACATGTGCGAAATGCACCCCGCGATGGTGGCTCCCGCCGGAACCGTATGCAGCGTTTACGCCTCCTGAGTAGCTCATCGCATCAACAAAGGTACCTTCTTCACCGTCATCAACGATGGAATCGTGGGTCATGAGAGGATAACGCGCCTTTGGATTTTCCCTTCTCGCGGAACCACGTTGCAAGGCGTCACTGCTGTGCATCATCCCCGGACGAAGCGGATCCAACCGGTCGATGTACACCCCCACGCCCTCAAGTTCTATGCGGCGATGAATCACACCCGGGCTCATCAACCCATTGTCGTTGTAGTACGACCGTCTAAACGGCGCCTCAAAACTCTGGGATTCACGTGGCGTGCTTGCGCTGTCGGCGCTGGTCAAAAACACAGCTGATTTAACGACGCAACCCAAAGCAAAAGCAACCTTTGGGTTAGTGGTGTAATCTTCGATACGCACGTGTACATTGTTGATGCGAATCTCCAGGCTTTCCAATAACGATATCACCGTACGCCAAATGAACCCGCGGCCTTTGATCTCCGTAACCACCTGCTCCAGCGACTCCGCGGCAAGAGTGGACACCTTCTGCACAAGGTACTCATCTCGAAAGGCCTCAGAGTCCCACTGATTCTCGGGTGTTGCAGTCAGCAGCAATACGACATTGTTCACTTCTATCACCAGCTTGCGCTTTGACAAGCTGAGGAGCGGCAGGTGGATGCTGATGTCCACACGATCAATTAGCCTGCGAGGAATTAGAGGTGCAAATAAATTAGATAAGATGCAGTAACCTTTGCACCGCAATGAAGTCGCGCAATATAATGATATCTGACACATCAACATGCAATTAACAAAATAGACATGCATCGTATTGTCTAAGGGAATTGCACATGTAAGGTCACTACAACGCTGGAAAACCATGTTAAATCACAGAGCTTTATACATGCATGTACTATACACGTAGAAGTCCTCGATTGTGGCGGAAACGTACCCGAAAGTGAGGTGGTAAGGGAGTCCTAGGTAATGCACGATGCTGGGCTTTAGGGTCAGTCCACTCAGTACCACCTTCCCGCTGAGCAGGTTGCTCACCAGCAACGCATCCTCGTCAATACCCTCCACAAAGGGTGCGAGCAGCTTGTTCAGCAGGTAGATGATCTTGCTCTCGAACATTGTCTATGGAATGCTGCAGATAATGTGAGCAAGGGCAAGAAAGACAGGGGAAACAGGGATTCCAAGAGGCATGGATCGCACATTGAGTACACCGTGCATATATATGGACAACCGTATTTGTACACAGCCCAAAATACGAGAAACAGGAGAATATGGAAAGCGTAGGTGTACACATCACCGGGGGGACGGTAGGCAAATAGAGACTCAGCCGATCCTTACCTGACGACCACACCAAACATAATAACAGGTGTCTCCTATAAGACACGCATTTCGGTGACGGAGGCCGTCATCCCTTCACGAAAGCGTCATGATTGCGTAATTTTCCATACGCAACACACATGGTTTGTGTAGGCGCCCAAAGGCGCAAAAATATTACACATACTAGAGCATTTATACTCTAGATCTTTCGCAATTGTGTGAAATACGACACCCCGCCGTTTGGCCCGACGGTGATCAACGCGTCGCGGGACCCTAACGCTGCTCAATAATGATGTGCTGCTGCAACACAGCTGAGTGATGTGCTACTATAGACGCGGTGTAGCATTAGTTATACCACTTTAGCATATGTGATCCATTAGATCCGAAGCAATAAGGCGACTTCACGCGCGGCATGGGCGCGACGTGGAACAAGACGTTGTAAAGAGTTCCTGTCTATTGAGAAAACGAAGGTATAGCCGAGAAATTTCCCGATAAATTAGTATCCGTTCATTCGGGCGCGTGATGTAATGCGTTTTGCAGCGGCCGAATAATGTGATTCTGCTGCTGTGTTGCGGCGTCGAGTTGGGACGGTAAGAGGTTGGAAGGCTCCGTCGAAGAACTATCGCATATCGCCATTTAGCTCAATTTGTGCTGATAATATTGTATGAGGGCACTAGATCGCTACAAAAGTTGTTATTCGGCGTATTGATATAAAGCGGCGTAGCGTTGGTACAAGCCGGATGTGAATTAGCCCTATCTTCGCCTCTAGTCCATGAATTAAAAGGGAAGCTCAATGTATTTGTATCGCATCAGGTAGAGTGGCTCGAGCACTTGGTAACCGTACTTAACGACGCCGAGATCTGTTGTCTAGGGTGTAACGTTACCAAGGTGAGATAACCAGGGCAGGCATATTGCGACATCAAACACATCATTCAATTAGGTGGGGAATATGATAGCATAGTTGTGTTGAGATATTAGACCAGCAACATGCGTTAGAGCCCCTAGATAGTGTGAAATCGACAAAATGCTGAACGCGGCTTACTGGGGGTTGCCCGAAGCGTCAACTGACGTGAACGCCCTTAAAGAATTCGAATTGAAGCACAAAATATACAGTTTGCAGGTTGGAATAACAACAAATGACCTGGAGATCAAAGTAATTCTCAGGGCGCTCATAGAGCCCATCACCATCTTCGGAGAAGGAAAATACGAGCGAAGGGAACGGCTCAAAAAGGTGTTGCTCTACAAGTACGACAGGCTATTCCATGATAAGGATGTAGCGACTGCAATCGCTGCCTCAAGTGAGGCCAAGAACCTTTACGACGTCATTAAGGCTTTCAACATCGACCTATCGAACGTCTTCTCCAAGAAGGCGGCTTTCTCGGACATCACGCAACAAGACCAAACTCAGGATGCGGCTGACAAGGAACTGTTTTACACTGAAGGTGACGAGCGGATTAAGCAATTCCGGAGCGACCTTGCCCACCAAACGTGGACTAGGACACGAAGACGCAAGGAACTGATCCACGAATATCGGAACAGTACGGATCAGTTCGAACATAAGGACGATGTTGAGAGGTATGGGAGCTACCTAACAGATTCAGTTTCGCTTTCATACTCGCACGTCGCCGCCGAAAGGCCGCTAACGGCAGCGAAATTCGCGCCAAACATGAAGTACATCGCAGTTGGCAGTTTTTGCAGCCACATCAACGTCTACTATTACAAACCTGACGATAACTTCCCGCTTGCAAGGAAGTTGGACAATGGGTCAAAGGAAATGATCCATTGTCTGGATTGGCAGTGTAACACCAACGCCATATATGACAAGAAGTCGGCAATAGATACTATGCAAGATCATCAGTTGTTACTGGCAACAGGCGGATCAGGCGGCAGTGTGTCCATATGGCGGCCATTTCCTGAAGCGGAAACCGAAGATAATCCAGACAACTTTTGCGTACACAAGGCAAATTTGCATGAGGATAGGGTCAATCGCATTCGTTTCCACCCTTTTAAACAAGTTATACTAAGCTCCTCAACCGATGAAACGGTCAGACTATTCGACCTGCAGAATATGCAAGAGTTATACGTCCAGGAGGGGCACAGTCACGGCGTTCATGGCCTGGCGCTCAACGGTGATGGCAACCTTGTTGCTTCCGGGGACATGCATGGAGTTGTAATCATTATGGACCTAAGGACTGGCAAGCACATATTCCAGCAACCTGTGCACAACGGCAAGGTCACTGCCATTGACTTCCACCCCATCAACAACCACATACTCGCAACTGCAGCAGACGACAATGCCGTAAAACTCTTCGACTTAAGGAAGATGCGTCCGGGCAGCTCGCTCCTCGCACATACCAAGCTCGTCAGTGATATGGAGTTCGAACCAACCTACGGACGATACCTCGCCACCAGCTCTTTCGATACCCACCTTAAGGTATGGGACACCGAGGATTACAAATGCAGAAAAGTGCTCTCGAACAACGATGCGAGAGTCATGAGCCTAAATGTTGCTCCTGATTCTTCGGCAATAATCACAGCGTGTTACGACCGCACGCTGCGCATATTCAAGCCAAACGACGCGCCGGACACCTCCGTAAACACGGGATTATCCCGTCTCATACAACAGTAGCATAATATAAGCCTAACCATCATCATATCTATGAGTCAGATACCGTTTTTTGCTCGGCAAATTTGTAGTAACTCTTTAGACTCTATACGTCATCCTTTCGTTATTCGATTTTACTAGATTGACATTGGGTGTAATACGGGAACAGTGGGGCGCTAGTTGAGTAGGTACGGCTGCGGTAGGTTACCGGAAATGCTAGGAACGCGTTGTGAAACAATGTTGGATGCTATTTCCAGAAAGCTAAGATAGAAACATGAAATGGCGAACTGCGCAACACCACTTACGCAGCTTCGCGGTACAGTCACAGTAGGATGGCGCCACTGACTCTTAATATGCAACCACTAGATGATCGACTAAACATTAATCAACATATACGCTACATTAGAATGGCAGTCATACGATCCTAAGATTCCGTGGGGACCATGTAGCTGCAATACGTTCTCGGAATGGAAGCCTGAGTAGCGATCAATCTCCATATCTCGGGGAACTCACTCAGCAATCGGAGCCCTTTCTCAAGTGTTTTAATTACCCAGGTGGCAAGCAAACGCACCGCGCATGGTATACATCGCTTCCCGTGGTTTGTCTGGAAACGTATTCCAAGATACTGGGTTGACCAGTAAAAATACAGATTGTTTAATCTAGGCAACAGTAGGGCGAACCCATAAGGTAGTGTCAGCGGAAGAGCTGGATAGGGATGACTAAAAGTCCGTCGCTGAATGAGATTACAGGTAATACGAAGCGTCTTTTATGAGAGGTATATCAAATGCTCAGAAGAGGCTGCGACACATAACAGCTAACCAGTGACACCACGTAGCATGTGATACGTTACCACATAGGCGCCGGATATGACGTGGCTAAAGGAGGCTATATGGAACAGATTCGATTAAATATGTTTATGCAGTTGGTAGAGGGGTATGAGATGCCAGCCATGAATCAGAAAATACAACAGAGCACCTTCTTGATACAGCACAACGGCCCCCGTAATATCTTATATAAGAAGAAGAGAAGTAGTATGAGGATAGCAAGGATTATATACACGCAACCACTTTTGCATCCGCCGCCTTGACCTTTATTACACAAACATTTATCAGGTAACAGTTTACCGAAAAACTCTTTCACATCACTCCAACCAACCATCTCTGCGCGGCAATCAGCAACGTACCTTAAGCGTCTGCTAAGTTCTATAAAACACCGGCAGAAAGTATACATATACATGCACAGTGGCACCCACCCGGCTGCGCATGCAGATATGAAATCTAATCTCGGAGCTTTGATGTACAATTAAGCTCCACTGCGGAAACTAAATTACAAGATGTGTCACCTCATAGTTAAGGATACAGGGAGATCAGCTGTACATCATCTGGGAACGCGGTGGCAGCAAAACCCACCATATCCTTTGTGCCACGCCAGCGGTAGCCGTACAAGGTTATTGAGTGAGATATAGTTCTCTATGATGATTTCAATGTTCCCGTAATGTTGCCAACAGATGAGATCCATTAAGCAGGCCGTCCCGCGGTTGTCAAATCGGCGTCCAGGCATCACCCGCAAGCACGCCCGTAAGTAATCACTCACCGCCTTTGCACGAATACAAGCGCCATCATATGCCATATCATCAAATAACATGGCCACATACCGCACCTATCGTGCCACTAATCGGCTGCCAGGCCGGGTGAGCGGCTACCCACACAACTTCATGGCACACTGACGAAGTAGGATGACTCGTACACGTATGATGAGTTATCCTAAACAATAAATTCCGAATAAGCGTCTCAAAGCGTCGACTCTATGGTTGGCGCATTGCTCGTTAGGTGCTACGTCGCTATTTAGCTGATTTGGTCGATCGTCACGTCATGAGCAGACATACGTTTACTCGGCGAGGATGGCGATCCTCTGTGCTACTTCCAGCCTGAGGTGAAAGCGTACGTCAATATCACATTGCGCTGTGTTAATCACGTTCTAACTACTGCGTCGCTAAGGTGTATTTCATAAACGGCTTCGCAGGTTGCCCGCCGATGCACTATTTTAAACATCAAATAATACATTATTACGTCGGCATCGTGCCGTTACTGTATAGAACGGTGCGCTAAGTGATTTTATAAAAATTGTTGGAAGTGACTAAAGAGTGCGATACAAATGTTCACTTGCGGACGCAAAAATCGCGGACCTTGTGGAACGGCCAAATACGTTTCATGATCATGAGGCATACGGCGATGAGGATGATTGAGATGATAGGAACCGTGACAATGCTTATACATTTATTTCTACAACATGTACAGTTACATGTGAACCAATTTGTTCCTGCACATTTCGGGCAGTTATAAGGACTACATGTCTTGTAAAGTTCTCTGGACTCCTCGCATACACTGCACCGATTGCCGGGTTTACACCACTCGCAACACCATGGACAGCACCTACAAGTGTTGTCTATGCACCCGCTGTCCTTTCCAACACAAGTACACTTGTACATCATCTTCCCCTAGTTCACTTGTTCTTAACCTGCACAGGCATGAAATACGTGCCTTGGCCTCGAAGGGTAAAACCGCAATGCCGTCATCGATGACCGACCAGCAACAGCCAGTGATACCACTATGAACATGCAGCGCACCACATACGTTATGCAATTCGAACTACGGACCGAATAATTACACCATAATTGCCATTTATGGATGCACTAATAGGTGCCTAGCTGAGCAAAGGCGCGTCTCTAATAGATTAGTGATCGCCACAATGTTGCCATGAACACCACTTAAATAGGCCGTATAGTGGTCATGACGTCGGAGAGTTCCGGTGGCACCGTTCAAGGCTACCAAGGCTTATGGGAGCATTGAGACACGAAACCCTTGTGCTAGTAGAATCGATTAAACATGCGCAATATATCAACAGTTGTGCCATGTGATCTGCGCCATCACGTGATGTTCATGCTACTATGTAATTAGTAATGTTGACGCAGCTGCAATGACAGAATATGACCCATTTGTCCGACTCCAAGGCACCACTTGCTTTCAAACAGGAACTCTTACATAGTCTGCACATAAGTTACTGCTCCTATGCCCCCTTGCGCATCTGCCATAATGTCTAAAAATCGGCGCGTGCATCACAAGACCAGCACGATTACTGCAATGCGACTGAATAAATGGAAAACAAATAACGAGAAACTAATTAAATCGAACACTTCGACATAGTGCGAATATGTGCCGTATCATTACGGTCATAGTCGAATTTACAACAATTTAAGTGATTTATTTAAAGTAACGGTAACAGAGATAGGTGAGCACACCAAGGCCACCACAGTGTCCGGCGTTCATATACATAACCGTATTGTGAGCGTGGTGGCTCTTCTCTTCCCCTATTTTTATCTTAAATTGCTCCAGGCGTGATAAGACGTGGTGTTGTACAAACGCGTTCAACCACATGCGGCCACAGTAAGAAACACAGAAAATAATATACGTGCTTTGGGGAATCTCTTCATTGGTAAGCCATTTGAGCTCATATACATTCAGCATAAAAAGCAGAAGGCATATCGACAATAATGCTCCCCACACGTACCCTATAGCGTCAGTATGCTCGCCAACAGCTTTCTCGATCTGGTCATAGAGGAAAGCAAACAATAGTCTAACCGTAAAATAGGCGGATATCGTCATCAGAGTCATCTCCACAAATAACCCAGGTACCAAAAACGCCATGGATGCATCCGAAAGGCTGATTAGTACCGACGCTGCTAACAACAGCAAATATGGATCCGGCTTGAGAATGCCTGCCGTCGAATACTCTATATTCCAAAGACCGTAATCAGTGTTACGAATTTTTTCGAAGTCTTTCGAGAAGTGCGATCTGAAAGTTAAGACACGCATTTTACATTTATCCTCTAAGACTCTATGGTTGAAATAATCCAGATGTTCTGATTTGCCATCGTCATGTGTACAGTTTTGCGATTCAACAGTCTCAGACGGCTTGTTGCATATCTCACTTTTTTTACATTTTCCATAGTAATACTGCTTCTCATGGCTCAGGTGCAGATAGAGCACTAATGTTGCAAACACAGATATGGCACATTGCATACCCATGACAATCATGTAACCCCCAATGTTGCAATCGCCCTTATATAACTCCCTGATTGTGTAAACAATTAATAATGTGTAGAAATAGCCCAGGCCCAAATTACTCCATCCCATCAAACTATGAGCCATCGTACCGAATCGGGCCCCCATCAGTGCATTCATGTAGAGCATAATGTCGCCAGCCATAAACAAAACAAAGCCGTAAACTCCAACCAATGTGCACATTATGGTGAAGCTAAATGGATCGCGTCGGTCTATCCATCCGAAAATAACCAAGGACAATGGCGGGAGAGCGGTTAGGGCCACTACAATAATCGGAGGCATTACTTTGAAGAACTGCGTATACGGCAAGAGCAGCGACGTCCCAGCAGCAGAGCCGATAAGGATAGACATCAACAATAGAATACAATTGTGGGTTTGCATCAAGGCAGTGCGCCTAGAAAATTCAAATATGCAACCTAACAGCACAATCAACGAGGTGTAGAAAACCGCCGAACAGAGTTCCACAATCCTGTCCATGGACATGAAAAACTGGTCTTTCTCCAAATTACGTACTGTCCTGTCCTGCTCTTCGCCTGATTCAGTGTTATCGTCTTCCTGATTGAAGTTATTAATCCCAACAGCGGTACAGAGGGACACAAAATATGGGAAACTCAAAAAAGCTCCGAAGATATTATAAAGCAATAGGTCAGGCCCAAATGGATTATACGCTGTTTCTTCATCGTCAGCTTCAGGTTCTTTCGACTTATCCTTTTTTGCGTCCTCCTCCCCGTCATCACCTTTACCGTCATCATCTTCGTTTTCCTTACTCATGCCCAGCTCAATGATGTAGCAGATAACCAGGACACCGCCCAAAATCAGAATCATAACAAAAACCGTGATACGAGGTCCTAACCAATCGAAGACATGATTGAAAGTGAATTGCAGAAGCAAACCAAAAATTGTATTCACTATGTTCGCTATACCCATTAGTGTTGATTCGTGGTCTGGGAAATACTCGTCGATGAAGGTAATCAATTGTTGAATGTCACCTGCCTGAGCAATCGCGAAGAGCAGTGCCGAAGTATATGCACACGGAAAGTTGCGGAAATAGACGGCAATCAGCGCGCCGATGTACATCAAGGTCGTGACGCCCATCATAGGAACAACACCGAAAAACTCGTTCATATAACCCAAGACGAAACTACCGGCGAATGAGAAATCAGAGCTCACTTCCAAGAACTCAGTCACTTCCTCGTTGTCGAAGAAGAGCAGCGTGAAGGAACGGCGATAGAAGAGACGTACAGAACAAAGAAGGACATAACAGGTAACCGATAACCAGTAACGAACGTTGGTCACAGCCTTCATCATGCCTGCATTGAACATATTGGTAAGTTCGTAGGCGTCTTCACTTTCCTCCTCCTCATCTTCATCCATAACAATAAATTTTTTGGGAATAAAGTATAGTGTGACGGCGATGCATACGAAAATGGCCCAGAAAATGTAGGTCAGAGAAGCACCACTAAAACCGATGTTGTAGCGCATTGCAATCTTCTGCAGAAATGTCGGAGTAAACATACTCATGTTATCGGCGGAGGTGATGACACTCACAGCCATGTTATTGCCGAACGTGAACATACGGGAATAGTGCCACGTCGGAGCCAAAGCGAAAGAAGCCGACACGCCCCAAAACATAAAGGTTGCATACAGCATTACTGTATTCTGGGTGAACAGATAAAACATCACGAAAGCTATGACACCAAAAACCTGACCTATGAGAAGTGCGTAGTACGCACCGAAACGATCGCCTATGTAGCCTCCAATTGAACCCACAAAAGAATCAGTGTACATGATAGCAGAGTACAAGTTCGAAATCTGACGACGCTGAGCATCACAAACAAAAGCGTTGGGCTTTGCTTCCCGCCGCTCCTCTTCAGTACACAACCCTACCAAGGCGCCATCTCTCATGAACATGTCCTCGAAGATAGTCCAGTTGTAGTACAAACTGGACGTTAAACAAATCGAAAGACATCCCAAGCACATAACAACGTACTTGCTGATACCATAAGGATAAGCCTGCTTTTTGATTTTGTCCATGCGTTTCTTGCGCTTGCGAAAGAAGATATTCCCGATGCAGGAATAATCACACTTGCATTTGCCACAATTATCCTGCTTGTCTGCCTTAACAGTACATTCCTCCGAATGTAACTTCTCAACCTCTGCCGCCATTTTGGAGAATCTTGCAGAACACCTATACAATAAACAGGGCAACGATGCCTCAACAAAGCGATAAAATGTTATAAAACAAAACACCAAAGACCAAAATTACCTAGTAACTAGGTCATACACCAATATTGCAAATATACATAGAGAAGGTGTGATGAACTGAGTACGTTGCACCAAAAAAAGGAAACTACGTTAGACACCCGAAAATTGCCAAGGGCAACCTCTAATTGTATCAACCTCCAGAATGCGCGCCTTTAATATGATATTAACATAAATCCTTACGTTCAAAAGAGAAAACCGTTCTGGAGTTCACAAAACCAAATTAGAGGTGGCCCCGGCTATTGCTAAGGCTGTAAAACGTCCGTCATACCTATAACACTGAACACGGAATTTGTGTCTATGAATTGTAAAAGCATGTCGTATATTATTTGAAGGTCAGGGAGATTAAGGCAGGTGCTGTCCTGCACCAGCGGAATAACACCATCGGATGGTGGATCATCAGAAATAGTTACAATCCCACCAAACAATTTCCACACACTCTACGCCACATCCTTGTACTATTTTTCTATTACAAATACGGATGTGTACGGCTTCTCAGCTGCGGCAGAGCGCAGAGCTCTATTTCAATCGTTTCCAAAGGTTACAGAGGCTCTCCACCACGTCTGTGTAATAATAGCACTCACTCATGCATTATACTGTGAAATTGGTGTAGCAAAACCTGTGGAATATACATATATGTGGTTGAGGGCGGTTTCGTGTGATTGCAGACACCGGACACACCTAATTGAATAGTATTGTACACCGCGCATATGGACGCATTAAAGTTATCATCGAACATTATTTCATGCTTTTCACGGCTTTTAGTAGCCAAACGATTGAGCCATAATGCTAGTCATCTGCAGAGTAGCGGCAGCAGCGCTGCCGGGGCCAGCATACCTTTGGGCCCATTTGAACGTCGCAAAAATGCACGTACTACCCAATTGCAATTCAAAACTAACATCCTTGATACACCAAGAGACAGGATTATGCGGCAGATTATTCGACGTCGTAGACAGGTTAACACTGAGCAGCATGATAAGGACGGCAGTCTCTACGAATTGGCAGAGGCATATCTAGAGGCTGAACACGAGATGCTAGCCGCAGCTCCATCACAGGATGCTCTAACTAGGCACAAGATATCGCAGGTGCTGCAGCAAAGGTTCAATTATAACCCAATACAATCATTTGCATTGAACCATGACTCAAATCGCAAGATCGCATTAGAATCTCAGGAAAGTGTAACATTTCAAAAGAATCGCAGACTCTACGTAAATGAAGTTAAAGACGAGGGAGATGATGACATTTCCGAGTCACCGGGCGAGAACAATGATCGTAACGCAACAGCTTCAGGCAGTGCGCCACAAGACGGAACTGAACACCGAGGCAAACAAAATACCATGCACTCAAAAGAAACCCAACAGCCTGCAACAGACTTGGAAAAGGTGGCTTTATGCAACGGAACAATATTAGAAATAGACCTGTCCGCTGTCAAGACTGTAGAAAAAAACCACAAGGAGGATGTTTTCGATTCACTTGGCTCATTACGACTGAATGAGGAAATGTTAAACCTCTGGACAAGTCAAAATGTAATAGACGTAATATATTTCAACGAATCCTTGTTGCCTATCGTGTCCACAAGTGCCGAGGCGGAGTACTTCCACATCAGGAACAAGGCTGCACTGATAAACAAATCGTACGCCTTGCCAATCATGGTTAGTGGAAAAGATGCCGCCGACTTCTTGGAGCACTTTGTAACATGTTCTTTGAAAAACATGAAAAGGGGAATGGTGCAATACACCGCTTTGGTCGACACACAGGGGAATGTGATGGATATGGCATACGTGGCGGCGTATGAGAATTCGTATCTCTTGGTGACAAACGGCCTACAGAAACGAAATCTCTTCGATTACATGACTGCATATCAGGTGTCTTGTAAGAGGTCGGGGCTGGATGTCACGCTCAGACCGCTTCTCTCTTTTGTTCTCATAAGTTTTCAAGGACCAAAAGCAGCGGACATTCTGCAGGCAATTGCTAAAAGGGATCGTATATACGTAGTACCAGAAACAAAGGAGGACATTACCGAGCAGGAAGGACGGTCCGAACATGCAGAAACACTTAATGGGTGCGCCATTAAGATACCTACAACATTACCGCCATTCATGCGATGCATTGATTTTGAATTTACGTGTCCGTACACGCGCAAAGATGGCTTGTCGTCACAGAAAACGTATCCTATACACTGCATGAGAGTAAGTGACGTCGGAGAAGATGGTTTCGAGATGCTTGTCAGCTCAGATGCGGCAATACCTCTGCTGAGGTGAGTGTTGGTTAGGTCAAAATAAGTTTGATGTTTATTTCCAATAAGTGTTCAACATGTTGTATGTTCGTTAGGTGTTATGTGAGACATTACTCATGTCGTCACCATATGTTGATATGAAGATCTTTGTGGCGGTATCAATGTTCTATACACGCTACTCTCTGTCGTCACATGATTTTCAGGCTACTGCGAAGTCACCCGGATGTCGTTTACGCAGGTTTCGAAGCATACGACTCGGCGAGAATGGAAGCCGGTATCATACGGTCCGATGTCGACATTCCGACCGAGTCGTCGCCTATACAAGCTGCCGTAACGTGGTCGGTCGACACGAACAAGCTACGATCAGGATCTCTGTTCGGGAGGAAACATATGACATCGCAACTCATCAACGGAGTGGCCAAACTGTAAGTGATGCTATGTTCAATATCATGGGCATTTATGGCAGGCGAGTGGGACTCATTGCGAACGAGCGAGTCGACACCAACTGCAATATACTGAACGGGGATACAAGAAAGCCGATCGGTGTGTTTGTGGAGCACTAAGTGCGCATAACCTGTAGGATTTGTGACATCATGCTCGTGGAGCTATGGACTTAAAATGTACTTGGCTCAGGCGTATATCAACGCCGAATGCGCCAGGCACGACATGGTAGGCAGCCTAACTACAGCACTAATCAGTTGTAGCCTGTGCTGCTTAGCTTACCACTGAAGCCGGAAGCGCCGGTAACGAAAAGAGAATTCCGGAAGAACTATCGCAACAAGACACGTAGGACGATCATCAGAGGCACTGTAGTTCGCCTCCCCTTTGTGCTACACAACTACCCAATCAACGAAAGCCAGAAGCACTACATTGGAGGCAGGCATGTGCCGCTGCAAACATTGAAAAAGCAGCCGAACGCAAAAGGGAAGGACGAAGCACAGGCAGTGCCTGGTCAGACGGCGAATCATTCGCCGCTTGACGGTAACACCGCATCGGTCGAAGAGAACGCCGTTAGAGCAGCTGGAACGTCTGACAGTCTAGCTGTTCATGCGGACACATCGCAACAACCTACGCGGCTCAAAACACGCAAACAGCTCTGGAAGGAGGTGGTTAACAAACAACGCATCAAAAATGCCAAGACACTCGAGATGGCGCTTACGCAGGTGGAGAAGGCAACCGTCGATGCCTACATAGACAAGCAACTAAATGGGGAACCTTGTACCGAACAGATGCCTCTGCAAACCCAGCGCATCAACATAATACCCCGCGCAACCGTACCTCTCGAAAAGACCATCGAATACTACCGGGAGCTACACAGCAAGCCAGTGCCGTCGCGACATCGGCGCTATCGGCCGCCGATGTTGGCGGCATGAAGCTACACCCTTAAATGTGTAGGCACGCGGTCGGCACCGGGCGGTGAACGGGAACTGTCTGGCCTCACGGACACTTTTCGCCCACCTACGATAGAACACACGTGCGCCTACTTATAATTTATCACACAATTAACTTACACATCGGCTTTCTGGCTCAACGTAGCGCAAAGTGTAGGGTGCTGGGAAAGACGTCTAGGCAACTGCATCCACATCGACGTTCACACAAAGCTTCAAACCGCTACACATCGTAGCGTAAAACAGTGTCTTTGGCAGGCACATGAGCTGAAAGACACCGACACATCGGCAGAATGGGAGGACAAGCTAACCTCCGGCCAACCGGCCGTCTCACGCCGGTAGGTTTCGCAATGGCTCTCCTACTACTCCTCTCCGTATTTCTGTATGGTACGGAAGCGCAACACGCCACTATCGGTGTCGACTGGGGTGAGGAGTACGTTGAGGTAGCCATTGCCTTCCGGGGACACAAACCGGATATCCTGCTCAACGATACTGGCAGCAGAAAGTTCGTAAATGCAGTATACCTCGACGGGAAGATGCGGCTCTTTGACCAGAAGGCTGCGGCAAACCTCGTCAAAAGCCCAAGCAGAACTGTGCACAAGTCAGCGCACATCCTGGGTATGCCAGTACACGTGGAAGGGGCACAGGAGGTGACGCCCGTACCCAAGGATAAGGTGCTGGGCGTTTTCAACGACCATGGAATTGTATTCGACTGGGACTATGCCCCGTATGAGTTTGGGGCGGATGATGCAGGACAGCTGTACCTTAACATCAGGAAGGAGGGCATGGTAAAAGTTGAAGAGGCTGCGGGACACTTTTTCGACTACATCAAAATGATAATTACCACTAAACTTTTAGCTTCCAAGGTAATCCAAGCAGAAGACACTGACATATCAATTATGGCGGTGGTGACCATACCATGCAACTACAAGCAACATCAGAGGAAGGCCATCATTTTCGCTGCTGAGAGCGCCGGGATCACGGTGGCAGGATTGGTGCACGGCATAACGGCTGCTTCAATTGTCAGGGCCTTTGAACAGGGACCAGGCACAAAGAAGCTACTGTTTTACGATTTGGGCAGCTCCGGGGCTAACGTCGGTGTAGTCGAAATACAGGTTCCGGAGAAAGACCGCAAGAAGTCAAAGGGATTATCAAACACCCATATCACCATGTTGTCCTGTGTGACGCAACAGGGTATAGGTGGAAGGCATCACGATGTGGTGCTGGCCCAGCACTTGCGCACCATCTTCGAGAAGAAAACAAAGATCGAGCTCATGCCACAACACCCAAATGCATTGCAGAAGTTGCTGAAAGCAGCTAACAAGGCTAAAATCGCGCTCACGATATCCGAATCTACCAATGTGTCCATCGATGGACTGATCAGGAATGTCGACTTCGCAAGTGAAACGGTGACGAGACAGACATTCAACGAGCTAATCAGCGGTTCCATTGACCAACTTGAGAATCCCGTTAAACGGGCGTTGGAGTTGGCCGGAGATATCAAACTGGAAGAATTGGATGGTGTGGAACTGGTTGGAGGTGGCTGGAGGGTGCCTGCGGTGCAGGAGAAGCTGAGCGAAATCCTCAAACCACACCCACTTGGGTTCCACCTCAACGCGGAGGAAGCAATGGCAATGGGAGCAGGCTACCTTGCTGCAGCGCATAACCCATTCTTCAAAATGAAGAGTGCGAACGTGGCGGAAAGCAGCCTCTATTTGTACGCCATTCGGATATTCTCCATCGACTCCACGCACCCGGACGCCATGGAAAAGAGCTCCCCGCTCTTCAAACCAGACAGCAAATTGCAGGGCACTAAGACTGTAGTTTTCAAGACAAACATCGACTTCGAGCTGGAGTTAACGGAGAACGGCAACCTTCTTACCACTTATCGCAGCTCGGGCATTACCGACGCAATGAGCAAGGAGGAAAACAAGGGTAAGGTGGCACAAATCACCCTTGCTTTCACTGTTAACGCCACCGGCGTCATTGAACTTTCGAGACACAGCGCGTCCTTCGTTGAGGTTGCCCCCAGTGACGCTGATGATGCAAGCAATGCCAACCAGACAACCGCAGACGGAACTGCTGAAGGCGCCGGTGAGAGCGCTTCAGACACCGAGGAGGGGAAAGAAGGCCACGAAAGCAAAGAACAGGATGGACAGGGTTCAGCCAATGGGGAACAGAAGACTACGGAACCTGAGAGCAATGAGCAGGAGAGCGCGGAATCTGGGAGCGGAGAACAGGGCAATGAGCCAACTAACGAGGACGAAAGGAAAGAAGCGGACCACAAAGAACAAGAAAGCAAAGCAGCTGAGAGCAAAGAGGAGGACAAGAAACCTGCAAAGCCCCTGACATTTGAGTTCGCCATGGCAGCCGTCATCGGGCAAAGCGCCTTCACCCCGGAGAAGCTTGAGGCAACGGATATGGGAATTAAAGCCCTTCACAAACGCGATATGGACATCGTCAAGCTGTCGGAAAGGAAAAATACGCTTGAGTCGCTCATATACAAGTACAAGAGCGCGGCTAGAAGGCAGGAATTCCAGGAAGCCTGCGATGAGGCGACTATGGCCACCATCAACGCACTTCTTCACGAATACGAGGAATGGTTTGACGAGGATTCGTACGATGCCACCTTGGAGCAGTTTGAGGAGCGCATTTCCAAACTCGAGGAGGTCTCGACACCCGTCTACCAGAGGTGGTCAGACAATGAGGCCCGCCCTTCGCTGATCGCATCTACCAACAAATCCATCGCGAAGTTGATGCAGAAGTTCGACGAGCTGCTGGAGAAAAAACCGTACGTCGCTGAGGAAACCGAGATGGTCGACAAGTTCAAGAGCGTGCAGACGTGGTGGGAGGAAGTCCTAAAGCAGCAGGATGGCCTGAAACCCAATGAGGAGCCCGCGTTCACCGCAGGGTCGATCAAGATGCGTCTAGAGATCGCCAAACAGGTTCTCTCGTCGCTCGAGAAGGTGCCGAAGCCCAAGCCAGCTCCCGAGGAGAAAAAGCAAGAAGAGGCCAAGGAGACAGAGCATACGGCAGAAGAATCGTCGCAGGAACCCAAAGAGGAGGAGCCGACCACCGACAAGGGCGAGCAAGAACAAGCCCCAACCGACGAACTATAGACACCAAAACCGAACTGCAGCGTAAATATAAACACTATAGATGTACTTCATTAGGCAGCACTGGCCGCAGCAAGTTGTGCTTCACGCGGTAATGCCTCATTTCGGCGGATGCATGGGCGCGCCGGACCCAGGTCCGAGCGGCATCCACTGCACCACGTTGTGCACGTTCTCTGTCACCGGGGAGGGGTTCACTCGGTTGGCCTCTAACGCACTGGTACCAGTGTCGCTCCCGGAGGCCTCGCGCGCACCGTCCACGTTCATGAACGCGTTGTCCGGCAGGAAACAGGGGTTGGCGCTGGATTCGTCCGCGGGTGTCGTCGGGAAACCCATGGCTTGGTTCTGCGACGGGCAGCAGGGAGTCTCCGTCTGTTGGATGGTGCGATTTGGGGAGTTCATCCGATTGTTGTAGCGCAGGTTGCGCAGAATTTGGTTTCTCGAGGGAGTGTTCAAGATGAGTCGTAGGTACGCGACGCCATCAGTCGTCGGTCCGAGACAGGGATCTTCGCCGTTCGAACCGTACATCATATGCGAATTCGTCTCCTCCCCGTATACAGAATCCCACGGCTGTCTTCCAAATAAGGAATCGAGATCAAACGAGTTTTGGAATGTGGATCCGTCCTCCGATTGCATTCCCTGGTTCGTGTCGGGGAGGAAGACAGGAACGTTTTGACGACCAGACGACAGGGCGTGTACCGAGTCGCCGGCCTCTGCGTTCATGGGACTGCTGCCGCCTAAGCGCATCATAAACTCCTGGCTGTATATGTCGCCCGTTGTGCCCATTGACTCGTCCGTGTTCTGCGGCGTGGACCCGACGGGAGTAGTACCCATCACCGACACCACAGGGGTGGCGGACTCGCTCATGACGACTGGCAGGCTCAGCACGTTGCAGAAGTTAAAACTGCCAAGCACAGGCGGAATGTCGACGCAGCCGGCCGCGAACCTTATGGTGGGATCCACAGTCAACTCGATCAAGCTGCGACCGACCTGAACCGCCACGGTCTCAGAGGAGGTGATCGGCGTAGGTCGACGCATAGCCACCAGAGTGCCGAATTTGGAGTCGTGGTCTTCGAGGAAAAAGGTGCCGTTTTCGTACAGAATGGTGGCGTGATTGCGGGAGATCGACACGTCGGCAATTCGCACAGAGGCGTCGTGGCCGCGGCCGAGACGAACGAAATCGGAATCCTGAACGCTGATAAAATGCAAACCTCTGCTTGAATGGGGGGTCACATTCTCCAGCAGAATGAAGGGGCACGACATGTTCGGCATCATCACCAATGGGACGAGCTCGCCCTTCACGCGCACGAAGGGGGGCAGGCGTGCCTTGCATAATTCACACGTAGAGTCGCACAAAAGCGCAGCCTTTAACGGCTGCTCCGATTCCTTGGAGTCCTTCAAGGCACGAAGGTGGATCCATCGACGCATGCACTCCGCGTGAACGTACTTGATCGAACCCTTACACTCACAAGGACACAACAACTGGTCGTCATCCGTGCTCTCCGACAGACAAATACGACATTGCATCATGCTGCCGTCAGGCACGGGCAATTCCAGCTCCGGCACCGGGAAGTCCAGCAGAGTGGACATGTCGAACCCTTCCAGTGCATCCTTGGGGACGATTTTCTTGACGCGAAGGCGATAGCGACCCAGCTTAACGACGTCGTGCTCCTGCAACGCATACCGCTTATTAGGCAGCGCTCGCACCACCAGCCATAGGCGCTGGGGAACGAGCGACTGCCCCGGCACTCTCTCCGCGGGGGCTAATGTGTACTCACCGGGGCGACGGCAAAATACACTCAGCAAATGGTCGCGTTCGCGCTCACCATTGGTCGCCTCCGTTTGGGACAGCGCAGTTACCGGTGCAACCGTTGACTCGGTACGCAACAGCCGAAAACTGTTGGATGCCGCGAAGTGGCGCTCCGCCAGCTGCTTCGGGTCCTGTGTCTCGTAGTCGAACAGATCATGGCTGTCGCGTGTCCACGTTCGCGTGCAAACACGCAGCATGGGTACCACCAACTCGGCTCCGGACACGAACATCCTGTCTCCAATTCTGAAACGTCTTCAGCTAAATCATGCCATCCAATGACTGCAACCAAGAGCTTCCTGAAAAGCTGTCAAGAAGACAAGTCGATAGAGATAACACAAAATGACGAAATAGCAGATAAAGCAGTGTTGCGAGATGTATCCACACCGGGTGACGTGTCGCAAGTCGACGCGAATAAAACGACGCCAGGCAGAGAAAGCGAAGATACACGACACAGAAAAAGCTACATTCACAATTAACTATAAATTTGGGGCATGGAACTCAAAAAATACGTATAGACGTGGAAACAGCGAGACCGAAAAAGCACCGCGTCAAAAATTCAGCAAAGCAACGGAGACCCAACAGCGCTCGTGCTCTAAAAGAGCAGAAAATTCCTTGCAGCTACGAAACCACGTACCACGGCGCCCAGGCCGCATGAAAAGCGCAATTTGATCCACAACGCGACGACTAGCGGATCACGAAGCTAGCGAACGCATAGAACGAAGGGGCCACTTTACTAAGCGACACTTCCGCAGCTTCAGCCGACAAAGCTCGCAAAAGCAGCCGCCAAAAAATCCTCAATGGATTTTCCTTCAATGCTAATGCGGCCTGCGCCGTCGATATAGGCCATGCAGTGGCAATACTATGCCCTCAGCTCGCGGCGTGTCAAATACGCTGGATCCAACACATGTTCACATGCCGGATTACTGCAGGCACTGTCGCCTAAACAATACAACCATCACATTCAGAAAAGTCACAACTGCCATTAAATGTCGTAGCGAGAGCTGACTCGCCGTCGACTTGCGCAGGTAGCCACTGTTGGCAGTCTCGCACACTCACAACCACAGCTCACGCCAATCCACCTACCTCCACGGAGAGTCTTGCGATTCCTTACACCGTAAATCGGTCACCAGTTTGGTGAAGGCTCGTATATCTCTAGCTTCGACGATTCGAAGATACACATTCAGATACACCCCGCACGCACTGCAGCGAAAACACGGAACGACGTCAATGCTGCAAAGCGCAGCGACCGGGCAGATCAACCAGTATACACACTTATGTTCGCACTCTTATGCTTACATATAGTTGATGTATGAATATGATCGGTAGAAACTGATGTCGCGTGCAGCAGCGAAACCGATCCAGGCAAGAGTCAGCAGCTGAAAGCACCAAACTCGGCGTACCTACTAATTCGCCAACTGCGGCGGCTCATACGACGCTACTCCGAGTCGGCATACCTAAACAGCATTAATTCACGACTTTCTGCGCATGCACGTCATATCAGCCGTTCATATAGCTGCGGTCACGAAATTGCTGTATTGCTCCGCCGATATATACGCTGAACCAAGCGTTCATTATCTGTATTTAATCAGGTTGGCTAGGTGCCTAAATGATTGTATGTTGCGTCTCTTTATGGCTATTGTCGTGGATGCCACGCATACTTCCGTATACTGGTATGTATGGCAGGCGGCATTTTTTACAAGGAACGCCTATTTTAGTTCTATGCTTTTGAAATAACAAGGAAGGCTGGTTATTTGATGAGCTAGTATCCAATACGTTCATTTAAAGCCACATCTCAGTGAGTCAACTCTAGTATTGCTTTGAATAGTACTCATGGCACACCACCGTGTATCATATTGATAGTCACATTAGCGAGCGTTAGCGACGCTAAATATTCGCTAGTAGGTGATATTTCCTCAGTATCGATCGATGAATTTTACAGCGGCCTGTACGTTACGGCGGTAGGAAAAATGCCGCTGATTTCCTCCGCACAGGCGATATCGGTTACCGGGTAAAAACAGTGATTGTGTCATGGTTAAACTGCGCATTCGTCCTCATGATGCTGTAATGTGTTGTGAAGGAGCATTGTGCCTCGTGCAGGTACGGCCCATGTCGCAGGTAAAATGTCGATCACGCGAGCCTCGGACATATCGCAAACATTTTGCAAAATGTAATGTTAGGTCTACAACCGTATTGAGCTGTTCAAAAGCTCAATCATTGTGCCCCATCAGCGGCCGTTGCTGACGTGGCAATCCTTCGACGATACGTAGCGTTATGAGACAGCCTTTGCTTGCTTATGCAGGTTCACGTATATAACAGCTAGTTAGGTGGTGTATTTGTGAATTAATTGGGGGCAGGTATTGCGCGAAACACCCGCAACACACAAGAGCGCCTTCTTTGTTCTAATATCTGTCGTTTCCAAAGAATAAGCGACGCTTTGTCGCAGAGGATCCATTTATGTGACTGTGTATTGCTATTATATAATTTATTCAGTTCTAAACAATCGTAATACAGTTAGCTGATCAGTCAATATTGACAGCCGGAGAGTAGTAGCAAGACAGCTCGACTACCGCCACAAAAGTCACACCGTATATCGCAATGTTAGTCTGCGGAAGGTCGTGAGTACGCAGGTGGACAGTAACATTTGGATAGTGACAAAGTCGTCAGTAGCATTTCGGATCTAACAGCTGATAAATACGGTCAGGATGGCTCAGACAAACCGCAGCGTAATGGCCATCGTAGGCGTTGGAGCGCTAGGTGCCACTTTGGCATATGCGACCACGAAGTTCCCGTTTCTCAGGAGACAGCTAGTGAGATTGGGATTATGCGAGGCTGACCCTCTCGCCGACGCTCTGGAACCCAACATGAGGAGAGTCGCAAAGGGTATGCAGTGCATCAACATCATTTCTGTGGACGACCTGTCGAACCAGCAACTCAGCTGCCTCATGGAGTTGGCTGCATTTTTCAAGGAAAAGGTATCGCAAAAGCTGAGCTGCGAGCTGCTTCAGAACAAGATCATGGTCACGCTTTTCCACGAAGCCAGCACACGCACGAGGTGCTCATTCGAGGCTGCCATGCTCAGACTCGGCGGTAAGGTTGTGTCAGTCACCGACCCTGCCACGTCGTCGGCTGCCAAGGGGGAAACCATAGAGGATTCGGTCAGGGTGCTGTCGTCCTACGCCGATGTCTTGGTCATGCGTCACCCTGAAAAAGGATCCATGGAGAGAGTTAAGGGGCACGTCAGAGTCCCGCTGGTCAACGCAGGCGACGGCAGCGGTGAGCACCCCAGCCAAGCGCTGCTTGATTTATACACGATATCGACCTACTTCCCAATCCTCGAACGCAACACGAGCCAAACGCCTTTCACAATATGCTTCGTGGGTGATTTGAAGAACGGCAGGGCCGCGCATTCGCTGGCGAAGCTACTCAGCAGATTCAACGTCGTCATGCGTTACGTCGCACCACCGCAGCTGCAGATGCCGACGCAGATACAGAGGGAGGTGGAAAACAACTTCGCAAAATACGTAAGTTTATGCCAATGGTATAACACAAAATTTGCAGGAAATCCCAGACCTGCCGTTCCCTAGGCAAACCAGCTTCAGCGACATAGAGGACGGGTGCGAAGGCACGGACGTCATCTACGTAACAAGGCTACAAAAGGAACGAATGGACAGCAACGACGCAGAGGAACTGAAGGGCTCATACAGCATACAAAAGTCGCTAATCGCAAAGTTGCCTCCACATGTCAAGATCATGCATCCGCTTCCCAGGGTTGACGAACTCCCGCGCGAAATCGATGGCGACCAGAGGGCTGTGTATTTCGAGCAAGCCAACAACGGGCTCTACGTCAGGATGGCTATGCTGTACCTCATCCTGAACGCGTCCAAATGAAGGGGAGCGGTGTCCGGCGACTGGCGCCTAGGTGACAACAGCGCACGTGTAACGCACGTGTTTAATACCAGACACACTAACTGATCGTATATTTCATTGGCACTGAATTTATAAAGATTTTTATTTTACATCTACTCGAAGTGTAGACTGTGGACGAGGCCGGTGGACTCGGCGTAGCCTAGTGAAAGGCCGGGCTGAGAGATTAGATTGGCTCCAAATGACAAGATATCGAGATCTGTATATGATAACCTTACGAATTTAGTCACGGTGTAAAACTCGGTGGATCGGAGGCGTGTTTGGCGTTACCACGAAGACACACCTTGTAGATGATGTAGGAGACAATTCATCATAGCACCGCCGAATCGAGCTCGAAGATGGCGAACCCGGCGCTGACACTAGCGTTGGTCGGACGAATAGGCCTAGCAAACATAAATAACCCCGCTGTGTTGGACTCTATCAAGGCGGAGCTCGGGGTGATCGAAGGGCAGCTCCAGGGCGGCGGCGAAGTCAGCGCAACAGTTCACAATGAGCATGTTTCAAGCCTTGACGTGCACTTAAATGGGGATATAGCGGCGCCAGTGGCGTTGTCCAGACGTGAATCCGCAAGGAAAGTACAAATTAATGTGCCAGAAGTCGAGCTGCTCATGCACTTGATACAGGAAAGGGAGCAAAACGATGGCGATAAGACGGGCACAATAGCAAGCAGCAGGCAATCCAAATGCATACAACTGATAATAATCGCACGTGACATGTTGCAGCAGGCGAGAGACAAGACGGCCTGGTGCTCGTTGCTCAACGATAACGAGGAAAGTGAGCAGACGAAAGTCAAGTGGGAGGGAATGCCTAGACTCATCGCTCTGCTGGTAGTCACAGTTGCGATGGAAAATAGCGCTGGAGGAAAGACTGCAGCTGCGGTCTCGACGCTTTCTAACCACATCCAACAGGCGTTTAGGTACAGCTTCCAGTCACCCGAAAGCGATCTTTGCTTGATCGACCACCCAGAGTGGGCAATCAACTACATCAGGGATGTAGTAAAGAAATATTGCGGGATTTTCAAGCTTATAAAGCAGGAAATACACAGCAACACAGACGAGCTTTTCGAGGCGCTCCTGCCAGAGGCAGCTACTCTCGCCCACAAGGAACAAAGACATGATTTACGGGAAGAGTTTGTGAAGCTGTGCGCCGAGTTTTCGCAGCACAATTTCGTTCAGAAATGGGCACAGGCTTTGGCCAAGGAGACCCGATGGTTCACTTTTACCAGACTCCCACTGTTGGTTTACGAATACAGGATGGCTTTATCCGACACACTGCTGACCATGCAGCAAGTCACCAATATCACCCGTACAGCTGACCCCAAAACTAGGCTAAACGTTTCCCAAGCGTTGTTTCACGACGACATCAGGGCTAACATTATCTACAGCCTCCTCAGGGCAATGACAGACCTTGCGGCCGCACTCAGGGACCTCGATAATACGGCGCCTTACGAAGTGTTCGCGGATTTTGACAAAAACACCACGATACCGTGTTTAGAACTCAAAAACAACGCGGACAAGGATGAAGCGCAATTGGCATTGAACTACGAGCTCGACCGCGCATACGGTGCCCTCGATGCCCTCATAAGTCTTGAGAAAACAGCCGCTATTAACGTTGTTAAAAAGCTGCTAGAAGGCGAGAATATTTTGGAGGGAGTTAAATGCAACGCAGCCACGCAAAATAACTGGTACCTGCAGGATAGCGGGTTCCTCACCCAACCCGTCAAGACGTTGATTGCGCTCCTCAAAATGTTCGACGAAAGGTGCAAGTGTCTGGAGACGGCGAAGAGCCGCGGCGAGTTTACGACTAAGGTCATCGCTCCGATAATAAACTCCTACCTGGAGTACATCAAGGGAAAGTGGAACGCAGAGGATGACGTTTTCAGGTCGTGCAGCCTGACTGCGTTCCTCATTGACAGCACGGCTTTACTGTATGAGTTCCTCCTGAGGTACCCGTACAGCCAATACATGCCACAAGTGGTCACCAACGTGGAAAGGGTCACTACGAAGATGATAGCCATCATTGGGGACTACGTCAACGACATCATAGAAGAGCCCTTCAGCCGCATACACGACAAACGGCTTGAAATCATGTACTATCTGAAGGACAAAATGACACAGCTGGCAGTGCATTGCAGCCTCAAATCCTATAAGCAGATGCTGAGACACGTTGTTGACAATGTGGAGAAGAGGCTTATGACTGTGCTGCTCCCGCAACGCGCGAGCCAAATCATACTCAACGCCCCAGCTCACGTCGAAATGGCGGAGCATAACTGGTAGGTTTGCGACATTGTTGCGCTTAATGTGTTTGTAGTGAAATCGTATACAACGAACTCAAAAACCTCGCCGACGCCAAGTACTGCCCGGAAGACATGCAGGTCATAGAGGTGAGTGCAGATTGTTGTAAAACCAAATTTTCGCAGGACGTAAAAACGATCGTCGCAACCAACGTGGACGAGCTCGTCGATGCTGTAGAGTTTCTAAAGGGTCACGCTGCGATGTACCCGGTGTTAAAGGATGTCAACACCAAGATATACCTGCAACGCAGGGGAGTAAGGAACACTGAGGCAGGAACAAGTTATATCCACACCGCCGAAACGCGAATGTAAGTGCTGTAAGCAAACGTAGGACGACATATCGATGCAGAACTGAGAGTTGTGGCAACGAAGTAGATAACTCGAAGACGCTCCTCGACGACATCCTAAGCCTCGAGGAGAGCGACGACGGCGAGTCGCCACGTCTGAACCAACCAGACAAGGCGTTGCTTAATCATAACGAGTCTGCTGAACAGGCGTTGGTGGAGAAGGTCAAGAAGAGGCTCAAGGTGGGTAGATGTTGCGCGCCATGGCACATCACGTTGCAGGTGCAAAAGCTTGACATCAAGCAAGTATACACACTATCGCTGCACGTTCTTAGCGCGCAAATCGAGCAAGAACAATTTATAAAACTCGTAAACTAATGGACGATAGTCTCACTTTACAGAATAGCCGCTGCACATGACCCGGTCCGTCCCGCACATTGTCGGCAACTTTCACACATTGGTCTACATCCGCGGTAAGACCATCGCTTCGCTGCAAAACAATCGACCGCAGTGCCTGTAGATGACCAGATATTGGCTTACGCGAGGAAGGCGGTCAATCTGCTCAGGAGACTTAACTGCAGGGCCAAACTAGAAGGCTGCATACCGGCTCAACGTGAAGACACGTCGGACAGCGACAACACGGATGACGAAAGCACCAGACAAGGCAGCGCATTCAAGAAGAATCTACCAGAACATCTTCATCTATCACTCTGCAAGCCCATATACCTAAAGCGGCAATTTATCAAACCGTTCACAGACCGACTCGAAGAGGTCCTGGCGAACGTGCGCCCGTAAGTTCCGCAAAGCACATCCGTGATATGAGCCAATGCAGCTTCTATCTCCTACTAGACACGGATATCGCAATATGCGCAAACGAAGAACACAATAGTTTCTTCGCGGTTTTGCCCGTGGAGGCACAATGTCGCAACAGATCGGTACTTGGCGCCCTTAACGTGCTCAAACAACACGCAGGTCGTACCTCTGATCGACGCAGTGGACAGTGTCGTAGAGCTATTCGGCTATGACAGATATTATGAGCAGAGACAACCCCACGTTTCGCTGGCGGTAACCGGGGTAAGAGGCTTTGTATTGTCGACTGAAATGAACTTAGAACCTCAAACACGTGATGCAACTTCTATATGAAGGGCATGAAGATGATGAAAGAGAATTATACTCATCTCATCACTGGAGACAGGTAGAGCGCTTCTTAAACGACGCCCAAGAGGCTGAAGATGCGAATGAGAAGGATGGAGGTGCAGTAGAAAATGATCGTACGAGTAAAAATGAGCCTGAGATTCACAATGAGGACGTTGGTTCACCGGAGAAAACATCCGCAGGTGACGTGCGGTATACCTTTTACCATGAGGATCTCCAAACACATACTGGCGATGACGATGGCGAACGCCCCGAACCGTTGTGCATATACGTCGAAGATATCCGTATACAAGTTGGATCGCAGACTACAGTAATAAAACTTTCAAAATCAGTAATATAGCATTAAATTAAATAATATATCTTCTGCCGTTAGTGCGGCTGCTCCATTTTCATTGTCGTTGCGCTTGACGTAATACAATCGGCCCAGCCTCTCCTGCACGGCATTCGTGGCATGGCCTAAAATAAGAACGCTTACACTATATGGATATAGTATGGTCACTTTCACGGGTAAACGACAGACTTATTCTGCTGCATCACCACAATGGAGAATCGCGAGATGATGTGGATGGAATTGGGGTAGAATAGCTTTGCAGAGTATGGAGGATTATAATGCTGACGGCCAATCTGCAACAGCTTTAAGCCGCCAACCTGAAACAATGAGCGTAGCATACTACACAACCGCTGCCACATGCTACTGCTAAATGCAACTTTGTTGCAAAAATCCGGCATTATAACTCCTAGCACGTAGGGCAATATTATTAAAAAGCGACTCACATTACGGTGGTAGCAGTGTTCGTGTATAATTGCATTTAGGAAAGATTTGGCGGAACACTCTCATTTCTTCCCCTTGTTATCTTTCTTCGGCTTCTGAGCCTTCTTGGCCTCCGTCGGTTGGGCCTGAGCCTTCTCGATCTTCGGTTCTGCGTTCTGCTTATCTGACTCCAACTGGAAAATTTCATCAATAAGGGCAACCATGTCTTGATATTCCGCTGCGCCGCTCATGCGCTTGACGGGTTCGCCTCCGTTGAAGCAGACCATAGTAGGCAGCATGGATACCTGGTGCTGGGTGGTCAGGTCCTCGTGGTCTTCGATATCCACCAGGAGGATTAGCACCCCCCTGTCACGGTACTTCCCCGCAACGTCGATCTGAATAGACGTGAGTGGAATCCGGCCATAATGTTCAAATTTGACGTTACACGTTACAAAAAGCAGGCAACAATGACGTAAATCATGTGCTTTAACAAGCGGAGGGCAGTGAGGAAAACGCGGAATTACGATTACTGCACACGCAACCTACCAAGGTGGACTTGAACTTGCGGCACGGACGGCACCTACAAAAAATGTGTAAATTTTGCATGATGAAATGACATACCAATCTGCGAAAAAGTTGACGATGAGAATGCCTTCTTTGGTCCTGTTTTTCTCAACAAGCTGAAACGACGTCGTCAACAGGAAACACACGCACACACCTCATTGAACTTCGGTCCAGTATTTTTATTGTAGACAACTACATTAGCTGGGAGCGGACGCGGAGCCTTCTTGTCTGCGTCATTGCCGAAAAATCCGGCGCGGCCTTCTGAGAAGTACACGGAAGAGAGCAAGATCATAGAGCCCAAAAGCGCGACGCCGCGCGAACCAAACAAGGCCACCATTTTGAGAATTTTATAATCAGTTAAAACGGATGTCACGTGTTAGATACGATAAAAATACTGTCGTATGCTATGCATGAACCCCATCGTAACGGCAACGAAAACAGTTACGGGGGACCCTAAAAGCCGCCTCTGATACCTGGAAAGTGTGTTAAAATACGTAAAAAGAACTTACCTTTAAACGTCTGTGCCCACTGCCGCTTGGCGGTTTTGAGCGACAGCGACACCGGATCGTGGAATCCTGGCCGCTTGAACACATACTGCTGTAACCAGCAGTATGCCGCGCCTGCACCTAAACCGAAGAGGTGTGCAGCCCACGCAATGTTGCGTAAACCACTGCCGTAGATGACGAAATACAAGTTCGTCGCCACGAACACCTGGCACACCTGCAGAATGCTCAGCTGCATTCCGGGTATCGGGAAGACGGTCCGGAAGTAGCTGTTCGGAAACGTAGACGCCAACAGGTATAGAAGACCAGATACGGCGCCGGAAGCGCCCAAAACGGGGTTGCTGTACAGGCATACGTGGCCCAGGCTCGATCCGACGGCGGACAGCAACAGCACGTTCAGAATATCGGATGTTTGCACACCGTTGCGACGACTTGTCGGGCGACTGTCCGGCCAGAATAGACTTTCCAGGCTTGACGACACCGTCCTGAGGAAACGTTCGAAAGTAGGAATACCCATCTGCAAGGGTCCAGCGGGATGCATCTGGCGTTCAAAAGTGCTCATTAACTGATGCAGCATCATGCAGTTAAACAGCAGATGCATCAATGTCGAGTGGCTCACCGCTGAAGCAATATATTAAAGCACAGTAACACCGGGACCTACCGCATGTTAGGAGCGTGTGGCAGCGGCGTAGCTTCAGAGAATTTTGCGACGCCACGAAATTCCGATTCATGAATCGAAACAACCGCGCACTACTGAGCCTGTCGCTCATAAACCACAGTACGTAAACGGCACCGCAGCATACTAGGATTGCGTTGCCAACCAAAGTAGGCGTCACGTTGGCCAGCCACGGCATCGATCCCATCGACGACCACGAGAAGCCGCCGCCAGATCCGAACGGTTGCCGCACACCCGATAAGTAGCGCTTCAAACGATCCCACCAGCCATCCTCGCCACCTCTCCCGGCATGGAATGCATGACGATCTCGAACGGTGCGGGAGCGATTGCCAACACCGAAATCGATGGGAATATCTACGCCGTCTTCGTCGTCGTCCGGACGGGAGTCATACGCTGCTCGATTCTCAGAGGGCGATCGTACTTCGTCATAACGCCTGTCTGCAGGCCTGTATTGATCACGAGAACGGCACAACGTGAAGACAGTACTGCTCATAAATGCGATGCTGCGGTAGTAGTTGTCGTCAAAAGAACCTCTAGCACTCCAACCAGATTTCCCGGAATCTTCGGACGGCAACACTGGTACCACGGCATGCCGTCGACCACAAGCCACCGTAGCGGCAATAGCCGATGATGGCGATTGAGACAGCCGCCCAGCGGATACATGTCGATTCCTTGTACTGACAATATTGGCAATCTGAAAGTTACCGAGCCTCCGCCAAGTACAAGAGCGTAGGCACATGGCGAAGGTCATGGTGAAAATAGGCGCCTACACATCACCGCAAAAACATCATATTTGCCGCAAATATGACCATCATTGGAACCCTACTGTGGTCAAAGCATCACATACCTAACAAAAAACTCTGCCTGGGAAAAGCTGTTGGATTCCCCATCCACGAAACTTCGTGTTCAACGGATAGGATGATCGCCCAAATACACACCTCTCAAATACAGCATTTAGCGCTATTCAATATGCTAGGTGTAGATACCTCTCGTTGATATAGCGGCAGAGAACTACAAGCAGTAGAATCGCGGTACAAAACGACGCGAAGAGCACATTAATTACACAAAAGTAGTCTGTTAAAAAAGAGAAAAGCAATGTCAATATATATTAACAACACTGCGGTTGTTGCGATAAGGTGTAGCAAGATGCCATTAGAAATGCGCGGCGCAAGAGCTTAGCCAGCAACCTTTGAGTCAAGCTCGGCTTTCTGATAATAATGAAGGGTCTGGATGCAAATAAACGTACCACACGACGCACATTGTACAATGCGGAATCCAGAGGGTAGAGGAATATCATGAAAAAGGTGCCAATAACCGCGTAGCTCTGGAGAAAGACAGGGGTCTGCAAAGATTATGAAAGCGAATCCGACGATATGTATGGAATATAATAGCCGCCACTAACAGCTAACACCAGCTAAACTCACCGTTAGCACCCAGAAAGGGCCTAAAATCCGACGGAACCCGCGACCCTCGTATTCGTGCTTTGTGTAATGGCGCACGGCCTGATGGCACGCACGATTGCGCGGAGCTATCGCAGCAGCGCGAAATATAGAACGTATACCGCTGGAGAACATGGCGCCTAAATACAGTGAGCATGTCGCCGCGGCACGCGGCACCACCACCATAGATGGACAAATGGTTGTAGAGACAGCACGTGTTGTTGACGCGGAATTATTACATACCTCCAATGTTTTTGTACACGTTTAACAAATTACAGGCTAAAATGTGGGCTGCCGCCAGTCCAGCTCCTTGCTGTAGCGGCTCTTCCAATATCTCGAGATGTGACGATCTGGCACGTACTTGTACTTGTGAGACTCGTACCAGATGCTGTGAGTCCGCTCTCTGTCAACGTATTCCTGCTGGAAGGCGTCGTCGGGGTCTGCCGTCTGCTTCTTCAGCCATTGGTTGAAGTCGTAGTCGCCCTCGTCCCAGTCATACGCGTAGCGGTAGTTGCCATCCTTGGATCGCACGGGCTCGTCAACGATGCCTACTCCGGCGTATACGTTGCCAGCTGGGCCCAGAATCACGTAATCTTTGTCGTTCTCACGCATACGGATCCTCTCCTTGTCGCTCTTGTCGAGCAGCCTGCAACATTGTCGACAGCGTGGAAGTCGCGACGTACCTGCAGAAGTTCATGGAACGGATCACATATTCGGCCGACTCTCGATACATCGGGCCTGCCACGACACGATTGTATTCGCTGAATACAAACAGGTAAATGCGATAGGGCAGGCACCACCCAGGAGGAGACACCAGCTTGAGCGAGCAGAACCCATCCGTGGAACTTGCGTTGCCCTCTGGGTAGAACCAGAGCTGCAGAGGTTCAACTCCACCCAAGTTAAACACCGGAGAACGTAGCGGCTGGCAGAAGCGCTTAGGGTGCTTTTTCGCCAGTAGCGGAACCCTGAGATTTTATCGCTGCAAAACCTAAAACACTCACCAGTATATCGGCCACGCGTATTGCATTCCTGCGGATACCGCGTATGGGTAGGCGTCAGGCGAGCCTATGAACTGAACATCGAAATAACTGTCGACAGTCCTGTCCGGTTCACCGAAGCCGCCCTCCGCAAATGACCTAACAAAATATCCGGACCAAAACATACAACATACCGCTTGTAGAAGTTGCGGTCGTGGTACGTGGGCATCGGCTGCTCCCACTCAATTGAGTCCACGAACTCCTTCATGGTGCTGTTTCCGGTCTTACGAGGGCCTCGCAAAATGTCGTCGGCCGGGTCCACGTCCATGTTCCAACGCTGCCGCTGCAAACGTCCTAGAGAAACATAACTGACGAATATTACGGACTAACCAGAATCAGACCGCCGCTGCAGCTCCCTCCCGCGGCCCGTGCGATGCGCGGGATTCACGGGGTCGATGTAAGACGGGAAGGCTGTGGGCTGCGATAACACGCTGTGACGCATCTCTCGGTCACGTTTCGTATCATCGGTGCTCAAGATATCCACATCCTCCAGATAGTCTTTCTTTATCACTTTGCCTCGACAAGTTTCGTAGTACTCGTAGTCGCCGACCTCGTCGTACAGGTCACAGAGGGCCTCGGCACCCTTTGCGCAATCGGCGCTATCCGCCTCAGATATCACGGCACGGATAGAATCCAGCATAGCATCGCCGAATTTAGGTTGTACTGCATCACCTTGCACAGACAATGGCTCGCTGGCCTTTGGGTTCACGCCTTCGAACTCGTAAGAAGCCATCTCCCTTGGTATCGGCAATCGCCAATTCGTGTAGTCGCCATTAAAAGCGTTGCCGTCAACCACGTACAACGATCGAGCCGCCTTCTCCCTCTCGGACTCAAAATGCTCGTCCATAGTGTTACGCAGGTGCTCGCCGACATTGCCACGGGTGATGTTGAAGTATCGATAAAAACTGCATTTCGGGTCCAACGACGCAGCAAAGTGCTCCTCCTTGTTCAACGCGACCTCCTTGAGCAAACGGTGGTTGTCCTCTTCGTCTAGCGACCGCGCGAGGTACGATCGCCGTGGTAACGCCGACGACGCATGAGCTCCGCCACGAGCACAGGCAACAAAACCGCATACGGAGTGTATATAACGTGCCAATGTAGGTTTATGGCTTACACTTAACCTGCGTAGAACAACATTCTGGGCCTTTTGCACCTTTGAAGGATAAAGCACTGCGTTTAGGCTGAAGACGCTGGGCACTTCAGGCCGAGATAGATTACGTGGTACGTGCGATACTCCCAGGCAAAACCCACTACGCAACTCAGTTGATGACCACAGGCCGCCTATAGAAATACACGACAACAGGATAAAACGTGATAACAGCCGCAACAAACAACGGTACCAGACCAGCATCATGGAATCCTTGCTATAGACAACAGGCGCTACGCAGCGCGAAGCCGAAGCGTTGGCTGCGCCTAAGGCGTGAAGCCTACATTATAACAAATATCGTTAATATGTGCCGTGTAAATGCGAGGTGAAGCGCGCGTATTGCGGCCCGGCAACCAGATATCACGCGACCGCCCACACACCGCGGCAGATGGAATATTGCCTTAAACGATAATATTCGACCAAATCGAGAGTAAAAGGCGTATAAGACTGCTAGGCTGTCTCTAAAGGCCGTTGTGTGTATTTTTGTGTCCCATTGGCACACTAAACTATGAATGGCACTACCATATAACTAATAACAGCTTAGGCATGCTACCTGTCCTACCGTTGGGACCTACATGCTGTAACTGGCGTATAGGATAGGAAATGGCGCTTGATTGCAAATTTTATATACATAACAGCACACCGATTGCAAAGTGCCAAAGCGCATTCAGAGCAGTGGTGGACCTTGACCCTGAATCTTTTGCAGGAAGTGCACGCAGAGTCCAAAATGCAGCACAGAATGAATCAGTAACACGGGAGTATGCACTAGAAGCATCCCTAAAAGCGCACAAGTGGCCGTTGATGCTATGCACGTCACTCACAATTATTAGTTCAGCCAATTGTAACTCGCACAACCAACTGATTGTGCAGTAGTAATATTAATCGATAGTACGCTTACTATCAACGAATAAGGTATCAAAAATCATAGAAATTTTCAGCAAGTCGATTCAATAGCGGACCTGAGCAACCACTACATTTGAGGACTGCCGCCAACGGAAATTAAAATTTTAATCTTTATCAAAGGAATATAGTCGATAACAAGATGCAGTTCAAGGGAGAGAGCCATCCGAATATGCATGAAATACTAAGCGCGATGCCGTACCCCCAAAATGGGCAGATGTACAGTGTTCAGGACAATGTCGGTATGGGGCCCAGCGCGGACGAGATGTCGAGGTTTTTCCAGGGAAACCCATTCACCTCCAATGTACCACCGCAAAAGGTCAAGAAAAACAAGGCCACTTTTCCGGCAAGCCTCTGTTGCTGCTGCTGTTGTGAGGAGGATGTATCTGGACAAGCTCCCATACCACACAGCAACAAGTCGATCATTCTAAAGCCGATCAGAAGAGAACGTATTGTGGAGGTCATGAGAGAGGAAGTGCAGGAACGGGTCATCAATGTTCCGCAGGTGCAGTATGTTGACAAGTTCGTGGAAGTGCCCAAACCCATCTTCAAATACAAAATGAAGGAAGTTAAAAGGCCGGTGATGGTGGAAAAGATTAAAAGGGTGCCCAAAATAGTGGAGGAAGAAAAGATCATAGAGGTGCCTGAAATCCGTTACGTTGAAAAGGAAGTCATGGTTCCGCACATTATTAAGAGGGAGCGGATCGTGGAAGTACCACTCCCGGTTGTCAGGGAGAGGCGCATCCCAGTTTTGAAATTGCGCAAAAACGAGACCTACCAAGAGGTCGACAATGTCAACTACAACGAATTCGGTACAGCCATCACATCAGTCAGGGAGGGCGCAGAAGCTCCTAACAACACCCCCATCAAACGGAAGACTGAAAGTGGAAGTAACGACGATAAATTGGTTGTCGAGTCGAAATTTTACAAGGAGACCGAACGATCCCACATAACCAAACAGGTTGAGGAGGTAGTCAGGACCACCAAACCCTCTATTGCCGAGAAACCAGACTCGCCGAGGCATCACAGCCCAAGGCAGATGCAAGATCTAGCTCAAACCCAACAGACCAAAGAGGTCAAAAGGTGGTTGCAGAATATGAATGAGGTGAAACAGACGGCAGGCAGCAGTGAAAGGGGAAGCAAGCAACTGAATCCAGGTGTCAACGCCGGTTCAGTAGGACTGCAGGAAATCCCTTTTGAGCAGCTGCAACTGATGGAAAACAATGGCGACATCAAACATAGCATCACCGTAACGGAAATTGTATCAGGTCGTGAAACCCATCGGCACACGAAGAAGGCGCACGACACTTATGTCCATGACATAGTCATTGAAAATATAGGTGGAGGCGATATCCCTGGTGATTACCACATGCATGAAGAACAGCAGGACGATACCGTTAGCATATACCCGAACATTGACGCCCTATCCATCACATCTAATTCTAGCGATGCGCACCGACACAAACAACAGGTAAATTACACAGGGCAATTGCGAACTCAAATTCTTACAGAACAACGCGTAGCAAACGGCACAAGCAAAAGAAGTGATAACGTCTGTCAAAATTATCTAATGGTCTGCGGTGAGCGTTCCATCTCCTTCGCACAGCCGTTACCCACCCAAGATGTCGTAAAGCGCCTGTTCAACTGGTGATCAAAAATATAATGTAATTGAAATGTCAATCCGTAAGCTGTTACAGTAGTTATTATAAACTGGATTGCGGCTGTATAAATAAGCAGGGAATGCGCATGAGCATTTGCGTGATTATCTCGGCTGCGATGTACAGGGAAGTGACCACTTGTCAGATAGGGCAGTGCAGCGTTGTCTATGTCCAAACATCTACGTGACTCTGCGCAACGTCATTGCCACGCCATAACCCATGTGACTACATGATTTTGTCAGCCGCAGGATTCTACGCAGAGTGTATACGGCGCTTATAAGAGAGGTGAAAGTCTCAACGCAACAACACCGTAGTTGTTAAAATTTTCGGTGGTGGCAATTCTATTGTAGGCAACAATAATGGCACCCATAAGCGATTCGACGACTGCATTTATAGCAAACCTGTATGCGGCAATCATTGGCTGGTAAAAACTAAATTTGTAAAGACGACATCAATAGCCATCGTAGGTATTGCTGAACATTAAAATTGTAGCTCATATTCATTGCGTAGCTACAACTAAAACATGACACATCATCAATGCGGAATTATGTCAGGTTAAGAAGCCTATATTAAGATTCCGAATTCTGTATAGATGTCATTGCCCACAACAATGCATCCGTATTAGACACCGAAATCACCTTGCACGCCACGTCACAGCAGAGCTGCCTTCTACTACACATCAACCAACAAATCACTCACAAACATCGGCCGTACCATTTTATGGAGCTACATTCCGGGAAACACTACATCGCCGCATGTCTCCTACGTGGCGCAGCACGTACATAGTTGTCAGAAAATAGCGCACATCGACAATAAATGAAATCTGTTTGCGGCGAATGATATACCGTAAGCATTAACTTATGAGCACAATAGAGAATATCGCCAGAAGACGGCCCGATTCTTCCCGAACTTCTACGAGGTATGTGTAATAAATACATCGCTCGATGACGATACCGCCATACGAAGCTTGCGTCATTAATTGATTAGGTGGCATTAAATTTTTGGAAGTATTATTCGCAACCTAGATGAAAATTTTGGTGTTACACAACGCTTCCAGTGCACTGGCAGTTAGAGCAACACCAATAAGTAAGACGTCCAGTCTTCATATAACCAGATGGGCCATACGACACATCATCATACTCAATAAACAATACGTTATGCTATCGGCATGATAGGACCAGACAAAGCGGCGGAAAGTTTGTCGAAATTACAGCTGCCATGGGGCGCGCAATGCAGCGACAATGACGGCACATAACCGAAGCGACGAACTGTACCGATGTAAAAGCGGCACAGCCATGCAGCTAACAATTCGCCGTTTCTAACTATGATACGCGCGCCAGTACAGTCAGCCGTTTCCAGAGCTCTAACATTACGAAGCTTTAATGCCGCGCACCAACCTTCCCCACATATCGTCTATAGCAATCTTTTGGCAAATAGGTGGCGCAATACGGGCGCATTGATCTCGGGTGCCAAACGGTATTACATCTGGAAAAAAATTGGTGGTTGGGTAGGGTGTTGGTTGTGCGATGAAGGGTGACAGTATCGTGATCGCGTAATATGGTAGGCACCGTTATTGCGCATTCTCGACATGGACCTCGAGCGGTGGCTGTACCGGACTCACGGACGCAATTAGAGGCCCACTGTCGTTCAGTCTGGCCGCGAAAGCCATTCTGTGAAGCCTATGTGAAACCACCTTCCAGATGAGATGTACACCTCGGTGCGCAGGATTGTTTAATATGAGGGAATGTGTTGGCGCGCCTTGTCAATGTGATTTGGGCGAATGGCATAAGTGGAAGGTAATTGGTCATATGGTCACTTGGCTTTGCATCGTTTTGCTGATTGTAATTTACATGGGCGACTCCGACGAGAGCGTAGAATACGCTGCGTTCGGTGGATATGTAGGTTGACTGTTTACACGGATAAAACAAGGCATTGCACATTCGCATTGCCGCTCATTCCCAAATTACGATCGCGTTCATTGCTGACCGCAGACGCGTCGACGTAGCAGCATCCGTGATGCTCTTGGTGGCTTACCTATCGGCGGCCCAATTGGGTTTCTGATTGCGCATAACTTGGGGTCCCACGGAGACGAGGTTTCGTCTCGAATGCTTTGCGTGCGACTTATGCACTATGAGATTTTGGACGTAGAACGTCGCTCATGAGACACGTCGACCGAGTTGTGAATGGGGTACCTTATGGCAACACTCAAGTGGGTACCTAGGACGTTTACATCGTATCTGGGGTTCATCAAAAAGATTCACGTGGTCAATTGACGTGATACTGTGTATCAAACAACTTCTAGCGAAAATGAAGGGAAATTGTGGGAGCCACATCTGCGTTTCAATAGCACCGCTCTGCGATGCTGTTTGGTCAAGTAATGATGCCAGAAACATGGCATAGTGACGCATTCTATTGTGTGATGCGCGCCATGCTGCGTGCCCATAAAATGGTCAAAGTACCAATTATCGGAGTAAGGCATACCTAAAGGTATGGCCAAAATTGAGTAGAATCGCCTCCTCACGAAATTTTAAAGGCGTAAAGAGCCGAATATGAAGCGATATTCTGCTCGTCGCAAGACTGAATCTTGTGTCTCGGTGATATCAAATACGTTCACTGCAGAGCCTAGAAACATCGGGCACACTAATGTTTAATTTATCACGTAAAACGCTACAGTTATATCCGTGGCTCGTTGGTCGGTGTTGTGCATTCTGTTGATTTTCGTTCTTGGCGGTGTGGATAGGTTCGGCAAGCCATGTCGATGTCTAGCACGCCCCGACAGTTTTGGCCGTAAGACATAACATACGACCATGCCAACACATACTTTTCATACCACGAAATGGTTAATATTTCGAAATAACGGAGCGCTGAAGAACGTGATAACATCAATGAATAGGCACACTGTGCGCCTCTTTGATTTTAGGGAGACGATAGCAGTAAAGACATAATCGCTAAAAGGTCGTCAATCAGCCCTAATTGTACCGGCAAAGCTCTACAACGGCGCTTCACAGACAACGACCGTTAGAATCAGACGGTCAGCACACGATGTACGACCACGGCTGAGCAAATATAGCTGTTGTCCATGGAAAATGCCACTAGCACGGTGAGACATGTAATAACATGCGCAAAAAAGTCGCTGCTGCGCGATAAAATAGTTTATTAGCCAGTCGTTCTACACCATACAGCACACGAAGAAACACCGCCATGGCCGTGCGTAATCCCCGGGCACATTTCGAATAAAATCACATGAATTAAGGGCCGGATTGATAACTGTTTCGCAACTTATCTACGTCACGAATGTGTGAAGTCACGACAGCGAAAGTCCCTGTGCAGTTTGAACCGTAGCGTGACGAATAATATCGTACGCATCGTATCCTGAAAATACATCGCGCAACCGACGCAAAACGATATAATACTGAGGTTTGTTCAGGTAGACGTAGAATCGACGTTGCCAATGGGCAGCAGATGGAGACTCGCAGCAAACGACAGCTTGTACACACTTGAAGGAGGATTTGGATGGCCAGACGACTCTACCGAACAGGCGGAGCTGGCAATAGCATATCTTGCCCCTGGATGTATGACCATGATTCGCTGAGATGTCGTCGGATGGCGTTCCTAGTTCGTCTGTCAACGACATCACACAATGGAGCGACAAGAAAAAGTTAGAAGCGGAAGTGCAGTACATCCTGCTGCAATTCGAAAAGCCAAAGGAATGGGCTGATCTTATGAACTGTCTGATACGACTGCACAGAAGCATACGACAGTCCACAATATGCGAAATTCCGCAGAAAGAGACCATATGCAAGAGACTTGCACAATGCCTCAACCCGCAGCTGCCCAGCGGCATTCACGCAAGGGCCCTGGAGGTGTACGGCTCCATACTGGAAAAGGTGGGCTCGGAGGGGCTGGCGCAAAACCTGGCCCTCTTCAGCAGCGGCCTGTTCCCGTTCTTCACATACAGCTCCTCCTCCGTGAAGCCGGTGTTCCTGAACCTCATCGAACAGTTCTACATACCGCTGGGGAAAAAGTTGCTGCCCTGCCTCATAGGATTGCTCATATGCATCATACCGGGATTGGACGATGACAAGTCAGAGAGCTATGAGCAGGTATACAAGGCGCTCGAACGCATCAGTGACTGCGTGTCCGAGCGGAGCTACATGCGGGCGCTGTGGCTCATCCTGCTAAATGCAAGCAAGATAAGGCTGTCAACGCTCACCGTGATTGCAAACAAGCTTGCTCCGGGGCTCCCCATGTTGCCTGCGGAAAGGGTGGATATTCTGGTGCCTCATAGGCACGTGCTCGTCATGAGGAGTCTTGAAGCCACCACTGAGGATGATTCGCTCCTGGTGCTCAGGGAAATGATCAATTTGCTCATCAAGCACTTTCCCCTGGACTCAAATATCCTCAGCGATGCGGACAAGTCCTTGCTCTGCAGACAGTGCCTCAAGCTGCTTACCAAGAGGAATTGGTCGCTCAACAGGAGACTGTACCAGTGGATTTTTAACGCGACGAACGATTTTAACACGTCATCGGAGTCGCTGGATCTGACCTATTTTACTAAATACTCGAAGGACAACCTCATATCGGCAATCAAGGAACTGCTCACGGCCAAAGGAAAAACCCTGGACGAGGTGTTAATACCCATCAAAATCATCGTCACATTCATCACCGACGCAGACCTGAAAGGAGTTACCGAAAAACTCATGCCTGCGCTTTGTATTCCAATCCTCAAGTATATTTGCAAGGAGCATGAGGAGGAGGAATGGAGGGCCAACATCATCGAAAGCACCAGGCTCATTTTCGACACCAGTCTGACACCGACAAGCGTTATATTCGAGTCTATAGTGAGCGAATACAACAATTATGCAGCCTCAAACTATGCCAGCTGCTCCAGCGTGTGGCACGATATGCTGGAACTCAGCAGCGTGTATCTTGACGAGGTCTGCACGCAGCTGTACCTAGAAGATGTCCTTTGCGGGCTTTTCATGCTGATGAACAACGCGCTGGATCACCTGCACAGGCTTCAGATCAAAGATGACCTCAATGTCATCAACCACGTGATCATGTACGTGTCCACAATCTTCTCTAGGGTGGAGGGGATCATACGGGGCGAGGACAACTTCGTGCGCTTCGACGACACCATTAAGCTCGACGAGGAGGAAGACAAGAAGATGAACATGCTCATGAGTTACCAGAATTCGTGCAACACATACGTATCGAAGTATCTCGACAGTTTCTACACCGATGCACTGACGTATTTCGAGGACCACGCCGAAGAACTGTCAGCGTACGAGTTGAACACCATCGACCTCCTTAACGACTTGGCCGTGCGGTTTGTGGCAGTGGAAGGCTACATGGCAGTGGTCCCGCTGACGAAGGGGTTTTGGAGAAGCAAAACTTTCGTGGATTCCATTGGAAGCCACAGGCAGGATTTCCTGAACGACACTTACCTTCCACAGCATACAATGGTGGAATCGCCGTCCTTCGAGTCATACATTTTCCCCACACTATTCCGCAGTGATTCAATCGTGTCAAACAGCAACGCGGTGACGCCATCCGCGAAAACGACCGACGCAACCACGAAAGACACGTTCAAGTTGGAACACTGGATACAAACACTGCTGAAGTGTACCGTCGCCAACAATGCCCAGCTCTTTTGCAGAGGGATCAGAACGTTTATCGCCCTTCTGAGGCTTCCCAACAAGAGGGATATGTATAGCTACGTGGAAACAAATGGTGAGCACATTCGCAACATCATCCTCAGGCTCTGGAACTCGCTCGATGATTCCCATGCTGCGAGCCATTCGGAAATCGTCCTGCTGCTCATACAGCTCAACAATACAATGCCGCCTTCACGGGTTGAGGCTGAGAAAATCATCGTGCAGGACCTCACCAGATCTGAAACTGACTTGAAGGTAGCAGCGATGCTCAGGTTTGGCGTTTTGTGGAGGTACGGCCACATACACGCGCCGAAGGAGGAGCTCTTTTCGGAGGCGTTGGGTTGCATATTGGACAACGTGGAGGAGTCCGATCCGAAGCTGCGATACTACTCCTGTTCGTTCCTGTCCGAGTCAGTTGCAATCTTGCCAAACCTCATCAACCCCATCCTGAGGGCACTTGTCTCATTCGACAAGATCGATCCGGAGTCGTACAGCTCCTACATCGTGAATGTATTGAGGAAGTTTAGGCATCTATCCTACATCGTCAGCCGTGAAGGTCCCATGCTTCTGGATCTCATGCAAAGGCGACAGGCGCCACCACAACTCATTGAGCTCGTGCAGGGTGAGGATATCTACAGCCGTATGATTGGAGTTTCGAAGTCGGTTATGGAAGGCAGCGCTATGAAGGGCCCTGGATCTGTCTCTGCCAATTTAATGCACCCTAATATGGGAGCTGCAGCTACGATTGATGGGAACCGATCGGCAACGTTGGTTACGTTTCCCACGCTAAGAGACCCGAAGGGCATCTCTTACGAAGATTCGTGTATATACGATTATGTCGACCTGCTTGTTGTGCTCACGCTGAAATATATATGTCTCAACATAAATGTTTCTGCGCTGCTCAACTTCACCACATTTGAAGGTTTGGAGCAATACGCAAATGAGTCAACGGACAATCAAACGGAGAGCACGCATGTGCTGCATGAAAACGCAATGTTGTTTAGATGCACAGCCATCGATTTTATGAAGCTCTTTCTGTCGACCATTCAGCCAACCAGCAGGGCAAAAGAGGTGGCGTGTCTCATCTCACGGCCACTGCTATGTGTGCTCTATCACTTCCACCTCAAGGATGAGGCCATCGTGCAGACGCAGCTTTTGTACTTGCTCAAGGTTGTGATCGATCGTTGCCATGTGGATTCTCCGGCGATCAGCGAAGCCACCAGCGCGCTCATAGACTCCTCCAAGGACCTTGCCAGGCAATCCGTGGTTTCGATGAAAGGGATGAGTGGCAGATCCGTGGAAGCGGATACATCGTCGCAAAAGGGTGTGAGCTTTGATTTGAGCAACGTAGAGGGAGTGGAAAGAAGCGATACGGATCTTTCGCGATTGTCTGGATACGCTCAGGAAATTAGGAATCGGAAGAAATACGGTACAGAAGCGTTGAGCAACGCGATTAGGTCCGCCGCTGACACCGCGCCTACGAATGAAAGCTACGCAGGGGACGGATTAGGCGCTGGGCGTAGATATCCTTTCGATCACACATCGTGTATACTGCCGAGGATGTACATCATCAATGTGGTTGCAATCAAGCAGGAGCACGTGGGGAACCTCAAAAAAATAACGGATGATCTGCTGTTTGCGCAAATATTGGAATCGTGTATTTTCAACACCGCTAAGGCTGGTCGCGTACACTTGCTGCAGTCCTACATCGATTTCTCATTGTACACCCTCAAATACTTGACACCGGCCAACTCGCTCAGATACTCGTCGACATTTATTACGCATTTCTGTAACCATCTCTACCAGGGAACGGATTGGATCAAAATTGCCGCCATATCCCAGTATCTGAGGGGTATTTATGTCATGCTCGGGCATATAACCAACAAGTTGGGCAATCTGAAAATAGACCTTAAAAGCATGGAGAGGTTTAATCACGATAACGCCTTATCGCCATGCAGTTTGTCGGCGATTCTCAATATAACTGAGATGGGCTACATGCAAAATGACGGCGGAAATGAAACCTCAAGGACCACTCGCGGGCTGGTCTCGAAGCAGAAAGCGCACTTGGTCACTACCAAGGAAGAACCCATCTTATTCGAGATATCCCAAGTGGTGGATGTATGTATGCAGTGTCTGCTTTGGGTGGAAAAGCGCAACAACGCTGATATCCTCAACAGGGTGCGGGGGATGGCCGTTGGAGACTCTGCCGTGGTTGACTCGCCGAAACGGGGGTCGATCACATTTAAAGTGGATGGCGGTAACCAGGAATCCATACGCCTGGACATAATCATGTCGGTGCAGAGTATATACAAAGAAATATTACAAGGTTTTAGATTGATGTTCCAATGCCTGCCACATCACTTCACGGAAGGGTGCCTTGTGCTTTGGAATAAGGCTGAACACAGTCAGCACAGCAGGGAAATCAAATTGGAACTCATCAGCTGTCTGAATGCCATGCCACAGTTCTCGAGGCAAAAGATGATATCGTACATTCTTGATATGCTAGAACCCTTCGCAAAGTCCTCAAAGTACAAGCATTTAAGGGGCTACCAGCTCCTCTCCGCCAATGTTAGGGATAACGCGGTATGCGAATTCATATATGCGCTGATAGACCTGCCAATGACGGCTAAAAGGGATGTTGAGGACACGTTCCATGTTATGAAGCGATACGTCACATTCGTCCTCAACTATCAGCGCCAGCCGATGGTGTTGCTCTGGAGCTTCCAAACCATATGCAACTTCGACAAATCGCATCCCACCAAAAATGCAAATGTCATTGAAAAGAGCTTGAAAAAATTCCTTAGCGAGGTCATGTATGGCCTCATCTATCAAAGTGTCGGACTCTACATGCACAAAGTTTGTACATGGCTGCTGCCGAGGAATTATGATCTGGAGCCGCCATTACCGCCACATATGTATGTCATCAACAACGAATACTATGAGCACGTCAATCCGAAGGATTCCATATTGGCATGCGCTGGATACACGCCAAAAGGGAACGCGGCGAGCGCCACGACAGCAAAAACGAAATCGGTGGATAATCTAGATTGCCTCTGCAAAAACGCGCTTGCGCAGATGATTGTTTTTAGCTACGAAACGGCGCAGCTCAGCAGGCGCACGGCCATAGCCAATATCTTCTTCCAAGTCCTGCTGAACAACCTAGGCTCATATGTTCTGCCTATGCTGCAAGAGAAGCTGGATAGGCCGCTTACTTACCGCTACCTCGTACTCTTGCTTTTGCGCAACCTCCCGTTTAATCTTTATGAGGGATCCTTGCAGTGCATCAAGAAGCCCATCATAGACTACATCAATATGCCTGGGTTCTTCAAAACGAATCGCAGGGGGTTCCGGTGTATCACAACGTTATTCAGATTGGTTGCGGATGATGAATGTAGGGGCACGGTAGACAGGCTTAGCAGACTGGACCACTACACCTGCCCGCCACACAGCTCGGTGTTCACCAGTAGGTCAATGGACATACAGGGTCGTGTAAAGTACCTCAAGAGGTTAGCCTTTGTGCTGTACGCCTGCCGCAATGATACATTCGCACCGCACATCGCAACGATCATAGAAAGGCTGACGGATAATTATAGAGCCTACGACGACGACAATCTACGGACCAGGGCGCTGCTTGTCATGCGGGTTCTGCTTATCAAAATGTCGCAGAAGTACCTCACTGTCTTGTGGCCAGTATTGTTGTCGGAACTTATAAAGGTTTTCGACAGGGAAAACAGGGCTCTAATTGGTCTAGATGCATCACAAAGCGCAAGTATTGCAGATAGGCAGAGTGGAAAGGCCCACACTAGCCGCGGGGCCGATGGGCGGACGTCCCCGGACCCAAGCCGCTACAAATTACTCAAAGAGGCGCTCAAGATTATTGATGTCGCGTACTCACTCAAGCTTAACGATTTTCTGATCTACCAGTGGATGTTTGTGAACGACATGGCGGATAAATACTACACCGAAAACGAAAATGAAGTCGAAACTGACGCTTTCGAGTTTAAGCCTTTCCTGATGATTATAGAGCAAAAGTATCCGGAAGTAGTCAAAAAGCATCTCCGCAACGATTACTACCTCAAAATGAGGAAGTTTATAGATAGCGACGCGGCGTACGACGCCGAGCTCCCGCAGCCGTCATCCCCCGCCAACAATGACCAGACAGCGGCACGGCAAGGGCCGCACGGGAAGATGGACGAACAAGTCCCACTGGCAAGTGCCCAGGATTCCACCGAGAGGAAACAACTCACCCAGGAGCTAATCGACCTGTCGATCGAAAACGACCTCCTGGACACCGGCGTGGAACACAGGGACCTGGAGAGCGAGCTCAACGTGCACCAAATATGCAAAATGTACCGGAAGGTTGTTTAACAGCAAGTATATTGCTTAATTTTTAGACATTCCATATAACACTTATTCCTGTTACACCTAACACGCCATATGAGGCAGCGACGCGTCTTCCTGGCAAACCTGCGCTACGCGGCTGGGGATAACGCGGTACGCGGCGCTATTAGAAATTAAGTAGTCTCACCTTGGAGGGATGAAAGGGGTTACCCTCGTGAAACCGTTCCTGAGCTAGGCACCGAGCCGTAACACAGAGATGCCTAGAAGCAAAATCCCAACGGCACCGTACCAAGTGAACTGCCGAAATTTCAGAGACGAAATATGATAGAAGCCGACACTGGGAACCAGGACGATATCGCAAACGACACATCGATCACGTCGCTCGTGAAAAATGTGGTCTACCTATACATCTCGGATTGCAAGGTCCGGCCGGATCCGTTCGTGCCGGAGCTCGCGCCCAAAAGGGAAGGCTCTGGCGCTGCCGTGTTCTCGCACTTGCGGCTCAGCGGAGTCGACGTCACCGACCTGGTCAACTTCTCGCTGGAAAGGGTCCCAGGAGCTAAACGGAAGGCGCTGGTAGAACTCAGAAAGGTGCTCGCAGAAGCCGACAATGAGGGTATCATGGTCCTGGTCAAAAGCGTATGCGCAATTATCGGCTACCAACAGCTCCTTACGCCCGAAGCGCGGAAGAGCTTCAACGATGAGCATCTACAAGAGTGGATAAAATCCCACGATGCAGAGGCCTTCATGGACAAAAACTACGAAAGCGTGTACTTGCGATGGAAGAACTTCCTCAAGAGGCAAACGCCGCTTGGAACCAACTTGTGCGACTACTTCTGCGGTGACTTTTTGAAGTCGGTACTCATCATTAACGCGGACAGGGTTAGGTCCGAACTAGAAAAAACCGTTTTCAAAAACCATCCTGATATGATCATCACGCTCCTCTGCAAAGAATGCGGACTCACGGACGAACAGGCAAAAACGATCGGCACCATGAGCAGCGCCGATGGGTACCAGCTGCAGTCCCTCCTACCGTCCGAAACGGGGTTGGGATTTTTGCACAGAGATGCTGGAGGAGCTAAGGAGGAGGACTTGGGTATCATCTCTTTCGACTGCATCACTAACGACAGAGAGCCCGGGCACCTCATCAAGTTGGTCACCGTCAAAAACATTTTTTCCAGACAGCTGCCCAAAATGCCCAGGGAGTACATCGTCAGGCTCGTGTTTGACAGGAACCACTACACATTCTGCCTCCTGAAAAAGGGGGAAGTTATCGGCGGAATATGCTTCAGGCCGTACTTCGAACAGAGGTTCGCAGAAATCGCATTCCTGGCCGTGAAGTCCACTGAGCAGGTGAAGGGGTACGGCACCCGCATCATGAACCACCTCAAGGAGCACGTTAAAAAATCGAACATAGAGTACTTCCTCACCTATGCGGACAACTTCGCTATCGGCTACTTCAGGAAGCAGGGCTTCTCCCAAAAAATATCCATGCCCAAAGAGCGCTGGTTCGGATACATCAAGGACTACGACGGAGGCACGCTCATGGAGTGTTACATATCGCCAAACATCAACTACCTAAGACTGAGTGATATGCTGGGGAAACAGAAAGCTATTATATCGCAGTGCATCGAAGCAATCAAACCTCTCAAGGTCTACGATGGACTTCAATTCTTCAAGGACAACCCGGGGAAGACGCTCAGCCCCAAGGACATTCCGGGGTTGATAGAGGCCGGTTGGACGGATGAACCGATTGGCGCGGCCAACAAACACGGATCCGACAACTTCGCATATGCTGACGATCCGGAAGGCGGTAGGAGGAGCCTAAAGTCCTGCATACTGGACCTCTTGAACAACCTGGAGAAACAGCAAAGCTCCTGGCCATTCAGGAAGCCAGTCAAGCAGTCGGAAGCGCCGGACTACTATGACATCATCAAGAACCCGACGGACATCTCAACCATGAAGAAGAAGGCCAAAAACGGCGAATACAAGACTAAGGTACAATTCGGGGAGGAACTCAAGCGCATGTTCGACAACTGCAGAAGGTACAACACACCACACACCATATACTACAAGTACGCCAACGAGCTGCAGGCGTTCATATGGCCGCAATACGAGAGCATTCAGGAGTGACACCGCCTGGCGGGCACGGCATGGTCGCTAGACTAACAATGGACGAAATTACTTAACTTCAATAGTGTCACAGCCTTGTCGTTGCGTTCAGACAACTAATCTAGCACAACTTTTTCACCGGGCGTAAAGGCGGGGAGGCCGCGGTATGGGCAGCTAGCGCAACGGAACGCGTCACCCAAGTAACAGTTGCCGCACGCAGATGTGGGCGCATCTACATCGGATACCAATTTTTCGGCTTCCAGACGCTCCCTCTCGGCGCGGCCACAAGTGCAGTTGGCGCAAGCTCTGGGCTTCGTGCTGCATGATTCCGCCGCGGGGGCGGAGGGTACATAACCGTCCAGCGACGCCACTGAGACGGCTGCTGACGTGTCGGATGAGCTGCCTAGCTTCCAATTGGGCCGCTTGCCGCTGACCCATCTGAAACCGTTGTGGTCGAAGGCCGTCACGTCAATAAAACCGCTGTATAGACACTCCTTCCTCAATACATGTTCCTGCGTGTTGTTTAAGAAATGCAGCCATCTGACCCACATTCGAATTGCTAGGCGGGAGCAATACGTTCAAGGTGCCGTCGCCCTTCATACTGTCGTGCAACTTCTCTAAAATGGGCGAGACATCCTCTCCAACCCTGCAAAATCCAGATTCGGCGACCAACAAAACCAGGTCATAGGCAGACTCGTCCAATGGTCGGCCAGCCAAATCGGCGAGGGTCACATAATCGTAGCCATTGTCAGCATGAGTGGACTGCGTGAGCACTGGCGAGAACACGTTGTCCAGTTTGAGAAGCGACGACGCAATGGAGGAGCGCCTACATTGCAGCACGCCAAAATTGACGTGCTTCTGAATGTTGTCCCTGCTTGGCGCAACAACTAAGATTTGCAAAGACATCGTGGTCGGTGTCTATGGTCATAACATATAAAGCTATGGTTCAACCGTTAACCATCACGTTAACACGGAATGCGTTCGAAAATAAAATCTAGATGCACATTGGCATCATCATGTATGCCCTGACACACCGCGCTTAATTTATGGCTTTAGGGGTAGGTTCATTGCCCAAAAGCCCAACCTACCACTGACGCGCGAACTCATTGCACATCTGAGCAAGCGCGCCAAACCGTATTTGCGCCTGCGCTGCTGCATAGCGCTATTCATGTTGAAAATATCGTCACTGTATGCGATATATCTAGTTTGTGCCGCCGCCAAATACGCCACCAAGGGATTCTCAACCACACCGACAAGACTGAGCCAGGGATCAATACGGATACATCCCGCGCCAGCGTACCACACCGAAGCATACGGCAAATTCGGTCAGACAAAAGCGTTCTTAGGCGCTAGACAGGCGAATTGTAAAAACACAGCGACATTCCGGAGGAGAAGCAGCACGCTGCAGACGCATCGCACAACCATACCGGAAATGGAGGCCTCCCAGCTCTCAGATCTGCTGAAGAAGAACAAAACACAGTGTGAAAATCTTCTGAAGCGAAGATTCTTTTACACCAACTCCTTCGAAATATACGGAGGAGCCGCCGGGCTCTTCGATTACGGACCGCCAGGATGCGCGCTCAAGGCCCAACTCGAAGACCTCTGGAGGAAGCATTTCATCGTGTTCGATGAAATGCTGGAGGTCTCGTGTCCTTGCATTACGCCGTACAGTGTGCTCAAGGCCTCGGGACATGTCGACAGGTTCACAGATCTCATGGTGACTGACTTGAGCAACGGAGAGTGCTACAGGGCCGACAAATACCTCGAAGATGTAATAGATTGCGCCCTCAGCACTTTGGAAGGCAAAAACGTGGCGGACAACGTCAATGCAAAGAATGCCGCGCTGATGCAGCTGGGACGTGACGAACTGCAGAAGCTGCAGAACGTCGTAGGGAACATGACCTTAGAGGACGTCGACAGTTTTATACAGCAATACGGCATCAAGTCGCCTCAAGGAAACGACCTGTCCAAGCCGTTCCCGTTCAACCTCATGTTTGAGACCACAATAGGGCCCAAGAAGGATCAAAAGGGAGGGACGAGCTCCGTTGTATACCTCAGACCCGAAACTGCACAAGGTATCTTCGTCAACTTTGGCAGATTGCTCGAATCGAATGGTGGCAAAATGCCTTTCGCGGCGGCACAAATCGGTCTGGGATTCAGGAACGAAATCAGCCCGAGAAATGGGCTGCTCAGGGTCCGTGAATTCCTCATGGCTGAAGTGGAATATTTTGTGCACCCGGAAAACAAAACCCATGCGAGGTTCCACGAATTCAAGCATGTGTCGCTTAATCTCCTGCCGAAGGATACCCAGGAGAGGGGAGAAGCCACGTTGGTCTCCATGACAGTGGAAGATGCCGTTAATAATAAGGTGATCGCAAACGAAGCCCTGGGTTATTTCCTCGCAAGAACGGCGCTATTCCTTGAAAAGTGCGGAATTTTGAAGGAAGGTCTGCGATTCAGGCAACACATGTCCGATGAAATGGCACACTATGCATGCGACTGTTGGGATGCAGAAATACTCACCTCGTACGGCTGGATCGAAGTTGTGGGCCATGCGGACAGGATGGCGTACGATCTGAAGGCGCACTCACAGGCCGCTAACGTCCAGCTGAATGCGAGCCACAGGTACCCGGAACCCATTGTTGTGGAGAAGGTCACTCCTACTTACAACAGGTCACTCATTGGGAAAACATTCAAGGACAAAAACGCACAGCTGTTGCGAATACTGGATAACCTGTCCCAAAATGAAGCGTTGCAAATGGAGCAAGAACTCAACGCCACCGGACAAGGTATCGTTAAAGGCGACGATGGACTGGAGTTCGTTGTCACTAGAGATATGCTGTCATTCAAGGTTGTCAAATCGGTTGTTTGCGAGGAAACGTTCACACCATCTGTCATTGAGCCATCGTTCGGTATCGGCAGGCTCATATTCTGCATATTGGAGCACTCGTACAAGATTAGACAGGCGCAGAAAGACCAGGAAGAACGCACTTACCTCGCACTGAAACCTATACTGGCGCCAACAAAGTGCTGCCTTTTGCCGTTATCGTCGAAGGATATATTCAACCCGTTGATTTCAAAGATCCAGAGGCACATGAACGATCTGGGACTTTCATACAAAATCGACAGCACGGGAGCGTCAATCGGAAAACGGTACGCACGAACTGATGAAATCGGCATCCCGTTCGCAATCACCATAGATTTCCAATCTGTGAATGACGGAACCGTAACCCTTAGGGAGCGCGACTCAATGGAGCAGGTGCGGTTGCAATCCGAAGAAGTGGGCGACGTCATCGCGGACCTCATTAGAGGCAGGACAACATGGGGTGATGTTACCAAAGCGCATCCCATATTCACGCAGCAAGAAGTATAAGGATTCAATCAAAATGTTTGCTATTTTTCAGACTAGATATCACTCTAATGTCGTCGTCTGATATGTTTTCACCTGTTTCATTTAGTGGAATCGCGACAACAACCTACCTAGCTCGGCCTTGACAACGTTCTCGCCTTGACGAGCCAGGATCTCTTCGATGTTTTCATTAGTCTCCCCAAACCAGCCCAACTGGTCTGATATCAAATGTACTGCAACTATGCTGACAGGCAAGCATGTAGCTTACGGTTTTGGCAGCCGGAGCATTTAACGTATACGACGCCGTGGTGATATGACTGCTGTGCAAGATGACACGCACTGAAGACTCCCTACCTTTGAAAAAGATTTTGCGCTCCTCAGATTACAAATCTTACACGTGAAAACTATTATGTAGCGATCACTCGATGTCTTAGGGATCGGCAATGGAGATTCCGCGAGCGGCGCCGGAGGCTTGCTACCGCTGCTGTTAAATCGGTAGTGATGACGAGTCGACGCTGAATATACAATTCGGCGACTCCAAACAGCTAGCAGACTCCTACGTATAAATGGTTTACGCAACCAACGTCTCATTATTCATAAAACTCTGTGGCTCCCTCACGAGGAGCAAACACTTAGGCACAGAACTACGGCCAGAACATAGTCCACTGCAGGTAGACACCAAACCGCTGTTGCGAAAATCCACTTCTAGAGCACATAAACGAAATCAATGTGGGCTGCGTTTCTGATAGACACGCCTTCTGTCAAGTCAAACAGGCAACATCAGAGCGATGACGAAGATGAACAGGGATTCACGAAAACTGTACACATCCCATTAACGGACCATGTATTCACTACTTAAAACATATACGTAAGCATTGCTGCTGTAAATAAGGTTAGTCCCACCATTAGACAACCTACCAAGCACTATGTATGCTATATCGCTCACGGTACCACAAACTGTGTCTACTGCGAACTATCGAAATTATTTAACCATAGTAATGAACGGAGTAAATTATTGATACCGAGCTTTGCTCCAAACAGTCAATATTTATAGGAAACGAAGACCCGAATAATCGCAATACACGCTAAATGTGTAACAGTGCCTTTTTAGTGATGGCACTCTCCTCCTCCCATTAGTGGACTTATGTTAACTAATGACGCCATTCTGACCTAATACGCGACGAATCCTGCGTTAAATCGCAACACGCAGATCATAGTTCAAAATGGCGGAACAAGCATCCACTGGCAACCTTTTTGCCGAAGGGGAAGAGAACACTGTCGACGAAATAAAGGTATGCAATGCCCCTTAACGCTATGTATAGATGATCAGAAACCCGGTGCGTCGGCGGCCGATAAGACATCTGGAGTCTCGCCAAAACAACACGTAAGTTCAGAAATGGCGCAACTTAATGCAAACGCAGATTGATGATATAGAAAAATGGCTCCAGGAGAATCTAAAGTCTATAATACCGCCAGATATGCAATCCATGTACATCAATAAAAACAACATTCTCTTCGCTTTCAAGAGTGAGAGTTCGGAGCAACAGATCGCCGCTCAATGCAAGGAATGGATATCCCAACTCACCAAGGGTGGAAGGAGGTCTGTGCTGTCCAGCTTTGACGTGTCAGCGCCGTTTAACAAAATCGCAAACCATCGCTTGGAGGAAGCGAGGAAGCGGGTGGCACTCGACTACAAGACTGATCCGTCGTTCATGTGAGCTCGATACAGCGATGTGTTTAATAGTTATACAGAAGGGTGATAGATGTGAAAACTGGAAAATACATACTCTCGAACCTTCTAAAGGCGGCAGCGGAGCAAAGGGCAGGATTGCTCAACTACGTCGAGTACGTCCGCAGAAACATTGACTTGCTGCCTCTACCGGAAGAACTGAATAGATATGCACTCACGCAAAAACTCGCCTACGAGGGGGCCAGGAAACATGTAAGAGACTGCTCAAAAGACCTATCACGTATTTGCAGCTCTGGTTTCTGTTGGGATTAGCCGAGGAACTAAAGCTCGTGCAAAAGTCTAAGTCATTCACGTTCAAGGTAGCTCCTGTAAAAAATGGAAATGACCACAATCCGTTTCTTCTGGACAAACATGTTACGGCGAAGTGGCTGAATATCAGGCCAAAAGTCTTGATTGGAAGCCCCGCGCCCGGGGCTGACAGAACTGCAGAGGAATCGAAAATGCTGAATTCCATGTATCAAGAAGACTTCGCCAGTGGTTCCATCATGCGGGAAGATAGTAGCTCGTTTGCAGTGCCAGGTGACAGCTCCCAGGCGTTGTCAAGTTTCAAAATGATGGACATGATGCAGGACTCTGCATTATCGAATACACAATTGATGAGCACATTCGGTATAAACGAAAGCGTTGGACCATTTGGCGATTTTAACGCAGATGTTTCCATGTCCAATCTGTTCAACTTCGACGAATCACTGCTGGGCAGCCGCCGCATGGACTCATTCAAAGGGTCGATTAGCGGGAGCAGCTGGAAGGCGTTGGAACAATCCAAGATAAAGAAAACGAAGGTCGCCAATACACAGAAGGTGGACACCGTACAGAAGTTTCTAGAGAAAATCGGAAATAAACGAACGAGTAACGAGTTGAAAAATGCAATCAATACTGTCACCGTGCTTGAGGCTGCGTGCAAGTTATTCGGAACGGGGCCAAAGTGGTCAAACCCGGACAAAAATGAGTTCGATGCTGGCAACAAGAGAAATGCCCTAGTTTACGTCATGCCTCCTAGGGGGATAAATCAAAACAGCATAGCGTATAACTACCTCCTTCAGTACAAATCCATCCATCAAAAGCTCAATGGGGGAGTCAGGCAACAACACGCCGTCTCCTACGGCCTTATCACATTAGGGCAATCGGCGCCTGGGGAACCAGTCTCCTCGTTTCAAGTCAACTCCGCGCCATGGTCGAGTGAAAAATATGGCGACAAATGGAAAAAACTGGCTTCATGCGTCGGCAAATCTCCATGGATGAATACAGCGTATCAACCGATACAAAATACGGACACCACCAACGCGGATGAACCAGTGAAACAGGGTTGCGTGGAAGAGGTAAAAGGCGGCGAAAACCCGATAATCAGTGAGCAACATGAGGCACCTCTGTTCAGCGAGCATCAAGATCCGTCGGAGCCTGGAATACTTCCAGAGGAGAATAATGGGCGCGAACATGAGACACAGACGAACGAAAAGGACAACCCGGCAACTGTAATCGTTGATGTGAGTCATTCTCCTGTACAGGAGTCTGAAGAAACTGTTGCCACTGCCGTTTGTGATGAAAATGATAAGATGATGGTAGAGGGCACAAGCGTAGAAATGGCGACGGAGGAGCAACATCCCAGCGTAGAGAACACAACTAAGGCCCCTGTGGACGACTCTCGAGATAAGGTCCATGCAGGCGGTGATTTTGAGACCGAAGTTGAAACTGGTGAACTTAAGCAACAACCCGTAGCCTCTACGGAAAAGGATACGGAGGACAACCGAATAACTTCACAGAAAGCAGAAGCCAGAAACGTTGAGCCATTGAGACCACATGATATGTCCTTTCCTGGCAGACAGATGAAACTCACAGAGCTTTTCCGTTACGTATATACAAAAATGAAAAAGGTCAAACCGTTGCCGGAAGTCTCGCCCGAATTGATTGGGCGAGCAAAGCATCGCTTAAACCGGATGGAAGAGGATCAAACTCGTGATCTGAATATAACGGGGAAGAGGAAACGGATACTTGATGAGGACCTTCTGCCAGATGCAATCACACTCAACTACGCGCAAATCAACAAGAGCGTTACAGCGGATGAAAGCCCAAATAATGCTGAAGAGGCCCCGGGTGAAACCCCAAATGTTCAACGTGACTCTAATGTTGTTACTGATGTCCATAAAACACACAAGAAGGAAAGAATCAGGAAAATGAGAGAATTCGTGAAAAACATGTTCGAGGTGGAAGCCGAAGAGAGTGAAGACGAAAACCTCTCAGATCCAGAAGATATACGCAAAAAGTTACAGCTGCTCAAAGAACGATTGCAGCACTCATCAGGGGAGTCGGAAAGTGACTACGAAAGCGACTCGGATGTGGCCGAAGAGATGAAAGATTTTATTGCAGAAGTAGAAACCTTTAACGCGGAAGACGAAGAGCTTGCCAAACAAAGGTTTTACGCCGATATTAAGCAGCAAGAGGAAAACGAGCTCTCGAAGCTTATGCCACTTAAGGAACGGAGCGAGCGAGAGTTAACCAGAAGGGAGGAAAGGATGAAGTTGCTAATGCAACTCAAAAAGGCAAAACACTTGCACGACATACAAGATCTTCATCCCAGCGACTTCGAATCGTCGGACGAAGAAGATGGAGAGAAGAGCGCGCATGGAAAGCCCAAGAGGCGCATCAGCAAAGCCGAACTTGAACAGTTGTTGAGATTCAAAACTGGGGGCAGTGACATCAGCGCAAAGATTTCGGAGACCGATGAATTGCGTGTTTTCATAGAGTCAAAGCTGCAGGGATCGAACAAGCACACAGGTATGGTTGCTGCATGACGGTATATAATTTTGCAGATGAGGCTCCAACTGTGCGAAACCAAATAGAAAGGGTGACGAACAGCAGACGAGACACAATCGATAACCTGCTTTCCTCAAGAGCTAGTGCAAACATATTCGGGGAAAACGAAGAGAAATCGGCTGCCAAGACATCGCCCTTCGGAGTGCCCTCAACGATCAATCGCAACCTAGCCGCAGACCCTCTCGGATGTTCTTCTAAGCAGCAGTCTACCATTGTTATGAAGTCGTTTAGATTGAATCAATCGATGATGAAGCCGCTCAACAGCACCAATATCAGGTACGACGTTGTAGCAGCAACCCATGTGTTTTCAGGAACGTCGGGGGATTCACGGGATTCCACAAACCAGAGCTTCCGCCTAATGGCGTACAAAGTCAGAACTTAGCTCAGAAAGGCAGTAAAGCCAACACATTCAATAAATTTTGAGCTCTTGTCTTATTCTTTTGTACACACTCCACTGTTACGCAACAGTGGGAATGTCGTGAGCGTTGCCCAAACAACAGCGCATTTACAGTGTAAAATGGAGGAAAACACATCGGCGGAAATCTTCGACGGCGACGCTTCCTACAAACACACTGTAATATTGGCAATAGTATGCAAACAAGAAAAGTCCGCTGTGAAACATCTGGGCGTCGCGATTTGCAATTTTCTCAACTCCTCGTTGCAGGTTACAGAAATTTCGGACAATGAATTCTTCACGCTACTCGAATCCGTCATATTACAGGTGAGTGAGCAGCTGGCATGTCTAGAATCACTTCGTAGGTTGGGCCGACGGTGTGTACCCTGTGTACAACCAAGGACGCAATAGATGTCAAGCGCTTGAAGCACATACTCTCACTATGCAACGTACAATGTATGAGCCATACCTTCTCAAATTCGAAGGACGCCACTACGGCTGTAGAAGGTAGGTCTACGGGCATGTAATTCACATGGTCATTTCGTGCTTCAGAAATGAAGATCAAAAGCAACCTGGAATATCTGCTCGTGGAGGAGGATCACGTCAGGAATCACGTCAAACTACTCTCAATGCAGCTGGCTATGAAGGCACTTTTAGGTATATTCGATACGTTTGACATTGCGAAGCAACCGGCGTGCAAGCACAAATTTCATTTGGACGAATACAAAGTCGAAAAATACATGTCAATGGACAGAGCAGCATTCGCATCGCTTTCCATATTGCCCAGCAATTCTAATTATATGGGTGAGTTTACGGCAACGACGCAAAAATATATAACAGGCGAATCAAACACCACAACGTTGTTCGGATTACTAAACAAATGCAGGACGATCATTGGAACTCGGAGGCTGAGGATGTGGGTATCCCAACCCCTAACGGATGCGCAAGAAATTCGCAAAAGGCACGACTGTGTCGAGGCCTTCAAGGCTAACTTGTATAAAACAATACAGGCTGAATGCTTGCGGAAAGTACCCGACCTCGATGCAATCGTTATGAAGCTCAGGGCAATAGACAGCGGTGGCGATGCCGATGGTAAAATCAGGAGCACAATCACATTTGAAAACCTTGTGCGTCTTTATGACTGTGTCATTGCTGTGAACAGGATGGTGCAATTTGTGCTTGTTCCTTATGACGGAATACACTCCGAGACTATTAAACATATGTTTACCGAACCGTTGTTGAATATATCGTCGCTATTCGAAACATATTTACGATTGGTGGAAAAGACGGTCGACCTGAAGGAAGCCGAAAAGAGAAATTACGTCATCAACCGCAACTTCGATAATAAGCTAGTGCAAATCGGTGGGAAGGTAGACAAAATAAGGGCTGATATGGAGGCTCTAAGGGAATCATTTGAGGATGAAATTTTCTACCGTTCTAACAAAGGCCGGAAGGGGAATAACCTCAAACTGGTGGAGTGCAGCAACATGGGGTACCTCTTTAGGGTCTCCAAAAAAGACCAAACACTTCTTCAGGAGTCTGAACGCCTAAGTGGGTCAATAGAAAAGGTCAGGCTGAATAAAAACGAATTCCTTTTCACCACACCACATCTCCGTCAACTGTGCACAAAATTTAACAACGCACACAACGACTATGAAAACGCTCAAGCGGCCTTGGTGAATAAGGCATTTAAGGTCGCAGCTACGTATTGGATCCTGGTTGAACGGTTTGCAGATGTGATTGCAACCATGGATATTCTAGCGGGGTTCGCTGAAGTAGCTGCGACTTTGAATTATGTCAGACCCGAGATAGATATGGAAAATGTCGAGATTAACCTTGTTGCAGCGCGGCACCCGCTCGTAGAGTGTGGACTTTCAACACGGGTCTTTGTGCCCAACGATCTCGTCATGAAAAGAGACACGTCCAGGGTCCACATTACCACTGGGCCCAACATGGGTGGCAAGTCCACATATATAAGACAGGTACCTTTTCAAATATAAACCGCGGAGCTTAAATCTCGTAGGTTGGGGTCATAGCTGTCATGAATCAAATCGGCTCTTTTGTACCGTGCACCAAAGCAAAGCTGCCGATATTCAAACACGTCCTCTGCAGAGTTGGGGCATCCGACATTCAGTTACGGTACGTTTGCTGTAAATGCATGAAGTTCATCATTTTTCAGGGGGGTTTCAACCTTTCTAGCCGAAATGGTAGAGGCGGCTGCCATTTTGAAAACAGCCGACGAGCACTCGTTGGCCATTATTGATGAGTTGGGCAGAGGCACTTCGACGTATGATGTGAGTCAGAACTAAAGCGCTTACCATGACTACAGGGCTTCGGTCTAGCGTGGGCGATCATAGTAGACCTCATCCAGGGATCCAAGTGCTTCTGTTTGTGTGCTACGCACTTCCACGAAATGGGCGACCTAGTAAAAGGTGAACCTTACGGCCGCCAATCCTATACTCATTTGCAGAGCACCAAGGTGTAAAGAACAAATTCGTAAATGCCAAGTACTTAGAAAACGTGAAGCAAATGGTTTTTCTTTACGAAATCAATGACGGAATATGTACGGACTCGTACGCCATAAACGTAGCAGAAATCGCTATGTTCCCGACAGATGTAATTTGAAGTTCACATTAATTAGGCATCTAATGCAGGTTATCGCAAACGCGCAGAAGAAACTCAACGAACTCGAGGAAGTCAACAGGTCTGAAGACTGGGCTGCACTACAACCACTTTTGAGTTCGAAGTCATTCGATGAATTCAAAAGTAAATTGCATGATTTATGCACTAGCATGAAGCCAGACATGTAATGTTCTTGCATACAACTCCATTTTATATACAATGTGAAATAGAAAATTAGATCTTCGGATTACTTTTGCTACGGTGGTCGAAGTAATGCGCTCTCTTCCCTTTCGCGTGCGGTGTTGTAGACGGCTATCCAACGACATCATGGCTTCCGTATAGCCCCTGGAGTAGCACGTGTTATGATTTTATCTCCTCATCACCTAAGGTACCACCATGCTTGCACTTCATCTGTCGGAAGAACACTCACCCTTTCCCATCATTTACCAGGTCCTCCCATTCCCTCCTCTTTTATATTTCAGTCTCCACCAAATTGCTCTAATTAGTGATCCAACCTCCGCAACGGTGATGGTTTGATCCGACCTTATGCCAGCATTATATCCGGTTCGGTTGTGCACCTGGTTGCCTGAGAGGAAGGCCATGTTGAGTTAACGACGACGGTTCAATGTCCAAATCTTTTGTTATATTATGCATTAAACAGTTGCAGCTCGTATTGTAGGTGTTGTCGATTAGAGGCACAAGATTCATTTGTACTTCCTGTTGGATTTGCCAGGAAAATTCCTCGATGCGTTGCTGTCTAACTGGGGCCATGGGGTTCTCTCTGCCCTTATTTTACCCAACAATAATAAATCAGAAGTTATTAATTCTCTCTACATTTTACATATCTGTGAAATGCATTTGTTCGTCACCATCTTGTATTTTTGCTCCTTTGTATTTATCGGATAACGCAAGATACATTACCATGGCCAAATTTAGCATCGTGAGGTCCCTGCTAGCATTTTATGCAATAGCGCTACAATCAATCATATGTCTGGATGCATTTTTTTGTGACTTCGCAAATCCAGATGGGTTGCTCAGTGGCAATGCTCTGTCCAGCTGTCACATGGATGTCGACTTATTAGGTACCGGAACTGTTGTATGCCCACGCCAAGTTAATGGCATCGAATATGTCTGGCATCCTCAACCAGCAGTGGGTGATGAGACACTTAACGTATACGTGAGTGATGATGGCAAGCTTCGTTCCGTTGCTTTTTCGGACGTAGTGGTAACTGAAGAACCACTAACCTTCGTTTTCCTGGACTCAATGCGGAAGACGACGGAAATGTTTTTTGAATTTCCAATACATGATATATATGCCATTACTGCGAATCGTCTGATCTTCATTTGCGGTCCACAAGATTTGGTTCTGAGTGCTGCACTGCAGAGTATTCTGGGTGGTCTCAAGAGTGCCAACCAAACTCAGGAATTCCCTTGGACTACAGCCACGCCATTGGTTCAGGAGATATCGAAGATAGGGAAGGGGTTGGGTGCTGTGTTCTTGAACAGAGACCGCCGGCATCTACCGCTGCAAGGCTGTGGTAGCCGCCCCTCGCCACTATTCGCTCTGGATAATGAGGTTACTGTAGACCCTATAACCGGAACACGTTCATGCGTGGCAAATCCTATGTCTCTATCACGTATCGGGTTTGTTTGCGACGGTCGTCTTGAACCCAGTGATTGCACGAAATCCCTCTTAGACAACAATGGAGGAGTTGTTACTGTTCCTCCACCGCGTTATTATAGGTCTTTCCATTTCAATCAGCCCTGGGTTGTAGCGAATTATTATCACGAACTAGCATTACCGCCCGTCAATGGCGAATGCAGGTGCGTAGATTCCGAAACGGGTCAGGTAAAGGCCAAAATAGAGATCCGCTCAAAAACTGAGTACATCTGTGACATTTCCAGCATGATCGAACGCAACCGTGCAAGTCCTATCAGTGGTCCTTGGTGTTCGGTTGTCCTCCATCCGGGAAGCACCTTGACCATACGGTTCCCAATAATAGGTGTAGATGCGAACTCTGACGAGGACCCCTCTCAACAGCCATCTACCTATGAATACGAAGCTGAATTTCTGCCGAAGGACTTGGCGACACTCCGCCAACTGAACAGATATTACGACTTTGATATCTACGACGAAGTCTCATACCACAAAATCCTTGCTGGCGACGCCCTCGAGTTGGATGTTTCACAAATGTATCGTGGGGAGATAAAACTGAAGTACCATTTGGACAAACCTCTCTCATCACAAAGAAGGGATGCGTCATTCATTTATCATTTGACTTTAACGTCTAAGGACGAAAGTGTCCAGGACCGGTTGCGCGCCGTAGTGAACGTCTCCTTTGCGTTTACGCATCGCTACAAGATGATCGGCTGCGACCGAGGAACACACAGCGTCTTCGATACAGACATGAGCAAAAAGTATTGCTCAACGAAACAGATGGGAAATGGTGTAGGGAATACATATGAATGCATCTATGATAAAAGTATTGTTGACAGTCATGGCGGCATTCGTTGCGGCGACAACGAGGATCTGTTACCAGGAAATTGCGAGTCCGCAGTATACGACCTTCACTCTAATAGTATTATACCATTTCCGTCAGCTTTGCGCAATGTAACTCCGTACTCTATTCGGGGGTTCAAGGCATTAGAAATGGAATACCAAACTAGCCCTTCCAGTTATGCTTGCATATGTGTCGACCAACGTGGATACGAAAAGTCGAGGCTTATATCAGAGTACAACTTTACAGAATACCGTTGTTACAATGTGCGACGCGAAGAAGATATTCAAACGTCACTCCCAAACCTATCTCTGCCTTGGAGTGATGTCGGGTTATCGAACGCAGGATCTCCATCACCAAAGCCGCTTGTGCTTCACTATATACCACAAAAAAACATCACAATACAAGTGGGTACAGAGTTCAACATGGTTTGTGAAATGGATCCCAGCGCTATTCCCTACAGTGCGATGTTGAATAAAAATGCCCGTAATGTGGATCTAACAACTACATGGTTGCCAAAGAGACCTGAGGAGTTTTATTACACCGTTATACATACGCCGCATGGGCCTGAGCTGATACGTAGAACTTATAGAGAGTCTTTTGCTACTACTCCAGGGGGATTGGAAATCGTTTATCATGAAGAATCGGTGAAACCTGAATATAAAAAACTGACCATTACATCTCGTAGAAGCGCTATTCTTATATCTAAGGATCGATTTTACAAGAAACACGTGCCAATGACATTTGTCTGCGGTAAGGCTCCTAAGGAAACAGATGTCTCCATCATAACACGTAAATCATCTGCAAGGTCAGGGTCATCTGCTCGGTATACGTGGCACATGGTCCAAGTAAACGTCGAGACAACGGACCCGTATATGCAGGGCTGCGGCGTCACAGACGAATCAGATGAGCTGTTCAAGCCTGATACGCCTCCACTCTACGACTCTGACGGGCAGCCTCAGTTCGGCTGCAAGATCGATATCCAAGCTGCCAATGAAGCCGCGTTCTACTGCCCAGCGCCGTACGTCCTGGACCCACCCAACTGCTTCAGCCAAGTATTAGTGGACGGTGAAGTAAGGAACTTGAGCGAACTCAGTAATTCGCTGGTATCGTCTCTATCCAACCACTTCGTCATCCTCAGTTTTGATGGTTCTCTTGTAGGAACTGGGGAGACACTGGGCCAGACGCCTCCGTTGGAGTGCCGGTGCGTCACCACAAAGGGTGTCATCCTCTCAACCATACAGATCGAAAACTACTACTCAAAGTAATAAGTATATCAGATGTGGTAACTTGTCGTTGAACTACGGAAACTAATTTGCTTTCATTGTCTACGTTGCTGATAACATGTAGACTGGGGTATTTCAGTGACAGCACGGTTTGGGTTGTCTAAAGCTGATTGTGGTTGTCAACTCAATACCTTATTCTGTTGTCATAATTGCTGTGTGTTGATATATAACAAGTAAGACGTGTAACGATGGGGGTGAAATGTTGTTATGTCTTGCTGCATCTTCCTTCCGCTTTTTGTAGTGTGGAAATAAGTAAGTTGTAGTAGGGGCACCTTCATTTATCCTCATACGTTAGAACATTGGCAATGCCTTTAACACGCAACAATCGACAAAATATAGTGCCTCTTACCGTAGTTCAAGTATTCCGCTGATGTTGATAAATAATAAGTATCCGTCCCTGGCCACGTTAGCCCACCGGTCCACCGGTGGGGAAGCATACAGGGATGGTTACATCTACCCCTTATACGATTACAGATCACATTATGAGATGATCTGCAAGGCTGCAGGGAATGACATTGAGGATTCCCGAATGACGATTTCCGGTGCTCATCGGACTCATCCACATCCATCGCAGCTGATGGGATGAATGACCACAAAACGTTCAATGCCTCAATGGATTGTTGAGCACTACGAAAGTTTTTTAGATGTGGATACCTGTGTCTAAGGTAGGAACTAGTGAACAACGTCAGGCACCACGCAGATCAATAATGAGTATGACCTAATCGGGTTAAGGTGTGAGGCGTAATGGCAGTATACGTGGTTCCGTGTTAACATCACGATTAGATTGGAACCGTGACGTGCAGAAGTAAATTGATATCTAAATTTTGATGCTTAGGTGATCAACTGAAAACAGCTGCCCTTCGGTGGATAGCATAGTCATCATACCAGGCGGTAGGTGAGTAACAGGAATGGGTCCTGTGGCATTTTGAAGCTGTCACTATCGACAACAGATATAAAAGCTGCAATCATTAATGCGGGACTTGAAAACCTCCAAGACATTTGGCAACTAAATGTGGTGTATGATCGCCGTCTATATATGACCCAGCTGGTAGTGGTATGTATGTGGTGTATGACTCGCGGCTACAGTATTTTGGTATTTGGTTTAATGGAAGGTGCCCTTATTGCCACGCAACGCTTAGCGGAGTCGGCTTGGAGGCTCTACAGTTCGGGGGATCAGCTACGTGATTCATGCCTGTGCAGGTTAATGATAAGGGAGCTGCGGGAAGATGTCCACTGCGACATCCAATTGTAAATGTATTCCAAAATGTGATTCTGGACCTTGTAAGTGCTGTCCGGAGTGTTGCGAAGAGTGCTACGAGTGCGACAGATGTGTCTTGGAATACAAACCGCGTAAAAGCGATGGAATTTATAAATGTTCACCTGAGAACTGTAAGAGAGCGTGTAAAAAACATGACCCCTGTCAATGTCCATGTTGTATACGTGGACGCTCTGCCGCCAGTGCACTTCGTACCATCGCTGCCAACAATTCCACCGCTCCCATCATCGCGTCCGTCATCTTCATAGCAATCACACTCACTGTCGTATGCGTTATGAGCGTCTTTCGCATTCGCCCGTTCCACAAAGTCCGCGATTGTTTCGTTCGCAAGTGAACGTTTTGTATCGCATTCTTTAATCACTCCCGTCATTTTTTATAATCGCAATTATCGCACAGTTTTCGGCATTAACAGCGCAGTGGCAACGTAATAACGTCTTATATAATGTTTCAAAATCGCATATCGTCAGGTACCCTGAGATCCGTTCATGGATGACATCGTAGCAGTGCATCAGGCGAAACGATATATCACTTGATGTTACGTAACGCTTGTTTGGGCGGATCTACGATGCTACCACGTGGTAAATTTGAGTGTCGTAAGTGCATAACGGTTGCGATATAATATGAAGTGTTTTTATGTGGCCTGTTTGCGATGGGTAGCTACGCTAGATCCTTAGAATCAGAATACGTAACAACAAAGAACCTGAATGCACTGTGACTACGTCAGATTCTTGGCGTGTGTAGGAGTGTGCGATGGTAGACTTCGATCAGCAGAATCAACAAAACAAGCCCTTGAAAAATCTTAATGGGCTCCGAAATATGCAAATTCCTAGGCCGATAATGAGTAAGATGAGGGCGGGGACAGCATACACGCAAGCAAATGTACATCGATCATTACCACCATTACTACTAGCGATACCAGCCTTACCACACAACGGGCATTCCTGCAGCGTCAGAACCGGCTCAATTGTTTTCCAAAACCCTTTCAGTTTTTCCGAAATACCCGCCCAAGCAGTTTGTATTGCAATCACCATCTCTGCACATCGATGAACAACGTACCAGATGTTTGGTGGCAGTTAGGAGATTCCTCAGCTTCTCGCCAAGACCATAGATGTATAGTACAGTGTTACTTACCACTGTTTGCTCTCTAATATTGTACAGCAAATAAAATGCTTGGCGGCATCATATGTTGACGCATTGCGAAGTCGGTGGGCCCGGGTCTAACACACTGTGTTGCATTTGATGTGTAACAGACTTGTTTGTTCTACACGTTATGTGAAATCAAATTATGTTCTGTCAAAGACAGAAATCGTTGCTTCCGTTGCGCAACGTCCTAAGCTGGACGCGGGGTGTAGACGTTACCATTTGCATGATTGAGTTACCGACGGAGTTACTGCGGTAAACTCTGCAATTATAGCTATATGAGCTTGGGGAACCATCATAGTTGTCTTTTGTTGCGCGATGTGTGATGCCCCTTGCCGGGGAAAACAGTACGAGTTTTCCCGCTGCACTATATGTTCGCAAGCATTGCGATGCTTCGTTATGAAAGAATGATTTTGTTATAATTCCCTACAGCAAAGTAGCACCTTTTCCCATTTGGTCCCCTTAGAGGGGTTGATCGTGACATTTTCTTGATTCGCCATCAATTACTTCTTACATCTCGCGTTGTTGATTGCAAGAAGCACGGCACAAACGAGCATTGGAGCTCGACGATCCTGGAAGGCGATGAGCAGTCATGCGTTGATCACTTTGCCAACCTGTTTTAAACATTATTTTCCAAAACGGTGTAAACAAGTATCATAATCTGTATTTTAGACATGCCATTGGATCAACCATGCCGTGGATCCAAAACTCGATAACTATTTACCATGTTTAGACAGGTAAAACATCATGCCTTTCACTGCCTTAAACTGTTCAATCAGTCTTCATTTCTCATCGATATGAGGTTTCTACATTGATAGCAGCAACAAGGCATGAAGCAATACTCTCAAGATTATCACAGGCTATTGCAACAACCTCCTCAATTGCGACATAATTAATACTATGGTGTTTGTTTTGCACTGCTGCAGGGTAACTTGTTGTTTAAGTGCACATCCATTAATGAATGCCAATGTCGGGGTGCCCCCGTTCATTAACTAGGCAATATTAATATTTTAGCGCCGTTAACGGTCAAGGTGCTTGAACGCCAACGAAAAGTAGCGTTTATATTAGAACGAGTTGGCAATGCTTTGTTAAATAATTCAGCTCCGGTCGACTGAGCCCTTGTGGCAACCCGCCCGCTACCATCGATGCGGCGGTAAGCATGGTAACATAGCTACACCGGTCCAACAAGGGAGCTTAATGTGTGGCCTTTAAATGTCATCAGTAAAGTGGTAGTGTGATAATCATCATAATGTGCATTCGAATAGTGGGATGGCTGCCTTTTGGATGACTGGTGAACGCTGTACACGGACTATGTAGCATTGATCCACCTCGACATTAGATGAGGCAACCAACTTCACGCTATGAAGTGATTTGTCTAACATGATTATGATAACACTACAATTAGTGAGACAAACGTTATATTAGTCGATGTTTTAGGTCATGCTCAACTGGCGCATGTCTGGTTAGGTGAGGTGTTAAATCATCTTACAGGCGAGTGAAAGATGTTACTGTTTGCGTATGTGAATTGTCAATGAATGTCTCCGGGACTCTTCGACGTGATGGCCTAGTTAAGTGGCATTTGTGGTTAACATTGTGATAAGCCTTGAAGTCGTAACCCCGGACTATAGTCCAGCAGCCACTTCGCGGGGCGCCCCGCAAAGATAGTTACCCTTTTGTAACCCCGAAAGCCGTGCAATGTGCGTGTGCACAGTAGCAGCCTGAGGGGTGTATAGGCATTTTCTCGCTTCGAATACAGGTGAGAGTAACTTGATTAAAATTGTGCTGGCACACTAGCATATCAACACTCGTGTAAGCTGTTTGTGTTAATGCTGTATCAGGGCTGCGAGATCTCGAACCATCCCTGCTATAGCACACCTGGACGGCAATCGGGGCGTGTAGTTCTATTTGAAGAGGAGTTTATGATATCAACTCACTTTGCCAATTATTTTGCGAGATGGCTTCTCAAAGGGATGAGCGTGAGATGAAAGCGCCTGCCGAAGATAAGAAAAGGGATCTGGCGGTGTCTGTTTCTACGTGTCCGGACAAGGATGGTGCAGAGGAGAGGCGAACGGACAAGCTAGAGCAGGTGAAGGAGTGGAAGAAGCGCTGGCGAAGGAACTGGCCAAAGGAGGCAGAGAAGTTGGTTGATCTGTTAGAAAAGTTTATGTCACTGAATGTATACTGGATGAGTCACTGGACTATCTCCGGTTACATAGGACCTCGCATTTTTATGTTAGACCTGAAATTGCACCGTCAGGCAACGATCGTGACGGCGCTAATGTTAATCCAGACGCTTAAGGTGGCACAGACCAATCGCAGAAGCGGCAGGAAGAGTTGAGGATGTAAACGAACGCTATACTGAAAGACTTAGTTGATCATTGCCAGTTATATGAGGCCTCGGATTTGAATCTTAGACCAGGAAATTCGACTTCAGGCAACGGTCGTAACGGAGTTACCGCTAGTAACAACTATGCAGTTCGTATCGTGAACCAAGTTGAGCGTGTCATGGATCGTGTGGACTGTATCCTCGAGCGTATGGGGGGGGGTGCGAATAATAACGGAGCGGCTACTGTAAGCGTTACAGTTACTGAAGGAGATACGGATGTGGAAGACGATACGGATAGTGAAGGATATACGGATAGTGAAGAAGATACGGATGTGGAAGACGATATGGATAGTGAAGGATATAGCCATTCTATCGGTGTTTCCATCGGTAGTTCCAGCGGTGGTCTCATCGGCGTTATGATCTTCGGTATCATCGGTGGTATCATCTTTGGTCTCATCTGTGGTATCATCTTTGGTCTCATCTGTGGCTTCATTGGTGGTATCATCGGTAATCTCGTGTATGGTTTCCGGCATTTCACCTGTCGTATAGAGCCTATCGTCGATCGTACGGAGTGTATCCTGGATCGTATCGATGGTGTGGAGCGTGGGCATAGTAACGAAGCAGGCAGTAACGATTCAAACTGTAAAGGCGATAAGGATACTAGAGGCCATAGCGGTCGTACCGGTCTTATCCGTCGTATGGTTCGTATACGCTATCGTATTGAGTGTATCGCTGACCGTATCAGTATTATGGAGCGTAGGCATGCTGACGAAGGAGGCAGTAACGAGGTCGGCGGTCTCTTTGGTATAATCACTCGTATCATGGTTCGTATCAACTATGTTATCATCCGTAGGCGTAGTCGCGAAGGGGATAGTAAATGTGATCCTGATTGTAGAGGCGTCATGGATGGTCAAGGCGAAAGGGGTAATGAAGGTGAAGTGAATAGTGAAGGCGCCACGAATGGTGAACGGGATAACAATATTGGAGGAGCTACCGATAGTCAAGGCGGTACAGCAGGTAAAACGGATATCGGTCGTTTCATCAGTCGTATCGTCGATCGTGTGCGTCGTAAAGATAAGGGTAGTGAAGGCGGAAATGGTCATCAGGACGTTCGCCATGGTAAGGATCAGTTTTTGCCTCAAGTCGCATGACTACAGAGATGAATAACCGTTTGGAAGAGCTTTATTGCAGCGGGAATTGCTGCATCAATGAGGTAGCGTCCAGTCCTTCGCGCGCCGAAATCTGGCCGGAGCAATTGCCGTTGGACTACGTTCATGAATTCTATTTTAACATCTATTACGCTTCAACCATTCTCTACGATTCCTTCCAGGCACCACTCACGTAGCACACATAAATGGCAACTAGAAGGTAATATAATAGATGAGTTCACTGCAGGATTCATTTTGGGGCACAATGTGGGTCACCAAAGTCTATTTCTCGCTAAGGTACTGGTCCATCCGTTAGGTGAGTGTACAGAATGCGAGTGATTGTTTTGACGCCTAGAGCGTGTGAAGTGGGTGTCCATGGATGACATTCTACGATTCTGCGGTATCCTACTCCAGCGCCGTATCCCACGCAGACACTTGCTATACCACTAGTAGCGTGGCAGCCGGATGCGGTGGCACAAAGAAATGTTATACGGGAACGCGGGCAATTGCAGTTTAGGAATCCTGACGCTCACGCTAACATCCATAACTCAGGATTCCCTTAGGCTGTCTAACTTGCAGCCTAGAGCTGCATAGTTTGCAACGAAGCATCTGGAGGTTAAAGCTGTGCCATTCATGCACAATCTGGCAAAAGACCCAAAGGCCTACGTATCTATGCGACACATACACACAACATCGTATGCGCATCCAATCTAATCCCAAACACCGTAACGCGCTGGAGTCTTTGACAAGCGACGATGGCAGATAACACATGTATTATGCAAGGAAGGTGAATATATGTCGTGTTGTGCCGCAATCATGGGCCGAGTAGCGCTCGACACTAGAAGTTACTTCAATCACGTATATAAACAACACATTATGCCGATTGAGGCAGACAGTAGAAGAAATGTTCGACTTCTTCAGTGAGCGTTACCGATATTATCATGGGTGCGTCACCCCGGTTGGCGCAGGCCAACACACCATATGCATCCCATCATAATTTTCTACGTTCACGCGTCACCTAAATTGTATTAACTTATCTACGTTTCGTGTGTGCCATTCGCGTCTAAAATATACGAAGACAGTGACTCGCATTATACGTACTGCATGTAACGTTGCTTGTGTGGATCTGGCTAAGACACGGCAGCTTGGTTGTCACCGTGCCTCCAACACGCCTATTTGGTGCATACACGGGTTTGTGGGTTATACTTGGGCTCATATCCACTAGAAGGTCACAGTGCGGGTGTTCCGCTCATCCGCCATTAATACACGGCTATTTGCACACCAGCTTATAAATATAATAAAAATACCTACGTGTATACCGATCGCCGACTTCTACGAATCATTACACAATGGCATACTATTCTTTGACTGACGTCCCTTCCAACTTCAAGGAGGGTATTGACTGGTTGCTCGCCCTGAAGGGAGATGATCCTCACCACTACTTGCAGGCCATGGGTACCGCACTTCACGATCTCCTCTCACGCCATTATGTTGGCTTTACGCGGTTGCCAGCTCTCGAGAAAATTAAACTTATATCTCGGAAGTTCTTGGAGGAAGGTGGCCTCAAAGGGCAGCCATTCGTAAAAGAACTGCTGGAACGATACAAGGCACCCATGAGCAAAAACCCTGAACAGCTAGCTAAGGTCTTTAGCCGTGTCGACGAGAGCGATTACAAGAATGTCGTAAGGGCCAGGCGCGCCACTCCTAGAAGCATTGCAAAAAACATTGGTGAAGTCGTGGATGCTGCGGAGAAGTTCTTGGAGGTATCAAGGAAACTGACAAGTACACTAATACATACGGTTCGGGAGCTACGTGGATTGGATCATGCGCGGATGACCCGGAAGCTTGTGCAGTGGTATTCGTGGGAATTGCGCCAATGCTTTACGCGGGCCTACGTTCTTTGCAGGAAGCCAGCCTAGATGCACAGAAAGAAGGACCACATTCTGACGCAGCGAATCGTTTGGGGAAGATGTTTAAAGCACTAGGTTACGAAGAGCGGGACTGCATCGATGGCCTGAAGGCTTCAGATATCCGCAAGGCCTTGGAAGGTGTGAACAAACAAATATTGGCAATAGTTTACAACATCGCTGGATTCTGGGCTTTCTACTGAATGGATGATGCGGACGACCTGTTAAAGCATCTACGCATATTTTTTCCGTCCGTCTAATCAGTGAGTTGACATCACGAATTTTCACGAGGCATTTCAAATTCATGAAATGTAGTGATAGCCATTTTATACATGCAATATTCCTTTACTATACTACTGTCACTGAATGAGAGCAAACACGGTTATGAACTTCTCTTTAATCTCGTTCATGACGCAATTTGGAAGCTGCTGTTCCAGCGTCGCACCTTTCAATGCCAGTATGCACGATGGACGTTTCGTGTTTAATTGCAGCCTATAAATCACGCTGTGTATTACTTTACGCCTTGTCAGTTGGATTGGTGATCATCCAGACAACGCATGCCCAGACAGCGCGTTAGACAACCATTTGCAGAACAGACGTCCAATAGGTGACGTAGTTTTGCGGCGACCTCTACTCATAAAGCTGCCATTATACCAACTGCTATTATTGTCTGAATGACGCTGATGCCCATTGTCACAAGCCCCGATGACTTGTTACCATCCTTCGTGTAGCGTACATTGCTGTAAGCGCTCACGCCATCAGGCGTGTTCCCTTCGGCCGTATCTACCGCTGTTCGCGTGGTAGTTTCCGAACGCTTTGTTGGGGGCAGCGTAAGTGCGCTGTCAGCACGTCTCTGTGACGTGAAACGGTTCAATATTTGCTCAATAGACTGCAGGGTGTGGAGCATTTTCGGGTTGTGCTGTTCAGCTGTCCTCGAAACGTCTCTACTCACGGGAGGCGCGTATTGTTCTAGTTCCGACTGGAGGCTCTGTTGTCCTACTTTTCCTGATTGGGGCCACGGGAGATCTAGTTTGCCCATTACATCGGTGGTATCGTTGTAACTTTTGTAAACATCCCACGCATTTGTGACCTCTACCAAATCCCCACCGTACTTGTCGTACCAACGCCGGACAGCATCGGCCAGGGTTTTCTTACTTGTAGCGGCACTGCTCCCCGCGTAAGATGAACGCTCGATATCCGTTGACAGGTCGCGCAGCATAATTGCCATATTTTCTGCCATCTCGTGGACTTCGTGCAACATGATCGATAAAAAGCGATAGTCTTTAACCCTTGACCTTTCTACAGTATCGTCGAGCAGCGTGCCATAATCTGGCACGTCCATGTTGTCTGCAACCGCATTTACATCATACGCTTCGTATGCTTCCGCATTTCCGCCGGGACCTGCAGCTGACGCCTGACCAGAGGGCGTAGACGGTAATAGTTCCTGAAACCTGGGTTGATTTATGAACTCCTCCGCGTATGCAACCTCAAAATCATATTCCAAATCGCCGAACGCCGGAAGGCCACAGGATAGGCGCTCCTTACCCTTAAATTTGTCTTCCAGGTACGCCATAGTTTTATGCAGCTTCGCTGCCAGTTTAGGCGTCAGATACTTCTTTTGAAGGCCTCTAGCTACCACCCGATACAGATTGATCATTTGTCTGACTTCAGGGTACTGTCTGGTCTCCGTGCTTATACGTTGAACTTCACTCATTAATTTCAGGCACTTCTTTTTGTCCGCTTCTTTTGTTTTCGCTGTGGCGTTTGATCGTGGAATTTCTAGGAATATCCGCGTCAAGTCATGATAAGCTTTCGTGGAGCGCAGATAGATATCTTCCGAACGTTCGAGTTTGCTATAACAAACCACACTGTTGGCGTAGAATGCAAGGCCCTTCGTCGGTCTCCCTCCACCACCCGAATTGGCGTGCGTAGTTCGATATCCCGTTACCATGGCATTAAACGTTATGTAGAGGCACAGCAGTAATGCGACTGGTCGCCATCCGTAATTGGTGATGGACGTCATTTTTGATGGCAACCGCAGCACCGTAGTATAGCATCGCAGCAAATGAGATGGTAGAGTTGAGTATCATGCTCTGTAGTGTGGAAGCACCGAGTGTTACCTCCCTTATGTACGATGAGGAGCGTCGAGCATCAAACTACTTTGCTGAGAGGGAAGTAGGTGTGGGCATGATAATCGGTGACTAATCATTATCGGCAGTGATGAGGATATGTTCTGCCCCAAGTGCCCATTTGTCTGCGCCAAATGCTGCGTGTTGTTTGCAGTGCCTAGTGGAATTATAGCACTTGCAATTGCGCTGCGGCTCAGTGGTGATATTCCTCGCCGCTTGACTTTTCCGTGCTGCTGCATGTAGACAGTAATTAAAAAGTGACGTATCCGTTACTCGGCGTCATGACGGGCTCTTCCTGTTGTCCGTGATGTTCCTGTTCAGTTACTGGTAGGCAATTGGCTAGCCACGGCACGGGTGGCCTTTGGTACTTCCACAAGGGCAAGACCGCCGCACGTTATAGGCACAGACTGGAGAAAATAGGCGGTCTGGGTACTGCGCAGGGTAAATGTCCGGCTCAGGTCAGGCTCTTCATGCCGCTTCCGAAGCAGTGGTTGAACGGATTACAGCGTCCACGTTTCCACGCTGTCTTGGTTGGCGACCCTGTTCGATATGATGGTGATGGTTATATATTCAGTGTAATCCGATTATGTCGGTTGGGTTGTGGTCGTTGGACTAGTGAGATGATCCGTACGTGAGTTTGTTATGCCTGCTTAGCTCCACTAATGCCAGCTGTCGGGGCTATGATCCACTGATGGCGTAACGTGCTTAATGGGAAGTATGCGTTTCCGCCACGCCCTCACATTTCCACTAGCTGCAGTTGATGCAATAGCTTTATTATACCTATTACGGCACGTTTCTGGGAGGGTGGAGCGGTTGTGGCGCGTGACGCTGTAGCGATGTGTCAATGGCGTTGGTCCATGCGGCGGGTAAGATGTTTTTTTGGTAGAATGCCTGATTTGCAAATTAAAGCGATTTTATGCACATCGATTGCTGTAACGCATATAGAAATGGACACAATGTATAGAATTGTCATTCAGCGTATCACCCCAAGAGTGCAGCCTTTCAGAGGGGAGGGCATCACGTGCCACAAAGATATTCACACAGGATGTTGAAGTGACACCCACAAGCGTGGTTGTATGCTTCCACGTAATTGTTGCCGATAAAAGTGGCGATTTGGGTGCGCTCATACTTGACAAGCATAGATGAGCTGGGCAGTGGCAGGCCAGCGATTGAAAGGGGTTTCGGCATTGGCCTAGGTGCCATCAAGGGTAACGTTACCTTTTAAAAAGGATGTTTGATGTGGATGCTCATGGCACTGCGACCGATCAACACTCGGCGCAACGTGGTCCGTAGTTAGCTGCGCCCTCAGCGTCTTGGGTGTTTGGTATTTATGGTGGAGGCGGCGGTTTGGGCTCACTTGGTGCTCAGATGTTGCTGAGTCGATGTGTTTTCTGATAATAGGCGTGTTGGAGGTGGTGAATACGGGCATACAAAGTAGCGGTGTCGAGTGTTGGGAGTGTTGTCCATTTTGTGGAGTAGGCAGAGGGTGGGGACAGTGGCAGGCAGCTAATAATTGGTTATCGTAGGCAAGTATATCATTACTTAGACGTGCGTGGGCACTTGAGCACGTTGATATCGCTTGGGTTAATGTGGAAGGGTATGGAGGCGCAGGATGGTGATGGATGGAGGCATTTCGGCGTATGAGTGCCCCATGTCATTTTATCGTAAGCATTTAATTTCAGTGCCGGTATAACCGTGGTGACCATTGGGTGTGGCTAAGTGATGTGGTGTCACTAGAGCGTTTGGTGAGTGTGATTTGCAGCATGGATGTATGTGGTATTGGAGGTGACCTGTTGGGGGGGCGGTGTGCCTGTCATGTGGCAGATGAGCTGCTCGGAGCGGTGTTGTGTTGAATGTTGTGTTGTGAGCTTTGATAAGTATGACGATAATCGTGACCTCTAGTTGTGTCGTGGGGCGTTAAGATTATCGTCGTGTGTGTGGCCGACATGTTTGTCTGGTGTGACGACGAGTGTGATATTGGGAGGGTAAGTGAAGGCGTGGAGGACGTCACGTGCAGCCAGGATGCGATGATATGTCATCACCTGTGTTGTAGGGCGCTTTGCGCAGTGTGGTAGGGTTAGTGTCGGTAGAGCTTGCGTCGGTTGTGAGTGTCGGCTGAGGGGCGTTGCAGCGGCAGCGATTAGGTGTTGTGCTGTGTTTGTGACAGCTTGAATCGTCGTTATCAGTCGCATGGGCGTGGGAGAGGGTTGTCTTGGTGTCGTTGTTGGGTGTTGGTGCTTGTTGGGCGTACTTGTGCTTTATGAGTGCTGCGGGTGTTGGGAGTGTTCGGCGTTGCGCATCGCCGGTGTAGGAGGGGCAGTGGTTGTCGTGGTCCATGGATGTTGAGTGAGGAAATG